TTGTTGGTTTTGTTGTTGTTTCAGTAGTATGTGTTGTTGGTTTTGTTGTTGTTTCAGTAGTATGGGTTGTTGGTTTAGTTGTAGTTTGGGTAGTATGAGTTGTTGGTTTTGTTGTAGTTTCAGTAGTATGGGTTGTTGGATTTGTTGTTGTTTCAGTAATATGGGTAGTTGGTTTTGTTGTTTCACTACTATGAGTAGTTGGTTTTGTTGTAGTCTCAACACCATGTGTTGTAGGTCTTGTGGTTACTTCAGTATTATGAGTTTTTGGGGTAGTTGGTGCTTCTGTATGATGAGTAGTGGGTCTTGTTACTGTTTCAGTAGTAAATGTATGTTCACTATCTGGTTTATTTTCTGACTTATTTGTACTATATTTATTTCCTCTCGGACTAGTTGTCTCTTCTTGATGATTTGTTTTGTCTGTTGTATGGAGATCTGTATGTATTGTTGTCTCAAGTGAGTGAGAAGGTATAGTTGTATCATGATGTTCAGAACTTGTTGCACCAGTAGTAATCATTGGTTCATGAGTAGTTAAAGGAGGTGGTTGTGGTAAATTAGGTCCAAAAATAAAGTTGACTTTTTCTGTCTGCCACTTTTTATTTTGGATCGTATTTATATCTGGATTTGTAGAGTAATGTTCTCCAGTTCCATGCTTATTATCATGATTATTATTGATATTCTCGAGCTGATTATGCAACTTTACTACCTGCAATGCATTTGACCCCATTTGTGTATGGGTATTTAGATGATCATATATATTATGATCATGTTGATGTTCATATTGGGTATCTTGGTAATAGTTTTGAATATTTCCGAGTAAATTATCCACATGATTATGATCTACCACATCTTCGTGTATAAACAATACATCTTGATGTGCAATAGTTACTATTGGGATGATAAGCAAGAATATAAGATATAACTGTGTCATTTTTCCTATTTTTTCATAATATAATGGAAATACCTCACTGGTACTTTTTAAGTCTCTTAGAGGCGTCTCACCCTCTAACCGCTTGCCATACTCTCCCAAGTCTATGTAATAACCGGGTTACATATTGTCAAGTAAGTTACATGTTAAGTAATATGTTATTAATATTTGTAGATTCCTTTTTCCAATTTTATTTTATTTACTTTTATGCACCATAGCACATAAAATTAATTTTTTATGATATTTGTTAATATAATATGAATTTTTGCCTTCGCATTATTATAATGACCCGTGGTTTAGTAGAGTCAAATTACTTTATTCTATATCTTTTTTTATATTTCATATTGTTGACTTTATCTATTTGTCAAATAACTACATATACAACTGGTGCACCAGATAGAAGCTATTATTTTCCTATTGGATTTAATATGGCATCATATTATCAAGGCCCTAGTATTAGTGATTATTTAGCTATTGATAGTCAAACAACAAACTTTATAAGCCCTTGTCAATTTATGCATCCAATTACGATACAATTTATAGGAATGTATCCTGATTGTAATGATACTCCAATAAAATCTATTGAATGCGATTTAAATGTATTGAGGTTGAAATTATCAAATTCACAATTTTCACTAAGTTATAACTTTTTATATGATGCTTGCAACATGTTAGCTAATATTTTAAAAAATAGTACAACAAGTTATGCTAATTTTGATGGTGCAAATAATATTACTATTTGGTTAGAAGGATCTAAATTAGAAAGTATTGTCTCAAAAATAAATGAAAATATTCCAAATAATATCCCAACAATTTTACCTTCAAGTGTAGAGTATCAATTTGATCAAACTATTTTTGGTAGTAATATTAATAGTTCAGTAGGTATTGGACCTTATTTATTCAAAACAATATCATTTCCACTTTTAGTAAGTGTCGATTATTCTTCAATAATGCCTGGGGTAAATTCATATGGTACTAATGTTCCTTATATAAGATTTTCAATGAATCTATCTCTAAGCTTAGAAAAATATCACCAAGAAGTAAGTTTATCTTCTTTATGGACTCCTATATATGGATTTGGAGGATACTTTCCTTTAATAATTCCAAATGACAAATTTCCGAATAGTGTGATTTATACTACATTTACAAATATTTCAATGTCTGATTCATTTGTAGCATGGGGAAATATAAATATACCATTAACAAGTCCATTAATAAGACTAATTCCTCCATCAAATATTCCAAATACTTCTATCAACTGTACAAGTAATTTTGACTTTTATTATCCATCAATTATAACACCTAATGGGGAAGTAAACGAATATCCAAAAAATTTGTCCTCCCTATTAAAAAATGAAACAAATGAATTTATAATTAGAAATACAATCTCTGGTCAATCGTATTGGAATAAAATCCCATTTGGTGCAAATTGGTATACTGTAGGATTTCCAGTTTCTTCTCCTAACTGTCAGTGGATTGAAACGGGTAACTATTTGGGAGGATGCTATTATAATGGTACATTTCCACTTGCACCTAATATATTAAATAAGGGATTTAAAGATACTTTATGTAGTCAACAAGTTCAAAATACTTCTGATGTATACATGTCTGCATTTTACCCTCAACCACTAGAATTTGTTGGCTATGGTGTTTCAGATTCTCAGACATTAATATCAGGATTATATCACTATGGAATGCTTAAATCAGAGAAAAATATAAAAGATACCTTACGAGATCCAGATACTATGTATTTTGGGAACTATCCATCTTATCACCTAGTTGCAAATACAGCACCAGTTCAGATTACATCCCCTACTCCTCGTTTAAGTGCTCCATTTGTTCAATATTCTGGTAGAAATATGGAAATAGGTGATCCTTTTTTTAATTTTAATTTTCAGTATATGCAGGATAGGTTTGGACATTGTGCTGAACCAAATGAATGTTGGCAGTGTTCAAATCCTCGTATAATACCTTGGAAAGTTAAACCAATTGATCAGCAGAATTTCATAGAATTTTGTACATCGAATATAACTGAAATAAATAACTTTGAAATGAACCAATTTAGATATTATTATGGAGAATTTGGTGATACAATTTCTGAACAGCAAGAAAATGGGGTATCATCATGCATAATTAGTAACCCTAATAGATGGATACCAGTCGCTAAAAACGCAACAAATTTTACATTGGAGGCTGGAAATTATCATACAGATAGAATCTTTATATATTATTCAATCTCAAATGATACATGTTGCTCCCCACTAAATGCTTTTGTATTTTTCCAATATTACTATACAATAGTAACTAGTGAATATCAACCTATTCAGTTGACTCAAATAGTTCCTTATACAGATCCATTTGTGGGTGCAATATTACCTGGAATATTTATGAATAGAGGTTTCTCATATTCTTTTTATATCGATGTTTTTCCTGATAATATTTGGACAGAAAATAGTTTATTAATTTTAAAGTCTTGGTTACTATGTCCAAATATTTCAAACATTGAGTTAGAAATATATCCAAAGAATGTAAAAATAAATGATATTCTTAGTATTGGAGGAAAACTTGGTGCATCTATTTATATTCCTCCTTATACAATGCAAACATATTATTATAAGCCGACATTTTGTGTTATGAGAGCAGCTATTTTCGTTAATGAGACAGTTGCACTAGCTAAGACATCTTACTTTGAAACAATAAACTTTGAAGAATATAAGGATAAAACTGTGAAGGTTTATTCATCAGATGAAGGAGTACATGAATATGTTGAATGGTTACTAGTAAATAATGGATTTATATCTTTTGGATCCAAAGTATTGGAACCAAATCCTGGAAATACATCAATTACAGATGCAATATATACTGCAATGAACATATCTCATCAATATAATTTCACTATTTCTCCATTTCTATTTAATGCTATAGCATTAAATACCCCTGTATTTACCCCAGATAGTCAAGTATTTGAGATGATTATTGCTGGACAACACAACCGTTTCGGGTTAAGATTACCTGCAACACAACCTCAATGGTATGTATACTTGCGTAATACAGATAAGTGGGATCAAGGTTGTTTCGTGCCTTGTAAAGGAGATATGAATAGAACACCCTATTTTCAATGGTGTATCCCAGAGAACAACAGCGAAACTTATAATTATAATATTTGTAATTACACAGTAATAAAGACTTCTGCTTTTGATTCACAAAGTCAAATTGAAGATGCAATAGCTGTAGTGACAAATCCAGTATCATACTTATCATATGTTGACACAATGAGTTTAGTTAATGCATTATTCTCTCAACCATTATCAGTTGATATTATATGGAATGATTATTTTGATATTATATATCAGTATGCAATTGAAAACAATAATGTCCCATTTAATCAGGACTATCCATTTGCCCAACCAATAACATTATCTGTTATAAATAGAATTCTTTCAACTTCCTATTATAATCCAGCTAGTTATATAAATACAGATTTACCGTTTAATTCTATAAGAAGAATATACAATACTATTGAATGTTTTTTAATTGATGGAATAAATAATTTAGTAATGAATACTACTGATTTGCTAATAATAACAAATCCTTTCATAATAACAAAAGAAAAATATAAGATAATATTTGATATTTACCAATCAATAGCAGCTAGAAGAAGCTATGTACAAGGAGTTAATAGTAAGTTCGAATTTTTCATAGAAAAATCTGGAATGAGCATATTTAGCTATACTTACAATCAGCTGGATTTGAATGAAGGAATTTCAATAGGGGGTGTAAAATTTCCAAAGATTAATATATCTCAATTTTCTAATTACTATTTTCAATTACATAATGGAACTTATTTTCAAGAGAATCCAGAGTGGTACAACATATCGGCATCTGCTCAGGGTTTAGAACTATGTACAAAAAGTCATTTAACAATAACAACTGTTAAAGCTAACAACTATCTAACTAATTTTCTTATATCAAAAGTAAATAATATAGTTAGTAATTATCCATTAATTTTAAGTACGATTGTACTTTGTACAATTGAATTTGAAGTATGGGACCTTAGTGATAGCTTAGAATTCTCATTTTATTCTTATTGGAATACAACCTTGGATTATTCAAATATAAAGTGTGCTGCAAAGGATAGGATAACAAATAATTTAGATATAAAACATTGCAAAACAAAATTATTTTTTAATAGTATGGAACAAAAGGTTGAATTTAAGTGTTTCTGCAATGCAATAACATATTTTGGTTTAGTTGGATCATTGCAATCATTTTCTACTAAAACTTTAAATAAAGAGGTATTATCTTATAACAACATACCAAATACTATACAGCCATTTATGTCAATAGCCTATTCAATGATCAATAGCTTTTGTAATGACTGGATACCAATAAATATTCAGCTTCACAATATACCAAAATCTATATTAAATATACAACCAAAACTGAACTTTGAGTGCATTTTACCAGATCAAATATATTCAAGTAATGAATTCTGCATATCAATAGCAAATTTACTAGAAAATTCAACCAACTCATATTCTAGGATAGGTATGAATATGAATATTACATACTTTTTATTACCAAGTTTACTTAATAAAGAACTTTTACCAATAAACCCTCATATATGGAGGCCTGATAATACAACATTTAACAATTTAAAATTTAAAGGAGTTTCAGTTTTTTTAAATATCTCAGTAATATGGAATAAATCTGATGGACATACTGTATTTTCTTTGTATAATAGTTTACTATTTGATATTTTTATGACAGAGACTAAGACTTTTAATAATAGCCTATTATCTATGTACTTTAAAAATAGTTATATTAGAGCACCTAATACATATCTTAATGGAAACTTACCAATTGTATCAATGATTCCTAGCATTGTTCCATTTTCAATGTCAAGTACTAGTAAATCATGTAAGATGGAAGCAAGCCTTTTGAGTAATAATCCTGAAATTACCTACTTTTTTTCAAAAATCAATAATTTACACATGAATAATTTAGCTTTCAATTCTTCATTAGATATAAGTGCAATTGAATGTATAGCAAATATAAATAATACAATGATGCAAACTATCGAAATTTTAAATTGTTCAAAAGGAAATGATAAACCTCATAATAATTTGATTTTTCAAAATCCAATATATGGACCAATATCATTACTAAAAATAGATACATCTCTCGCTTCAAATACAGTAAAAATGTCTCAAAATTCTATTATACTAAATAGTGAAATAATAACACCAAATATTAAAGGATCTCTTCCTACGGTTATATCGTCAAAGTATCCACTTTTAAGTGTCAATGTTGGAAGATCTCTTACTTTTGATCAACAAATGATTTCCTTTGGGTACTGCTCTTCAATCTCTACAGGTTGCGATTCTTGTAGATGGACAAGTAGCTATCAACCTGCCTTCCAGTTCCTAAATAGTAAATTCAAATATTTTTGTGCTACAACAAAAGAATCAGATGAAATTGAAGCTATTAGTCAAGGATTATTAAATACTTGCCTAGAAGATGGCTCATATTGGGGCAAGGCTTGTTCTAAATCCCAAACAAATTCAACTCTTTTGGGTAATTCTACAAATGTAATTATTGAAACTATTCCACAAGATTCGTTGTATTATTTAGTTCTGTCTATTGGTTTAACAGATACTAAAATGCATGTCACAGGTTGTAAATCTTTTGTCATAAAATCAGTCCCAGATCCTCTACCATTCATTATTATTTCACAACAAGTCTCTGAACCTATTTCACTAGGTCATAATTCATTTATTAATTTTCAGATAACATACACAAACAATCCATTGTGGAGTAATATGGTAGTAAAAAATTTTGCTTATGCTTACATCCCAAGTATAGGATATGTTCCTTTAGGAGTTTATCCTAATGAGTTCAATTTAACTAAATTAGAAGTTATAGATATACAAAGAATTGATATCTCAATATATCTTAATTTCACTTCATTAAGTATTAATACAAATACTTTTCAATATGCTACAGTATTATTTATAATGTTAAGAGAAGATATTGATTACTTTGGTGAATCAAATCTCACTATTATTAGAGAACAAACTGAATTACAAAACTTACTAGGTATAAATGGTTATGTTGCTTATACATGGAAGGATATTCCAATATTAAATTTTAATGATAATATAGAATTAAAGATATTATCTGCCCCTTTTGGGATATCTGCAGTTCCATTAAAATATAATATTACAAGTTATTCTAATAAGGTTATATTCAGGTATTCGTTACTAATAATGGATAATCCTATACTAAATGATAGTACTAATGCAATTCTTTTATCATATTTATCATCAGACATTCCAGATTTTGTACGTTTTCCATCATTGTCAAGTAATTGGAAAGTGTACTTAATTATTCATGATAAAACTAATTATCCATTGTGTAGAATTGAATGTGAAACAGAAATATTTGGTAATAAACACTATAGTCGCATGTTTTGCTTAGAAAGTAATGTTCCAATCTGTCCTTATGATCTTATAAGGAATCAACATTTAGATCCAAATAAATTCCAAAAAGATACTATAATTCAAGATTTTGTCCTAATGAAAAAATATTTTACCTCAAAAATAATGGGATTCAACTCATTTGATCAAGTAATGACAGGAGCCATTATTTCAAATAATTTAAATATATTTTCATTAGATAAAATTCAAGATATTGGAGAGACATGGATCTCACAATATATACCTAAAATATATCATGATATTAGCACTTCTTATATAAATCTACTTTCAATGATCTCAATAATAAAATATATTATTTCATTAGGGAAAGTAACAACTTTATTAAAATGGTGGTCACAAGAAGAAATAAATAAATTGGTTCTTAAAAGTGAGTGTGGTTATAATTATGACTATCCTTACTTAATAACAGAGCTCCTAGACTATGTAATTGCCTTTAATTTAGCTCAAAATTATACAAATATAGTATCCTTATTAGGTTGTGCTTCAGTTAATCAATGGTCTCTAAGAAATACATTAAATACGTCAATTTCATTAAATGGAAATAAAAGTGGAGTGTCTATCAATGCAGAAATATTTTCATATATAAATCTATTAAAGGGAGTTAATACAAATCATGGAATGTATATTTCTTCTATTAATTTCTCAGGAGACATTAATTTATTAAACCCTGTATTTACTAAAAATATATTCTATACAATAAATGAAAAGATTACTGGATATAATAAAACCTGGAGTTCTAGTTTATTTTCTCAGTGTAATGATATTCGGTACACAATTATATCAATAAAGTCCCCTTATCAATCTTATATAAATGAACTAATTCAGTATGATGAGACTAATAATACAGACAAATACTTCACAATAATGCAAAGTTATATATCTCGATGTGGGAATGAATTCCAACTTTTTAATTTGAAAAATAATTTAACTTTAACAATAGATCCTAAATATGTTCCAAAAGTTTTACCAAGTGGACTTGTATCCTATTCATGTGCTGTAAAATCTGATAGTGGCGTATGGCTCACAGAAAATTGCATTACTCAGCAAAATTCGGATATATTAACTTGTCATTGTAATATACTTGGAACATACGGTGTGAGTATTAAAAAACAACAATACCTTTCTAATCTAAGCATTACTCTTTCTCATAATCCGGGTTCTATACAATATGTACAAGTAAATCAAAACTCTTTCGAAGTAATTAATGGGAAATTTCTTTATAATAACCAAGAAGTAATGAATATTCCAATTCAAAAAGATATAATAATAAATTCAAGTGGTCTTAGTGTAGATGGATTCCCTATTCCTATCAATAATTCTAATATTTTCCTTAATATTACCAGTTTTAGCATAAGACAAAGTGGGATCTTTGGGACTATAACTATAGAATCTAATGAATTTAATGGAACTCTTAGAGGACAAAATTTTTTGAGGAATAATTTATATAGTAGTCATTATGATCAAAATCAAACTATTGTTATTATATAAGTAGATTGATTTGTTCCTTATATCTAAGTCTAAATAAGAAGTTCAAGTTATATTAAAAAAATCTTAGAGATATGGTACCTCACTTTTTATAATGAGTTCAGTTCCATTAAATCTTATTAAATATAATAATATATTGTTAAACACTAAAACCTCTAATATTATTTTTTATCTATTCAAGTTATTAATACAAATTCCCTTCCTTATAAAGTGTACTGGTTTGACAAATACCTAATATTTTATTGATATGCTTTCAAATTAAGAGTTAGCTTTTCTAAGATTACTTTTTTAAAACAAAAGGTAGACACAGATAGACATACTAATACTAAAAAGTAAGTACTGTTAAATGCATTCTACATAGCTATTGATGCAGTAGTAATAAGTTTTTGGAGTGCCCATAGGGATTATGTGAGCGGGTAATATATTTCAATCTAATATTGACAATTCTACGGTATGAATAGACTCTGGGAATATTGGTTAATATTGGATTTACTTCATATTAGACATAGAATATTTGCTTATTTCTTCAAAGGTATCCTTATGCTTAAATGTATGTATTAAATGATTATAGGAAGCTTCATTTTCGTATTGATTATTAAAATGATGTACTATTATGTTGGGGTATATATATCTCCAACTCATACTATGCCAAATAGATACACTATGTTTCTATCTATAAATATAGAAAGTGATGCTTCATCAATAATAGGAATTACTAAGAAACGGAGGTTCCAAGGATATTCCTTTAAGAAAACAAAAGAATCTGAGGAGGATCTATGTGAACCCTTAAACGCTAATCACAGTATAATTAATAAGTTACCTTACTTTATAAAAAAAAAATTAATAAATGGGAAATGGAGGAATTCAGTTAAGAATAAAGCACAGGGGTTTAAACTATCAAATAAAGGACCAAAAACTATAGACAAGAACACTACTCAAGCAGATACAACTTTGTCAAATGAGCTCATTTATGAAAAAGTATCTCTTTTAGACTATTCACTATCTGAATTCAGAGAGCAGAAATCAGTGACTGAAAATAATATAGAAAAAGATAGTTTATATATAAATGATACTACAAATATATTTTCAGAGGTTGTTTTATTAATAAGTCTCAATAAGGTAAAATTCAAACTAACTTATCATATTTTTATAGACTTTATTTAAGACTCTCAAACTTTATAATCTACAGAGTAAACCATCTAAGTCACCTTTTCATAAAGGTTATAATAACAGTACAAATATTAAACCTAAATATAAGAAAATTCCAACTAAAGATTTAAGTGATAATGTATTTAAAAATGAAATAATTCAAATGATATACTTTAGATCTTTGTTAGAAGATAACAATATTAATGAAGTTTCAAAATATGAAGAACTTCCAGTAAGTTTATTATTGATAATTTTGAGGACATAACTTAACTTTTATCCAGTTAATTTCTTATGCAAATGATATATTTGAGAAGTAAGGCAAACAAATATGCAAGAATATAATGAGCTAAATATATATTAGTAGGTATTCCATTTTCATATCTTAATATTATTTTACTTCTGACATATAGCGACCAAGATTATGAAGAAATTGGAATTGATCTTTTATAGGAAGAACTATAGATTTTTTATATAAGAGTTCAAGGGATATACCATTATTAATCATATCACTTTCAAATTTAGTGAAAGCCTGAATAAGTCTTTTTAGTGCTTCATATTCATTACCATCATATAATTCTTCACTTATCGATTGAATAACTTGATCATCTAACTCATCAAGAGTAATATGCAGTTTATTTTTAAATACTTCAGCTAGTTTGATTCTATTTAAACTGTGTTCGAGCCCTTGTTTTTTAAAGATCTTATTTATTCCAATACCAATAAATATATCCAAGGCTTCAATTCGATGTATAACTGATTTATTGTAAATAAACACTCCATACATATCTTTGGCAATTTCCTTAGCAAGTTCTCTATCTTTATATTGATATTCCATATTTCCAAAATAAGGTAAATGTGAAATAAACCGGCGAAGGCCATTACTATTAAAAACATATTTAGATTCATAAATTTCGTTAACTTTATCTTCACAAAGCAAAATTATATCCCTTTCATATAATCTCCATGATTTTATAAACAATTGATACAAGATAAATTCTTGCTTTTCCATTTTAATACTTAGTATTTGTTTGATTTTTTTAGTACTGAATGGAATAATAATGGAACCTACTTCCTGGAAGAAATATTGTGCAAATAATGTAGCTATTTCATCACGGTTTTCCTGAATTTCTGCAAATTCCACTGCAGGAGCTATTTGTCCTAATTTACTATTGAAATCATAATGTTTCAACCAGGATAACCAGAGCCATTTTCCGTTGTTTCTTGCAACACCAGCTATTGCATATTTACTTTCTACTACTTCTTTTGGGAGTTTTATTGTACTCATATCAGTGGAAATATGATCAATATTAGATCTCTCCCATTTTAGAAAATTTTTGATAATTGTTGCAACTATTCCATATTTTAGCCATGGTTTAAATTTATTTGTATCATTCAAAATTTCATAGAAAATTATCTGGAGATCTGAATTTTTAGCCATTCGATCCATAATTTTAAATAGAGTTGCTACCTCTTGTAAAGATACTGACATTCCTAGGAGCTTATTCTCAAAATTCCCAAGTAATGACTCATTGAAAAATGCCAAAAATGTTATCATTCTGTTAATTTCTGCACCAGAAAATGTGACAAAAGTACTTGTAGGATCTACTTTTCTATGAGGATACTGAGGTGAATATTTCCAGTCCCATACACCAGATTTAAATTCACAATTCTTATTTTTATAATATTCTTCTAGCTGTTTTATATTAGTTGCTGATCTATTCTCAAATTCCTGGAATGCAGAGATAATATCTGCAATAACAAGTGGAGATATCCCAGGAACTACTGATTTTATCGCATCGACAATTTTAGTATCAGTTTCTGATATTGGATGCATATTATCTAAGGCATTGTGAATAATAAATTTCTCTACTGAACTAACTACCCCATAAACTTCTACTAAATATCCCTCAATAAATGCACAAAGTGCAATACCACGATGAACTAATTCTCTACTTTGGTGTAATTGTTTTAATTCTGAGATATCTTTATCAGTAATAAGTGTTGGACAAAAAAGAGTATTTTTATGTTTAGCTTCATTAATTTTTCCAATAGATAGGAAATGTGATGAATAGAAATTATGCATAGCCTGTGTTGGACTTTCTAATGAAGAAACATCTAACCATAATTTTTCCAAGTGAAAAAATGATTTTAAAAGAACCTTAGTATTTATTATATTTAAATTTTCCAAATTTAAGTAATGAGTCAATATTGATGAAAGTGTATGTATTTGATGAAGTTTCATCTGACGACCTACATAACACCATATGTTCATATCAAAAATAAGTGTTTCATCAGCTAAATCAGATGTGCAAATTCTGAAATAATGGGCCATAGCAAGAAGTCTATTGAGTTGAGATACAGTTAAACCATCACAAGCACTAAAACTGAAAGATATCACTGTATTAGTTTCTGCTTCAATATCACCAATTGTTTTCATAATTGAATATTTCATTTTATCTTCTATATTTATTTTTTCAGAACTATTAATAATTTGACTAGGTAGGATCCATGTGTTTAAACTCTTATTGAATGATGCAATGGGGAATCTAAATGATTTATTAATATAATCTAGTAAACTTCTTCCATCAATTTGATTCTGTGGAAAAGAAACAAATTTTATTTCACAGAATGTTAAGAATCCAGTTATTAACATTGACAACATTTGAGGAGTTAACCAAATGTACAAGGGAGAACAAGATTGTTTTAAAGCAGTTTCTAATGTGATCCCTCCAGAATTCATTAATTTAAGAGCAGCTCCAACACATTTTTCTTTTAATACATCGAGATTTTTGTCTATTGCATCATCATTGAAATAGGCAATTAATAATCTAGCAAAATTTACTACTTCAAAGCTTAATGAGTTATATGGAGATTTATCTTCCAAGGTTCCAGAAACTATCCCAAGTGGTATATCAAATGGTAAGTATCCTTCATCTGTAATCACTCTTTGTGACGAAAATCTTTTAAATAATTGTATTATTGTCTCTTCATTACTATAAGCAAAATTAATATTTATATAATCAAAGAAACCAGTTGCTATTTTATTACAAATAGCTTTAGAAAAATGACCTTTTGGAATATTATCAAATATGCTTTCACTTAAGTTAACTCCTCGCTTAATATTATCTTCTATAATTAATTTGAAATTGATATTATCTAACTGAGTTATAAGAACTGGATCAAATCTTTGTAAATAATGTTTAGAGAAAGATTCCAGAAAACCTGATAAATTTTCTATTTCTTGATCATAAAGACTACCAGGAATTGAGATTTTTACTTCAACTTTTGAAACAATACCAAAATCTTCAGTTAATTTACCCAAAACCCCGAATTTCGGAGGATTAGGTAATTTTAGATTTGTTTCAGATGTATCTTTGGGTTCTTCGATTTGTGGTATCCTGTATAAATTAATAAGCCATTGTTTCTTATTCATATTTAAAGGTTTTTGTTCTAATTCATAAGATTCAAAAGCAGAAAGCATATTTTTTATTTCTAAATTTGTTAGCCAGTTTTTTGCAAGTTTCAAAGAAAATACCTCAATTACATTAGAAGTAGTCTTTTTATTTTTCTTAAGAATCTCTATAGTAGCTAAAATACATTGCTTAGGAAGAAGTGGTACACTTTTCTTATTTGGATAAAAGTGCTCAATCCAATAATTAAAAAATGTACACATTGAAATAGAACGATTTACTCGCCAAATATCCATGGATTCATTCTTCAAATAGTTTAATAGTGACCCCCATGTATATGCTTCTACTATATTATTTGAATCATCTGATTCTTTATGTGAACTAAATATTTGACTTATTGGTATGAGCTTAGTGAAATCAGGAACATTCGGAGGTAGAAATACCCAACCTATTTTAGGTTTATAAATAACTCTTGATGCAGCAAATGCCTGCTCATCTGAAAGTGCACCACGCATATTATAGTGATAATAACTAAATGTTTTACATACTTTGTATATTTCTTCAATAATATCTTCATAAATAAAATCTTGTTCTGGATCATTCCTTAGCAAATGTGTTAAAGTTTTTACAAACTCATTATCTTCTGGATTACTAATTAATGCTTTAATTACATCGGCAATACTTAAATTTAGTTCATGTTGTAATATCCTTTCAAATGCCTTCAGAAAATAAACTTGAATATATCGAGCTTTATTAAGTATATATTTAGGATATCCCTTAAGTTGTCTCATTTGAAGCACTGTAGCCTTTGAAAAAGATGGTTGTGGTGATTTTATTAACCAACAACCATGTATAAATATTGCTCTAGAAGATGAAAAAATATCATTATCAGTAGCCTCTCTACCTATTTGATTTGATACATCCTGTTTAAGATATTTTAAATATTCCAACAATTTATAGATTGCATGAGTCATTACTGGCATATTTAGCCAATTTCTATCTAAATTTTTACTTAAGACATCATAAAAAATTACATCTAAAGTATCTTCACTTTGAATTGAATGTGCACTCAAAACTTCATATATCTCTTCACTAGATATTGTAATAGGAAATAAGTATGTATTTTCAAAAAATAATTCTAAAAATGCTCTTATAAGTTGTATTCTATTTTGTTCAATTTTATCTAATGTACTTAATATTGATACTGGGATTACCTGAAATTTCATTCTTTCCAAAAGATCTGGCAAGTCAAATTGAGTTGGTAATTCTATATTTAACCAATCTTCTTTATAAAGGGGTTCTGGAATTAAAGAATTATGATATATTCGCTGAATATATTCATCTTCAGATTCTTCACCCATTGGAAAAATAGATTGTTCATATCTTACAAAATTCTTCCAAATATATTCAAGATAGTTCTCTGAAGTTCCATCTGGATAAACTTCTTTTAACCAAGATACTTGCAACTGTTTACCTAATTCTTTATATAAAGGGGAACTATTTGAAATAGAATTAATAAAAGCAATACAAACATCTTTTATATCATCTATTGGTTGCTCAGTACCTGTATTCATTTTAAATTTCCAAAATGATAATAAATATGCAACAAAAAGAATTACTCTATTTCTGAGATAATGTGGTAATGTAGAACAATCTGGATCAATTAAACTCTTCCAACTTCCTCCATTTGTATCTGATAATGAATATTTTTTAACCTTCCAATGAGATAATGGAAATCCATTAGGATAATCAAATGGTGGTTTACTATAAAAACTGGAAAGTCTCAAATCTTTTGTTAATCCTTTTACACTCCTTAAAATAATATCTTCTTCTTCAAAAAATTCTTTATATATATTTTTGCATACAGAAAAGGAAAATACTTCTAAATTTAAATTCCTCAAAATTCTTGATATTGCCAAAGGGAAAATATCATTTAATCCATACTCACTACTCTTCTTTTGCCGTATAAGGTTTTGTAATTCTATTTTATAAAATTTTGCAACTTTAGCTATATTACATATATCCTCAACTGTTAATTTTATTCTACTTAAACCTGATATTTTTAGAAATTGAGAAATATTGGGATATAATGATAATGCTCTATTTAATTCTATTGCCATTAAACCTGTACATATAGGTATTGAAGTACTCAATATTGTCCCATCTGACAAAACTTTTCCAATTTGTGACCAAATTATTACCTCAGATGCTCTTTCTGGTATTCCTTTTGAAGAATATGAAACAAGTGAATCCCTTGATAATTTTGTAGATACTAAAAATCCTCCATCAATATCTTTAGTTAAATGAGTAGCACGTTTAAGAGCTAATAATAAAACATTTGTTGAATATCTTGGATAAATTTGATTATTATCCTTTATGCCAATATCTTCACAAATTCTTTTTGCAATATCTTCATCAATCTGTGGTTTTGCTTCAATATTTTGAATTATAAGACACGCATTCAGAATTTCTGTACATTGCATTAAAGAATGATCAGTTGGATGAATCTCATTAAGTAAAAATATTGCAGCAGCAGCAGAATCAAACATTATTGTCTTTTGAGTATGTTTTAAATAACTAGATTGAACTTTTAGTGCTGCTTTTTTATGTGGTAATGGAAGTCTATTATAATACCTAAGATCATCTGGAGCACTAAGAAGATTAAACATATTAAATAAATCTTTTGAAGATATTATTGTAACTCCACTATTACTTATAGATGGATTTGGAAATTTAAATACTTCACCACATATATACATAAAATCACCAAATTTTGAATCTAAAAAATCAGATGGTGTCAATTTATCTATTTGTTCAATATAATCTTCATATCTTGTTGCTGCGATTAATGAATTACAACAATTTTCTTTAGTTCTTAATGGATGAGATAAATATAAAATCATTCTTAATCCAAGACAAACATCTTCAGTTAAAAGAAATATATCATCAACCCCTAATGTTGTTCTAAGTTGCATTGCAGCCTGTCTAGCAAGTGTTACAAGAATTTCTGGTGATCCAATAAATTGATTAATCTTTTTTTTATCCTGATATGCATCTTCATAAAGATTTAAACATTCTGCTGATGTTCTAAATGTATTTATTCCATTTCTACTTGGTTCTAATAATTTTATATTCAAACTTTCCAAATTTTTATAATTAACATCTCCCCATAATTCCTCTGAATAATCTCTAATTGGTATAGGCGTATATGTTGCCTCACCAAGTTTTTTAATATCTTTTAATGTAGATACATTAAAAGGTAAAAAATATTCTTCTAATCTATTTTCTGGAACTTTATATATCCTTTCTGATGATTTCTTTTTCTTCTTATATTTCTTATTCTTTTTATCTTTCTTTTTTGTAATATTAATACTATCTACTTTAAATGCTTTTGGAATATCCTTCATATCTGTAACTATTGAATTACTCAATTCACTAAGTCCTAATTTTGTTGCAGAATTTATTTCTAAATTATTTGATGGAATCCCACCTATTTGTATTTGAAATAATTGTTCTGCAAGTCTTTTTGCTGTTTCTGTCTTAGGTATAATAGTAGGTACTAATACTGGAGATTGAATAAATGTCCTTGGATCAAATGGATTAATAGATTCTTGTTGATATTGTGGTATTAAACCATTATTTCCTAATGTTTCAGGGTAATATGAAGATTTTCCAAAGTTATCTTTATAACACTCAGTATATATTATAAATCTTAATATAGTAATAATACCCAAAAAAAATCTACAAAAATTTGTAATTACATTATTTTTGAGATATATTATTATAAATTTATTCATTATTCTATATTTATACATAAATATCTTATTTAACAATGGTACATCTTGATATATAAAACTTTTCATTACATCAAATCATAACATATATGATCTTAATTAAATTAATTTCCTGTAATTATCTGTTTCTAATCTTTGATATATAATTAAATCAAGTAACTAATATCTTCTAAAATTATTGTCTTTGTAATAAAAGTAACAAATATTAATTAAATTTAAATTATACTTAAAACCTTCTCACTATTTTTAGATCTACTATAAAAATAATAATAATACCGCCTGTTGAGATACTACTATACCTCTTAAAGGGTACATCTTGTTTAGTAAGAAAAAGTAAATAATTTTTAAATATGTTTTTTTTTTTTTTCTTTTTTAAATATTATAAATAAATAATTATATATATATATGGTTTTTTATGGTTATTAACTATATATCTTATAATATTTAGTTGAGTAACTTTTAATATAACGTTTTAACTTTATATCAAAGATTTTATTATTAATGATTTTAATATTAATATTTAGGTTATATATAAAAAATCTACAATCTTTGGATTATATATAAGGAATCTACAATCTTCTTTTAAATATTTCCAACTAAATAACTAAGAATAAAGTAAAGAGGATTTTAAGTAAAATAACATCTAATGTAAATATATAATTTAGGAATTATATAGGAGAAATTTTTTATATATATTTCATCTTTATATTTTAATAATCCTACTGATAAATGTCTTACTAAATATTCTTCTTTCAATAATACTAATATAATCAAAGTTAAATAATATATTAAATATAACTCTATGCAATAAAATAATTTAATATATTAAAAAAAAAAAAAAAGATGTAAATAGTGATATTAAATTGAAATAAAAATAATTACCTAAATATTCCTTTTTTTTTTCTTATAAAAGAGAAGTCTAATTATAATCTAATTAAAGTATTGCACAAGATACTTTTAAATATGTAATGAATATATATAGCACTATTTAATGATGATAATATTGTCAAACTTACAAAATTTTATTCTGATACGTACACAATGCGGGTTTAAGAGTTCTTAATACTTTTAATATATGCACAATAAGCACCACTATATAGTGGCGTTACTAAATAAGACCTGACTTATAATATTACTATTGAAGGTTAGATATTTATTGGATAGCAATATTGAAATAGGGATAAAATAATATTATACATTAATTTCAGTAATAATTTTTTTTTTTCTTGCAATAACTATTTCATATGTTGTAGGTATAATTTATAAGGAGACTTTATAATTACTGGAATAATCTTACTCTTAAAGATATGTCACCTCTAAAATATATGGGAAATTCTGTAACTTCATGCTTGTTATTCTTAGCTTATTTTAGTCCCAGTAAAGTATATAGTAACTCTTTAAGATCCGATCGTTATATTCTTACCTCTGGATATGTTAATACAAATAATACAAAGGATTGTATTAATTCTACTCTTCTTAGTGGTATAGATAATTTCCATAATATTGCGGAATTAAATGATAATAATAATATAACAAATTTATCTCAATATTTAACTGATATAAATATGGATAATAATAGCATATCCGCTTTATCAAAGAGTAATAAAGATATTCCTAGCGATAATATAATGGACTCTGTAGAAAAAGGATATAAAGTATCCAAGGATTCTGTAACAATAATAGAGGATTCTATGGATCTATCAAAGAATTTTGTTGGGATATTAAAGGATTCTGTTGATATTTCAAATGATTCTATACATGATATGTTAAATAATTCTTTAGTAATATCAGAGAATTATATAGAAAATTTAGATTCCATTGATATAGAGGAGTTAGTAGCAGTTCCTGAGTTAATGCAGTATGGATATAAATTACGAAGGAAAATGCCAGTCATTAAAAGTATAAGGCCTATCAGACCAAGGAGACGAACTAGAGGGAGAGAACCTAGTTCTTATCCTGAAACAGTGACTTTCATTAATGAAGAAGATTTTGTAGAAATGTGGGAACCATATTGGGATTATGAGTTATATAATTATATTTTAAATAAGAGAAAGAACTAGATATTTTATATGTAAGTATCTTATAAAATAGGTATAAATATATTACTGTTGATCTTTCAATGTTTTATTATACATATATATGGTTTGAAGTTATCAAGTAATCTTTGTTTTATCCGATCGAGATGTTGAGATTTATAATGTTATATTTTTACTATAATTATATTATTTTGCGGTATTAGCTCTATGGTTTTTTTCTCATGAGATTATGAATTCCAAGTTGTTGAATTACTATTTCTTGATATATATTCTGTGCAATTGAATATAACTAGTACAAACTGAGACTAATTCCATTATAAAGATACAGGTCTATACTTCTTAGATTATGAATATTTTGTGATGATTAACTCATTTTCTTATTAATTATTAATATACTCAAGGAAGTTTGATTTCTACTCTAATATATCCAGATTATTGGTATTTACTATACTATTAGATTTAGATATATCTTTTACATGTAGTTATCTTGATTATACTATAAAGTACTAAGATTAATCTTTATTTCTTGTTAAATTAATGTCTTATTGTGAGTAATTTATTGGATTTTCTTTTTTTTTTATATTTTAAGTTTAGGAAGTGACAGTAATGTATTAGAGATGATATTGGGATCCTATTCAATATAAAATAACATAAAATAAGATATATTTGGTAATTATAGAAATAAATTCCTTAAATATAATACTATTTATACCCAATTTAAAATAATAGTTGTATTAAAATATTCATAGAATTATTAGCGCCTTTTATTTTGATACCTTCTCTTTGGAGACATTACGGATAGTATATATTAGGCGGTAATATAAAATTATTTAAATGATATCGTGGAATTGTTAATGAAAATTATTGGGAAACTCCAAAAATTAACTTTAAAGTAACTTAAATAAATGATTGAACTATCTAAATAGTATGGTTATATATAAATTCAATATATATATAATCACATATATAATATTTGTAAGCTATGGGTACTTCATATGTTGTATAGACAATATAAAGGAAGTAAATTATGTTCATAAGTCATATAAGAAAAATAAATCAAATATAGGGGATGTGATGAAATATAATAGGGAGAATATATCAAACAGTGATATATCTCCATTTATTTACTCACCAAGCCCACTCTCTGGGTATTTACAACAAAAATTGCCTCCCATATCCTCTGAATGTATTGATCCTGAAACTAATCCTTTAGGTGGATCTGGTTGTGTAAAATCTTATAAAACACTGTTGAAAGATAAAAAAGGGCTAAGAAATAAGGACCTTAGTGGATTAATATCTAATCAAGTTATTAGTGACATAAATAATATAACTAATATCACAAATATGATATATTCAGAAGATGGTATGTATAATCAAAGTGTTGTCAATATATCTTTAGAGAATCCATACAATGATATAATTATAGATTCTGAGAATTCTTCAAATAATATAGTTTCAAATATGTCTGATGTTATACTATCAAATTCACAGTTTGTATCATCTCCATATCCAACTAAATTAAAATCAGAGGAAGTAAGTTTACCAAGAAAAAGATTAATTAGTAAATCGACAGACTTAAGTAATAACTCTAAAGATATAGATGAATCAGTAAGATCATTACAAAATGAAGATACATTAAATCCATTGTACTCGAATACACTTGATAAATTAGATAAGCAGGGAAGTTTAGAATTTAGAGATGTTAACCATTCATACTCCTACGATAATAAGAATATTCCTAATGCTTCTAATATATCATTAAAGAAACCTAACGTGGAAAAATTTGTCATATTTGGAAACAACAATTCAAGTGAGATAGTAATACCAAAATCAGATTTTAAGGATAATAGAAAAAAGCACTTGTCTACAGAAGAGTATAGAAAGTTGGTGTCTAATGTCATGAACAGACGCCGAAGAAGATCTAAAGACAATTACCCACGTGTTCCACTTGATGATAGAAATGTTTATAGTCATGGTGAACTGAATCCACCAATTCTTGGTGGTGTAATTCCAGGTCCTGTAATATATACTAATAGAAAAGTAACAAGGCCTAAATATAATCCATATATTACAAAAATGGACCAATATATAAAAGATAGAGAACGAGAAGGAAGAAATAGATTTAATTCCTATATAACAAAACACAGTAATAAAGACAATAATAATAATAGTGACAATGATGATGATAATAATGATAGTGATAATTATAATGATAATAATGATAATAATGATAATAATAATAATAATAATAATGATAATGATAATAATGATAATAATAATAATAATGATAATAATGATAATTATAATGATAATGATAATGATAATGATAATGATAATGATAATGATAATTATAATGATAATGATAATGATAATGATAATGATAATAATGATAATTATAATGATAATTATAATGATAATGATAATGATAATTATAATGATAATTATAATTATAATGATAATGATAATGATAATTATAATTATAATGATAATGATAATGATAATTATAATAATAGTAATGATGACAATAATAATAATAATGATAATAATAATAATGATAATAGTAATGGTTATGAATATCTAAATGAAGATGAAGTAGATTATAGTAGAACTAATACTGATGGAAATATAAGAAGCTCAATTAATATTCAAAGACCAAAGACAGTAAGTTGTATGGGGGATAAATGCAAAAGTGGAACTCATAAAATAATGCGACAATATAGTAGTATATCTGACTTTATATTCGATTCTGATACTCCAAATGGATCAAATAGAGCTTCTACTTCTAGTAATGAACCTAGTTTATGTACAGGATATAGTGATGATACAGATTATTCTAATATGAATAGATATATTGAAATGTTATGTAGAATAAATGTTTTGCGGCAAAGAATCGATGAGAAAAGTCTACTTATAAATTTAGATCCTCACAATAAAAGAGGGAGAAATATAAGAAAAGTATTTGCAGAAAATGCTCTTAATGAAATTTCATGTTTGAAAAAAGAGCTTGATTTCTTACAACAGGAAATAAAAAACATAGATATTAGATCATCTTCAGGGACTAGTGAAAGTAATGATTTAGACCGAGGATTCAGTGATAAAGATGAAACTTCGGGGTCAAACCAAGAAGATGAAGATCAGAGACCAGTATTTGGTCATATGGGTTCATCTAAATATACGAGACAGTTTAGAAGTCATAAATCAGTTCCTAAAACTATATCTGTTGAGGTTTATCCTAATAAGTCTAAAAAGGAGTTATACAGAACCCAATATAAGGGAAATATTACAGGAAAAAAGAAAGACCAATCCCAACATACTTCTAAATCTGTTAGTAAATCCAATATATCTTTAGGGGAATTATATTCGAGAACTGTAGGAATTCCAGAGGTAACCCCACAAGGGCCGGAATTAGGGGCGTTACAGAGAATGCATTCTTCATCTATTTATATTACACCAGGTACACCTATAAGAACTCCAGTAACTCTGGAAATTCCAAAAGTCTCGAAACCAAAGAGAGAACATAAAAGTTCTATATTTATTTATATTAAACCTCATAAACCTAAGGAAATTCCAGAAAACCCAAAAATAAAGGAACAAGGTAAAGATCAAAAGAATTTATCCCAACCATCATCTCAATTACCACCCCAATTACCACCCCAATTACCACCTCAATTAACTCGTTATCTTACTTTTTGCAATATAAATTCAGTACCTTGGGGAGCAGGAAATTATAGAGCGACTAATGTACCTACATCAAGTGGTTCATCATCTGATTGATATAAAATTCTAAGTATGGATGTACAAATGATCAATAGTTCCGTTTTTCCATTTACTTAGTTCAAGTCCTATAATATTTGATATTTATAATATTTATCCTTTTATAATACCTAAATTTAAGTATGCAAAGTCAGAATAAAATCAGAAGTTCATATAAATACAAGATCAGTTTTATAGAGTTAAATAGCTAGTGATAACAGCTAATTTCTCAATTGATTTTAATATTAAAACGATCAATAATATTGACCGTGTAAGAGCTATTAAGGAGTTTTATTAGTTCTTTTACTTTATTGGCTAGTATATGCGACTTAGGATTTGGAGTAGTTTTAATAGTGATTAATTTCAGATCATCACGAATATCGAGTAATCCCTCAATATCTACCCAGGTACCTTTAACTGAAGTTCCTTGACTTTCGACTTGACCTTCGAAAGTATATCTGACAGGTAATCCACTTAACTTTATATTTAGAATTTCATGAATTGCATCAAGCTCAAATCCTTCATAAATTGTTACTAACAGTATATTACCTTCATCGTCAACATTGACCCTCCTTCCGGAAGCATAACAAGGTTGGATCTCAGTACCAGTTAATGGACCCACTGGGCATGTAGTAGCACCTAGTGGAATAGTTAGATCATCTATATTTAAATCATAACATATCATTTTGATTTCTAAATCCGGGTTTTTTTTGTAAAATTGTAAAGCAAAATTACATGCAGAATCAAATTGCTGAGGATCATAGTGAAGTTCTAAGCCACTAGCACTTCTAAACATGAATGCACCACCAAAACGAGTGACAACATTGAACCCAGCAAAGTATATATTTGGCCTTTCACCATATGGTACAATGAGTACTAATTCATCATCAGCCTCATTCAAATATCTTTGATATAATAAAAGAGTCTCATATATATTACATGTCAAGTATCTAAATACTCTAAAATATCTGCAATCACCGTTTATGCATAAGTCATAGTCAATAAAATATTCATTATTATTTTCTACAAGACTAATCCCATAACCAGTATAAAATCCCATCAAAAGTGGAATAATACGTAATACATCGTCTCGTTGAACTTCATTATAAAATATTCTTATGAGAGTTTCACTATTCACCATTACAATATTCCGTACACAATCATATATATGAACAAAGTCTGATAGTTCAAGATTAGAATAATCTTGTAAAGTATAACTTTGATGAGCCATAAATATATATTTCCTTCCATTCTTTTGTTCATTTAAATATAATAAGGAAATTTTGAAGACATTATCTTCATTATAAAGGAGAACTTCATATGGTTGATTATCAATTAGTACCTTATTTGTTTGGGCTAGAGGTGGCAATTGTACTGCTGTAATTGGAGCCATTTCTTGAGTTTTAATAGCTTCAATTGATATTTCACTCAAGAATTCATTCAATGCAGGACAATTATTAACTCTTGATACTTTCCCCGGAAGTTGAATAACAGCAGTTATAAGATTACGAAAAATCATATCGGTAATCCCAGCTAATTGATCTGAATAAATAAATTTACATTCTTCAACATCCAGATAAGCACTTTTAATCCCATATATTTTGCGTAAAGCACTTTTACTAGGTGAATTACGAATTATAAGTTTTGTCTCAGCATCAATGCTACGTAATAAAATGCGATATTTCAATGCATCTTGCAAACTAAAGTTCTCATTAAGAGTAACAAGTACTAAATTTGCTTCATAATTTCTCCTAGCACTTGCATATAAAGGCAATGTCTGGCTAATAAGTAAATCTTGTAGTTGATTAATATTACTACTTATATCTAGTTCCATATAAGGTACTTTACGTATTTTAGTATTTCCAAAAAGAATACGTTTAAAACTCGCTTTGATATTATCCAAAATTGACTCTGCAGAATCATAACTATATACATTTCCTTTCCTTATATCTAAGTATAGATATCCTAGTACCGGATCATAAAATATATGCTTTAAATAGTCATGATCAAAAGAGAATAATGAACTGAATAAATTACTCACCGTACCAAACTGTCTTTCCTCAGTATATGATAAAGCTACTGGATATATTAAGATAGAATCTATAGCTTGATTTAATAAAAAAAGATCTATAAATGCTCTTTGAAACATTATAAAATGTAACAAATGACTATGTTTATTTAAAACCCATGCATACTCTATATTCGAATTTGTATATTTATATTTCACAAAATTCACACATACAGCTTTCAAGTTAATATTAGTTTTAATATTAGTAGCAATCGCCACTTCTTTTAATTTTTTTATATCTGTAGGATTATATCCATCATGATCCATAACAGCCATTGCAACAGGAAATTCACCATTAAATCCTGAATATCTGCCTAAAATATTAATAGGATATCTACATCTTGATTTAAAAATATATATAATCTGAGTCCCCAAAAATCCATTTTCAGTTATATCTGAATTGCCATTAATAAATAAAGAGAAACTATTTTCTATAAGATTAGTTAAATATCGACCAATTTCACCAAGATAAAGAACTAAACTATTTATATTTGTAAAGTAGACCAGATCTTCTAATGGTAATAACATAAAGTATAGTATTAATTTGCTTTCAATAATATTAATATATGCTGAACTGAATTCAACACTTGGTTCAATAGCCATAACATGTACTAAGAAATTATCACTCAAAAGATTGTATATATCTTCAGGTAATAAGATACCTTCTAGTATTTGGGCTCTATCAGACAAAAATTTCGGATAACCATCTAAAGAATTAATAGTACAATGGATAACAACACAATTATATATATTAGTGCTACTATCTGTAATTCCATCAACATAAATTGTATCTAAATAAGCAATTTTACAATTACTTGGTAAGGTAGATTTGCTATATGAATGATTTTTTTGAAACCACCTTCCATTTAAGTGTTGTTTAAAAGAAAGACCTTCAACCAATCCATTTTTATATAAATTATCTAATTTCAAGTTAATTCCACTAATTTTGACCATTTTTAAACTATCCAACATATTACTTATTAAATACAATAACTCTTGAAAATCCTCAGGATCTTTCATTTCAGTTAAATATCTTAATAAATAGAAGTTACCTTTGGAATATTCTAAATATAACATAGTTGAAGTCTGAAGCATATCGAATATTACATCATCTGATTTTGTGGAATATAAATACCTACCAGTTTTATAAGATTTTACTAATTCTTGTGTTAATTTTTTCTCTACACTCCGTACTTCATCTAAAATATTATGTAACTGTTCAAATTCTACAACAATATATTGAAATTCAAGAATATTGAATAAATCTAAGAAAAATGATTCTAAGAAATATTTGATGATATTGAGGGCTGAAACTATTGTATGCACTTTATCATTTAAAGTTGGGCTAAATAGAGATATTCTATTAAAAAAAGGAGTTTCTTTTACTAACAAAGATTCTGGTGAGAATAAAAGGAAATAAAACATCTCCAGTTGACTTTGCACCAAACTTCCTCTACTTAATTCAACATTGAATTGAATTTGCCTCATAACCATTCCAAAATAAAAACTTAAAAGATTTATACGATTTAACATTTCTCTAATATTGAGACTTTTTTCAATATTATTCAATTTTCCATGTAAATCAAGAATAACTGATCTTAAAGTACTCTCTTTATTTTGTAGATAATTTACAAATTCCATATAATCATTTTGTTGCAATTCTTGAAAAAAATAAAGATAATCAATATTTATTTCTTGAAATTCTCCAATACAGCTACGGAGTTTGTTATATAAATTAATATAAGAGTAAATTCTTAAATCTTCAATTGTACAATATCCTCTAGAAATAAAACTAACTATACCAGTCTTACTGCTCAAAATATCTAGGTCTAAATAGCCTATATTTAATATTAAGTCTATGTTATCAATAAGATTGTGAATTGATCCATCCAATTTAGAAATTTCTTTATAATATTTATGAATAACATTACCAACTACTTTATCTAATACTTTAAAATATTCCACTGAATTTCTAACGTCTTTAAATATAGATCTTATTTTATTGCATTCATCATCAATTAAAGTTTTCCTATAATTTAATAAATCATCAACAATTTGGTTCAAATCAGAACTCAAATTATTATTGAGTATATCTTCATGATAATTCACTTTATAATCCTCTTGAATACGTAATAAGTGCTCTTTCTGAATAAATAACTCATGAAATAGTGATATATGCTTTAAGATAATATCTTTAGATATATCAATATTTAAATTAGCAGCTATAGAAGTATATATATGTTTAGAATACATTATCTTGATTATATTATTATGTACGGCTCTGTTAGAATACATTTGAGAAAAGTGAAGAAAAACTTCTCTCAATACCTTTACTTTATATTTGAATTCTCTTGTAACAGTTAATTCAACTAATTGGGAATTACCCTTCAATACAACTCCCCTATGAAAAGTTTTATGTTCCAATATATGATAAACATCTTCAATATGCGATTTAGAAATATCATATAACCTTGTAATAAAATCTAAAAAGAAGGTAGTCATACGTTTTGATTGATATGATGATAATAGATTAAACGAATTTTGCAATAAAACATCATAGTCCAAGCTAGAATCTAAATATTGTGAAAGTATCGTTCCAGATAACTGAATATAGAGGTTATACAACTCAATCTTAGAATGTCCATAATTAAGTAATTTTAATTGCTGAATAGCTATTAATGATGAACGTAAGTTACTAATAGTATTATCAATTTTATTTTCTAAATCATTCCACATCATTGTACATTTAACTTTAAAAGGAGTATTCATATATGTAGCTTCATTAATTGACTCGATAATTAAATTTTGTGGAATATCTAGTGGATTATTACTATCTGAGTAGTCAACAAAGGCTTTAGGTAACTGAAAATAAACACTGGAAATATCAGAACCTAATACTGGAAAAGATATAGATAACTGAATTTTTTTACAACTTGATACAAATGCAAATATATTATTAAACATTTCATATATAGAGGTTCTGTAATATCTAACCACTTTACCAAGACTAATCATCATTTCATTATAATCTAATAGAGGTCCAGATACAACTTTTTTAGGTTCAATTCCCATTAATACATCTAAGAAATTTAAAAGTACTAAACAAGTATTGTAAGTATTATATTGGTGTACAACTAAAACCTCCTTACAATTCACTAAATCTTCAGAATTCGTGTCTATTTTATCCAAAGGTAAAGAAATTATTCTATTGCTCAATTTTGTAATATTTAAAACTATATTGGAAAATTCACTATTAAGATCATCAATAAATTTAATATTTTCACTTGATATATCAGTTATCTTAGACAAATGCTGCATTATAAATGAAAAGTCATAATTATTACTTAAATCAAAAGTATGATATAATATTCTAATAACTTCACTCAGCCCATTGTTAGTCACAGTGAAGTATTGAAATAGAATAGAGAACATATCCACTTCAACATTTATTTCCTCTTGAATTGTTAATATCTCATTAACCAAATCAATATCACCAACTTTACAATAAATTGGTCTTCTAATATCAACTTTATAATCCAAAAATGAACCACTTAATAGTGAAAGTATTAAGGGTAACTCACTTCTATCTTCCTGAATATTAAGATCTTGAAAGTTTGGAATGGGTTCTGGAGGGTCTTGTCTAGATAAAGCCTCTGTAATAATAAATTTTATATACCAAATGTTAATTAAAAACCATATTACTAGAAGGAAAGTCCATAAATAATGCATTAATGAAGAGAAATTGGAGTTTGAACTTTTTATGCCAAACATTGCATAGACCTTGAGGCTTGATGAAAATTCAAATACTAAAAATTATATCTAAATACTAAGGTAAAAAGAATGAATATCTTAAATTTTCTGAAGATATATATGGGCTTTAATTTGATTACATGTAAACACATAAGTGATTGTTTTCTTGAGTGTGTGGTGCAGGATACTTACATTTGGTTACCCCACAATAAAATAACCGCCTTAAAACAAACTAACACGCCCATACACTTGTATGGACAAATCTCCCTACGTATTCACAGGCGGTACTGTAATAGACATCATTTTATACTTAAAACACACTTAAGCAATTATTACAAAACTTTAACTAATATGTTATTTAAACAATGAAATAAGTTAGCACATAGAGGAATTGACACTTTAATTATGAAAAAGGTAACTGTGTACTGTAGTTCAATTCCACAGAATATTTTGGGGAGAAAAGTAGTGAATAAGCAAATAAACGAGATGAGTTACAATAAATCCTGTTATCAATAGATTTTATTAAGAATATTCTCGATAATGACAAATTACCCCGTAGTTTCTTCAAGTAACTTTTTAAAGGAACCATCTGATAGTTTGGAAATAGTGTCATCACAACCACCAATGCAAGACCCATTGACAAATACTCTAGGGACAGATCTTGCACCAGTTATTTTTAAGCAATAATCTTGTATTTCTTCCATATTAGGATGTCTATCAATGTTTTCTACAATAAATTCATATGCAGCACTTTTTAAAACTTCAATTAGTTTTATACAATATGGACAATACGATTTAGCAATTACACAAATTGGTGATCTTTTAATAAAATCCTCAACAAATTGTTCCCCAGTCATTATATTACCTTCAAATATCAAAAATAAGTTTAATATTACAATGGAATAGTAGATAATACAATTTATCTAAATACCGCTTTATGCTAATACAAATTTCTACTTTGGTAATAAAGTCGCTATAAGAGTCTATTAAATATGTATAAAACACTATATATATCATAAAACTAATCATTTCTTTGTCTTCTTATCTTTATGTTTATTTTTAGATAATGGTTTTGATGAATTATGTTCCATATCTGAATCTCCTATATTACCTTCAATAACTGATTCTACTCCTAAACTATAAGATAGTTTCAAAACTTTTAAATTGTTATTCTCATCATTTAAATAAGAAGTTGGGCTACTTAATAATTCGTCTTCACTAGAATCAGTACTCATAATATCTGAGAAATAAGTCACTTTTCTTTCATCACTTATCTATAATTAGTAATTCAATATTATATTAGTAAATACTAGATTATATTCTTACATCCTCATTGTAAAGAGTTCTCAAATGGTATGTAGTTGGAAATCTAGTTATCATACGACTTTCAATTCTAATGGAATAAAATAATTCAAGTTAATGTTATTCCATTACATCAATGTTAAGAGTTATAAACTTATATATACTCATCTTCATTTTCTCTAGGACAGCGTAAACAATTAAATATTTTATATTCTCTTTTGCTAAAGTAAAATTTATAATAAAGTAGCTATAGTATAAGAGACAGGTAAAAACAATTACTATTGCAAAATTAATCTAATGATACAAGTATATCTGCAATCTACATGCCTTATTAGTACGATATTGGAGACAGGACGTGCTTAACCTAAATTTATTTGTTTGATTCTACAAATAGGTTTTATTAAATCGATGTTAGGAAAAAAAAAGGATCAAACGATATCTAATAAGTTTAATATTATCATTAGGATAATATATCACCACAATTTATAATTACACTATAGTGCAAACTTAAAAATGAGATAACATAATATATAATCCTAGATATTTAATGTCTTTAACATTTATTAAATAACTGCGGCTTTAGTATAATCCTTATAGATTATCCAAAATTTTCATCTATTTATCTATCTATATCAGTTTCATAATTCTTTTCTTCATCCGTTGATTTATCAGTTTTATTGGTGTCTGTATTTCTATCAGTTATAATTTTGTCCATTTCTTTATCAATTTTATTGGTGTTTGTATTTCCATCAGTTATAATTTCTTCTATTTCTTTATCAATTTTATTGGTGTCTGTATTTCCATCAATTATAATTTCTTCTGTTTCTTTATCAGTTTTGTCCACTTTATCTGTCACATCTTTCAGCTTACTTTCAACAAAATCTAATGCAGAAGATGTTAATTCATTGATCCTATTTTCAAGTGAAATGACTTTATTACCCCAATATTTATTTGCAATAATATTTGTGGAATTGGACAATTTTCTTTTAGCATGTTCAAGAGATTCTTGCAATTTATTTAGATCTTTTGTTCTTTTTATTGAGTGACAACTAAATAAACTTGAGCATCCTAAGTATTTAAAAATTTTATTTTTTAAAAATCCCTTCTTATTACTTGATTCATCAATCAATTCAACAACTTCTTCCCCTAGTTTCTCTTTATTTCCCACTTTTTTAGTAAAATTGGATCCACTTTCTTCAATTTCAGATTCTAATTCAGCCTGTATTTGTGCTTCTTCAAAATCTTGAGGTTTTATCCCTTTAATTGAACTACCAAAGTCTTTATATATAAATGCTGCTAGAGGTTCACCTATTGGTAGTTCAATTTCATTTATTGATGTTTCAAATTCATGTATTGGTATTTCAGTATTATCTATTAATATTTCAGCATCATTTCTTGGTATTTCAATTCTATTTGTTGATATTTTATCTTCATCTTTTGGTATTTCAATATCATCTTTTGGTATTTCAATATCATCTTTTGGTATTTCAATATCATCTTTTGGTATTTCAATATCATCTTTTGGTATTTCAATATCATCTTTTGGTATTTCAATATCATCTTTTGGTATTTCAATTCTATCTTCTGACATTTCATCTTCATCTATTGGTATTTCAATATCATCTATTGGCATTTCAATATCATGTAATGGTATTTCAATTCTATTTGCTGACATCTCATCCTTATCTATTGATCCCTCAATTTCATGAGAAAGTAATTCTGGACTATTATCAATAGGCATATCTTCCTCAAGTTCCCTTAATATAATATCATCTAAAGCTTCTTTCTTAGCACGTTTTAGTTTAGATTTAGCATATTCAGCTTTTATGTATAAATGGAACTTTTTAATTGGATTTTTAGTACTTTTTCTTAATTTATTAAGTCGCTCTATTTCATTTTCTAACTCTTGAATTTTTACCTTATTTCCTTTATCTCTAGAAGCTATATCTAAATCCTTTCTAGATCTTTTTACAGAATTACTGATTTTAACAGATGATTTCAGTTTACTATTTCTTAAAGAATTCTTTAATTTATCCCATTTTGATCGAAAATACTTCGAATTTGCACTTTTAGGTTGTTCTGATGTAACTTCAGTAATATAATTTCCACTAATAAATTTAAACTCACAAAGTACTACTAATAATAATATAAGTATCCTAATATTCAAATTCATTTTAACTTTCTTTATTATTTATTTCTATAATTTATATTCTATTTAAAGATTTATTGTATCTATAATATAATGCATGAGGAATATGGCTAGTTGCAGACATGCGGATCTATAAATTACTATATTTCATCTAAATTTTAGTTTAAGAATTATTGAGAATTAATTTCTATTGAATTTATTAATATAAGAAATTTCAAATATAAGTATAAGTATTTTAAATAATTAGTACTTATATTATTATTTTAATTGATTATATATTTATTTATTACTATTACTTATTCTAATATTACACTGAATACGTGCAACTAACATAAATGGTATAACAGGAACGGCAACATTAGGCCATATATATTGTAAAACACCATCACATAAGGATAATAGTATATCTATATCTTTATCTTTACTATTTACATTAGAGATGAGCTGACCAAAAATCTATATGAATAATAATTAAATTTTTATTTATAAGCTTTAAAAATTCTAATTAAAAAAAAAAAATTGAACTTACTGTTCCATTTGAAATAGTTCTTACAGGTAATTCCACTATTTCATATTGAGCTAAACTTATTCCAAAATATAAAACTTGTGGTAGTCCAAAAGAAAATTGTAATAACTCAGGAGAAACATAGCTACTTATTGTAGAATATGATAATAACCCTAATTTTAATATTTATTATTAATTATATATATGTAAATAAATAAAATATTATTATACAATAAAATAATACTTACATGCCAAATCTGCGGTATTTAATATAGGATATAAGTCAGGATTATATATTACTGAAAATATAAAAGTTGTAATGTTAAATTATTAAATATTCATTAAAATTTTATCATTTAAATATACTTACATACACAATGAAATTTTCCACACTTTTTCCCTATTAAAAAAGGATATAATTCTTGAATTCTTTTACTTATAATACTTGAATTTAAATTACTATAACTTAGTCTAGTAATATAGCCATAATATTCAAAAGGTAAAACTTTTAAAGAATCTGTAACCTATTATAAAATAATTCAAATTATATTATTTTATTTATATAATCTATTATATAACTTACATTATTAAATTCGACTGGTTTTAGTAAAACTTGATTACTTGGAGATTCCTAATAATTAATATATATTAATAATAAAATGTATTTAAATGTAGTAATAATATTAACTAACATTTGATAAAATTAATTGTCCTCTTAAGTTATAATATTCATTTGCTTTAATTTCTATTAATAATATAAGGATTAATATATGATACATTATTTCAAATATTGTATTTTTATCTTATTCAGTATTAATTATTTTTAAGTGTGGTGAAAAATATTAAATATTAATTTTTTTTTTTTAAAAAAAAAAAGTTTATCATATTGAAATTATTTAATATATATTATATATAACAAGTATATCAAAATCTTTAAAAATTTATTAAAATATTTAATAAGGAATTTTTGTTTAAGCTTATATATGGAAGGCTTTATACTAAGAAATGTAAAGTGGAATTAATATTTGTAAAAAAATCATTAAAATTTAATTTATTCAAAATTTTTGAGATTAGTTCTATTAATAAATTCATTTATATATCCCAATTTAAATGAATTACAATAAATCTAATATATTAGGGAAATATATTAAATATTAGAGCATTTCATTTATAATCTAATAAATAGTAATATATTATTAAATATTTTAAAATAAATAAGAAACAAAATGAAATTTTAATTATATACAAAAAGTTTATATTAACTTTATTTCCTATTAGTATTTGATATAAAGAAAATCAGATACTAATAAAACTTTTAAATTAGGAAAGATTCAAATATATTAAAAATCAAGAGTTTTTCTTTTATAAAAAAAATTATATGATTAAAAAACTTAATTTATTTCAATATTTAAAAAAAAAAGTTTCTATTTTAGAAATATAATATATATACTAAATATTCCAAATATAAACCCTGGATATTATTTTGTTAAAAAAATATTGTTGATTGAATACTTGAAATATTTATTAATTTAAAAGTCTATTTATATATACTAATATAATATCATTATTATTTATTATTATAGATTAATTTTCTTTTTTGATATTCAGATCTTACTTATTCAAATCTTGATTATAATTAATAATATAATAAATAAATGAAGTCACTACTATTCTGATCATTTGAAATATTTATCTTTATATTAAATATATTTTGTAATATTATATTTTTTATTATAATAATTCTTATCATTAATTAGATATAATTATTTAATAATGTATTTCCCATTACAATATTACAAATACTATATTAGATATAATATCAAATATATAATATTAAAAGATCTTCTATAATAAATATTAATAAATTTAATTATTATATACTTCTATTTAATAAATAAATTACTAATTATCATTTTATTTCAATAAATATATAGATAACCTAAATATTAGTATAATTAAAATATAATTACTTTATTAATATTCATATGATCTAATTTCAAAATTTTTTTTATATATATAATTTGAATTAATAAATTAAATATAATAAGAATATTTTAAATAATACCATTAACTTAGATTTGTAATTAACTATTAAGCGTGATAATTTTTGAATATTAGTGCATCTTAGCGGGAAATACGTGCTATTTGTTATAAAGGCCTAAAAGTAAAGAAAAAATTTACTTTATGATACTTTAATAGTCACTTCTAAATTATTAACATGTAATATTTGCTATATATTTGTCTCATATATTTAGAATAATTTTAAGAATTTTTATATGATATCTTAATTTTATAATGGATACCTTAAATAGACCTGAATCATCAACACATTATCTTTATATTATTAATTTTATAGAAGAATCTATAAAGAAAGAAAATTTTAAATATATTGCATTTGGAAGAAATATATATACTTATAATAATGATATGGAACCAAATTTTATATTTGAAGTTGCGAAAATTAAGTTAGAATCCTATTTGAAGATGGTAAAACAATATATGAATGAACCTATATATCAAAATAAAGATATTGACAATAAAATTAAAAGAATTGAAGATTATCTTAATTCAAAATATACTTTACAAAGTGATACTTATAAAGATAAAAGTATAGAAGTGAATGAAACTAAAACTTTATGTATAGAAGATGATATTAGTAAAAATCTTAATGAGACAAAAGAAATTTCTGTAGACATTGAATCAACTATAATTAGAAATTATGTTGATTTAAATAATAAATTAGATCAACAAACTATACCTATAAAAGATTTAAATTCAAATAATAGTGTTGAATATAATAAAGTATTATTAGATAATAATTTAATTAATGAGAAACTTAAAGAAGATCTTTTAGTATTAGCTGATGAAATGAAGAATTCAGCTCTTAAATTTGGTAAATTAATGGAAAAAGATAAAGAGGTATGTTTAATTATGAATTTTTTTTTAACTGATCAGATTTTATATGAATTTTTATGTATAGGTTTTATTATCGATAGATAATCAACAGATTATAAATATTGAACAGACTTCAAAATCAATATATGAGCTTAAAAATTATTCAAGATATGTCAATTTATCTTTATTTCACTCATATATAATGTTGATACTTAGTTTATTTTTATTTATAATACTATTAGTATTTATATCAACTACTTGAAGATAGTTCTCGCATACGGTTAGACTTTTTAGACGAGCACAAGTGTCTTTTCTAAATTAATAACTATATAAAGTATTCTATAGTGAAATTGTGTAATTTAATTATTATTTTATAATGAATATAAAAGTAATTTCAAAATATTTTTTTTTAAACTTAGCTTTAAGGATTATATTCATAAAGTGTCAAAGTATACCATGGCTAAAGGGTTATCAAGGTTATCAAAGGAATATTAAGTCATCATATGATTTTATAATTGTAGGAGCAGGTGCATCAGGGTGTGCGTTAGCTAGAACATTAGCTGATGCAAAATATTCAGTTTTATTAGTAGAGAGAGGTGGGACACGAGTAGAGGGATCTAAATTGAGCCTTTTAATTGATGGTGCAGGTAGAGTAATAAGTGATAATAAAGTTAGTCAGTTAGTGATTACAAATGATGGTATTAGAACAAATATTGGAATAGGTCTTGGAGGTGGGACAGCAATAAATATGGGTATTGTAATAAAGGAGGATCCCAATTTTTTTAATTTTTTAGAAGCTTATTCAGGTGCAAAATTAAATATGAGCTTATTAGAAGAAAGTTATGACTGGATAATTAAAAATGTGAGTAATAGATCAGATCAATCAATCCCAATTGTTGAGCCTTTAAAAGAAGCCTTTGGAGATATAGGTTTTATAACTGATGAGAATAAAGATGTTGATTTTAGTTTAAGTAAAATAAATGGTACATGGAGAGCATATAATATATTTAATACAAGTGATAATAATTTTAGAATGGCTTCAGATGTTTTATTAGCCGATATACAAGCAGTGAAAGACAATAGTATTATTGAGAAGAGTCCAGTTGATATTTTGACAAATCATATTGTAACAAAGATAGAACTTACGAATGAGACAACTTCAAGAAATACAAATAATTTTAGGTCAAATCCAATTTCTTTTCTACCATATCAATTTCCAAATTTGGATGGTTTTATAAAAAATGAAATACGTCAAGATACTAATAATGTGAATCAAACTTCTCTTGTTGCAACATGTATATTATTAAATAAAGTAAATATAAAAAATGGATTTCCAGATATACTAGGTAATTCTTCTATATCTAATATTTTTTCTACAGTAAATAGCGTAAGTAACTGGGCCGAATCACTTATTCCTAGTCAAGAATGGAAGTTTGGTGTTAATATAGCATCTTCAGCTGATATAATTGGTAATGTATTAGCAAAAAGAATATGTATTAATAAAGGTGGAATGATAATTTTGTCTGCAGGTACAATATTTACACCTTTACTATTGTATCGTTCAGGTATTGGTCCAATAGATAGGTTAAAACGTCTAAATATTTCTCCTATTCTTAATGTACCAAATTTAGGGACAAATATGGTAGATAGATTATTATATACTATACCTATTTTTATAAGAAAAAATATAAAATTAAATCCATTTATAAATCCACTAATGACTAGTATCTCTGATGATGTGAAGAGGGATTGTGGGTATAATTGTGATGTTATTAATATAGAGTCTATAGGTGGTGGTAAAATTGTTGAAGGCACACTTTATGCAACTAGATTAATATTTCCACCAAGTTTACGTTCAAATATTGTGACAAATTTTCTAATGGATTTATTCAAATCATGTGCTAATTTCGCTCCTATTAGTTATGCCAATCCAGCATGTATAATACTTGAATATCCCATTCAATGTTTAAGAAGATCAGTAGCTATTTTTTACTTTCAAGGTGAACCTAAGAGTCGTGCTACTATTGAAGTTGATAATTATGGCAAAGTTAGTTTGAGTGGTAATTATTTACACAATAATGAAGATCAGCTGAATGCTATTAAAGGAATCTCCTCTTTAATAAAAATGATTAGGAGTGGAAAATTTGATAATATTGCTGAACCAGGGGGTTATCAATCATGTCCATTTGCAATTCTTAATGGAATATTGAATATCGTTGGATCAATGAGAAATAATCAAGAGGATTATGGTCAACCAAGAACTTCTGCATTCTCAGAAGCCGTTGAAAATATATTTTTTGCATTGACAAGTTATAGATTATCAATAATGCCTCAAACATGTATTAATAATAATAATTCAGAACAATGTAAATCAAGTGTTAATTATGAGAGAGTAGCAACATTTCCTCCACTATTACCTAGTCTTGATGATCCTCAGAAAATACTTAGTTTTGCTCAAAAAATTGGTACTAGTCTTTGGCATTGGGCAGGAGCTGCACCTTTAGGAGAAATAGTAGAAAATGATTCTTTTATTTTAAGTGGTACTAAGAATCTTGGTATAGTAGATGCATCATTATTAAAGATTTTACCACGTACTAATCCTATGATATTAATAATGGCTATTGCAAGATATGCAGGATTATCAATATTGAATAACAAGTCTAAAAATAAAGATTAAGTTTATAAGTAGTTGGAAATATATCACAGGGAAATTCTCTCCAGAGTATTTTCCTTTGTGTCATACTGTATCCAAGATCTGGTATTTTTAAATGAACCTGGATTGGTAATCCATACATTTTCTAATAGTTTAATAGAGTAACCTGGCCCTGAATCTCCAATAATAATAATATTTGGGATTGGACATAAAAGTAAGGTGGGATCTAACGTTTGAACAATATTTGTACTTGTTGGACATATATGAGATTGTCCCAGAATTGTTGGTGGCAATAGTGACTCTAGATTTTGAGAATTTAGTATCCAATATTCAGATAACCCCATAGATTCTTCACCACAATAGGCAAACAATGCTTTTTCTTTTAGTTCAGTGCTTAAAGAGATCCTTGCAAAAAACATATTGATGTTTTTATGCTCAAGACGCATGGGATTCGAACTCATAAATATCTGTAAGTCATTTAATTCTTCACGTATATTAGATGTATAGTAATCAATTATTGGAGGTTTAGGTAACAAATCTGGACCAATATCACTTGGACCAGGTAAAAAAAAAAAAAATGACCTTTTCAATAATTGGGGATATTTACTTATTACTTTGTAGAAGTTTTCAAATCCTTCTCGAGTTTTTTGACATCTAATAGATAAACTTTGAGCATTATATATATTTGTAATTACATTTGAATCAAAAAAACAATCTTCTATGAAATTTCCAAATAGTATAAATCCAACATTTGCATTTGTATTCTCTATGCATCCATTATATCCTGAGAAAACTTCATCTAAGCTTGTCAAAACTACAGAATTCGTGAAAACAACATCGGAAATTATAATCCATAAGTCTATAGTCTTGGATATATTTAATTCTTCATTATTATTTGAAATTTGATCCTTTTGAGTGTCAAAATTTGGAGTTTGTGGAATATGTGGTCTTAGTAGTGGTAAGCAACCAACTTTCGAATTTTCAAAATTACTCTTGAATATATCTCGATACAATAGAGAACTTTTAGTTGAATTATCAAGTATTAACTTAGATATATCTTTACTTTTACTAAAATATGGTGGATGGAACATATACTTCACAACGAAAAAGTTACTTATTTTATCTAAGTAACCATGTGTAACAACAATATGATCACAGCAATAAATTCCTGGACCAAATAATGTTACATTAGTATCAATCTTCAAACGAATCAAGCAATTTGTATCCTCTAAATATAAATGATTTTCTTCATCTCTATTCAACATTCCTAAACAAGTTACATTTCCATTAGTACCATGGAGTTGTTTTATAGAATGTATAATAAATCTTGAAGACTCAATAGATATTGGCATGAGTTTTTGATCTATATCATCCATGTTTATGCTATTATCAGATTCATTATACACATACTTTATTACTTCACGTTTATATTGATCATCTGGATTAAATATACAGAATGACTTGTGTTGAACTAGTGAATTCCTAATAACATAGTATCTTAGAAGATGTCTTTGTCTAAAGTTATCTGCATTTGGAATTAAAGATACTTGATTGTTTGTTGAAATATCTTCGTGCTTATAAGTTTTGTAGTTTTCCTAAAAATGAAAAGTAATATTAAACTAAATCAATAAAACATTAATCTTACCTTCTCAATTCCATTGCCAAGACTGAATTTTTGCCAATTATGTTGATTGTATACTGAGTAAATATAAAAGTAATCTACCATATGGAGATAAAGACCTTTTTACTACTTCCTGACAAGGTACCACACGTTATCGTGGGGAGCAGGACTTCAATATTTCATAGCGCTAATTTGTGTGTACACAATACCTCGAAAAATATAAGATACATTAAAAAGAGGGTTTAAATAGAAGATATGTAGAATTTTTCTTTTTAGTTGCATATTGATTCTATTAAGCGATATTGTCTAACTTCAAAAATTAAACTCTGGATATCTTTGATAATTCTAAAATGTTTGTACTTTTTATGTATGATCATTTGATGGATCCTATTGAATTTATGAGGTACTATCCCACAATTAAAGTTAAAAGCCTTGGGATAGCTAGGCTTAATGGTTATAAATTGCATTGGGGATTAAAGGGAATTCCGTTTGTATGTAGAAAGAGGCCTTATATTACTCCATTGTCGGGATCCCACGTTTACGGCGTAATCTTTCAACTAAAAACTGGAGACTTAGAGGAATTTTTAGACTTTACAAAATCTAATTTTATGAATGAAGTTCTAAATATTACTATTGATGTAGTAAAGATATATGGCGATGTTAATATTGAGTTTAAAGATTTAAATATTAGTCAAACTCTAGGGAGTGGGGTGATTTATGAAAGTAAACAGATAAAAGCTATGACAATAACAGCTAATGTTTCAAATATGCTTTTAGACAAGGTTTTTATAGATAACTTATTAAAAAAAGGAGGTGTTGATATTTTAAAATCAAAGTATTTTAGTAGTTTACGTAATGAAGGAACTCAGGTTAACTATACTTACCCAAGTGATGATTATATAAGAAACTTAACTAATATATCGAAAAAATTAGGTTTTCCAGAGGAATATATCAAAAATTCTATAGATATTTCACCAACACAGGTGCTATCTTTTTGGCAAAGAATGTTAAAAAAAATTTTCTGTAAATTTATTCACTTATTTTCTTTATTAAAGTTACAAGATATTGCATATGGACTATTAGACTTGTTATGGGAAATAGATCCTAATGATGCTCTGGTTCATAGTGATTATGGAAATATCAATATATACTTAAAAATTTTTATTATTGTATGTTTCCTGTTCTTTTTAACTCTTCCAGGATTAATTACATATGCCTTTTACGCTTGGCTGAGGTTTTGGTAGTAAATTTAATGAAATTTAATATATTTGTAATTTAATATAATATACCTATTTACTCAAAATATAGTAATCTTTTACTCAAAACGAATATTTAACTTTTATTTTTATATATCAATGACATAAATACTGCAGTATTAACTAATACTAATATTTAATGTGTAAATAGAGATATATTTAATTCGGAAACTCTATTAAACTTTAAAATAATAATACTCCATGAAGTTTTATTAGTTTATTCGCTATATTTAAAATCCATACCCTGAACCTTTAAAGTCTTGAATATATATAATTTAACTCCATATTAATGAATGAGCAATTGTCATCTGATTTGAGAAATTCTCTTATAATTCATTAGTATAATAGTGAAAATATAGTGGATAATATATATAACTTATTTATTTGAGATAAAATGAAAAATAATAAGAATTTTATTATATTAATTCTCATCTTTTAAGATAAAATATATTTCACTATGTATTTGATAATGATTTTTTTATTATAATTCATAAATATAACATGTTATTAGAACTCTATTCTCATCTGATTAATGTATATGACTAGCACACACTTTATTATACAAAGAAGTGGGTCATAAACAATTTTGCAGTTAAATAAGCTTAATTTTAAAGCTGAATGAAAATTAATAATTTAGTAACTATGCTTTATATAACATTTAAGTGGTATGATGAAATCAATAACAATGATGGATTTGTTCAACATCAAATTTTAGGAATATTTAATATTATAAATTCAGTTTATCTAACTAAAGTTCATAAAGTATCATAGTTGTATAATCTAGTTTAAAAAGATATCTTAATATTTAGGAATTAGCTGGTATATAAAAGATACTAATATCTATAAATTATTCAATTATAAACTTAAATATCACTTTTATTTAAATAAGGAATTATAATTGAATATAGTCAAGATTGAAAATAAGATGTGTATATATAATATATTTTAAACAATCTTTAAGTAAAATAGATAATTTGAACTTGAAATAACTACAAATTAGAAAACCTGTAATAATATATTAAAAGTAATATTAATAATCATCACCTCTTGAAAGTACCTCCTTACAAGTAGGTCTTAACAAAATAGTGTGTTCCATTTGGGATGTATAGGAGCCAATTGAGTCATAAAGTGGTGGATAAGGACGAATAATATCTGCATCTACAAGACATTTAAGAGGTAGAGCATGCTTTGTATATCCTAATTGTTCTAGCCAACGGCGACAAAAAGCCAATGTACCAAAATTTGTATTAATAACATGGAGTAGTGTTTTTGCTGATTTTAATCTTAATTGAGGCTTATTCAAACAAAAGTTATCATAACACTTCATATAATGGCTGCAATCTGGGCCTTCAATAACAATGCCTTTGCCTGTAGAGGCAAAAGTTTCTATTGCATAAAATTCGTTTTCCTCCATTCTTGTACTATCATTTGTCGCAATAATGGGAACTGATTTCCCACCATGTATTTCATATAGAGATATTGAATGACCATTCAAATTCCTAATAGGTTTTATTGGATATAATTTCCCTTTAAACTCAAATTCATAAGATTCAATTACTTCTTGAATACTTGCTCCTATCTCAGAAAAAGGTACATCAATACCAGCCACTTTAATGCCACTATTTGTCGCATCTATTGTTGCTTGTACCAGTGGATCAAAGTGGTCTTCAAATGCAATGGTAAATGCACAATCAATAATTCTTCCTTCTACTTGAACGCCGAAATCAAGTTTGCATATATCACCTTGCATTAAAATTGTATCATCACCCGGATTTGGTGTATAATGAGCTGCACAGTTATTTAAAGAACATCCTGTTGGGAAACCCCATCCACTCTGTAATCCATTAGCACTAACTAATTCCTTAGTTTTACTTTCTAATAAATTACACAAGTCAACCAATTTCATACCAGGTTTAATTATACTTTGAATATAACGCCTCACTTGTCTATGAACTTCAGCTGCTCTTCTTGCTGCAGTATAATCAACACAATACAATCTCTCTAGTTCTTTTTTCTCCTCTGAGCTCATTCTATATGAATTTACTCCATTATAATCCATTATTTCACCCTCAGGATAAGCAAACTTGCCATATATCCTGTCAACAGGAATACTCGGTGGAAATGTTTGAAGTGATTCTTCTATAGCTTCCCAACTATTTATCTTTCTAAGATGAATGTTCTCTTGTCTTGGTATAGAGTGAATCTGTAAATCAGGTAACTTTTCATCTTTAGCTCCATACACAGACAAGTCATTATTTGTCTTCTTTTTCTTTTTCTTTTTCTTTTTCTTCTCTACAATATTTGTTTGGTTATTCATACTACTATCAATATCTCCATCTTCACATTTATCTAATTCTTTTATGCTATTTTCATTCCCATCTTCAGTACCTATAATACTTTTTGATTCAACATTATCATACTTGTTACAGTCAACTATACTCAAATCTGTCAAAGATTCCTCAAGTTCTCTCATAATTTTGGTTTCAGAACTATTCATACACACTTCCTTGTTTTTCACTTCAATTATAAATTGCCCCTATATAACCTTTTATACTTTGTCTCTTGTCTTTAATAATTAAACATGACGCGCTGAAATTTCTCTTATTTCCGAAACCATGTCACTTACCTTAATAGCTAATTATAGATAAACTTTGTTTCATTTGTACTTTGCCATACTATAATTAACTTTTCAAATAATCTTGAATATCTAAGTACTCAACATATTATAAATAAAGTACTTGGATTTACTAGCCTATTTTCACCAATATATTACCTACAATATATATTTAAAAGTTTGGGATTATTTATAGTATACCTTTATAATATAATAAACCTTATTAATCACATATTTGTAAAATTTATTGGTAATTCTACTTTTTTTTTAAATCTACTAATTATCTTTCATATTAATACTAGATATAGCTACTAAAACTATTTACAGATATTTTTAGTTTAATTTGTAATGTTGGGATAATAATAAATTATTCTACTTAAATTCAGGTATATTTACTTGTATTTATCTAGTAACTATAAAAAAGGATATTTCTATATTGGAAAAGCTTAGATCTAATATTTTTATTAATAAATAGATCTAGCTAAAGAGCTATTAAATAATACGAAATCATCGTATAAACTCACTTTGAGTCAGATAAATATGTGGTTTCTTAAAAATCTAATACTATATAAAATTACTAAAATTAAATTTAGTACTTGTTAGAAGATAGTTAAAATACTACGCATAATGCGCGTCGTTGTACTATTGCATGTCAGATAATATTCTGAAACAATTGCAGACCTTATAATTTAATAATAGTCTAATCATTTAAAAAAGTAGCTTATTAGACAATTTTTTTGTGGTTTTCCTTAATTATTTTTTCCTTTAAACTTACAATATTTTACTTATAGATTATAATTTACAAGTTTATTAAATGCCAGAGTATGCAAGAAGTATGCGAGAATAGTAGTATTTGGGAAATCATACATGGTATATTAGTACTTTGGACTCCATATTCATGGTTAGGTATCATATATAATAATATACACTATTGTTTTCTGTTGATTTTGTTTATATTTGGTTGTATAACTTTAATATTCGACAGTTACACAATAGAATATAAATCAGCTGATGAAGCTCAAACAAAATCAAATGAATTCAAAAGTAATATTATCTTGGAATCTATCAAAGATGAACCCTTTAATGAAACTACTACTAGAATAAACCCACAATTTTTTTTAAATGAATTAACTATAAAACTATCCAATAGTGTTAATTTTGATGATATTAGGGTTTTTATTATTTCACAGTTAATAAATTTCTTTCCAGATTATCCCTGTAAAATAAGTTCTCAATTTTTAGATATTATTTATAAAAAAATTTTTACTTTAAGATCTACTACATTAAAGGTGAATGATATAGAATTACTTGGTCAGAGTATGATATGTCAATTGGGAATAGGAAGGAACACAATTAAGTGGTGTTATGAAAATATAAGTAGATCTTACTCATTTAGTTTGTCTAATAATATGAAGAAATTTTTAGATGAGGAAATTATAAGAATACAAAGGGTTATTAATAGAGAAAGGCTAGAGTTAATAGATGCAATAAAACAAAATATTTTGGTATCAGTTTGGAGATTATTATTTGCATTAGAGACAATTGTATCTATTGCAGGGTAGAAAGAAATATCATCAAGAAATGTAAAAAAATAAATATTATATAGATGAATTATTCAATATTTATAAAAAAGTAGTTATTTTGATTTATTGATATTGTTAGAACATAATGTACTTTGTATTTAGATGATCCAACTTAAATAGAATTTAATAGAATATCATAATGACCAGGAGTATATAGTAAGTATACTAGGGGTCTTTCTGATTCTGGAAATGTATATTTATGTGGTTTTTTTGAGTGTCCATCACAATATATGATTTCTAAAGGAATTTTTAAAATAGATGTGAGAGCTACAATTTGAATTTGTTCAACATCTTTCCACATAGGATCTACATTTTGTTTGCAAAATTGTTCAACATCTAAGCCATTTAAGAAATTTTCAAATTTCTCTTTATTTATTTTAATATATGTTGAAGTAAGGATACGAGCGTATACAACAGCAGGATTAGATATTTCTTCATTACACATTGGATCTTCATTACTTTCAAGCCAATAGTATCAAAGACAGAGCAAAAAGATTCAAAAAATCGGAGATTGTTTCATTAAGATAGCCTGCACTTTTTACTATTTCATAAGTATTCTGAATATCACTTTTAAACTGTATTGCTAAATCTGGGTTATTCTTAAGATATAATCTTATGCAAGATAAATATCCACGATAAAAACAGCATCCATCCTTTCTGACCCTTCTGATATATGGAAATTCATGAATTATCGATCTAAATTGTTCGTTAAAGAGCTCATTCTGCTTATATTCACTTTCTAAAATTGAAAGATGTATAGGTGAACTAATTAGAGGTTCTTTCTCTACAATAGACCTAATCTCCTCAAAATTATTTTCACATTCCAAAATCTCTGCTTCTGTTGGGTGTGATCTCATTTTTATTATTGTAATATAAAAATTGTATTTAATCATTTGAGGATCTGCAAAATAAATGCAAAAGCCTTACATTTGCCGCCTAAAGTCAGAATTTATGTGATACCTGTGGCATCAAATCTATACAAATATTATTTAAGAAATTGAGATTTAACTTTTGAGCAGAATGAAACAGAATATAGATATAAATACACCATGTCAAAGAGATATTGAAGGTAAGACTCATCATTTAGATATTATTTGGACTTTAATATAATATTTCTGAATATGTTTGATGTATTATTATAATTATAAGAAATCTATTTTATATTACATTTCGCATATTCAATAAATATATTTCTCATAAATACTGCGACTTCAAGTAATTATAATACTTCTTAATTTTTTTAAAGTGTAGATCTTGATATTTATCCTCCTCATCCTTACTTTAAAAATTCACAAGATAAGGCTAATAAAATGAAAGATATGAATCAGGACGATAGCTATATTGATGATTTCTTTCAACTAGTTAATTTTTGGCGTTACAACATGAATATTGGTTCAAATGATTCAACTATACTTGGGGATTGCTTAGATAAAAATAATGAAGCTACAATGTTTAAAGAATATATTTTATCACTATTACATGTAGAAGGTGATAGTTACAAGAATTTGTTTCCTCAAGAAATTTTAATGGACACATTAGTTTCTAATAAAAAGAGTAAGGATATGCTTAATAAAGTTAGAATGATTAACAAAATTGAATTAATTGAAAATAAGAGAGCCAGAAATAATGAAGATGATAGCTTATTATTTGGTGGGAATGAAGGGCAGAATGAAGACACAAACATTTCACAAGAAGAGGACGAAGATCTATTTGATGGGGATTTGGAGTATGCAAAGATGAATGATAATGATGAATTTGATGAATTAGCTGATAATACAAATGATTATGACGTTATTTAAAAATATTTTATTGGCAAGATTTATATATTTTTTAAGGACAATTTACTATATGTTAATTTATTTAATTATACACACTTTTAATATTCAACTCTCATATAATTGTGATTATATACTTTATATAGTATAATAAATTATGAAATAATAATACTATATAAATAGCTTATTTCTCATTTTAGAAACTCTACGAGATCAGTCAATTTCATTCATTACAACTTTGTATTACTAAATACCCCCAATAAACACTTTATTACTAAACTCCTTTTTTAAAAAATAGAATTAAAGTTTTTTATATAGAATATTTTAGAAATTAAATTTTTTTACTGAGTAAAATTTTAAATAGTAAATATTTTTATATATATATATTCAAGTTTGGCACAATATAATATTGAATTAAAAATTTAATTATATAAATAACTATCAGAATTTCATCAAGTAATTAATTCTACCTAATCTGAAATTTAATATTGAAAATTTATCGACTAAATGTCAATTTTTCAATATATATATTAAATTAATGAGTTTATTATCCATTTTTATTAGAATTTGCTTCAAGTTTGAATGTTCTATAGTATAATAGATATTTTCATATATAAGTATTTATAAATTAGTGGATAATAGTGAATGGTAGAAGTTAACTGCTAAGCATGTATCAAATTGTAGATGTTAGTGTTTTTACCGAGTAAGTCAACATTGTTATTTAGTAAACAATAATGGTTGTTTTTACAATATTATATAACCCTATTATTTGTCTAATACTAAAGATATACACTAATATTTGCACCATAAAAACATTAAATAATTCTGAGAGTTTTAAGTATGTTCATAGTTATTTTTAAGATGAATAAATAAAAGAATATAATCTATTAGTATTACATAATACATGGTAATTTAATAGCAAAACAAAAATTTAATACAATTGATTTTCTATAAATTATTCTTTTTTTTTTTTGAAAATATTATGAATATTTACAGATTAGTAAAATTAGAAAAAAAATCATATATTCTATTATCTAAGAATATATAGTATCTAATTATATTCTATTACCTTAATTATTATACTTTTAAGTTCTTCAAGTTTATATTATCATTTAGAAAATTGAGATTACTTTTTTTTTTTTTATACAAAACACATAACATTCAAGTGGTTATAAATATAATTATAATAAAAATATATATTTTTTAATCAGTAAAATTTAATAGTACAAATATTTATCATTAAAATTATAAGTAATTTAATTTAGTTTTTCTAACAGCTTCAAGTTTCAATAAATTGTTTCTTCTATTTTTAATGTCATAATATATATGTGATTATATTATGTTTAAATATTAATAATTCTATAAATTTATATTAATTTATATGAATAAATTACTAAAAAATTTAGCTGACTTTATATATTTCACAAAATTTAAATTACAAAAGAAAACTCACGATGTAATTATGTTTATCTGAAGAAAGTTATTTATAATTTAAGGAATTTCTAAGAACAAATAATACTAAAATTTACTTTTTAAAAATTTTAACAAAGAATACAATAATAGGTAGACCAATGATGTGTTTTATGCTAAGTACATAATTACTAAGCTACTCTTAAAAAAAAAATGCTGCTGAAGATTATATCTTAATAGTAATTTAAATTATCCGATGCTGCAATATTGGTAGGATCACAATATGACAGATCTTGCTGATTGAAGATTGAAGTACTAATATAGTTGGCACATTGGACTTTGGCACTAGAGTTTCCAGACTCTTTCCAATGTTCATACTCTTGTTTATCACAGAGGCAAGCAAATGGATAATCATTTGTATCATAAATAACAAATGAACCCCTATTTGAATTATCTAAAGATGATCCAGATCTTAAAGATGCAGGTAAATGTATTAGATCTTTACTATCTATAGAAAAGTGAATGTTCTTTGAATCCCAAAATTTTAGTTGATCATCTAATTGATTACTTCTTATAAGATGTATACTAGATAGTTTTGGATTATCAACTTCAACATTGCCATTTGAAGAAATAAAGACATTCTTATAAGCATCTACTTCTAGGGAAAGTGCTGGGATAACAAAAGTTATGGTAAAAAGTACCCATATGTTATATTTCATCATATTACATTAATCTTGAAATTAATATCCAGAGAGATTCGTATAAAATGAAATATGCAGAATTTAGAAGATTTTTCTAGAGCATTCAATAAATTAGAACTATCTGATTCTATATAAATAAAATCAAATGGTTACAATAACATTAATTATCTGTATTTTTAGATTAGTTTGGGTGCAACTTTCGGTAACTTACAATACACTCACTTTAGGCGGGAATCGTAATATTTGAAAGTAAGGAGTCAAAATTTCTTGTCTAGTTCTTTATTGTAAGGGTAAATAAGTCTCTTTCTGATAAGGAATATGCGTCTATTAACTCACAATATACTGATGTGGTAAGTATAAATGATGATTTAATAATGCCATATTAGATAAAATATCTTAAGGAAGTTCTCTATAATAAGATAAAAACTGTCCCAAAATATGTAACAACTTATATTTATCTATTTCAGTAACAGAAAATGTTGTAAAAATGGTTTTCCATTAGAAATAAAGCTGAGAGGAGATAAAGAGGAAGCTACTTCACAGTTAGATACATATTTCTCTAGGGAACAAATCCAAAGTATGCTTGAAAAATTAGATTGGGAAGTTCTAGTTAGTACAGCTGCTAAATTTGATATTGAATTACCAATAAGCTATAATTTAGAGGACAAAAATGATGATATATTTTTAAAGGCAGTTCATAATGCTATTATGAATGTAAGTTTAGTTTTATATTATATAGAATATTAACAAATATCTAAAAATAACTTTCTACAGTTTCAAATATTAGAAGCTGATCTTATATGTCCAATTTGCAACCATAAATATACAGTATCAAAGGGAGTACCTAATATGTTAGACCAAGAAAACATTATAAATAATGTAGATATTGATATGAATATATGAATTTATTCTATTAAACAATAGTGAAGATAGTTGATTACATACTGAGGTTATGAAATTTATACAATTTTTTTATTATTATTAGATTTAGTTGTAATAAGGCCACATTTCTCTAATGTTAATCTTGCAGCATTATTTATATGTTTGAACCTATCTGGGCCTAGTTGAATACCACCATACCATCTAGAAACCATAACAAATACATTTTTTGCATTAGTTACATTTAAAAGATGTTGTAATCTTCCTCCTGCAGCAGTTTCACCATCAGAATCATGATCTTGTACAATAACATCATAACCTATAGGGAATGATCCTCCAGATATTTTTTGTTTATTATCACGACATAATCTATATGACCATATATTATGAGTTGCTCTCTCAATTTTTGAATTATTTAATAACCATTTTAGTACTTTTTCAACTTCTTCTGTTGAATAAACTCTACATACATGAGCTTGGAAAACACTCTTTCTGTCTATAATTGGTTCGCCATGAGTTATTCCATAGATTAGATCACCGTTAGAACTATCAAGTTTTACTTTAGAATCTTCGAACACACTTTTCGAAGATTTAGTTTCTTCTAAATTATTTCTTTTTTTATTTGATAAGTTATAGTGATATGAACGTAAGATCTCAGTCATCTCGAAAAGCATAGGTTCATCTCTCTTATTTAAGCGTGATAATATTAAATCTCTCAATAATTTAAGTAGTTCAGAGGGTAATCCAATACTTCTAGATGATATAGACGAGTCCTTCATAAATAATAAATGGGCATCAAAGAACCAATTGGAAAGGTCATAAGCTAACTCCTCTTGAGGGTATCCAGATGGTATCCCAATTTTAAATTCCATGATACCTTCTGAGTATTCCACCTGAGCAAGAGAATTATTTAAGTTCAGACAAGATAATTTGTTTATAGTATATTTTATTAAACTTACATATAAGTATAATGTATTATCTAACTCTTTATATAAAATTCCAGATTCTGGAAGCTTATTCATAGATATTACCCCAGTACTAATTTCATATATAGCTTTGAGTGCATTAATTTCAGTATCTAATGAGATATGCTCCATTTTGAGGTATAATTTACATATTAACACAAATTTATATAGCGTGGCGGTAGAACAATTCTTTTAAGTAGTATCAAAATTCCCAAATAATGGCTATAGCTAATAATCATATAAATTATATGGAATCTAATGGAAAACTAAAACCAGTAATAATTTTGGAAACACACGAATTTCCTACAGCTAAGGTAACTTTACGTGATAATGACAAATTGCTTGAGAAAAGTAACATTTTTCAACTGGACTCAGAAGTTAAAATCGTTCCTCCATATATAATAGATTACAGCGTGTCATGTAAAATGAGATGGCGTGGAAAGACATTATATGACATTTTTAGCAAAGAATTTAGGACTAGACCAATTAACGAATATCAAAAAGCTGTTAATTGTGGTAAGATATCTGTTAATGGAAAACCTATAAACTCTCTAGATCATCATATTTTCAATGGAGATATAATAAGGCACGAATCTTTGATGATTGAATTACCTGCACCTCTTGATAATGTTGTTATACTTTATAATAATAAACACTTCTTAGCTGTGTACAAACCTTATGGTATTCCTTGTCATCCTCAAGGAAGATTCCACAAGCTATCACTGACAAATATAGTAATGAGTAAATATTTTAGAAGTGAAACCGAAGTAATTATTGATAACAAGGCAGCATCAAGAATAATTAATGATGATAAATTATATGCTCATCCAATAAATAGACTAGATCGTGTAACTTCAGGTCTTGTAATTTTATCAAAGAATTGTGATTCAACAAGACTTTTATCTAAAGTTATTAGTAAATCTCATAAATACTATTTAGCTCATGTTGAGGGGGATTTTAGCTCTTTAGAACATGTAGATATAGGTAAGTTATTTAAAAGTACACAACTAGTTAAAATACAGAATTTAGAGATGGGATTAAATATTAATTTTGGAATAAAATGTGAAGCACCATTAGAAATAATAAAAGATAGAGTAGGTGATAGTCTTATGACTAAAGTATCGTTTGAAAATGGAAAAAGTGCCTTGACTTGGTTCTTTCCTTTAAAAATTGAATATTTGTCACAAGAAGATAGGAAAAAAATAAAACTTGATCAAGTGAATTTTGAAAGTATCAATATTTGTCATAAGCCTAATTCTTATGTTCTTTGTAAACCTGTAACAGGGAGAACTCATCAAATACGTGCTCATTTACAATATCTTGGATTTCCAGTTACTTTGGATCATTTATATTCACTTAATAGAAAAGAATATAAATGTAGTGATATGATTCAATACCCTTATTTTGGGAATCCTTATGTTGTGAATTATAGTTTTTCATTACAAGATATTGACTTAAATGAACAATTTCTTAGGCCAAGCTATTCTGTGTATTCAGACAATAATTTCCCTTCAAATAATACAGGAAATAAAGATATACATTTTGGAGGAGGCGGAATTATGACAATTGACAGTAATATGAACACAATAGATGTTCAATACCAATTGGAATTACCATTAGGGATTTGTCTCCACTCTTTACTATATGCAATACCAACTTTTGAAGATTTTTCAAAATACCATATAATTAAATGTGAAATATTTCCAAAATGGGCTAAGTATATATCAGAGATGATTAGAGAGTGGATTCTCTGGAAGATTGATTCTCCAATAGACTTACAGCAGCTCTCATCTTTCCTCTAATTTTTGTTTACCGCCTAAGTTTTATTTGCATGTGCTATCAAAAAGTGACCACATTGATATATTTGGGAATAAACTACAAAGTATCGTCATAAATTTAAATAGAAATTAAGATTTGAGATTTAACTGGCTAAGATAAAAAGAAATCCCTATCTTATACTTGTCCAATATTATAAAATATATTGGTAATATGTATTCTAACAATTGAGTAAAATACATCACATAACTAAATTGTGTGGTCTCAGTGTTTTATCAGTATTATATCCACTAGTATATGCTCCAATATAATTTATATAATGGATAAAGATAAATATCAGCTTATTAGAGAATGTAGATTTTGTTTTGGTGCCGAAGACTCATACGCTCCACTAATTACGCCTTGTGAATGTAGAGGTACTCAAGCATATATTCACCTTTATTGCCTCTGTAAATGGCAAAAATCTCAGATAGATCGACCTTGGTCTAGAAAGTTCTGTAATATATGTAGATGCCCATATAAATTACCTCCTTCATATACAGTCCTACTTATGTATTCTAAATCCTTTCTCAAAACAGTCTTTGCATCCATAACATCAGTATGTGCTGGTATTTTATTGGTTTTTCTAGTTGCATTAATATCTAGAATTATATATGGATTTGTAATGGTAACTAATTACTGGATATACTTCTTTATAACTATTTTGGCATTACTATATGCTATTATAATAACTTTAGAGTTTAAAAATAGAAATAGCACTCAAAGATAAGTGATAAAAGTTTGTGGAAACCAAATATCAACATGTTAATAAATGGAATATTATTTATACATTTAATATTAAATATTCAATTAATTGCTGCATAACATGAAAATATATGAAGGTTTAATAAGTATCTAATAGTATCATCCTAATGTTGCATTAGTTTGTAGTATCTTGGAGGATGAACACTCTTTTTTATAATCTTAAATAAAATGACAGGACCCCAGGCAATTAAAGTTAGAACGCATATTTTTCCCCAAAAGGAATAAGTGAAAATGAAGTATAAGTCAAAGTAACTCTTTAAAAGAAAAAAAGAGATAAAATATATAAGTAACGAAGCAATACATGATGAAAGGATAAATATATTCCAATGGTGTATTTCTGTAACAACATTTAGAATTTCTGATAAAATCAATGTTGTGAATGTAATAGAAACTAGATTCATTAATATGTTATCTTTGAACATTAATATAGCACCAAGCATAATTATTGCACCTTGATATAAAGACTTCCAGACCCAGCAAAAAAAGATCTTGATTGACATAGCCCTGCCTGATTTCAAATGTCTATATAACTCTGGGTATAACATAGCAGTAGATTCATTGACATCTTTATCAAAAACCAAAGAAAAAACAGGAGCCATTGTATAGTATGTAGCATAACCTACAGCTAACCATCCTTGGAATAAGGCTACTGGTATAAAATAAAACAGTGCTGAAAATACGCACTGCATTGATGCAATAATAAGTCCTCTATGAATAACGAAGTGTGCTAATTTAGCGCTATTTTGATAGGCATGCCTTCCATGCCACAAAAAGAGAGGACGTAAGTCAGCAAACTCATGAAGACTTATATCTGCTACATTTGCAGCTTGTTGCCCTTCTTTTCCTACAATACCTATACCTATATCAGCAGCTTGGATCATACCAACATCATTTCCACCATCTCCAACAGCACATATACGACATGATCTAGAAATTCCAGAAAATGTTGATGAAATTAGTCTTCGAGAGTTATTTGTATTACCAATATTAATAATAGAATTATTAGAATGGATTTGAGTGCTATTATTATAAAATTCTTCTTGGCTCCATTCATCCATATTATTTACAGATAAGCTATGTAAACTTCCATGGCTTTCAATATTACTAATATTTTCACTTAATATTGAAATTTTTTTATTTACTTCATTATCACTTAGATCTCCCTTTCTTTCTTTTTTACGTCTTTTCAAGGGTCCATTACTGATATTTCTGTCATATCTAGTTCTACTAGCTAAATGAGAAATTGCTCCTTTTTCCAATATATCAGAATGATCATGTGAGAAAAGCTGGACATTGTCATATTCTCCATATTTTATATGATAATTCTTTAAAAGTAGTACTAATTCTTTTTTCTGGGAAGGTGAACATCTACACCATACTACAGCTGGTGCAATAGCAGCTGCATGAATTAGCAACTGAGGAAAGTGATTTAAGCATAAATTAAGCAATAACCCCTCAACGACCAATACATGATCTAATGACATCTCCAAGATGTACCTATGCAGCATGTTGCTAATAATATCTAATTGAGAAATTTTGTGAATTGATTCAGATTTATTTTTATTACAAGTATTGATATGTTTCTTATCTTCGTATTTTAATATAAAAAAATCAAAATTTTTTGGTTTTATACCAGCTGAAATGGCAATACAAAGTGCTGTTTCAAGTTTATCACCAGTAAGTAGCCATATTTTTATACCTGCATAACGAAACGCCTCCAAAGTTAAATGAACATCCATTTGTAATTTATCCTCAACTCCAGTCAATCCTAGTAATTCCATATCCTTTTCAACAAGTTTTCTTGCATTGTTTAAATTATGGTTCCTTTGAACTAAACTCGTACAAGGGAAGGAATAAACATTATTGAATACTTCATACTCCTGTTGAGACAAATAACGATAAGCAAATACTAAAGTACGAAGTCCCAATCTTGCCATGTTAGTACATTCTTCGAGTAACCAGCCAGATCCCTTCTGCTTTAAAAGATCAACCATTACACTTTCAGCACCTTTACTAAAATAAATATATTTTTTTTGGTACTCAAGTAATATTCCCATTCGTTTTGTAGTACTGCAAAATGGGAAACATGCTAAAATACAAAAAGATAAACGATTACTTTTTAGAGATGTTTGTATATTAGATATATTTGAATTTATGTTAAAAACCAAATCTCTTCTAGATGAGTTCTCCAAATCCAATTCCATATATTCATTTGTTCGTTCAACTAGTCTTAGGCCTAGGCTAGCTGCAAAAGTTACTAAAGCTATCTCATCTGGTGAAGATGATTGATATACAATATGCTTCTGATTAAATTCAACCATACATTCTTCTGAGTCCAATTTCTCATTATCTACTAGATCTAATGTAGTAGATTCAGAAATTTCATCTTTATTATCATCTAAAGATGATCTAGGAAAAATATTGTGACATAGGGCAATAGCTAAAAGAAAGTTCTGAATGTGAGAAATATTTAATGGATACTTCCAAGACTTTACTGAGGTATTTAAAATAAAATTATCATGATCATTAAAATTATCACTTGAATTCTTTTCCTCCAATTGATTGTTTTGTTCATTACTTAGCATATATTGTACAATTGACTTTAAATCACTAAAATTCTCAGGATGATATACAGTATGGCCAGTATGAAGAGTCTGCACTACCATTGAGTTTTGTGTTAAAGTACCTGTTTTATCTGTAAGTAGGTAATCAACACGACCAAGTTCTTCAGGAATACTAGATCTTACTGTAACCTCTTTCATTTTTTTATCGTGCAAAATTTGAGCTGAATAGAAAATCTTTGCCATCTCCAAATTAACCCTTAAAGAAATAGGAATAATGGAAGACAGTAATAACATAAAACGACCAAAAGATATATACCACAAAGCATCAAAACCTTTACAAAATACGAGAAAGAATGACGTGATTATTAATAGTACGAATAATATCTTTGATAGTGTGTTAACTTGAGTATCTAGTAATCCTATTTTTGTTCGTAAACTCTGTCCACAAGTATTCATTAATGAACGACTTTCTATACCAGTATATATAACTAATCCATATATCTTGCCACATGTTAGTACACTATTAGCCCATATTGTATTATCCAACATCAAAGATTCAATTATTGGATTCTTATTCCTGCAACTATTAGATCCTGAGTCAAGTGTTTGATTTATATCATTTAAATTAGATAATGTAGTTATTTCATTCGTCCCCTCATCCTTTGTAGTTGCAATTGATATATCAGGAATTTTTACTTGGGATATACAAGGATCATAATATTGAATTGTACCATTAAATGTGTATATATCTTTTTTGGGAGCTTCTATATGGACCATGCCATTTAATTGAAATATATTATCTATATTTTCGAAATGTTGAGTAATTCCAAGAGCCCTCTTTACTTTCCAATCAGTTTCTCCATCTAGTTGATCAGTTCTTACAAAAACTGTACCTGTTGGATCATTTGTTCGTAAAAACAATATATCTGCTGGTATTCTATCATTTGTATTTACTTCTATAATATTACCTACCTCAATTTTACAGGATTTAACCTCTTTTACACCACTACTTGTTATAATTTTATACTTCTTGTTATTACATTCTTTATCTCTTATATATCTACGAATATCATCTATTGCCTCTTTGCTTACTGTTACAAACAATACTAGAAGTAGAGGTGCAATATAAGTAAATAGAGGACCAGTCCTAAGTGCAGGTATGAATTGAAGTAGAGCTACCATTAAATAAAAAAAGTTAAAGAAATATTTAAATTGTTCATATAAAACTTTTGGAAGAAATGTCAACAAAGAATACTTTTGATTGCATACAACATTAGGAACAAATCTTGAGGGATCAGTCTTCCCATTAAAGTATATAATTCTTTCATTAAATGAATGATCTTTTGACCAAATAATATCTTTTAAAAAGCCCCAAATGCCTAAATTCTGCTCTTTTATGTGGAGCAAAGGTAAATGTTCCTCTTCTACTGTCATATTATGAAATTTACACTTTCTAAGATATATAAATATAGTAGACTTCTAATATTAATATCCTTATAATGAGAGTTTCTCCTAAAGATTGTATAAGGATGAAGTGACAATAGATTAACTTGTGATTCCACGCTTGTAGCAATATATTTACAGCGCCATACAATAAACTTGGAAAAGTTTGCCAGGTGAGAATCATCATAAAATTAATAGGTGCAGAATCTAAATATGGGTGAGTTTATTTGGGAAAAGTTTAAAAAGTACCTAATAAAAAGCAAAGATGCTGAGATACAAAATTTTGAGAAAGTAGTTAAGTGTCACTTAATGATGTTTATATCTATAATTTTACAGATAATAAGTTTAATACTTCTGCGAACAACTAAAATAGAACCATGGATTTTATTAGCTGGTCGTTCATTTGGTAGTTTGACATTCCTATCAATTCTATCCCTTTTTTTTAAAATTAGGGATCCGCTACCATTTGATTTCTCACTCAAAGTTTGCACATATTCAAATAGCTTGAAAACAATATTAGTGGGATTAATGTATAGTCTACTTACAACTTTAGATGGATCTCAACATATCTCTGGAATGTTAGTGGCTATTGTATTTGTTCTTATTGGATATAGTTTGGACATAAAGTACAAATTTGATCATCTTGGTAAAAAAAGAATATCGAAACTTTATATATTTTCTTTAGTATCTATAATATTATCTATATTTTTTTCATATCCAGAAATATTAAAATTAGACTTTATCAGAAAATATCCAATTTATTCACCTTTATTTCTACTACTTATATTTGGAATCTCACTTCTTAAATTCTTCTCATATTCTAGCTTAAATCAAATAGATCTCAGAAATATAACAATATCAGAAGTATTGGCAACAAACATCTCTGATATTTCAAAATTATCTATTCCTATAGGTATTTGTATGCATCTATTAAGAATGAAGTTATTACTACCAAGTAGACAATTCTATCCTTTTGTGATAGATTTATTGCGATTTTCCAGATCATCAGCTCTAATAATATTTATAGCATCTTTCTTATCATTTGGCTTAACGTTTACATTACAATTAAAAAGTGTTAGAGCTGTATCTATATGTTCATATACTCTATATTCATCATGCATATATATCATACTTTCTAAAAGTTTTATTGGAATTTTTCTAATGATTTTTTCACTTATAACTCAAATTTACAATGATATGAGCTATATTAAAAGTAATAATTACGAAAATGAAGGGGTACCACTGGATATTTGTAAAAGTTGATCTGATTTATAATATATACATATAAATATTCAATATCTTAATCTAATTAAAACAGCATACTCTAGAACAATATAGACATGAGGAATTTTCTGATGTCTTTTCTACTTCATTCTCTTCTTCAATTATTGTAGAAAGTATTGGAGTTGAAACTAGTTCATTTAAAGGAGTTGTCAATGCTCTATTTACCTTAATTGAGACACACTCATAATTTAATGTATCAGTAGGGCATGTAGTTGGTCTAGGTTTTGTTATATACACTATTTGTTTACAAATATGATCTTTTTCTAGACATTCGGCTGAAGCTAAATTTTCATTATTAAATGATGTTCTTATATGAAATATTGTATTAGAAGATCTTGACTGTATACTTTTATTTGAATCTACATAATCAATTCTGGTTCTATCTTCTATTTGAAACCCTTTATTACTAAAATCTAGATCATTTAAATCATTTTCTATATTTGGTGGATATAATGTAGGATAATAAAAAATATCTTGTCTATCTTTAATCATTGGTAAATCTACTAGTGGTAGGATTAATGGTTGTTCTTCATATTCTGATTTAAAATTCCTCAATATTGATTTTATTGGTGAGGATTGAGATCTATTTCTTACTGTATGTTGATTTCTTATTTCTTCACCTGATCCTTGCAATATACTTATATCTACAGTTTCTGACCGATGTTTATCATCTAGTAATTTAAAACTTACAGATTTCCGGGTTATAACTGGTGTTTCAAAAGAAGTAGCAACATCATCAATGTTTTCTATAATTTTAGAACTATCACTTCGATATTCATCATCTTCAAATATAGAGAGTTCTGTGCGAGCTGTATAGTAACTTGTTCTAGACCATTTACTATATTGTCTGCTTACTGAATCAAACCATTCAGTACTTTGACATGAATCTTCTCTTTGCATCTTTTTTAAATGATTTTATTGGTAATATATTGCTCAATTATTTATAGATTTAAAGTTTGTGTGCAATGTGTACGTAAAAGTCACACCTAGGTGGTAACTTTGCCAATTAATTAGTAGATTTTAAATACTTGAATTCTTAGTGTGGCATATTTTTGTAAACTTCTTTATTTAATAAATCTTAAATTTAAGATTAAAGATATTCTAATGGAGATTTTAATTATAATTACTTTATTTTTCAAATATTACAACCACATTATTACACACCAATAAAAAACTTTTTTTAAATATCAAAAAATTTATATATGAGGGTAACTTTGTGGATGATGCATTTTCCCATGTTTATTTAAATAAATGCATTAATACAGCTTGAGTAATAGCTATTTTTAGATATATACAAATTTTATATAGAAGTATATAAATTTAGCAATATTTTTATTTTATAATAATATTAATTCCTAGAAATATCCTATCTAAATATTTTTTTTTATTGAAATTATTTAAACTATTTCGTACTCAATTAAAGAGATCTCAATATTTAATTTATATAGTTGTAATATTTGCATAATAGTTTTAATTTACTTCAACCAAATTTATGCTTAGATTAATCAATAAGAAAATTATACTAATTAATTTAGATTATACCTTAGATATTACAAGAAATTTATAAATATTTTGTTTTATAATAACTAAGACTATTTTGTAGAATCCTAAAGTTATTGAGTAATTTAATATATTGAAAGTACTCACCCTAAATATATTTAAAATTTCGAACTACTATACTAAAATCATTTTTCCATAGCATCCTAGAGTTTATAAACAAAAATTATTAGAATGTTATAGATATTATATCTATTAGGTATTGAAAAAAAAGGGTAATAATAAATGAAACACTAACACTGAAGTTAAATTTAAGTACTTAGTATAAATGTAATAATTATTTATAAATTCTAATAAAATAAAACTTTTATTAATTAAATTAAACTATATAAATTGAAGTTTCTAAGTTAAAGTTTATGGATTAAAATCAATTATGAAAATATTTCTATTTTATTTTTGTAATTGATGCTCACAAATATATATTATAATAAATATTAATATAATTAAATTTTCCTTTAATATATTTTCTTTAATTTTAAAATATAAAAATATATATAGTTATTATAAACAGTACAAAATATTATTCTACTAGAAAACTACTAAGTATTTTAACGTTATATTTAAAATACTATGATACAGCCAAATCTAACTTTGATCTTGATAATAACACAAATAATATTTATTATATATATGACTTCTTTTATATTAAAGTTTACTGTATTATTCTAAAAAAAGATATATTTAAAAAAATTAATAGTTAAACATTGTTAGTAATAAACCCTTGTGATTTCTGTACTATAGCCTGAATTATATATGATAAATATTTAAAATATTTAGAAGTATATAATTACTTAAATTTTGTGTTATTTTACTTTATATTAAAATTACCTTTACTAAATATAATATTGATATATTTATACAAAATATATAATTAGCTTGAAAACTAAAATATCATAGTGATTTGATTTTCTTTAAGATTCCTCTATTACAATTGTACTTAGAAAAAAATTTTATCAATATAAAAATAGAATATTCTATTCTTATTATTTACAAATAATAAAGAAATTTTTCAATTTTTTAAAATATTATACTTGTATAATATAAATGTTTAAAATATTTCATACATCTATTACCAATTTTAAAAATATTTGTTTATACTGAAGCTAAATGTAATCTTTATTTATTTAAATAAGTATCATAAAAAAGACATCAAATAAATAATTTGAATAATTATATAAATCTTTGTATAACAGAAATTGTCGAAAATATTAATTTTTTATAGAACAATTTAATTTAAATTTGAATTAATGGTTAATATGTAAATTTACATTAGAATTTTTTGAATAGTTAATATATACTATATTAACTAATTAATTTTCTATATATAATAAATAATATAGGGAAATTTTCCAAAATAACAGACTATTCTAATAGAATATAAGATTGACTATTTAACTACATAAATAAGATGATGGAATAGGGAAATCCTAAGTTTATCAAATACATGAATATATTACTTATTTAGTGCAATTTATCAAGTTTAAAACTTACTTTTAAAAAAAATTCCTTGATTAAAATATCTTTAGATGCATTTAGTATACAGGAGACACAATTTAACTAAATTAATATATATAAAAAAATTTCTAATATTTGCATAAAAATAAACTTACAGGGATATTACTAAGTATATGATTTTTGTTACAAATACAATTAAGCATTTTATTTATAGCAAAATGTATTTGTTGTTTACTTGGACTATCAGAGTAACTCACTAAATTACCCATTACAAGCTTCCTTAAAGAATAAGCCACTTGTCTTGATATAATTTTATATTGAATTGAATTACTTAAAGAGAAATTATTACTACTGTTACTATGACATTTACACGTGCATTTAAAGATCTCAACATTTCTTGAATTTAGTAAATTATTATTACTTGAATCTTCGTTGATTGTACATAGTTTATGTCTTAAAGGGGTATATTGATTTATTTCTATATTTGAAGTTTGGATTTGAGTCGTTAATCTGGACAAATATCTATTCCTTGATTCATATAGTTTAATCCACCAAAAAGACTCAAAATTTGGATCATCTACTACTCTTAGTAAAAAACATTTGACTTGAATCTTGTTATTATACTTGTCTATAGTACCACGTATATCAACTAAAGTCCCAAGTGCCTAAAATGTATACAATCAAAATTATATTTTAGAAACATGAGAACATATTATTTAAAATATGGACAAGTACCGGATTATCTCTAGCTATACTTCCAATTAAATTAACTTCGTTTATTATATTTTGGTCAAACCAAAAAATCACACGAATAGTTCCTGAAGAATCATTAACTAAAAGCATAAATAGTACATCAATTACATAACTCTATTAAAATGAACTTACTAGTATATTCCACATATTTCTGCTTCTTTTTTATATTAAGTATTATTCCAACCAATCTTATATACTTTTTAATATTAAATACAGAATTTTCAAGTTCTTTGATAAAAATCGGAGTAAATTCAGTATTTATTTTAATATTTTGATATCTAAATGGGCTGAAGTAACTTCCTGTAGATCGATAATTCTGTGAATTTTGTTGACTTGACATTTATTATATTTATTAAATCAATAAATTATTTTAATATTAAATCACACTCTAAGACTATATCTAGGTTTCCAGGGTATCTTAAAATATCTTTAAATATTATTATATATATTAAACTTTATATTCAACAGTATATAGAAGAAGTATTAATGTTAAATAGTTTAATGAAGAATTTAGGTGATCTAAAAAAAATTATATTAATTTGAAATGATACTGAGCAAATATACGATTGCGCTAAATACAATAGATTACGTTTGAAGTATTTACAAGTATTTCTAGTTAAAAGCTCAAATTTAAAGTTTATATGTACATGATAATATATCTATATATTTCAAATCAATTGAAATATTACAATGAGTGACATTATTTGTTCCAAAGGTGATTTTCGGAAATATGAGCTGGAAATTTTAAGCGTTCTACAAAGTTTTGAAAAAGCTAGGGAATGGGCTGATTTAAGTAGCTGTTTGCAAAGATTAAATAGATGTATTAGCCGTGAATTTGGTTATATAAGTGAAATTCCTCTAAAGGAAACTGTTTCTAAAAGGTTAGCTCAGTGTCTAAACCCTTCTCTTCCAAGTGGTGTTCATATTAAAGCACTAGAAACATATGGAAGTATTTTTGAAAAGATTGGCAGTGATAGATTATGCATGGATCTGGGATTATATGCGTCTGGATTGTTCCCATTTTTTGTTAATGCTGCCACACAAGTAAAACCTATATTTCTTGATCTGATTGACAAATATTTTCTTCCTGTGGGACCATGTCTCTTACCTTGTCTTTCTGGTTTAATTGTTAGTTTATTACCAGGAGTAGAAAATCCTAAAAGTGAATGTTATGATAGAGTAATGAGGACATTTCAGCTGATTTCAGATAAAGAATGCATTGGTGAAAAGAATTTTATGTGTACATTATGGCTAGTATTATTAAGGACTGCACAAGTTAGATTTTCAGCTTTGGAAGTGATTATGTCTAGATTTTCAATAAATAGTTCAGATATGGAGATAGAGGTTGAGAAACTGGAATCTTTGATTACATATCCATTTTTGGTTGTAAAAGCCTTAGAGAGCTGCTTTGAAGATGAGAATATTCTAGTAAAACGTCATTTATTAGATTTTTTGATTAGTAATATTCCATTAGGAAAAAGTTCCCACCAAATAAGTGATTTATTTTCTGTTGAATGTAAAGTCTTATTAATGAGAAGAGGCCTTAAATTATTATTACTAGGTGAGTGGTCTTTAACAAGAAGGATACTCCAGTGGATCTCTAACCAAAGGCAAAATATAAGTCCTATAACTAGTGTAGAAGATTTGGATTCAAGTGTTGTTGAAGTAATAACAATGGCAATACTTGATGAGTTGAGTATTACTTGCAGCAATGTTGATAAGCTATTTACTACAACATTGAATGGTGAAAAATATTTAAGATTAAGGAAGGGTTTAAAGAATATAAATTATTTATCACCTAGCCAGTCACATTATCCTTCACTATCTCAAGTTATAGAGCCCATTAAAATTATTGGCACTTTTTTTGAGGAGCTTGAAGGTTCTATTTCAATATTCTTACCAAAGATTTTGATTTCCTTATTAGTATTTGTTCAAGATATAATTTTAATCATTCCAGAAGTACATAACACTTTTATTGAAGAGTGCAAGATTATAATTAGTTCAAACAATAAAAATATTAGACAATTTCTGGATTGTATTTGGATAGCTTTTTCTCATTTACTTAAAAACTGTGAAAGTGAAGACCATGTTGAAAGTTCTAGAAGTCTCAGATATCCAGATATGAACGACTTATACAAAGTTTCAGTCTTTTTTATAGATAACCTTGTGACTATGGAGGATACTAGAGATAATGTGACAAATATAAAATTTTTGATTGATTTACTGGAAATATGTATGAAACTCATGACAGAAAAATTCCAAAAAAAGATAGAAGATCAACTTATATTTCTTGAATTATGTCTATATATTATTAGAGAATTGAAGGAAAGCAAATCAGATTATAATTCATTTTTTCAAGATGATTTCCTTACAACCTTATATAGTTTTTTGAATGATTTTTTTGCAGAAGAAAAAATAGCAAATGAAGTTAATTTTGAATTTGTAGTTTTCCATAATAAATTATATACATTCACTATTGAGTTATTTAATGTGAGTGCAATAAGAAGATTTATCATTAATTCAACTGAAACTATAGATAATTTTCCATTTAGAGAATTTCCAATACCTTTATGGTTCTTCAATATCTACAAGTGCTGCTTATTTAAAGTTCCACCCTTATCTCCGCATTTCTTTTGCGAACATTTACTTTTATGTTTCAGAATTTTCATTGAAGTTTTCTATAACATAAATCTATTTACTGAAAATAATAATATGGGAGTGAAAACATTATTTAAATGTTCTTTTGAAATTACAACTCATTTATGGGACCTTATGCGACCAGACTACCAAGATTTACACAAGGAGATAGTTAAGCTATTGATTGATTTGGAAAAGTGGGTAATAGATCATAGACATATTTTGAGGCAGGTAGAAGATGATCAGTTGAAAAGTATAAGAAATAATTCAATGTTGACGCAATTTTTCATAAACTCACTGAGTGTATATGACATCGATTTAAAGATCTCCAACATTAAGAAACTTTGTACATTTGTTAATTACTATTTTACCGAATCATTTAAATTTCCATATGAAGTAACGTTTCTTATATTAGAGGGATTGGACTCTACAGATCATACACTACGAGCTACTAGTTCAATTTGGATTTCAAATTCTATTGAAAATACTTCAATTATATTTGATCCTCTTTTGAATGAGCTGCTTAGCTTGGAAGTTATTGAGATAGGAAATGGTATTTTCAGATTTAAAAATAGGTTGGACCTAGCTAGACTTACTTACACTTTGGATAGACTTGTAACATTAATAACAGTAGAAAATATAGATGTTTTGCAAATAATGACTAATTCGAAGATAATTAATTCTAAAATTGATATTCCCTCGGATTTTTTGGTTGAAGACTACTTGGATGCTTTTTGTTATTCTTGTGTTCGATTAATTACTACAGAACAATGTGAAGGGTTAGAACCTTTAAATTTTGGTATTCAACATAGCTCTATAAATGTACTCAAAACAATTCTGAGTCGTCCAACATTTTTCAGCAACCATATATCCTCTAGTAAATCATTTAATTTTCAAAAAAAACTATTAATGGTTTCTTCTTCTTTTGTCAACCCAATATTAGAAACTTTAAGCCGTTCAATTGTAAAACAGAATATATCTGTTCAGATCCCAATACTTCAATTACTACAGGTTATCCTTCTGCTTCAAAGATCAATAATAGAGATGTTTAATGCAGTGAACAAGACTGATAATGCAATTATCAAAGAAAAAGTCGATCTTGAAAAAGTAGAACTCCTTTGGAAAAACAACAAATTAATTCCAATATTGATTTCAGGTTTAACACAGAAGGTGACATATTCTAGATCTAGATTAAATTCTGAAAGGTATATAGTTGATCACTGTGCTGAAGACACAATAATAAAGTCTTATATTGACTTTTGTTTGTTTATTCTTGAAGAATCGCTCTTAAGTATTTCAGAAGTTTCTATTTCTTTAATTAAAAACATTTGTTTAGAGTTAATTGAAAGTCTCAGTGCTAATGTATACAATATATCTATTCAATACATACAAGGTTTGTATAGAATTTTATTACGGGTGATTGGGGTACCCCCACTATCTGGTACCTATTCAGTTTTATCTCAAGCTTCTTGTAAAGCTCAACCACAATCAACAGGCATAATTGCGAGTATTTTTGGCTGGAATAAAGATGTAAGTAATTGGGATAATTTATTGAGTAATTCTGTTGAATATTCAAAAATCAAAGCTCCATCTCTAATAGCGACTCATTCAGAGCTATCTATCAATGATATATCTACTGATTCAAAGAAACAAATTCTAGAAAATATAATTCCTCTAGTATACATGACACTAGTAGAAATTTCCTATATGATAAATTCTTTGAAATTTCAGACAAGTAATCTACAAACTAAGTTTAATTTTTCACATGAAGTTGGGTGTTTTAATAACTTTAGTGAATGGGGATTAAAGTACCCAACGCAATTTTGCTCAAGTATGGCCAATTATGTCCACACAATTGGTTTTATTTTGGCTTGGAATTCTCCAGATCTATTTGTATATTCTAGTATAATATGCTGGTCATTTGTTAATAAATATTCGATAAGCTGTCCCACCGTTCCTGAATCTTTTTCTGATAGAAATTTCTCAATATTATCTTTCTTCCAACTCCCTGAATTTACACAGTTCCTATCTCCAAACTATATTATTTCTATTATTGGACATTTTCTTTCAACACTATGGGTACAAGGTCAACCTTCAAAAGAGATTATTTCAGAATTTAATATTGATAATATGACCGCAGCTTTTGATAGTAACCTTACTAAATTAAAAAGTAGCTCAATACCTGAGTATATTTTGTTCTTTTCAACCATTTCTATGGAAAGATCATGGCCGTATTGTTGGTACTTTTGGAAGGAATCTTTAATTTATCACTTTTTATATTCTTTCCTTATTACCTATCCACTTAAACACTTAGATGAATATATATCTCTTTGGACTATTTTAACTAGCTTTTTACGTACTTTTCTATCACATGTCAAACAACCAAATAGTATTTTGTGGATTGCAACTATACTTTCAACTTTAGATAGCACTATGGCATCTTCAAAGATCGTATCTTCTACATATTATACGGATAAACGTTTAACTAATATCTTTGAAGATAAGAAGATTCAAAAAGATCTGACAGATATTATGCTAATGATTATTTATTTGGTACACCAAAGTTTCTCTTTAAAGATTCCAACTGCTGTTCCTACAAAATTATATGATATTTTTCCTCTTCCTCCAAATATAGAGGCAGTGCTTCAATCTATAAAGTACGACTTTTTGCCAGAGAAAAGTGAAAGTAAAGTTGATTATTCTAAAATACCTAAAACAATCGTTAGTGATGAGCCAAATCTACTATTTTCTTATTACTCAATAGCTTTCCTTATAATGTACAATGTTGAAGTTGCTTATCATCCAAATAGCAGGAGACTTTTGCTTCGAAGTATTTGGATATTAAGTCTTGTAAAATCATTAAGTTGGGCATTTCATCCATTAATTAAGACTAACAAAAATGTAGCAAACATGCTTCATCAGTACTTTTTGCTTATTTTTTTTGATACATTCCCATATCGTTTGGTTCCTGATTATTTGAGTGCAATTAGAAAACCAGTTATAGAAGCTTTAAACTGTAATAATTTCTTTTGTATGGATAGAAGGACACTTCGAAGCTGGGTTAATATTATTTCTCGTTTGATATCTCAAGATATTACAACAATTTCTGTTGTTGGTAGAGCAAATTTGTTGGATATTTATGTTACTGAACAAACCACTGGAATATTTAGCACAAAAGATGTAGACCTTAAGAATCGTTGCAAATACATTAAGAGACTAGCTTTTCTGATATACTGTTCTCCTCAAAATACTTTTCAGTTGCAATTATCAATGATCTTAGAAAAACTTGTAGAAAATTTGAAGATGGCTCCTGATAATATGTCCTCTAGCTATATAAATGCCAAAAACTTTATTTTACTTGCTGAACAAGTACTCTTATGCCTGCGAGTCTTGTTACTTAAAGTGCACTTTCATGCATTAATGCCTCTTTGGCCAATAGTACTTGCTGAACTTATCAAAATATTTCACTCTAACCAATATCCTCAATTAATTGTTGCAGCTCTCAAATTTATAGATCTGGTATCTTTACTAGATATCCCAGATTTTCATCTTTATCAGTGGATTTTTGTAACGGATTTTTTTAGAATAAAGAAGACATATAACAATTTGAATGATACTCCCAATGTAATACCTAAAACAGAGTGTCATATTAATACTAAAACAGATATTGATGAAAAAAGGAGAGTGGAATTTGCTACAGTAAAGAACATAAAGGATAATACTATACCTAGCTCAGACTCAAATAATTATAGTGGTAAATTGGAAAATCTCCAAAAAAATAAAACTTGTACATTTTCTCCATTTTGCAATGTAATAGCATTTAATTTCAATAGCAATAATCAAGAATCCACAAATAATATGTGTGGAGTTGATTTGGATGTAATTAAAGATAAATTATTAGACAATAACCTCAGATGTCCACTTTTAAAATTTAGGGGCGAACTTTCTTCTGAAGAAAAACTTCGCAACATGGCAAAGATTTTAGATGAAAATTGTTTACTAAATACAGTTCAAAGTCCACAAATAGCTGAAGATGAATTAATTAAATCTCTAGAAGATGATTTTTTAGACATACCTGATCATCTTCTGGAATGGGGTGCAAACATTGATCCTTCTTCATTATTCTCATTGTTGAACTTTCAACAATCTAAAATTAAAAATAAGTGTTTACAACTAGTCAAATAAACAAATTTTACCTAAATATATTAGCGAAACAAGAAATAGGCAATAAATTATATTTTTAATATAGTGTCTGAACTAAATATTTGATATTAAATAAATAAATCTACCTAATTCTACTATATCTGAATTCCCCAATATGGGGGTAATATAGCTCTATCTTTTGCTTTGGATGTAAACCACAGCAATAACTCATTTGCTTGAGGTATATCTATTGATACTTCAGGTAGTTTTTCAACCATCTCATCAAAACCTTCTACAATAATATTTTCATCAACAAATCCTTGACTTAGAAGATATTCTAATAGTGCCAATCCAGCACGGCTCTCTCTTTCCAAACCTAACTGGATATTAAAATTATCTGATTTATCTGGGTTTTTACCAAGTGAACTTGTTTTTAAATCTAAATATTCTGGTTGTTTTGTCGAAACCTTGCGTTCAATAGATAAGGTGGCAATTTTGCGCACAACTTCAGCTTTTCTTTTATTTGTTAAATTCAGTGAATGTAATAATTTAACACATCCTCTTTTGTCAAGATCTAAAAAGTACTCACTAAGAATTTCCTGCAATCTTGATTTAAAATGCTTGGTTTCCTCCGTATCGTCGATTTGTGACCAAATACTTCGTGCTTGATATGTTATTATATTTCTAGGTTTATCTTCGAAAAAATGTCTTGCAATATTTAAAGCTTGTATACCACCTGGGCCACCCATGTGGAGAATTAAGTTAACATCAATAAAAAATGGTGGAAGTAATTCGTCAACAATACATCGACAAATAAATTTTGCTGTGAGTTCGCAAGCGTCTATGACATCTAGGCTCAAGTCATCCAGGTTACCCAATAATCGCATAAATCCCACAACTATATCACTAGACTTCAAGATACCAGGAGTCAAAATACTTAAACCTATTGAGACCAGTTCTCTGTATCTATGAGTGCGATTCATTGAGGATATGACAATAAATTTCACAAACTCGTGATTAAAACAAAGAGTTTCAGGTATACAAGCTTTTCTAGTTGATGTGTCACTACTCATGCTAGTTTCTAGTACTTTGCAATCCGTATCATAACTATCACAAGTTGACTTGAATGATATTGGTACCCAATCTTCACCATTCCAATGAGATTCTTGAAATGCAGATGTATATGCATCTTTTAATAACTTTTCAACTTCGTCGACTTCAAATTTACATGAAAATAAGTCTTCCTCATAGTTTTTAATGTACGACTTAAAAGTTCTTAAAGCTTGTAAGTGTTTATTTGGACTTTTAGTACCTTCAAATGGTTCCAAATTGTTTTCAATTGATGATTGACGTAGTTCAATAAGTTTTAGTAGAAATGTTTCAGGATATCTGCATCTAAAATTCGATGGTATTATACCATCCAAAATCGCACAATCTACTAGGCACTCAAGTCTTTCAGGAGCAAATGGTGCATCTAGACATATATCATCAATTGATTGTATTAGTTTCTCAAGTCCATCTTCAATTTGCTGCAATGTAACTAGATGTGAATCTCTCAATATTGTTAACAAAGCTGAGACCTGCTGTTGAATAATTGGAGTATAATCCAGTGCCATTCTTATTGCTATGACAACTACAACATTGTGGAAAGAAGGACATGCTAAATTCTTCAAGCCATTAATAAAGTCTTGTGTTTGGTATCCTAAAAAGTAGTCTTGGCACAAGTTCTTAACTCTCCCTCGGAATTCCTCCAAGGCCATCATATTTCCATGTTCAATACCTCTCCCTTGTGGACTCCAAGAAAATGTCTCTACCATTCTTTCAGTTTTTTCAATATCTACTACTGAATAAGCAACGTCTTCTTCAGATTCGCTATCGTAAACAGGATCTCTTTTATCCAGAATTTTCAGTGGGCTCCCCAAAGATAAGTCCATCAGTTACACTAATTTATTTTGAAGAAGATACCCTGATTTTGAAATTTTACTAGAAAAAAGAAAATGCAAATGTACTTTAGGAAAGTACCACTAAATATAGCCGCTAATACAAGTGGTACTTAGGCGCGTTTAGGTGTGTATAAAAATTTACATGCATGCATTAACTCTTTGGAGTGTCATTCTTTTACAAGGGTAATAAAATTTCACCTTAAAAACTTTTTAATAAACAAAAAATATGGAAGGCAATTTTTGCAATGATTTATTTGTAAAGAGCAGCATTTTTAGCTGTACAGATGGTGGGCTTGCTGAAGTAAATTCCAGCTTTCAAAAAGATAAAAAAGTACTTACCCTAAACATTGTATATAGACCAAAAATACCACTTGATAGTATAGTAACACTTCATTGGGGCTTAGCAAATAGTGATCATGGTGAGTGGGTACAACCTCCAATATGTTTATTTTCAGTAAATGGCACAACTCCCATAAAGTGTAGTGATAACATATCCTGTGAATCAATAACAGTACCAATTAACAATGGATCGTATTATTCATGTGAAGTATCTATGGATTGTGCACATCTAGAGCAAAGACATGGATTAATCCATCCAAAGCTTTCTAAAGAAGGTATTGAAGCCTGTGAAGGCTATGTAGCTGATTGGATTAATACAGAGAAAACAGATTGGGGCCTTTGTTTTGTACTGTATGCTTCTCCTAAAATTGAGTTAAATTTAAAAAGTTGTCCACTTGAAAAAGTATGGATAAAAAGGAAAGATTGCAAAAAGGGAAATTTCTTCATTCCCATTAGCACTGAAATTAAGATTTTGAGTTTTGTAAATCACATTATAGATAAAGATGAAGCAGCTAAAATATATTTAAAAAGTGTAAAGTCTTATTTCAAATCAGAAACAAAAAATACGGTATCCTTACCATTATCACATACAAATTCGTCATCCTCAGCAAAGAATCACTATGACAGTATGACACAAGAGTGTTTCCTAGTAAAAATAGGAACGAGACATAGTACAAGTTTACCTATTATATGGGCTGCTGCCATCAACAATAATGAGGATGAGAGTGGAGGTAAAACAATAGTACTTGTATATTCAAATATAAATCCAGTTAGTTTTGTTGATTCTAAAGTGGGAACCAACTTAAAAAATAATGACTTGGAAGTATTATTGCATTTTGGATTTCTTAGGAGCTTGGAGAACAGAGTATGGATATCTCCTGCAATATTAGCCGAAGATTTAAACTTGAAAGTAGAGTCAATTAGCAACTATGACAATAAATCATCAGAAACCAAATTTGAATATTTTGAAGATCATAATTACTGGAAATGCGTGCTTAAGTTCCCACAAAAATTAACAAGCGAAATGAAAGGTATTGGATTTGTGTTAAAATCAATAGTTGAAGGACCTCAAAAAAGTCAAATAACTTGGATAAAATCTATATCTAATGATGACTTTATTTTTAAATTACCACCAATTCGAAGAGATGCAATTTTGATAAAAAGTAGTGGGAAATTGTCTACCTCTAATTTAAGTATTGATTCTAAACCACAAGAAAATATTGAAACAAAAAGTAATACTGATTATTTACTAAAGGAAGAGCTATTCAAGACACATATACAGGAGTTTGAGTCTAATAGTGAGTATTGTATACAAGAATTCATACAAAAATACAAAATTGACGAAGAGTCAATTTTGGTGAGGAAGAATTATTATATATCTGATAAAATTGGAGTTGCTAGTTTCATCGTCGCTACTGTAGAGGAATTCTGTATACTGGAATTAAATATTTGCAGTAGAGAAGTACTTATCTTGCACTGGGGATTAATTTGTAATTCAAGGTATGGTCGAAGAAAAGGTTGGGAATGTCCACCTCAAACTTGTTTCCCAGTAAACACTATTATTTTTGATGAAAAAGCATGTCAAACAGAGATCCCTTGCATACAAAATATCAGCAATATCTTATATCATCAAAAAATAACAATTAGGTTTACGAAGGAAATCTTAGATAATTACAGCAAGTTTACTTGTGTATTTAAAAAAGTGAATCCAGATGGAAGCTATAATTGGTACAAGGATAAAAATCGTGATATAGAATTTCCTATTTCAAAAATAAACTCTGAAAATAGTCACTTTTGGAAAGGATACTGGAGTAATATTGTTGATAAGATTTTAACTGCAGAAATTGAGTGGGGAAGCATTACTTTAATGCATAGGTATAATTTAATGGATGAAATTATACAAACATGGTCTAGTGAATTTAACAATCTCCGTGAATCAAAGTCCTATGAATTAAATTTTAAAATGATTTGGTGTGTCTCTGAAATAATTGAACAAATATCACGGGAACCAAAAGGAAGTTGGCTTAAAGCAATTAATAGCACTGATTACAATAATTGGTATGAAAAAGGAGAAGAATTTTGGATATGGATTATGATATGGATGAGATTTAATGCACTTGGTATACTTGATTGGCAAAGAAACTATAATACAGCTCCAAGATTATTAGCATCAGCAGCTGAGAATGCAACATTAACAGTAATATCTAAATGGATTGAATGGCCTCAATATAGATGGTTAATTAGATTGATAATACAAACAATGATCAGGGGCGGTTCTCGTGGTCAAGAGGTAAGAGATAGAATCCTTCATATAATGCATAGAAATCATATTCCTGAAGCTCATGGAACATTTTATGAACAGTGGCATCAAAAATTACATAATAACACAACACCAGATGATGTAGGTATATGTCGTTCAATAATTGGATATCTAAGAAGCAGTGGAAATCAAGATGAATTTGCAAGAATATTATATGAAAATGGATTATCGTGGGAAAAAATAGCCTCTTATGATAGACCAATTACTACAAAACCATATCTTCCTTGTAATACTGATATATATTCACTCGCATATGACTTTGAGCAATATCTTGAAGTGCTAATTGATGTACATGAGGCTATTAACTTGCAGAGATCTTTTCATCACTGCTGTTGTTATCTACCTAGTGAATTGCAAGATGTCTGTAAATCTATAATATATGGAAATGACAAGAAATTTGATGATACTAGAGATCTAAATATTCTCCATGATAGGTTAATGAAGGTGAATAATGTCAGAATTAAAATTCTGGACTGCATATACTATCAGCATGGTGCAAAGTCGCCATCTGATAATAACAAACATGCAATAAAGGAAATAATGTTTTTAGATCTTGGTTTGGAGAATTTACAGGGTATGTTTATTCAGACAATGTGTACTATATCTGGAGACCATAACTTAAATCACATGATAGATGAAATGAATAATTTTTTATGGATTATGCTTGGCCATGATCCAGTAAATAGGGAACTTTTAGCAATTTGCTTTGACTGGTTCAAATTTAATAAGGTTCATGACCCCTTGAGTTTTTTACTTTTGAAAAGCATATTAGAAAGATTACATATATTTATTGGAAGTCACATGGACATAATTTACAAGGGATGGAATCCAAAAGTGAGATTTTTTGGAGGTAGCTTGGGTCTAGAGGAAAATAATAATACTATAAGGAATTTTATGGATGAAGTACTAAGGTCAACTTTATTATCAACCATATCTTTACAAATTAAGAGAATCGATAAATACCTTCTCAATAAAATGGAAACTTCACATATGCAAGACTGGCAATACATTAGTTACAACCCATCTTGGTATAGCAACCAGAAATTAATAGGTGTTGTGAAACGAGTCGACAAAATTACTGACGATATAGGCAAAGAGAGTACTCCAAAAATTCTTATATGTTCATATATATCAGGTGAAGAGGATATACCCATGAACGTTGTAGGAATTCTGTTAACTGATTCCAACTTTGCACCCGATATACTCTCTCATTTATCAGTTCGTGCAAGAAATATGAATGTACTTCTAGCTGTATGCCAAAATCCCAATTTAATATTGAATGAAATCAACACAATTGATACGGATACTATTATTGAAATAAAAGTAACTAGTGATATGATGTTGAAGATTGAAAAGAATGCTAATATAGAAGTAAATTCTGCTATTGATACTGAGAAAAAAAAACACTTTATACCAAAAAAAGACAACTTGAAATTAAAAACTTCAGATAAATCATGGATTATATATCCTGAAAAAATGGATGATACAGTTGTTGGACAAAAGGCAATAAATCTTTTGAAACTTCGTAGAATTATTACCGAAACTCAAGATTCAAATATAATAAAAGGAATTTATGTCCCAAATTGTGTATCATTGCCATTTGAAACTCTCTCAAGAGTAATACCGAAAGATTTAAATGAAAAATTGAGTGAATTATTGAACCAAATATTAAATGATAATGACTTGGTAAATAAAACCTTATCAGAAATTTGTGGAATTATTGAGAATGATATCAAGCCACCAAAAGACTTACTGCAAGAGTTATATAAAGCATGTTTGACACTAAAAAGTGATGAAATTGATATTTGTGATGAGAAGCAAATAGATAACACGAATATAGAAAGTATTATAAATAATCCTATTATTAAAGAAATGTGGAGCTCTATTACAAAGGTCTGGAGCTCAGTATATCATCCCCGTGCTTATACAAATATACTTAAAATTGGGCAATCTCTAAGCAATGTTTATATGTCAGTCGTTATTCAAAGACTACTGAAAGCAAATTATGCTTTTGTATTACATAGCAAGAATCCTGTACAGAAAGTGGGAACTAATGATATAAATTCAGAGAAATATGAAGAGATGTATGGTGAACTAGTAATTGGCCTAGGAGAAACACTTGTGTCTAATACATGTGGAAAATCGTTAGGTTTTACTGCAAAACGTCTTAAAGAGTGTAAGAATTATTGCGATATTAATATGATTCAGGAAGTAAATATTATGTGCTTCCCTTCAAAATCTATTGCCATGTTTAGTCAAGATAGTTTTAATTCTATAGAAAAAAAAGATTTTGATAAAGATGCTAATCTCGATGTTAATTACATATTTAGATCAGACTCAAATGCAGAGGATATTGCAGGTTTTGCAGGTGCAGGAGTATTTGAATCATTTCCATTAATACAACCGATTAGTGAATATGTCACCTATCTGAATCAAGAAATAATAATAAATCCCCTATTTAGAGATCGGCTCCTAAGATCACTAGGTATTTTAGCATTTTATATTCAAGATGAGTATAAAGGTGTGCCACAGGATATAGAAGGATGTATTATACCTTCAATTTCAATTCATTCAGATCTACCTTATACAATTGCTGTTGTACAATCAAGACCACAAGTATAAAGATTTAAAGATAATAGAAGTGAATGATTTGTAGACTCTTGTCACTATAATAGTACTATGAGCTATTTTCTTCAACAATATTCTGTACTTTGTCTTGAATTGAATTCCATATCCCAAAGAATTTTGAAGGTGAAATTTTGACTTTAGCTAATTTTACACTAGTCAGTTGATTAAAATCATTAAAATCGCACGAGTTTTGTCCAGTAGTACCATTACTGATTTCTGACAAAGCTGATGAAGAAAAGATATCTTTTGAGTTGTTTGATGAATCATTGCAAGTATTAGACTTTTTTTCAAATAATATATGAGTACAGGATTCCTGGAGTTCGTTTACAATACATTTATTTTTGGAATTTAAATTTTCGACGGGAAAATTTCCATCTAAAAAAACATTTTTAAATTTTATTTCTTCACTTCTTGTTAACTTAACTATAGAGGGGTCAGGTATCTCATTGTGCATTAACTTTGAATCAAGACTTGTATTAATTATTTCCAAACTTGGGGTAGATTTACGAAGCATATCTACATTATAATCATTATTTATAGTAGAATTCAGCATGTCATTGCTAATATCTTCATATTTATCTAATTTGCTACTACAATCAAACTTTGAATTGTTCAGACTATTGTTTCTTCTACTCTCCAAAATATTTGAACGAATTTTGATCAGCTCTTTTAAATTAATATAATCAGGTGAAATTAAATTTGTGTTTTCCTTATATTCTCTATTTTTATTTTGTCCAAACTTTAATCTGCTTTTATTATAGTTTATTTTATTTTCTTTAAAATTTTGCATATCCATTATATAAAATTATTGAAAAAAAGAAATCTTCAATAATATTGAAACAAAATATGTAAATTATCCGAAGGCTAATGATTTATTCCAAGTTATAGCTTTGCATATTTATATCTCTTTCTTTTGTGCAAAAATAAAGCTTGTTTATATTGGATGTGCCCTGTGAGAAATAATACTGTGCAACTTGACCGCTAATTAACCTGCAGTTTAATAAAACAAAGATGCAGAATTATTGGTTAGGATATTATAAACCTGTAATTACATATAACCTATTTTAGTTTGCATATCCTAATATATTATTAAATTAACCTAGTTACAAAACTTTATTGTCAATTTTAAAATTAGAAATTTGATTAAAGGAATTTCTTGATATTTATTATTTAATAACTTGAATAAAACTGTTATACTCTTCCAGTTTGATAAAATAAGGCTGGGTATATGGCACCAATAACAAAAACTAGTATAGTCATTGCAATAATGCAAATAATTTTTATCTTAAACCATGTTGATTTAAATAAATCTTGTCTCTCTCTAGTCTGCAGAAAATCTTCCCATTTTCTACCAATAAATGGTGTAATTAGCCTAGGAAGACGATTTGGTGCATTTCTACCTAATCCTACTTTTTTACTGTTCGCTTCTGATTGTGTTAAAATTTGTATTGTTAGTTGGACATATCCTGGATTTCTATATACCTCATCTGTCTCCTGTGTATTAATTAATGGTAATTCTACATCAGAATCAATCATTTCCAGTGTATTAGCAACATTCATAATATATTTTCTCATGTCTAAATTTACCTCACCCAGAAAATCATGATTTCCAAGAGTACTATAGTTCAATAATGATATCTGCAGTAAACATCCACTTACAGGTGTCACAATATATGGAAATACCACACGCCAATTAAATACTGGCTCACCATTTCTACAATTATAATGAACATCAGTTAATTGTTGTTTAGAATATATTTCTCTACTTTTAACCTTGTTTCCATGATACTGATTGCAGTCTAATGATACTTGAATAGCAAAATCACCATAATCTTTGTTTTTCGGAATCTTAATACTACGTCCAGCCCATATAACTATCCTTATCTCAACTTCTGTTGGCACTGGTTCAGCTAGCTCATATCGCTGTATTGTTGAAGATAAATTGGCATTCATAATCTCGACCCACATTTGCAAAATTCCTGTATTAGTATTTGATGTATTATTACAATATAATGGGCGATATTCAATTGGAATACTATTCTCTTTCATTAGAGATTGCCATTCTTTACTTTGCCATCTATCAGTCAAGTCTAAAATTGTACTTCCTATATAAATATCATATTCTGGGCCTAGTTCCTGACATATTTCCTGTTCTAGACTTGAATTACGATTAATCTTTGAGTTTCGTGTAATAGCTTCGGTATTTGAAACATTTTCATCTATTTTATACTCCTCTGCATCTACTGAATACTGATTAGTATTTTTAGCTAGCTCTGAAGATACTAAGCCTAAAACTTTTGATGCAATAAATGGATATACTCTTTCTTGTATTGCCCAAACTCTAATTTCAAATCGACTCTCCATAGGAAAAGAAACATTGTACTCTTGACAAATGTAAAATAATGGTGATGGACCATCCCTAGCTAATGCCCTAAAATTCTCTTCTTTTGTACCATACACAATAGATATATAAAATGATTTTACTCTTATTTCTGTTCTTAATATACTATCAATAGATAAATAACTTTTCAATTTGCTAATATATGAATATCCAATGTTAGATGGTATTAATCTATCTACTGAACGTACAATTTCATCAATATCTTTTGGTAATACTAGTGCTAATGCAGCTAGTATATATAATCTTACTTTAATTGGGTTAGGATAGACATTCTCCCCTTTGTATTTTTTATACAAACTACTTGGGTTCAAAATAAACTTTGTAGTTTCCAAACTATAGCAACGGCTTATTTGATTTGAGGATATTGCAGCGGAAATATCATCAGCTTTTTTTTTTGAAGTCTCTGCATTATCAAGCTGGTCCATGTTATCTGACATATCACTTTTTTTCTCCCCCTGATTAATTTTATTAATTACATCTGGTAAAGCTAATAGAATAAATGCCCTGATATATCCAAAAATCCTAATTTTTCCCTGAAAACTTCTTTTTTTAAGTGGAAAAAGTGGAAGAGGAATATCTGATAGAAAGTCTTCCATTACTGTATCAAGTGATGATTTAAACGAAATAATCTTGCTATTTTTTTTTGTTACTACTATACCACCAGCACCACTTGATAGAGTTGTCAGTATACTCATTTTATCTCCACCCTTTGTAGCTTCTCCTTCAGCTACCATTACAAAGTGATAGGGTATATATGTATTTATTGTAAACATGTTCAGTGACACTCTTGGATAATTAACATTTGGTAATGTATATGATTTAATAAGTAACAAAGGTATTCCAGCAGAATTTAGACCTTGATTCTCTAATTCTTCATTTTTAGAATCATCTTCTAATTGTAAGGCTGGGAATGGGTATCTAGTTGTTTGTTGTTGCATTTCCTGCCGATCCTCAATATCTGCCAACGCGACACTTGCCAATCCCATTTGTTTAAGAGTGCCCCCTTTTTCTGTTTTCCTTGACAAGATATTTGTAAGTGTCTTTATATCTATTTGATGTGAATAGTCATTCTTCGCAGTTATATATTCTTGTGCATTATCAACATCTGGAATCCATGGTAAAAAAGAAACTAAAGGTAGTACGCATTCTCCAATTAATGTACTCTCATCAACAGCAGCTTCATATACTCTTATAGTTACTTTTGGGTCATATAACGGAGATATGGGAATATATATATCTAGTGTGACACTTGTGAAAAACTCAAAATTTGATCCTGCAGTTGTTTGCCACTTTCTATTTGTGAATTCACTTGTCCCAGCAGTTGTTATTGACCTCCATGGTATTGTATAACGAAATTCTGGAATACTAGTATGTGATAATGTTTCATTTCCACTTTTATCCTTTGCATTGTACTTATCTGTTGATTCATTTTCATTTCTTATCGATGCATCAACTTTCCCAAATGAACTTACAATAAGTTCTATTATTGGTTGGTTTATGGATTCTGAAATTAAATTACTTTTCTCATTATATTGTAAATAGAAATCATCATTATTTGACATAATCATTCTGATTTTTTCTATTTCTGATCCAATGATTCCTTGATTTTGAAAGTTCATGTCTTTTGACAATGAAAGTTTCTTCTGTCTTGTTTCTTCAATATTTGCTTTTGATATTAGAGATAGATCATTTAGCATTGCTGAAGTAAAGATAAGTTGTACCTTTTTTAATTTAGGAAACAATGGTTGAGGTGGGATTAGTTTTGCATCTTTTAATTTTATAATATCAAAGCATAATAGAATATCACCGACATGTGTATGAAAATTTTTCCCACCCTTAAGTTTAACCCAACAAGGTTCCAATATATCTATAAATTCATTATTTTGTAACCTTCCTCTTAAGCGATCGTATATACATGTACAAGAGCCAATATATCTTTTACCCCAACTATGTCTTGAGAAAACACTAATTGTTATTGGTGCAACAGTTGGTTTTGAAGTAATAGAATCAGTAGCTACTGTGTGTCTTAGTATCAAACACTCCATAAAGCTTGGGTTAGATGTTTCACTTTTTACAGATGAAGTAGTATAAACTCCACTACATGATGCAACGACATATGGATTTGTTAATCCTAAGCTATAATCTTCATATAAATTTCTACATGCATAAATATAACAACGTAGCTCGTATTCAATATCTTTCATAGTGTGTCTTTTGCTCCTATGAAGTACTGGTCCCAAAAGTTTACCAATAGATATTAATATTGCACTCGATCCAATATTATATAAATCTATATTTAATTTCTGTGTATTATTCTCTGTTTTATCTTTTAGGTCTTCAAATGTGTGCTTGAAGTAGTTATTTATTTCCATCTGTTTCTCGTTAACCATTTGTATCCAGCCTTCTCTTGTTTGCTTTAGAGGTATCCATACTGGTATTGTTGGATTATTTTCGATATAATCAGGTATATCCATAAGTTTAATACGGTTATAGGCAACTCTTTTTGTTTTAAACATATCTGTAGATTTTCTCCCCATTAGACTTGCCCAGTTTGAATCCTTTATAATTTGTTTTTCACTTGTATAAACTGAAATTATGATGTCCCATACATCCTCTTCTTTTGAAGAGTATTCAATATCTATTTCAGGTATTCTTCCTTGAGTAGCTCCAAATGTAAAATTATCCATTTGATGTTGGTTTTTAGTTTCAAATAATTCAATACCTCTTACTTTTGATTTGGATTCACTAAATACATTATAATCACGCTCTACCCACTCACTTCTCTGTTTAACAGGGCCTATTGATACCTCAACGCATGCTTTATCTCCAATTGTTCCCTTCAAGGAATATACATCAGCAACAATATGGCATTGAATAGAGTATAAATCATCTATTGGTTGAGCTGCCATTAATTGTGCAGGCATTAATTGATTTTTGCTGCGGAGTAGCTCTGTTTTAATTGATACTAGCAGTCTCCCTAGATAAGTATCTGCATTTGACTCAAGTATCTCAGTAAAATATGAACCTTGATCTTCAGAATTTTGTGTTTCAAAAGATTCACTCTGAGAATTACCATAAAAATTGTACCAGCGAGGTGGGATTGGAGCTATCCTTACTTTTGCAAAGGAAAATTTTCCTTGCGAAATAATCTTAGGTGGATTGTATGAATTATCCCATAATTTTATTAATATATTATCTTCTACTACAGGTAATACTACTGGTAACCGAAAACATTCATTAAAATTATGTCCCAAAACACCTCTTGCAATAGTTGTTTGCATTCTACATCCACTAAATTCAACAGTCACAAATGGATCTCTAAGTCCTCTTTTGTATAGTAGATCTTCAACTCTATATATACTTATATGTAAATGGTACATTTGGAGCTCTTTTTCTAAAACCATCATTTGAGAATCTTTCCTTGTTATATCTACTATCTGTGAAGTAAAATCTACAAATTCAGAATCTATCTCATCTTGATCCGTATTAATGAGCTCTAATATATCGGTTGTCGGTGGAGTATCTTTCGGTCCACATGCATAAACTGTCAAATATAGTAAACCCTTTGGAAATGTGTCATTCAAATCTGTAATAGTAAAGTGTCTCTTCAAAAAGTGGTTCTTTCTATTTCTAAGTACTTTCAACTGAATAGAACACTGACCAATCACATCATTTTTCCACAACGAATTAGCACTTTGTACTTCAAAGGATATGTAGGAAGTTTCCCACTCTGCATCTGTCAATATCAGATCATTCCATGCAAAAGTTTCATCCCATTGAGCTACAGCTAACTTTTTGTACTTTACTTTTGTTCTAAATTCTCTACCGGAACATCTCACCACCACTAATGGATCTATTGGAGCTTGATTTGGGGTAACAAATGCTTTACCCGAGTGAATAGTAAAACCAACAATATATTTTGATGCTTTCCGTTTTTCCATTAAAAAATTCAAAAAATCAAGTGTTGAAGTTTTGATTTCCTTTATAAATACCAATAAAGTAAATATTGTCCACGTTGCATCATATGCATGCACCGGTACTAAGACCAACCCGCCAAACATTTCTATATTGTCTTTAGTGCGAAAATCTAGGAGAAATTCAAGTAAAACTTTTAGCCTCTCTAGTTAACAAAGTACTATTTTCTAAAATTAGGAGTTTTCTAATATCTACCTCATAAGTTGACTATCAGAGAAGCTTTTTAATGTATTGATGACACTTTTTATATTTGGTCGAAGCTTAGGATCTGGATTTAGACACTGAAGGATGATATTTCTAATAATTGAATTGATTTCAACAGGAATATAAGGAATATATCTATTTTTTTTTGCTGCATCTAAGAGTTTTTTGTAAATATCATTGGATGAATCTGTAGATTCAACAAGGTATTCAAATGGATTTGGATAACCAAAGAACTCTTGCAAAATGCAACCGAATGACCATATATCCCATTTCTCATCGTAATCAACTATTTTTGATTCAGAAGTATCTTTTCTAATGGGATCTGTAAGAATAAGTTCTATTGGTGAATATAGCCATGTTGCACCAGAAAGTTTCTTTTTATTTCCAACACCATACTCTTCTGCATCTCCAAAATCACAAAGATATATCCTCCAAGTTTTAGTATCAACGATCAAGTTTTCTGGCTTAATATCACGGTGAATAACAATACCCTTTTCTTTTGAAGGGGTATGCAAAAATAAAATTACATCAGCTAGTTGTCTAATCATATACAATGCTTTATCTTTAGGGATATTTCTATGAAGTCTATATCTTAATGAATGAAGGTCTGGTCCATTTACAAGTTTAGTTATAAGCCAGATATGCCTATTAGGTAAAATTATTCCTCCTTTAAATTCAATAATGTTGGGATGTTTTAGTCTAGATAAAAATCGCCACTCCCTCAAAACTCTTTCAATTACTCCCAATGGATCTACTTCAATCATTACAAGGTTTGGGACTTTTATGGCAACCTTTGTGCCCTTATAGATCCCTTTATATACAATACCAAAGCTTCCTTTCTCTAAATATTTAAAGTCATATTTTTTAATCGAACTTCCGAATACAATACTTTGTGCTTCAACAGTCAAATCTTCAATTTTGCATTTATTCCTCTGTATATAACGATCATAAGATGCCGTCAATATTAGGATATTTACAGCATTCCAAGCTTTTAAGTTTTTTACTGAGTATCTTGCTGTTTGAATTGGGGTCTCTCCTTCTGTATATTGATATTCACATATTCTAGTTCTATCAGTTTTGGGGCTGTCAATGTTCATTTTACAACTTAACATATTTTCTTGATTAACCAAATTAGCTCTAGGAGTTGAAAATAACTTTAATTTTGGTACTGAAAAATTTGTGAGTAGTTTTTGGGGGAGTTGGAAGTTTGAAACATTTATTGGTTTTAATTGGTTATTAAATTTTGGAACATCTGGGACTAGGTTTCCATAAAGATTATGATGGAATACAACTTTTTCATATTGACTCCTAGAACTTTGCTCATTAATTGAAAATGAAATTTCCGATGATGTGATTGGGGGAATTGTTGATCCAGAAAAATCTTGATTTTTATCTTTAGCACTTGTGTTTGGGGGAGTAATAGCCTTTATTTTATTTAAGTCTATACGGGGAACTTGGGACCTTGTAGTTAATAGTAATTTTCCACTATCATAAGCACCTTTTGAAGCACAATATGATCTTGTTGTTAAATTTCCATAATCTTTGGAAATTAAAGAAAAAGGTATCTGATATTTATGAAGTCTAGTTAAATTAGAGTGTCTAGTTCCCTTAGCTTTTATATACTGGTCGTTTTTAGTCCCTAAACAAAAGAAATTAGAAATCCTCTCGAAAGTAAAATCTGAAAATTCACATCTTAAACCAAATAAGTTCATTATGAAAGGAAAGATGAAATTAATAGATTCATTTAAAAAAATAACACTAATTAGCTACACTGAAAGGGATACACACGGAATTGTGTACATTTCTCTTTGCACACTCAATACTCAAATATAACTAAACAATTCTAACATTAATAACGAAACAGTAACAATGATTTAACTAGGACGTTTTATGGTGATTATTATATTAGCTCTATCAGCTACTTTACCCTGAATTCTATTACCCAACATACTTTGAACTTCTGATGTTCTTTTGCCTAAAACCTCCTTTAAAACAGATGAATCTATATTGGTTATACATCTAGCAAGTTCTTTTTCATCTGGATCATCATCACTTATAAGGGAAACAGCATCTCCTATTACAAAGTGACCATCTATTCTTTTTACACCCGCACAAAATAAGGAAGTTAAATCTTTCACTACTGACTTTACAGCTCCTTCATCCAAGTATAACTTTCCGTGAACTGGTAAACTCATTATCCACCTTCTTTGATTTCTCATTGTTTGCATTAAAATTTGACGGACAAAAATAGTACCGATATATTGTCCATGATGCAACTCATCTGGTGAGCAAGTAACAATATCATTGCAGAAATTTGAGTCAGCGTTGTAAGTTGCTACTGATTCTATAGATGATGCTGCTAATGCAGATGAGTTAAGAGTTATATGGTTATACAAACCTTCATTGAGAATCTTGTTTGTTGCTTCGCCTTCAGTACTTTGAGCTAAATTTGATCCAGAAAGAGATCTAGTCATTTGAACAGGTTCCAATAATTTAATGAAATCTTCAGATTCTACAAGTTGTAATAATCTGCAGGGATATGCTCCGTTTACTAAAAATGTCGATATTCCTGCTGCTGCTGCAACTCTAGCAGCTATAATCTTCGTTCTCATCCCTCCAGTTCCTAAATCACTTCCATTGTTTTCAGCAGAATTGTCATTAGCCATGTGAATTATAGCATCAATATTATTAACCTTTAATATAGGGGTAGCATCTGGATGAAGGCGTGGATTTTTTGTATATAGTGCATCAACATCTGTTGCTAAAATTAGCCAATCTGCTGATATTGCAATTGCACAATAAGCAGCTAATGTATCATTATCTCCAAAATACAAAGTTTTGGATGTAACGGCATCATTTTCATTAATTATAGGCACAACATTCCAATGTATAAGATCTAAAAGAGTATTTTTAAAATCAATGTAACTATCTTTATTTACAAAATCTGAACGAGTCATAAGAAGTTGTGCAACCTTAGCTCCTCTCATAGAAAAGAAGTCTTCATAAACTCTCATTAATAAAGGTTGACCAATAGCAGCCACTGCATGTTTTAAATGAAGTTTGCTTGGCTTCTCTCGAATATTCATATGAAGTAGTCCTGCCCCAACAGCTCCAGAAGATACAAGGACTACCCTGCAACCTTTGTCCATTAGATCACATACAGTGTCTACTAAAGCTCCAATATTAGATACTGACAACTTCCCTGTTCTATTGTTAGTTAATGTTGAAGTACCAACCTTAAGAACAATTAAAGGACCACTTCTTTGCCTTCTCACTAATTGTGGACCTATGTCACGATTATCAAGTGATGTAGGTAAAGAGTTTATCATTTCTACAAGAACCTTAAAATCTTTATAAGATTCCTCAAAATTTACCTCACTTTATAATTTTCTATTAATCTAGTATACCGCTATTTATAAAGGCGGTTTCATGCACATGCATTCAGAATTTTATATTATTACAAGACCTTGTAGTTATGGGTAATCTAGATAGATAGAAATTCACTATTTAAAAGGGCTATGCATCCATAATATTTTTTAATGACTTATTGTTAATGATACTAATCTTTATATTAATTTATATTAGTTCAAAATTACAAAAGTCACGTGGGCTCTATTGTATATAGAATTTTAATAATGGAAGTATATAGAAATCAGTAAGATTGTTAGATAATCAGTCAAATTATAAATAGCTCTATTTAAACTTACATTAGATTTTATATATCTGATTTAGATATATTTTATCAAACACAAAAATTGGTATTATTTAATATTAAATATACTCAAGTTTCAACAATAAGTTTGTATACATATTAGTCCAATTTTACTTAATAAATAGAAAGTAAATAATAATAAATAGTTGGATTTACTGATATGATTTAATAATTTAAATATGGAGATAATTTGAATATTACTGTAGAGCTTATGATGGAGTATGACAAATAATATATATCAATTTAGGAAAAGTTAATAATATTTTCAATTTAAATGAAATAGTTCAAATTTGAATATTACTTGTTATGAATAAAAGAGAAAGAAATAAATATTTTATTTGTTTTTAAAAGATAGAAATTATAGTTATATATGGTTCTTTCAAAATATACATTTAACAGTCTTATCAAATTTAAACTACAAAGTTGTTTATTTGATATTTATTAATTTATATATTATAGAAAAAAGGGTTCTTCCAAATTTTATAATTTGCAATATTGAAACTACAATGTCGAAATATTTAACAATCAATGATAGTGATAAATTTTTGTATTTATTTTGTCTAAGATGGATCAATATTTTATTGGCATTAAATCTGATATTAATACTATAATGGTTATAGTTTATAATATACCAATACTTGCTCTATAAAAAGAAAATATGACTCCATATAAATAAGATATTGGAGAATAATATATTAATAAAATGTTAACAGTAAAATCATTTAATTACTATTTTTGAGCCTTTAAAATAAGATCTTAATATTAAAATATTGAAATTAAGATAAATTTAAGTTAGTGATAAAGTTCAATATATCGCATAAAATGACCCCTATATTTATATATATGACCTAGTATGTTAAAGTGGTATTGAAATATATGAATTTGACAACATAAAGAAACTTCAATAATATTACAAAAGTTGAATATATTAAACCATTACTGCCGCATAATAAATGATTTTATATTTCAGTTAGCGCTATGAAAAATATAAATACTTGAAGCTATAATATTTCTAAAGTGAAATATTTTGATACCTAGAGTATTTTATTGGTTTATTTTGTATATCAGTTATTAGCATGTAGCCATATATAAATACAAATGAAATAATTTCCCAAGAACAACTTTTTCGAGAGACACTGAAATTTTTGGAGCTATTTTCTCCTAAATCTTCTTTATATATTAAAGATCTGAATATTATGGATAAATCAGTTACAATGTTTATAGATAGTGAAAATCAGCGTGATATAGAGAATAAGATTGATTCTCATGATAATGTAGATATTACACGCAACTTTTATATATCAAAGTCTCAAAGAGGTTTAAGAATATTTTCTAGTAAAAATATGGCTGAGAACAAAGTCCACTTAGATCACTCTTCGAACTTAGACCTATTTAACGAACCATATTTCTGTGGATCATTTGCTCAAATAAATAAATCTGTTGATAAATTGTTTTTTAAGCAAATACAAAGTAAAGATAGTATAACTAAAATAATAAATATTATGATGAGTTCATTCCTTCAAAATCATATAATTCCTGTCTTAAATAAAAAGGGAATTGATAAAAAAGAGTTGATAAATATGATAATGGTGAGATATTTTTTAAAAGATGAACTTTACAAATATTCAACTAATATAAATAGATTTGCAGGATGGAATATATTAACAAATATATTTGATAGTTCAATTGCACCTTTAAATAAAGATACACAAGAAGATTGTTTGTCTTCTCTACATGATTCTGATCTGTTGGAAAGTTTGCTTTATAGAGATATTTTAGATAAAATGAGGACATTAATTGGATACATTGTAGATATTAAAAGGGATGATAAGCAAATTACTCCATTTGATTCTTGTCGAGTTCCAAATATTGCAGTTAGAGACTATTTTTCTAGATTGGTAGAATTTTTTTTATGTAGTCCTTCTATGTACATCTTATCATTTATATATATAGATCGTCTAATTAAAAAAAATCCTACCTTTTCAGTTGATGTTATTAATGCTCATAGACTACTAGTTACAACTCTACTATTAGCCGTGAAACTTTTTGATGACAAATTACTTTCCAATTCATATTATTCTAAAGTAGGTGGTATATCTAATCTAGAATTAAATAAAATGGAAGCTATGGTATTCACTCTTCTTGATTTTGATTTGAATGTTTCATTTGGGGAATTTGTATTCTATGCGTTGTCTATTAAATTAGTTGGGGGGGTTTTACAATTAATTGATTCTAAATAAAAGATTTTGTCTAATGAAATATATGGAGATATAATGTAGCTTTTTAATTATGGTCTTCAAATATTGATATTAAAGATAATATTTCCAGATAAGAAAAATTTCAAATATCTGTATATTTAATTTAAATGATCCCCTCAAATTTACTGATTCAAATATATTATTTATAAGAGAACTTTAGTCTTATTTAATAATAGCTTGTATAAGGATATTTTCTTGACAGTGCATTTATGAAATTGCATAGAAATTTCCCAAGATTCTGGTTTTATTCTACTTATTGAGATAATCTCAATTGAATTAATTATATATTTCCTTTTTATTATTTATTCTAACAATCTATCTCCAAGATATTAGCTAGATTACTGTAAAATCTTAGTATAATATGGTTAAAAGGCTCCTTAATATTATTCATTGTCGGAATTCTTATTACAAAAACTGCAAAATATAATAAATAATGATTATATACAATTCCAAAATTCTTTAAATCATTACTTAAGGATATTTTTTTCAAACTTGATTTTTAGAATACTAGGTTATCACATTTAATATTATATATCTCAACCTTATAAAGTTATTCTGGTCATTTTATGTATCATAAGTTATAATATTATATCTTCTTTAAATAATTTGAATTTGATTCTCCAATTCTACAGCAATTATTTTAATTTTAAGTACAGATAACTCTATATATTCTTATTGTAGTGGATAAGCTAACTTCGTGGACGTTTTGTCGTTTTGTGTGCATCCTTAGTTTTAAATGTTAAATTTCGTCTCATTGCTAATTTTAATTCTTCAAAATATTATAACTTAAGAAATGCCTCAATTATATGCCCCTTCAGGTCATTTACTCAGTCAAAATTCAACAAATTTAAATTCGTCTGTTAATACTATACTAAATTTGAAAAATTCATCTAATTATATACTAGGCCCAAGTAAGCAAACAACTTCTATTAATAGTTTAGCATCTTTACAAGCAAGAGGAAATCAATATACTGGTGTTGCTAGTTTTATCCATAGGAGAGCCGCACGAGTTTCTAGATCACCAAGCCCTGAAAGATTCCTTCAAAATCATAGCAAGGAGTCAGAATCTCAGAAAATTTCGTCTACTAGTATTAATAGTACAACTTACGATGTTCCTTTTTCAGGAATTATTGGTTCTTCTTGTATATCATCATTGAGCTATTTAGCAAATAAGCAACAGGAAAAACGATCAGCTTCTCTTGGAAAATTAGTTGAAAATAAGGAGAATTATCAAACTGTTCAAACGGGAGTCCTAGAACAAAAGCTTGAAAAAGAAATATTAGATCTTAGGAAACAGGTCACTGATCTTAAGAAAGCCCTTGCTTTAAGAGATGAGGAGAATTCTAGACTTAAAATGAAGCTAAATTTTTTACAAAACAGACCTGGAATAGAATCCATGCCACCTATAAGAGCTAAAGATCGTCATACTAGTAAAAGTATCTCACGTGTTGTAAAAGATGATGAAGTTAGTTTGTATGTATGTGGTAACCCTAGTTTAATAAATAAAATATCTGTTAGTGAATTTCAAGGTAAACCATGTTTATGGAAACCCAATAAGAATATAGCACAAATTTTACTTAGAGAATGGAAAATAAGTTGGGTATGTGTTGAGGGGAGACGTACTAGTAAAGCTATGCCAAATCAAGATGATTTTTCAATATTGAAGTTGAATAATAACACTACAATTTTAGCTGTTTTTGATGGTCATGGGCGTTATGGTCACATTGTAGCTTCACTTGTAAGGCAAAAAATTTGTAGGGGTCTTAAAAAGTTATTTGAGGTATCAGGAACTACAGATATGCATATGAATGCATCATATAACATACAAATGGTATCATTTGACCGTTTAAAGGGAGTATATGATCTATTTGATCAAGTACAAACATCCCTTGAAAAGGAAGGGCAATTTGGATCATCAGGGACTAGTGTAACTGTAGCAGTTATTCATAATGATAGATTATTGATGATACAATTGGGAAGTTCAGGTGGATTAATACTGAATTCTGATACAGGTCAGATATTATACAAAACTAAGGTCCACACTCTGGATAATACTCAAGAACGCTCAAGAATTATAACAAAGGATGTTATAGTCAATGAAAAAGGTAGATTTGAATTATTAAATCACCTTCATAATTCTAATAATAGTAGTTTATCTCTTAAAACTTCTTATTCTTTAACTAGGAGCCTAGGAGATACAGATGGTAGAAGCTTAGGAATTTTAAATAGACCAGATATTTGGGAAACTAAGGTTAGTCATAAAGGAAATGTGATAGTTATCATAGCTACTGATGGATTTTGGGAATATTCTGAGAAAATAAATACTAATTTTGCAAAGCTCACAAATCAAGATGAACTTGAGTCTATTACTATGAAATGCCAAGATTGTTGGATGAAGATGTCAGGAAATACATCTGTAGATGATATTACAATAATTACAATCCAGATTTAATATAATAAAATCTGGTATCTAAACTAATTTTCTTTTTTATAATCTGCATATCTATTAAAGTATAGCTCACATAATCCCGCTGCAAATGGGTGGCATTAGATATTGATTTTTTTAGGCGGTCCTTCTGTTGAGTTGCTGCACTATGTTTTAAGTGGCATTGTCTTTTTTATTCTTAACACTTATGGGATGTCTTATTCATCAATAATACTTGGTTTCCTACTTTATCTTACTTCAGGGTTAATCTGGAAAGGATTGGAATCTAAATTTGGTTTTATACCCGCATGTTCTGTAATTTCCTTTATATTCATTACTTCATATGGAGTTTATGTCTATATAGTTAAGGCACCATCATCATTACTTTTAACAATTCCAAAATTAGATAATAAGGGGACTGATAGAAGTAGGAGAAGACTGAGTTTAGTAGATAATTTTGAGTTACAAAAAGCTAAAGTATTTGGAACTCCTAGACATACTACCAATAATTTGGATACACAAAGTCTAGGAGAGTCAAGTAATCTACTAAATTTGAGTAAATCTGGACAATATGGGAATTCGAATATTTCACACACAAATGAAAGGATACCTAGCCAAACCCAGTTATCATTTTTTGGATTGAACTTAACGACTCCTATAAGGACTCCAAATGCCGCCTCTGACTCAAGACAACTTTTATTTACAAACTCTAACTCAACTAACTCATCATTATCATCAGTGAGACAATTTGATATAACTTCTTCATCTAATTTAGCAGAGACATTTATTAAGGCTGCATCAGCTGCAAGAACAGCCCAAGGAGATGAAGGTATTCTTTCTCCTTTTGGATTTGGCTGGGCAAATTCTTTATCAAATGTAACAAATGCTACACCTTATAGACTGGGATTGACTCCAGAGAAATCAACTCCTGTAAATAATACAAGCAAACTTTCTTCAGTATCATCTTCTATGACTTCCTTAGTAAGATCATCATTTTCAAGCTTAAACGCTGCTTCTTCAAACTTAATTAGTGGTAGGAAGTCACTATCAAATGAGCACTCTCACTTTACAAACAATAGTAGACAAGGCAATATATCTTCTAAACAACATCCTACTAGTTTCCTATTTCTTCGTGATGATCCTGTACAGAACAAAGTTAAAAATGATAGTACAACTCCCATTAAAAAAGTCCATCCTGGTTTTGCTTCTCCCCTCCCTTCAGGTAGATCTCCAATTTTATTGCAAGCTACAGAGAATAGAGATTCAACTCTCTCAAGTGACAAAGTATCTTGAAATAATACTTTCTGGTTAACATTAACATGTTTTGTATATAATATTTTTGAACTACAAGTTATGTAATTAAGATATGAGGTACTTTAAACTACTATAGAAATAACCAGTATTAAACTAGTAGATAAGTATTAAAAAGGACAATAATAATATTAGACAAATTATTATAATAATTAATTGATATTAATCTTTCTCTTGATTATCCTTAAATCTCTATTAGCTTAGGAAATCTTTATTTAAATATAAACTATTGATAAAATTTATATCAATATATGCAATTAAAATTAAAGAAGAATTTCAGATATTAATAACCAGATTTGATTCGAGATATTTAATTTATTAATATATTTATATTTAAGAAAATATATATAGTATTATTATATCTCAAATTTCAGTCACGATAGCATACAGTGACATAAATGAAAATAAAAGAGTCAATTTACTTCTAATTTTAAGATCTTCATTTATTTAAATCAGTTTAAAATAAAATACTACCAAGATAATAACTAGTACCTATTACTAACAATTAATAGTTTATATTTATTCTAGGTCTTTCTAGTATTTAATTTGGCTTTGATTTGCTCTCTAATAAATTTAAACCTTGCTATACATTGTGAACTTGTTTTATCTGGTACTTCAGAAGCAATCTTCTCCCATCTTTCTTTAGCAGGTAGAGATGTTGGATACTTTCTTAGTGCTACTTCAAAACAAGTTTGCTGCTCTTCAGTCCATATATCTTCACTTTTAAACTTTGGTTTTCTATCAATATTACTGTTATTTGACATATCTGCTAAATCCCTAATATCCGGTATATTATCACATTTCTTAAATACACCCTTATTTACATTTAGAAAAACATCAAATGCTGATTCTTCTGCAATCTCCGATGATAACTTTGCTAATTTTTCAGCCTCAGATAGTTCTTTTACCTTAATTAAAATCTCTTCCTTTGTCTTTGTATTTCCAACAAATTTTGTAACTAATTCCCATCTTCTATTAACACCTCCCGGATATTTTTGTAAAGCTTTTGCTAAAAGACTTAATTCCGATATAGTCCATTTAGAGCTCTGTACATTCTTTTTCTCAATATTCTCAGTTATTACTTTTTCTATTGTATTTGATTTAGCGAGATTTATTTGTGGAATTCCTAATACCATACAGAAAATTACAGCCAACTCATGAGTCTTTGTTTCAGAATAATAATTGGTAAGCCATATATCAATAAAATTATCTAAAATTTCTAGCTCAGTTTCATTATTTTTTAAAAGCCAATCATTCCACTGTTTGTAGCTTATTGTTTTAAATATAAAATCATCGTCTGAATTGGATGAATTCAAAATAGATTGCTTAAAACCTTCAATCTTCTTATTTAAATTTTCTAAAAATAAACATGAACAATTTTCATTCATTTGTAAAAATATATTTATACCATCTATAAAACTGAAAAAGTTTGTATTGAACTCAAATAATTCTTCTAAAATACAAGCTTTCCTAATTTGAGTCCTAATTGATAATCTTAGAGATTTAGTCTTATATTTCAGTTGTTCAGCCCTCTTTTTAATATCTTCTTCCTTTTGTTGTATTTCTTCACGTAATTTTTGCTCTTCTTCCAATTTCTGAAGTTTTTCTTTTTCTCTCCTCATTTTCTCTTGTTCTTTCTTTACTTTCTGCTCTTCCTTATAAGCTATTATCCTTGGATCATGTTTATATGCCATTTCAACCAGCTTGTTTATTCTAGAAACTTCTTGATTCAAATATTTTGTTCTGATCTTTGAATTCTGTCTTTCCATCCATCTCTTTTCTTCTCTACATTCTGATTGGCTTATATCATACTCATAATGAATACTGAAATCTCTGCAAGTCTGAAAACTTCTCCAAAATCTATAAAATGATTCAACTTTTTCCAAAGTTTCGTCTACATTACCAAGACTAGGAACTGGCTTATTTAAAGACCAACGTGAGTTTCTTTTAAATACAGGTTCAAATGTAGATTTAAATATTTCAAAATTTCCTTTTTCTCCAGTATATGAAGTTGGAATGGACTCATCAAATGGTAGGGCAGAGTCATATGATTGTTTTAAAATTGGGTTACTTAAAATCTCATAAGCTTCTTGTATAGCTAAAAATGGATTTGAGTTAATACTATCGTGATTAATTTTTGTAGTATCTAAACTTGCTTTATTCTTTTGTTTATCTGGATGGTAGGCTAATACTAATTTCCTATAAGCTTTCTTAATTTCTTTGGTATCTGATATCTCCAAAATTCCCAATTTATCATATAAAGTTTTTGGTTCCTTCACCAATTCTTTTAGACGGCTAAGAGTTACAATACTTGTTGCTATGTTGTTAGACTTATTCTTACTAGTTCCATACTTCGATTCATTCAATTTAGAATAAAGATACTCTGTTCTTGTGGTTTCTTTAGGATTTAAGATCCTCCTTTCAGTATTCTGAACTTTTCTATCAGTGCATCTCTCATACTTGTCAAAAAATGCCTTGCCGGCAGCTTCAATACTTCGAGAATTCACGAACTCAGCAATTCCACTATAAACAACTCCAGTTAAATTAGATATATCATAACTACTTTCTAAAGAAATAGGTGGTAGAGCTAAAAGTGGTCCATAGTAGTTCATTACCTTCATTACTACTTAATAGGAAGTGGTAATCACTATCGCTACTATACCAGCTATAAAAACAATTATGAGGCGCGCAATGTAACATATACATATGGGGCGCCATACATTCATTTTTTTTTTCTTTTTTTAATTTTCACTTTATTAAAAAGTTTGCATTTTAAATTTCCTAATTATTCTAAATAGTCCCTTCATATAAAAAAAGGTCACTTTTCACCTAGAGAAGTTAATCCAATACCTCCTATATTGGTTTTTTTGTACCCAGAGGCATATCCTTTAGTAAGATCACCATATGTCTGTTTACCCCAAGAAAATGGTATATAGCGATATTTTATCATATGCTGAAAAAAAATTATATTGCGATTATAAATACCTCAAACTAGCAATATAAAATTTATATATTCAAAACTTACCTGAATTTGCTGTCTCATAGTTAGAATAAATAAAAATATGAAATATACTAGTAGTATTGGCCAAAACACAGGCAAATCAAATACATCAAAAAATGTCATTATAAATGATATAATTGTAGCCCTAGTTGCAGAAAGCCAAAACTTAAACTCTGGTAACCTTCGTTGAAAAGGTCTAAACTCTTGAGAATCGTGTACAGGTAAAACCATACCTTCTTCTTCTGGATCTATTTGAGGAGACAAAAATCCAATAAATAGATTTAAAATATATATAGAGAGTCCATAAGTTACAATATAAAAACCTAAAAATAATCATGTATTATATTTAATAAAATATATCCAAATATTAATATAAAAGAAATTTCATTTCCATATAACAGTATATAATATTATATAATTACTTATCTCCTAAATAAAGGTAATCACATACCTTGATAATGATAAACTCTCATTCCATATAAAATTAACATTCCTAATAAAACAAACCACCTAGATTTAGGATATACAGTTGTTTTTTCAATATAACTAGTCCATATTCGACTATATGGATTTGCAGCAGTAAATGTAGTGTCGCTAGATTCTAATTACAATATAGATTATATAATATTGAAAATAATATTTAAAAATTTAATCAGTGTAAAAGTAAACTTACCTTCACTTTGCATCATATTTTATTTGTTAAAATTAAACAATAAAAATCGAGACAAAAAAAAAGTTTTTATTACAGGAGGGAGAGGGGTTTATTATAGTCCAGTGACCTAGCCTAATTAGTACCTTTTTGGAGGGAAATCTCTACAACACTGTAAGGATAGTTTTAAAACTTTTCAAGCATATATCATTACTTATTTATTTTTAAAATACTCGACGTTTTATTTCTAAGTACTTTAATATATATTAATTGCCAAATTGTATCTCGAAAGTATTATGATGGTTCTTTGCTTTGAATTTTGACTTCTATAGCTTGAATAATTTGTTGATATAAATCTTTTATTTTAATAATTGTAGGTGGAATTTGAAGTTTAATCTATGGATGCCTTACCAATTTCTGAAATATATATAAATTCCGATATGATGTTACCATTTCAGGACGATAGTACCTGCTCTTGGAGTGAAGATTCTAATCCATCAAAAACTACAACTAATACAAATAATGAATCAGAAACTAAGGCTAATATACAGCATAGTCAGGATTCTGAGAATCATAATACAAATGGAGATATAACATTCAAGTCATCTGATTTAGATAGTTCTTTACAATCCCCTAACTCGAATAACCTCTGTTCAGCTAGCTCAGTTGCTTCCATTCCATGTGCCACTACTTCTATTACTTCTTCCATAATAAATAATAATTATATAATACGAACTCCTTGCAAAAGTCATTTAAGTTCTTTTTATCAGAGTTCAGAATTTTTTAAAACTACATCTAACTCAACTAATACAACTCAAGAAGATAATATTCCAAAAGACAATTGTAACGTGAAAAAAACAACAAATGAGGCAAAAGTTAGTAAAAGAAAACGTGGTGATCCATTACTATGCTGGAGATGTCATAAACGAGATGCTACTCCTCACATGAGATCATGTGAACCTTGTAGAGTTGCAGATAGGCAACGTTGGTCAAGGAGGAGAACTTTAGCTAAATTTATTTCAGAAAATTCTAGTCACAATTTGAATGGAACTGAAGATCTTAAGATTAGTCGAAATATGGATACTATAAATAATGCCAATATCTGTCTATTGCAATTTCCTCTCTGTAAATTAGATAATCAAAAACATTCTAGAACTCCTGAATCATTTATATCAACAAATACAGATTTAACATATTCTACTTCATCTTCACCAGTAACTGGAATGTCACTTACATGTCCTTCAAAAATTGGACGCTGGCATGAACAAAAACACTGCACTACATTTTACAGAGATGCACAAATTACAAACAATTATATGGAAGAGGTTGCACATCACTTATCATATATAACTATCTCATATTTCCCTTCTCCATATAGTGGGCTTACATCATTTCCTGTTAGTGCCAAATTTGTTTCTGATGGTTCAATGAATGGATTAGAAACCCTTCCTTCTGCAGTATTAGCTTTTATTGTAGAAAAGTGTTCTGAACAATTGACGCAGAGGCAAGCAATCAGGAATTCTACTCAACACTATGTTAATCAAACAAACAATTTCTTACAGTCGCAACTTGACTCAGGAGTTGCCAATTTATTGGTAAATAAAGTAGAAACACCTAAATCTACACTAAGAACAAATAACTTACAACATTACAATACATGTCAAAGTCATTTTGGGAGCTTCCATTATGGATCTGCTTGTGATACTAACAAATTCTATTATTGACAAATTTAGTAGCATGTATTTAGCTTACTTAATTGTGTCTAAGGCATTAAGTAAATAGTTTAAGATTAAGGTTAGAGTATAGATGCAAGTAGTTCCCTTCTATCCTTTAAGTCTATTCTTATTTAATAATATATATATGTGGATCTTTGGTTAATTCTGACTATATTGGTATAATAGTTGTTATAAAGACTACCCTAAAATATTTTTCTTAAAATTTTATACTTTTAACAACTAAGAATTTTTTTTTTCCCTAACCATGTATAATACAAAGTTCTCATTTAGATTTTAAGAAATAAGGCGGTAAAAACTTTAAACAAAAAAAAAAAAAAAGAAGCTCCAAATTTAAAGAAGTATTTAATCTGAGGAAAGGTGCAAATTATTTAGGAAATAGATTTAATTTTATTTATATAAGGATAATAACACAAATAAGCCTTACATATACAGGCAGTGATGGGAGAAGTAGATGTATCTTTGGAAATTAAGCTTATGCAGAATTTCATAGATGTAGGTTTAAAAATGTTAGGTATATTAGACTGGAAATTTTTGGACTCAGCTAATACTACTCATTTTATAACTAAGAGAATAAGAAACATTTTGAGAGATATACTGCTAAATAAATCAACTGAATACTGGAGGTATGAACAAACTTTCTTGATCCTCCTCAAACTTAGTTCTAAGATAAATCCTTTTAAAAAAATTAGAGAAAACATATCTAAAAATTGGGAAAAAATTATTTCTAGTATTTTAAAGGTATGGGATATTAAATATAAAGATAATGGCTTAGAATTATTAAAGAATAATTCAATTTTAATAGATATAAATTATGAGACTATTGATAGTGTAGATGCAAGAGCCTTATTGTATATAAGAATTGGAGGTACAATATTCTCTTTGTTTGATGCAGTAAAACTTTTTACTATAGATTCTGAATTATATAATAAAGATATAAAAGTCTTATTACCATGTGGGAGATTTATGTCACCTGAATTAATTGTATCTAATATACCAGGTAATGAAAGATGTACAGCAGAAAATACTGATCCATCAACTAGTAATCTTGATATTGATATATCTGTAGATTTTTGGATAGACGTATTTAAGACATTTTATGGGCGTATTCCATCAGTATTTCGATTTTCATATATATTACCAGAATATGCACAATCTTTATTGAAATCTTATAAGGTTATAATGGAGGATTCTAGGCATGGAGCATTATCTATACCATGGCGTCATTTTATTGGTATACTATCTGCAGCACTATATAAAAATGATTATATGGTAAAATTAGAAATGCAAATGTTTTTGATTAATAAAGGCTCAGTAGAATGGCTAACTAAAGGTACTAATTCATTACCTTGTAAATTACAAAATCTGACTGAATTCATTAATTTCCTGGCATTTGATCCTGCAAATATACCATATGATATTATGAATGGTTTATTAGGGGTTAGATCTGGTATACAAGGGTGGACAATAACAGAATTATGTCATGTATTATGTGTAGTAACAACTATTCAATCAATGTCACAATTAGCATCAGCTTTTGGATTAACTTCAATGGATCATTGGGATTTGGGATGTGATCCATTGGAGGGTTTAGAATGTGATGGTGATACACGTTATAAACCAATTCCTGAATATAAAATTGAAGTTAGTATATACGAGAATTCGACTGTATATAGTTCTTCAGAAGTACCAAAGAAATTTAATTTAATTTCTGGAGATAATTCAAGCTATTATAATCAATTACTTGCAGAATATGTAGATTTGACTAATTTACTTAATAATAAATGTGAACCTGAGTGTTCAACAAATAAAAATGATAATATACTGATATATAATATTAAGAAATCTGAAATATCAAATACATTATCACATATCTTTCCATGGTTTTCATTTAACTTTTTAAGTTCTGTATTAGAAAGATTTAATAAAGAGTCATTATCTAAAATTTTTTTAACTTCTGGAAATAACCAAGATAAAAATAATATTAAGAGTAATAATGCACTTCCTTGTAAATCTTTGGTTAGTATTCCAGTATATAGTAAATCTCAAAATATATTTGAAAAACCCTTTGAGAGTAAAGTTTGTGATTCAGATTTTTATTTAAACTCAGAAAATAATATAATTCAAAGTAAACCTAATAAAAATCATATTGGAATTGATTCTTCAAAGTTAGAAACAGATAGCATCGAGATTTGTAATATATATGAGAAATCTTTTGATCATCTTATTCGTTTATTAGAACGTTTTCCTCCACAAGGAGATATTGATAGTATTAGTAGAGATCAGATTTCCCAATTTCGTTCAAATACAGCTCGTTATAAAACTGATAAGTTTTTATTAGCCTCTGTTATGCAAGCAAAGCCTTCTCACACCTTTGAACCGCTATCAATGAGATTTATTTTAAGTACAAAAGTACAAAGTGAGGATTTATCACATGATAGTATAAATACAGCTAATTCCCATAAGTTTGTTAATAAAAAAAAGTGTAATTCTTGGAATCACACACCACTCTCTATACCAGCTAGATTTTCTATACAAACACAGGATTATGAATTTTATTCAGATACAGCATGGACAATTTTATCTACTTATTCTTATGATGCTTCTATATGTATTAAAAATGAATTGGATACTGTTTTATTTATCTGTGGAAATAAAATGAATACAATCCAAGATAAATTCAAAGTTCCAACTACAAATCCAATTAGATCAGCTTTGTGGAATTATGTCTTCAAGTTATGTGGTATTACTAAATCAGATGCTTTTGAGACAATATATAATAGTTTTCTTCCTGTAGGACTAAAAATTTTATTAAAGAAGGTTATATGTTTTCCACATAAAATATTGAGGTCAGATTTTGAGAGATGTAGGACCACTTTTTCTTATAGAGAACTTATATACTTTATAATTGTAGCATGCAAAGCGAAACAGGCTGCAACTACTACTTGTGCCATACAGGTAATTGCTCAAATTATGAAGGTATAATTTCACTTTCAATTAATTGAAAATAAAATTGAATAAAGAATTATTTACAGTATTTGCATATGACCTAAAATTATATAGAGAAGAAGACAATGTATATTTATGGCAAGGGTACTAATATATTAATGCAATTATGTTACTACCACCTCTAATTTAAATGAAAATTATATCAAAGTTATGTTTAATATACTAAAAAACAAAACTTTGATATTATTACTTTGATGATTCTATATTTATTAAATTATTAATAAATTATAAATTTATTCTTTATACTAAATGTTTAACGGCAATATTCACTTTTACTGTAAGATCATCTATTAATCTACCATAACCAAGAATATATACACAAAGACCTTCTAAATTTGTACATGTATTTGAATCTTTTACAGAATTTGAAAGTTTTTTTAAACTTTCAAATATTTCAGGATATTTAGCAAATAATTCTAGTGATAAGTCAGCTATACAGTCATTTTCTCCTGGGTTATTTATTATATTTAAACATGAATTCATTGCACTTGATAAATTTGAGTACTTGCTTTGGTTCTTTCCATATTTTGAGGCTATCTCATCCAAACTTGTTGCAATATGATTAATAATAATACAAATATTTCCTAGGAGTTCAGGTATAGTTTTACTCTGAAATAATGCTTCTTTCAGTTTAGATACTTTGTTACTTATTTTAACAATATAATTGATAGAATTGTGGCTATCAGTATTAGATATTGTTGAATTATTTAAATGTTTAGATAAAGATGAATTTTTAGAATTTTCAGTTGATTGGGTTAAATTTAGTGTCAAATTTGAATTATTTTGAGATTTAGATAAATTCTTGTTAATAGGTAATTTGTCCTCAACTAACAATGAATTGCCATTATTTGTGGGTTTTATTGTTATATCCTGACTTACTAGTAAAATATCTTGAGTTTCTATAGTATTATTTTCTTTTAATTTTAACTGTTGATTTGTTGTAGCTAAGTGTAAACATGATTTTGATTGGAGTCTGTTATGCTTAGTTTGATCTATTGTTATTTGATCAGATATCTTTCCTTCAGAGTTTATAGATCTAAAATTTGATTCCTTATTTGATGTATCAGTAATTGTAGGACTTGTATTAGTACTAATATTTATAGTTTCCTCGCTAGAAGTTAGGGTTTTTTTCCTCTTTAACGCCATTATTGCATCAAAAGACAAAGGACCATCAAATGGACCACTTGAAGTAGATATTGGGGATGTAAAAGATGCACTATTCTCTATATTATCAATAATATCTGTAACTTGAGGAGAAGCTTCACGTGTCCTTTTGCTTGTTATCTTTTCTTTGGATTCAGTTGATAAAGGTGTAGGTTTAACTTCACCAGAATTTTTTGCAATTCTATCAGTAAGTGAAGGCTTAGGTAAAAAATCTGCTAAATTTGACTTTGGTGGACTCTTACCCTGTGTAAAAGGGTTTACAGTTGTTATACTAGTATTAATTTGAGGAGATGTAGATTTTGCAAGTATTACTGAATCAGACTTTTTTGTATCTTCAACAGTTTTGTTATCATTAAATAATTCTTGTTTTCTTTTAGCGTGCCATCTCCTTACAGCATCTTTTAGATTATCACTAGAGCTACTAGATATTGTATTCAGCTTGTTTTCAGGTATCTGAAGAAGAGAAACATTTGAAGTATTTGGAGTACTTGAAGAAGTTAACCCAAAATTTAATTTCCCTTTAATAGATTTCTCCTTTGGCATATTATTGTATTTCGGTAATTTTCTTTAAGTTAGTTAGAGATAAGTAAATCTAAAAATCCAGAAACTTCACAACTTCCTTTAGCACTTATAGAGCTCCAAATAAACATTGGCGCTTTTAATAAATTTTTTGTCTGGCCCCTCTAAAAATTTATTGTGTATATTTTATAAGATATAGTTACCTCGAAAATTTAAGTACACTTACCTAAATAAAAAAAAATTAATAAATAGATAAGGTAAAAAAGCAAAGTTAAGCTTAAATATAATAATAAATGACTGAAACTGCCCATTCAGAAGATATACTCTTAACAGTCCCAGATTTTTCTCTTGCCGATAGTATATATATACTGGAATCCCGTTATTCAAATGATATTGAAAAAAAAAGAGCACAAGAAGAAATCCTAGAGAAGATAAAAATGTATAATATGGGATCTTTATACAAGATATTGTGTGAAGATAAAAAACTAATGGATTTAGATAAATCCCTAGTAAAAAGCTTAGAAGAAAAAAATAATCAAGAATTAGATATTATAAATGCGAAAATTAAGGATGCAGAGGATAATTGTGGTGATTTAGAAGTTAGAACTGCTCATTATAGTAAGACTATTCACTTTATACGTATAGGAGATAAGCAAAAAAGTCTTGAAGAGTTAGAAATTTCATATCAAAAGACTATTGGTAGTGGATACAAATTGGAATTGTTATTTCTAGGTGTTAGGATTGGATTATTTTGGCATGACTCTAAAATTGCAAATAGCTATATGAAACGAGCAGAAGATGAATTAGCGAAGGCTGGAGATTGGGAACGTAAAAACAGATTAAAAGTATATCAAGCTTTGAGTAAACTTGTATCAAGAGATTTTAATGGAGCTTCTCAGATATTTTTAGATTGCTTAACAACATTTACAGCTGTAGAAATTTTGACATTTGAACAATTAATTTTCTATACAGTCATTTCATCTGTATTAACAGTAGGAAGAACAATAATAAAATCAAAATTATTAACATCTCCAGAAATACTTAAAATAGCCCTACAACCTGATCAACATTTTCTTTTAGAATTTATTGAATGTTTGTACTATGGTAAATATTCCCGATTTTATTCTATTTTGGTTGATATAGTTTACCTTCTACAGAAAGATCGTTATTTACATCCTCATCATAGATATTATCTGAGAAATATACGTCTTAGAGCTTATAAACAATATTTAGAACCATTTGAATCTGTTACATTGTCAGAAATGTCTAAATCATTTGGATTATCTACAAATTTTCTTGAGGATGATATTGTTTCATTCATTTCTTCATCTAAATTACCATGTAAAATTGATAAAGTTAAGGGTATTATACTCTGTAATACAGTTGATGAAAAACTTAGTGCTTACAATGAAATTATTCATAAGGGTGATACATTACTAAATAGGCTACAGAAATTATCAAGAGTTATTCAAGTCTAAATTATGTTTTAGAATATAATCAATATCTATATATTTCTAATATATATTACAAACTAATATGTAATATTAGATATCTTATTATTAGATACTTTAAAGGTTCTCCTCTAGATATTTCTTTTTTTTTTTAAGTTAAACACGTGGAAATATAATATATATAGATTACACACATACCGTTAATTTGTTATTTTTAATATTCCAATTTATATTTATATTATTGGCAATATACTAGCTATTAACTATTTATTTCTTAACTTCTCTAGTAATAAGAGATTACTAGTAGATTTTGTATATTTGTAAAATAAGACATACCGCTTGTTTGAGACAGATGCCTTTTTTTGGTATAGCGCCAGATAATTTACTATTTACCTAATCAGATTAGTATAGTGATAATATTATACCTAAAAAAAATTTGAACCGTCTTGTCTTGAGAATATTTTATTAGTATTACAAGAGCGTCTTGAACGTAATAAGAAGGAAAGCTCTAAATTAGCTCTTTAAGCCACTTATATACTAGGGAAGTATTACTAAGTTTGTGTACAAAGTAGGATAAAGAATAAATGGGAGTGGGTAAAGCTGGCAAAGGAACAGGTAGCCGTGGTAAACATCATGGAAAGACCCACTTTTTATGTTGTAGATGTGGTAAACGTTCATATATGGTTCAGAAAAAACGTTGTGCATCATGTGGTTATCCATCAGCTAAGATGAGATCTTACAATTGGAGTGTAAAGGCCAAGAGAAGGCGAACAACTGGAACTGGTCGTATGAGATATCTCAAGACAATGTCTAGACGTTTTAAGAATGGTTTTAGGGAAGGTACAGTTGCCAAACCACTTCGAAATTCTAGTGTACAGAAGTAATTCATTTCTTAATATCTGGATGATATATAATTGACTAAGTGAATATTGTGGAACTAGACAAAATTAATTCCATATTCAATATATTAATATTACCATCTACTTAATAGAAGCTATGTTGGTATTCTGTATAGAAACGAAGTGTGTAGCTAGTTGTAGAAGAATTGTAGATGTTTCTTTAATATATTCTAGATTTACATTTATCTGATATTTGTAATGTCTAGGATCTTACTTCCTCTATTAATAACTAGACTTCATATCAGATATTTAGACTAGGCTATTATAGATATATTATTAATCTTTAATATATATCTTGAAGTTGTATACTTATCTTTAGTTTCAAGTAATTGTTAAATTTAATAAATGAGGTCCAGACCTGAGTCTACTTTTTCAATATTTACTTAGCGGGTTGTCATCTGAGTATCTACCTATTTTCCTTTTACCTGCATATCTTAGATTATAATATAAACATTAATTATATATTATAGGTATCTCAATATCAAGTCATATTATATATCAATGTAATGAAATTATTTTGTAATATTCAGTGGTTTGTAGTAGACTGTTGTGGAATAACTTGTATGGGTTTAACCCAACTATTATTATTATACGGCTCTGTAATTATAAACTACTATTTATACCTATATTATAAAATCAGGAAACCTTGGCTCTATGTAATTCATTTCATAATATATAATTCAATTTTTATTATGTGTAGTATTTGTCACTTAATTAGTGTATTTACAGATCCAGGAGTTCTTCCTACAAACAAAGATCTTGGGCAGATAATAATACCAATTGAACTTGAAAATCAAATAGATATAATCAAGACATGTATAAAGTGTAATAATTATAAACCTCCAAGGGTTCATCATTGTTCTATATGTAAACGTTGTATATTTAAGATGGATCATCATTGTCCATGGATCAATAATTGTGTAGGCTATAATAATCAGAAACATTTCTTGCTATTCTTATTTTATGTATTTTGCTTCTGTATCTATTCAATTTCTTTAGTATGTTATCGCTTTTACAATTGTATTATTTCATCTGAGTCTTTAACTTTTGATAGAACAAACTTCTATCATAATAGTGAGATATTTTCTGAAGATACTGTAATGATCCCAAATTGGCATGAATTACATAGTCAAGATTCAATATGTTTTGTCTCACCAATAATACTTATTTTTGGTTTTAGTGTTGTTATAGAAGGATTAGTTTTTGGATTATTTTCCTTTGCAATGTTTATAGATCAGATTCTATGTATTATATACAATACAACAGGAATTGAGCATTTGAAGCAAGATTATACATATAGAAGACAGAGTTTTTATAAATCTCTTATAGAAGTTTGTGGTCAGCAATTTACATGGAAATGGTTTGTCCCAACAAGATCAAGAGCCCAATTTAGAAATGTTGGATTTGATACTGCAACCTTTGTAGATCTTCAATTGAACAATTTATATAATTCTACAGATAATACTCTAAATAATTATAATAAAGAACAACATGTTAGGACTTTTATAAAGAATAGTTCATCTAGAATAACTTGTTGCAATTTACCATCAGGTATAGATTCTACAAAAGCTACAATGGCATCTATAGAAGCTGATTTCTTGTTTCATACTGATTTTTGTGAAGATGATTCATCCTATATATCTAGAACTTCGAATTGTACTAAAGATAAACCTCATGTTATATATTTACATGATTTTTCTAAACAATAACTAATTTGGTAAAATCTATTAAACCTAATTACAAACTTAATTTTATTGTCAAGTATAAATATATAATTTAAATAAGAGAGTTAGAATATAATTAAATAGTTTAATGGATATATATTACAACAGGTATATAAAGTATATATGTTAGAATAAAATGATGGATATAAACTTTATCCATTTTTTGTTTCAGAAAGATATGTGTGCAGAGACACATATATTGGATAGTATAATAATAATTTCTACTATAATATTAATAAATCATACATTTTAGATTTGAATTGATTAGAAGTTATAGAATTTGTGAATATGGGACATAATCATTCAAAATTAAAAGTGCAAGCTACAGACCTAGTTGATAACCTTAAAGAAGATACTATACCAGATAAATCTCAGATGGATTCTGCATGTGTGCATCCTAATAATAGAGTTTCTGAACAGAAAACCATTCCTTCCGTAGATAATGATATAAATAATGAAGATGAAGATGAAGACGAAGACTTAAGTCTAATGGTGAAACATAAACAAAAAATTGAAGAACCTATTCTTGGTCTTAATGCTAATTTTGGAGGACAAGTAGATAATTATAATAATGCTTGGAATAAAGTTTTAGAAACTACAGTTGATTCTAATTCAAAGGGAGTTGTTATTATTGAATAGCTTACATTCAAAAGTATTTGGAATACCAAGAAATTCTATATTTCACCTTAAATATTGGTGTAACTATAACTTGATATTGTTTATAGGATAGGATCTCCTTGGGGACTTAATAATACTATACTTATACTTATATATTTATATTGAATTAATATTGATAATATGATATTTCTTAGGTATGAATACTAAATAAGCTTTTATATTCAGTAGTGTTTGTGGAATTTCAAATAAATTAGTTGTGTCTAGAAGATTAAGTACTATTATAACTAGTTTTTGAAATAAAGATGTGTCTAGTTTAAAGTAGATTCTAAGAATATAATTGCTAGTTAAATTAAAGAGAACTGGAAAATTTATTTGAAGCTTTTTTGAAATGTTATTCTAAGTATTAGTTCTATAGATAAAAGGCGCCAACATAAGCATCATTTTATAGATTAGTTTATGATTTTTAAAAAGTTGACATACTTATTTATTAAATATATCAACCTTATAGATTGAAAAAATCTTTAATTCTGGAATCAGAGACAATTATTTAGAGTTCAGATCGATATTACTTGGAGAATATGGCAAAAAAAACAAAGCGTTTAAGCTTGGCTGTGGAGCGTTTTAAGACAGTTCGAAGTCACAAAATGAAGAAACAGATGACTGCTATTTCAAAAAGTAAGTCATCAACTAATCCAGATAGATTATTAGATAATAATAAGAAGGAGGGCTTTTACCGTACTAGGAGTACAATTAGTCGCTTGAACATGTATAACGAGAAAGGAGTATTGTCTAGTAATGATAAACCTTCTGGAACGATGGTACGAATAGAACCAGATAGACGTTGGTTTGGAAATACTAGAGTAATAACTCAATCAAAATTAGAGAGTTTTCGTCAGCAGATGTCAGAAGTATCATCAGATCCCTATTCTATAGTTTTGAGACGTTCTAAGTTACCTATTCATCTTATTAAAGAGAATAGTGAATCAATACCAAATACTAAATATGGTGGAAATCTTTTAAAAATTGAACCATATAACCAAACATTTGGTGAGGGTCATAAGAGGCGAAAGAAACCAAGGTTGAGCTCTCAGTTTGACAGTTTATCAGATTTAACAGAGAATGTTGAGAAACGTAATACAGAGTATGATATTGTAGAAAATAATGAGAGTGAAATAAATTCAAAATTCGATGGATTTGAATTGCTTAAGGATGATGCTGTTTTAAAGAAGGGTAAATCAAAACGCATATGGCAAGAATTATACAAAGTAATAGATAGTTCTGATATAATTATTCATGTATTAGATAGTAGGGACCCCCAAGGTACAAGATGTATTTATATTGAGGAGTATTTAGAAAAAGAATGCCCACAAAAGTATCTTGTTTATGTTTTAAATAAGGTAGACCTGATTCCAAAGTGGGTAGCAAGTCGCTGGATAGGTTTTTATTCATCAAAAAGACCAACAATAGCTTTCCATTCAAGTATAACTAATCCATTTGGTAAAAAGACATTATTCCATGTTCTTAGACAATATACCTCTTTAATGAAGGATAAAAAACATGTTAGTGTAGGTTTTATTGGGTATCCAAATGTTGGTAAGTCAAGTATTATCAATACCTTAAGAGGTAGTAAGGTTTGCAAGGTTGCCCCAATAGCAGGTGAAACTAAGATTTGGCAATATATTCATTTAACACACAGGTTATATCTTATAGATTGTCCAGGTATAGTCCCTCCAACATTAATAAATACAGAGAATGGAGAATTTAATAATCTCCAAGCAAGCACTAATGTTGTATTAAAAGGTGCAGTTCGTACTGAGAAATTATCGGATCCTTCAATTTATATATCAGAGCTATTACAAAAAGTTAAAGCACACCATATAAAACAGAAATATCATCTTAATCCTAGTGATAATTGGCAAAATACAGATGAATTTTTAACTATAGTTGGGAAGAGATTAGGGAAATTTTTGAAGGGTGGAGAGATAGATCATGTAACTACTGCTAAAGTTATTCTGAATGACTGGATAACGGGTAAGATTCCTTATTTTATTCCTCCTCCAAATAAAGAACAAGAAAATAATCAATCTGAAGGTGTTGAAATAAATAAAGAATCAGATTCTAAAGTAATTCAGGTAGAACATGAACTTTTGGACAACTTAAAATTGACTTCTGATTTCAATATAGAAGAGACAGAACATTTCTCAGGAGATGAATTTAAAGAAACAGACTTAAATGATAAATTTTGTCTAAAAGAGTCTAATGAGAATTCTGGTGTAAATATTTCGTGGAGAGACATTGTTAAAGAATTTGAATAATTTACTAAATATTTTAAATATTCAGATCTACTACTTAGAAATTGCTAACAAATTTACATCTGAAAGATTAAGGTTTTATTATTCAAATTAGTTAACTACTTTGTTATATATTATATTGAATAAAACATTAGAAATTAGTTATAAAAATATGTATGAAATTTACATACCAACCATAATATTATTCCGGTACCTTATAACCGGTATTATTTTCACATTTCTCAGATAAATTCCCTCCTAATACTATTAGATTTGTAGTTTTTGTATTTTAGGTTATCTGTGCCCTTTTGATATGAAGTCTATAGATTTGCATATTGTCTTTTTACTCTTATTTCTCTTAAAGAATGGGTCCTCCTACTCAATTAAGGAGTCTGGTATATATATGCAAGGTATTGGCAAGCTCTATTCTTCAAGGAGCTCTGATTCACATGGTAGTGTATACATATCAACTAAAGGGAAAGTAATTATGTTACAAGATGAAGATCTGATTTGGTCTATTGATCCGGTTAACCCAAAAGACGAAGTTGTAGATGTCAAATATATTTATGCACCAAATTTAAAGATAATTCAATTGTTAGTAAATAAGGCTACAAATATACTTCATATCCGTCAAATCAGTGTTGGTATATCTTCCAAAGTAGGTATAGATTGGTCCACCTATTTAGGAATAAGTTATGAAACCAACGATTTTTCTATACCCAGGATAACCTTGATCGATAAGACAATATATATATTCACTAGAACTGGTCAACTTCTTGTTATGGTCAATCAAAATAATGGAATAATATTAGAGATAAATAAAATTTTGGAGAATTTAAGTGAAAACTTTATATTACTTTTTAAAAAAAAGAGTATAGAAGTTTTAACATATTCTTCTTCTTCTAGTGAAATTATACACTCTTATTTGAACTCAACAATAAAGGATAATATGAATATTATTAATAGGTTCAAAATACCAACTAGTATACAATCAATTATATATGATTCATCCATTATTGTAAATAAGAATGAAACATGGACATTTTCTTGCCTGGTAGTTAGTTCCAATTTAAGAATTCAATTATTAACTATAAACTTAAGTAAGAATTCGGAAGTATCTGTACATCTAAACAATTTGGATTTAGAAGTAAATATGAATCAAATAAAACCACTAAAATTAACAAATTTTGCTGGTGACAAATTGGCTATTACATTAAACAATAACACTAATATCCTCAAAGGTTTTGTGAATTATCCTGTAATTTCACAAAATATGCAGAACCCTTTTATTATTTACAGTAAAGAAGGAGATTATTATAACTTGTTCAGTTTATCGTATTGCGACTTGTCAAAATCAGTTGATATCCAGGTAATTTTAAATTTTAAATTCCAAGAAAGAAATCAACCCTTAAATTTTAACTTAAAATTTGATAATAAAGCTATTAATCATGGTAATATTCACTATGTATCAATGATATCTAGTTCACGAATAATTATTCAATGGCAAGATTACTTGATTGGAATTATGGAAATTGACTGTAATATTACAGGGTGTCAAGATCCAATTTGGATAAATTTTTACGAAGAAGGCTTTCTTCTCTCCAAAGCTCAGAAAAACAAATATACTTTGTATACTCCAATTGATTATAAAGATAATCCAATAGATTTAACAAATCTGAAAATAAAACAAAATATTTTAACTGCAAAGCATATTTATATGCCAGAAACATTTAGAAATGAATATAGTACTAATGGTAATTTATTGTTTATAATTAATACTGAAATTAGGAGAGTTTATGCTCTCAATATAACTAGTGGACGTTTGTTATGGGTAAATAGTATACTCGAAGATGTAGAATTTGAACAATCAATGGTGCTAAAATATAATATTTATCTAGTTGACTCTTCAATAAATAATATATTGAAAAGTGATAACCCATTTTTAATTGTAGCAGCTGGCTTAAATATATACAAAATCAATATCTTTAATGGAGAAATTATGGACAGAATTAAAGTAAATAAAGTAATTGGAGATTATAAGTTTGTAATGATATCTTCATATAGAAATATTGGTAGACCTCTGATAAATCCCAAATTATTAATTATTGGAGATACAAACAAGCCAATACAAGTAATTAACTTTGGACAAAATCATACAAAATCTGAATTTTATTCGGATATATTTATATTGTATAATAAGAGATCAATATCTGGATATATGTTGAATAAAAATGGAGATATAAAACATATATGGGAGTTTACTTTGAACTTTAGCAGAGATAGTAATGAAGAAATTGAAATAATGACTACTCCACAATGTCCAGATTGTAAGGGAATTCCAGCAATAGTAACTGTAGATAGTGACATTGTACATAAATATGACAATCCTAACTTGCTATTTATACTAAGTAACAAGCTAAAAGTGTTTATTATTGATGGATTAACTGGAAACCTTCACTATACAACAGTACTACCAGAAATATTGAAGCCTCCATTTACTGTATCATTTCATTCAAATATCATTATACTTACAGCTTTTCATTCATTGCATCAAACCCAAGTCATCATCACATTTGAAATGTATTATGAATATGATAAAAGTGACATTGAATTGAATTACTTAAATAAGATCAAATCTGTAATTTTATATTTTACTACTAAAGAACCATCTAAAATTTCAGATTCAGAAATTATACAGAGAAATCCTTTTGTTATTCAAACTCAAATACTATATCCATTTGAGAGTCCAATTACTTCTGCTACTATAAGCAGCACAGCAGAATCTATAACTCCTAAAATGCTTCTTATTGCATCCAAGCAAGGCGGAGTAATTGAGGGTATTCCAGAAGAAATCATAAGTTCTAGGCGTCCAAACCCATTAATTGTAAAGTCAGAGTTTGCTAAAGCTATTGAAATTAAGGAATATCCTGCATATAAACCAGTAGAGTCTACACACTTTAAAATTCCTATAAATGTATTTTCTATAAAGGAAATCATTACAATTCCTGATATAGGTTCTGAATCTACAAGTATTCTTGTATGTTTTGGGACGGATTCATTATTGGTCTTACCATTCCAGCCAAGTATCTCCTTTGACAGTCTCCCAAAGGACTTCAAAAAATTCAATATTATAGCTGTATTACTTCTTTCTACATTTATTACAATGGCCACTCTAATTAAATACAAATTAAAATCTGGTGAAATAGGTTGGAATTAATAAATTCAAGTAACTCACTTTGTAGAAATGAAATATATCCGAAAACCGGAATATTTCATCATTTATATTATAAAGTAACCAAAACACTGGGATCTATTTTAAATAATTTATTTATAGGATGATTTCTGAATATTTAGAAACACTTCAGTTAGGTTTGAGAAATACAATTGTCTAATTTTGAGCCTTTGTGATTTCTTGACAATCTGAGATCTTGTTGCATCTATGTCTTTTTTGTGTTCTAAATACCGGTGCTGCATGCATATATATCTAGCTTAAATTCAATGCTTAACTTTGAGAATTTATTTAAAAAGATTTATGAAATAATTTCTAAGTATGTCTTGGTTTGTAAATTCAGAAACGCAATTGTTCAATATATTTTGAAGTATGAAAGTATGCCGAATAATAAAACTAAAGATCCAATACCGCTACCCACAGAATACTGGGTGTACTTTAAAAATCTATAGAAAATATTGATATATGCAGTATTTACAATACAAGGCTAAATATATACATGTTAAATTTAATTAAATATAAAGGGGCAAATGTCTGTAATATCTGGACTTGATTTTTTTCTTAATGGGACTTCTATTCCTCCAATATCAGGGAAGCTACTATATGGCTTTAAGAACAAAAAGAAGTCAATGGAGGAGTGTGTTGATGATTGGAAGAATTTATCTGTAGAGGAAAAGAATATCTACAACTCTGAATGTGAAAGGCTATATAAACTCATCTTCAAAAATATAAAACCTCTACAGCCGTGGGATTTTTATGATTTAAAACAAACAACACCTAGTCATTTATTCTACTTTCATAATTATGCTTCACAACAAGCAATATACCCAGAATTAAGTGATGATGAAATATGGAGGAAGTGTAGTAATAAATTGCTTGAAATTAAAAGAGATGAAAAAGTAAGTGAACTATTCAAGTCTAAATCATCTGAAGTAAACAATTACTTGCAGATGATTTTAAGAGAAGAACTACTTAGTGAACAAGAATCAAGTGATGATAGCTCTGCAGATAGTGGCTTGGGAATAAAAGGGAAATTAGTGCAAAATAAGTACGTAGAGAAAGAATTAGGAAAGCAGAGTGAAGTACTAAATGACAATCATATAGAGGGTGAACTTAAAAAGCAAGGTAGAAGACTGAAAAGTAGGTATTCGATATCAAATAGTGACTAAACAAATTACTAAATCCTTTGAAAAAACCTTAAAATTTATATTAATTTCATATTTAGACAGTCCTTAATTTAATATGAAGTGAGTCCGATATACTAAACAAAATATATTAAGATATAAATTATACACAATTTAATTACAAATCAAAATACTTCTTAGTTCTTGTAAGAGGATAATGTTTAATATTATAAACTGAATTACTGCACAATGTAGTAAATGTACAATATCTATATTACTCGATAAACTATAGGTTAATATCGTTATTCCTTGTTCCATAATTTCTTTGCTTTCTGTATACTTTTCTGATCTAGATTCTTCTTTACACGTTTTTTACGTTTCTGGTTATTTAAGTGTTTCACTGACTTGTCACCTTTTGGATTAGTTTGTTTCATTTTGTGACTTTCTTCATATTCAGAAAGTTCACAATGTTGAGGATCTCCAGTTTTTTTTTCATTTCTAGCCAAGGTTTCAGATTTGTCATTTGAGTAGTCATGATTACTTTGATTTTCATTACTAGAGTTATTATTATCCTCTAAACTTGTAAGTGCAATATCCTGAAGTTTGTAATTTTCAAATAAGGCTTTTGCATATGAATGATCATATTCATACATAAAATCTTCAGAGTACTTTTGCTTTTCATGTTCTAAAGATAGCCTTACATCTAGACCAGAAGGAAAACTATCAGCATTTATAGCTGATGCTCCAATACTTGCTTTCTCATCTCTAGAAATTCCCAAAATTCGGCTAGTTTGATTCAAATGCTCAATGTCATCATATATACCCATTAATCTTTGCAATAGTCTATTAATATAGTGTTTTGACTCCTTATTTCCTCTAGTTACCTCCTTTTTAGCTTCATTGACATTCATTAATTCATGATGAATCATTGATAGCTTGCATCTAAGGAATTCGATTTTTACTAAGTGTTCTTGAATTAACAGTAGTTGCAGCGAAATGTCTGCTAGATAATCACGGATATTTTGTAAATTCTGTTGGTCCTGTTTCACAAGTTCCAATTCATTTATTCTATAATGTACCAACTCATTAAACATCTCTGGGATTAACTTTGCAAATATCCAATCAGGATGATTTCCAGTTTCTCTAATATCAGTTACATCTTCTTCCAAAATCTCTGATATTTTAGATTCCTTAAACAAGTCGAATTCTGGTGGAAAGTCCCTAACTGTGCCAAGTTTACGATATAGTGCCTTTATGAAGAATCTCATTCTTAACATAATACTGTCGTTAACAAATATTTTTATTTTAGGTCTTGTAACTGCAATAGTATTAAGTTTGGATAACAGTATATCATGAGAATTCTGTAGATTTTTAGTTGATAGAGATCTCAAATAACAAATGACTGATGCTGGAAGTAAGGCTTTTAAAATAAATTGATAAAAGAAAAAAGTAAAAACAAGGAATATTGGCTTCCAAAAGTAACTTATCCAATTATTATAAAGTCCAACATTAGAAGTATATAGTGCGTTTGTAAGAAATAAATATTTTATACTATTGTAATTGAATATCACTAACAAAGAACTAAGAATGGAATAATAATATGTAAGAAATGATAATTCTTGTATTCCTAGTGTACAATATCCAATTAAGGCAAAAAATAGTAAAAATATAAATGTTATAAACATAGAAGGGAGCATTGTATTATTTGCTCTTTTCCAGCTAAAACCAGTTATAGATGCTGAATCCATAAAATTAGTTAGAGATAATGTTGAATCAAGTGAAGATACACGGTATCCTCTACTTGTTTGTAAACTCTTGATTCTAAATACTTTAGTCTTACGATAACGATCAATGAGTATTCCTGAATAAAATAATAAATAAATAATGTAAATAAAAATCAACAATGCAGCAAAAAATTCAAACATTTCGAAGTACCAAGTTAATTTTTGTATATTAGCAACAATATCAAGCAGAGAATATAATGAGAATGCATTCCCATTGTAAAATCCTGATCCATGGCCAATAGTTTGTATATCTTCTTCGAACTTGCTCGTCTCAGAAACTGGGACTGACCATGGCAATCCATCTGATTTATATGTCGCAGTTGAAACAAATTTACCTTCTGAATTTATAGTTTTCAAATTCAAAACTACAAATTGAGTAGATAGGTATGCAAAAAATACAACACAAGTTAAAAAGCAACTTAGAAATGCCAATGTCAAGATAGAAAGAGTGAATGTATTAAATTTACTCAATCTATACAGTACAATAATATCTTCATCAGGTATTGAAATATCGCTAATATCAACATCCATAGACACTTCTTGTATATGACCTCCATTTCTTTCTTTTCCATCACTCTTTTCTGCACTTTTTTTCTCATTACTTATTAATATATTTTTGTTATTTATTTTATCACCTTTACTACTTTTGTTTATCAAATCATTACTATCTGAAGACTTTGACTCTGAAGAAGTATTTACCCTTCTTCTTATTGTAGAGCTATAATCTCTTTTCGATGGTGAGCTATCATCCTTCAGTGTTTTATCCTTCAGTTTTGTCCTAAAGGTTTTATTATTATTTGGAAAATCTATATCATCAATATCAGCATGGAAAATATGAGATGTACGTATCTGACGTCTTTTAGAAACATTATAAAAGTATAGGGCAATAATTATCGTCAAAATTAACAACATAATGGCTAGTGCAACAAAACAGTAAGCCCATAATGAACTTGAAGAATTAGTTTCTTTATTAAATTTTAAATATTTGTAATTAATATTAGAACTGTTTTCATAATTAATCCAATAACTATCAATAATTTTTACATCAAAATATGTTTCAAAAAGTCCACTTTGGGAAAAGTCTATATTAATATCTATAAGTGCTACTGATGATATACTTGATAAGTAAATTGGAAATAAAATCTGCATTTTTTGAAGACTAAAATCAAATAGATTTCCTGAAGAACCAACAATCTCAGAGATATTTTTAAAGGGAGTCAGAGATGGCAAAAATTCAACTGACATTTCATCATTTGCAGAACTTCCCAATTTAACTATCCAGAACATGCCACCAACAGTAGTTCCATTTAAAGCATTTAAATATTGTTGATATATCTGATCATTAGTACCCGAATATAAAAAAAAGACACGTCTGATACCACTTTCAGCAACCATAGATCGTAGCTGGCTTGTTGTTTCAATTGACACTAAAGATTTAAAAAATTTTAGATAAGTACTAAGTTTAAGATCTTTTTCATGATGATGTATATTTTTATCAATATTTATCCAAGATTCATTATTTTTTGAGTTATTATAGGTCACTGAGGATATATTTTCAGTTTTATTAGTGCCACTTTTATTAATGTTATTACCAGCTATTTCTGATATGTCAAATATAGTCCTATCTTCTCTAGAATTACTTAAAATTCTACTTTTTTTTTTATAATTTAATTCATATTCTAAAATAGAAAATGATCTATATGAAGAGAAAGTATTTAAATAATTTAAATTTTTCATTGAGGTAGTTGAATTGAATTCAACTAAATTCTGAATTGAATCAAATTCGCTGGAAATGTCAGATAGTACTGATAAATAGTAACCAGCGGAAGTTGGATTTGAGTTACATATTGGGATGCTACATGACTGTCTAACAATTAGCATTGGATTAGTTATTGGATATAATTTGGTATATGCAATAGGTATCATGTGCCCATTATTATCTTTATTTGAATATGTCTCAAGTAAATTATTATTATGTATGGATAAATTTATGTATGATCCCTTAATATCATCAGATTCAATCAAGGGTATAAATATATTTGCAAACCAAATGTTTAGATGATGCATAGATGTTATATTGCTGAACTGAATAGATTGATTCAAACCTATTATTAAGGAACTTGGGATCTGTTTAATTTGGTCATCATTAAAAAAAAACTTCGGATACTCAGTATTCCTCAATGAACAATTACGAAATATATATGGTGAATTATTCATATCTATATTCATACTAAAAAGAGATGGGGCTCTAAATGGTGCATTAAGTATATCCCAAATAACAGAACGAACATTTGGATAAAGTTGAGTACGAAATACTAAAGCAGTCCAACAGATAGATAGACATACAAACAAAAACATCAGTATGAATAGTTGATAAGGAATAAATTCAAGCTTTGGAGGAAATGAGAAGAAAAGTTTCAATCTTCTATATCCTCGTTTTATCCAATCTATATTTGTTCCACTAAAAGTATCCAATGAATTCTCGTTAGCATCACTTACTTGGCATCTTTCAAATGAAAATTGGTTATTTTGGCCTAAATCATATTTACTAGCTAAATTTATATTTTCTAAATAGTTCTTGTTCTTTTGTCTAATTCTATGTGATAAACTAGAATCGTTGGATAAAGTTTGCCAAAAAGTTGAAAGAAAAAATAATTGTTGTATCCATGCATTTAAAGATGACTTTATAGCAAAGATATTGTCTGAATTTTGGTTGAATACTTGATAAAGTTCAATTTCACCATATAAGTATATAGTTGTAGCTATTGACAAAGGTAATAGTATTAAAAATAGAAGAATATAAGCAACGGAAAATGATAACAAGGTAAAGAAAGATAATCTGATATTAAAATTAGCAAAACCTTCTTTAAAATAGACTGGCTGACAAGGAGACAGAAGTATTGTCATTAATGAATATGATAGTGATGCTAAAAAGCTTCCAAAAAACAATGAGAAGTTGTCAAACTGGAGAAATATGATAATAGTCAATGTAACTATTAAAATAATTAAACATAAAAATAATATAAAACCAACTATTTTTTTGAAATATAAGAATATTGCTATTAGAGGTGAATTAATATTTGTAAATAATGTAGAGAATATATGAAATGTTCTGAATATAATTAGTAGGATAACCACGCATCCCAGGGATATTCCAATAAAGCGGAGTGAAGATGCCAATTTTACAGTCCAAATAATATTACTCAATGTAAATTTCTTTAAGTATTGTAAATCTTTAGTATTATGGGAATTATGAAGGATATAATCTGTATAGCTATTTGTTGATTGCAAAATTTCATCCAGTGTTTCATAAGGAAGGGCTTGCAAAATAATGCCAGACCCGAGCCAAGTAGCAATTATGCATAAATTGAATAATCTAATAGTTATAGGCAAAGATCTATGTTTAAAGTATTCTTTCCAAGATTCAATACTTGAAGTTGGATTAACAGAATCTAGATTATCAGAATCTTGATCTGCAATTTCTTTTAATTTTCTATTATGATAGCAATTAGAGAATAGCATGAAAAGTCCTGATAGAGTATGAAAAAGTACACATATGCAATAAAAAAAAAATAAAATAACTGGGATAATCTTTTTGGTTGTTAAATTGCAAGATTTATAGCAAGGAAAACCAATATATGATTTTATTGGAGTTGCACTCCAAAATGATGAATCGAAACTGTAAGATCCAAAAGATGTCAGTTTGAAATTGTACTCCAATATACTAAATACATCGATGTTCCCATTATAAAGTAACATTTCAATATTAACACTCGTTACATTTGTGTTGTTTGATATTATTGGTAGATTTGGAATTTCATTTTCAACATATTGATAAACAAAATCGTCTGTAGAATTAAAGAACTGTTGTAGTGACTTATATGGAGATGCTATACGAGATATAAGATTTAGTGTAGTTTCCTTACACTTAGAACGATCTAGTATATGTAAATTTCCATATGTTTTTGGGATAAAAGGTGAGTAATATTCATATGTATTCTCAGCTACATATTTTGATTCACACTTCTTTAAAACTACTCCAATAAGTAGATTTTGATTAGATATATATCCATGAAGTAGTAGAGGGCCTAAAACATAGTATAGCCAATTTTGAATATCTGAATAGGATTGTATTGTGTAAATATTTGAATCCTTAGCTGTATATTCACTAGGATTCCAATTTGCCATATTTACTGTCATAGAGGTACTTGATACAGAGTTATATATGTTATTTGTCTGAATAACTAAACTTAAAACTAAAGCAAATAAAATTAGAAACACTATATAACCAAGTCCAACTATTAGCTGATACATTGGGCTTAATTTCCCACGATTAGAGTTAGAACAGCATGGCCACTTAAATGATGCTAATACTTGAGGATTTACCGAGCAATCCTCACGTGTAACGTTCATTTTATCAAAATTTTGTAATTACTATAAACATGTTTTCACTTATTGTGGAGCTCTTAAGTACTAGGAGCCAATATTTGATCTCAAGCGGGTTTATAGTGAAGATTGTTATTTCCATTGGAAATTGTTTAATAACTAAGACCATTATTTGCAAATAGAATCTAAAATCATCCCAAAATGTGAGGCCTTAAGACATCTATTTTGGTATTCCTGATTCCCAATGAATTAAGAAATTTGATTATTGGCTTTAATGATGGATCTATGGAACCTCTAGATAGAATATGTTCTCTATAATTACTTCCAAGAGTATATTTATTATATAAATCATCTCTCTCGAAAGTTTGACTCCATATATTTGAGGATAAAACTTTACAGTAGGGATAACAATAATAAGTGCCACCATAATGTATTAGATGGTCTAGAGTTATTAATGGTGGCACTCTAATAATATTGAATAGTGATCCTATATTACCACAATTTATATATAATTCCTTGCTTATTAAATTACATATACTTGATATTATCCTGTGATAGTGCTGAGTTTTATTTATATTTAATTCTTCTTCCAAAAAGAAACTATAAAAGTGCTGATCTATTAAAGCTGTTCGGATCAATTCTATCAATTCCAAATTAGGTAACTGATTTACAAACTTCTCTAAATATTTGTTATTTGAAACTTTTCTAAAACTTTTACAAGTATTATTTAAATATTCTATAAAGTATTTAGGTGATCTCACAAAATTCTCCATAAAGTGACTATGAAATTCAACATAGTCTGTAGGACCACGGGTTCCAGACAGGTGTTGATAATTTGTCTTACTGAGTAAGGAGTGTATTACATGACCAAATTCATGAAATAATGGGATAATTGATACCAAAGATATTTTAGTAGATGCTAACCATTCTATGTTACTACCTTTTAAGTTAGAACTAGGAAATGGAAAATTAGATACCAAGCACACAGCTGGAATTTGATTATATGTCGAGAAATTACCAACATTAGATATAAATTCACTAGAGTCGTGATATTTCGAACCTCTCAAAGTAAATTGTGCAAATATATCTGGTTTGTCCTTTCTTTCCCATAGATCAAGATATAATTCACCTATTATTGATGATGAATTAAGTACATTAGTAGAATTGCTAATATTAGAGGTAAGAAATGAATACTTCTCCCATTTATGAAATTCTTGATTAGTTGGTGAATTACATCTACTAATAGTAAACATCAGTACCTTGTCATCCCATAGATTCCCAAAATTATGTGGTTTTACTAAATTTAATTGGATATTAAAAAACTTTATCAAAATCCAATTCATATAATCTAGTATAAGTATTAAACTAGGATTAAGAACTTGAAAAAATAATGATGCATTATCTTCGTCGCATTTAATCTCTCGTAAGATCTGCATACTATACTTATATTTCAAGTAATTTAAATCCCATGGCTGAATTTCTCTCGTAATTGCATATTTCTCACCTTTGTAATAATCTTCAATCTTAATATTATATAAGATACTCAGCTCATCATATAAATTAGGTTTGATTCTCTCAAAAGTACTCATTAAAAAAGAGTAAACATCTTTTGGACTCTTTATAACTCCTCTTTGTGCTAAATATAACCATGAAGAAAATCCACTATACTTAGCTATTTGTTGGCGAATACTCAGCAGTGACAATAAACATTCTTGACTTGTCCTTAAACCATCGTTTGATGGTAACAAACAGCTTCCAACACTATTATTAATTTCTTCCTTTATCAAATACATTTCTTTTCTCTTCTTTTCATCAGGTAGCCTCTCCAACACCTTATTAAATAAAGAGGTACCAGCTATTATATTTATCCAGTCATTTTCATCTAATCCCCATGACCCTATCTTCTCAGTAAAATATCCATTACTTTCTCGTGTATTTATACCAATAGCTTCCAATTCATATCGCTTTATTGGTATTGATTTATATGTTATGTTGTTCTCTAGTAATATCTCATCCTTGATCTTTGTCAAAGAATAACTTAAAAAAGCATCTTGTTGCAACAACATCAAATATTTTTGCTTTTCGTCATCTTTTAAGTGTACACCATGAACTTTCATCGAATCAATCATATTATCTAAAACTTTTCTTTCTTCCTCACTCTTGCAGTCACTTAATTTAGCACTCGTCAAAATCTCATACAGTTTCGAATTTGAATTTACTGAATCTATAAAATGACGTATACTTTTTACACATATATCTGCTTTCCTTCTATTATTTGTATCGCTTGATACTGTACGTATAAGTTCAGCTGCATCTCCAATACAGCATAACTCATTAGATACATTATCTAGTATATTAACAAGTTGATTAGTAGATTTGCCAATGCAATCAAGCAACATATGCTTACATTTACTAATTGTATCTGCTGTTATCCTAATCATTTTATCACCATTTATTTTTGATATACCACCAACAGTTTTTAGTACAGCTGTCTCCATCCTATTTGTTGCTATATAGGCACATTTAAAAATTAATTTAAAAAAATCATTTTTCATGACAGACACTGCCATTCTGTTGCCAAGATTTTATCATTAAACTAATTTATTTTCCAGAGAAAGTCGCAGATTCCTCTTGCGTCTGATTGGAATTTTCAGGAAGAAATATCCGCTAAAACTCACAACTGCTTAGTTCTTTTAAGCTATTATTCGTTCCTCCCATTATAATGTATTACATCCAAATGCCTCAAGAATATAGCTCCAAATTAATTTTACATTTAATTATCTTTTTCATCACTTAGAACTGTTAGTTTGTTGTTTAGTTGTCTATTTTTTAAAGAGACACTATAGATTCAGAACAAAAACTGAATACCTCTCACTAGTATTCCTTCCTCAATTATTTAATGTATAAGTAAAAACAAAAAGTCCTAGGTATATGGTTTTAAAAAAGTATTAAAATAGGTATATACAAGGTAGTTAACTACAGTCTCTGCTAGTCCTGTATTACCAGCTTTGCATGCAAACGCGTTACTTTGGATTTGGTAACGAATTTTTGTGGGGTAAAAATTAGTATTTATCATACTTTATATATGGTTTCAAATTACACAGAATATTTGCTGTATTAATTATAAAATAAAATTGTATTATGACTTATCTAAAAGTATTTCTATTTTGGGAGATATAGAAAGCCTAAAGTACCAAAGTATCTAAGTTACTAGGCGGTATAAATTATGTGAGATTATAGGCGGTAAATGTAATCCACTTAAGTTTCATTACTGATCCAATTTACTTCTAACAAAAGAGACGGACAAATAGTAAAAAAAAATTTGGGGAATTTGCTGTAATCTACAGTATTCTTATTATTAAAATAGTTTGGTGTTTTGCAAGTGTGTGTTAACTCAAAATTTCCAGGGTTTTGTGGTATTTTAGGCTTATTTTGTTAAAAAGAAAAAAGAGAAAAAAGTAAACAATGTTACAAGGAATAGATGGTAACCGAAACAAGAAGCATCCAATCCGTCGTCTTAGGAGCCTTGCAGTTATCCTTGAAGATACACATCTTGATAAGGATAGAAGTACTTCAACATCAATGAAAAATCATGAGATCCAACGTCCACTACGACGCCGGGATCCAGATAGAACACTAACAACCCGTCTAGATTCATTCAGGCTCAGTATGGGTGGTAAACCTCATTTACATTCGGCGGATTTATTTGAAAATTTTAGTCCAGTTCAACTGGAACGTCAATTTTGGGTTCCAACGCTCCCTCTATCACTGAGCTCAACTATGGTGGATATACGTGAAATTGAAATCCCAGATTTGATACAAAAGGATGCTGATGTATTAAAAAAATTACTTCCACATACTTTTGGGGGTCCATGTGTTGAGATAATTCAAAGCAATAATACAAGTCCAAATGGAACTCCATTTCATGCATTAAGGGTAGGAATTGTACTTTCTGGAGGACCAGCTCCTGGAGGACATAATGTTATTGGTGGAGTTTATGATTTTATAAAGTCCTATCATCCAGATAGCCAACTTTTTGGTTTCTTAGGTGGTCTTGATGGATTATTCAAATCTACTTATAAAATTGTTTCTCAAGAATTAATGGACCGATTTAGAAATCAGGGAGGTTTTGATATGCTTTGGTCTGGTAGAGGACGTATAAATAATGAGCAAGATTTAGAAAATGTACGTGAAGTATGTGAGCAGTTACAATTACATGGGTTAATTATAGCTGGTGGTGATGGGTCTAATTCTAATGCAGCTCTTATTGCTGATTATATGGCTAAGCACAACAATCATATAAGTGTAGTGGGAGTTCCCAAAACAATAGATGGTGATTTAAAGAATTCAGCTGTTGAAGTGTCATTTGGATTTCATACAGCTGCCAGAACATATGCAGAATGTGTTGGGAATTTATGTTCAGATATCTGTACTTCACAAAATGTTTATCACTTTGTAAGAGTTATGGGGAGATCTGCATCTCACTTAGCTTTAGAGGTAGCTTTACAAACAAGACCAAATATGGTATTTATAGCTGAGGAAGTAGAACAAAATGGCATTACCCTTTTTGAAATCGTGAAGAGTATTGTAGATTTGATTGAAACTAGAGCAAAGATGGGTAAGATGTACGGTATTATATTAATACCTGAAGGTCTGATTGAATTCATTCCTGAAATGAAAATTTTGATCGAAGAACTCAATAATATTTTGGATAAAATGAAATCCAGAGAGGATACTTTGAATAATGAAGTATCTTCCAATATTGGAATTAATCCTGAGTCTATAGATTCTAAGGTTTACACTTCTTTAGAACCTAATTCTGAAGAATATGATAGGGAGATAGCTAGGCTATTATCGCCTTCTTCAGCAAATATCTGGGAATATTTACCTGAAACAATTAGAGAACAACTTTTGATAGATCGTGAGGCTACTGGACAAATCCAAGTTGCTAAAATTGCTACAGAAAGACTTTTGATATTACTTGTAGAGGCTGAATTACATTGTAGACATGGCTATTCTTCTTATTATGATCTACAACATTACCGAACTTTGGTAAAAAAAACAGATAAAGATGTAACCCAAGATTCAAATAAGCTATTTGATAATATGAATACAAACATCTGTACAGATTCACCTGTACCTACACAAGATGACATTTTATCTATTCCATATAGCTTTACAATGATGCACCACTACTTAGGATATGAGGGACGTTGTGCTATGCCTTCTAACTTTGATGCAAACTATTGTTATGCCCTGGGACATTGTGCTGCAGCTCTAGTATACAAAGGTATGAATGGCTACCTTGCTTTAATACGGAATTTAGAAGAAAATCCCATTAATTGGCAAGCTTGCGGTATTTCAATAACACGTATTATGGAAATAAAAAAGTCCAGATCTGATGATAGTCTATTTGCAGCAGTAACAAGACAATTGGTAGATTTAAATGGACCAATGTTTCAGCTCCTGAAACGTGTACGCAATATTTGGGCAATTCATGATTTATACAGAGCCCCAGGTCCTTTACAATTTGAAGGTCCCTGCTCAGATTCCATTCCTTATATTGTGAAGTCCCCAACTATTGAAGATCTACTCTGTGGAGAAGAAACAGATGAGAAATTGCTTAGTGAAGGAATTGGAGCTGGTGTTTCAGAAGGAGCTATGACAGTTATAGACAATAATGGAGGTTTAGAAGGGAATGTAACAACTACTAATGGCAAGAGAGGCGTATTTAATAGGATTTCAGGGACTTTATCACCTTTGCAGTTATATAGAACTACATATCGCCCTCCTTTACCTTTATTATTGACACATCTTAAAGCCAGATGTAAACCTACAACACAATATAATGTAAGTGATCCCCTAATAAAAAGACAAATTATAAGCTTTTACCCTCACTTATGTAATAATAATCATTTTTACTGTCAAGAGGTTCAATTAGATCTATCCTGTTCAGAACCCAACGTTGGGCTACGAATTGGGATTTTACTCTTATCTAGACAAACACCTGGTATAGCTAATGTAGTTTGGGGATTATATCATAGACTTCGAATGGTTAGAGGTCGTTGTTTAGGATTTTATGGAGTAAAAGGTTTTCTACAAGGTAAACATATTACATTGACAGAGAAAGATGTTGATCTATTACCAAATCAAGGTGGCTCAGAGCTTATTGGACGAACATATACAGAATGTCTAGTATCAACTGAAAACCTAGAAAAAGCCCGTCAAGTATGCGAAAGCTTACATCTAGATGGTCTGGTTTTGTGTGGATCAGCCTTTGGAATGACCCAAAGTGCCATTCTGACTGAATATTTTTTGCAACACAACTGCAATACGAAAATAGTAGGAGTTCCAGCTACAGCATCAAATAATCTTACCAATGATTTAGTTGAAACTTGTGTTGGATTTGATTCAAGTACCAAACTCTATGCAAGTTTAATTGGTAATGTACTAACAGATGCAGCATCAATGCCAAAATATTGGCACTTTATTCGCTTAATGGGAAGACAACCTTCAAATGAGGTATTAGAATGCGCTCTACAGACTCATCCAAATGTCGTAATTATTGCAGAAGAATATGGAGCAGCTGATAAGACCCTCGTGCATATAGTGGAGGATGTTGCAGATGTTATATGCAAGAGAGCTGAGTTTGGGAAGAATTTTGGTACAGTTTTAATTCCTGATGCACTATTATCTCATCTTCCTGATATGAAGATCCTCATTTCTGAAATTAATGAGTTGCGAAGGCATGCAGAAGAGAATGGTCAACAGAAGCTTTTCATGTCTGAGATGATGAGATTAGGACATATGAATGTTTCCAAAAGTGGAAACATTAATGGAAATATAAATAGTAGTGAGAAAGGTAGTAATGGAAGTTCTCCCATGACAAAAAGTCCATCTGTGGGAAGTCATATAAATGAAAGTGTAGTTCCAAATAATTCCCAAATTGAGGAAAATCCTAAGTATTCATTAAAAATGACTCCATGGAGTCAAGCTCTATTTAAATCTTTACCTCGTTTTATTCGTAAGGAGATATTATCTCTGGATGTTGATTCAGCATTTTCAGCTATTGAAACTGAGGCTTTACTAGTATTAATGATAAAGAAGGAGCTTAGAAAACGTAAACAAGAGGGCAAGTACAACGGAAACTTCCAGCCATTTACACACTTCTTTGGTTATCAGGGACGTTCAGCAATGCCTTCTCAATTTGATTCAAAACTTGGCTATGCTTTAGGTCATTTTGCATCAATAGTAGTCGAAAGTGGTCTTACAGGTCAACTATGCTCTATCAGAGGGTTATGTGGCGAAGTCTCAGATTGGAGAATGACATCAATACCCTTCAATTGTCTAATGCGCATTGTACCATCTAATGATGAGACACATCCTGAATTACCGAGTAATATCCCAACAATTCCATCTAGTGAAGTAGATCTAAAAGGAAAAGCTTACCGTTGGCTAAAAATAGTTCAAGATCATTGGGCTATGCAGGACCGTTTTTGTAACCCAGGTCCAATTCAGTTTGATGGACCAGCTGCAAATTTCTACTTCCGAACGCTTCACGAGCAACAATCTGAATACTATGAAATGCTTAAACATGTTCAGAATTATGCAGAATTAGTTCGTGAAACTTGTACATTTGGGGTTAATGAATCATTTTTGAAGACGGCCTTTGTGACCTTAAATGGTCTTTTAAATTTGCGATACAGAGATAATAATTTATTAGCATCACTACCAGATATTGGACCTTTTATCCTGCAGATGAAATCTCAATCTGGTCAGTTATATCCATTAAGTTACCCAGATCAAGTAGATCATACCCTTAATCTCTGTGATTATAATTCATCCTCTCACAAGTTGCATGGTCACTCTTCAATATACAAGTCACAAGGTACTTTCCATGCTAATGAGTCTATTTGCCCTAGTGTAGAAGAAGGTCCATGGAATGTTAATAAGTAATTTGAACTAAGCTTATAATGAATATTTTAGTATGAATAATTTAATTGTAAAACGTACAAAACTTTGTAAAATTTAATAAGGAATATAAGAAGTTAAAATAAACTTCGATTCAACTCACTTTAGAAAGAGTTGGGCTTTTATTGGAAAACCGGAATCACTAGAACTAAATATTGACAAACACAAGTTTATAGCTAGATAATACTTATATAGACAAGTTAATGCTTAGAACTTGGAAATATGAAGGTATCTGGGTAAAATTCAAGCTTTCCCCAAAATCTTAATATTGATGATTATCCAATATTTAGCAATTACTATAAATAAGCCCTCCTATAAATCCAATTTAGTGTGAAATCCGCTAATTCATATTTTTTAGTTAAACCAGTTTGTAAATATAAGAACTTATTCTCTCTAGTTTGAAAGTGGTAGTTGTGTATATAGTACACCAAACCAGAAATCTGTTCCCATTGATCAAGTTTGTCATCAAATAAGTGAATTAAAGTACTATTGAACCTGAGATCCCTAATAATAGCGATTAATAGCATACTCACAGTTATGCATCTTTAATTTACTACTTTTATTATCTTTAAAAGAAAGTGTATCAACGCTGGAACTTGATCCTTTTGTCTACTGACCCTCCATCTGAGCTTTCTCCTTCTCATATCGTTTTTTATCAGCATCTGCTTGCTTTTGGAAAGGAGCTTTTTCTGATTCGTTCATTGCTCTCCACTCCTCACCTAATATCTTGGCCACTTCAGCCACTTGAGACTTCAAACTTGGATTCTCAGCGGTAATTATAGGCCTTCTGTGATTTGCATAGAACATAAATGCTGTCATCGCCCTCTTAGGTTTGTTTTTCTTGGCTTCCTTCTTGGAAACTTTATTCATCTTCTTAGTTATTAGTGACTTTGGAGCCATTGTCTATAGTACAAATAAGTGCGAATACTTTCCAATGATTCCTAAATTTTACTAATAATATAATTTAAACGTTTACATTTATCTACGATACTTACCCCTTACTATATCTTCTTAAAATAAATAACTGTTCTTTGTTTTTAATAGCTTGCAAATTAATAGAAAAATAAAATAACTGTAACTTATTTTTCAAGATGATACCCCACATTAGTCTACTACTAGACCCATTATTAGCCACATGCAACATTTGGCGGCATATATAAAGCGCTATATACATGCATATAGTTAAGCATAATATGAGGGTACCAGACTGTTTATAGTATATATTAGGCTTGGTACTTAATACCGGCTTATCTATATACATGCATGCAATGCAATGCATAAAAGATATTTTGTTTGCGTGATTGAAAATTATTTTTGAACTTCAAAATATAGATATCACTTAATAGATTATTTGATATTGTGCTCAAAATGATTGATAAAGCTACTATATTACTTCTTGGACTTATTCTTGTAGCATCTATAGCTCAAATTCAGGCAATAAGACCTAGTACCTCGAATGTAAATAATTATATATCATCATTTATGCAACATCATTCTACAATTCAACAAATGGCGCAAGAACTGACCTCACAAATAGCAGATGAAAACCTAGCAAGTATCGGGGTATCTGCAGAAACAGCGCCTTCAACTGTAAGACATGGGAGGGATACCATTACGCTTACTATTGGATATGGACCATTGGCAAGTACAGGAGAAATGTTGCCATTTTTTGGGAATACTGGCCCAAAAGTACCTATAATTATAACATCCCCACAACCAATAATGGATATTGAAGAGCTTACAGCTTCCTATCAGAAAGAATCAAGAACCCCAGGTAGTGCAGCTTTTATTGATAGGGAGGCACTAGCTCAAGGTATTTCAAATCCAAAAGTGACACTAGACCAGGTAGGAGCTACACTTAAAAGTACTCTACAAAATGCTGCCTTATTTGCGGCTGATGCAAGGAATATTGCTAGCTTAATTGAAGAATAATTAGAACTTGTAAATAATCCTTATAAATGAGCTCGACTCAAAGTATCACAAGATTCTATTTGTTTATAGTGACATCTATTTAAATACACAATAAAATGTTGTAAACGTATATATCTAAATAAAATAAAGAGTATTTCCTAAATTGCTTAATTCTTATTTTTATGATATCTTAAAACAGGAACAGTTATCAATTCCACTTTTATTTGACGCTGTATGTGGGGTTTATTGCATGAGTTATATGCTAATGCCGGTACAGAGGACATGTGCTACATGCAGCAGAGTGAAATTTGATGGAAACTCAGAAAGTAAAGATTTTCAAGTAGAGATCTATACATAACACATTCACTAGTTGAAATTTCAGTATTATTGATAAATATCCTTATAATAATAGTATCTTTCTGAATTATGAGGAAACTTGGTGGGATACTCTTGTTATTTGGGATTGCAACAGTACTTGGAAATCTTAATGTTGCTAAGGGAAATACAAAAATTCAAAATTTAGTGGAGCTTAGAAAATCTATTTTAGACCATGAAAAGGAATTAAATTATTTGCATGGAATTACATCTAGTCTTGTTGGAGAAACTGGAGATGCTTTAAAATCTAGTAAAAAAGTACCAGTATTTGCTGAAGTAGGGAGAAGTCCTAGTGCAGGCATACCCTCTACTTCTATAAAAATGACAATGAAATTCCCAAATATAGCCCCTGTTCATGTTAGCAACAATAAAATACGTGAAGAGATTGATCATATGTCTAAAGGTGAAGGTCAGGTAGTGCCAAATATAAATCCAATACCTTTAGTTGTCATTCGTCCAGATGCCTTAACAAATATGATAGCATCTCTATCTGCATCTGTTCATCAGAGAAAAAAAGTAGAAGGTAAGCTCTTTACACCTTTATAATATTACAAGATAAAATAACGAAATTTCTTCAGACAAAAGAGTTGATATTTTAGAAAAGCTGTTGGATCATATTGAGGATAAAGATGCATTTAAGAGAGTCGTAAAAAGGTCCATAAACTCTCTTGAATCCGAACTTGCCTTCTTCTTAGCTGACAAGTCAATTGCGCAAAGAAAATCGTAAGTTTATATTAAGTTACTTATACAAAGGAAAAGTAATATACAAACTTTTTTACAGGTCAAATACTGTTTGAAATAATTGAGTATATAATATTAATTAAATTCATTGCATCTACAAAAGAAAGTATTTACTTCTTAGACACCAAGTCTAATATCACCTTGTTTTGGAAATATTCATCTGATATATAAACAGTAACAATTACTCTATCGAATAGTTTTAAGGTCTCAGTTGGATCTTCATTATTAACAAGCTGGGGCACTGAAAAATCATATTTAAATTTGTCAGTGTCAAGATTAACAGAGCCTAAAAAGAAGCAAGTGGTTTATCAAATCTTAAATAATTTGTGTGGGTAACTTACCCTCAAATCCAAAATCAGGAACAAAAACAAGAATGAAATTATTTCTAACTTGCATGATCATAGCTTCTACAATTTGCTTTCCATGTTGCTTACAATAAAGGTATATGAAAAGTTTAGATGAATCTCTTCCAGCAAGTTGGGCATTTCTCATACTTTTATTTAGTCTTTGAGTGAGCTTTAACATCTAAGAAAACAAGGAAATTAATAAATGTATAAATGGAATGGTAGAGAATACGAGAAGTTCTATTTAAAACTGATTTAATCACTCAATACAAAAGAATTATATAACATGTAAAACCTTTAGTATGAGTAGAAATATCAGCCTTTATAACAAAATCTCCCGATTAGAACATCAGCAATGTAATTATTTAGTATATTAAACTTACCTTATCTTTATTGCTAATATCTTCATTCAACTTTGAAAACCCAAGCGAAGCTTCAAGGAGTCTGTGAACAATAATATCAGCATATCTTCTTATAGGTGAAGTGAAATGAGTATAAATATTTTCAGCAAGACCATAGTGATACGTCCCCTCACTTGATTTACAAGTTGTAAAGTATACAGCTTGATTCATCGTGCGAGTTGTAAGAATTCTAATCAACTTATTAACTATAGGATCTTTTTGAAAATTAGGATCATCTTTAATATTATTTAAGCTTTTTGCTAGCTCAGCAGAAGTTTTATACTTAAAATTGTGAATACCAGCCTTTGCTATTACTTGTGCAAGTTTATCAAGCTGGTCATACTTAGGTTCTGGATGCTTTCTTAATAAAGCACAGCTAGGGAAATGTTTTAGTGTAAATTCTGCAACCGTAATATTTGCTAGAAGCATGAACTCCTCAACCATTGAGTTTGTGTCTAAATACTGATACATATTTACTGACTTAATATTTGGTATTTTAGAAGTTTCATTACAATTTCTAGCACTAGTGTTATCAATTTCTGTTGATGTATCTATAATATCACTTTGTTTTACTGTCCTAGCTTCCTCAAGATCTATTTTAACTTCAGATGAAGCTAATTCAAGAGCACCACGGTCAATTCTTCTTTTACGTAGTATTTTAGACAGATTTAGCAGTCTTCGAAGTGCAACTGCCTCATTTGAGTTATTACTAAGATTATCAATAATCGATTGGGCTTCTCCATATGTATATGAATGCTTTGAGTTTATGATCGTTTTTTCAAAGTTTGATCTTCTTATTTTGCATAGTCCATTTATTTCCCAAATACAAGTAAAAGCTAAACGATCTTTATGTGAAACTAAAGAACAAATATCAGTTGTTAACTCTCCAGGGAGCATATCTATACGACGGTTAACTAGATAACAAGTAGTACACCGTCTACTAGCCTCTTCATCAATCGTAGTATTCGGCTTCACAAAGTGAGTAACATCTGCAATATGAACAGCTACACGATACCAGACATCATCATTTGGTGCTAGCTTCCCATTAGCATCATCACCTTCAATAAGTTCGATACTAAGAGCATCATCAATATCTTTGCAGCCAGGAGGATCGACAGAAAATACAAGTTTATTTCTCCAATCTGATCTTCCAGAAAAATCAGATTCACGAGGTTCCCATTCCTTGTTAGTTCCATAATTTGGTAAACACCTCAAAACTTTGTTTGGAAATTCTGCTGAAGGTATATTTCTACAATGTAAAATGACTGAAGTTTCAGCTTCCAAATCTCCTGCTCTTCCTAAAGTACTTACCCAATGCCCTGAAGGATAGAATGAAGATCTATCCCATTCATCAATAACAACTACAAGTCGTTGATAATCAAGTAATGAGGACATCCTAGTGTGTATGCGAATCCTTGGGATTTTAGGGTCAATTGGGATGAAAATTCTGTGCTGTCTAGCTGAAGAATTGTAGCATATACTATAACGATTATCATCAGTATTTAATGGTAGTAAAGTACCACAATATTCTTTCCAATTTCGCTTTAAAATACCAACAACTTTACCATTATAATGATCCCTTGCTATGCTAGAGCTTTTCTTGCTATCTGGTAAACTTCCTAAATGTAGTGAATCCAATTCTATATCTAATTCAGTATCACCAATACAGTCCTCTTCTGCAAGTAAAATCCCTCCTGTAACTGGAATTTCAGTTTTTGACTCAGATTCACATTCTAAAGTATCTTGAGACTTTATCAAAAAAAGGTTCATTGATCTGTTTTCGACACTATCATTCTCTTCAATCTTTACGACAACATAATCTCCATCAATACAGCGATTTAAATTTATATATCCAGCAATTTCTATACTAATTGTCCTATAATTAAATTCCAATCTGGTAGAATTAGTTAATGACGATTCTGATTGTGTTGAAGGTACTTCAACTTCAACATATCCTTTAGATCTACTAACAAATCTAATAATCCCTTTAAAATATTCACCTTTATTTATACCTTCTATTATCTCTTCTTCGCTCAAATGAGAAGGGTATATATATTCTGATAATTCCAAATTACTTTTTATAACCCCATCAACTTCTTGGAAGTTAGGAATTGATAATTTTTCACCAGCTGATGGAAACTTCGAAGACACTAGCTCAGAGAAAGAATAAGGACTCAAAACTTTACAAGTATCTACATTACCAAAATGATCTAAAAACAACTCAAACCACTTTTCATCCTCACATAAAAGGTAAAGTTTTGTATCCTGAGCTGAAGCTTCTTTAAAATGCTTTATATACCATTCAATAGTTTTAATTAAACTTCTTGCTGTTTTCTCAATGCCAGAATATTCAGTACTTAAAGTTTCTACAAAAAGAGAATCTGGGAATGCAATATACTGACGTTCATGCTTTTCACTGGTATTCACAGGATTTTTTAAATATTCCTCATTATTTAAAGAATTTGTCACATCTATATTACCAATATTTATTTCCATACCTTCCATAACTTTCTCACTTTCATCCTTGAATACTACACAATTTAAACCTGTGTTAGTACTCCTTACAAGATTTTTTAATGTATTTAACAAGGGTCTGTTGACAACACCTACATTCTCAAGTACTGAATATGTTAGAACCACACTTGTTAAGGATTCATCCTGAAGAAAAAAGTCAGGGTGCTTTAGCAAGACATCTGAAAATGGAAATACCACATATGAAGGACCACATATGTCCCCCTTATCTAAATTTAAATAGCACAGCTTACACCCAAACAAACCACAATTCATTTGGTACCTGTAATAAAGTTCACGAACAATCTTCCTAACTTTTCCTCGTCTAGTTTTTTTTATAAAACTAGAAATATATGTATTCTCAACCCCATCTTCAATACTATAAAGACTCAAATTTGCTGACATTTGCAATAATAAGTTTGATTATATAAAAGACCTGTAGAATTAATAATACAAGACAAGAACAGGGTGTCAACGCAAGCTTAGCTTGGAATCTTAAGGATCAAATTTTTAAAATTAAAATCAAGCTTGTCATTCTAAAACATAGCGCGCGAGGTCAAATTTTGATAAGGTCTCAATAAAATTTCACTACAGTATAACATTAAAGTTTCTATAATTAAAAATCAGCTTATGGGTGGGCAACCAAACTTCGACTGGGCAGGACTTTTGAGATGGTCTTCTCAATATATAGGTAAGTCAACTCCTATATCTAATATATACTATTGAAGCTTATAAATTTACTGAATTGCTAACTACTTTATTCTCTATCATTTACTTTTAGATAGGAGTGATTCGGCTAACTCGATATCACGTTTAGATCCAGAAAGGTTTGAGTTTTTACAAAAGGCAGTGAAAGAGGCTATGAAAAATACTATAGATCCTAATCAGGTGATGATTGAAGCAAGAAATAAGATAACCTTAAATGCTAATGGTAAGATTTTAGTATAGCTATTTTTAATGTTAAAAATATCTATATATCAATATAATAATATTTATGGAATATAACTGTCAAATTTTGAAATTATGTTGAATCTTTCTTGTTCAGATGAGGCTGTTGTATTATCTGTACTAGTAGCGATAGATCGTTGTGTTGATATCCCAGACTGTGCAAGAAATCTGGTGAAATTAGGCTTAGTAGAACCTCTTTTAAGCTGTCTTTCAATGAGTGATGAAATAAAATCATTATCACTTCATATTATGTCAAAGAGCATGCAAAATAATTTGCCTATTCAAGAGGGCTTTTCTAACTATGGAGCTCTATCTATAATAAGGAGACAAATATATATTGATGACCATGAACTAATACAATCAAGAGCTTTAGCAGCTTTAGCAGCTCTTCTACGTCATAATCATAATATGGAGATAGCCTTTTTATCTGATAATGGACTATATGATATTAGTAAATTATTATTATCGGAACACTTAAAAGTTCGTGAGAAAGCTCTCTCATTGTTAAAACACTTTATACTTGAAAATTTAATAACCTCAAAAGATATACTATATGTTAATAATGGTCAGATCATTGGTACTATTATGAAGCTAGTTGATGATAATTCTAATGGCATATTAAATATACAATATAGTGAAATTCTTTCTGAAACATTTTTGCAGGTAATTAACTGTTGCAAGCTCGATTTATCAGAAAAACTAAGGGATGAAGTTTTGAAATGCATACGACGCAGACAAAGTTTTCTAGCAGATTATGCAAAAATACATCCGGAAGATGACACTTCACCAGAAGTTAATTTTCTAAGGGAATATGAAGAAATATTAGGAAGGAGTACTTAAAATCTAGAAAAAAAATTATTTATTGCACTTCCTCAATACAATTTATTTTAGATAACAGCTCATATTAGTATGTAAATATGTACTAGATTATTTTTCTTTTAACTAGCTTGTAAAGAATTAATTAAATAAAACAACCCTAACGGACTTGTCCAGTTGACCCCCAATTGGGGCGCTCAATTCTGTCTCATTTGACTTATTACTGAGGAAGAAGGATAGATAAGAACTTGAAAAATAAGAGTGCTAAGCTACTCTCAAAGTTATATATTGTGAATATATAGGTCTGAGACGGAAATTTAAGACTAATACGTGTGGAATGTCTGAACTGAAGAATTGGGAAGATACTCTAGATGAGAGTGAAGAATGTGAAGGAAGTATTGAAAATATATCAAATAAACTAAGAAACAACTTGAAATTGCATAGTAATGATGAACCTCAACAGGACACAAGATCTGTAGTTGAAAAAGAGCATAATATTGATCATGAAATATTAAATAATGAGGTGATATCTTTAACTACAAAAGGTCAAAACACAGTATCCAATAAGTCACCAATATCTTCAACATTACTAGAACCAGATTCTAGACCACACATGAATATTGTATTTATTGGTCATGTAGATGCAGGAAAGTCAACAACATGTGGTAACATCTTGTATACATGTGGCTTAGTTGATCAAAGAACAATGGAGAAGTATGAAAGGGAGGCAAGGGAAAAGAATCGTGAATCTTGGTTTTTAGCATTTATAATGGATACTAATGAAGAAGAGAGAAGTAAGGGAAAGACAGTTGAAGTTGGTAGAGCTCAATTTAGTTTAGAAAATAGAAGATTCACAATATTAGATGCACCTGGTCACAAAAGTTTTGTTCCAAATATGATATCTGGTGCTAGTCAGGCAGATATTGGCGTATTAATTATTTCTGCAAGGAAAGGTGAATTTGAAACAGGATTTGAACGTGGTGGACAAACTAGAGAACATGCAATGCTAGCTAAAACACTTGGAGTTAATCAGTTGATCGTTGCAATCAATAAGATGGATGATCCAACTTGTCAATGGGATGAAACACGATATAAGGATATACAGAAAAAACTTACTCCATATTTAAAAATATGTGGGTATAACCCAAATAAAGATATATTTTTTGTCCCAATATCTGGACAATTAGGGCAGAATCTAAAATATCATGTCTCAGATAAATCTAATACAAAATATTACGAACCTAAAGCTTTTTGGTATAGTACAGACCAACCTACACTTTTTGATATTATGGACAAGATTATATCAGTTCCAGATAGAGGTATTAATTCATCTGGGATACCTATTGATCCTGAAGTAGTTAGAATTCCACTATTAGATGGATATAGGGATAATGGTGTTATTGCAATGGGAAAAATTGAATTAGGTATTATAAATTGTGGAGATAGTTTAGTTGTCATGCCTAATAAAGTTAAAGTTAAAATTCAGAGTATATGGTTGGGTGAAGATACTGAAGAATATAGTTGGTCAGGTCCAGGGGAAAATGTACGTTTGAAACTTGTTAATATTGATGAAGATTCGTTGAATAAGGGATTTGTTTTATGCTCACCAAGTAGTCTCTGTCCTGTTGTTACAAAATTTAAAGCTCAAATATTACTTGTTGAATTGCTAGAACAACGTCCTATCTTAACTAGTGGATATCAATGTATTATTCATGCTCATACTTGTTGTGATGAAATCTCTATAGATGAGTTACTTGAAGCTGTAGAATTATCAACAAAAAAGAAAAGAATTAAACCAGCATTTGTTAAATCTCAATATATGCTTATTTGCACAGTAATTCTTACAAACCCACTTTGTCTTGAGGAATTTGCAAAATGTCCTCAAATGGGGAGATTTACTTTAAGAGATGAAGGAAAAACAATTGCTGTAGGTAAAATTTTAGAAATTCTAGAAACTATTTAGAATTAGTAGAATTCTCAACTTAATATAGGTTATCTAGTAAAATTAAAATTTTGTATTATTGGAATTTATATTTAATAGATAATATAATGCTATTTAAATGCACTATTACTAATTACAACTTCTTAATATTTACTTTATATATTTACTTTTCAAATATTGACTCTTGTTACTAATTCACGTTTTGCCTTAATAAATGACTTAATATCATCCTCTGCATCTTGTTGTACTGCAAGATACAATTGCTGAATCTTTTGTTCATAACTAATATCATGTTTATTTTCACTTATAGATAGGTCATCAATTAAATTATGATATAATACTACTTGCTTCCCAATAGCATATGTGACAGTTTGTTTAAATAATTCAATATCTTCTTTATTATTACCCCAATCAGAAAATAGAGATACTTTATTAATCTCTAAACGATTATGATCATTCTCCCATAATTTTAATTGTGTCTCTACACTTATTGGAATTATACTTGTGCCATCAGTAATATGCTTCTTCAAAATTATAGGGTGGGCATTACTTATAAAAAAACGCAATATTTGATAAGCTTTCACACCCATAGAGTATGCTGATAATAAACCACGGCGTGTTAGTACACCGCATATAATATTTGGCCCACGTACCTTAACTTGACATAAATGTCTCAAAATTTTTGCTTGTAAAGGAGATGCAGTATAACAATAAACACGAAAATTACTTTGTACAATTATACCTGCCTCCAAATTTGAAATTCCAGATAAAAATAAATTTGATTCTATGCTATGAGAAATTTTTAGATCTATATCATTACTAGTATTATTTAATTCCACAATTTTATTATTTTTATTATTATTCATTATAGATTCTGAATATTTCTCTGTTAAATATTCATCATTATATGGATCTTTATCTTCATTATCCTGATCATAATAAAAGTGTGATGGTAATAATATTGAATTACCAGTTTCATTATTATCAATTTCTTCATTATCTACAATCTTATTTAAAGATGTAACTACTTTTAATGCAGGATATAAACTTTGTAATTGATAACCATCATGTCCTAGTAATAATGCATAAGGAGTTGTATATATTAAATAAGTTTGTGAGTGACTTAAATCAATAGGAAGATTAAATGAATGATCATCTTTTGAATATATTGTATTATCAAAATAAATCAAACCAAGATCATATGCAAAATATAAGAATCTACTTAATAGATTGTTATTGTTACATACTAATATTGGTTGACCAACTTTAGAGTTAGATAATCGGAAAATTAAACTAATTACATCAACCAAATCCTTATCTAATGATATTTGTTTATTATTTTTTTGATTATTATTATTACTATTTCCCATTAATTTTATAAATTCATTTAGTAATGTTAATAATTGATTACATGTATCACATAATAACCAACAAAAAGCTTTTGGTACTAATTTCTGTTCAAATATTTTGTCCATTTGACCCTTTAAACATTCTTCATTATTTTGAAGTTTTTTACCTGATTTTCTTAATTTATTTCTTTTTGTTATATATGGTTGATATTCATCATCACTTATGTCGTTCAAATATTCAAAATCTTCAATTGATCCATTATCTTTTGTATCTATTAATATCTGCTCCTCTTCACCTTCAAAACCATCATATAATTCACTTCGTGTAACTATTGACACTGGAAAAATAATTGAACTAGTTTCTTCTGATCTTTTTAATTGATTAGAGTTTGAAATATTTTGGACTTTTACCTTTACTGTATCTTTACAATGATCTTTTTCATAAGTTGGATATGTTATTAATCCCATATTTAATAATATATCTATTATATCTTTAGAAACAATTTTATATTGTTTTGATAAACTTGAAAAATCATAAAAATTATTTTCATATGAATATCCACTTACTTCTACAATAATGTTTAAGATGTTATTCCATTTATATCTAACAAATTGTGTTAGTAATGTACGTCTTACTTTCTTACCTTCATTTGATATATTCAAATTTGAATTTAATATCTGGTTATCATTTAGTCCATTTATTAAATAATTGTATAAACTCTTTTGAAATTCAGTATTTAAGCTGTATTGTATTGAAATATTACTTCCAATAGTATTTGTTGATTCATTACTATTTAAAGTATTACTACTATTATTAAATTTTAATATATTGGCTTTAATTACTTTAAGTAATCTTAGATGTTTCAAAGCTGCAAATAATTCATCTTGTTTCGAAGGTAAGACCCATAATTGCATTGCTTTTTCACCTAACATATTAAGATTTGGATTAGTTCCTATCATAGCTAATCTTATTGTTACTTGTTGCTCTAATTCTGTTAATGAAGAATATAATTCAATAACACAAGATTGATTACTGAATAAGATTGATACACTTGAATCTGTTAACGATGAAATGTATTCCATCAAATTCCATGATGTAAAAGATGATTCTGTATATATAGAAGAATGCGTAGCAATCTTATTATTGGTTAAATCTATATGTGAGGATCTAAAAATACCGTCTTCTTTGGTTATTACATTAGGCATCGGTGATTTTTAATAGTAATAGAATTTACAATAAGAATGATATTACAATACTAAGGTATAGTTTGAATCCCGCTCCAATACAAGTTCAATAAATGACACTAATAAAGCCATTTAAAAACCTAAATATAATAAAGAAAATAGGTCATTACATTATTTATATAAAGATATATTTAGGTTACTTATTTATTTTTTATTGGGCTAAATATATTTAATGTTCAATATATACATAAAGATTTCTTTTTTATTTTCTAATATTCTTTATTATTTATAATCTCTTTTTGTAAAGCTAATTCTACTTTTTTAGAAATATATCTTCTTTATATTTCTTTATAAATAATCCATTGGTTTTATGTACTTTACTGTAAATATGAGAGTAGACCTGTTTAGTAAATAAGTTTTTAATTGAATCAATTAACAATATATAGATTTTCTTAACTGATACATATAATACTATATTATATATTATTTACTTTATGTAATCTATTTCATTTTCTTTGAATAATAATGTTATGATTTTATGAAATATTTGTCTTATAATCATGTAAAAAAAACTCCACAACTAGGATATATCTTCAAAGATTTTGATAATGAATAATAGATTATTTTCAAAAAAATTAATTTTAATATAATAATCTAGTTTACCGTAATAATTAGTTAGATTATAATTAATAGTTGCTTATATTTTATAAATAATTTATTATTATAAGAATATTAATTTAATACCAAATATCTATAAAAGTACAAATGTGAATGTTAATATACCAAGAAAATCAGATATTGAAAACTTTTTAATAGGACCAAATATGCAGAATTTAATAATTTATATACTTGATATCTTATATTAAAAAAAATTTTGCACTAAAAAAGTGATAAGTAGTTAGTAGTTCATGAATTTTTATGTTGCTTGCAGAGTATACCACTTAAAAACTTTCATCGAAATTTAAATTAGTTTCATTATAGAAATATACTTTTTTTAGTGTATTTACTATATTAAATATTTTCTTTGCAGAATTGACTATTAGTTATAGCTGATATTTGATATTTTGATAATTTAAAAATTTGAATATTTTTAAAATGAAATTTTTGTTGACTTTATTTTGGTGATGCTAAGGATTTTGAGTTATAAAACCAATAATATTTTGCAATTATATAGGAATTTTCAAATATAAGTAATTTATATTAAAATTGTAAATATTATAATAAGATTTTAATTGGTTATTATAAAATATCAGATCATACCATTGAAATATCACAATAATTGACTAGCTTATTTTTACTTATTTATTAGCACAATAAATTTGACTGAATCTTTAAAATATTAAAAAAGTTTTTTTTTCATTCTTTTTGATCATTAAATTCCAATTATAGAAAATATTAAGATTTCTGATACTTATATAATTCAATAAAGATAACTCAGATAATATATTTAAGCAGTTTAAATATTAAGTATTAGAATCTCTTAAATATAGATTTTAATTCCATTACAAATAAAATATTTATAAGGAATATCAAATATATGTTCAATATTTAAACTTGTTTATATATAGTATTAATCTGAGATATATCTTATATTTAATTTAAAAAGAGTATATTCAATACCAATATTGCATTCTCAGATATCTCTATTTTAATGATAAATATTCACTTAAAGAATGACAGTTAATAACTCTGATTATAGTACAATTGTATTATTTTTTCTTAGCTCTTAACTACCAAAAGTTGTGACTTCATTTATCTTACAATTTAAAAAAAAATTGTTTACTAGATACTAATATTCTGAAAAAATCTCATATCTAGCTCTATATGTTATAATTTTAGATTGAGTACACTCTTTATATGAAATTTGAATGAGTTTAATTCCAATTTTCAATATTTAAGACAAAACTTCTTTTTTATTGGGTAATTATAAACTGTGTATCTTGACGTGTAAATATTTCTATTTAGATTATTTAAACTCCAATAATTTTTTATCTAATAAAAGTATTCAGATCTGTATAAAATGATAGTGTACTTGTAAATGGAATTCCATTACATCCTAAAAGTGTTTAATACCACCGCTTATACAAACCGCCACCCCTCAAGAATAATCCCACGTTAATCAAAGTATCTATAGAAAAAGGAATCTGATTTGGTTATTAATTTATTTCCATAAATTAATATTCTTTAGTATTATATCAATATATGGATTAATAGCTGTATATAGATATATATTTTTGTTTTGTTCAGTTTTATTGTTAACTAGTTACTGGGAACTTTGAATATCCAAAGTAGTAAAGCATGTACAGAAATCAATACGATACTGATGTTGTCACCTGGTCTCCTCAAGGAAGAGTTTTCCAGATTGAGTATGCTATGGAAGCTGTAAAACAAGGGACTGCAGTTATTGGAGCTCGCAATAATGATATTGTTGTTCTAGCTTGTATTAAACGAAACATTAGTAAACTAGCTGGATTTCAAAAAAAGCTGTATAAAATTGATGACCATATAGGTGCAGCAATGTCTGGTATTACTGCAGATGCTAAAGTATTGTGTAGTTATTTAAGATATGAATGTTTGAACCATTCATTTACATTTGACAGTCCAATGCCACTAAGTAGGCTTGTTTCAAATATGGGATTAAAATCACAAATATGTACTCAGGAATATGGAAGGAGACCATTTGGTGTTGGACTTTTGATAGCTGGATATGATCAAGATGGTCCTCATTTATATGAAACATGTCCTTCAGGCAACTACTTTGAATACTATGCTATGGCACTAGGTTCTAGATGCCAAGCTGGGAAAACTTATTTGGAAAGACATTTTGAAGAATTCAACTCATGTAACAAGGATCACTTAATATTACATACTTTGAAAGCATTAAAAGCTTGTCTTTCTTCTGATCAAGATATGAATAAACAAAATGTAGATGTTGCTATTGTCGGAAGAAATTGTCCTTATATTGAATTATCAGAAGATGAAATTATGGAGTACCTTCAAATAATTAGCCAGGAGGCATCACCAATTATTAATCAAGTAGATGAAACTAATAATGAAGAACCAACTTCTATGCAACTTGATTAAGAACAAGGACAAAAGTCCCTATGAGTATTTAAACTTCCAAATGTTCTCGCAAGATCTTGCAATATCTTAGTAGGAACCTTTAAACACCAATTCTGTAGCTTGAATTGTTCTAAAACTTCACTCTTTAATTGTTCTATTGAATAATAACTGTTATAACTGTCAAAAATGTTCTCTTGCCAATATTTTAGTGGGAATACAAAGTCATATAAGTAACAATGAGATAAATAGAATTGTATTAAGCATATACATATAAATGTCCTTTTCTCTACTATAGCTGATACTATTTGGGGTGTTAGCACGTTGTAATGTAGCTGTATTGCAACAAGTGCTAATAAATATAATATATCTGATTTTCTGTAATGTGGACACTGCAATAGCATTCTCGCCATGTGTCTAACTAACAATAGCAACTCTTTCCAAGTTTCAGTATTTTCAAACCAAAATTTGTTTCCAAATTGATCTTGTGATAACAATGTTGAGTGAATAAAGTCTACAAATTCATTACACAATTCATTCATTGATGGATATATAGTATATATTTCTTCATCATATATAAATGGAGATATTTTAATTACCATTGAATTTATTGCATTTAGTATCTGCTTAATTCTACACCAAATCTGAGACTTTTTTTTTCGGTTTTTATATACCAATGTACATTCCACTTTTTTATCTTCTAGATAGCACTTTTCACTATCTACTAATAATACAGTTGGTCTTACCAGTATTAAATTAACCGGAACATGTACTATGGGGAGATTTGTAACGAGCATGTTATTGTTGCTAAATTTTGTCTAAAATTAAGAAATTTAATCATAATTAAAAATATTGAATAAAAGTGGAAAACACGTAATATAACACTTAATGCATGCATTATCTGCCGGTATCCACGTAAATTTAGACATGCCCTGTTTTTAGAATTATGCACCGGTATGTAATATTTGACTTCTCTTTGTGATATCTCTTTATATATTGCATGCGTAGTAAAATTTAAAACTTTTAAACTAAAAATTTCTTTTGAATTAAGATATATATATCTTTTTATTGTTATTTTAATGTATTAAATAATATTGTTAATTTACTGTTGTATTAAAGTGGTAAATATGTAAGTCATAATTTAGCTTGTCGTAATATGAAATTAAGAATACCGCCGTCTATATTTTAGTATCCTTATTTATCAAGAAACTAACTTTAAGCAGTGACTAATTAAAATTCACTCTATAAATAGATAATTATGGATGTAGAATTATCTTTAGATACAGCTAAAGTATTTGATGAGTTATTTAAACTACTACGAAATAACCAAATTGAAGTCACTGCGGGTAGTATCGAATTACTTTTGGACCAAAGTGAAACATCTGCTCTTATATCTTATATTTCCAAATATCCCAAGTCCTTACGCTCTCTATTATTGCTAATTGGGAATGATGAGGAAATTTTATCTACTAATGCAATCAAGACCTTAATAAATCTCTCTCAAAATCCCAACATTTCAGAAGAACTATGTAGCAATTTATCAGCTATTGAATACACTATGGATAATTTAAGAGAACAAATGAGAAGATCTCCTGGTACTCCCTACCATTGTGATTTAAATTTGATGCTTATTTCAAACCTTACTCGTAGTAGCAAAGGGAGAGAACTCTTTTTTAAAAAAACACAAAAAAACGAGAGTCTTTATTTACCATATTTATTAGAATTACTATACGGTTCTAATAATAAAGAAGAGCAAGGGATGATTATAAATATTTTCAATAACTGTACTAGTTGTGAACAAGGAAGGAAACTCATTACTGAAAGTTCTATTGGTATTGAGATTGTAAATGTACTATCAGAGATTTTCCTAAAAATGGTTCGAAAAAAGGAATCTTGTGAAACCATAGTTGGAATATTCACTCATTTGTGTATAGATCGGGGGTGCCATGAATTTTTAATGAAAGATGATTGTAAAGTGATAAAAATTCTTTGTTGTATTCTATATCCTAGTAGAAATAACAAGTTAAGATATAAGAAAAGTGAAAGTACTTTGAGATTATTAGAAAATAAAATTTTACACTTTCAATCAGCAGATAAATATGAAGTTCAAGATTTAAGTTATTTGTCTTGTGAAGTTAATGATAATTCAAGTAAGAGAAAAGAAATTATAGATGAGACATGTGAACTAGAATTAAATGAAAAAAAGATTCACTTTTTTATTCAAGAGAATTCAGTTGGACCAGTAAACTCAAATATAAGTCAAAATATTTTTGACTGCATATTAGTTTTATTATCTACAACCAAAGTTAGAGAATATCTTAGAAGCCTTGGGTTATATGAGGTCTTAAGAGTTTGGCATTTATATGAACAGGATCAATCAATTAAAAAGGGTATTGAAGACATAGTACATCTTGTAGTATATAATGAACAAGAGTTAGCTCAACAAGATTATGATATTAAGAATTCTGTTTCAATTATTTAAATTAAGAGAAAAGTTTGCTCAACAATTAGGAAAATAGAAGTATTAGCATAAACATACTACTTACTTCTGATGAATCTAAAACAAAAGAATTAATACTAATAATAAATAATTGGGAAAATAAATAGATATGTTAATTTTAGTTTATAAAATAAAGGATAATACTTTAGTCTACTTTCAACTTTATTAAATATTAGTAAAATGAATGTTCATGGTTTTCAATAAAAATTAATGGATATAATAAAAAGTTTAATCATTAATCTCTTTTGTAAATATTATCATATTTTCTCAAGACTGAAATTAGTGCACTATCTTTAACTTGGGAAATTAATCAAAATAATTTTTCTTGAAATATCGAATTTCTTTTCCTTATTAATATATTAGATAATTTGAAAAAAAAATATGAATTTTTTCAAAACTTTCTATTTAATAGCTCCGGAACATTCTGCCATTATTTGGTCCCAATGGCACTCATAAAATGTTAAAATTCCTTGTGCTTTATATACCATATAAGCTGCCATCTAAATCCAATGACAATTAAGTATAAATCAAATTATTTTTTTTATATAAAATAAATTATTATAAACTTACAGCACATTGAGTTTTAGATAATTCCTGAATTTCAATACATTTGGGACATGTTCTATTTAGGAGTGAAAAACTAGCAAAACCTGGATAGTTTGTATGAGTTTGAACAATATTTAGTGGAATATCTCCAAATTCATTAAAGTAATTTAATTGAGCAAAATCACAGAATCTGATGTATTTCTTTTTAAGTGAATCATCCTGTTGAGCTATACGTGCTTCTAGTTCGATACAAAATTTGTATAACTGATTGTAATCTTGTTGGTATATCCAACGTTGAGCAATATCAAGATAACAAACATGACAATGAACTTTTTCAAACAAAATAATTAATGAATTGTATTTTTCCATAATTCTACTGGTATGTCTCGTGGAATCCATAATTGATTTCAGTAATTGATCTACATCTGTTATAACATTATACAAGTTTGAATTTTGAGTACTCTCACCTTTGGGTTCTTCCTTCACTAATGAAAATTGTGGGTAATTGCAATCTAATAGGAAGTCATCAATATAAGCGTTACTAGAAGAACTAATTGTTGTAGTATTTCCGTTTCCCATATATGCAAGTTAAGTTAGAATTCTGCAATATTAGATGGCTCAAAATTTACAAAAGCGGTTTATGAATAACCTATTTGATACTCTGCCACAACTTTTTTTTTCTTCTTTTATTCTAAAATTATAAAGGAAATTACTCAGATATAAGTTAAATAAATCTATTACTAATTATAATTTGGATATTTCTAGTTATATTGTGATGACTTTAAGTAGATCTTCAGTTAGTGCAGTTGGCTTGGATAGCTTTGCATTTCGTCAATTTGAGTATGGATACTGTGGAAGTTATATTCCTAATTATACACCTAAACAGTTCTTAGCTGAAATTAACAAGTTTATTCAATTGGAGTATCCAGAATTAGTTAGTGGCTATGCTCCATTTTGTAAACATCTATTTGTTCCTAACTTTACGCAGGCTAAAGTATCAGTTATAGAAATTACACCTGAAAATGAAAGATACTTAAAAACCGGTTATATATCCCGTAGAAAAGAGGAATTACCCGTTTTATCCAGATGGTTCCCTTCTGATTGTAAATTTATCAAAGATTCCATTAATCTCCCTGCAAAATATCTGGATATTATTTTATATAGTAGAGAACAATGTGAAAAAGAGATTCAAGGAATGAATTTGCAAGGTAAGCATGAAAGGCTTGTAGAAGGATCTAATAGTGATCCTGATTGGTATATTATCTCAATTAAATTACAAAATGAAGATTTTGAAACTCCTATGGAACCTATCACAATGTTAAGGAATACTATAATAGAGGAGGGCGGCAGCGGAGTGCCGCTCGATAGGGAAAAATATTTAGAATCTGTTAATTACTGGAAAAATCATGCAGTAATATGCCCAAACTAAACATAATAGGATTATAATTAGATACAATACAAATTGATCTAAACTCTCCTATATAAATTTTTTTTAAAAAAGGTTAGAATTTCTTTTAAACTCTAAATTCCTTTATATAGAGGGGGTTATTCAATAAGAATCTACTACTTAGTAAATTAAACAAACTTTAATATTCCATATCTGAAATTTTTTAAGTAATAAACTTATGAGGTTTCTGTATAACTTTAGATATCTCTACTAATTTTAAATTTTGAATATTCTACAAGTTTCTATTTTCTAATATTGATAAGTCTCCCGTACATTTCCCCCATGGATTTATACGCATACTCACACAATTGTTAGTGTGGCAGATTCCCCCTCAACAATTGTTAATTTAATTATAAATTAACAAGGTTTACAACTTTATTATCTGTTAGGTTTGTAATGTCAACTGAATCTTTTACTAATATTAGCAATGGCACATTAGTGGATAAATTAGAAAATGGGGGGGTTATGGTAGAAGCTGCATTGGCTGAGTTCCACGTGAAATATCAAACCTTATTTTTTATTGCTACGATTGTTACTTCAATTGCAGGGTTTTTTGCAGCATTATATTCATTATTTGGGTTTCATCCCACAAACTTTATCAATTCTTGTTTTCAACTTTTGCTTGGGGTCATGTTAATATTACTAGATGTTCCAGGACAGCCTAGATGGAGTGCAAAAGTAAGAAATGACATAAGAAAACAAGCTAGAATTCTTTCTAAGTTAACTGGGAAATCTCTATCCCTTTTGTTTTTATCTTGCCTAACTTCAGTTACACTGTGGCCCTACAAGAAGAATACAGCATCTTCAGGCCTACTCATTGTAGTGGCTTTTCTTATATGTTTAAGTGTAGCTTGTGTTGCAGGGATAGGACTTATTATTGCTTTAGAGAAAAGTATGCGTTTAAATAAAATTAAAAAAAATATTATTACAAGTTATGCTGCTACTGGTACTTGTAATCCAATAGAGATATATCGATGTTATGCAACTTCTGATCCTTTATTTGGTATGCAAGTAGATGAATTCAATAGATTAGTTGGAGATAGGACATCATATCATGATCAATTCTCTCCCAATGACCTTTCTATTATTTTTAATGCTCTAGATGACAATCAGAAGGGAGCTGTTAATGAGAGGGAATTCGTCGATTTTCTAACATCAACATTAATACTACTTTAGAAGTTTCTACTCTATAAATATTTCAAGTGTTTAATTTTCTGTATAATCCTATAAAATACTTAAATCTTAAAAATATCTGAGTCCTCACATCAAATTAACATATTAGGTTCATTGATAGCTATTTATAAGAGGTGATATAAGTAGAATTATAGAAACTTAGGAGTTTAGTAAGATGGAATTCAGAATTAAGTTTTAAGTTTGTCACTTATAGTATAGGTATAGATGTTAGATTATTTTAAATACTAATAGCTACAAGTAGATGCATAGAGGTAGCGCCATATTACTTGCAACAAAAAGGCGCTATAGACATTTCCATAAAAGTAAACGGTTTTTTTTTTCTCCTGTGTGGGAGAAGTAAAGCAGTGGATGCTGGCATTAAGTTTGATTATTAGGTATTAAATATAATAGTAGAATGTATGACGTACCTAGTAGTATCTCTGGTAAGTATTTATGTAATTATTAAGTGATTATGTCGTGAGTAATATGATTTCGTAATTGGAGACCTATAAATAGATATATCTCTAAAATCTATTTTATATAAATATTGATTTTATATCTTTTTTTTTCTAATATAACTCCAGTAATACTTTATATTTTTTTACTTTTTAGGTGAGAGATTTATTGTAGGACAACAAAGTGTGAAGGCTGATGTCAGTTTAGCTGATCAATTAGTAATTGGCGGAGCAAGAGTAGAAAAGACACTTCAGGATCTGAATTGTAGATATCAAACACTATTTTTTTTAGCATCTGGAGCTTCTGCATCAGCTGGGATTCTTGCAGCTTTAAATTCAATTTTTGGTATTCATCCAGCAAATTTGATTAATTCTATGTTTCAATTTATATTTGGAGTATTATTAATGATTCTCGATGTACCAGGTAGCCCTAGATGGTCTTCTAAAGGTCGCTCATTGATTCGTAGAGAGCTTCGGTTTCTTACTCATTTAACAGGAAAGAGTTTATGCTTATTATTTTTAAGTTGTTTAACTTCTACAACTTTGTGGCCTCAAAGAAGAGGAGCTGGATTATTAGCTTTGGTTGCATTTTTAACATCACTTACAGTAGCTGGGGTGGCTGCAATTGGATTATTAATTGCACTTCAAAAGAGTGTTAGACTTGAGAGAGTTCGTAGAAATATTGTTACTACTAAAACGTCAACTGTTGCAGAAGTATACAGACGTTATGCTATTGCAGATCCTGTATATGGCATGCAATTTGAAGAATTTAGTAGAATGGCTGCAGATTTTACAAATGGTCGGCAGCAATTCGGTGTGACTGATTTAAGTATTATCTATAATGCTTTGGATGATAATCAGAAGAGTGGAATAAATGAACGTGAATTTACTGAGTGGATCAATGGTTCTACTGTATATCTATAAATATGCATGGTGTATGGATGCTGCATCTTTTAACTTGTATCATAAACAAATAAACCTAAATAGTTTAATTTCCCAGGATTTTATTATCTTTTTTGATGATCAGTTATCGATAAAATTTACAATTTTTATTATGATTTAGTAAATTCTATACAGATCTCAGTTTTTTTTATAAACTTTTTTAATTAATTAACACGGATACTATTTAACACATTAGGCGCTAATTTTTTTTTTTAAATAGCGGGTATATTACAATTTAGATATTACCGTACTGATGCTTAAGAAATAAATAAAATGGACACTTTTCTAATATAATATAGATGAATATAAATCTTAGGACTCTTCAAAGTACTTTAGAACGAAAATTGGGGTTATTAGATACTTTGAAGAATCGTGATTGCGGTTTATTTGACAAAGGTACATCTAATGAAGCATGGCATCAGGAAGTAGAGCTATTACAAAATGAGATTAATGAACTTTTTCAGTCTTTTGATAAACAGATGAATGAATTTAATCGTAAGGATATTATGGTAATTGATAGATATGAAGCTTTACTTCAAAGTTTAAAACGTGATTATACAAATATATGCCAATATATTAATTCTAGAAAAAAACGTTCTAGCTTATTTGGGAAATCAATAATTGATTATCAAAATATACAAATGGAACATAGTAATAATAGTGAAGTTAGAAATAAACTTTTTCATGAAAAAGGTGCACTAGAAGTTTCTATAGATTGTATAAATAACATAATGGATCAAGCTGTACGTACTACCACTTCACTTAGGAATCAACACAATATTTTAAGAAATATTAATGATAAAGCAAAAAACTTAAAAAAAAAATCATTATACAATGTGGGTTTATTGATTAATTCAATTCTTAGTTTGCAGTTCAGGCAAGAAATATTATTAACTTTTGTTTTTTGTTGCCTAATTATTTTTATGGTATATTGGAAATTTAAATAATCACCAGATAATTTAAGAAAAAAAAAAAATCTATTGTTAAAATTGCTATAGTTATTGAATTATCTAAATATAACATTTACTTTTAATTAACTTTTATAAATGTTTGGAAACTAAAATAATAAGGTTACAGGCAGAAATCTTTATAATATCTAAAGCTTTTTATTATTGTGTATATATATGCTCGATAAAATATAAATTTATTCATGGAGAATAGTTTATTTTAAAGTTTATTGGTAATTTTAATATTTTGGTTCCTTTTGTATATCTCCTATAATCTCAAACTGGATTCCATAACACTCCCAAAGAACTTTTTTGAAGTTTTCCAGCCCACCTGAATGAAATCTTAATTTTCCAGTAGCACCTCCTTTTAGATGGCCTAATACTGGATCAATTTCTACAATAACTTGATAAGCATATACTCCACACTGTGTAGCCACTTTCTGTATTAACTCTTCATTACATCCAGTTGTGAGATTTGATAATCGGAATCTTACAAATGATGTATCTTGAATATAGGCTATTTTATTGTAGAAATCTTCTCCATGAAGTTTAGAGCTTAGATTTTTTTGTATAGGGGTAAATTTACTCTCTAAATTGTTTAAATTATATTCTGGGATTTTATTTGCATAATTTCTACATGATAATGTATTGTATCTAGGTATTCCAGATATTAGATCTGCAATACATTCAGTGTCAATGTTTTTATTATACTTGGGTAGTGAAGGTCTTTTTCTTAGTTCTAAAGCCACAGAATCGTTTTCATTATTTAATATATTTGAATATGCAGGATATATTTGGCGATATTTCACTAGATCATCATCATAATTACTACTATTAGTTGGATAATTTGGCTCTTGATAGTTAGAAACTTCAATAATCATCTTCTCCCTTGAACATTGTTCATTACCAAAAACTACATCACTTGAGAACTCTCTATATAATTTTTGTTCTCTAGCAGAGCATTGTTGTAATACCTTCCTAATCTCTTCTTGATTTATTTTTTCTTGGTGGAGTTTTATTATGTAATCTTGTTTTGTTGATTCTTGTCTTCTATATGGTAAATTACCCAGACACTGGCTAGATTCTGAGTTTTCATCCGTATGTTTCCTATTATACAAATTATTATATGTTTGATTAGCTATTTCAAGTAGTTTTTGTTTTTCTTCGTCGGATTTTTCGTAATATGGAGCTGAGAAGACATCACATGGGTATAATCGCTGCATTGTTCTTTTATGTAGTTCATCGTCCATCAAACTTGAAAATCTTTCAGAATCAAGTACTTTTTTCCTTATTTCTTTATCTAAGTATGTCCTCTTCATTTTCTAAAATTAAAATTGCCTATTACACACATATTTACACGTCACTTACATTATACACACGTGTTTTTACATGAGAGACGTGGACACTCTTCAGTGAATAGGTTACTGGTATTTGTGGAACAAAAAATCACTAATTTGGAAATAATTTAGGTACTTCTACAAATTTATTATCTGTCTCTAATATCTGAGGAAAACTTTAAGATAATATAACTTTACTTTTTTTAATGCAATATAATATTTAGGTTATAAGTAGCCTGTAAAAAGGTATTTATAGAAGTAGTGGGGGAAAATGAGATAAAGGTATATAATCAAGGTTTTAATTTTTAGTATAAATAATATAACTATATATATTACGTATAAGTATTAGGAAAGAAAAAATTTCTTATTGCTAAGAAAATAGAGCCTTATCTAAATTATTTACCACTAGTATTAGCTCTGGAGAAATTGGCGCCCACTTTAACGTCATGTCGTCATTGCATGAACTCATTAGGAACTAGGAGGTAAATAGCAGAATTCTTGTAGCATATGTTAGGACTAAAGGTTCATAGAGCAAGGTGGCAAATAAAAATATTTACATGGGCATTATTTGCATTTAGAAGTTTATAATAGTGTTAATGGTTTTATATGAACCGGGTATTTTACAATTTAGATCAATATAAAGGTGGGATTAATATTTGGACACTAGCTTTAAATTTGCATTGGTGTCAAATAAATTGTTTGGCTCTCCATATTATTTTGGGGTAATTAAGAAATATATAAATAATATATTGAACCTGTTAAATTTAATTTGTGCTTCTATAGCTGAAATTTAGACTCTATGGAACTAACTGATACAGATAACGACGATCTAGATCAGGACTTTAATCCTAATTTTACTTATGAAGACTATTTAGGAGATGTGAATATTTCTGAAGAACAAGAGTCTACAGATATGAAGAAAAGTGTTGTAGACTTAGTCGATGCACTAAATATATCTACTAGAGGCTACTCAGAAGGAGAAAATCTGAAAGTAGATCCTAATAATAAAAATTATGTAATTAGGCACTTTTTTTCAGACAAAGTTAAATCTTCAGAGTCTTTGTTAACAACAGATACTATTATGGGGGACTCTTCTGAAGAAGGTATTACAAATACAAAACAAAATTTTATTTTAACCTTGGTCAATATTTTAAAGAATGCATATATAGATCAGACTGAAACTAATATATCTGAGACTTTTAACACTTCTACCTCTTATACTACTCTTTTCAATGAATATATCTCGAATTTTTTATCAGGTAATAATAGTGAAGTTGTTTTAGAGGCTATATTGGACTTGCTCCTTCCTTCAAGCTATAATTTTAAATATAATGAGATTGGTTTAAACTCTGAAGCTGAATATTTTGATATTATACCTTCAGTTATGTACTTTTGTATTATAAATGGATTTATTAATGAGTGTTTAGCTGTGTTTGATAGTAGTATATCATCTTTTAATAGTACAACTAGTCAGAATACAAATAATATTGTTAGCTCAGTTGTACTTCCTACTTCGAGGGTTCTACCTGAAATTAATTATTTGTGGATGCAACAACAGTCAAGAAACCAATTCATTATATCATCAATACCAATTTTATCACAATGTTACTTACAAGAAGGTTCGAATATGCTCTTAAATTCGAAGTTTATGCCAAGAATTATTGAAAGATGCATATATTTTATGCTATTTCATTGTGATGAATTACTTTGCAGGAATCTTTTGAAAAGTGGCAACAATTTTTTGAATTACTCTAGTACAATTTCTTTTAATATAGGAAGACTTCTTGAAATTTGTTTAAGTAGATATCCTGAGGATTTTATAAACTTATTCTTGCAATATAATGGACTTTTAGTAATACTGAATTATATTGGAGACTCTTCAATTCAGGATTTTCTATTCAGACTTCTTGGTATTATTGGATTTGCAATTCCTTTGACTCATACACTTACACATATTTCTTCATCATTTATCGACTTTGATTTTGGAGATTGTAATTTTGGAAATAATAGTAGTTTAGATATGTGTACTAATAATCAAGTAAACATCTGTAATAATGGAATTGGCCTTTCTTCAATACTATATAAATGGATACTAGAGTACAAATTTATAGATTATTTGTTATATCCAATCAATGTGGAATCCCAAATTATTACAAACTCTTCCTTAAGAGATATTTATAGACCTTGTTTGAAATGCTTTATTGGACAGCAAATATTAGAAACTGATATTAATCCTAATATATTTCACAAATTAGTTAAGTGCTCAAATTGTGTATTGCATTCAAGTAGTAATCAACAAGTAATATTTGGTATTGTTGAGTTTTTGACAAGATTAATAGAGTATCTGAGACCTGATCAAAGTGGTTTACCAATGAATATGACTAGTCTTGGATTACAGTGGCAAATATATACCCAAGATAATAGTAGTGGAAATATTTCAGTTTCTATAAACACTCCAAATAATGTCTACTCCTCAAATGTAATGATACCTAGTAGTTTAACTGATACAAGCACGTCAACATACTACAAAGCCTATAATTTAGCAAAAAGTTTACCATTGGACTCTATTTACAGCTGCAATCTTCCCATAAAAAGAAACTCCAGTAGAGATGATGACTATAATTCTAGTTATTCCTTAAATAATCCTATTACAGATAATTTCATTAATAAATCTACTGTAAACTTTATAAATAAAGATTCAGAACCTAGTGACTCTTCATTAGACTCCAATGAAAATGACCTCAGGATAGATGCATGCATGCAAAAAGTTTGTCATGCATTACGAAATACTTTGCAATTTCTAAATTCTTTAATAGTAGATTCTTCATTAATTCAAATACTATGTAAATATATACTTTTGAGAGATAATAATCAAGATCAAACCATAAGTATTCGTATTCTGAATTTTTTGGAACTATTGTTAAATGTATCATTTTCTCAGACAAGCAATATTTTGGGGTGTCTTAAGGGTGATATATTACAATATTATAAGCAGAACTTGAATCAATTTTGTAAATTCTTGCTATTAAGATATAATGGTGAAGCTCATCCTAAATCCGATAATGCAGATAGTCAAGCTAATAATAATTCTAGTAATTTTTCTCAATCCAGTGTAGTGACACAGGATTGCGTTATAATGAATAAAGAGATAAACAGTAGTGAAGATAGCAACTTAAGTATTAGTTACGTAAAAAGTTGTAACTATAGAGAAGTATATAGCAATAAAAAAAGAATATATGGTAGTAATTTTGTATCGGTACTAACTATCATAAAACTAATTTGTTATTTTGATGATACAAGGGAATCAATAAATAATATAAATTGTGAATTTTGGGACTTTCTAGTCAATTTGTTGGTTGAAATGAGAGAGAATAGTTTAATATCTGTACAATGTAAATCTATATTGGAATTAGGTGTTCAATATGGATCAAATGAAACTTTGGAAATATTATTTTATAGAATTAATATGGTAACAAGATTATCAAAATTTATATATAATGGTATAATTCTTAATAATAATCAGATAAATATGAATAATTTAAATAATAATAATGTGAATATAAATGAAACTATGTCAACTGATTGTAATGATTTATGTAATAAGGTGTTGAAAAAGAAAAAAAATAGTATATTTGGTCCAATTACTAGTTTTTTTTTAACTTTAGGTCAGCTATATGATTCATTGTTACAGACAATACTATCATGTGAAACTCCTATGTATAAGAATATAAAAATGGAATTATTCCGTAAATTGGTTGAGATAAATGATTATAAAAAAGATTATATTACTTATAATGAATACGTTTATAATAGTATTCCAGTTAAGAGATCTTTAAATATGGGATCTGAAAGTTATCACAAAGGTGATTCAAATATTTGTAATGAAAATAATTTCCAAATTGGATTTGGTAAAGACAGTAATGATTACAATGATAAGGTATCATGTAATTCTTATAAATTTTTTGATAATGAAAACAATACAGAACATATAGATTGTCAACGTATAACCACATTATTATTTGCACTTTCATGCCATACTCAAAGCCATTCCCTTATAGTTAATGATAAAATTTCTAATGATAATAATTATGAAAATTGCTCAATATCTCCTAATTCTTATAGCTTAACATTAGAAGAAAGTGGTCTTCATAATCAATTTAATAACAGTTTCAATCCTCAGATAGATACCTCCAATATAAATAGTAATAATTTACTCATTAAACATTCAGCTGATAAAAATAGTGTTAATATGGAGTTTACTTCTGATAAAACATATGTTTATTTAAAGAAAATTACTGATCCAAAATATGTTCAAGATGCTATGAGATTAGTTAAATGCTCAGATAAATGTACATGCCCAATATGGTCATTTTCTAATATTTTAAGGAACTTAAGAGAACAAAAAAATAGTTTTAGCTGTATCTCCTCATTACCAGTGTTATCTTTAGAAGAAAGTAAAAGAGTTAGAGAGACAAGGAAGAAACAGATGAAGTTGCAAGTTTCACAGAAATTATAGATTTACGGCTGTAATTGTCTCCTATAAAAATGTTATATGTGCGAGAGTTATATCTAGAAATTTTGGGAAAATTTCGTTCAATTAGCGATTTCTAAGATATTAGAATAGTTGTAAGTTTAAGATGAAAACATTCAAATACTACGTATAATGTATATTGGCGCTAAAGCGTGTGAGCCCTATTTTTAATAAGAGCAAATGGAATTCAGGAAAGGGGTTTTGCTGAATAAAATAACTTCAATAGAGACATATATAAACAATAAGTAATATAGTAGGATTATTTCAAAAAGGGAAATTATTGGTTCGATAATTGTTCAAATAACGTATCTGTAATTTCCTCTTAAATGTATGGAACTTTATTCATAATTTACTGTATCAAAGTAGAAAATATTGGAGAGATTTACTTTAAATGCTATAGCAAAAGGTGCTAATATATATAGCAAATACTGTGCAGATATTAAACTTTTATTCTAGCAAATATTGGGACTTTGATAAATTGACTTAAGGCGAAGTGTTCTATACTAGCATATATATTAATTAACTTGGATATTAAGTAATTTCTCACAATTATAGATAATATTGATTAGATTTGGGATTCTAATATAAGTCTTTCTTTTTTCGTTTAGTAATAATAGTCTAATAACTGGATATTTCTTGGATTATTGAAAATTTGTATATACTTTGCAATATTAAGAATAATTAAGTAGAAGAACTAGTTATAAATTAAACTGATCTCATTTTTTCTTTGGATATAACTTTTAAGGATTTTTAATTGCAAAATTGTTTAAAAGTAGTATACTTTAAAATATTTTGAGAGAAATTAATTATTTAGAACTAATTCAGATATCTACTATTTAACTAGACCAAGAAGATAGAGGTAGTAAGTTTTTACATTCATAAAGATAATAGGGAACGAAATTGGTAATAGTATATTGATAGTCGTTTTGGAGAATATACAAGAAGGAACAACTATATAAGTTGTTTGTTTTCTTTTATTAAGTAGTGAACTTTATGTAATATATTTCTTATTAATCTAATATTTATTTTGTAGTAATATAAATATAAAGATAGAAAGGAAAGAAAATTGATACTTGGTTTGATCAAACTTTCAACATTTTCTATCAGATAAAAAAGTGTAAGATAACTTTGACTCATTTTAAGCTCAAATGAGCGATAAAGTCGATAGACATATATTGAGAAAATATGAATTAGTTAAGAAATTAGGTAAAGGAGCATATGGCATTGTATGGAAATCAATCGATAGAAGAACAGGTGAAATTGTGGCAGTAAAAAAAATATTTGATGCATTTCAAAATGCTACAGATGCTCAGAGGACATTTCGTGAAATTATGATATTATCTGAATTACGTGGACATGAGAATATAGTAAATTTATTAAATGTATTAAGAGCAGATAATGATCGAGATGTTTACCTAGTATTTGACTATATGGAAACTGACCTACATGCTGTAATAAGGGCAAATATTTTGGAACCTATACATAAACAATACGTAATTTATCAGCTAATGAAAGTAATTAAGTATTTGCATAGTGGTGGTTTATTACATCGAGATATGAAGCCATCAAACATATTATTAAATGCAGAGTGCCACGTAAAAGTTGCAGATTTTGGGCTATCTAGAAGTTTTGTCAATACTCGCAAAATAACCAATAATATCACATGTAATAATAGTAAATATCATAAACTAGATAGTAGTCAAAATGATAAAGTTGATACTGAAGCTGACTATGATCAACCTATATTAACTGATTATGTTGCTACTAGATGGTATCGTGCCCCAGAAATATTACTAGGTTCTACAAAATATACAAAGGGTATAGATATGTGGTCACTAGGTTGTATATTAGGTGAAATATTATGTGGTAAACCTATATTTCCTGGTTCTTCAACAATGAATCAACTAGAACGTATTCTACAAGTTGTTGGCTTTCCAGAGGACGATGATATAATTGCAATACAATCACCATTTGCACAGACAATGCTTGATTCATTAAGGGATAAACTTAAAAAGAATAACACAAGAAATAAATGGAAAGATATGTTAAAGAGCATTGGCTTGAGCTCAACCTGTGATGATGATGCAATTGATTTATTAGATAAACTACTGCAATTTAATCCAAATAAGAGAATATCTGCAAGTGAAGCATTGAAACATCCATTTGTTGCACCATTTCATAATCCCAATGATGAACCTAATTGTGATCATATTATTACAATACCTATAAATGACAATATTAAGCAAAGTGTAGACGATTATAGAGGTCGTCTATATTCAGAAATAATAAGGAGGAAGAGAGCTGCAAATATTAAGGATGAATGTAAGAAAGTTTATAATAATTCTATTGAATATAATAACAACAGTAATTTGTGCAAGGTAACTGACAATAATACGTCATCACAAAGACCAACGGTAGTAATTCGGCCATCTATTAATACTTATCAGTCACGTGTAACATTCAATGATAATCGAAATAGCAGCATAATTATTGATAGTACTAATACTAATACTAATACTAATACATATAAAGATGTGTTACCTGACTCCTTAAATATTTGTAATTCAAGTATATTAAATAAAAATGAGCAATCTATACCAGCACAAAGTAGTGTTTTATATCAATCATATGGTAATAATGTAGAAGTTACTCCAAATAGAATAATGGGGGAGAAGTCATTTAATAATAACAGCCAATTATTAAATAATGCAAATATAAATTCTCATAAATGTATTGGTAATATGCCATATAATATGAATCCTAATGCAGCTAAAAGAACTATACAATTAAATCAAACAATATCTTCAAATCCTGTATCAATAAAAGAACAAAACTTAACAACACAATTCATCTCTGTAGTTAATAGTGAACATTTGATAAATAAAACTCCTGGTTTACAAAATAGCAATATGTTTATGCAGAAAAGTGTAATGAACAAAAGTAATGGCAATTTAACACATAACAATTCTTCTATACCCTATTCAGGGGCTTATATATATAATAATACAGTATATCAGCCAAGTATTGTTAATAATAATTTTACAAAAAGTGTCAATAATAGCTCAGGAAATATGATACCTCGTCATGGTACATCAACAATATCATATTTTCACCATCCACCAAGTTCTATAAACCTAAATCAAATTTCAGTGAATAACTATATGTATCAAAATCAACCAGCAGCCATTCCGAGACATTATACTTCAGCTATATCAAAGAACTTGGGTAATAATAATAATAATAATAATAATAATAATAATAATAATAATGGTAATAGTTACCCTCCATACTTTTATCCACAGAAACTAAATGTTACAAGTAATAGACACTACTTTATGAAGCTTTAGTTAGTTACATCCTATAGATATAATGGAATTAAAACAATAATTGATACAAAGATTCATTAGGATAAAAGCTATACTATAATCTAACTGTAAGTGATACTTTATCAAAGTTTGATGATGATGAAAGTCTCAATCTCTTTCTATTCTGATTATTATTTGAAATTAGTATCTGAGATTCATTAATTTGAGTTGGATAATTTATATTTGGATCTAATTCAGATGAATTATTGCATTGAATATTAGTATTATTCTTATCATCATCATCATCTGATAATTCAATTATTTCGACTTCATTAACTGAAATGAAATTATTATTTTCAGTAAGAGGACGATATTCATTATATAAAGAATTGTAGTTTCCTTCAGTTTCTTTTGAAATTAAGTAATTCTTCGATGTATTAAATCCGTTATTATTACTAGTACTGGCAATAATATCATAATTCTGATGATATTTTACATAAGTACTATCTAAATATGAACACTGTGAATCTATAGGGTAATTCCCTTCTATATTGTTTTCATATTCATCAATTATTAGCTGATCGTCTTGTAAAATTTGATTACCATTATCGAGTAATAAAAATGGATTGTTCTGATATCTACCTGGAATATAGTTAATATTAGTTAAGTAATTAGTATTAATGGTAATTTTATTACTATCCTTTGGTATATTTGGATCACTTAGTAACTTTTGCACAAATATATCAATATTCAGCATTGTCGGTCTTATTATATAAAAACAAAGTGGACATTTCCATCTTGAATTAAATGCTTTAATTGTCGAATTAATTTGAATAAATGACTTAATATCAAAACAGTTAATATGACGACAGTATATCCCACGTCCTGGTAATTCTAATTTATCCATAGATAATGGACAAAGCATGTTTAGTATTTGATTGGTATTTAAACAAATAATTTCATCATCACCACTATTCTCATTGCCAAATAAATTCTCATCATCTTTAGATATGGATTGTTGACTGGAAATGGAAGATTTCTTTTCATCTTTTACTTGAACTTTGTTACAATTATTTATATTACTGATTAAATTGACAAAATGATCTTTAGCAATATTATATGATAATGTCCTCTCTTTAATAAGCCAATTAATGATAAAATTATCACTAATGAAGTGGGTATGAAATAATCCAATAATATAAGGAGCAGTTGGTATTGGTAATATCATGTTATTAGGTAATTGATTTCTTCCTTGATTAATAAGTGCATTTATAGTATTAAATACAATATTTACACTAGAATTCATTGAATTATTGGAATTAGAGGGATATTTAGTGTTACTAGGTATATATTGGTTTAAATCTAATGGACAGTCACGTCTTAGATGATCATAACTTGGTGGCTCAATACTTTGGATTACTTTGTTATTGAGTTTTATTGTTAATATCCTTGGATATTCATGATTTAAATCAATACGATCTAACCTTAAACAATATATCATCAAGTGATCTTCAAATATAGGATTCAAATTATTTATTGTTGTATCGGAATAGTTTTGTCTTAAGGTTTCATTAATCTCACCATTATTATATTCACAATTAGTAGTGGTCTGATCTGTAGGGATATTATTTGATGATGAATTAATTTCAATATCACCATTATTGTTGTTATTACTATAATAGCTATTTGGATTAAAAGAAAATTTTGATATAAATTGTGGGTATTGAGAAGAATTATTTATAGATAAATTGCCATATTTAGGATGTATATTATGTATTGCTGTATATGAGTATACAGTAGTTAAAAATAGGGGCTTTACAATCTTGTTAAATGGATCTAATGCCTGAAATCTGCAAAATGGACAAACAAACTTCGGTTTTATTGAGTCATATTCTTCATCATTATAGTTGAAATCATTATAATTACGTTTTGTTAATATTGCTCTAAATACCATCAGTTGATTATCATTTATTTCAACTTTCTCTGGATCATATCCAACACATTTGTAGTGAAAATTTTTGAAACATATATTACAAACTATAGAGTTTACGTTCAAGTCATTATGACACATAAAACATTTCTCTATGCTATCATCCTTTTTCCTTACTTCTGTACTTTCTAACTTATTAACACTATTCCATTGACTATTGGAGTTCCCTTCTTTAACTTCATTAATTACTCTTGGTAGGTCTTGTAAGGATGAGTTTAGTATAATACTTATACAGTCATCTTTCTTAGTATTAGCTTTTATATATATACCGAGTCTCTTAGCTAGTACTTTGAGATCTTTAAGTCTTTGTTTCTTCAAAAATTCACTCCACCCATTGCTATCCATTACACTGAAGTTCTGGCTCTCTAAAACTTCCCTTTAGAAAAAAAAATTAGTGTAATTAGAATGTCACATACCGCTCAAGCGGGCAAATAGTATTAGCAATTTTCGTGGTTATGTACATCAATATGGAGTGGAGTTTTTATAATATTTTGCTGTAAATTATTAAATTATTCTTAAATCTACTAACAAATACAACCTTTATAATTAAAACGGCTATTTTCATCTCCAAGACGAAGCTCAACATTCTTGCCTGTACTATTTGAATTATCGTTAGCATTAGATGAGCTCTTAGTATTGGAATGATCTAATTTACTTTCTAGAGTTGGTAAAGTAGATGCTAATTTCCTGAAAATTGATTTTATATTGTAACCATTTTTAGCGCTAGTTTCAATAAATATGATATCATTATCGTTAGCTAATTTCTCGCCTTCATCATACCTGACTTGTCTCTTATCATCCAAATCTGCCTTATTTCCAACAAGTGCAATAATAACATCTTTACCACGTTCATTACGTACATCTTCAATCCACTTTGTTGTATTCAAATAAGTTGATCTATTAGTAATATCATAGACAACGACTGCAACAGATGAATCCCGAATATAACTTGGTATTAAGCTTCTAAACCTTTCTTGACCAGCAGTATCCCATAACTGTAAACGGATTGTCCTATCTTCTAAGTACAATGTTTTACTTAGAAAGTCAATACCTATATATAATAAATAATATAAAATTTATTTATCAGTAACAATGATATATTTAGATAAATATTCCAAAGGAGTTACTATTGTATTAACATAGTATTGATAACTCTTAGTCTCAATTAGTTATCTTATTACTTACCTATTGTAGCTTGGTAGTTATTATCGAATGTATCATACATAAACCTTGTAATAATTGAAGTTTTTCCAACAGATTGCTCACCAAGAAATACAAATTTAAATTTGTTTAATTGATTCCTATTTGAACCTTCAGTCATAATAAGAATCTCAGATATTAGACTCACAATTAACACAATTAGTGTATATTTATATTATTCGTGTATATGTGAAGTTATAGGGTTTACGTAGTATTACAAATATACTTAAGCAGCGCCTGGGGGAAAAAAAGTATGTGTTATATTACTCAAGTATATAAAATAGTTAATCATAGCTGCTCTATATATATATTATTTAATAAAAAGATTTTGTATATTACCTTAAGCAATTTGAAAAGCAGGTTCATTTTCGATTTGTTTCATTCTTTTAGGAAATATGACAAAAGATGCCTTTGCAGATTCATTCGATATATTCTCAAATGAGAAGCTATGATTTGGCGGAATATGGACATAACTACCATTTGACATACGAAATTCATACTTGTTGTCTAATCTATAGACAAGAGAATTAGCTTTACACGACAAAATATGAACTACAATAAAGCCATGGGTATTAATCTCATTCTTTGTCTTAGATCTCCCACTTATTTTAACTATTGTCAAAGTGAATTTCTTATTACTAAGTAGAGATGAGATAACAAGCTCATCACTTATTTGGGAGGAGGCCCGTTTAAGACTTTTAGAAATTTCAGTACTCATAAGTATGGCTCCTTCATGTTCTGGAACTTTGCCTAAAGAAGGCAACTTTTCTATATTCTCTATAATTATATTCTCATTATTTTCACCTAAAACTCGTCTTTTTTTCTTCATTTCCTTGTTTTAAAAGTATATATGTTGTAATATTAAATGTTAGAATATCTTGTAATCTTTTTGAAATCCTTGTTTCCTAATTTCCTTAGTTGTTTAAAAAAATCAAAATATTAGTTATATTACAGAAGCGGCCATCTATGAGGCGCCTTGTGGGATGGCGGGTAGGTACGCATGTAATTCTTTAATCTTTTTTCTTTATTTTTTGTAAACTTTGTAAAAATAAAATAGAGATAAGTAATACTTAATTATAAGTTAACATATATTTTAAAATAAATATATGTAGATTTTTTCAAGGAACCTAATGACCCCCATATATGTTCCAGATTTTAGAGAAAATAAGTAGGGAGGAATAAAAGTCTCTTATAATTTAAGAGACCCATAGTCATAGTTATTAAATCATAGTCTATATTAATAAATGATGTAGAACTAATTTTCTAACGAAGATACTATTGAATTTATTACATTTGATAGACGTGATTCCCTCAGATGTATGCTGTTTTGTACTATCAGCTGTAAAGCATCTAAAGACTCCATCAATGGTTTCTGAAGCTGTTGAAATGACTTGCAAGTTGAAATAATAACTGGAGAAGAATAATCTAGAAATATAGAGAAGTTGCTAATGAGTAAGTTTAGTTCTTTATTTTCTGGTTTTGAAGTAATTAGATCCTGAGTAATACAAAGGATCCTTACAACAAGTCTTTCAGCCACAGGTAGAAATGTAGGCTTGGAATTTATTTTAATAGCTAAAGTAATAGAATTATCTTGGGGAATTCCTAAAATTAAATGGCATACCCATAAGAGTAAAAATACACAATGTATGATTTCATTTTCAATAGGGAATAAGTTAGATCTTTTGATATTATTTTGATGATCTAATGATAAGAGACCTTGATTGTAGTTGAATTTATTATAATTAATTTTGTTACATTTAACTTGTTCAATAGAATATTTATTCCATTGCCTTGATATATTTTGAGTTGTTAAAGCCTTGTCTAATTTGTTTGCAATTCGAGGAAGAACAATTTGTTCCTTCATTGTTTGAGGTATATTTTTTGAGATAATTTTAACTAACCATTCTAAATTATTTAAAGCTTTAAAAATGTCAGTTTTCGATTCCTCATTTTGTAATGAATACATAAGTCCAAATTCAATAAGATTAATAATTACATTAGAATATCTACCAATGGTACTTGAAATAAAGGAGCCAAGTTGAGTTTCAACAAATTTTGAATATTTACTTTTAGTTTTAATTTGATATTTATCTGAGTTTGGTTCTAATTGAGTTTCAATATCTTGCAATAACCACCAGATTTGACATAATACCTGATACTCTATGGATTGATTATTATTTTCTAGATTAGAGTTATTAGTTTGGATTCTGTGTTTATATACTTCATGGGTATAAAGAATAACAACAGCTATATTACAAATGATGACCACATAATGCTCAAGTAAGAGTAGATTATTTCTACAATCATTAAATATACTCAAATATTTGGAAATAATTGATAATAATTTAATAGGATTCAAGCATAAGTCATAATATAATTCTTCAACATTTTCGGATTTTGAGGATATTTCTTTGTTATTAAGAATTTTCAACACTGAATAAGTTGCTAATAAAGGTTCTAAGTAATATAATGTAAGCCATTCAAATGTTAATTTTTCCAATTTATTAAATTCTTGCATTTGAATTTGGTTAAATGTTTGTTCTAATTTATAAAGTGGGTGGTTTTTAAAGGATTTTGGGTTTATTGAGATCTCTAAGCAAGTTTCAATATAATTAGGATAACTTGATAGATCATAAGAACTTAAATGTTTATATGTTGAAATATTTAACTTTGGTATACTAGGTACTAATAAAGCTTCAGGAACAACAATTGCCATTAGTTCTGAGAATAGTGTTTGCCAATGTCTTGAATTTAAGATGTAAGTAGATGGATTATTTTTATTTAATCTCCAACTTCTGATCCACTCCATAATTCTTCGCCAAGCTATCTTTCCATGTAAATTACTGAGTGTAATTATTTGCTCTTGTTTTGAACATGAACTGAAATCAATAGAACGAGCATAAACATAAGCTCTAAACATTTCAAAGTAGTTATATATATAATTAAAATCTTTTTGATCTCTTAATTTGTGGTCATCAGAATTTTCAAAAATTTTGGGATTATTTTTGTTCTTCTTTAAAATATCAACAATAAAGTCTAGGATTGCCAATATTATGTAATCTAAATTCTTAGTTATTTTAATATTAGAAAGTTGATGAGCCTGAAAGCTCGGATTAGAACATTTTTGTTGTAAATTTGTCAAACTTTGAGCTAATGACCATAATACAATATAAGTTTGGTCTGGCTGTAGTTTGGAATGTTGAAGAATAACAGGCATAGCTTGTGGAGAGAGCCAAAAAAAGTCTTGGATAAGTGTACGGATTCCAGGATTATCATAGTTTATATCAACCTGATTAGGTGTGAACATTTCTTGAAAAAAAGATAACTTTTCCATATAATTTATATCAATTGAATTATTATATTTGAATATTATAGAAATTACCTCTAGAAACTTGGATTGATTATCATCTAGAAGTGTAACCAAACTATATTGTAGTACATTAGCTACACTTGAAGAGATTAGCCAACTTGTAGATTGTTGTCCTGAAAATAGAGAAAATATTTTATAAATGAGGAGTTCGTAGGTATTTTTACTCTCAAATTTATCTATATTTGATTCCCCATTACTCCAAATACAAATATACAGAACTATTTCTAACCAATAATCTGAAGAGCTTTGATCTGGCTTTAATATATCTTTGAAAGAATCCAAGGTTTGTAGATTCAGTGAACCAGTTACTCCAATATTATAAGTAATTGTATATATAAGTAAAGGTAAAATGAGCTTTTTAGCAAGTTCTAAGTTACTTAAAGGATAGTTTAATATTGTAACTATTAATTCCAGAGAAGGAATAGATGAAATAATAGATGAAGTAAATTTTGGATTATTCCTAATTGCAAGCAGAAGTTCTTCTGTAGATAAAAATGAATTGAATAAAAGACGATCAATGTATATAGCTGGGATAGTTTGAACTTCAGAAATATTGTTTTTCATTTGTTGCAATATTTCCTGGCATTGAGTTTGAATTAATCTAGATAATTTTACAAGCATTCTAACCATAGATATAGCAAAAGCTAATTCAGCAAGATCTGGACTTATTTTCTCCAACATTTGGCCAAGGAATTGAAAGATCATATTCAAGACTAATTTTAAAAATTTCAAATTGCTACTAACAGTCAATGTTAGTACGAGGGACATTATACTAGGTAAACAACAATAAGGGTCCATTGTTATAAAAAATAGAGACTCCATTTTAATTACAGTATCAGGAAGATTCATTGAGGTATTAGTAGGATGTTTATTTTTACAAGATAAGAAATCAGCAGCCATCATATCCCATATTGAATAATCTATCGATAATGCCAACCGAGTATAATTCTCTACTAAATTTGTAATTTCTGATGTTTGATCTATATATTCCTGTGGAATCTCATTAACTTGTAAAGATATCCATGAAAAAACGTGTGATATGTCCCAGTTAATAAAGTCTTCATTTTCGTTTCCATTACTTTGTAACATATTAACTATTGTATTCAGATCAATATTACCTATTTGTATTGGCTTTAAAATAAATTCATCAAAGATAGATTTAAAAGCTGTGCATACATGTGGAGACTCCCTATATGTCTTTGATCGTTCAAAGTCCAAATTTGAGAGAAACTCGAGCATGCTACTACTTAGTAAAGGGCTAGTCTCAGTATTTTTACTAGTACATATTAAGAACAAAGGACTTTGCAAAGCCAAACGAAAATAATGATACTCCTTAGATTCTAAAAGATCCTCCGGAAGTATCTGAATATCCCCATCACTATATAAGAAATTATATAGTGTCATATACTCGAGGTACTGTCGTCTAGCAGGACCTGTCATCTAGATTTAGATAATAGTCACCATAAATCTCAGCTCCTAAAATACCCTGTAATCTATATAGGGGAGACAATGGAATTAGTGTAAATTGATCAGCAACTTATCAGGCTCTATAGCAAAACAAGTTATTTCATACATAAAATTAGCAGAGTAGCGCCGTTAATAATTGCGCTAAAAATTAACAAAGTTAAATGTATCCTATCAATAAGATTCACTTATCCTCTGATCTAGCTTCATTTTCAGCTACTAAGTCGCGGTCACCTTGATCTTCATTAACTGTCTCCTCAAGATCAACTGTATCCTTAGGCATGTCATCCTGTACTTCTTGTTCTATAATTTCATCTTCTCCTAGTGTGTTATTATTGCCGTCTTGAAACTCCTCAACTTGATGTTTTGGAGTCCCATCACATTCTACCACTTGTTCCTCATGTTCTGAATTACCCAATTCTATTTCAACTTCAGTTGCTTCCTCAGGAAGATGTTGTGAGTTGGAGTGATCCTCTACAACTTGTTCTTCCTCTTTATTACTATTAACAACAGAATGCTCATTCTCAGAAACCTTTTGAGTCTCTGAAATCTCTTCATGGCTCACTTTATCCACTTCAGTCATATCTACATTCTTTTCTTTATTAGTTATATCATCACCACTATTATTTTGTTCATCATATTGAGGTTTAGAACTAGACAACTTTACTTCCTTTTGTTGAGTATCTTCATTATGAGGTTCCCCCACTAATAGTGATTTTTGTGGAGTATGTGGCTGTTCAGGTTCCTTTCTTTCATTATTATCATCATTTGGTGGAGTTTCTAAGATTTCCAGGAACTCATCATACTTCTGTGTTAATCTTAATTGTTGTAGTTCTGCATTCGTCTTAGGTAATTTCTTGTAATCCTCCCACAAATCACTAGCTTTTAGATAATCCTCCCTTTGTTTAGTATATTCACTCTTCAAACCCTCAATTTCCGCATCAAATCCGTTGTCTGACAAGCTCTTTATCCATCTTAATCGATTCCCATCTTTCCATTCGCCAATTTTACCTTCCCCTTTAACATTGTAAAATATACCAATGCCATGTTGTTTACCATTTCTCCACTGGCCAATATATGCCCTACCATCAGGCCAAACAAATTTCCCTTCTCCATCCTTCTTGTCATTAATATATTGACCTTCATAGCATCTATTATCTGTCCAATCAAATTTCCCAAATCCAAACATGTGATTTTTAAGCCAACAGCCTGTATATAAACGCCCATCACTCCAATAATAAACACCATATCCATTAATTTGATTGGCATCAAAATTCCCTATATATTTTGAATTGTCATGCCATGAAAATCTCCCAAACCCTTGTTTCAATCCATAGGCATAATTACCTTCAAACTTGCTCCCATCTACCCACGTCTCAACAGCTTTTCCATGCTTCTTGTCATTTTTCCATTCTCCTACATATTTACTACCATCTGAATGAGTATATGTACCGAAACCATGAGCTCTATCATTCTGCCATTCACCCTCGTACTTATCTCCATCAGTGTGAATAAAAACTCCATATCCATTGGCCATTCCATTAAAAAAATTACCTTTAAATACTGCACCATCAGGCCACTTTTGAATACCATAGCCATGTTTACGATCACCTAACCATTCACCTTCATATGTTATTCCATCTTGTAGTTCAACTAATTTCCTCTTCTCTATGCGCAATTCGACTGTAGATGCCTTCTTCTCAACTCCCTTAAGTGGCTTAGATCTGCAATTCCCCATTATTACTTATCTAAACTATCTTATTAAATAAGTCAATTATTTTATATTTGTACTTCCCGGACAGACAGACAAATTTGCTTCGATATATCACTTTAGCTTAAAAACCCACTTATTATATTTCTGTATGTAGAATGAGACAGGTTTATTTACAATAATTTGTTTCTAGTACTTAAAATACTCCTGTATAATAATAGTAAAAATATTTGTCCACAATACCTCGTCCTGCAATTTACTTGATTACAAAATCTGCGCAACTATCGTACGTTTTTAGCGAGGTGGGGTAAAGCCGAGGGAAAGATACCCACACTAACAATATGTTGACTCATAGCGCCATTTGACATTGGGCGCCTGATTACTTTGAAATTTTAATTTACTCTGCAATTAATCTTTACCAATATTAACACTTCTAGTAAGATATATAGCACTTTTTTGGCTTAATTACAAGTATACAAACTAAGATCATACTGTATTACAAATAAGGTGTTGCAATACTACATAATTTCTGTTTTCATTTTAATGTAATAGGACTATGGTGCTGAATAATTTTTGAATTTAAAGGGCTCTACTTTATGAACCATAATATTGGTTTATATATTCTAATATGGAGGAATACTAATAAAATTCATCTGGAACTTTATAGCTTTAAAGCTGAGAGTTGTAGTTGACTATTTCCAAGTAGAATTATCTATGGTATAAATATATCCAAGCATTTAGAACATCTGCGGATTTTAAATTTTGAAGTTATAAACTAAAGTCATATAACTCATCTGGAGATGTATCTTTACTTAATAGAACAGGTATAGTATGAGTACTTCTTTAAGTGACAATATATATAATCATATTTTGTACAGTATTTATATCAATTTAAATAAGTTAGTAGTATTTCAGTTAGTAATAACTACCTGCAATTATATATTAGATCGTCTTTTTTTCTTTGAATACCTACAAATTTATTAATATACTTGAATCTGGAATTTACACTTAATGAATTAAACTTAAGTTTCTAACTTTAAAAGTGGTATGTTTTCAGAAGCAAAATGATACTAAACATAATTTAGTAAGTCAGATGATACTTGTATATTTAAATTCTATAAATATTTAAATGATAAAACTTTACTAATGGTAAGATAGTGTATATTCACGTGCCACAGAATATATTTTATCCATTACAAATGATCAATTTCATTACACATTTATTACAAATATTGAGCATCTAGAATGTTGTAATTTTTGTATATGTTTGAGTTTGCTTAATCCTTATCAAATTCTCATATAAGAGATTATTGAATTATATTTATTTTTTTAATAATATAAAACGGAAAATATATATGCACTGGAACTGGTATATACTTGATACTTTTTGTCTGAATAAATTCTAATAAATCGTTTTGAATTTTAACTATATATTGTTAGTATGGCTTAAAATTTCGAGAAATAAATTACTTTTAATCAATATACAAAGTGAATTAAATGTTGTTAACTAATATTCTTTAGATATTTAACTATATAAATTTCCTATAAATAGTTCAATCATTTAGAAAAATTGTTTCTTCAATAATAAATTATTTATAAGAACTCCTTTATCGAGTATGTAGCTTATTTTCCCAAAAGAAAGAATATGTAATTCCTGAATAATTTAATTATATCAATAAGATCTAGAAGTAATAGATAAGATATATATTACTAATACTCTCTTATTCCAATATTACACCTTAGATTATTGATCAATGAAAACTCAAAACAAAAAAAAAAAAGATATATTAGCGCTTGAGCGTCACATTGTCTATCATGTTACAAGTTTTAAGATCATTTTTTATAAAACGGAATCCTTAAAGAAAATAGCTGGAAATGGATGACTGTTATCACAATAAAAGAGATGAAGTAGTTCCTTTTAACCAGAATAAGACGATTCTAGTCACTGGAGGAGCAGGCTTTATTGGTTCGCATTTGATAAGATATTTATTGGATCTTGGACATAACGTTATTTCTATCGACAATTATTTTTCTGGTAAAAAACAATCTTTAGAAAATTTTAGACACCATCCAAAATTTGAGATGATTCGCCATGATATCATAGAACCAATTAGAATAGAAGTTGATGAGATATACCACTTGGCATGCCCTGCATCTCCTGTTCACTATCAAAGAAATCCAATATACACAATGAAAACATGTTTTTTAGGAACAATGAATATGTTAGGTCTAGCAAAGCGATCAGGTGCAAAGATTGTTGTTGCATCAACATCAGAAATATATGGAGATCCACTAATTCACCCACAACCTGAATCATATTATGGTAATGTAAATTGTACAGGAACTAGAAGTTGCTATGATGAAGGCAAAAGGATAGCTGAGTCATTATGTGTCGAGTATTACAGACAACATAACGTTGATGTAAGAATAGCCAGGATATTTAATACATTTGGACCGAATATGCTTTGTAATGATGGTAGAGTTATATCTAATTTTATAACTGAAGCACTAAACAAACAACCATTATCTATATATGGAGATGGCACTCAAACCCGTAGCTTCTGTTATATTTCTGATCTAGTTAGAGGACTTTACGAATTGATGAATATTGATAGATCTAATATCCAAGGAGATTCCCCATTTAATTTGGGAAATCCGAATGAGATATCAATTCTTAAATTGGCAAATATAATAAGGGATACAATAGATCCATCTTTAGAATTTTGCTTCAGAACTATTCCCTCAGATGATCCGAAAAAAAGAAAACCAGATATATCTAAAGCAAGGGATAAGCTTGGGTGGGAACCAGAAGTTTCTTTTGAAGAAGGTTTAAAGTTAACCATAGAAGATTTCAAAATGAGATTCACAGATTCCAATAATGACCCATCTAGTATTAGTCCTATGCATCAAATTGAAGCTCATCTGATAATACCAAAATAGTAGTGTAATCTCAGCAGAGATAAATAAGATCTACTAGTCAACTATACTTATCCTAATTCCTTAAAACTTTTTTTATCCTCATTTTTCATTAAGTTATTTTTTTTTTAAACTATTTACTCGCCTAGTACTGAAATTCAAAGTTGGTAATTGAGCTTGTTTTTTATTATATAAATGACCACTACTACTTCCATCATATTTCCTATCTGATACTTTATTTATATGACCTTCAAAGTTATCTTTATTTATATTTTTGCTTAATAGGAACTGTATATCACTTTCTATTTGCGATTTAATTTTTGTTTTACTATTTAGTCTATGCGTACCATCTAATGCTAAACCAAGTAACCTTTTTTGCTCTTGTTCTAATCTTATATGATCTAATTGTAACTTTTCTAGTTCATCCTGTTTTTCTTTCAAACATTTATCTTCAATCATAATGGATAGCTCAATATCTTCAATTTTACGTCTAGTGCTTTCATTTTCAGCTTCCTTAGTTTTCATCTTCTCTTCTTCCTTCAATATAGTACTACTTAAATCTTCTTTCTGCTTTTCCATATCACTGTAACGCTTCTTCAATACCTTTATTTTATTTTGAAGTTTTTTACTTTCAATCTGCTGTGAATTATGTAACTTTTTAAGTTCTTCATATTCAATTTTCAAGTCGTCTACTTCCTTCCCTATCTTTTGTACTTCACTCACAAGAATATCTTCAACTTTTTTGAATTCATCATTAGCTTTTTTATTAGCTTCATATTTTTTAGCTTCTTGATTTATCATATTTGACAATTCAACAATTTCTGCATTGTTATGTATATTCATCAATTTATTTAGTCTTAATGTAGCCTCAGCAATACTACGTCGAATTTGGTCTAATTATCAAAAATATATATTATTTATTAATTTAAATATTTAAAATATATTAATATTAATGCCAGATTAAGACATTATTTTTACTTACACAATTGTACTCTTCTGGAATGACTTGATTCTCCAAGAATTGACAGTATATTATTATCTTTATCCTTATTCTTATAATTATACATATTCTATAATTTCTTCTATTTGAGCTGCATAATCTTTAATCTATATCCATATTTCCTGAAAATAATTTCTTAGAAAAATGAATGTTACTAATATAGTGATAATCCCCACAATAGCTTCTCTCGACATACAAGGTAATAATTTTGCATGCAACAGGTCATAAATCAAAATTACATCTCAGCTTTATTAATTATTGTTTTACCTTTATTCTAATAAATATATCAATTGAAATACTCACTTTGAAGAATTTCTAATGACTAGAAGATACAGGAATAGTGAGTATATATATAATAATACTTGTATAAATAATCTTCGGAACTTACAGTAGGACGTTTTTGAGGATTCCATTGAATACATGCGCTAATAATATTAATTAAAGGCTTCTCTCTATAAATTAATAAATGAATAGTATTTTTATATTTTTAGGTATTGAATTAAGGACCTACTCTTCACAATAAAAGCCATCGAGTATATTACTCCATGATAATGGAGATACTTGAATTTTCCGTAAAAAAGATAAATCAGAATGTTGTGATTTTATGACTTTTGGAATCATTTTATTAATAGATTCAAAATCTTCTATTGTAGGTGCACCCAATATCTCAATAATTTTCATTATCTGATATGGTTCATCGAGTCCTTGACGACCTGAGTTTGCTCTTATTTGAGATTTTTCTGGACAACGGCCTAATGAAAATATTTTAAATCAAAATATAATGTAGATAACCAAATAATATTAAGCTTTACTTACCTACAAAAATTGGATCTAAACTGAGTAATTCTGCAAATATACACCCAATAGCTACGTATATACAATCAAATAAAATATTTTCTAATATAGAATCAGTATTCAAGGTAAAAATTTATTCAAGATTAACTTACCCCATATATCTATTTTTTCATTATAAATGCAGCTCCCAAAAAGTAATTCAGGTGCCTGAAATAATAAAATATAATATAGTTGAAAATTCAGTGTACCCTTTAGTAAATTTACAAAAGTATTAAATAAATAGACTTACTCTATAAAATCTGCTGACTACATATGGCATATGTATATTATTAGATACTAGCTTCTTTGATGAGCCTATATTTGATAAAAAAAAAAAAAAAAAAAAAAAAAAATAAATAAATAAAAGATATTTGTTTAAAAATACACCAATAACTTACCAAGATCACAAATTTTGACAATAACATCAGACCCACTTTTGGTTGGATCATCTTCTTCACTAGAATAAGATAACAAAATATTGTCTGGCTTAAAATCTCGATGAGTATAACCAGCAATATGCAATTTATGTAATCCTTTTGCAATTTGGAATGCAATACTTTTAACCAATTTTGGAGGTAACCTGTGTGTTGGATATCGTCTCCTTATACTACGCTGATCACGGATGAAAGTTCCTAAACTCTTATTCATTAGTGGCATAACAATATTCTGCATAATTATTCCTCCTTTAGTCATACTATAGAAACAATGAGTTATACTAACAATACCTTCTTCGCCTTTAATACTCTCCATAGCTTCAACTTCACGACTAATAATTAACGATAAAAAACTTTTTAAAATATCCAATTAAACAGTTATATGTAATTTTATCACTTACCTAATTGCACTTTGCCATTTAGGACGTCTTTTAATTGCAACTAGTTCACCTGAAATCAGATCTTTTGCCATCCATACACGACCTAGTTGAGAATAAAGATAAATATTGGAAATTGGTATTTTTAAATATAGACATTTTAGTTTCCAAAGTGAAATAATTTATAATGCTTAGAAGATAGTTTTATGATAAAAATGCTAAATTAAAACTTACCAAATGTGCCACTCCCTATCTCCTTAACTAGTGAATACTTGCAATTAGCCCTTGTCATCTGCTACTATTTACTACTCTGATATTGTATTTAGGTAAAGATTTTTAATATTACAGATAGTATATATGTTTACTAGAATTATTAGGATACTCTTTGTTAATATTTAACAACTGTAGCAATAGTGCATGCACCTATACCGGCACTTGCATGTAATTAATTATATAAGTAGTAGAACCACGAATTTTCGAAAATACCCCTACAAAATACAAGCTACAATTTATATCATATACATAATTTTTAGGGAATATTCCATTCATATATTAATTAAAATATTACATATCTAAAATTGTTAAAATTAGCATACAAGCTAATTGTACTCTGAAAATATAAGAAACTTTTTATTTTCCCCGCTTTATGCGGGAAAATAGGCGCTAAATATACCCTTTTTACTTATTAGAGACACCTACAACTACTTTGAGGCCTCCAAGTTTGTAAAGGTTAACCATAGACTGTCTCCCAGAAACTAGAGCTTAGCTAATAAGAAAAGACACGTCTAACAGTCTTAATAGCTGTCATTGAGATCAAATATTTTGAACTATAGTAAGTCCCTAGACAGTTAATATATTTTTTGTTTGCAGCATTTGAAAAGAGAAACCGACAACATGGACAACTCTATGGAATATTTGGGATGCTTGGTAGGTCACTCTGATTGGGTTACATCTATAGCAGCTCCTCCAGATAATGCAGATATTGTGGTATCTGCAAGCCGTGACAAAAGTGTGCTAGTATGGAATTTGGCTGATGTGAAGGGTGAACATCAATCTGTTGGATATGCAAAAACTCGCCTAGTCGGTCACAATCAGGCTGTTAATGATGTAGCTGTTTCAAGCGATGGATCTTATGTAGTATCTGGATCTTGTGATAAGACGCTGAGATTATTTGATGTAAATGCTGGGAAGTCTGTACGCAACTTTGTTGGACATAAATCAGATGTTTTTTCTGTTGCACTCTCTCCAGATAATAGACAAATTATATCTGGATCACGTGATCACAGTATAAAGGTTTGGAATGCAATGGGAGTTTGTATGTATACACTGGTAGATGGTCAACATAATGATTGGGTATCATGCTTACGCTTTTCACCATCAACAAGTCAGCCATTGTTTGTCTCATGTGGTTGGGATAAAATTGTAAAAGTATGGAATTCAGATTTCAAGCTTACATGCAACCTAGTTGGCCACTCCTCTGTATTATATACAGTCACAATTGCTCCAGATGGTTCACTATGTGCTTCTGGTGGCAAAGATGGAGTTGTGATGTTATGGGATGTAAATGAGGGGAAACACTTGTATTCTTTGGATGCGAGCCACTCTATCAATTCATTGTGTTTCTCACCATGTAATTATTGGTTATGCGCTGCTACTGATAAATGTATTAGGATTTGGGAGTTAGAACACAAACTTCCAGTAGCAGAGTTTACTCCGCCAGTACCAATTAAGAACGGACTACCTTGGTGCGTTTCTTTAACATGGTCTAATGATGGCAAGACACTATTTGCTGGTTCTACCGATTCAAATATCTATGTTTATAAAGTTAAAAATTGAATTATTTAGGTAATTTGATTATTGAAACATTAGACATTTAGGCTTGTCTTCTTAACTGTTGATTAAAATGAGTACTTGTAGAGGATATACTTTTAACTATAGGTTTAGATGATAAATTTAAAGTTTATTTGCTAGGGTAATTTAGTTATATTTCTAGTTAATACAAAGAGAAATAAGTGACAATAATTATTATCACTACAGTTATCTGTCCCTCAATAACTAATATTAAGTACGGTGTACTTTGATTCTTGTAGCTAAATAATAGATATTACATTTTTAGCCATTAATATGGTATTATTCGGAATATGTTGTAGATACTTAGTAGTTTATTAGAAGCTTTATGTAGAGTGGCAGGAGTAGAACTGGTTTGAAGATATCTAAAGAAATTATCACTATTAATATATAAATAGATCATGATAATACTACATACTTAGATTATTATGCACGATTTATGGATTTATCTCAAAAATAGAAGTATTTATATGCTAAAGACACTTTAATACAAGCTAATTAAGCAATAATAATGATGCATGTACAAAGGTGAACATTATTAAGAATTTTTAGCAAGAATTCAATTTAAAGTCACTTTAAGCATTAAGATATTAATTTTATTTATATAAAAGGTTGCCAGTATATTGTGGAAAATATAATTCTATTGTCTATTGAGTTAACATGAGTCATTGTTATTTGATTTTGTATCATAAAATTTTATACATTATGTGTTAAGATTTATAGTTTCATTATTTGACGTCTTAAATGTATTTTTTTGCCTAGGGGTGCTTGGAGTAGAAGTACCATATAGTCCACTGTTTACCAAGTAAGACTTTATAGCTTGCTGAGTTTTTAAAATCCATCGTTTTTGTTCCAGTAAGTTGAACTGCGAAATTATAGATAATATATAGGAAATATCACATATTCTTCTTACTTGATTTAGAGCTTCTACAAAAACTTGGGGGTTTATTTTGAATCTGTCTTTAGATACACATAATAATGCATGAAGTGCATGTAATGAATTACTACATCTCAAAATTTCTGCCTGATTAACTTTTAAAATAGTAAGTCCAGTTTGAAATAGAAAGGGAAGACCAAAAAGTAAGAAATTGTCCCAGACTACTAGAACTGTAGATAACGGAAGAATATCCATAAAGATTGATCGAAACCAGGTAATGACAAAGCTTTCAAACGGTATATCGAGTGTGTAAATTAGATGTTGATACAATTGGGGGAATGTTACATAGACGCAACTCTGGAATGTATGGCAAATTAGTAACCATTCTGTATCTGTCCTAGAAGTAAAGCAACTCATAGATTTGTAGGTATGTATATAATCAGCATTAGTTGATAGGTTTTCTACGTAGGGTTGAGGATTTTTAGATGTATTTTCTTGCTCATTTGAATGACAGTAGATACTTTGTGATCCAATAAGATAACTATTAGATCCCATTAAATTCAAAATACATTTAAAGACATTTGGAGTATCCATATAGATGAAAAGTATTGCTATATACTTGATCAGGTTTGGCTGAAATCCTAAATTTGGTGAATGGGCTAACAAGGCTCCTAATATATCTAAAATACCTTTTGCAATAGTACATGTTTGTTTTAAAGGATTTTCATCAAGAAATGAGTGGACTTTGACATCTGCATCAGTAGAATTAGTTATACTTGTTTCCAGGTTGCTCATTCGAGGAGTTCCATGTGATTGGATAAATCTAGTTAATGTTAAAGTCTCGAGTGAAGAAAATCCAATAGAAGGACCAGATGGAGTTGGAGCATTTGTAGATATAAAGTGGGTACCAGGAAAGATTTTTGAGTTGTCTACTCTTGAAGTTTGAGTATCTACATCTTTAAAAAAGTTCTTATTACCAAGCTCTACTGAATTACGATTTTCAGTATTCAAGCCAACCACTGATACAAAATCGCGGCTTATAAAGTATTCCTCGCTTTCAATTAAAGTATTTGTATTTATTTGATCATCACATTCTAATATGCCATCCCAATGTTGACCAAATCCACAAGTTTTACAAAAGAGCCAAGCAAAAGAGGAAGTAGAATACCAAGTTTCCTCGTCATAATGTTTGTAAAATATATTATGTATTTCCACGGCATATCTCATTAATATACTGGCTATCCTATTATCACCTTTTGCATCCTTTAAATTAAAGATAGCTTCTAAGTGCCAAATATAAAATAGTTCTGGAGTTATCTTTCTGTAGTCATTGAGAGCAATAGGCCAGATCTTATGTCTTAAATTCCACGGAATACCTATATTCCATAAATTTATTAGTAAAAGTGAGTTAGGAGCATCAAAACGAACTCCACGGTCAACTATAGGTAGAGAATATAAAGGATACATATTGCCAATTGTATTATACAAGAAATAATGCCAGGAATTACTGGCATGGTGATTGTCACTCATTTGAGCCTTCCAGTTTGACAAAGTTTTTAACCCCATAGTTTTAGATCTAACTCCAAAAGTATGGAGATTAGTATTTTGATTTAACCAGTGTAACCCAAAGAACCATTGCATCAAGTGATCTATTGAAATTTCTCCCGTAGATATTTTAACATATCTCTTTACAAAGTATTTAAAATAAGTTTGGTAATATTTTATGCGATTTGTGGATTGAAGATGTGTAGATTTATCTTGAATTGAAACAGGTATTGAACCACAGTTCCAATGTGCACCCCAATTTGGTAGGATATCTTCATACCATCGCTGTATTACTTGAGAAGTACTCAATAAATTTGACCAATTTTGGACTTCATCCAGGAATTTTGAATATTCAGATGAATTTCGAATATTATGGCATGCAAGGTGTTCTCTATCTATAGAGTTTGCATTAGAGTCTAAGGAGAAAGCTAAAGATTTCCTTTTTTTCTCCTGTAAATTTGTAAAGTTAGAAGTTAGGTCATTTAAATTACTTTGGGTATCTTGAAGTGTACTAGTGTAACTTAAAGAATCCCTTGAATTTTTAGATTTTGATAATTTCTCATTATCTATATTTGCTAATACTTCGAAATCATCTCTATTTTGCTCAAAGGTTAATCTATTTATATTTAAATTATGTGTTAAATCAGCATTTGAATTTGAATAGGTTCTATTGAAAATTGAATATGTTTCTATTTGTTTATTTTCTAAAATTCTATTATTCCAGTCTTTTTTAGATGATTCCAATGGCCCTTTACAAGATAATTTAAGTTCTACAGATTTCTTTACTTTTTCATACAAGGACAACTGTTCAATAGTTGCAATCCAGAACTTAAGACATAAAGTAGGAATATCTGTTGAAAGAAATCTAAATGTTGTATCTTTTGATCGAATAGTCATTGTACGAAAGAAAAGAGTTGTCTCATCCAGTTTATTTCTACTGCAGCAGAAACATGATGAAGATGAAAATGGACTAGGTAAAGGTAAGTTGTCTGGAAAGACAGGATACCCTATATAGGAAAATGTGATATTTCCCATTGGAATCTTATGCTTTACAAGTCTTCTTCGAGCTATTTTAGACCAGATATCAGACCATCTAGAACCTTTAGAGGATTTATTAGTATCAAGTATATTTGAATTCCTATGGGTTTGATCCGAGACAAATTCCCAAACTAAATTTGCTTTATCAAGAGACAATCTTAGCATAACTCTAGGGAAATAACCACGTAATAGATCCTCTTGAATACTTTGATTCATAGAATTAGTGTGAATATTTTCTTTTTCCAATCTCAATTTCTTTCTATTTCGAATGTAATATCTGAATCTTCTTAACAGTGAAGGCAATGGATAGACCAATAAAAACTCGTTACCTCTAGTCAAAAAATTTATACAATCATTAAAGCTAGGTACTTGCTGTAAAATATTGAGAACTGAGATTTGGTACCTTCCTAGAGAGTGCAAATTTCTGGTATTCCGACTAAATTTATTGAGCTTAGTCTCCTCAGTTTCCTCTTCTGCTTGTGTACCTAGTAATCTAGCCAAAATTAATTTTATAAATGAATTTGAATCTAAAGATAACTTGAGAAATTGTATAAAGACCTCTAATATAGGGATAGTAGAAGTAATACAACATTGTTCTTCAGGATATAAACATTTATTTGTATTCGGTAAATGAGATAGCTTAGGCCCTACCAGTAAAAGTGTCTTCTGATGTGTTAAATCCTTAAATAAACTACAAAGAGTCTTTGAAAAATCATCATAAAAATTCTTAACACTATTTTGATATATTTGAGCAAAAACCAAAAAGATGCAGTCACGTAATATCCAATAAGAACTCAAATGTATAGAGTATTTTGGAGTATGCAGAGAGTATAGTTCTGTTGAATTAAAGTTTTCTTGATTTTTGTGTATTTGTGAACTATTTATATAATTTTTCTGTATTCTCGATAAACCTGGAATAGATTCATAGACGAAATTCCAATTTATAGATAAATAATGAGATGAAAGCATTAATAATAAGGGTTGAATATCATGTATTGACAAGCTATACAATTCATGAGATATTGAACTATCTTGACTCCCAAATACCAATGTAATTAGTGATGAAAAAGATATTGGACCACTTGAGAGTGCAAGACAAGAGTTCAAGTACGTAAAGTGTAGGTGTACAATCTTAGGATTATCATAGCCTGTTAAAAAACGTTGAAATTGAATACTTACGGGTAATAAATTACACATCCCTTGCCTTCCTATATATATATTCACCTTCTTCATCAAAATTGCCATATTTTGCAGATTCGTTTGAGTACTTAAGTGATACCACGCTTCTAAAATGTCTCCCAGTGTACTATACAAATTTGCATTTAAATTCTCCCTCGTAATATTATCATAGTATACCCTTGAAAAGGGTGACTGAACATTTATGAGTCCAAAGTTATCTACTACTATAGTCGTATTTGCATCTGATTCTACAGATGTTTGAAATCCCTTTATTCTTTGAGGTAATTCAAGTACATTTTCTAGCTTGGATCTTCCACATTGAATTTCATTGATCTGAGTTTCAGACCAAGAGTCATCAACAGTCATTTCGTATCTCCATAACCGAGGTAACTAACCTATTTATAAAAGTTAGCTAAAAATTAGAATACTAAACACCTGTTTAGAAGTTTAAGATCATTCATTTACCGCCTCAAGGTTGTCTATTGTACTTAAGCGTCCTTTATGGTTAACTTCCAAAAAGTTAGTGAATTAGTTACATAAACATATACTAATATCTACTTACTAAAGAAATGAGTAGCCAAGCTGAGTTTCATAAAACTAAGGGTAATGAATTATATAAACAACATAAGTTTGAGGAAGCTTTGGCAGAATATGACAAGGCTATAGAGTTAGATCCTACTGAAATAACATACCTCACAAATAAGGGAGCAGTATATTTAGAAATGGGCGAATATAACAAGTGTCTTGAGGTCTGTCAGAGAGCTCTTGATATTAGATATGAAGTCAAAGCTGACTATAGCAAAGTAGCAAAGACTTTTAATAGGATGGCATCTTGCTATATTAAGATGAATGAATTGCAAAAAGCTAAAGAAATGTACGAGAAAAGTTTAGTAGAAGATAATAATCGCCATACAAGGACTTCTTTGAAGGAATTGGAGCGATTAATTGAGAAAGCTGAACGAGAGTCGTACATTAATCCTGATATTGCTGAAGAACATCGCCTAAAAGGAAATGATCTGTTTAAAGCTAAGGACTACCCAGGTGCTAAAAAGGAATATGATGAAGCTATTAAACGTAATCCAAATGATTCTAGATTGTATAGTAATAGGTCAGCATGTTACATGCAATTATTGGAATACCCTTCTGCTCTGATAGACATCCAGAAAGCTTTAGATATAGACCCAAAGTTTACAAAAGCTTGGTCTAGAAAGGGAAATATTCACTATTTCTTAAAGGAATATCATAAAGCTGTTCAGGCTTATCAAGAAGGTCTTAAGTGTGACCCAAAAAATAAAGAATGTAATGATGGACTTCAGAATACTTTGATGAAGATTCAACAAGTTTCTTCTTCTGATCAAATAGATGAAGAGCAGGTATCCCATGCCTTGGCTGATCCTGAAATTCAATCTTTACTTGTTGATCCTCAATTCAGAATGATTTTGGAACAGATAAAACAAAATCCCGCTGCATTAACCCAAGTTATACAAGATCCCAAGATTGCCAGTGGCATTCAAAAGTTAATGGCTGCTGGTATTCTTAGAATGGGATAATGCAACAGGAAGTAATCAAAATTTGTGAAATTATTTACATCAATATTGATGAAAGTAAATTTTTTAAAAGAATATCAATTTAGAACTTTCTATTATTTCGTAATTTTCTACATCAAAATTTCTATTTTCAAACCTCTTTTTAGATTTAAGTTAGTACAAGTAAATTTATGATAAATCCTACTGGCGCCTGCCACATATATACCGGTAGGAAGTCGGGTACCTTTTCTACCGGTATCTGGTTCACGTTTTCTTTTCTGCAGATTAGTCTAACTAGATACCACTATATAAATAGGAAGTACTTATTAATATTATACTTTTAATAGAATAACCTGAAATGATCATTTTGACTAAGTAAATTGGTCACAATGAATATAGTTTGTTATATTTTACTTTTTTGTAATCTTATGCTGTTCGATTCAACTCTTGGTTATATTGGATATACTAGAAATAATGACATTAACAGTCAAGAGCAATGTAGAAGAATATGCAATAACGGTCTAGTCTACAGTACATATAAACCTCCAGAAGAACCTGTATGTGGATCTTATATATCTTGTAAAAAATGCAATTTTGAAATTCTAGAAAGGAAAAGTGATCCATCTGCAGTCTGCTATCATATATTTACAAATAATTTTGTGGACAATGAAAGGGAAACTACTATAACTCTATTTTATGGCAAATCTCAGAAAGTCTTGGCACATTCCAGTAAGAAGAGCAGGCTAACAAAATCTGAAAATGTAGTAAACAATAAAAGAAAAGGCTCTGAAGGCTTATTTAGTGTATTGGTTGATTGGCACCAAGTAAATGGTGTTAATGCCTCTATGTGTTCTAATGGTATAGCAGAAATTGAATGGACTTTGTATAATATTGGTGTATATAGGAATTGGGACTTCACAGCTTTGCTAGAAACAACTCCTGAATCAACATTTCCAATGTGTTATGAAAACCTTGAAGAATCACTAGATAGAACAAGAAGACATGATTTTGGGCGTAAAATTCCAACTAATATGAAAAGACTGGGTTACTCATTAACCGGTAGACCTAATGCTATCCGTCTATCAAAAATTATTGCTGTTAACCAACCAGAAATGAAAAAAAATCCTGAAAAAGCTATGAAGACTCTTCTAAAAAATCATATTGGATTTAAGATTGTTGCTCAAAATATATCTGTTAAGGATATTTACTCAGAGTCATTTTATGACACTAGTGAAGGACAAAATACAGGGTCAAGATCTAAATATTCTGAGATATCTTTTAGTACAAAAAGTGGAAGTAATCATATTTACTTATCATCTAATAATGAAGTTGCATCATGTTATACTGAAGTAACTGATAATATATCCGAAACTGATATCAATACTTCTGAATTGGCTAAGAAGGGCCATATATGTGAAATTAAGAAAAGTGATGGCTCAAATAAGAATAAAAAAAAACATCCTTTCACTGAGAAAATTGTGGATCTTATAAGGGGAAGAGCATATACTGAACCATTAATTTTGGACAGCTTACTAAGTTTGGGATATTACTCATGTTTCAGAGTAACATGTACTAAGAGAAGGATTAGTAGAAATGATGTTGAGATAAGATTACCAAATAAGATAATACTTCCATTAGATATTGCAAAGTCAATACATGAAAAAGTTTTAAGAAGAGAAAGTTATCTATTACCTCCAGGTTATACTGTCCCTTTGTTAATAGTTGACTCAAAATATTGGAATTTAAATGATATACCATGTCAAGATATAATCAAAACTAGGAAAGATTTAGATATAAAGTATCAAATAATGGATAATAGTACTTATGAAACGGACTCAGGATCACTATCTACAAATTCTAGTGTATTATCACCTTTAGATGAATTTGAATCTCATAAAGAAGAACCTGAGAGCCAGATAATTTCATTATTATCAGGATCTTCTGAGGATGATTGGTCTGAACTACTTACAATGATTGCACTTACAGACTCTTCAACACTAGATAATAAGGATTTAATGGCAAAAATTTTCAAAGGTGATCCTCTTGTCAATTTCAATAATACTAGTAACTGAGGTTTTTAATAGTCTTACAAGTTCATACATAAACTATAGTCTTCATAGTGATTTATAAATTTATATACTCGCCTTTTTAATAAATTGTACTTTAGTAAGTAGTCTTACTGTATTTTTTATAATATAAATACTCTATAAATAATATTAATTTGGAATATATAAATCTTTTAAAAAGGTAAAAATTATTGTAAGATTTATGTCAGCTATTTCCTACCTTACAACTACATACTATAAGCCTTAACTTGCAAATTAGCATTAAAGTTTATACTAACTGTAGCTCTCATAATATCTATTTCCTCGAAATAATTATTATACAAGATCATTATTTGTATTATCCAAGCAAATTATTTTATAATCTGAACATTTTATTATAAGGTATACATTTAGGATACTTTAAATTTATTATTCTAATCTTCTGTTTATAAAAAATTTCCTCAGGCTGCTTATATTATTCAAATATGTAGTGTAATAATGTGAGTTACTTTAGGTAAGGGAGCTTGTAGAAAAGCTCTAAAGATTAAAAATAAAAGTTGCAATAACCCTTTTAGAAACTATACTGTTATAGTAGATTAAGTATTGTAGATAACTTATTTATAATATTTAGAACCCGAAGTCTGCTCATATTATTTCCAAAATTATTTCTGTTGGGTTATATGATAGCAGAATATTATGTTGCAATAGCCAATGCATAAAAATATCATTTAAATAAAATATATTTGGCAATTTTAAAATTTTATATTCAATTCAGAGTTACTTTAATATTGATTTAATTACAGTCCTTAAGTATATAAGTTTATAGAGTTTAACTTTATAAACTTGTAAGTTCAAACTTGTTCAAAAATTTAAATCTGAACAGTTTGATTATCCTGTATATAATGTTTGTAATACTTAAATGATAATAAGGATAAATAATATGTAATCTTGATTTTACTTTGCATATTAAAAAAATTACACTTTAACTCAATGTAAAACAATATTATTTGTTTCTTAAACACTCCAATATAGATTATTAATATTAGTACTTTGATATAATAGAAGAATTACTAATTTCAGCAATATGACATTTAATATTCCTCTTCCATGCAACCATAACTTTTGTTTTTTTCTGTTTTTGGAATTAAGATAAATCTTCAGAGATACAGAGATACATGATCAATAGTAATAGTATTATCACAACTATATCCAGAAATTAAACCAGAAAAGTTCTTTTTTAAGCTTACAAACTCCACTAAAATACTAGTAATATATTTAAATAATTTCTTTATAGGTCTAACTAGTAATTGATTAAGGCAAAATTATAAATAATTCTATTGCGTCACCCACGAACTAGTTTAATCGTTTCGCTTAAAGATATAGAAGTATATCTTCTATCAGTATTTCTATATGTGTAATCTAAAAAATTTAAGTCGACTAAAGAAGAACCTTGAACACCAAATTTTGAGGTTGTAGGGGACTCTTCTATAACTATATCTTGCCTTTTATTAGTAGTACCTTCACTTTTTGGAACATTTTGGTTTTCAATTGATATAATTTTTTTAAATGGAGCTGGTAATTGCCTCAACTGGTTCCAATCAATACCTAAATGAAATAAAGTACATTTATTTTAAATCTGCCCATAAATTTATGCAATATAAATTTCTCATAGTAAATTCGAAAACTTACCTTTAAAAAAAGGATGCTTCTTTATTTGCTCTCCATTAAATCTTTTTGATTGATGACAAAGTAGATTTCTCAGTAAATCTAAAGCTTCTGGAGATATTTGTCTGCAAGGATGAGGTAATAGCAAGAGTTTCTCCCATTGCATAACCTTTATTGCAACTTTAATAGGATTATGTGTATCATCATTAAATGGAACACCTCCATACAAGCATTCATACATTAAAATACCAACACTCCACCAATCTACTAAGTTAGAATATCCTTGTCTTAAAAATATCTCAGGGGCCATATATTGGGGAGTTCCAACAGTTGAATGTAATGTTTTTCTACCTGGATGCTCCAATTTTCCATTTGATTTATTAGTTGCATTGGAATAATTATTTTCCCCAACATTTTCGGAATTCTTATTTTCTTTGCTACATGATGATCCTGCTACAGTCTCTTCCCTTCTTCTTTCTTTCTTTATATCCTCTAGTTTTAGGCTATCAGGTGCACTATTTCTTCTTAAGTTATGAAAATGGCTATAGCTCTTAGAATTCGAGTTCACTTCTTCAATTGTTGGAGCAAATTTACAAAGCCCAAAATCTAATAATTTTAGATGACCATTAGAATCTAATACTATATTATCAGGTTTGACATCTCTATGTACAAATCCCAGTTGGTGAACTAAATCGACTGCATGGACTAACTCAGCCATATAAAATTTAGTATCTTCTTCACTAAATTTGTCTAATTTTATTAGATATGACATTAAATCACCTCCAGGAAGATACTCCATTACTTGATAAAGATGTTTATCATCTTGGAATGTATAGAATAACCTCACTACATAGTCAGATGCATTTTGTACTAATAAAGCTCTTTCACTATATATTCTTTCTAGCTGATTTTTTGTACGAATAATACTTTTTCTCATTTGCTTAAGTGCATATACTTTTGATGTATATTTACATTGAGCTAATCTAATGACCCCAAAAGCTCCTGCTCCTATTGGACGTAGAATATTAAAATCTTTTATAGATATTCTTTTTCTCCTGTAACCAAAGTAATATAATATTAATATTTATTTAGATATCAATTTTATTATATATATTTCAATATAAAACTACTTAAATTTATAATACTTACATTAATCTCAAGTCACAAGTAATAGGATCATTCTTAGCTCCATCATTTCTTTGTTTGTTTCCTTGAGACCCACTTTGAAGATTGTACCTTTGTATATATTGAGTTTCTATTACTGCCTTATTTAGCTCAACACTATGTTTTAGTGTATCTATATTGTCCAATAAATTTAACTTTGGTGTCCTAAAAATTTTCTAATGTGAAAAGCTGTTGCACTAGTAATACTAAATAATATTGCCATAGCTTTTTCTCACCTCCTAGTAGTATTATTCATTTGAATAGCTAAAAAAATTATTAATTAGCATCAAGAGTTCAGTTAAAATTTTCCTCTTATTTTCTTTTAATTCTCAAAATATCTACCACATACCAAATTTGCATGCTTATAACCTTTGGGTTATTAATGTCACGCGCTGACGCGAGAATAATTACCAAACCTAAAAATAAAGAAAATTATTTAGTATTATCTAAAAAAACTGCTTAACTATTATAAATTTCAATATATAAAAAATATATATATGCAAATTTTTAAATTTTCCAAAGTTTTTTTTATTAATGGAGAATATTGTGATACCTAGGATATATCATCCTCTTTAATAATATTACTTATTTTAAGGAATAATACAAAAATAATTTGCTAAAAGATTTAGTTTAATACCAATTTATGTAATATTAAAAACCTTAAACTTATGTAGTATGCAAGTTTAAAATGAATTTTTAAAAATTTGATTAATATTATTATCACATGTACATGCATGCAAAATCATAATTACCGCTTAAATATAAAATTTATAAAATAGATTGGATTAAAGAAAATACTAAAATTCGGGAGTTTGAGACAAAAATAAAAGTCTACAAATAACTTTAAATTATACTCCATTGAATATTATATATCCATTATTTTTACTTTATTTACCCGGTTTCAGATCTATATATTGTATACAATCTTAAAATAGTATTAAGATGATTACTCTCGAAATAGAAGATCAGATTCCCTCTTTCTCTATATTATACACAAATGAAAATAATTTATTATTTAGATTTTGTAAGTTTTCTATTTTAGAATAAAGTATTCTGAGAAGATTTTGCAAAGAAAAAAAGTAATGAAAACATAATGAGCTTTTAAGTATGGTTTACTTTACTAGTATAAAAATTTTGAATATGATTAATTAGGAAATTTAGCATACTGATGCAGTTTTATTAATAAAATCATCTTAATTTTTCTATATTATATGGCCTTGTAATATAAAACAGAAGACTTTAATTTTTATTTAGGTATAATACAAATCTGAAGCTTATGTAAGTAGATTAAAGAAGTGAATTCTAGTAATCAACTGGTTGGAAAGTAAAGTATGTTTTATAACTATTTTGAGGTATTTTATTGATCTTAAATATTATAAAAGTGTCTAATTTTTTTTTACAAGATTTTATCTCAAAAGTTTGTTTATGGTAAGAAGGTGTTGAAGTGGAGATTTCAGTGAATATTCTTATTCAGATTTATAGTTTTAGTCAGTTAAAATATGTAGTTTGAGAATATCTATTTGTAATAATATTATTTATTACAGTTGTATTCTTACTAAGGAATATCTCGAAAGAATTTGCCAGATATTTAATAAATAGTCATTAAATTATGGATAAATCATGGATTGTTTATGAAGTGATTGAAAAGTAAAATTTGGGAAAGCCTAAGGAGCTAAGTTTCTAGTGGATTAGATATATAGTAGTCATAGTAGTTACCTTAGTTACTGTATTTGGTGTAACTAAACCCACTTTTAAACCAGTATGAGAGATTTGAAGATTTTTATTACTTCCTAATAAAATATAAAAAATATTGGTTGTTTCTAATTTTTGAATCTAATTCTTTTCAAGACCTAATAATCCACAGTATATATTATAGCTTAATAATTAATTTTAAGACTTCATAACTGAAAACAAATGGTATTTTATATATTTGAAATTTCTTTGAAGAAGTTTATCAGTGTTTTATAGAGTAAAATGTTTTAAATCTTTTTCAAAATTTCCTACTTTGTCAGGTTTTATTCTATAACTGAAAGTTTTTTTTTATGGTTATGTGAAATTGCGCATTTTTTAGGATTTATTATACTCAAATATTTATTAGAAATTTGATCTATCAAAAGTATTCTAATAAAATAAACCACAGCTATATTGGTAAGTCTATTCTGGAAATATAAGATTTCGAAATATTAGTTCTATGTTGTTCAAATGGTTCTAAATTATTAACTGCGATATATTGTAATATCTATGTAATATCATAATTTTTTTAAATGTAATAAAACAGTTATAATTCTTTTGAATTTATAAGATCAAATTTCAATTAATATATTGGCCTTATTTAATTTATATATAAAATTGCAGAATTTCCTATATACTTATTGAAATACTTATTAATATAAAAATAAATTTATGGAATATTTAGCTATTTATTGGAATTTTATACAAATATTTATTGCAATAATAAAGAAAAACAATTAGAATTTATTAGACAAATTTCTCTAGCTATTCTTTATTAGGTATACCTATCTATCGCAGCTGATTGACTACTCAAGAATGAAACTGTGCAGAATTTATTCCTTTGTCTTTCTTTTTTTAAAGAAAATAACTACTTGGTTTCTTTTTGTTTAGTTTACAATGAACTATATCCCTTATCCTCCAATTCTCTTTATATTTTTGTTTATGTATCTTTAAAAGTCAAGAAAATAATGAAGGAATATTTTCAAATTCTTATTAATCCTGAGGTTACACAACATTTCTCTTAAATTAGTAATATCTATTCTCATTCTTCTCTAATAATTATAAATAGGATTTTTTTTTGCATTATTGAATGGTTACTAGATTTACCTACTTTTTGTAACTTCAATTTAGATTAGTGTTTCTTATTTGCTTTACATTAAAATAACTTAGGTTAAGTCATTGAGGAGTTAATTCTGCAATACTTTTATATCCTTATCTTTCAGCTGCTAATTAACCTATATACATAACTTCAAATTATATTTAATGAATAAACTAATGAGTAGGATTCCAACCAATGATAGTATTGGGTTGGAGAACTTAGATGTATTTGCTTCTTTAGATTATTAGGCCTCTAATTTTCTGTTTTGTCTAAATATAATTTCTATAAACTACTATACTTATTCAAAGAAAAAGTTCTACTGACTTTTATAATATTAATTATCCTGGTAACTAATGAAATATAGTTAAATCAATCAATATGCACATACAGTAGACCTTTTATTTTAACAAGATAAAATCTAAGTTCTACTTAGTTCAAATAGTCTAATTATATTATAAATAAATTTATTTAAATACCAATTTTAAAATGAGATCCACATTTATACTCGCTAAATCTTTTTTAAAGTCAAAAATGTCAATAAGTGTTTCTGGAATCTCCCGCCATATCTTAATAAAATTATTATTGGCGCTTCAAAATATTGTAATAGAATAGCTTGTAGTAGTTTATTACAGAAATGAAAAGTACACCTGCATAACCTGGTTATAATGGAAAATGGGATAGAATATTCAGATATTTCACAGAAAAATGAGATTAATCGAATTGTAGAATCTTCTGAGAATAATATGGACTCTAGTTCATCATCAAATATCCCGAATCCTAATGGATGTAATGGAACAAGTTTTGAGTGTAATATTTGTTTTGAAACTGCTCATGAACCAATAGTAACTAGGTGTGGACATTTGGTAAGTTGTATTTGCTTCTATTATTTTTAATTATAAAATTATTTTCTTTTGGGTATTATAGTATTGTTGGAGTTGTATGTGCTTATGGCTTGAAAAGGGCTATGAAGATTGCCCTGTTTGCAAAGCAGGAGTAACACAGGAAAATGTGATACCCCTATATGGTAGGGGCTGTGGTAATGATGACCCTAGGAAAAAAACAAAACCAAGACCAAGAGCAGAAAGACCAGAAGCTAGACAACGTCATTCAACAGGACATAATAGCAGTTTTAGAGAATTTCAAAGTTCTACAATTTCCTTCAGTACTCTAAATTTCCCTATGTTAGCTATTTTAGCTAATCCTCTTGGAGCTATATTAAGTTTGGGAGCTGCACAAAGATTGATATTTGGTGACTATCAAAATGGCACAAATAGTTCAAATAATTTGTCAAGTAAGTAACTAAATAGCAAATATTTTAGTTTCCTTTCTTTTTAGTATTATCTTCTTGGATGTATATATTATGAATTTACTTATTGATTATTTGTAAATGTTTCTTATTTGTTGATTAGACGAAGAATATAGAGCCCAACTTGTCTCAAATATTGCCCTATTTCTAGGTATTATTATGATGTTGTATATATTATTTCTAGAGTAGTTATATAGAAACTAGAATCATATAAGGGCTTAGATTACAATAAAAACTTTTTATTTATATTTTAATGACTTATTTGCAAGATTTCTCTACTTTTGTATAGTGCTATGAATGCATCACGTGGCAATGGCGCTAGTGTTTATCTAAAGGAAATACCCACACTATTTTTATATACTATATATTAAATGTTTTTACATAGGAAATGACAAGATGGAACTTTTCAAATTATTTAATGAATCTGTATGTAATGTAAATTTAGAAGAAGGAATTAAAATTCGCCTTAGAGACGTTGTTGAGATTTGTCTATTGGCTTCAAGAACTATAATGGAAATATATAATACATATAAGGAATCTGATCTAAATATAAAAATTAAAGAAAAGGATAATTCCCCTTTTACAATAGCAGATATTACTTCAAATGAACAAATTTCAAAACAATTAGCTTTTTTATGGCCATTAATTCCAATAATAACTGAAGAATCTGAACAGGTACCATGGGAAATAAGGAAAAATTACAAGTGAGTGAATTTATATTATATTAAATTATTTGTCGCAAATAATTTGAATTAAAATTTATTTATTTATTTATTATTATTATAACTTCAGATTATGCTGGATAATTGATCCATTAGACGGAACCAAAGAGTTTATTAAACGTACTGGAGAATTTACTGTTAATATTGGTTTAAGTGAAGATGGAATTCCAATATTAGGTGTAGTTTGTGTTCCATTTCAGGGAATAATATTTGCTTCAAGTAGAGATTCAAAGTATGTGTTTAAGCTTACAACTTATTTGGCATCCAATACTATTTGTGATAAATGTTTAATTGAACCTATTCAATGTAGTCCAAAAACCGATCCAAATAATATATTAACTATTGTAGGATCTAATAGTACTCAAAATCGTGATATATTTGATTCATTTGTAAAAAAGTATTTTATGAGTTACTCTCTTGTAAATCACGGTTCATCTATTAAATTTATGAAAATAGCTGAAGGTTTATGTCATGTGTATCCACGCTTTATAGGATGTATGGAATGGGATTCTTGTGCCTGTCATGCTATTTTGAAGCATGCTGGAGGAGAAATTTATCAAGTAAATGTTGAGAGAGATAATGATGGAAGTTTAAAGTTTATACTCTGTAATCCTTTAAAATATAATAAACAAAATCTTGAAAATCCTTTTTTTTTAGCTATAACTAATGGAATTTATAATTCTGTATTTAAACAAATTTAAGATACCTTTTTATATACTTATAGAATTATATTAGTATACTATGTACAAATTACTATTGGTTTGTTATATTCATTATATTTTATTTATTTAATTTGAATATTTATAATTTTGTAAAATAAGATATCAATTTGATCTCAAGTTGGAGTTAGCTGAATATTTCCAAGCCTATAATTTTTGTTTCTAAATACAGTAGATATTATATTTGACTTTTTATGAAAATTCTTAGATATAAGTACTAGTATACTGCTAACTATAACAGTGTCAGCATACTTTTAAATACTTTAAACTACTGAAGTTATATTGATATTGATAGATTTAAACATTTAATTATTAATAATAGAGCTTTTTATACATTAATGGATCTAATTATGACGGACAAGTTCATTTCTGGATCTTGAGAAAAAGTTGCAAATTATTAGTTAATGCTTAAATTTATAATTGACATATCTAATGTAATACTTTAGATTATAGGAAGGTTTAAATTATTTAAGTCACTTATTATAACTGATATATTCTCTAATTTGCTAATCAACAATTATATTAAATTCTATTATATATTAATTTTGACGACTTTGTATAACTTTTTAATAAAAAACAAGTGATTTTATTTTTAAAGTCTAAATATATAGTATACTAGAATTTAACAAGCTTCAAAAGTAAGATTAAATACTCCATAAATGTTTCTTTTCATTTTTAATATTGAATATTGCATTAATTAATAGGAAAAGATAATAACTTGTTAAAATTCACATATATTGTGTTATTTCTAAAGATTTAGACTGTTCTAAAATACTTAATATATTTGAAACATAGTACTTAGTGGATATTTTTAAATCAATCTATAATATTTTGATATTAATAATTCCTACTATACAATAGTTTTCATGTTTGTCTATCTTTAAAATATTTATTATGATGAAATTAATAAAATCATTAGAATTAAAAGTTGTTATTTAAAAATATTAATTATGGTAAATATTCTTATTTATATATTTACTATTTATTCCTGTAAACTATTAAGTGATAATTTTATTATGTGAATATATTAATAATATTTTAGATTTTAGATTTAATATTCTTTTAGTTGATTACTTACTATATTTACCTTTACTACATATATTTCCATTTTCCTATGTAAAAATCTTGATATTATATTAATCTATTATAAAAGTTTATTACTGTTATTACAAAATGAGATTTACAGTAGTAATTAACCATTAATCTAACAATCTTTTCAGAAAAACTATTAACTATATAATAAAAATCATTAATTTCATTTAATAATCTTGTTCAAATTATATTTTGATATATTGAATTATATCTCATTGGGGAAATTTGAAAGTTATTCAGCCTTTTCTTGCAAATTTTTAAAATACAGATAATTTTATTAATTTATTCCAATAAAATTTGAAGATTGACTATATATATAATTAAATACTTGAATCAAGTTATATTAGTAACTAGAAATAACTTACAAGAATTTGGGATTAATAATTTTCTGATATATAAAAAGATTCTATGTATTAACTCATACTAAAATACTAATACTAATAAAATATTTTTTTTTTTGTTTATATTTTGCTCTATTTATTAAGGAAATAAGTGATTATTTATTTGTCATATTAAATATTTGATATTTCTATATTTTACATAATTCCTAAGTAAGTTCTTTATTCTAGACATTTGTTTCAATATTCTGAGTGTATTGCACTATTAAATCAAAGTTAAACTATCTGAATTATTAAAAATACAGTTATATATTAAATTTGATTAAAACAAAAATTTTATTTAACTATTAATCATTTGTTATCCTTATTTTATAAATAATGAAAATTAGTAATAATTAAGAGTATCCAATATTACAGAAACATTTGAATACCTTAATGTTACTGATATAAATTTTATGACCTTATATAGAATATTTTATATTACAATATCATATCATATATAAACTTCTTTTTTAAGAAAGAAATTGAATAGTTGTTTTTTAATATTATCAATAATTAGAACTAGAACAAAATTCGTTAGAAAATCGATACTATCTAGTATTTAATTAACTTGATACAAGAGTAATTCCCTGAAAGTAAATTAATATTAAGACTTCTTAATGTAAAATTCCATTAATTAGCTTAATAACCTATAGATCACTTTGAGATAGCTAAATTGTAAATTGATAACATTTGAATTTTATATCGAATTATTTTATAATCTAAATAAATGTAATAAAATTATCAGATCTTATATTATATAGATTAAAAGTTTATTTGCTATTATAAATATATTGTATAACAAGTTTACTGAAATTTGGTTATTTTGGAGAAAAGTTATTTAATAATCCATAGGTTAATTATAATAGATTATTATTGTTTTCTTTATGAAAAAATTGTAGTAATCCTTAATTATATTTAAAGAGATACATTTATAATTTTAAATTTGGTGTAATATTAAAGTTTAGTTGTGTGCAAATCAGTTGAATAATAACGAAATGTCTAGTTAGGTATTAGAAAATAATTAATAATAATTTAATAATGATTTTTTATATAAGCTTTCCTTAAGCTATGTACTTTTTTTAAAAAAGAAGTTTATCTTTGGCCCCAATCAATATCAGTTGCTCTGTTATCTGTATCTATTGCAATACCTTCTGTTATTGCATACAAAAGTTTTTCCATTAATATTTCACGACTTGAATATCTTGGTAATTCTAGTTGGAAAAAACAAGTATGGCTCACTGGTAACATAAGATCTTCTGGTGAATTTAAATTCTCTGTACTTGTTCTATTAGTGCCTAAATCATTGCTATCGTTTTCTTCACCATGTGTCACTTCTCTACTTATTTCATCTACACTTTCAAATATACTATCCGAGTCATTTATACCCACAAAATTATCTCCTAATTGTCTTTGATTAGATGATGAATCAAGATTGAGCTCAATACCTTCTTCAATATCATAACCAAGAAGTAATCTCAAGTTTTCATCTGGTTCATAACCAGAAGTATCACCCTCAGGGTTGTCAGCTGTATAATTTATCTCTTCCACAAAGTTATTTCCTGATTGTACATTTGAAAAAGATTCGTTTTGAGTATGTTGATTATTTTCTGTTAAAGAATTATGTCTGGGATATAATCGGACGATTTCCATATTATGCTCCCAGTTTGAATTTCCACTAGGTAATCTACATCTTCCCCATACAAATCTTAAAAACATTTGTTGCTCCTTAAAGGTGAAACTGCTTAATACATCCCAAAACCACTTTATCACATCATCTGTAACTAGATAGCCTGTATATCTCGTATGTTGTTTGAGGAGATTAATATTGAAAGATGGTATCCCACAAATAAGTCTTTCTAGCTGAATAGGAGTAAATAATTGGATTATTTGTTCTGGAATAATATCACACAAACCCAATCGAATATTTTTAGTTGCATGAATTAATTCAAAATTTGTTTTGTATTCAAGCAATAAATTGCAGTAATATTTTAACTCTTCTATTTTCACTGGAATATCTTTGCCATCTTTAATTAGCTCAACAACTTTTCCATTACTATTTGTAATTGTCCATGTTAAACCAACCAATGAAAATTCCTCCATTAAATTTTCCAATGAATTTTTATTTTGCAAAGTATAGGATTCAGAATGTTTACTTGCTACCCAAAGTCTGTATATTTGGGTCAACTTTTCATATAATTGCATTGTATACCCATCAACCTGTCTTATATCTTGATATTCTATTTTATCATTGAGAAGCATCTTCCAAAATATCATAGGGAAGTCCAAATTCAATGTTAGGTGACCCCTTACTGCTATTCCCATCAATCTTCCAACAAATCTATATAGAGAATCAAAAATTTTATCAACACACATTTGCAAAGGTACTATACACTCTTTACTTTTATCGTTTAAACATTCTATTTCAGTGTGATTATTTTCATCCTTCATTTTTTCATCACTCCCACCTAATTTATCTTGTATTACTCTTTTGTAGCGATATGTATATTTAGCCAAATCAGGGTTTGGAATAAAGAAATACTGATTATCACCGAAACCATATGAGTTGGGACATAATATAAATAATGGTAATCTATTACTTTGTAATTCAAAACAAATATGGCTAATGCAATCTCTGTACAATCCACCAGCATCAATTCCTCCTTCACCCTCGTAGATTACATACCATGGTCTATTTTTACTTCTAAATTTGTTTGGTGCAATGTTCTCTAAACTCTTGTATACTTGACCAAATACACTATATAACCCATAAGGATCATGGTTTATATCACCACTATAATGTAATGATTTAGGTCTATTAATTACAACTCTTATTCTTCCATCAGCTCCACTATCTTCTGTTAATAACAAACTAGCACTCAGAAGCAATTCTTTGAGCGAGACCGACATATAATGACGTATTTTATTAAGCCAAGCATATTTATATATAGATGGTCGTGGAGATATTATATCAATATAGCTTAGTATGGATATAAATAATTGTATCAATCGCTTTGTCAAAATTATGTTAAGTCTGCAATAACTCATTACTTCATAGTCACACATATTACATCCAACTTTCTCCTTATATATATTAGTTTCTCTATGATTTAATATTAAGGCTAATGGATATTCTTTATATTGTAACTCTTCGTATAGCTGCAGTATAAATTCGTCCACTTTAGAGAGAGTTATTTTGCTTTGTCTTAGAATTGAAGTATTGGGCTTGGAAAAAATCTTAGGACTGTTTTTTAATGTAAGATTTTTACTAAAGACATCTTTTTCTACAGTTGAATTGTTATTCTTAATTGGTTCTAGTCCGTACCTCTCTTTTATGCGATTTACTAATTCATTTACTGATAAGGTATCTAAGTATAGTTGATTTGGCTGTCCTGCAGGAATATTTGAAAAATCACTTGCATTAGATTTAGTGTGCTCATATTCCTCATAGAAATCATCAAGCATTTCAACAAATCTCCTCAGTATTACACCTGAGAATATTAGTTTTATGTTCTTAAGTCTGATTACTACAAAAGGAGCACTTATATCTTGTTCTTTCCCAAATATTACATTCATTTCAATAATAGAATCACTACAAATACAGTTCTTACTACATATTAAACCAACAGGATCATAAAATTCCATATCACTCATAATTCTCTGTCCCCAATTGCTCCTTTTATTTAGTATATTTGGTATAGATACACTGCAAACTTTCCATGAGACATCCAGCTTTGGAATGCTCAAATCATAAAGGTCTTTGGAGTAGATTAAATGCATATGATTTATAGTATTTGGTTCAAGACAAAGTTTCACATTTAATTTTTCGGTATAATATTTATCTGAAATGGAATATTTATATTTTAATGATTGTGCTTGCTCTTCTGGTAATATAAAATCACATAAACCAATATCCATTGACCATATATTATTGAAACATACTACAATTGGATTGAACCTCCAATTACTTGAAAATACATGTACAACGCTTCTATTACTAGAGATGCTATTACTGCTACAACTACTTGACAATGTTTCATTAGAGTTTGAATGTGCACTCCCATTATTTAATTTGGAAATCTTTGATTTAATACTTGCTATTTCAATCTGCTGTATATGATTCTGAATATCATTGTAAGTGCTCTTAATATAGTCATGGATATCTTCCAGTTCCCATTCATTAAATACGCCAAACATGTTGGCAAGTAATCCAAACAGTGGTTCCCCAGCTTTTTTTGAAAATTCAGGTTTAATACTAGACTTAACTTCAGTAGAGCTAAAGGGTGAACATAATATAGGTGGATTAGATATTGTCAAGTCTTGACCAAGGAAAATGTTCCTTTCAAAAAACTTCAGTTGCTGGTTATTGGGCTTTTGAGTTCCACTAACCTGTATAGGGTTCATTTCATGATCTTTTTCTTTAAATCTCATATATTTCGGCCAACCAATAATCCAGGGTAGATCACCACTAATTAATGGAATTCTAGATGATGGTATTACTTTAGATTCATCTAATAGCCCATTAATATAAAGCTTCACACTATATCCATAACTATTACTAGAAGTTGATAACCTTGGGGCACTATTCAAATTCCGTAGTGAACCTATTGTAAGAGCTATATGATACCATTGATTTGCATATATGCAATGGTTAGAGATTATTTTTGTGGTATGAAGATCCATTGCTGATGAGCTATTAAATAATGTCGTTTTTAAAGATGCAGTATGTTCATTTGCATTCGATGTGTTGATTGAATTATTGACTAAAAGATTGATTGGATATTGGCTATAAGGCGAATTTATTATAATACCTAAGTATCCTCCTTCTGTTATCCAAAATGAAAGTGTTGCAACCGAAAGTCCTCTAAATGCAATTAATCTCCAATTGTTTCCAACCATTGGATGCTGAGGATATGACTCATGTAAAATTGAATTTGTACTATTAAATGAATCTTTTTGAGGGTTAAAACTTAAAAACTCATGTTTATTAATCTCTGTAATATCTTTAAAATTACTACTCTTTATTGAAAAAGTTTGCTTCCACGTATTCAAATTTAGTGGATATAACCAAAAAGATATAGTACATGGTGCTACCATTTCAAAAGAAGATGAAATGCGTGATGGAATCTCCAATAATTTATAGCTCTCTGTTGAAGAAAATATTTCATTTACTGCTCTATCTTCTGTAGGTGTCTTACAACAATCAATATCGCATATTGGTACTGTGCCAGAAAATATGGGCCAGAAATAGGTTTGGAATGAAGAATGTATATAATTCCTTAGAAGAAATTCTCTCATCAACTGAATAGTTTGTGAATTACTCCACATTTTATCTTCATTTTGACTTGGATAATTATATACTTTTTTATCCTTATCCTCATCTTTTGTCAATTCTCCATCTGAACTTACACATACTGGATTATTATTAACAAGTGAAAATGCAAATGTTTCAAAGTATTCAGATATAATTCTTGGATCAAATGAATTTCCTCTCTGTATTAGGCTCTTAATCATATCTTTTTCCCACCCAAGTATCCAAGGATATCCACTTTTTGCAGATATATTATGGTTCGTAGTTAATTCACTGGAACTTTCTAAATATGCTAGCAAATCCCATAATAGTTTGATACGATCTAGCCAATTTTGATATGGAGAATTAGTTATCATAATTATATCATCAGAAGTGAATGAAATAGTTTTTAATAAAATAACTTCTCTAGTTAAAACTCTTACAAGACGATATGTAAGTGAAATTGGATTTTTCAAAATCAATTTCTTTTCATAATCACTATATATATTTAAAAAATTACTTAGTATATCATCACTTAACCACAAACTTCTGGGATTTGGAAGAATTAGTAGCTTACCACCCATCATCATAAGGACTTCATCAAGAAATTGTTTTAGGTTAATAGTAGGATTTTCATCCAGAATCTCCTCAGTATTATTTATAATTAAAAGTCTAGCGTCTAATATCTCAATTTCAATTTCACTTAATTTCTCCAGAAGTAAAAGGGGCACCTTCTTTTTAAATATACTTATATATCTATTTCTCAGGCTCCAAGTTGGAAATTGACAATATTCTGCACCTTGAAAACTCTTCATATTTGAAAAATTGTCGTAATTTTCTGAGTCACTGAGAAAGTACTGATTATAGTAATACAGCAGTGAAGATTTAAAAACAGTTAATGGGAGATTGTTATTTGAGGTCAAATAAAACCATGGACAAATATTAAATGTGTAAAATTGGCTATTTAACAACTGTTGGTGGCTATAAAAATCTCCATTCAGTATATATATTGAATAAGGTTGAATTTCACCAATATCTAAACTTGTATTTTGATGTTTACTTTGATCACTACTTGAGCACCCTAATGAATAGAAAGTGTCTTTATAATCAATATTTATACTTGCATCAGCACAATTTAGTTGTCCTTTTCTATTATTGGAATATATAGAAGCATCATAAAATGATAAAAGTAGTTCTGTAATTAGATGTGCCTGCACTTGGAGATCCAGTGAACACCTTATGTAAGTAAGGCAAGAAATCTTATTTAATAAATCACTAGAATCACCTTTTAGATTACTCCATTTAAATGTACTTTTATTATTTTGATAATAAAATAAGATTTTGTTTAATTGTAGCATTATATAGAATCTCATATTTGAGCATAAACTAAAATTTGTTGCCAAATGAATTTGTTCAAATTGGGAGTTGTATATCAAATTGCAAAGTCTTTCAAGATAATCTAAGTATACTATGCTTTTTTTCGATGCTAATAAGTTTATTGATTTGTGAAATCTCATAAAAATACATACCAGTTGTCGAATAGAATGAATGAAAGCATTTTGGTAGGGTATCACTGACTGATTTTTGATTATTCCACTATTAGAACTATTTGACAATGCCAAATACCTGCTTAGTTTTATCTGTTTTGGTGCATGAAAGGAATATAAAATATCAAACAATATATCGATAATTAAAGCCAAATAATCGAAGAAAAACTTCTTTTTATTCGGATCATCTTTGAATTGGGCTATAATTAAATCTAATACAACATATGCAAAATGTATATTGTTGTTATTTAAAATATCTTGATCTGCCAAATTATACTTTACTGGTACAAACACAATTTTAATTCCGTATTTATTGCTATTTTGTGCTGAGGAAATAAACCTAACGGAACAAGAATTAAAGGGTATTAATTGCTTAAATCCACTCATCCCTCGAGCAGTCTTCTTTAGTATAATCATATCATTACCACTACTCTTATTCTTCACTGATATTGTAAGAGCCGTTAAGGTATCTGAATGCAAATCACAAAGTGGATCAAAAATGGCGTATAAATATTTGCATCCCTTTATCTCAACATCTATTCTTCTATCCATATTACATTCATATGGATGACTGCTCTCAACCACAACTATTGGAAGTTGATACTTAGTACTATTTCTCATATGAACTACATAATCAGAGTATAATATTTGCAAGAAGTCTGAATAACTGTAGGCTGAAAGATTTTGGATAACATCTATGAAGCCTGAAAAAATTCCCTCAACTTCGTTATAATCATTATAAGTTATATTGGAAAGTATTGATCTTGTATAAAAGCCTGCTCTTGAATCATTCAATATTAGGAGACTGTAATCATTTAGAGTAGGCCCATCATTACCATATATTAATTTGAATAAACGGAGAATATCTAGAAATGTTTGTTTCTGAACTTGTTTATCACTACAATTTATATAAAGAGGTAGTTCATGCACTATTGATACCAAAGTATTCCTTACCAAAGTAATACACTTGAAATATTCAATTTTTGGATATAAATTATACATATTAGTTAGAATACGATTAAAATTTGTGAGTTCCGTTTCATCTCGATCTTTGCATAGTAAAATCTCCCTAATATATTGCTGTAATGAAGAATATCCATTAATTTGTGAATTTAATTCTGAACCCATGATTAATGGTGTATCAACTGACACTTGTTCTAGGTAACTCGTTGGAATATGAACAAAAAAGTACATCATATTGTGATAATCAATAAATTGCACAATGGATGATTTTGAAATCTGGTAGCAGCACCAAACTACTCCATACATTTTAGAAAACCTTCGTAAATATAGTTTCATCATATGCAATGGTAGAGAATAAATATCTACCAATGGGAATATTATTCTGGACTTATTGTTCACTAATAAATCATTACTTATTAGCTCTTCTTCCTCACCATATATCCAATATTCAATATTTGAAGTTATAATCACAATTTGTCCTGGGAATAAAGATGAATCTTTGTTTAAGAGTAGCTGAGAGTTAGCTACAGTCAAGTTAGCTGTTTGTTGTGAGGATGTTGATCTCCTTAAATTAGAATTATTTAGCAACATTTGCTCAAATTGTTGTCCTTGGAAATATTGATTAGTTTGTTCATTACTTCGTATTGAGTGAAACCATATGTCATTTGAATAGTTAGGGCCACAATAAGAGAGAGAACTACTACTATTGTACAAATTACTGTTCAAGCTACTCCAAGTTAATTCACTAAGAGGTCCGAAAGATGTCAAAAATCTTGTGATATCAAAATGTGTCTCATTTTCAGTAATATCATCTTCTTGTTTTGTAAATATATTCCAGCTCTTGTAAATACATAAATCTAGAAGTATTTCATAATCAGGACTCCCTCTAGAAAATTGGTTTTTATCTATTTTTTCAATGGTACCCTTTATAATTAAATGATCATATTCAATATTTAAAGGTAAATTGATCTTTTTATTATCTCCATGTACCCTGTCTTCTTGATTACCTGTATTTTCAGCCAATTTAGTATTTTGCTCCAAGAATGCATTTTGCATATGATCTAATTCCTGAAACCCATTTTCAAGAAGCCAATTTGTTGCTACTTCTAAGTTATCTTCACATCTTTCAAGTGCCAGAATACATAGAGCGAGTGGAAATAAGCCTCCACCCATAATCTCATGTAATTCGCAAGCTATAGTACGCCTATGAAACTCAACCTCATTAACTGCATAAAAAGATGAGTTCTTGGGGATAAATGTTGATATTTGCCCTTCCATATCTGTTTTTTCACATATCTTTTCATCTATTAGCGAAAGTGTATCATTTATGGTGAGTTTATTAATGTACTCATATATAAAAGGTTCTTGTCCAAAATTCCCCTCTACTAAGATATATTGTAATTTTTCTTCAAAACCCGTAATTTTATTCTTGTATAGGGATTTACTAAAACTCACCCAAACAGAAGGTTTAAATTGTCCACGGACATTTTGAAATTGTGTTAAAGTTTCATAATTATCTATATTTTCTGGTGTAATATATATACTATCTTGAGGAAGGCAAGATTTATCCATATTTATTAATTTACCATTCTTTGTAAAAAATACGACATTATGAACAACATCATAACCACATCCTACTATATCATTAAATGAAAATGTTTCTATATCTTCTGTTTTTGTTTCAATCTTTTCAGTGCAACCATGGTGAAGCTCTCCTATACTTGAATAAGCAAAACTTCCAAATGTACCAGCATAACTCATTTCACACCCATCTCTATACAAACCAATACTCAAAATAATGTTTCCTTCTTCTATATAATCTAAAGAAATATCCTTAATATTAACAAATTGACTATTGTTAGCTCTTTTACAAAGAGTGAATTTACACTCAAAATAATAGAATCCTATAGTCGTTGGAATATTATTATTTGCAATAATGCAATTTACTAAAGACTGTTCAGTATCTTCATAGTCTCTGAGTTTGTAAATAACTACTCTTTCATTGTAATAATAAAAATGCGATGGGCTAAGATCCCAATATGTAGGCAATTTAACAGTGCTGTGGTAGTATGGAGAGCCATGTAAGATATCAGCTTGTGTTGCTTTACTTATAATTGGATAGCACCAAAATGAGTCATATTTGTTTTTTCTAGTGGTTTGTTGAATAAATCTTCTGTTTAGCGAGGCTATATTGAAGCAGCTAAACTTATCAATATTTATTTGTAAATCAGGGATATCAATCATTCCAATTTTTATAAGTGAAGAGTACAACATTCTAGATAAATTATGATCTCCTTCCAAATTGTCAATTACTGAAAGATAATTGTTACTAGCTAGAAGACATAGTACACTTATGCTCATTGAAATCAACTGGATACGAATATATTTAACCATTTGCTCACCTAATATAGTTGTATTGTGATTCTTGTCACTAGTTTTTAACAAAATCCCCTCTTCAGAAGTATTCATTACGAACGAAGACATGTTGCACAAATACTCACATAAATAAGATGCTATTCTTTTAAAAGCAAAGGCCAAATCTTCATTTGCATTTTCGATAAAGTAGCTAATCGGGAATTCGAAAAGGCACTTTGAAACTATTTTAAGATTATTATAAGATGTAGTAATTATTTCAATCCATTTATCTTTATCAACCACCAAAAATTCAACCTTATTAGTTAATGGATTATTTGACAGGAATATTCCTTCCTTAGGGTATACTGATAAAGAATTCTCTACTTGTAGCTCCTGATATAATACTTGACTGCCAATATTAAATTCAGTATCATATTCGTTGCTTATTACACAAAGAGCACCAATAAACTGATATATTTTATTCCAATCGTCAATATTCATATTAGACGGATTTAAATAGTCTGACAAGTCAACTATTATGTTATAAAGTAAATTCACTAATACCATACCTTGTGAATTAAAGATATCTTCATTTATTGGTGTCTTTCTAGATTTTGAATCTTTTCTAGAAGAATGAATTAGTATACATCGAAGCAAAATAATTAATGCTTTAAAGTATTCCATCTCAAAGTATAGTGAATTCGTCTCTTTAGTTACAAACCCTTCCTTTTTCAAACTTGTTAGTATACCAGTTTCTGTAGATTCAACAAGAATAACTGGAGGTGATACTATTTGAAATTCATTATATCCTCGTTCATTACAGTTAAATAATGAAAAAGAGCACCCAATTTGTTTCAGACACTCTTGGAAGAAAGTCCTGCTATCAAGATGTTCTAATTTAGTATTTTCTCTTAATAATCGGTCACTATTTAGAAGTGGAGTTGCATATAGATTTAATAGCTGAGAATTAGTCATTAATGGAATATACTTCCAGAGAAATCTTATGCAGTAATATCTGACAAGATCACTTCCTCGTTCAAGTGTGCAACACAAGACATTTGAAATTGGACTTGACTGTAATATATATGTTTTCACAAATAATTCATCAAACCCAGTAAAATCATTCAGTAAAAGCCTTATGATCTTATTTTTCTCAAATACATTCTTCATGTATTCAAGGATAACTTTTTTTCTTGCAGCTGAAATTTTCACAGTTTTTAAGTGATCGAATCTGGAAAAAATAACGCTAATGTGGCCCATGAAAAATAGTTCGCAGTTATTCCACAGTTCCTTTGATGATGACAAACTCTTGTTACGTTCTGATACGTTAATAGAGTGTAATAAACCCATTGATAAAGAATATACGAATGAGAGGCGTAGAGGAGAGTCACACCAAATTGAGCTTCTTATGCACATTATACTGTAAAATAAGAAAAATGGGTAATATCCAGGAAATACAGCAGGTAGACAATGATTACCATTTCCACAGTCTTTTTCACAATTTGTTAGTTGATTTAGAACTTTGTTTGAGATGTTACTCTTAACCAAACTCTTTTGGTCCATCTCCTTTAGCATATAGTATGCAACAGTACTCGTTCTAAGAATTTGAATATTTGTTGGATATATTATTTGAGGATTCAGTAAACTTAATATTAATCTATAGTAAGTATGCTTTACTTGCAACTCAATTTTACGTCCACATCCTCTTAGATTATCTGTATAATGGACTTCTAAATGATGTTTCTCCTCTTTGAGTATTTTATTACTAAAGTGCGGAAATAGACAATATTTGAGATTACATACAAGTAAGTTACGGTTATTTGCTTCTTTATCCCATTTTAAAAATATATCTGGTGGGATTTGTGAAGGATTTTCGTGTCCTAATGACCTCAATGCTTTTAGTAACAGAACTTGAATTAGATAATCTTTTTTCCAGTTAGATACCATTTGGCATGCAAGTCTATATGCTTCAAAGCGAATGATAGCTCGAAATCGTCGAATATAAAGGACATAGCTCATTCCACTTAAATCGTTAGTTCCATCTTTGCAAACCATGACACCACTGATATCCAAACTGTTGGGAGCAGGGAAAATTTTAATAAATTCAATAATTCCCTCACATATACTTTTAATTATTTGAGTTTCATCTAATCTTTCTAATTCATCCCATTCATAATTATTGAATAGTTGAGATATATTATACTCATCTATCTCTTTAAAAGTTGAATGATCTTTATTACCTAGTAGAGATACATCCTCATATTCCACATCTATAGGAGGTATATTTACAAATTCATCATAATTATTTACACGACTTATCAATGATTTCAGAACACTACAAATACGTTTATTAGAGTAAAATGTATATTTGTTTCCAGTAGAATCAGTATCCTTTGCATTTGGTGAATCATTTTGCACAGTTATTTGTTCGGAAATATTTCTGCTAAAAGAATAATTGTAGTTGTAGTTAGGTCGAATATACGGTTTAATTGTTGGATGCTCACTACCTGAATATGGGACAATATTCAGGATTATTCTAATTTTGCTATCAAGTAGTTCACTCCAATAATCGTAACTTGACTTATCAAAGTGGTTACTATCATTTTGGCTCAACTTTTGAGATCCAAATACTTCACTTTTTGCATTTGCCTTATGTTTCTCAGATATTACCCAAGATTTTAGTTGCCTACCAATTATCCACAAGTAAAGTAATGGTTCATATACTTCTACATTTATAATATTGCAAATGATAAATCTTAGCAGTTTGCAATCTTTACTAAATACAACATCATCTGAGGTATTTGCAGATTTTGGCCCCTCTTCTATTATTCTTATTAAATCAGAATGTCGATTTAATATATCACATATTTGCAAAATATTTTGATGGAGACCAAGATGATGCAGATAACAACAAATGTATCCTCTAATTGACTTTAACAGTTTTTCAGAACCAAGTTTATCTGTGAGTAAGTCATGACGTAAATTACTTAGGAACTTTTTGTCATTAGATAGATGATCTACATCAATATTATGGTTCCTATTTATGTAATGATAAATAATAGATGCTCTTTCAAAAATGCAATTTACTACATATCCCCAGCCTTGGTTCTGCATCAATAATACCTCAATATTCTCCATATCTGGAGATGGGTAAAAATTTTGATAATATTTTTTATAATTTATATCTTGATTAGTTTGCTCGTTGTCTGGATTAATCTCTAGAGTAGACATTACAAACTCAACATCATCTACTGATACATCAGGCAATGATTCAATTTGACCTGTTTTACCATTTCTTTTCTCACCTTCCCCCATCTCATGTTCAATTCCTGCATCACTTACACTTCCCCTACCAAAATCTGAAGACATTCCTTCATCACTCCAAATAGTTTTATCTGTTATAGGATACGTACTTCCAAAGTATTCAACTTCATTTGAAAAACCACCAGCAAATAGTAAAGAGTGGAGAATATCAACGAAGCTCTTCTCTAAATCTCCAACAATTGGCCCTTTGAGCATCATAGCAATTCCAGAGGCAATTGATGCAGATAATTGAACATAAACCTCACTAAGAGATAAATTAAAATGTTCTTTGATCTTTCTTTCTAAGTGGCATCTGTCTTTGGATTTTATGCTCGGTTTCTGATTTGTATATATATCCCTTTGATAGCTTAACAGAGTTCTTAGATTCCAAAAGTGTCCCTGAACATATAATCTAAATCCCCACTGTTCACTTGAACTTGATCTCTGATTAATTCTCGTAGAAACTGAAAAAAGGACAAGCATTGAATTTCCATGAATTATTGTTGGATTTTTGGGCCACTCTGAGGAGCTACCTGATACTTTGCCACAAATAGATTCTGTATAGTAACTTCTTAAAGACTGAACTGATTCTGTCTTTGAAAATTGTTTATTCAAATGAGTTTGTATAGGTACAAATATTTCTAAAGTATCTTTTCCTCTTTCAGTTGAACATCTATCATCAAATATGAGGAGTAAATGTGAAGCATTAGGAATATTAATAACACGCCAGAAATACTTGATAGATAATGAATCAGCTATTTGTAGTTCATTTGAAAAATTCTTTATAGGAATCTGATGATCAAGACCTGCATATTTATATTGATGTTGAAACTCGACTATTGTTGTTTTCCTTGATGATGAAACAAGAGATGTAGGACCATAACTGAAGGATTCATTATAAAGTTGAGAGCTTTCATTCACTTGGGAATTTACAGATGTTGAATGTAAGAATGCATTATTGCCAAGATAATCAATTTTAAAAACATTTCGAAGTTCTCCTAATGCTTCAAAAAGCATAGAACATTTTGGAAGCATACGAATAAGTAATGATATAGAACAAATATCATGATAAATTACATCTCTTCCAATTGCATTAAGCTTCTTTGCCAAATCTTTACTAGAAAATTCAGTTTCTTTAAATAAAACATTCTCATTCATATCTTCATCAGTACTCTGAGTAGTCTCGATAGATAATATATTGATAATAGTCAGTACTGGGGAAATAATAACTGTAAAGAAGCTATCTTGAGAAAATATAGACTCAAATCTTTCTAGATCTTCATTATTAATCACCATTTGTATTGAATTTGCACGACGTCCATCAAATTTAATCTTGTGATTCTTCGAATTTTTAAAATTTAAACTACTTAGAAAGCGTTCAATTATGTCATTTGCAATTTGAAGTGAATGAGAAAGAATTAACTCCAATAACTGATATTCGAAAACTCTCTTATAAGCATATGCATAAAATGATGTCGTAAAAAGAATTTTTTGGACTAGTACTAACATACATTTCAAAGAAGAACTATCCATCTTCTCATTTGAATTTGTTTTCTGTATTAATATATCTCCATGAGCAACATCTGAACTATATAGACCCTTATCATCATCAATAGCCGTTCTATAGTACTGCCATATATATGCAAACAACATTTCAATGATAACAATACATTCTTCCTTAACTAATCTAGGTTCAAATACGTATATCTCATCTAACGATTGAGGAATATTACAAGCACTATTCTTTTTATTTGGAGATAATATAGCACCTATTGAGTTACAGCACACTTTAGGATCCAAATGGTAAGATATGTCACATTTTGGAAAGAATAATGCTTTATCTGAAAACTTGATGCAAATTCTCGTACTTCCATGATACTCTTCAAATACGCGTTTAATTAAACTTCTATTATATGTCTCAAAAAAAGTTTCTGAGTCAACATTTGCAAAACCACCAGTACCTAAGTATTTTCTATCAGAGTTTTTAATATTTAGTTGTTTATGATACTTATAAACTAAAAAAAATACTTCAATGTATGCTTGTATTTTATTACTAATGTATTCCTCCCAATTCACCGAATTAGAAAAAAATGAAAATTCATCATCTGTCAAACACTTAAGTTTTTCTAAATAAAGATGTATTCTGTATCTTATATTCGATGTCATTGTGAGATTTACAGTCTTTTCTTTATCCCCACTATGGTAATGGTTTAAGAAGTCATCCAACATCATGGGATGAGATCTTAACAAATTATCAACTTTATCAAATAGCTTTTCCCGTCTTTCCCACCATTCACAAATACACTTTGAAGTTATATCACATTTGTTTTGTACTATATATACCAAAAATTTTTCTAAATAGTCTGATTCATCTTTTGTACCAAGCTTTGAAGCCAAATCTAGTAGTAACTGTTCATATTGGCTCAATTCCACATCTGAAATTTCCTCTAAAACTACTCCTAAAGATATACCCATTGAGATTAATAGTTATAGAGAAAAAAATAACAAGTCAACAGTCACTTGGAGACAATAGTGCATGTATGAAAAATTAAGCGCTAAAATGTGGGTTATGAGTAGAGGCCCACATAAATATATACCGTTGTAGGTACTTAAAAATTATGCATGGATTTCCAGAGCTTTGTAGTCTTATGGATAAAAAAAAGTAGTTATTGTGTGATGACTTAAAGACAACTAGGCGCTCACTAGTATATATTCTCTAAATATTGTAACAAAGATCAGCTACTTCCCTTAGGCATCCGAATTCTATATAAATTTCAGATATTAAAAAATTAAATTACAGATAAGTCAAATATGTGATAAAAAAGTTAAACTTGATATTCTTTATGGGTGTGAGATAGAAGAAGCTCCATCGCATTTTGTATAGCTGTAAAACATAAATGTGACTGTTCACTTGAATTTGGTGACATCTTATCTGGATGCCAACGCATAGCAGCCTTCAAATAAGCTTTTCGTACATCAGTTTCTGTAACTGGTACTGCAACATTAAGTCCTAATAAGGCTTTTGCTGCCATTATATTTTCACTTTGGCTGTTAAAGTATTGATTACCATTATATGCTCTATATGATGCTCTGGGTGTTGCAGCCTCATATCTAGTACTAGAGTAGCTCTTTCTGGTATTTCTAGGTGTTCCAAGGTTATCTATATTAACAAATTTTCCAAATTCACTTCTAGATCTAGGGGTTTGAGTACCCTGAATAAGATTTCTAGGTGTAGCTCCACAAGTATACATATTTCTTGGGGTACCCATTGTATCAAAGTCAACTTTACGTATATTACTAGGAATATAATTTCTTGGAGTCTTAGATTCATAATACTTATTAAATTCTGATTGATTCTTAAACTCTGAATGTCTTCTTGTATTTACTTTATTAAGTTTAGCTGAATAATTGTCTTTCAACAAGTATAACTCACTTTCTCCCAAACGAGTATAAAATGGCATTAACTTACCATCTTTATATTGTTCGAGAGTTTCTAATAAGCCTCTAACTATAACTAGAATGGCTTGAATAACAGGAGTTATGGGAACTTTTCTATCTCTTATAAATAATTCAAATCTGTCTAAGTCTTTGATTGTTTTATTAGTAAAGTTGATTCTAGTGTAATCTTCACAAACATCTTTTAGTTCTTTTTTTAGAAAATAGATTAAAGTTTCAATCTCCAATTCAAGATAATTTAACCTATTACGGTTAAATATTAAAGGTTCACTAGAGTTAGAGGATGTCACATGATCTTTTTCTACCTTCCCCCTTCTATATAAACGATGTAGCCTATGTAGAATACCCACCATTCATTAAGCAAAGGTATTCTAAAGATATCTTAGCTATATTTATTTGAATAAAAAAATTTTTACTTAAAATTAAGGATTATTCAGAATTCTTCTCACTCTTTCCAAGTCATGAATTTCTCTGCCCCAAGTAAAATTGCATGAGCGGTTAATTTGAAGCATGGTCCAAATGTGATAAATAAAAAAGTAAAAAAGTAAAAAAGTAAAAAAGAAAAAAAAATTAGGTACCAAAATATCTATCACCAAAGTTACCAAGACTAGGGAGTAACTGATGTTCCTTGTCTATTAGGGGATCCACGGAAGCCACAACTAACCTAATATCTGGATATCTTGAAAAGATCGTTTCTATCCCTTGTTTAGATGCAAACAATACCATGCAAATAATATTTTTAGTTTCTACATGATGTTCAGTAAGTATTTGAATAACTCTACAAATAGATTTACCTGTTTCCATTACAGGATACATGAGTATGACGACTCTGTTTGAGACATCAGTTGGTAGTCTCACATATGATGATATAACTTCGGAGTTACTACTTATGCCTTTTTCTACCAATACCTTACCTATTCTACACCCTCTACAGACTGCTCTTAAAGCATTTTCAAGGGCTTCACCAGATCTTAATACACTAACTCCACATATTGGTGTATTAAAAGTAATGCCGTTATATTCTACATTCATCGGTGACTTTATGGTTTTTACATTATAAGGTAACAAATTTAGAGCATCTTCCAAGACTATTCTGCTAACTCTGTCTGTATAAAACATAAAATCTTCCTTGTTTGTATTTACGTCTCTCAGAATTGTAATAATACCTTTTAATTGAGGTGTCTGATTTGAAATAACCAAATGTTTGTACCTAGTACTTAGACTATTATAAAGGTCAGTTTCATCTTGAAAATAGTCTTCCATTAATTATGAAATCACTCCTAATACTAAATTAAAGTACTTGGAAGTTCCAAAGTATTAGCTAGATTGTATAGGAAGTTATAAAAGAAAAAAAGAAACTTTAGTAAAAAAACAAATATAAATTGAAGATATTAATTTCCCTTCAAGTTCCTAATAAGTAAATATATGAAAATATAATTATTGGGAGGTACATAAAATAAGGACATCGAAACTGTCTACCAAAGCAGTAGAGAGCACCTCTTTTTTAAAAAAAAAAACCGGCACCCTATAAGGCGCCAGTAGGTTGTATTATTAGAACTGCATGCAATATAAATTACGTCTCAATTATTTCTCTATTAAGAGCTATCTATATTAAAGAGATATAGGAATTATCTTTTATTCTAGTAACTATAAAACTAGAAACTCAATACATCATAGCAATAATTTCCATGCAATTACTAGAAGAAATACTGTTAGTAGAGCTATAAAAGGTGCATATTTCTGAATAAGAGCTTGTAATGAAAGCTTCTTAGCAGCTCTTGAAAATTCTAAAGAGGCATATTTCAGATCATTTGCTTTACGCTCCACCTCATTCAAATTCTCACCACGAAGTAAGATATCGTCTACATTCCTTTTCATAATATTAGTCACCTGACAAAAAAGATAAATGTAAATACATTTTATTTCTACACATACACATATATAAGCAGAACATACCTCTATTAATGAATCATTCAATTTCTGTAAAGATTTAGAAGATCTAGGATCTCTATATTCCGATTTACAGCGCTGGATTATTCTATCAAACTTAATAAAATAATAGGGTTTGTCTATAGATTCAATATTGGCTCTATAATCTCCATCCTTATTACCAAATTCCTTCTTTAGTTCCTCGAAGAAGTACTTAATAACTTCCTGCAAAAATGAAAATGCAAGCTTCTTGGGGTAAGACTTGCTGCATAATGTCATGTATATTACTCCACCATCCACAATATAATAAAAGACATAATTCCCACTATCCACAGAACACTTTTCCGACCCAATCTCAGATCCTACATTCTTTAAAATCTGCTTTGCTTGGTGCTTGTAGCTCTGCAGTGATCTGTTTGTTGTCAAGTCGTCCCAAGTTTCCGTTAGAACAAGCCCATCACTTGCTCTACCAATAAAAGTGATTTCACACATTCCACACGATAAATTGGTATTATCTCCAATTCAATAAACAATACAAAATATAAGAAATACCTTGCTATATAAAATATGTAAATATTTATATACTCTGTTAATTGCTTGAAAAAATAAGCTTTATTATTCAGGTCTCAAGAAAAGGGGAGAAGAGGAGGGAAATATTGTATTAGGAAGGGAAGTGGCGCATCTCATACAGATCAATAGCCGCCTAAATATAAAAATAAACCATTATATAATTGATAATTTACGCGCTATAACTCTGCATATTTGCATTGGTGCAAGTTTTTGTCTGCCAGTTAAATTTTGATGAAAGTGATAGTATTCAAATATATTATTAATGAATAATTCTGAAAATACACCCCATTATTATTATCAAAGATCTGTCCAGTTGGAACAAGAGTTAAGAAAGATTGAACTGGAGTATATAAAGTTGAAAAATGAAAATTTAAGACATAAAGAGATACTTCAATCCCAAATAGACGATTTGCAGAACTGCAAACGCAAAAATGAATGTGCACTACTTGAATTAGAGCAGTATAGACAAATTTGTAGAGCTGGAGTTGCTATAGTCTGTAGAATATGTGGCAGTGTTGTTCAAACAAGTGAAGTTATGGAGCATTTTGTAGAGAATCATAATAAAGATCCGGATATGCTCAATATATCAGATAAAAATGATCTAGAAACCTTTGGAAGTAAATGCTTTGAGTATATAATGAAAGATTATAAAGAATCAGAATATTATGATATAAAATTGAGTATTTCAAAACCTTACTTTGTGAGTTTGACTATCAGCAATCACTTGGATAATAAAGAAATACACAGTGAATATTATTTAGATGAAATATTCCTATTGTATAAGCAGGTAAGCTTATAAGTTGTACACAAATATTGAGTGACTATCTCTAGTTAACAATAGCTACATTATAAAATCATTATCTAGCCAATTATACTCACGTTTACTTCTTAACATCACTTGTCTTCATTGTCCCAAAGTTAGTGCAGGACTATCCAAATATACCATTACCTAGTTTCAAATATGAAATTTCTCAAATTAAAAAGTTTTTTGAATATATATTTCAAATTAAAATTTTAAGAGAGTCCTCAAATATACAGAAGTTTTTAAATATCTAGAATGAGTTTTAAATAAGTAGAAAGAGCCCTATTACTACTTCAAGTGTATAATTAAAACTAAATTATAAAGATATAAGGTTAAAGATTGCTAGCCCTATATTTTGGAATTAGTTGCTAAATAATATTAATACAAGCACAAGCAGTAATGATATCTTTTCCTTGTCACTAATTCAATTATTATTGTACTTGGGCCTTCTAAAAATCATGATCGTTTTGTTTTTCTACTAGTTAAAGTCGTATTTTGAGACTCAGTATCTAGTATTGGAATTTGTTCGGGGATTTCCACTTTCACAATGTTGTGTTTATAATAATAATAATATATTGGTCCTCCAACAATGACAAGGAAAATAATTATAGCAACGATATACCATATAGAATTAGTTTTAGTATTAGCCTCATCGTCACTTTCCTCATTGCTGATAACATCCTCTTTAAAATATGTAGATTCTTCACTTTTTGGGTCTGTTTCTAGTTCTTTCTGTTCAGTTTTGTTCTTTTCTGGAATATCTGTATGAGTAATCTCGTCTATAGGTAATAATTCTTTATTTTTACTTTCAGTATAAGTTGAGTTGTCATTTTTGGAATCACTCTTGTTAGATTTAATGTTATCTGTAACTTTGCTCATTGTAGTATTGACTCCATAGTTTAAGTGTTCAACAACTGCATTACTATCAGGATCAACAACATTAATTTCTCCAATAGTGTCAGATCCTAATATTCTAGTTCCAGATCCACCTTTAGTATTTGGATCTTGATGAAACTGTAGTAAGCAAAGTTGATAATCACCAACTTTCTTTATTTGAAGATTTTTGAAAAGAACCACATCTCCATAAACCAATGGATATATACTAGTTCCACTCGGTACAATAATACGCTGAGATTCCTGAATTGCAGAAAATATATTATCTATTGAACAACTTATTGAGTGAGGGACAACAAGTAATCTAAGACACTGATGCATGTTTCTTCCAGATATAGCAATAGAAGTTCCATTTTTATCCTTGTCGGCAACTGCTACTTCATAAACATTGCCTCTGCTCGGTTGGGCCAATGCACACCTAACAAAGCCATCTGGACAAGTTAAAGTATCCATATTTGTAAAAGGAGTACATTCAGATGATATACTCCCATCCTTAAATGTTTTAGCTTTAAAACAGTGGGTTACCTTATTCGATTGATTATCGCAAACACTAGGAGCACAACTTAAAGGGCAGTCTAGTCCCTGATAATCACCACTTGCAGAAAATTTAGCAAATATATCTAATTCTTCTTGAGAATATTCAGCTAAAGGAAGTTTTTTAACTGGTATCACTTTATAGTTTAATTCTTCAAAAAAAAGGGTTTTGGTATCTTCACTCATTTCAACCGTATTTTGAAGTTCTCCAACCATACTACCCAAATTTTCAGCTGTATACTCAACTAATGTTTGCATTAATTCATTTATAGCATTTAACTTCTGCAAATTTGAGGCCAGTGCTGCCTTAATATTGATTTCATGTTCTTTTAGCTCTTGCTGCTTCTTCATGGCAGCCAATAATTTAGTCAATGTAACTTCCGCCGTGTATAAGTTATGAGCTTCTAGCATATCAATTGTGCCAAGATCTACTCTTGCTGGTATATTTCCAGGTTTAATAGCATCTGATAGAGTTGGGATTGGTTGAATCGTGGAGGTATCAGGATTATAACAATTACAAAAAGTAACCAAATTATATATAATCAAGAATATTGGAAGTCTTAATAAGTTTAAGCTCAAAATTCGCATATTTAAATATATAATAAAATAAGAATATGCATAGGCATACAATTTGGTAGAACCTTGTTAGAGCTTGACCCTTATAAATGTTAATTTCAAAGTGTGTAAAGAAATGAGGGATCACACACACACACACACACACACAACAACAACAACAACAGTAACAACAACAATAACAATAACAATAACAATAACAATAACAATGACAGTTTCTTAGGTTGAATATTAGGACTGGAAAGCATCTCATAGAATTTTTTATTTAATCATTAGAAACCAAGCTGTTTTAGTTCAAATGCTACATTACAAGGACTTAATGCACCAATATCTGTAAATATCATTGAAATATTGTTGCTCTCTGATATATCAATAGAAGAATATATTAGATCAATGTTTCCATTAGTAGTAGATTTTATACCTTTATAAGTTGAATTTGTAAGGATATCAGTTGTCCTCATTTCAAATGGGACATATTTTATAAACTTTGCAACATAGGAAATGACAAAAACTGGTTTTTTAAATATATTCTTAGCTATTGAAGAAATAATTGCAGTTCCAGATAAGCCTGCAATGGCTCCAGTCTCAAATATACATTCACTTGCTATTAATACAAAGTCAACAACTGTCATAACATTGTAGATAGAATCTAGGGGTAAAGTAGAAACTGAAACACCAAATTCCTCAAGTTTAACAATCCATTCTGATATTTTCTTGTGATGAAAATCAATTAATGCTTTTCTTGCAGCATTTTCATTAGTTATTTTTTCAGAAGGTATTACAATGAGTAAGTTATAATGTTTTTTATATTTATTCCAGGCATTACACAAAACTATATCTATTAAATCTGAATATCCAAATGTTAGAACTGTCATTCTATCTCTAACAAAGATTGATGATGTTAAGTGAGAAATTTCTTGAGATCCCTTAGTTAAATTATTTACAAAATTACAAATCTTTTCAGCTAATCTTAATTTAAATAATTCAATATCACTACAAAATCCATTATATTCATTCATTATTAATTGCATTACACATGACTCAAATATATTACATATTGGAGCTATAGAAAAATTAGTTACTCCACAACTATATGCTAATTCAGTTAACATTTGATCACTGCACAAACACATCAATAGCATATCCTTTGCTGCATTTATCTCTGTAAATAATTCAGGTATATCTGTAGCAGTACTCTCATTTACAACTCTTTTCAAAGCTAGTACAACAGATTCTAAAACTACACAACTAGGTGTTGATTTTTTACATTCTTTATTTAAATATTCCCAAAAGTAAATTGCAACATTATCAACATTAGCTCTACCACTTTTTAATATATTCTCTTTGTCATGGAAATCTGCACTTATTTGCAAAACTTCCTGGATCATTATTTAGTATGAAGTTTATACTGAAAAATAAGAAATCAATACTAAAATAGAACATGGTAACCGCTTGCAATTTAGTACTAAAATAGGCTATTATTCTTAGAGTATTTTTCCAATATTATTATCACAAGTGACTTATTTTGTAGCTAAAAATAGTTCTATGAATGATTTATATGATGGTTTGCCTCCTGCATCATCTCAAAGTAATTTCCAAGAATGTTCACTTATTAAATTAGACTGGAACATAGTCGAAGAAAACTCTGAGATATATAAAATAAATAGTGAATCACCAGATAATATCACCATATATAAGGAATCTTTAAATAACGACTGCAAAATACCTAAAGAGGATACTAGTGAACAATATATAGATAAAACTGATCTTATAAATATTACTCCTAGTACAGAGTATGATCCAACAGTACCAAATATTTACGATGATATAGCTCAAAGGAGTAACGAAATAAAATCTAGTTATATTATTAATAATAACAATATAAATTCTTCTATGTCAATTGGTCAGAAATTAATGGAACGAATGGGATGGAAACAGGGACAAGGTCTTGGAAAAGATGAACAGGGTATAACAGTCCCACTTATAGCTAAGAAGTTGAATAAGCAAAGTGGTATCATTATATGTGACACAAAAACAAAATAAACCAACTAGTGCTTAATAGTAAAACTAAAAATAGCTAATAGTCATTAATATATTCCACTTGCACTGCCAGCTAAATTTGCTGAATATAATACTTAGGAAATATTGTTTATACAAATATAAATGATATACAAGATTTGACAAAACAATTGGATAACTTAATTTTTCTGCTTTGACTGAAAGAAATTTGTTATTAGTGAGTTGTTACTGACCACAGCACTTTTCTTAATTTCTGGACTTGAACCTATCTTAACTGTTAATGAATCGTTATTTCTATACAATGGTGTACATTTAGGCATAGAACACTTTCTTCTTTTACCAAAACGTTCATTAAGTGAAATTAGGCTATTATCTTCAACTGATATATTAGATACTATAGAATGTCCAGCTATGAGCTCATTTCTATTTTGTAAATCGCAATTTTCGTCATTTTCTACAATATTAGCAATAAACTCACTACTTTGGATCTGATCTTCACAAAGTTCAATGTCACTCCTCTTTGTAGGAGTAGAAAGTAATTCTCTCTTTTGTACAGGTGATGTTACTATAGTATTTTGATCCAATAATTTGTGCTTATTTAATGATATCTCAAGTTTTATTTTATCTAAATTCTCAACCTTATCTAAAATATACCAACGAGTCTTATTATCACCCTGTATTTTCATCCTAGTCGTATTTTCCTTCAAAAACCTAATAATTGCAACTTTCTTTATATTACTATGTAGCCTCATAAACTCTTCCACTATATTTTTTGTGGAAAGGCAGCTACCATGTATCATGTATGATAATTCCTTTTGTAGATCATCCTTCAAAATACTTCCTTTGTTAATTAAGTTTCTTATCTTCATGTCAGTATTATTCTCAGTATCTTCATCCACAGAATTGCATGCTGGAGTTATCTTACTACTACCCAAAGAAACTACTTTGTCAGGTTGAGCATCATCCACTTTCATATAAATCCATTCTATACCTTGAGGAAATAACATCTTATAGTCATTTAAGAGAGAAACTGCAATATTTTCATCTGCTATTGATATACCAGCACCAAAATCTAAGCTTCTATGCTGCAAAAATGATGCAACAAGTGGAATATCAAAATTAATTGATTGTAAAATATTTACTGACTTCCTATTCACAGTATTTCCACTACCAGCTCCCAATAAAATATCATCTTCCAATAATTCATCAGATTGAAAGCAACCATCTGGAACTAACCAGCCAGAAGCTACTGCTTCATTATCATCTTCATCATCATTATTATCTAATCCATCTTCAACATCATCTACATCCTCACCTCCGTACTGCTCCTCCCACTCTTCATCCGTATCTACATCATAGTCTATATGTTCTTCACGTGCTATAGGATTAAGACCATTGCATTGTTTACCTTTACGTGTAATAAGTAGGTACATCGGTGGACGTTTCCAGTCACTTCTATAAATCACAACGCGCCTAATAATTTGTGATGGCAATTCTGGCAAACTTTTATCATTATATATACTTTGGTATTGTCTAGACTTCACTTCTTCCTTTTCAATCCACTGTCTTTTTGGTTTTGATAAGCCTATTGTTGGTATAGACTTGTAAAAGCGCTGTCGTTGATAGTTTTTTGTCCTTCTATTTAAAAATTTATTGTATAATATACTACACTTGTTCTTAAACTCATCCCACAATAATTTGTAGTTTGCAACTGAAATTGTTTCATCACTTATCAATCCAATTTTTTGTAGATCCTGAAGAGTGTGATCCTTATAAATATTTAAACTATTACTCCCACCAAGTCTAGATGATAAAATAAAATGATATTCATCTTCTTGATTGACCAATTTTTCCGAATCTAAGCTCAAATTACTATGAGTGAGAAGTACATTATCTACAAACATAGAGGACTTCTTATGATCTTTAATCCAGTTCATAACTGATTCTGATTGAATTGCTTTAGTATTATTTACATTCATATCTCCAGATCGAACTTCTGATATAGTCGCAGTTCCTTGAGAATTTTGAGGTGTCGATGTATGACTATTTGTATCACCAATAGTGGAAGAGTAAGAATTATTCCCATATTTCACATCATTCATATTCACATTCATCATAAATGGATATATATTATTTATTATATAGCTTGGAGAGAATAATGACAAAATTGAAGGTGATGAAGGTAGTGTCAAGCTATCTATAATTAAGGATGTAATAATATCTGAACTAGAATCCATGTCTTGTAAACAATTTACTAAATTTTCCTTCTTATTATCATATTTATAGAGCCAATCAGACATTATATCACGAGATACAGAAATCTCCTTACTTTCTCTCCTCTTTTTCATATAATCTTTGATGAATCTATCCAACAACTTTATTTCTTTCCTACTAGAAGCAGAACTTTGAAAACTTAACCATCTTAATTTCAAAATATCATCTATATCTATAGGTTTATTAGAGTTGTCCAAACCAATATCCTCACCTTTATTGTTATTTATCTGATTAATATCACATCTCGTCTTATCAATATTTCCCAATATATCTTCTCTAGGATAGTTACCTACTTTACCAGAATTATGGCTACCATCATCTATAAATAAGTCATTTGCTAATCTAAAACGTCTATAAGCATCATTAAAAGATCCAATAATCCGCAGTTCTGCTAATACTTCACATAAAATTTCTACTTCTATTTCTAAACTATTGACGAAATTAGAATCACTATTCGGCAATAAACTATATCTTTTAATCATACTATTTAGCTTCAATAATCTTGTATGAATATAGCTATACCCATTTGAATAATCAAAATCTCTTCCACTAGAAGATATTTGCTGATTTTCCACTATACCTTTATACATCAAATCAGATAATCTCTCACAATCTCGAGTTTCACATCTAAAATCTCTTACATGATATATATCCACATTATCAGAATGAGTGCCTCTATCTATGTCCTGTTGTTCAATTAGTGAGCAGTCATTATTGCTCTTTAGTACTTGTTTATCCATTAATATAACATCTTGACTACCAAGTGAATTTTGTCCAAATTCCGAATTACAAGTATCTGAATTAATCTTTAATTCACTTGATACTATATATTTTGTATTCCCTATATTATCTATAGTATCCTCAATTATAGAAAGAATCTCTTTATTTCCAGTAAAGTTACTTTTCACTAGTGACCCTTCTATATCAGTCCCAGTTAAACAGTCCATAGGGCATCAAGCTTATAATCAAGTATCTACAAATATTGTAGATATGAATTTCTCATATCAATATTATAGTAAACAGATTTCAAACCTAATTAAACTCTCTTGTTACTCCCCACATAAAGTAATAAAACTTGTCAATGGTGAGCGGGATATACCAATTACACTATCTATACGTAGGAACCCGGATGTAAAAAGGGAGAGAAATGGACGGGTATCAAAACTTGGGAAACACCTTGTTTGGTATCTGTAATAACTCAGCTATTTATATCACATGTGTATATATCACTTGTGTGTACAATCTACACTTATTAAGTTATACAATTGTAGGAAATCAATTTACACTTATTCTATTTTATTTTCCTTTTTAGATGTCAAGTGACTAGAATAACGTTGAGCAACTATCTTTGCAGCATGTGACACATCCATAACACCATCAAGTGCCTTATCTATCTTATTCTGAAATTTTAGTAATATTGGTCTAAATAAATTTAAATATAAAACTTCAGCACCCTTCATTTCTGGCAAAAATAACCAAAATAAGAAGCACAATTTCCCTAAATAGTAGAATGGTATCCAGAATAAAATAAGATCAGTAAATGCTTCAACAATATTAAATATTGCATATACAACCCAATATGTTAGCCATTGTTTATCATCCATCTTATCTGGAGTCTCTATTGCCTTAAAGCTCATATATGCTGGATATACGAAACCAATTAAATTGCATATTAATGCTCCTGCATAACCCATAGCAACTGTTATTATTAAAATAAGTGACAAAGTTACAAGTAGATAGCTTGGACGACATCCAATATAATTACATATCATCTTAATATAATCATATTGACTCAATTTTATATCTAAATCTTTACAATATTTCTCCACATTGAAATTAATACCACTAAAGGTACTTATGGATTCTGGGTTATCATTAATACAAAACATTCTTAAATTTCTTCAATAATTTTTATTATTTTATATTTCTTGTAATACTATTATAAGTTAACTGGAAATCAAAATTGCAAAAATTTAGTAATTAGAAGGGTTAATATCAAAATAACAAAATTTGGTTATAATTCCAACGTATATCTTGTTTAAAATAACAAATGTTTATTATTTTACCCTCTTACTACTTACTGAAATAATTAAGAAAAAGTTATTAGAAATTTTAAAGGATAGGGTTATTACTAACCCCCTCCCCAATCTACTAGGCTAGCTAAAGAAAAAGGATTCATAGCCTAACTTACATTATTGTGTTATTAATATATTAGATATTAAATAATAGTAAGACTACTCAGGTTAAATTCAGATATGAAGTTTTCAATTATAACTAATACCTTCTCAAATCTATTATAACTAATTGATTTATCAATATTTAATATTTAAAATATTAAGCACTTTATAAAGCATAAATATAGTAATTAGTATACATTTAGTAACAGGTAATATCTATTGTTACAAGCTCATTAAAGTATTAACTTTTAAACCATATCATTGTACTGAATATTGATATATGAAAGTCTAAACAAGTGTAATATTAAACACTTACTAATTCAGTTTAATAACATCCCTTAAAATTTAGCCGCTTTGTAAAAATGAGGTATCAATATTAACTACTGTTTAATGTATTAACCAAATTTACTCAGTATAAAAAGTATTGAATTTATTACAAATATGATCTCTCCATTCTTGTCATTTCCTAATATATTACTTGCTTCTAGTAATCAAACACAAGCTGCTATGTCTACAACAGAAGTAAATAAGTGGTTATATATTTTAAAGGGAGTTTCTATTTTTCATATTATATTTGGTTCTATAGGATTACTTACTCCAAATATAGTTTGGGCAATATTTCAAATTAGTACCTTGGGATGTTTTGGTTTATATATATCTATAAGGAAATCTCCCATAAAATATTATTTGATGTATTATTTGATATCAGTTTTCCAAATAATAGTGTGTATATTACTAGTAATTAGGAATTTGAACTTCTTACAAGATATTATGAAGAATTCAGATAATTCAAAGGTTATTGAACCTTATATAGGAGATAAACCTGAGATGGTTCAATTGACTATTTGGTCTTTACGACTTAGTATATTTTCTTCTGCTATATCCTTAGTATTTTGTACTGCTAGTAGCTACTTTATTTGGCAAATAATTAACTATGTATTGAATCATTCTCAATACGATATCTTAAATAGAGTTGAAGATAACCAAAATGAGTATCTTAATTTTTATAATATGAATAATTCCAATATATTAAGTACAAATAACAATATGTTGACACCCAATACAGACACATTTCAAGTATTTTCAGGAGTTGGCAGAACTTTAAAAGATAGTATGGCAAAGTAATCAATTTTGGAAATAACCAATTATGACTCGAATATATTATAGTCACATTGTTTTAAGGTTGGTACCTTTCTTTTAAGAGAAGAAAAAAGGAAAATGTCTGATATTATTGATTTGATATATATTTTATATAATATTGAATAGAGGAAGTAAGTACGTAACAATAAGTTTTTAAAGAAATTTATGCATACATGCATGCATACATATATTTATATAATGACTTATAAGACCATTTATCTTTTTTATATGATTTTCCCTTGATACCTGTATTTACATGTCAATTTTTGATTTTCTGTATTGGATATACTCATCTTAATATATTTCTAACCTAATTCCTTTTATGATATATATTGAAGGTAATTATATAGTAGTTATTAACTTTTATACTTCCTACTAAAAAAAAAAAAGAAATAAGACTTATTTGTATAATATGATGCAATGGTCTAGCTTATTTTATCCAATAGAAGAAGAATTAGTTTTTAACAATAGAGGTGAAGTGGAACATTTCAAAAAATATATATACTACTTAATATCAATCCATACAATATTTGGGATATTTAATATTGTTAATGAAAATAAATTAACTATTGGAGTAATAGAAATAACTTGCATGGCAATATTTGGTTTAGCTACTGTATTGAACACTATACCAATATTATATCTTATTTATTCAGTCATTAGTTGCTTAAGTTGTTTAGTGCACTTACGTTATATCCATTTATCATACTTTGAATTTTCTGATATTTATAATATTATAAATATTTGTGCAGTTATTACCAGTTGCTGCTGTGCACTTTTATCCATTGAAATATACTTTTTGTTTGCAGATTATATCTATAACTTATCTTCATTGGGACTTTATTATTTTGATTATGATGATGAATTAGTACAACATATTAATCAATCTAGTGAGGATTTAGTTGATGAAGAATTTAAACCACAAAGTGATACAGAAAACTTATATTTAGGCAGTAATAATAAACGAGAATGTATAAAATCATATATTCCATTTGAAGGGAAGTACAGTATGCTATGATCAGATTTAATGATTAGTAATAATATCTTTATATTTAGAATAATAATATAATTAGAATTTTACTAGGATTTAGTATAACATTAAGCTACTTAGAAATTTTCGTATATAATATTAAAATCAAAACTAGAATGACTAATAATTAAGACAAAATATAAGCTTGTTAATATCTACTATTCAATTTCACTATTATTTAATGAAATTATATTTTGTAAACCTTGTTCAATTATATTATTTAATTTACTTAGTGTATTTAGACAAATATGTAAAGTTTCAACATTATTATTATATAATTGCATCCAATTATTCATACTATTTAAGCCATTTAAATAGCTTTTAAGAAACTCTTCCTTCAGTTGAATATTATTAATGATATCTTTTATATTAAATAAAATAGGAGACTCTTTATCATGTAAATTTATATTAAGATCAGTAAGGATTTCATCCATTTGTTTATTATCCAAAGTTTCTACATTCGGGTCATTTATATTTGTACTTGATATAGTATTAACATTATAATTATCATCTTTAGTATTAATGGATGTATTAATTCTGTTTGATGAAGAAACAGCTACAGACATTCTGGATTTCACAAGATTTTCCATTTTTTTTAAATCCAATTTTCTTGCATGACTGATTGTAAAACTATCCAATAAGCTATTAGCCATAGCAATATTGATATTTAATATTTTATTATTTCTCCCAATATACTTTAAGTTATCTAAATATTGATTTTTTACTGAGCTGCTATTCCTTTTTATTAATTCTTTATCATTTAGTTGATTATCCTCATCTGGTATATAAGATATCATTTTTTGGAGCTCTTTTACTCTAGATAGAAGTGATTTTTCAGTTATAATTAAATTTTTCAAGTTAAAATTAGAATCTAAATTAAAAATATTCTCAATATGTTCAATTCTTGATTTAAGTGATTTATATACTTCAGTTGAAATAATAACATTATCTAACTGATATTTAAGATTTTTTTTAAATGTCAATTTCTTGAAGTTCTTATCATGTCTATTGGATCTAAATATATTTTTAATTAGAGTCAAATCCTGAATATTTATTTTGGATAGTGATTCATAATTTCTGTCTAAATTAGTTTGTTGATTTATTATTGAATCTTCTGGGTCTTCCTCTATAATGTCACTAATTATCTCAAGTTCTTTCTTTAAAATTTTTAGTGAATCTTCCATGTTGTACTTTTCATAAATAATCGTAGATATTTTACTTGGGTCAATAACTATTAATTCGGTACTTTTCAATTCACTACTTTTAGATTCTTTATAGAACTTCCCTGAGTTATTCTTATCAACATTCAATTCAATATATAATTGATATTTATGGTCACTCAAATAATCTTCATTATAAGCTAAGGATATTACATCATCCCAGTTTACATTTTTCGGCATATTTTCTACACTAAATTTCATTATCTTATGATTAAGTGGCACATTATCTTTGTCTGAAATATTGATTATTTGTTTTTCTGAGAAAAGAGTATTTTGTGAATTATTTTCCTCAATATCTTCACCCAAGTCACTATACACTACTTGTTTAGCAATACGAGATTCTGTCTTAATTAAAAGTTCTCGATATAGATCATTCATATATAGTGAACCATTGCATATCTTTAATTTTTTTTTTTGTAAAGTATTCTCTGATAATATTATATTTCCTATTTCATTAAAATTATCGTTTTTGTTCTCTGGTTCATCCTTATTTTTTTGTCCAATTTTTTCTTGAAACTTAAGCATATCAGATTTATTGTTCTCGAAGTTATCTTTCCAATTACTAGATTTCTGAGACTCTATATTAGCATCTCTACATTTTACTGCTTTATTTTTCACATTATAATCCTTACTTAAACTTAAATAATTACTTTCACCTTCTATGCTATTAGCTACTAATTTTTCAAGAGATTTTGAACTTGAGTCCATTATTTTCATTAAATGATTATCTACAAATATGTTGCCATCCATACTCTTCTTAATCATTTCATTTTTCAATTCCTTACTATTACTTCCTAATATACTAGTTTCTAATTCAATATTATTACTTTTACTTGAATCTTTATCTTTATTTATATATAAATCATCAAGAATATACGTATTTCCTTTCTTTTGATTTAAACGTTCAGCTCTTTTAGTATCTATTATTGTATCTGTTTTCTGTAAATCCATTTCTTGAAATCTCCCAAATTCATCATTATTTGTCTTATATAATTCTCCTTTTACAATCATTTCACTATCTGAGCTTGTTATTTTGTTATTAAATAATTCATTATTTGTTTCATATCCACTGATATCATCAGGTCCCTTTTTAATAGTTTTTAGTTCATCTATCACTTTAACCTTAGCTTCATTATTCAAGTAATCATTTTTCACCATCATATTGTTATATTTAGATAAAGTGTTTTTTGTATGTGTTGTATTCTTTATTAATGGTATATCTCCAATTCCTAGTTCAGTATTATATTCACTACTAACTCCATTCTCTATAAATTTGCTATCATTATCTTTATATTCATTATTTTCGCTTCTATCTGATAATTTATTACTATTAGTTATACTATTTCCAAGCTTTATATTATCTTTTTCAGTTTCTAATGCATCATCCGAGTATATAGCTGTGTTATACCTTTTATTAGTATATAACCCTATAGTATCAGAATTAATACTATCAGATATACCCTTATATTTATCTATTGGCTGTTGTTCCTCAATATTATCTTCTCTTTTGTCATCAACATTTCCATCCTCACCACTTAACTTATGCATGATTATACTTCAAGTCTAATATTATATCAAACATCCAAAATTTAAAAATAGGGCTATCCTAACCAATTTATATACTTATAAATAACTATATACCCCTTATATTGCCTTTATTAATGATAAATTAGCTCTCAGTTAGAACTTTTCTACTTCTTAGAGAGTATCCATTTCACTATTGTGTGATGTAGAGAAAAATTAGCAAGCATTATATTGGCGCCTAATTATAGTCAGTACCTTTTGAGCTTTTTTTTATATAGTCATTAGGAAAAAAAGAGATTCTACTATTATGACAGAATCTAATCCTACCCCAAATGAATCTTTGAGTTATGTTTTAAGTATAAACTCTGCCCCAGATATAGAAGAAACTTCTATAGCTAATAAACCACAAAGTGTTGATATAAGCAAGGAAAAAATCCAATTTTTACATATATCTCCTTCAATGTTTAATATTAATTACCATAATCAACTCAAGGAATTAAGTGATAGCTATAAGTATGACATAAATAATTTAAATAACAAAATAAAAGATTCTAATGAGCCAAAACTAAATAATAACCAAGACCAATTGGAAAATACAAGTGCAAAGAAAAGAAAGACAAAATCAAAAATAAATATAAATGGAGAATATATCGGTCCCTGGAAGTTTAATCCTCTTGATAATACTGAAGATATTGTAAATGAATTACAAATAGATCTGGGTAAAACTGAAAATAATAAAATGGAATTGAAATTATCTACTATATCCAGCACTCCAAATAATACAAATAATGAGGAACAAAAAGCAGATGTAAGCTATGTAGATATTGATACTGAAATTAATAAAAAGGCATCTTCAAGTAAATTTCTTGGAAAGTCGAGATTTGATTACCAAGGTAGAACATGGCTAACATGTCCATCAAATCTCAATAAACCACGACACCCAGACTCTAGTTGTTACATACCAAAGAAATTATATTCTACGCTTATAGGTCATACAATGGGAGTTCAGACTATCCGTTTTATACCGAAGACAGGTCATATGTTATTATCAGCTAGTTTGGATAGCACAATAAGGATATGGGATATAACTAAAAATAATAATAAATGTATGTATTTATATAGTGGGCATGAAAAGGCTGTAAGAGATATCCAATTTATTTCTAACTCTGAGGGGATTTGTACTGATTTTTATAGTTGCAGCTATGATAAGCAGACACTTCTATGGGATATTGAATATGGGAAAATAAAGGGAAGATTTACAAATAAGAAGATTCCATATTGCATTGCTGTACATCCTAATGATGAGACAAGTTTCATTGTTGGATGTAGTAATAAGAAAGCAGTTCAATTTGATAGTAGAAGTGGTAATATAGTTCAAGAGTATAATGAACATATGGGAGCTGTAAATACAGTAACATTTTGTGAAAATGGAAGGAAATTAGTTACAACTTCTGATGATAAGAAAATGTTTATATGGGACTATGGAATTCCAATAGTAGTTAAGCATATTGCAGATACATCTATGCAATCAATGCCATACGTAACACTACACCCAACTAAGCAATTTATGGCTTGTCAGAGTATGGATAATCAAATAGTTGTATACGAAGCTCATTCTAGATTTCGTCTAAATAAAAAGAAATTTATAGGGCTTAATAACTCTGGATATGCTATTCAATGTGATATTAGTCCAGATGGACAATTTCTTGCTTCAGGTGATATTAAAGGAAAAATTTATTTTTGGGATTGGAATAATACAAAAAATTATCGTATTATTCAAGCTCATGATGGTATTTGCATAGGTTGTCAATGGCATCCAATTTTGCCGTCACGCGTTGCCACGTGTGGCTGGGATGGCACCATCAAATTGTGGGATTAAGAATTTAAAAAAAAAATTCTAATTTTTTTCTACTTTTTTTATTAATAATTTTATATATATTAAATTATCGATTTTTCTTAGTATTTAAAGTATGATTGGGCTAAGATCCAATTGAGACTAATAAATTTAGGAAAATGGCTATTGAAAATACCTTAGGAAATAGCCAAATTGACCAAAATTTTGAAGATAATCAGGAAAATAGTGCAACTGGACTTGTAATGACAAGTTTACCCCCAGAGAGATATAGAAGGAGCACTTTTGTATTTGTATTTATATTATGTCTTATTATCCTGGCCATGAATATTGAAAATAGCTTTGAAAAATATAAGTCTGCAATTAATAGCAATACTTATTCTTCTTCTCTTCCTTATTTTGGTGAATTCAGGTTATTCTATCTTACAAATAATTATTTAGAAGAATTTGTTTCTAATAATACAAAATACGCAGTTAATAAATACTTCTCTTTATCTCCTAATTCTACTATAAGTACTGATTTCCAATCTTTGACGAATGGAGAGCTACCTGTAAGGGGTCCTGCAAAATGGCAATTTGATTGGAGTAAATCAGATTATAAATCATCCAATGCTTGGCTTTCACTGAAGATATTTTGGCAATATAAAGATAGAGAAGTATATTGGAATCTTGAAGGATCAATTTCATCAGATAACTTGACCCATAACTTAGCTGGAACAATTGAATATCCATTTCAGATATCAATGGAACTGAAAAATAATATAGATTGTCCAATATACACTAGTATTGAGACACAAGATCAATTAATAAGTGTTATTTTCCCAATAAAAAATAAAGATAACTCAAGCTTTAGAGGGACATCTTATAAATCTAAAGTATTATCTGAACATAGTAATTATAGAATATATTCACCAAAATGTAATCTTGAAATAGTAGTAACTGGGAAACCATTCCCAATGGGGAATTTTAGATTCAATATTGTACATTTTTCTTTCATGTATAATTTAAAGGTATTATTGGAAATTCGTGGAGGCATTGTTCAGATTGTTTATACAAGCTCTTTATTTAGTGGTGGAGGATCAATTAATGAAGTTTGTTTAAGTAGTTTGATATTGCAGATGGTTTTAGATTTTTTTGAATGCTTCTTCCTATTCTATTGTACCTTATCAGCCTCATCTTTACTGGTTTCATCATTTGCTTTGATGATTATCTTTAAATGGATACATATTACACTTGTACAAGCAAGATATATTTTATGGATATGGAGGAATAATTATCTTGGGAATACAGATAATACGGATATAACATCACTAATTTCTCAGTTCTCTCAAAAACTTTATTTTTCTTTACTCTCATGTATTATTCTTTTCATTGGTTTATTTAAAATTTGTGATTCTGGGAACTATGATCCAACTAGTTATACTAAATATAACATTATTAAATCAATTCCTTATCATATTTACTCCTTTCTATTTTTCTTTTTTATCCCTCAGATTTTCTATGATATGATACATGGTCTTAATTCATCATCTAATTCTAATTCACTCCCTCTTCATCCACAATATGTTTTCTCTTGTATAATTGGGAAGTCATTTATTCCGATCTATATATGGGGATATAAACACTCAATTTTTGATACACCAATAATACAACAATACTTAAGTAATATTCCAATTTTACTCAAGAATATACCTTCACTAGCCCTCCAAATTTTTGTTATATTATTTACTCAGATGGCAATGTTCTTTTTACAACATTGGTTTGGACGAAAGTGCTTAATACCAAAGATTCTAAGACCAAAACCTTACAACTACTTTAGAATTAAAAATATCGATTATTTAGGAAGTGAAGAAGAACAGTGCTCAGAATATAAAGAAGAAATAGATCTTATTAGTAATTCAGTTTCTAATAATGAAGATATAACTACAAATAATAACAATCAAACTTCCAATTTACTTGGAGATATTGAACTTACAGAATACAGTAAACAAAAAAGAATCTTTAAAAAACCTTGTGTTATATGTATGACAAATATTACAGTACTTAACGATAATGAAGATGAACTTTGCGCTGTTTGTACTCCATGTGATCATGTGTTTCATCAGAAGTGTCTTAAACAGTGGATGACTATTAAATTAGAATGCCCAACATGTAGAAGTTCTATTCCACCTTTTGAATCATATTAGCGAGTTCAATACCAATATGTCCTGTAATATCTCTTAGATGATCTGAATTGTGATCTTTTACAGAAGAAAAGAGGATTAATTTTTTTTGTTTAAAACCTATTTCTTTCAGTTTTCGTAATAGGATTCTCCCATAAAGATGTAACATCTCATTTTCACGACTTCCTAATAGTATATTAGATTCTACTATAACTTCTGTATCATCGATAGATAAATATAATATTGCACCGAAGGTACCGGTTTCATTTAAGATGACTTGGATTGTGTCAAAAAATGCTATAACTGAAATTCCTGTAGTTTTTGCATTACTATATTTCAAACTAGGTATAGAATTATAAATAGTTGGTATACATTTATCCATGGTTGATTTTCAAATATCTTAAATATTCTTTATTTTGTTAAAATTTATACTTCTGCCAATTTATATCGGTAATAACTTGACTTAGCTCCTTAATTTTCCGGTATGTTGTTTTTCAGCAAAAAAAGTGAGCAAAGGAATAAAAAAAAAAGATAATAATAATTAAGTTCTTCCTAGATAATGAATAATTATTTTAATTTATCTAAATTCATAATTAATTTTACTTAAGTAATGAAAAAATCCTTATACTGATTTTATTATAGATCACTTAACTTTAGTGTGCCTTCATTATATTTTATAAAACTACCAATAAAAATTCTTTATAAAACATAAATTACGATAGATCAACTACTTTTAACACTATTTTCTATAAAGATTAGTTTTAATATTATATTTTTATATTAAAATACTTTCTTAGTGAATTTGGTCTAAATTAGTATTGTAGTTCTACAAAGAAATAGTCTCTTTAAAAATTATTTAATATATCTTCTACAAACAGACTTTTAAGTGTTTAAATTTCCAATTTTGTTTTGAAATAAGTTATTCAATATCTCCCATATTTATAAGAGTAGATACTTTCGCATGCATGCAGTATATATCAATACCGGTATTAGATCTATACTCACAAAAAAGTATATTTAAGCCTGATAAATAGTAAATAATTTGAAACTAAAGTTATATATCTTATCTGCAATACAATATTGAGTAACCTATGAGGATAAAACTATAAACTAAATAAGAAAATAACTATTTGGCTAGAGTTGGGTGATATTAAGGTGTCTATGTAGCTTAATTTGTAAATAATAATGAAATTGTATCTTTAAACTTTCTGTAAATGTAAAAGTACAAAAAATCACAGTAGTAATAATAATAAAGTAGTATCCCTAAAAAATTTTAGTGGAAAAAAAAAATCAAATTTAAAGAGTAAAATTTAACTAGTTTAATACTTCAAGAATTTATGATATACAATTTATAGAGTAACTTCGATCGATTTTGTATGAGTGAAAGTGGGATTGTTGGCATTATTTTGACAGTTAAGTGGTCATCACAAGAACCTGAAATAGTTTTTCACTTTCCATCAGATTCATACGAGATTCTACCACATTATCGTGCAACATTTCCATCATGGTTATGCTTTGGAATTGAAAGTTCAAAGTTAGCTCACTTAATCCTTCCTTCAGAAGCTTTTCTGTGGGACAAATTATCAGATTTAGTGATTGAGACAAATTCAAATTGCTATAGATTTATGTTTTTCCCATGTTCCTCTCCATTTGAAGTCATTGGTGTTTATGGAAATTGTGGAAATAGAAATAACACTCTGCAACAAGAAAGTATTAATAATTATGTATCTCAATATAAAAATTCGCAAAAATCTTTTATTGAAAACTTTTCAGTATGCCTAGTTCTGAATGCAACTAGTCACTTTGACTTTCAAGTCATAGAAGAACTTATGAAGTCACTAACATATACTTTGATTAATGCTGAAGCAAGCATTGGAATGCTTTCAAGTGAGGTTGAAGTGATAAATTATATTATATTTGAATATTTTGAAGATAAGGAAAAGTTTAATTTAGAAGCTCAGCAAATTCCCAACATGGAAGGCCTAAGCCTGGAAATCATCGCAACAGAAAAGAGTCCAAATAAAGATGGTAATTGCTTAATGAGTAATATAGAAAATAAAAGTATTTTAGCTCAGCAGTTTGTAAAATTGTATAAAAGTCTCAATTACGACTATAAAAATTTTATTTTTTCACTAAATAATGGATTTATACGAAGTGACATGTTAAATTTAAAAAGTAAATTTATTCCATTAGAATATAACTGGAACGAAACATCATTATCGGTTGATTATCATAAAATATGCAACACTCATGATACAAGTAAACTTCTCGAGTTAATAATAGAAATTTCAGATCCTCATCTTTCAATAAAGGAAATTTCAAATGAGCTATTAGAGCCACTTTCAAGTGTATTACGCTGCTGTTATCATCTTGTCAACAATGATATTGCAAGATTTATCGATAAAATTGATTATAGAAAAAAGTATGTGTTGGTAAACTCTAATGTCCAACATAAAATAGAAGCTTTCAGTAAAGAGTTTAATTCAAACATTGATTGGAAGTCATGTTGTCCATTAATTGTGATTTGCTCATTCTTTTGCAATGGAGATGAACTTTCGATTATAAAAAAAAAGTTAGTTCAATTTTGTTTAAAATATCCTTATATATCTAAATTTGACCATTATATTGATACTGCATATAACAATAATAAATACTTACTAACTTTTCCTAAAAGAGATGTGCAAGTATTGGTTACATCTATAATATCATGGTTAGTAAATAACCATTGTATAACTATATTGAAAGAGCAATTTGGGGCGCTAAAGTAGTAAAGAAAGAATTTCCAGTGACAATTTACAAAATCTACATTAATCTAGAGAATTTTGTAAATTTAATAGTAGTTATGGTTAAAAAAAAGACAACCAATTCTGAATCTATACCTCAGAGAAATATCCAAAATAAGAGAGTAGCTTTGTTATTGAAAGCTTTAAAAGCAGATCCTACTGAGGATTGGACAAAGGTAAGCTGAATATATTTCTAATTATTCATATATATTTGAATTACATCATATATCCTTATATCAGGATGAAGTTTCATTGATTATCTACTGGTTGTTGCAAATAAGTGCATTTGTCATTGGTACTATATTTGGTCTGACTGGAGCCAAAGGTATTGGAGTATTTATTTCATCTTTACTGTGCTTGATATTCATTGGACTCATTTATATCAATTATTTGGATATTCCAGAAAGGATACTAGACCCTACAGAAGTGGTTATTGAAAATACAGCATCTTGTTTAGTAACTTTTATACTTGTATGGGTGACTTTATACACACTAGTCCACTTCTAGTATAAAGTAGTATATTTACTATTTCTGTCTTGTCAAAACTTTTTAAAAATTAGCTTGGTTAAAATTATGAAATTTAAGTTGAGCTATAAAAGTAGGTAAAGACAATATTTTGTATTCAGTACTATTATTAATAATACTCTACTATATTTCTCTATTAAGTGAACCTTGCAAGATTAATACCATATTAATCTTGGATATTTGGGAGTAAATATGATTTTATCAATATTTTATTTACATTATATACCTATCTTGGAATTGGTTAGTGCATAATATGAACTCATTAAACCGGCACCTATAAACTTTATCAATCTGAGGGGTCGAAGGCAGGCAAGTTATTCGAGAGGTCTTTAGAAAAAAAAAAAAATAGAAGAGAAAATAAAAGTTGTAAGTTATACCAATTACTAGTATATATATGTCACATATATATATTATTTTTATATGGTACTGTTGTATATGAGAAGATAATTGTAATTTTAAAATTGGTACAAATATCTGTATATAACGACAAATGCTAACATGAAGTTAGTCAAGTCAAAGATATTGGTCAAACTACGCCATGGTCAATATAAAGTTGATAATATCCTTGATTCTATGATACAACAGGATATGAAGATTTGGAAACCTGGCCAGTTACTATATGACCCAAGATTAGCGTGTATCCTATTTGGAATTGGTGCAATTTTGAACTTTATAATTGCTTCATTTTTCCTAGTTTACTACAGAAATCCATTATATTATGAAATTATATCTGATCCCATTACTAATTTGACGAATAGCTTTGTTTTGAATGTACCTAGGGACTTGCCAGGACCAGTAAATGTAAACATCTACTTTTCAAATTTTTATCAAAATTTTCGCTCTTATGTACAGAGTAGGCCTCCAGAAATATATCCGGGTTTCTCATGTGGACCTGCAACTACAATCAACTACTTAAAAAATATTCGTGGAGATACACTTGATAATTATATTGATACTGATATGGAGAACTCAACTATAAATATTGATGGTGAAACTATTTTAAATCCATGTGGATTAACTTCTCTGAGCCTCTACAATGATGAATTTACTATATCTAATTTTGATAGTGGAAATGAATCCATATCACTTCAAATAGGAGATATTTCTATTAATAATGACTTTACACTATTTGCTATACCATATAATAAAAGTTTTTGGATAAATACGACTGATCCTCATTATAGAATATGGATGCATAGTGCATGGTTACCAAATTTTAAGATGGTATGGGGACAAATTATAGAAGGACTGAGTACTGGAAAATATGTATTTAATATGACAAAAAATTATTGGCCAGCAGAACACTTTAATGCAGAAAAAAGGATTGGAATTGAGACAGTCTCACCTCTTGGTAGTAAAAACCTTGTTGCAATATACTTTTTTTTTTTTCTGGGGTCCTGGCTAACATTAACAATGCTAATTATCCTTATTCAAGTAATTTGGATTTGTAATAGAACAAAATAGAGCAGATGAAAGACGGGATATTAATGATAAAAAAAAAGAGAACACTTCTTTTTAAAATTCATAACTATATTGAGAAATGTTTACAGCAACTAAGATTACATTAACACTTAAGTAATTATGGAACTTTTGGTAATGTAAATTGATATATATGGTTATAAATTGAGAGAAGATTGTAAAAATAAGTGGATTATATAAGAATAGTCCGCGTAAGAACATAGATTTGAACAGCTTCTTTAATTAACTGATTGAAAGCCCATATATAAATGACTTTTTTAGCTTATACCTCTCAAGTCCTTATATAGCTTTATTAAATATCTTAAAAGATTTCTTTAAAATATTAATAGCTTGTGAACAGCGAAGTGAGTTTGTAATATAATTTTTATTACAAGATACCTAAAAGTATATAGTTCTAATATACTTAAATATACCAGCTTTAAAATTCTTGAAATTGAAATGAGTCAAATAGTCATTACACTTCAAATGCTTTTGTATATAGAGTACATTGATTCACAAAATATTTTATGTTTTTTGGGAACTAATTTGTAGCCTGAGATTTGTTGAAATATGTTCTTATTACTAGATTCATGTAATTATAAACATGACTGGAAGTAAATTAAGTATGCAGCTTTCCAAATTATCTTTAAAATCTGGAGTCTATCTTAAATAGAATTAATTGAATTCACTGGATTATTAATTTATTGTGATTTATGTTTTTTTCATCTACTTTAAAAGCCACTATAGTAAATTTTTTCTAGTTCATATATATTTCATTTTATATAAATGATTAGTATAAGACATTTAACTCTATGAATTTGGATATAATCATAAAATATATTGAAATTTTAGAGATTAAGTTGATCATTTCAAGTTTAAACACTAGGATATTCTTTTTTCCTTAATTAGCAAAGCTAAATAATGGATTACTAATTAGGTCTTATATTATTTTTTTGATCATTTATCGACTAAAATTTTCAAATAAGTGGTTTTATGAGTATCTTAAATAGTGAAATTCTCTAATAGCAATGACGAAGATCTATTTTTTCTAATCTATACAAGTAGATTTTTAACTTTCTCAGCACTAATTAATAAGTCATACCGGATATTATCGAGGAATAAAGTTACCTTTTGAGCTGTCTCACTTTTTATAATCTATGTAAACATAAGAATTATTAATATACTATTCACAAAAAGTAATTTGCACTATTTTAAATATATTTATATATTTATACTCGTGTTAAACTAACCTAAAGTAATAGAACAACACTCTTATCATATATGAATTATATTAAACCCCTTTTTTGGTTTATATTTAACAAGACCTAAATTTGCAGATATTTCTTAGCCTAGAAATAGTTTAAATCTGCTTAATATATTAAATTATCTGCTAATATAATATCAGAGGTCTTTACTCTAAGAAATTTGAAGATTTAATGCAAAAACATTAAAAATTATGTGATATATATAAATTCAGTTTATTGAATCTGGATATTTAAATTTGTATATAAGAGCTTATGTTTAAAGATATATCAAGTTTATTTGCAATACATATTTCCACATAAAACTATTAAAAAGATAATACTTATGACAAAATCCTATATTTTATTAATAGAATTATAGATCATTATATTAATGATCCACTTAATTTATTCTTTATACCCATTACTATCAGTAGTATGCTTCTAGTATATATCTCCACTATATTTTATTTTACCCAAAGCAACACAATTATTGTAAAAAAGTTACTACTAAATATATAGTACTTAAACTCGTTATGTAATTACTTAGTATTTGATCTAACTACTTAAGTTTATTTTAAATATATATGTAATTGACTAAAGAAAATCATATTAAAGAACAATTAATTATATTATTCTTTTAAAAGCAAAAAATATATATTCTTCTAAATTATAAGATAATCTAAGTAAATATATGTTTTAAATATCAACTGGTAGTAAACAAAAAAATCCCAAAATGACCTCCAAGAGATATCAATGTCCTGCACAAAGCATAGAATGTTACTGGAAAATTTTTACAAAACTTTAAGTTTTCCGAATTTTTCAAAATAGCTAGGTGTGACAAGTTTATCAAAAAGAAGTATAGTGCAATACAAATCCAGAAAGGATGTACTTCATATCCCCAGTAACCTAACTGGAAAAAACAGAAAGCTAACAGAATCATCATCTTCCAACTGTCATTACGAACAAGTTCCAATATTCCACCAACTAATGGTGCCAATATACATAAAATACATGGTATAGCCAAATTTGTAGTGTCTAGATATAACATAAAATCTAGATCATAACTTTTTTGGCTTATAAGGCCAAACAAGAACAAAAAAAAAAAGTATAACACTTCTTCTATATGTAAGCTGTACTCTTTATTATTATCTTTAGTATATCCTTCACTTAATATATTAAAATACGGCTTTTTACTTGTTATTGATTCAGTACACCACCATTCTGATATACCTGACTCTTTCAAACTATCATCATTTAAATGCTCTTCATATTCGTAATATTTATATATGTACTGTGCAATCATGTAAATAAATATAATTAATAATTGTGTTCCAAAAATTATGTGTCTTTTATTCAATCCCTCATAAATAAAAATGCTTATATTTATGCTATATTCACCACTATTATGAATTGGAGCTATTTGCAGAAGTTTTTGAACCACTAAAATAATACAAATAAATGACATTATTAAACACTTAGAAATATATATTCCACTCATATATACTCTATATCCAACTGCTTTATCATTCAGATTTAAATTTTGATATACAGCCACTATTTCCTCATGGTGTTGCTTAACTAATGGTAGTAAAAGTCTATCTGCATTCAATATTGCACTATTTCTCTGTTTTTCCGATTCATTACTGCTAAAAGCATCCCAAATTATAACAAAAGTAAAAAAGTCCAGAATTTTACCTACTATTGCTGGATTTGAATCTAACAACAAAACACTTAAAAAGAATGAGATTGAAGACAAAACTCTTGTTATCTTACTTTGTAAAAGATCTATAAGGCAACTAAAAAGTGTGATATAAATATAAAATGAAATTTTATTTTCTGGAATTCTCGCGATAATAGATGTATAAATAATACCAGCTAAACATAGTATACAGCATATAGCCACAGCTATCCCCTTAAGTAACATTTCCCTTTGCCATATGTAAGTGAATCTATTGTATCCAGTTCTCAAAATACTCTTCACATGTGATATTTTAGAGCTACTTTCCATTATACATCACTAAAGTCCTTTTTTAGTTGACCTTCTGCTACACTTTATTTGCAACCTTGTGTGCACACACACAAAACCGCCATTATAAATATACTCGAACCCTAAAAAACACCTGTCCCAAACCTTTGAAATGGATGAAAAATTAGTAGTTACCATTTTAAAATCTTTAGAGCTCGAAGATTGGTCTAATATTCTTTTTGTAATTGTAGTATTTATATTTATAGTTTATATTTTATTAAGATGGCTTCAAAATAATCAAAGTAGGCTTGATAAGATCCAAAAAGTTATGGTATCTTCTCAACCACTAACGACATCTAATAGCCTAGTATTCGATAAAGCTAAAGCTAAGGAAATTCGATTGAAGGATATGATAATTAAACAAAGAATAAATGCAAAAAGGGCAAGAGAATCTCGGAGGGAATTACTTAAAAATAAAGAAATGCTGCGCAATATAAAAGAAGAACTATACAAAAAAAAAAAAGATGAAAAACTTGTAGAAGAACTGAAGCAAAGAGAAATATTACTAAGAAATAGGCAACAAGAATATGAGAAGTGGAAAAAAAGAATTGTTATTGAGAATTCAGGTCAAGATACAGAAGATGAAGACCTAAATAGTGAGTTATTATCACTATCAAATTTTATAAATTTAATTAAAACAAAAAAAGTAATCCAATTGGATGACTTAAGTAGCAATTTTAATATTAATATAGATGATACTATAAATAGAATACAAGAACTAGAGAAACAGAATTTACTTGACGGAATATTCACAGATTCAGGCAAATATATTTATATTACTGAAACGGAATGGCAAGATCTTACAAAGGCTTTGGAATCTAAAGGAATTATTGAGAAATCTAGTTCTCTAGTGAGTATATGTAATGAAGTAATTAATATTGACAAATATACTACACAAAATATGGATAAATGATTAGATAGTTTTTAAGTTAGAAGCTTAAACATCTAAATTATTGTGAAGGTGACACTTTAGCGCAAAAGAATATAGAGTTCGTTTCTTTAACTCTAATTATTGATTTAATGTAGAAACTAATGTACTCATATTTATTGTACTAGGGATCTTATTTTGTTTTGATATTTTTCGGGTAGTATGCACTATGAATATATTATTAAATTTAACTAGTGTTATACAAAATCTAACAGGAAATGAAAAAATTCAAAACTTGAATTATTATTATCCGTTTCAGTGTTCAATAACTGACTTAGATGATACTCTTATTAGTCAAAATAATAGTTATATATCTGATATGAATGCTGTAACATATAGAACTCTTCAACTTTTCGGAGTAACTGTGTTCCCTACTGTAGGATATTCTTTACGTAGAGCATTACAATTATTCTCAAAAGTCCCCAATCTTAAGCAATTTTAAAGGGTATCCAGGGATTTATTCTTATGGTTCAATAACTATTGGGACTAAGGAGATTAATGATATAATTTATCAGAAATGGATTAATAATAGCATAGTAATAAATATTCTTAACTTTCTACATTCTTTCACAATTGTAAATGATGAACTGATTTTTAGTGAAGATAAAATACTAATTAAGGGTATTGAGAAATTTGGAAGAGCTGATTTCACAAAGACAAATATAGTAAGTTATTTATTACTAACTTGCTACATCCATATAGGTATAGAAGACCATTACAGTACTTTATTTGAGAATCACAATAGTGAATTAGTAAATGAATTTATGAGAATAGGAGTAAAGATTGAATTTGGAGTTAAATTACTCAATATACTTAAAACTAAACCTAGTGAAGAAGAACATAGATTTTTCCGTATTTTGATGATTGAGAAGTATTCCAATAATAAGACTATTTAGATCCCAATTGGAACCATTTGTTAGATCTTTGAATTGCAAAGTACTTATAGTGTTACCTTTTGTATTAGAAATTATTTTAGTGTTTCAAAGAAGATAGCAAGTGAAATTATTTTAAAAGATCTTGGCCTGTCTTTTAACCAGACTGCTTTTATAGGAGATGGCGAGAATGACATAGATTTAATGAAAGCTGTTAGCTACTCAATATCTGTGGAGAATGCAATTCAGGCAATAAGACATATAGCGAGATACAAAGTAGGACTAAATTGTGAAAATAGTCTTTCATCTATTAGTAATACTTTATGCTGGAGAAAGTTTCCAAGAAATGAGCCGAAGTAGGTTATATTAATAAGTGTTACACAAAACCTTCATTATTATTAGTGAAGATTATATGGAAATTAAGTTAATTATATAGGGTCATACTAGTAGTTTTAGAGAATTATATTGCAAAGAAATTTATAAAATAAAATATTAATTATATTTCTATTTTGCAGTATTATGCTGATTTGAGTAGGCATATATACAAATTGAGGCAGAAACATGAACATTAAGAGATCTAATTAGTCCATATTGAGGAATTTCAAGACATTTGTCAACCATGGAGATAATGTCACACGGTATTCCCTCCTTTTCTTTACCCAAAATTAAAATTGATTTTTTTGGGAAGATGAAGTCTGGCAATAAGATGCTAGAGGCAGTTTGTTCGACTGCAATTATGATGTAACCCTGTAATCTCATTGAATGTATATATTTGCATATATTAGACTCTCTTAGCTCATCAATTGGCAACCACTTTTCAGCAGTGACAGATATTTGACGGAAAATTGGATCATTCAAAACTTTTCTAGTTTTCAAAAGTAACTTTCCAACTTTAAAAACTTCACAAGTTCTGGTTAGACCTGCAAGATTGGGAATCTTGTCAATTAAGGTCCCAATAACTATCAAATCTGACCTTTTATTTTTTTTGTAATTTTCTCTTTTCATAAGAATTTCAGGTGAATTCTCATAATTTGGATCAAACTTTAATTGGTAATCTTTAAGATTCCCAATATATTCCTTATATTCTGCAGGTAACTGATTATCTTGAGAGGTACTTAAACGATCTGGATTAGTGGTAATACACCACAAAGAAGTCATCTGAGTTGCAACTATTCGCCTAATTGAATAATATAAACTCCAAGATGGACGTAAGTCTCCATCCACAAGCCAAGCACTATACTCTGTTAAATTTGAATTTTGACAAAATTCATCTTGAGCTATTCGCAAATCGCTGAACTTTAAAAAATTCTTCGATGGTAAAATATAGTCTAGTGAACACTGGGTTAAAGGTTTCCAGTGATCCCAAACTTGAGTCACACTCTTCAGCATTCGTTTCAGGTCTTTTGAATTATTTAAATGTGACAAAATAGCACTTCCAAGTGTTTCATTAAGAATATTGTATACAAAGCTATTATTACTTGTTTGTTCTAATTGAATTTGTTCTCTGGCAGAACAAATATTATCATTATTATCTATTTGACTGGCAACCTTCTCTAAGGTGTACAATGCAATTGTTCTCAGTAAAGCAGAATTACATATTGAATAACTAAGTAAAGTAGCAAATAGCTGTTTAGATAATTTCTCAATATGCATCTTTTCATGTATATTATCTTGAATAATAGACTTATTATAAGTGTAGTTTATAATATAAAAACTAGAGATAACAAGATGAGAATGACATACTTGTACATTGTTACATTCTGATGCCAAATTGCTTAAGAGTGGTTCAAGACATAATTTAGGATATATACATAATAATTTGCACCCAAATAACTCAATATACTGTCTAATCTCCGGAGAGTATGGAATTTTTAAATGTCTCATGTAGAAAGAAACAACTGAAGATATCCAATGGATCTGAGATACTTTCAATATATCAGAAAGACAGCATAATGTTTGCCAGCCTCTAAGCAAAATTCTATATTGAACACTGTTCGGTAAAGGGGGTAATTTAGTGGAATTCGGCATATCATCTATGAATTTACCTTCATAATTGGAAACTATAATATCCAGTTCTTGCATTAAATTATTTAACGAGTTACAGACAAAATCAATCTTGCAAATCAATCCTGATTCTTTTACAGAATTAAAAAAGTGATATAAAAATGTGATGGTGACAAATCTAATATATCCATGACACCTTTCATAAATCTCACAATTAGAATATTGATTCGAGTAACAAAAGCAAGTATCTTGGATTTTTTGTATCATTGTCACAACAGTATTATTCCCATCTGTGAGCTCATACTCTTTATACAATAGCAAATTTGAAATAACTTCAACACAATATCTATACCATTTCTTGTTTTGAGGGTTTTCCAATCGATTGAAAAGTTCATTTAATAGCCTAAATAATGGAAATATAAAGGATCTCATCATTCCCAAATTTTTTGAATCAAGATGTGTATATTCTATTAAAATTTTTAAAGTATTACAGGTAAATTCAGAGTCTAAATCCATTAAAATAAGAGAAGATATTATTTTTATCAAAATTGGAACAGCTCCATTAAAGAATTGTCCAAAGTCGGTAAATTCCTTGAGACAAAGTTGAACTGAATCAAAAATAGTAAAGGCATATTGAATTACTCCAACCTTTCCTTGGGTATTAGAAATATATTTTATTAGCGGAAGTACCATTGTGTCAAACAAATGCCACAAATAATATTGGTATACCGTAGAATTATGTGTTTTGTTTATTAGAGAATTCAAAAAAGTTATTTGTATATTAGAGGATAATACTGAACTATCCATTATCATTGAACTATATTGGGACCACAAAATATTTAATAGCTGGTAATTAAGTTCCAAAAAATATTCACTCAAATCTCTATATTGTACTGGCAGTGGATAAATAGTTCTTACAAGTTGAAAATCACTATATAAACAAGAAAAGGCATCTGGATAGCCTTTAGTAGATACCATATTACGTACTATTCCAAATTTATCGGTACCATAGAGTTTGGGGTTCATTTTCAAACCTTCAGTTGATGAACTTTCCTTGATATTATCCCATTGACGTTGAAGATTAGCATAACATCTTATTGAAGATATTTCCATTATAAGAATCTCGAAAACCCTCAGAATAAAATCTTTTGGTACAGTCATCTCTATTGCAAGATGAACGAGACATTTAAGTGCAAACAAGTAGGTAATTAATGAACGAATATTTTCTTGCCAAGTTGTCTCTTTGAAAGTGTCACATATATAATTTAAACACCAAATCCATAAGTTCTTCATTGATTCTCCCATATAGTCCACTTTTATTATAGATAAAAAGTGGATCTTAAACCATATATAATTTATATCAACTTCTATACTTTTTGTTGTATAAGAAATTTCAGATAACTTAGTAAGTAACCACTCTGATATATTTTCTGATTTTGTTAAATATTCAAAATTGTAGTATACTGAAATAAGTTCGATATTACTTAGTGAACTATCGTTATTGGCTGTCTTATTTCCAAGGATTTTTTTCACTCTCCCTAGACCAATTCCTTTACATATAAGTTCAGGCCATAGTAAAGATGATTCAGTCTCCTCTTGGAAATTGCTCAAAAAGTTGATATTACAAAATCCCATATATATTAAGAGACACTTTAGGTTAGTTAAAATAAATTTATCTCGAAATGCATACTCTGGAAATATACCTATAAAATCGATTATATTACTCTGATTAATTTCCTTAGAATGAGATTTTAGGTAGTAGACAGTAACAATAGCCCACTGACGGTACAAGTCTAATCTCAAAATTAAAGGGGTAAATCTGTTAATTATTGATGCTATATCTAAAATATATTTCCAACAACCACTTGTAAAAGTTAGATAATATTTTTTATTACTTGCTTTTTCAAACAAGTCTATTGTTTCAATGGAGTTGTTACATAATTCTTCATCAAAACTTCTGATGAAGGATATGATATGATCTTCAGATATGTTTGAGAAATTACTAGATATATATTTGTCAAAGCTGATAGTAAAAGGTTGCAAAAAAATTCTTAAAGGTGTAAACAAAGTTACTTTTTCACTGATAAATTTCCAATAATCGATAATCCATTCTTTGTTTATAGATAGTACAATAATTATGAAGTCTACAAATAGATCCTCAATGCTTTTGCTAACTTTTCCACCTAGAGATGCGATTATATAGTCAAGGTAAATATTAAAAAAAGTATCTTTAGATAGCCAAAATGAAACTTTCAGATTACTTTGAGTAATAATATTCATAGTTTGAAACATCACAAATCTTCTTACACTAGAATTTTGATGATTAAAGCCATTTTTTATAATACACGAAATCCACCAAAAGCGTGTATTATCCACTAATTCAATTAGATATAAAAAGTGTTCCCAATTGCTCTTCAAAATATGTACATTGTAGTTTTCAAGAGTCGTGAGAAGACAAATAAATGAATTAAGTGCATTAGTAGCATTCTTATTACATTCATAAGTTTCCAAAGTAGACAAAACAAATCTTGAAGCCTTTCTAATATTTGTTTTCGGATTAGTAATTCCATTTTGTAGATATTTCATGAAATTCTCTTTATTTTTTGGAAACCCCTTCATAAGAAGAAATGAGAGCATGTTGGACAGTGTTAGCAGCGCAAAAGAACCTTCCATTTCTATATTGGTTTCAAAAGAACTCTCCAAAAAAGATGATACAATATCATAGAATGCATCCTGGAAAGTTTGGTTACTCTCCATTAATAATGGCAAAAGAAGTTTTTGTATATAACATACAAACCCCATATCAAAAACTTTATTTGACTGGGGATATAACACCTTTCTATAAATATTTGAAAGACCATCTATAATACCTTTAAATATTTTGGGAATGATTAGCTCATCTTGTGGAACATCTTTATTATATTGGGATGTAACAAAAGCTAAAACATAAGTTAAAGACTTAGACTTCTCCAAGTCTGATTGATTGTATACTTCCATAAGTGACTCCGTCCATATATCTAATATGTCTAAAAGATAGTAAGGTCTTATATTAAGTAAGTTAGAGACCAAATTTAGTGCTTCAAACTGAATTGGAGAATCTACAATAAGGCAGAAGTCAATCAATTTTTTAAATGGTATACAGCACGAATTTTCTACAATAAAAATTCCACTTAAAGCTTTAAGATATACTGAAAATTCTAATGGACATTTATGATACTCACAATTGTCAATAAGTTCCATGATTATTTTTATCACAGCTTCTTTGCCATAATCCGATATCCAATGGGGTATTAATGCTTTAAATGTGATATCTAATACCTTAAATGACTCTGAGCTATTGAAACAATAATTTTCAAAACCTGTAGCTAATATTTTTAGCTGTGACTCCATTAATAAAATAAAGATGTAATATTCAGACTTGTTTTTACATATTCATACCACTACTATCACGATACTAAAAATGTATTTACCGCCACAATTTTCTAGTTACTAGCCAACTCATCTTGCTGATAATTCAGGTACTTCAGTCCTTTTTTGGTTTACAATAATACCTAGTCATGAAAATATTTAGGCAATTTAGGAAATTACCATTGTCTTATAGAACAGATACCACTAGACTATTCTCTATTTCATCATTTAAAACTGTACCTCGATACAACAAAGCCTTAAGACTCCTTTTTTTTAGTGTATCATCTGTAACATTTGGAGGTGGTATTACTTTATATATTTTGTCAAATTATGGTTATTACCTTAAGGACATAATACCATGGAATCCAAATTGGGATATAGCTTGGAACACGTTGTCTACAGACCTTAATAGTGAAAAAAGTAAAGATTTTACCAAGGAACCAAAGAGGTGGCACAAGATACTTTTAGTTAGGCATGGACATTACAAAAAAGAAAGTGATGATGAAGATAATATGGTTTTAACTGAAAAGGGGAGAAAACAAGCTGAGTTAACAGGTATCAGACTTGCAGAACAATTTGGTGGAAGAGTTAATGCAATTTACCATTCAAATTTAATAAGAGCAAAGGAGACGGCTAAGATCATTTCAAATTACTTTCCAGGAGTTAAACTAATTGAAGATTCTAATTTAGCTGAGGGTGTCCCTATTGCACCTGATCCCCCAATAGTTGGATATGAACCCACCAGCAAGGAGATTGCCGAGGATAGTATTCGGATTAACAAGGCCTTCCAAACATATTTCGTAAGGCCAAGTAGGGATACAGATGACAATAAAGTTGATATTATTGTATGTCATGGCAATGTAATTCGTTACATGTTTTGCAAAGGACTGCAATTCCCGACAAATGGATGGCTGAGACTTGGCCATTTAAATTGTGGTATAACATCTATGGCTATATCAAGTGAGAGCAATGTAGTATGTTATGGTTTCGGTGATGCAGGTCACTTATCACCTGACTTACAAACTCATAATTAATATTTATTATATTTTATTAAATTCCATATGAATATTAAGACCCAATTTTAGTAGCATACTATAGCTAATGCAATATATCCACTATACCGCCATATGTACCGCCATATTTGTGGGCCCACGAGGAGACGAAGCTTGTCCAGATTGCAGCGCATGTCTTTATGCAATTTTTTTGTGGTCAATGCAGTTCTGGCTGAAGGTTATAATATATTCTAAGAATATAAGGGGAGTTTCAATTTTAAACTTTAGATTATTGTCAGTTTTCAAATCGGTTAAGTTATATTGTGGAGCATATTTAATAGTTTGTGTCATGTTTTTTTTCTGGATGAAATAGAAGGATATAAAATTGGCTGTACAGAATCTTTAGGATATAAATAATAAAAAATTTATTGTACTGATAACTGTTAGTATATTGGTTATATTGTGAATGTAGGAACTGATTATCTTATAACTGAAATACCTGGACTGGAATTTGATTTTTTAGATTAAAGCTATTTAATCGATTGAGGCATATAACTGAATAGTAGTGGGGTTGTGAGAATAACTGTCAGTTCTTTGTATTGTTATATAAATAAGTAAAGAATATATTTATAATGGTAGGTAAAATTACAAGCCATATGATAGCTAAAGATGTAGATTGTTGGACTGAGGACACAGAATTTGATGAGGATGGATTGAAATATGTAAAACTCGTTAAACGTGGAAATGATTTATCAGTAGTTTCTTCATGTGACTTAGTTTCAGATAGCCAGTCACTGGTCAGTGTAAGAACATTATCTGCAGATTCATCACTTGATGGTTATTCCAATAAATTTAAGATAACTCCACCATTAGGTTCCAAAGATCCGAATGAAATGATAATGGTTTATCATGAAAATCTCTCGAGTATTTATGACTTATCTTGTGATGGTGAATCTTCATTGAAATCAGGTATGGATTGCAAGTTGAAGCATTCCAATGAACGACGTGCAGGAAGGCCTCCACTAGATAGATCTGATTATTACTGTCAAATTTGTTCTGCAACAAAGACTCCCCAATGGCGTTATATATCAGTGTGTTCATCAGAAGCTAAACTACGTGTTTGTAATGCATGCTGGATGAAACAGCGTAAAAAGCGTGATACAAGAGGAATGTTATTTTCAATGAATAACAGTATTTTGAGAAATTCAAAGCTGAATAAGGAAAATATTGATTCAAATTTTATTGTGAGTGCATCCCAGGAAAGATATATACGATATAATAACTTAAGTATGGAAAGGCATAGTGGGAAATATGAATTATGTGGATATAAGAGAAATAGTATTAAGCCAGCACCAGTAAGGTCAAATCCATATGGTAATAATGCTCTTCCAATTTCAATACCAGTGATATCACTTTGTAATGTTTGTGGGAATAATAATCCTTGCCATTGTTACTCCAACTATTGCCATCCAAATTTTATAGAAAATAATACTGTCTTGTGCACTAATCACACACAAGAAAATGAGGCATTTAGCAATATAACTGCATTAAATAATCATAGTCTTAATGACATTTCTTTGGGGCAAAATTCCGTCATCTCTAATTATAATATATCTGGTAATATTAGCATTGTACCCCATAATAAAGCAAAGACTAGTAATCTTGACAATAGAAATAGCCCTAAATCTAACTGCAATAGTGATAATAATGAGTTGATTAGAAATAATAATTTTAAAGATGGCACAAGGAATAGTGACGATTGTAATAGTCATTACAATGGTAAATCTAGCATGAGTAGTAACTGCAAATCACAAACATTTTGTAATAAGAATACTCATATAAATAATAAGATGTCTATATCTACGCCTGTTCATCATCAATCTTCAACAACTGTATCTCCAAACACAAATTACTGTAATATTTCATCTTATACATCTTCTCCATGTCAATCATTCACACCTTATGAAGGCCCATTTCTAGAAGATCCAAATAAGACTATGAGTATGTCGTCATCTTTATACTATTATGCAAACTCACAAAATAATCGATGGAATGAAGATACAGCAGTAATTACAGCTAGTAACGTTCGTAATTATCAAACTGATACGATCCCAACTTGTGTTAGTGATTCAATAACCAGCAACAAGACTTCATCGCCATTTGTACTGGATGAATCTGTACCTTCACTATCACTCTCTCCAACAAGCACCGAAAATGTAAATAACTCAAATGATCTGTTATATAATAAATCTATTGAATCTTGGAATTCGGACTATTTACCAATTGATTTATTTTCAATTGTTTCAACAAGTGATAAGGTAGTATCAAACTTCCAAAATTCTCAAATAACTCAATTTAATGACGCACTATCTAAAATATACCCAAATTCAGGTTCAATTGTATTTACAAATAATGAAAATAATAGGCAGGAAAATTGCGATTCGTGGGACTTAGAACCTTCTTCTGTCGCTTCATGTATAGATACATGGCAAACAAATCTTTGGTATGACTCTTATCAAAGTAACTACTGTAAGTTAAGTTAAAGTAGTTTTAGAGATTAGTTTTTTGTATAGAAGGTAATCACTGTTTAATGATTTATGCATGGATTTTGGTCTGTTATTTTTCCCTATACCGGTATACATGCAATAAACCATGCCTGCATATATATGCAGGCATGGTTTATTGCATGTAGTACTCGGATATAGCGTGTAGCATGAAACTTTAAACACTGAGAATTTGGAAGTAGCTGAGTCTCTTCGGTAGAAATTGTAATGCAAATAAGTGAAATAATAAATAATAGTGGCCCAACTTCGTTGGGTGAGGGTGAGAAACTCGATGAGGTAAGTTTAATGAATCGTTGAAAGGTTAATTGATCAAGTATCCCTTCTTAAAAAATTTTAGGTTAATGGTATATTAGACCAGGATTTTGTCCGTAAATTTGCCCTTGTTGTAAATATGTTACAATCAAGTCAACCCACAAATAGTGACAATCTTGTCTCACAATCACAAATAGTGAATGATACAGACAAAGATAATTTACATTTCTCACAATGTAACAAATTTTGGAATACTAATTCACATATTGGAGACTCAGTAAATAATAAAATAGATTTTCTGTCGCAAGAATGCTCTGCAATTGATAGTTCAACATCTCAAATGTCAATATGTGATACATCTAGACCTTTAAAAATGTCTTTCAATGCACTTAAAGACAAGATGTCACAAGAGAAGTGTCCAAAGAAAAAGAGCAAACTGGACGAAGAAGGCACTCATTGGCAAGAAGGAGAAGTATTAACAAAGAAAAATAGACAAAAAATACATTGCTATTACGCATTTACACCATCTAAAACAAATTTACGAGTTAGATGTGGTGAATGTTCAAATGTTTTTAATGGAGTTCGTGGTTTAATATCACACTCAAGAAAGTGCGGGAAGACTAATAAAGATAGCTTATCACAAGAACTACAAGCAAACATAATCCCAAGTCAGCTAAAAGCAATAACTGAAATTAGTACAACTCAATATGAAAAAACATCTCACAACTTTAATTATAATGACAGTTTAGTGGCAAATTCCAGTTTTTCAACTCAAACAACTGACTTAAGTCAATCTAATCCATCTGTACCATGTACAATTTCAAGTAGAACAAGCTCAGTTGAGCACAACTTTATGGCATCTTTTTCTAGTGGTTTCACTAGTAAGTTACTAAATTCTGACTTAAATCAAGTTGTCAACGATAAGTGTGATGTGCCCAACTCGATAAAGAATGCCAATATAGATAGTAATGAAGTTACGGAGATTTGCGAAATGAGCAAGACAGGAAATAACAATAGTAAATTCACAATTAATGAAGATAATTTAAGACAGAAAAATGACAGATTTGGCGTAAGGGAATTTGGAGAATGCAGCCCTGAGAAGTTTAAAAGGCATATATACAGTGCAATATCATGTTTACCGAAGTCAATACTCTTAAAAATTTTAATCAAGAGAAATCCTATAGCTTATCAATCTTTAAGGGATAAAATGTATTCAATTACAAGGGAGTCTATTATTGAACTTATTTCCTCCGAATTTTCACTAAGTTCTCGAAATCTATATACTGATACAAATTCAACATTAGAAACTTCTGAAGAAAATCGGACAGTACAAGACAGAGAAGAACAAGAACAAGAACAAGAACAAGAACAAGAACAAGAACAAGAACAAGAACAAGAACAAAAACAAAAACAAAAACAAAAACAAAAACAAAAACGAAGTCAGATAGATTCAAGTATCTCAGATGACCTAGATATATTGGATTTTCCAAATATTCCCGTATTTTTTAGACATCTGTTACCTACACTTACTGAATGGAAATGTAATATATGTAAAGAAGTTGGAGAACCTACAGATTCCATGGTAATGTGTGAAGGATGTGGGCTAATATATCATTTTAATTGTCATAATAAATCTAATAGTGTGGTTGATAATGATTGGATATGTGAATGGTGCCAAAAAGAAAATATGTCTTTGTATTTTAATTCTCGATATCAGATTGGGGAATTGGTTTGGACTATATATAAATCTCACAGATGGCCAGCACAAATCACGGAAATTTATAATAAAGGAAAAAAGTTTGTAGTTCAAATATTCCATATACAAAAGGTACTTGAAAGAAAACCCGAAGATTTGTTGAGTTGGACATTAGGGATTACATATATAGAGGGTAATGCTGCTAGGGGGGCCTTTTTAAAAGATTCCAATTCGGCAAATTTGTACTGGCAATCTATAATTAAAGCGTTTCAGTATTATATCTATTCACTTAAAGTGAGTGAAAGGAGGTCAGTTCCAAATATTTTTTATGCTAATGAAGTACATAAATCTAGCAGTAATAAATCAGTACCAATTGAGGATGAAGCTTCAGCTAGTAAAACTATCCAACATCCTGTACTAGTAGAAATTTCTAATGAAAGAAATAATTCATTGGATTTAGATTATCATCTAGATAAATCTGTTTAGTTTTTACCAACAAATTATTAATATTGATAAGTGACCAATAACTTTAATACTTGTCAGTTTTTTGAAGGGATTTTCTACTTTTCTAAACTTTTAAAAGTAAATCTTATATTAAAGAAATTAGTTCCCAAATATATATAAAAATGCATGCAAGTTACCGACATTGCATGCATATTCCACGTTACCTTAACGAAGTAAAAAGAGGAAATGTTTTACATATATGCTTTAATTTATCTCTTAAATTTTTCAAAGACAATAGCTTTGGAATGCAGTATATCAAGATGGAAAATTGCAAACTCAGTTGTAACACCACAAATAGATACTAGAAAATTTAAAAATATTACTCTTGAAAATGGTCTTTCTGTTATGTTAGTTGAAGACACTAAGGCAGAAAAGGCTGGTTTTGGAATGGCTGTAAATGTTGGATCATTTGAGGATCCTGAAATGATACCTGGTTTAGCTCATTTATTGGAGCACATGCTATTTTTAGGGACAATAAAATATCCTGATCCAAAATCTTATGATGAATTCATGAGCCAGCATGGAGGCCAGAGTAATGCTTATACTTCAGAGGAACGAACTGTCTATTTTAATGAAATTAACGAAGAGTTTTTGGATAGTGGATTAGACTATTTTTCCCAGTTTTTCAAAAGTCCATTACTAGATATAAAGATGATTGAAAGAGAAGTCCATGCAATTGATTCAGAACATGCAAAAAATATCCCAAATGAAATTGATAGAATTTGGTACACAGTAAAAACATATGCATACCCACCATTTTCCCACTTTACTACTGGTAACATTGAGACCTTGATTAAAAACCCAAAAGATATGAATTTATCAATAGAAGCACTACTTAAAAACTTTTTCCTAACCTACTACTGTGCTAAAAATATGTACCTAACTATCTACTCAAGAAGAACCATAAAACAACTCGAATTTTTTGCAAAAATGTACTTTTCAGATATTTCTGATAATAATGGAGGTTTGTGCGGAAAAGTGGAACATAATAAAGAAAGCAATAGCGAACCTGAAAAAGATAGAAGACCAATATTTAAAGAAGAAAATTTGGGAAAACTTTTACATGTAAAGTCAATAGGCGAGTTGAAAATACTTTGGTTTGTGTGGAATTTCCCAGGATATTTCAACATAAGTGCTAAACACCCGATGCAACTTCTGTCCTATATCCTTAATTCACAGATACCTGGATCTTTAACATGGAATCTGCAAAAAACTGAAATGATTGTGAAGACTATTGCATTTTACGAAATTTTTAGTTATGGGATTTTATTTATATATCAACTAGAGTTGACAAATAAAGGAGTAAAAAATTATGAGTACTTAGTAAGTGTTGTAAATAAATATATAAATAAACTAAGGGACTCTAAAGATATAAGCTCGGTATATGAAGGAGTAAAAACCCTTTCTGAAAGAGAATTTGTAATGCAAAAAGAGATGTATGGTAAATCGCCGTTATATGAAGTATCCGAAATTTGCTCAAGGCTACTGCAATTTGGGGTCCATGGCGCACTAAGTGGAGATATTTTAATTGAAGAAATAGATGAGAAACTTATTAAGTCACTACTAAATTATATAACACCTAATAATACTTTAATAGTACTTTCTGAAGAGATCGGTCCAAAGTTTGTTCATATTGAAAAAGATGTATACTACGGAGTGGAGCATGCAATTATTCCGATATCCAATGAAAAATTAAAAAAGTGGTTACTTGGAAAATTTTCTCAAATTGAGGGCAAAGAAGTGATAGTACCAATGCCATCTAAGTGTGTACCGTTGAACTTTATTGTGTTACCAACTTCTGATTCACCAAAAACTCCCATAACACTATCCTCAGGGCTTGCAAATGTATGGTGGATTGGACCTGTTGCAGAAAGTCACAAAATTTCAATAAGAATACTTTTAAGGTTTCCTAGAAGGTATTCTAGAGGAGTTGAGACCCAAGCATGGGGTCTGTTGATATCTTACATGATTAAGGCAATGTTTGAAAATGAACTTGGTTACTATAAGGAATGTGGGGTTGATTTAGAAGTCCAATGGACAAGCGAGGGATTTCAAATAGATATTAGTTCATTTAGCTATACTGATGATATTGAAACTATACTAAACACAATACTTTCACCAATCATAAATAAATATATTAAGAAAATGGGCTGTTCACTTTTGGAAAAGGCTGCAAGATCAGCTATATTGTCAAGTGCTAACTTCAGAGAACAAAATATTACTTATTTGCAAGCAAGAGAACTTATAAAAATGCTGCAATCTTCAAGTGATTACTCAGAGTGGGAAATCCGTTACTTTTTAAAAAGTCTTTTTAAGAAAAAAAGCACTGCAACTGATATGTTTCAACAAATTATAAAGGCTGGGCATAGTATTAGAACAGGAACAATATACTCGTTAGTTAAGTATATTAGTTCAATAATAAAGAATAATATAATAGTTAGTGAAAATTCGCAAACTTTATGTCATTCGTTAAACAGATGGGTAAATAAATTACTTCATAGACTATCTATAATTGCATTTATACAAGGAAATATAACTAAGAATAAAGCAAAGTCCTTAATAGAAAACTTTGTTCTGTCAAGTAATATATTCCCACTTAAAGAGAAATATGCAGCTAGTAAGAGAGTATATAAAATATTGCAGCCACTAGATATAACACTTTACAATCCTAACCCCCATGATGAAAATAACATAGTACTACAGCTATACCAGTTTGGTAAACCTACATTTGAAGAAAGAATAAACTTAATGGGATTACAGCCACTAGTACATAACTATATGTACGATAGATTACGTACAAAATTGCAACTAGGTTACATTGTTGCAGCAACTATAGCACCGATTGGTAATACTAAAGCATTGATTATTGGGATACAAGGCAGTAGGGAAAATAGCGTTGAAACTCTTCAAAATCACATAAAATTAGCTATAGATAGTTTTATCATAGAAGAATTGGCAAATATGAAGGTTGAAGTATACTCGAGCATAAAAGAGTCACTTATTGAATACTTTAAAACCTTAAAATACTCATTTCCACTACATTTCCACCATTATTGGGATCAAATAATTTCAAATAAAAGTAGTAAATTAAATGAAGCACAAAATGAAAATGCCATAGATTATATTCAGAATATACTATCTATTCAAGATTTGTATAATACTTTTATTAAATTAATACGTAGAAGTGGGGACAGTGGGATTTATATCCTGAAAATGACCCATAGAGGACAAAAAACTAAAATAGATAAGAATAAATTAGATCGTGAAATTACCCACGTGCTAAGTACAGCTAGAGAGACAATTAGGAAGAATGGGTTTTATGAAGTAATATAAATACTTCTCAAGTGGAAATTCTTACCTACTATATTAAATATATAACTGTGCAGATAAGTCTTGTAAAGAATTACAATTTTTTTGAATTTGGAAACTTTTTTTTCTTTAGGAATATCTATATTTTGAAGCTAAAATTTTCCTTTAATACATCGTTATACTCATCTAGGAATCAATTACTTAAATACTTACAATTATTACACTTTAATTAATGGAAGATAGTATTTTATAAGCGTATAGAATGATTTATGAATTATGGATTCATGCTTAGATTGGATATATTGGAGAATTATATGGACTAAAAGTTCTACTTTTATTCGAATGTGAAAAGTTAACCACTTAATGGCATTTATTAAACGTTTCTTACTTGCACTTTGTGTTAGATAAAATGCTTTAGAATTTGCAAATTGTTTTAACAAGATTTTGAAAGGTAATTTAGCTACTATACAAAAACTAAAAGTAATATATAGATAAAAGCAAATTTGCTAAATAAAAATATTTGAAGCTAAAGAAATCTTCTGGTAAGACTACAATTTGTACTACCTGATTATTTATGAAAAGAATTTGAATAGATTAATATTAGAATATACAGAAATAATTTAATCAAATAAAAATAATTATATTTGCAAAGCTTTATCAAAAGTAATATTTTAATATATCATATTTGAATGTATTTTCTTTACTATATTTAGATTTATATTAGATATTGAGTAAACTCATAAGAAAAATTTAAATCATATATTGAAGTTATTATTACTTTCTTATAACCACTACTTACTGCAGATAGAACAATATAAAAATAACTTGTTAACTAAATTCATAGCAAATATGTTCCTCAGTATATATTATAATAATAACTGAATAGTTCTGTGATTGATATGAAGGAAATTCAATATACCATCTAAACCTAAATGTACTGCAATTTTTTCAAGAACTAATATTAAGTCATTCTTATTTAGATATTGCTATAAGCATGCAGAAATTTAAAACCAAATTATATTAATTTAACACTTAACACAATATAAATTTAAATATTTACAAAGAAGAGCTGAACTGATACTGAAATTGCAAAGTTCACAAGGCTATTATATTTACATAATTATTATGCAACATTGGTGAGAATAAATGTAAAATCGGGAAATCTACTCTACACAAAGTAGGTAAAATTAATTGCAATAAAATAAGTTAAGTTGAAGTAGATAATTAAGATGAGCAAATTCTAGCTCTAGAAGAGAATTAGATTCTTACTAATCACACTCTAATATCTGAAAGATAAGACAAATATTAATATAAACTCAAGAAGCTGTGATAGAACTGTAAGTAACGAAAAATTAAATAAATATGAAATAAAGTCTGAAATATAAATATCATTAAAATAGTAGACCTTTCTAAGTTAGAATAAATATATAATTCATACTAGACTTCTTTTAATCACTCATTCCTGCATTATCTCTACCTGGAAGCTGAATTAAAGAATGAGATAGTTCACGTACAATTTCTGGTGATATGATGTAGTGGTATTGACTCTTAACTAGATTTTGAATTTTACTAGTTTGAGATGAACTAAACTCATATTTATACCTTTGAACGAATGTAAGTAGTGTTTTATGCCAAGTCACTGGAAGTGTTGTATTTGAATTTTTATTTATTGAATTCAGATTAGTATTACTATGCAGGTATAGTTGTTCAATACTGTAATCTATATTAGTATCAAAATTTTTAGTATTAAATTTATCAAACTGCAGAACTAGCTCATCAATAACTTTTCTTGGCATTGCATATCTCTTGCTTAATAATATCATCATAAAGTGGGTCTGACAAGAGTTCCACGGTTTAATCTGAGAAAGCTTAATAAGAGCTGCGGCAGCATGCAGAACTGGCACACTAACTTTGCTCAATATACTACCAATAATAATTGCTTCTTTTACAGTGCATGTCTGATCCTGTGCTAATGGTAATAGAATACCCTTAAACCAGGCAGAAGGTTTAAATATAGCTTTCTTTAGTGCCTGATAATAGTGATAGTTTAGCTTTCCGTAATTTTGTGATATATCATTGCGAATTGTTGGATATAATATTGAGTAATAAAATTTCTGGGCTTCATTAGGATTTAGGCTAGAACAAAATATACGTATAACTTCATGCATTGCATTTGGTGTCCAATTCAAAGGATTTGTTAAATGAAGTATTTCTTCCCAATTAACTAATCTTGGAATCACTATCAAGGCTTTTGGTAGCTTTCCAGATTTATATTGGCTTAACCATTCACCAATTAAGCTATATACCTTTATTACTTTCTCGGGTAAATCTACAGATAAGTCTGTCTTCTTTTGCAACCCTCCTTCTCTTTGTTCCTTCTCTTTTAGTTTATTTAATACCGCACTAACCAAGTCCAATGGACTATTATTATAATTATTAGTACAAAAATCGGCTTTTTTGTAACCATTATTTTTATTACTAAGTAAATCTCCCCAATAACTACTTTCAAATTCACTATACTGGCTAACTCCCAAATCAGCTTCATCAACATATATATATCCATTACTGTCTATTGGTAAATTAAGTCCTGTAGAACAAACTATAGGGTCATTTTCATTAGGAATTGTATCATAGATTTGTTTGTCATTATCGTCAAAAACTAGTTGCTCTGCAGCCTCTTCAAGTATTTTCCTTCCAATACTAGCAGGTATATGCTTCTTATAAATGTCTGCCGTATCTAATTCATTATTAGACTCTCTTTCAAACTGTCTCTTCGATAATTTCTTATGTAGAGATCCACAACACTCAATGTCAACATGCAATGGATTGTGCCTTCTAAATTTACTTCGATTCCTCCTTTCTTTTGGCATTACAATAAAAATAAGCCTGCGCTACCAGATAACTTATATTTGGTACAATTTTATCAATTAAATTGTATATATATTTAGCAAATCTTATTTGTGAATGTCACGTATTAACACCCATAATTCTGTACAATCCCAGCATCTTCTAGTAATATTGCGCCTGAACTGTAAGTGCCGTCTTGAGACAGGCGTATTAGACTATATATACTGTTTATATGTATACTAAGTACTACATACGTAAAGTATTACTATTAATATTAAGAAATACCTAAATTTTATAATTAAATATTGAGTACCCGGGAAATTATCTGGGTATACTAGGCTGACAAATAAAGCACCGAATTTCTCCTGAGTGTCTTAAGGAAGCTGAATAAATTAAAATTACTCTTCTATATTGAAGGTTTTCTTAGAAAGACAAATGACTAGATCAGTCCTATCAACTGGTATATCTGTAGGATCTAATCGTGGTTATATAGTAACCAAGAGAGCACAGAAACCTAGGCCAAGCTCCAGAAAAGGTAAATTATGTGCTAGAAATGTATTGGTACGACAAGTAATTCGTGAAGTAGCTGGATTTGCTCCTTATGAAAAGCGTATGATGGAGTTATTGAAGGTAGGATCAGCTTCTACAGCAAAAAGAGCAATGAAATTTGCTAGATCGCGTCTAGGTACAGAAAAAAGAGCCAAGAAGAAGAGAGATGAATTGGTTGAAATTATACAACAGCAAAGAAAGAGGACTGCTGCATAAGAACTATATGTCGAGAATTGTAGATATCTTGTTGCTAGTAACTTGGTCTATTTAGTTTAGTAGTGAAGTCCTAATTTTAAAAATAAATTTACTCAATACCTTGAACACTTACCTGTTACGTAAACTTTTAAAATCTACATGTAGTAGAAATATTCTGTTCTTCGCAGTACATTCTGTATGTAACAGCATTAAATGAAATATATCATTTTATCTTATATAATATATTATTACCTTAGGACTTCAATACACAAGAGGAATTGGCTTGCAGAACTTTCATCTTTAAACCAGAGAGATTTGATATCACTTCTCTCTGTATTTGAATCAAAAATTATTATAACCATTTGTTTAGTATTACAGTTACTAGGTACTTGACTATTATTTGCGTAAAGGTAGACAAACTCAGAGCTACTTAATAGCGCAGTAATCTGAATTAGTATAGTCCCACAATCACAAAACAATATATAATAAATTCAGACCTAAAATTGAATAATACTTACTGCCTTAAACGGAATAATTACTGTCTCAGTTACAGTTTTTAGTGTCAAGATTCCTAAATTTCTATTAATAAAGTATTTACCATCTACAAATGATTGACTTGTTTTATCATAAATACTTAAGGAAACACCATTGATTGCTCTCTTTGTAAACAATTTCACCATATTCTCTAGCTCATGTGAGTCTATAGACAGCTTATTAGACTGAACCTCGTTTGAATCCTCTTGGTTTGTAATGCCACTACACCATTCTAAAGGTAGAGAGGAAGAGGGTAGTGTATTTTCAGATGAACAACATAGACCCATCACAATATTCCACATTGCAATTTCATAAAGGTTAAAATTAAGCTCTTGTTATATTTCACCAACATGATGTACTACTCCCTGTTATAATACTTTGCTCGACAAGTTATGTTATAATTTTTTCAGGGAGCGGAAAATCGAATTAACACATGTTTTGTAAAGTATTGTGTAAACTCTAAATATATTCAAGTATAGCTAAAATTTAGGGTTATAATTAAATTTATATGGTGACTTATTTATTAAAAAAAGTTACTCATTGCATAGTAAATAATAAGAAAGTGATATTATAACAAGAGCTTCTAATCGTGCATGTAAATATTACATGAAGACTGCTTAGTCATTTCTAGGTAGCCTTGGCGTGGGAGAGTTACAACTATTACTTATACTTTGCCATGGCATAATAGGTTGAGTTAGAGGCAAAAATGGTCCTTGAGGATGAAATACATTTCCTCGATCTGAATTTTTTTTGTATCTTCTTTTAGTATTATATAGTATTACATCTTGATGCTGATTCTTATCTAATATTTCTGGTGTAGGAGGTGTTTCAGTGGACCACTTTGATGTCTGCTTAAATGTAGAGTCATTTATGTTTGTCTCTGAGATAGTTGGAAATGGGCTAAGAGGTTTTCTAATTTTTGCAATAGGACACTGTAGTGCCATTAAAAATTGTGTACGAAGTAATAAATTATGATGGGGAGATCCAAAATCTGGCAAGTTATTTACAAGTTCTCTAAGTTCAGGAAGATTGCCAACAAGTATGGGAACATTTTGTATAGCTTCATCTTTAATGCTTTGTAGTTGTGTAATAATACTTTCAGGATTTGCTTGTTGTTTCCATATTGATGTTTGATTTGTAATTAGTTGAATAAATTTATCCAAATTACTTTGCATATTGTCCAATTTAACTAAAAGATCTTTTTTCTCTATTGGAAGATTCATAAGATATTCTTTAATACTTACCATAATTTGATGATTTTCAAATTTCGGATATAGAGTCTGTGGTGAACTTGCATTAGGTGATGCATTATTGTTAGTCGTTGGTGAAATATTTGAATTTGAGAAATTTATGTAAACTTGATCAACCCAATCCTCATAACTTTCAATTGAAGCAAGCATATTACCTAGAGTATAAACAAGAGGATATATACATGGAAGATTCAAACCATCCTTAAGGAGTTCAACGCACTTTTCGAAGTCACATCTTCCTCCACACTTTGAATTCCCGAAAAGATCAAGCGGTTCTTCTGCAAATTCCTCCTCTTCTGTGGATAGTGAAAGCATATTCTTGTACTTTTCATTCCAATGTCCGCATATTTTCATAGCACTTTCAATATCCTTAGCACATTTCAAAAATTTTTGTAACCTACTAACAAATTGATCAGATTCGATTTGTAGGGACACTGAAGTTTGGTTGTTTGTATCCTCTTTATTATAAAATTCCAATGGAAGTATTCTAATTCCATAAGTCTCTAGAAGGTATAGGTCCTCCTTTGTCCATTCTTGAATCTGCTTGTAAACCATAGATAAGGAAGAGTACAATGGTTTAGGATGTACGGGATTAGTTTTAATTGCATTTAATTGATTTGAAAATGCAATTAGGACAGGTTCTAAAGCATAAGTTAAAAGGATTTGTCTAATAGTTCTTTCTTCAGGAATTACAATTCCACTTAAAATTAGATTCCTATATAAGGTTTCAAGCTGAGACTTGCCTAACACGTTATATTTTGATTCCTCCAATAAATTATCATTACAGGAAGGTGATGTATAAGTTGAAGTACTATCCTCCAATTTTGAATTGCATGATGAGATTTCTGGATTTTGATTTATTCTATCGGGATACTTGACAATTCCTCGAATAATTAAAACAATATCTTTACACTTTTCACGGTACTGCTTTAGCTTAGGAATGATTAACAATAGCTTCTTAGATTCAGGAATAATAATAGGAAATTTTGGTGAATAATAACTCAATATATCATAAAAGTGATCCCAAGTTAATCTCTGCTTTGCAAATGGAGAATTTAGCAAAGCTATGTCATGCTGTATTTTCATGTTTCTACTTGCTGCTACGGTACAAGAATATTGAGTGAACTCATTTATAAGAAATGTCAGGTATCTTAATATTTCAAAGCTCCACTGAAGTTCAACAATACCTTGAATTCCAATTAAAAGTCCTGTAATGTACAATACAGCCAAATCTCTATATTCGGAAATCGTTCTTGGATTTGCAAGTTTTCTCATATTTATTTGTATTTCCTTATCTTTCTCGTCCGGGATAAACGTATTCAATTCCTTACCATATATAAGTTGCTGAATATCTACTTGAGTTGTAATTTTAATGCTACTTTTCGTCACTTTGTAATTTGAGCTTGGAATTGTCACATTAGTTTTGGAAGATCCTTTTAGTGTAATCTTACGTTTACATCCTCTCTTAGGAGCTTGAGATATGGGTCTAATCTTTGGATTTAAAAGTTGTTTTGCAGATATAGATATTCTGGCTCTTCTGGAACGATTTCTTGTTTGTCTAATATCAGTTTGCACCTCATCTATGATATCTTCAATATCTGCCAAATCTATAGAACTTCCCACTTCACAAGATTCTCCAAAATATTCTTCTAAAGAGAGCTTATCTTCCAATTTAATTCCGTTCTTGCCTGGAGTATCATATTCTACTTGTTTTAGATCAAAGTCTGGTTCATTTTCAGTTTCTGAGGGAAGCTTAGTCCTTTTATTCTCATTTAATATATCAACAAACAGGGACCAATCAAATAAGGAATTCTTAAAACATCTCCAACGTGTTTTTGTATAGAAATCTCGCATCCATAGCATCAATAGTGTCACTCTATTTAATATCATATTGCGTTCATACAAGTTAATCAGACGAGTTGAACCTGTCCAACTTTCCTTTAAAAGTTCCAGAAATCTTTCAAATTTTGGTACTTCACGCTCTACAGACCATTCTTTAGCTCTTCTTTCTGTAGCAGAAACTGAATTAAAAGTATATATAGAGTTATGATTCAATAATAGATTTTCAGAATTTTTAAGAAATACAATTATTGGAGTCACTTTATTTGGTGAAATAGCTCTCAAATTACACAAGGGACAGACCCAAGAAATATTAATATTTATGGAAGAAGTCAAATTTTTCTCTGTTTCAATTTCAGTATCTTCAGATTCGGCTATAAACTCTCGACTAGATCTTAAATTCTGGTCCTCATTTCCGTCTGTTGGTTTAAGTAAGGGTATAAATCCCACACAGGTTTGGTGATACCAACGATTGCACTCATCGCATGCAATCCAAGATGAAGACGAAGAAGATGAAAGTGACTCATCCCCGAATGATGCACAAATACTACACAGATCTGCAGGTGTCCGCTGTATACTACGGTACAATTCCATACAAATAATAAAATAAACTATTAGAGAATTATTCATATATTCATGGAATTTTGGATAACAGTTAGGGTCTAGCATTCCAACTTGTTGTATATATAGGCTATAATCTATATTTCTATCGGTCATGACATTAATTTCTGGATCTTTCTTTCTTAATGAAAAAAAGTAGCCATTTCTCCACCCCTGCAGTGTCCTGCGGATACTATGTGAATTTGAAAGTGTTGTTGGTCCAAACTTATTCTGAGAGCGCAATTTATCTGTATCTTGTCTCAAAGTTGCAGCCATAAAGTCCTCTATTGTAAAGGTAGTGTTTGGATTTTTTTTGAGCCATAAGAAAAAGGATTTTGGAAATATCTCAGATTCTTCCAAAGATCTTCCACATACTTCATAACTAAATTTGTCTTTACTAAGGGAAGATGTAGATGTCTCTTCATCCGAATGTACTAAGGTCGAAATTTTCTTCATGTTGCCATTTGCTAGTCTCTTAGGCCTTCCTCTAGGTCTTGAGAAACGCTTCTTAGAATAATCAATTAGATTTTCTTCTTTATTGTTATCTTCAAGTCTTCCATTTAAGTAACTATCTCCATAGGATTGAATTGTTTCACTATTGATAGTTTGTTCTACATCTTCTATATTATCCAAAGTTAATTGGTTTGAAAAGTTATCCCATAAATCAAGAGTTTCTGAGTCTGAGATATCAGAAGTATTCATATATAGAATAGAAGACTCAAAAATACGCTCAGACTCAAGGCATTGATATTTCAACTCTCTAAAATCACCTACAATATCCTCCCAAGGTCTTACTAGCGTATTTTTGGGAAGTAACAAAATTGCTTCTCTCGCATCCAAACACCAACTTAGGGTATCTAAAAAAATTCCTACAAGCCTTGCTTTTAAGGGTATCTGGAATGGTAAGTGATCACAAGCTTCTATTAATTCAATTAATGTATCTAAATTAGCTGTCTGACCACCCTCAGGATTAGCCAAAAAATTGCTCTGCTGAGAAGTATCCCAAATATTTAGAAAAGAGTTCATTTTCTGAATATTATCTTCAAAATTTGAAATATCTAAACTATCTCGATCTGATTCAATAACTTCACTTGAACTCTTCACTGGAAACTCCTTTATCTCCTCAATATTTACTAAGTATTCTTCCTTCTTAATATCAGTAGTGTTCTTGTTTCCAAAATCAACTATGTCGAAATTTGAAATTTTGAAAAGTAGGGAATGTTCCCAAAGCTCTTTTTTACAGTAAATTAGTGAGGATGGGAATTTAGATCCTAAACCTTTATTTAAATCATTGTTACTAACATATCTAAGATGTGGAAATTTTTTATAAATTAAGAAATTCCATAATATTATATTCTCAACTATTCCACACAGTTTATCTAACTCAGGAATTTCCAGAGTAACAGTCTTCTTTGCAAAGTATAAAAGAAATATAGCATCCTGCAAAGTTGGAATATGTCTTTCTTTGAGGTTTAAAATGTCCTGGTAGGATAACGAAACTCCATGACCTTTTAGTTCATCTCCATGAGTTGATTTATTTCTCCTTTGGCGTTTGTGTGTGTTTCCAGTACCAACAGTTATTCCTGATGAATTATTCGATAGCTGTTGAGTTTGCTCATTCATTAAACAAGAGTTGAATTCAGGATACAAGTGTTGGACGTGAGAGATAGTAGAAGAATATATTTTGCTGCAAAATAGTTCATAAAACTCCTTATCGAAATCTGGTACCTGACTTCCCCTCTCCATTGATTTCATATAATATGATAGGTTTAACCAGAGTGACACATTGTACTCTATTCCTATATCTTGGGCATGTGACTTGGAAATATGATCTTTCTTAAATTTTTCAATAGTATCACGGAAATCAAACTGAGGAGAGTCATCAAAAACTAAGTTATCATACTTCTCAAATAAGCTTGACCAAATCAACTGAAGTTTGGTATTGCTACTGGAGAACAATTCTGAAAATAAAGATGGCAATAGCGTTACAATGGATTCTGGAATACAATTTCTTGCAACTGACATTTGGCCAAGTTTTATAGTGCGATTATCCGACAATGCTATTCTCACAAAGTTGAAGCTCTTGTATAATTCTAGCCATCTCTTTGCTTTATTAACAGATTCTTGTAGTGAGCGTGCAAGAAAGCTGTCAACATATGATGACTCTTTTTGATATATTAATGATAAGGTTTCATGTGACAAGTCAGACACTTCAGAACTAGAATGCTCATTAAAGGATTCCTTTAGTTCTTCTAGTGTTGCTAGATCACCATCTGACATATCCACGCATTGAGTTGAAGAGTCTTCAGCAGATGTTATTTCATCAGTTTCATCAGAGTGTGTATCCGAACATGATAATACTAACAAGTTTTGTTTATCAATACGGCTCAGAAGATCAACAGCATCAGAGAGAGAAGAAATAGGAAGACCACTACGACGACCAGTCAAGTTTAAGCCTGCTACTACTTCAGGTGGTTCATACTTAACTTGGTTGATATTATTAGATTTAAAGTAGGGATATTCATCTATCAAAAGAAGACTTAACATTTTGTGATTTATTTCTCGCAATAACAACTCATCTTGGAGATAGCTCATAGTATCTATCAATATAAATTGTGATGAACAGTCAGCCAAGGTACAAGTCATACGTTTTGTCAAACGAGCCAACTCAAGCACTTCATTATATAAGTTTTCCTTTTGAGACAAATGATGATCTTTACTAGTATTTTCCAAATCCTTTTTATTTCTAATTTTCAAGTGTTTCTTGTATATTGCTGAAAATTTATTAGTTCTACGTTCCTGATAGCTATCAATCAACAATTTAATACTTTCACTTTTTAAATTTGTAGCTAATTTGACATCTGATTTGAGATTTCTAAATTGGAGCAATTTCTCTCCTAGTCCATAAGAAGTTTTCACTAGCTTCTTTGCATTGGTAAGGGAGAATTTCACAGGTACTTTACTAGTTACATTTGATACTCTTTGTCGTCTTGATCTTAAGGATGTCCCATTTCTAGCTTGAGAAGATTTTGTATGTAGTAGCATATTGTACAACTCAAGCCACTTCTCAGATTCTAGTAATTGACTTTCAAATTTATTCATCACAAGCTCATCCATAATTCTCAAATTTTTACCTTTATTCAATAATTCCTTCCATTCATCCAAGGATTTACAAGTGTCTGGATTTGTAACAACTTCTATCCAATCCAAAGTAAGGTTCATATCATAGATAAGATATCTTGTGGCTGGAAGTGAACGCAATAACTTTTCTGGGTATTCAATATTCAAAAAACCCCATGATATGTCAAATTCAAGATCTTCTAAGTGTTTCTTAACTTCGACTAGTGAGCAAAATTGCCTCGAATGAAAATCCTCATCAATATTTTTGGTAAATTCTGGCAGACTTGTGACAGGCCCTGAGATTTCTGATGAATTATCATCTACTTTATATTTATATAACTCCAAATAGGGGAACTTCAAAATACTTGATTTGTCAATTTCTTGCAATTTTTCAAGATGTATGAGCCATTTATCCCATTCATCTATAACTATAGGTAGTTTATCTATATTTTCTTTTATCTTGACTAATTTTTCAAAAGAGTAAAAGAGCGACTGTGGATGAGGTAACTGCATTGCTTCATTAAATTCTGGATCGCCATATACCAGTAAATTTCTGACCTTCTCTTGCTCTTTCAAGTATTCACATATTTTTGCCTCAATTTTATACATTCTAACAGGTCTATTTTCTAAATTTTTCAATAAATCTTGCCATTTATTAACTGGAACTTTATGTTCAGTATTCGCTAATTTCAGAGCTTCACTTTCCCAGTAAGCTGCAATATCCCGAAGTTTGTAAAAAAATTGCAACTCATCCAAACGACTAATTTCAGACCAATCCCTTGTAGTAAGTTCTGAAATGTGAACTTGATTGAACCCCAAATCAATCAAGTCTTCTGTGTTCTCCACTTTGATAGAATCTCCACATAATTCCTCCTCTTCTATGTAGGCTTCTAAGTATTCTCCAAAATTTAGCTTCTCATCTAAAGGTACTGAATTCTCTTCGCTATTTATTAACGATTTTACTTTAATATTCGAGTTATTAATTTTGGTTTGATCAAAATTCTCCTTTTTAAGCTTAGCTGAAGTATTTTCAGTTATTTCAGTATCCTCTACTGCATGAATAGGGGAGTTTTGAGTGTTTACAAAGCCAAAATTCTCTATTCCTTCATCTATATTAGGTTTTTCATTATCTTTATCATTGTCAGTTTTCCTATTCCTTCTATTATGTTTTTTTTTGACAGATTTTGCCAAATTCTTGTTAATCCAGAAGTTTGATTTATTTAATTCAATGCGAAATAGAAAACTATCAAGAGATCTTTGAAGATCCTCTAACTTAAAATCTTCTACAGGACAACTTAAATTTCTCACATCCACTTTCCAAACATTGAATTTTAACTCAGAAATAAGAGTAATCTCAGTTTCTGAGCAGACTTGAATATTACGACAGTCCAAAAGGAGTGATGCAATTGCATTAGTAGTCAAAGTAGACTCCCTAGGTCCTCGCAAGATTTCTTTAGCTCTCTTTGTCCATTTATCACAATATTCCAAACTAGAATAAAGCTCTTGAAGGTTATTGTCATAGATTGTGAGGTCATGTCCTCTATCAATCAAAACCTTGAGTTGCTCTAGACTGGGTTTCTTAAGTCTGGAAGTTGAAACATCATCAATTAAGTCTTGTATTTCATCTCTACTTAAATCACCTCCCTTCTTTATAGCCCCAATAGTGCTCCAAATATTTGAGGTTACCTGTTCGACATCTTTTCCAATTTGCAAATCAGTTATTTTCTGAAGGAATTCCCTGCTGCTTTTTAACCACTCCTCAGTCTCACCAACTTTTTTCAAAAGAATAGGAACATATTCATTCATATCTAAGTATTCACACAAAGTATATTGAGCTTCTTCAAGCACTAATTGGCTTTCCATGAAGGTACAAACTCCATCCAGCACCCTACGATACTTTTTCAACCACTTTCTCCATCTTTGGTATATTGGTTCCATATATCTCATAATTGGAATTGTCATCTTGAGACTTGAACTCTCCAACCAGACTTGTTCAAATTCACTTGGAGTTGGTAGTTTTGGTTTGCTTAAATGTTCATTTAAGCTTTCTATACCTGTAGTGTTTGTAAATTCCCTATTCTTATGCTCCTCCTCAATCTTCTCAAAAGCCTCTAATTCCTCCCGAGCTTTAGTCAATTGCACTTTAATATCATCAGAGATATCATTAACAGGGGCACTCTTTAATACTTTAACTAAGTTGTATATGAATGGAGGTGATAACACAGTTTCAAGCCAGCTTCTAGCTCTACATACTCTAGCAATAAGCTGTTTCTTTGCAACTACCTTCTTCTCGTCTAAATATCTAGCTGCAGCTTCATTAAGTAAATTTTCAGCAACATTAAGGCGCATTGGACGATTAAGGGCTCTTTCAACTTTCTCAATCCAATTACTCGCTGCAATCTGTTCGGCCAAGTCCTCCGCTCCAGGAACCTCGATGCTAATCTCGTCTTTATCTTTAATAGAGTCCTTACATTTGTCTAAGTTCTTCTCGTCTATTGCTGCTTGAACTGTAAGTTTCCAGGATTTCAGCTGACTCATTTGGTAGTGCAGAAATCCAATACATTCACCTTCTAGCAAACAGCTTTGTGCCTCCTTCAGAAGCTTCTCTAATTCTGTAATTGAAGGTTTTAAAGAAGTCCTAATCTTGTGATATCTATTCTTTAATGTTTCACTTGGAAGCAGACCAAAAGTTTGTCTCACCTTGTCATCAAATTGGCGAGTTTTTTCAATAACTACCATTAATTCGTAATATTCAGGAAGGTTTACAATGTTAAGAAGCATATTTCCTTCCTCTAATAAGTCTACGGCCTCTTCTAGTGTCCATTTATTTTTGAGTGTGCTATACAAAATATCAGCAACGCTTAATCTCCATGAATCAATATGTGACAGTAAAACTTGCTGAGTAAAAGCTAATTCTCTCAGTTTCCCATAGGACATTGTTTTCATACTTGTAAAGTCTACAGATTCACAGATTCCAACACTTGAATACCCTTCGGCCAATATAGTCTTGTCACAAGTCCCCATTAATGAGGAGTCTGTAGTTTTTAAAAATTCATATTTTCTTTTTTTGCTTGGTTTAGAGTCAGGAAAATCTCTTTTTGTAAGTAGTTTTTCAGGAGAAGGGATTGTTACCGATACATCATCATGCTTAGAGCTTTGAGAAGCACTGTAAGACACATATTCTAATAAACACTCTTCAGATAAGCTATTAAAGTCAGTCTCCATATTACGAAGTATATACTTTAAACTTCTAAGTGTTTCGGAAATATACTTACGAACATCTCCATTATCTAGAATCTTAGGGTTATATAAACATTTAGCCTATGGACAATAAGAGCTATTCCACTAGTCTAAAATTCAAAGATACAAAAATAAAAATTCACGTACCTTTTCAGAAGACACTTTCATACTATTGGAAATTTCTGATTCTATAAAAAATGGAGCAACCCAAGCTTGGTATGTGCTAGGTTCTATACGTACACTTTTCCTTAGTTTTCCACTACTTTGAAGCATTTCTGTATTTCATATTAACATAAAGTACTCTGAAATTTAGCTGTAGAAAGGCTTCGCGGAATAAAAGGAAATATTTGGTCTTTTGGCAAAGTTCCTTTGCAAAAGTAAAATAGTAATCTTTTTGTCTAGCCCCCCTCCCCGTGTTTTGGTAATAAGGAGTAACAAGACTACCGCATATAGACCTTTGAATACCTACCGAAATTTGATTGGATCACAAAAGTGCGAAAACCTATCACGGTTTTGGATGCCAATCTGTTCATTTTGAGCCTATTTAAATCACCTTTGGTTTACTACAATTTGTACTTATTTAGAATTTGCATTAGTAACTAGGACTAAAGTGGTAAAAGGACACCTTATTATTCTGCTAAGTATTTCTAGAAGTTTAAATGACAAGATAAAACACTCACCTTGGATAAATAGATCTCCTCTTAAAAGTGATTTATTAAAGAAACATTAGTTCGAGTGAAATTTATGTGCCCTCGTCAGATATCACTAGTCATATAGTGAATATTCAAAATATTGGCATTAGTAATATTAGATAGAAAAAAGTACTTACTATGCCATAAGTTTTCAAATGTTTGAATAGTATTTCTAATTATAAAATCACCTCTCTTAAATAAGATATCTCATTTTTCTTCAGTATATAAAGGAATTTGTGTCTTAACCTAGTATATAAGATATTCTTTTCATATATATGATATTGGAAGAAATTCTCGTTTTCTATAAATAAATCAAGGTACAACCTATAACCAAATAAGTTTACTTTGCCTTTTAATATATTAGAAAATATATAAAATGATTAATTCAGTTACCAGGTAAATTGTTTAAGAAAAATATTTAGCGGAAGATTCACGCTCCACTTAACAGGGAATAAAAGTAGCCAAGTATCCACTACACTTGTGGTTTCATGCCTAATTTAGGTATTTTTTAATTAGAGCGGAAATAGTGAACAAATATAGAAATCTCATGCAAGAATAAGCAGATGTCTCCTTTTTTAAAATCTGTTGAAGATATCAGACGTAACTTAAGAAGTCAAAGATGGGCTGATATTGTAGATGATGAGAATTGTTTCAATAATGACAGCAATGCAAATTTTACTCATTATAAGAGAGATTTAAACCAATATGAGTTACCTGAATACCTTAAAGATGAGGAATCTTTAACTGAAACTGAGGTTTATGATTTTTTGCCACCAGTGAGATCTACAGGTGGCTTTAAGAAGAAGCTGAAGGATGCTGATGAGGAGAATTTAGATGAGATTTTGCAGGAGCTTAGTATTGACCATTACATATCAATATCTGAGGCTGTAGACACTAATGAGAAGTCTAGAAATAGAGTTTTAAAAGAGAATACTAACCAAAGAACTGCTAGTTCAAGTTCAGGCTATACTGGCAGAGCTTTGCATGAAATTCAAAATAGAAATAAGAAACAAAAGAGAAAAAAGAATGCTTCGAGACCTCATTTCTAATGTGTCTTGCATAGAGGATTTTAAAATTATTATTGGAACTTCCTAATATTAATTATCAGCTCTTAAGATATTGTGAACTTGAGCTTCTGGGATGCTAGTTTTAAAGTAGAGACTTATTATTAGCAGTATTCCTAAATATATACTTTTGATTGACACGTTAATTTTACTCTAACTTTTGGAGAGGTAAAAAAATTGATCATTAGATTTTGACCTCTGTACTTGTTTTAAATGCTAAGTGTGAGCACTATAAATTCTGAAAAGTAGATTTGATATTATAGTTAACTTGATGGAATTTCCTTTAATCTCTATTGGGGAATTTTTAGATGTTAAATGATTAATATATGAATCAGGTATTAGCTGATATGCTAAAAAATTAAGTATTACCTATAACTTCAGATCGGTCCCTCACGAGCTCAAATCGTATAGGTGGTTAGTACACCGCGTTGTGGCCGCGGCGACCCAGGTTCGAATCCTGGTTTGAGCATTCTTTTTATTTAACCCATTATTAAAGGTAAAGTGCGGTTACCTTGCGAGTTACCTTTCTTTTTTTTCCTATTTTTACTGAAAAAAGAAATTATTTCAGCAAATATTAAGATAGGAATCAAATGTATCAGATTCCATGGAATACTTTAGAATCATTTTCAATATCCAATAAAACAGCCTATCATATAGTAGGGAAGTGTATGAGGAGCCTGGAAAAGATAGACTCAACCAATAGTATGAATATAGATAATACTTATGGAAGCTCAAAAGTTAGTCAAGATATAATGAAACTTGCTTCTGAACAACTAAAGGCTATTAGAAAAGGATTTAAGTACTTAGAAAGTCATGAGAATACATGCTTTGAATTGCTGAGAGTATCAGGGTCTGTTCAATTACTACCTAGCTCCTTGTCAAACATTGAATCCTCAGTAAGCCAATATCTGAGCTGTTTTCTTTTTCATTATATAGCTGAATTTTATGGAGTTTGGTTATCTTTTCATAAACTTGAAATAAAAAGTAAAATGGGCTACATCCCAGAGAATGAGCCTAGTGGATCTTTTTTGTTGAATATTGTATTCAAAGCTTTGGTATTCAAACCAAAGGTGGGTGAAATTCTAGTTTGCAAAGTTTCCTACATCTCACCATCCTATATTTCAGGAATAGCTTATGGTTTTTTTAGTATAACTATTCCTTTGAAGTATATTAAAAATGAAAACTTCGACTATCATCCAGCTGACATGATTACTTATGAAACGAATTCTTTGATAAACAGAAATGATAGGACCAAGGTCATAAGAACTGACTCTTTGGTCCTGGTAAAGATCAAAAGTCTAAACTTCTCACATAATGGGGACTTCATAACTTCCATAATAGGCCAATTTGAATATATTGTGAAGAATGACCGTTAAAATATATTTTTTTTTTTTTTTTATCCTAGTCTATACATTTATATATATATATATATATACTTCTTCGACTAAATGAAATCATTTTAGATATTCAAAAGGTACAATATAAAACACAGAATACAGCACGGAGCAGAAGTTCAATACTCAATTCTATAGGGGATAACTTTACATGTTATTATACATTAAACTGATTTTCTTCTTTTGGATAATAGAAAGAGCTTTAATATACTTTTTTTGGTTTTCTCTTTCAAATATTGGGAGATACTAATCCAGAATGAGGCATTCTTGCAAGCAGAACTTAATTTTAGATAATTTAGTCTTGATTAGGAATGAATATAGAAGGAAAATTGTAATAGGACTTTGAAGTAGGAGTTTCCCCCAAGGTTACAAATAGTTCTTCATGAGATGTGTTATACGTTGATGAATTGGACGAACAAGAAATAATTTGAGAAACTAGTTCATCGTCAGGGTCGTCTAAGGTATCTATCTCATCTATGTCTTCCAAATGCATTCGGATACTAGAGTATCTGTTAGCATTACTACATCCGATAGTTTCCATAGAAATTCCAGCTTCTCCATTTATGGAGTTTTGAGATATTAAGTGTCTATTCGAAATCGAAGCTTTGTTCCCTCTTGAATCTAGTAATATAGCGTCAATGGGTGACGAATTTATTGGCACTTCCTTACTCACTTCCATATTATTTGGAGGAGAGCAGCAACTTGCTGCACTACATCCAATCGATCCTGAAGCGACATTATTTATATTAGGGGAGCGATTAATACTTACGAGATAGTTGGCTGTGCCTAATCTATTTACTAAAGTATTACTGTCTTTACTAGCTTGCCTTCCTCCACTTGCTTCATCAACCAAACTACTATTACAATTGCTTTGTTTAATAAAAGATACGTTATTGTACTCTTGCCAAGAGTTATTTCTAGTATCTCGTTTCTTTTCACATGAATCAATGTTAAGCCCATGACCTTGTAAGAGTTTAACTAAACGTCCTCCATCCCAAGAAGGTTTACAGGATATACGGGGGGTTTGATCAGCTGTAGAGATCGATTTCATTGAAAGTGGAGTATCACTTAGAGTATTTGGGGGAGGTACTGCGTTCCTCAAATAGGCTCTTCTCTGTAAGTGCTCATCCAGTCCGTTACAAGAGGCTGAATGGCTAGTTGAACTATACGAGGATACAAGTGGAGATTCACAGTTTCGTAGTAGAGTTCTTCTATAACGCCGTCTACCTCTAGTTGATGTTCTTCTATGAGTCGTGGAGGTATTCGTGTCACGTACATCAGTTATTAAATGAGGAAAGCATGAAGAACTTGGATATGGAGATTCTTCCTCTATGGGGACAATTTTTCTTGAATTTTTCAATGTGCTCTGATCTATATGATGTTGAGCTAAAAAATCTAGAGGATCCATTATAAAACTATTATTCCTATCACTGTTTGAGTATGGAAAAAATGTACTGTATTCCATTGGGATAAATCTAGGAAAGTGAAATCTAGCAGGACACGTTTCCGTACATATAAATTTTGTAGATCTAATGTATGAGCGCATTATTAAGTACGAGAACGGTCAATATTTAGAATTTCAGCTCGTGAGTTACCAAAAAAGTACCATACTGAAGATGCATGTATCGTTTGCCGCAAAAAAGCGCCCTTAACTTTTCGTCGCTAGTATATTAGGATCATCTTAATATATATAGCTACAAAATAAAATATTGCTTAGAAATCTAAATACTTTTTCTTATTATAGATAAAATTATTTATCATATAACTATTTAAATATACTTTTTCATTTTGTATTGTTTAATATCTAAATGCTTGTTAAGTTAATACATAAATTTATATGATGAGTATTAAGTACTTTACAATATCAAGAGATTGAATTTGGAATCCAGAATTGTTCATTATTATTTTCGCACATCTTTTCGTGATATATTTCTTATATGCGAGTTAATTCCCTAAAATTAAGGTGGCTATTGCGGTTACATTGGGTATAAGGTGACATCTATTTAACACTTGATTCAGCAATAAGTACCGTATTACTTAGTTTATGATAAAGAGAGATTACCTATTCACTTTCTTTTTATCTTAATTTAGAAGTCTCGATGTAATAAGTTAGTTACTAAATTAAATTATCAGAAAACTCTAGTTTCTAGGATATACTTTGCAACACATACCCAAGGTAAGGAAGTGGCAGGAATAGGGCGCTAGTAGGGGATATATATTTCTTAGATAAAACGTCATGTGATTAACAGTAGGTAGGGTATAGTAAGGCTATTCTTATAAAAAGCTCATCAACTTCGCTAGAATTGTATCTCAAGTATGGTAAGTTTCAAAGAATGTCAAGAAGTGCAGAAATATAAGTGAAATAGTAATATGAGCTCATAGATCAGAGGTACTTTATATAAAACTATTACTTTTATCTTAACTCAGATGTGATACGTAAGAAAGTAGATAAAGTATTTAGATATTTAATATCTTCAATTCACTAGTTTTAAAGTACAAAAGAAACATGGAGTTATAATTCTCATAATTGTCAAACATTAATATTCAATACCAATTGATCTGAGAGTAAATATTTGAAGATACAAATCTAACTTCTTTGAAGTTACAAGTCTAAATTAAAGTTAACTTCTTGATGCAAAGTATCTCCTAAATCTCCTTTATATTCATCATTAAATTCATCAAAACACATATGAGTACAGGTATTACCCATCTGTAGCTGTTTGAGATTATCAGTAAACTCAACGAGACATTCTTGATCTTCTGTTTCAATTGAATTGTTCTCTTGAATTACTGAGTCTAACCATGATACTGTAAATGAATCTTCATAGTTCCCACATCTCCAAAGTGATCTTTTAATTCTCCTATCTCCCGTTTGCCCATCAAAATCTTTTAATGGTATACACTGAGCTACAAAGTCAACTAATATATTCTGTTTATAGTCATCTCCTTCTTCAGTGGATATATCCCAATTGTTAAGGTCATAAAATTGTCCAAGTCTCTCTATTCGTGAAACATAAATAGTACGGAATTCAACAGTCTCACAAAAGGCAACTGAACATTTTGGTTTCTCTGAAGATAAGCTCTTTCTTCTTTGCGATGAACGTAATAACCCTCTTTTACCATTATCTATACATATTGCCGTCACCATATCTTCCTATCTTATTCTTGTAATTCCTAATTATATGTAATCTTAGTCTCCTCTAGTATCAAAACTAACTTCTTACTCTATCAGTGACTTACCCTATAATCGTCAATTCATTATAATATGAATATATTCAGGGTAAATTTGACAATAATACAAATACAAGAACTAGGACTCTTCTAGATTACAAAGCCACTATAGATGTTTATCTACTTGTCTTTATAATTATCCCCTAGTTAAAAGCAGGTAGCTCTGCTTCTGGGGGTTTCCCTTAATAATTTGCACCTATACGTCCCTAGCGGGTCTGCAAAAACCTCAATGTAAAATGTATCAAAACATACCAAAAAATACCAAAGAAATTTCTGAAAGTATGACAAATATGTCTTATTAACAATATTATATCGGAATATAGATGTAATTCTAAGTTTGAGTGAGTACTGTCACCTCTATTTCTTGATTTAGAGCTATTCTATAGATTCTTTTATAAGCTGTAGATAAAAACCGCCACAAAACCCGCCATGTCTTTGAAGACAGGACATATATTTTTGCTCTATATTTAATACCAGTCTAGCTAGTGGACTAGTACACATCCATTTGAGTTGGAGGTTATTTTATGCGACTATTATGCGTCTCTTTACGTATAGTGATTTTAGGTCTTCACTATAGCACATAAATAGACAGCCTGACTTGCTAAGAGTAGCCATATCACCTCATGGCCAATCTAAGTATTGTTAATTAAGTAGTTCAGACTTGACTTTAAGAGGGCGTATATAAATTAAATATATATCCATTTTGAGAGGGAACATAAATTCTCTTATATAAATTTGCAACTAGTGAAAAAGCTGTGCTAAGTAGTGAGCTATTGTTATGAACTAAGTACATTGTAACTGGGGATGAGAGAATAGTTGATATGGATACAGAAACGAGTGGTTTTTTGTGGTCGTTGGCAGATATTGAGAATGATTGCCCACTTTGTTTGCGACATTTGGGTCTAATGAATAATATATCTAAAATGGTGCTACCATGTTGCCAACAGGTCGTATGTGAGAGCTGTTTCAACGATGAAATGCTCAAGAATAATAATAGTTGTCCTTTTTGTTTGTGTAAAGGTATCAAAGGCCAAAAGTTGGGTAGCTCAAGCAATGTTACACCTAGTAATACAAGTACGAATACAAATAGTAATCCTAGTACAATACCATCTAATGGTCTGAGTGTTGGAACAGGAAGCTTACCTCTGGATTTAAGCTGTTGGCTTCCTCAAAATTTGACTGCTATATGTAACCCTGGTCATCAGTCGAATTGTTCCAGTACATCTGCAACATCACCATATTATAAAAGTAACAGTGCGAATAGTATAGATAACTTTCCTCAAGATAGTTTGGTATATATTAGAGGTAACTCTTCTACAGCTAATATGAATGTAGGTACTCCAAATACTGTGAGCTCAACTGCTGCAACTACAACATCAGCAACAGCTCCATTTGGATCTTTAAGTGATGGGTTTTGGAATCATTCACCAAATTCTACTAGCAACACGACAGCAAGTAATATTAATGGTAGTTCACCTTTTATGACAGATCCATGGATGTCGTCGGGGACTTATTCTCCATCAAGTGGCTTTCTTCATGATTTCAACTGTTATGATAACAATGCAAATAATCCTAACAGCAGTAATATAATAGGTGAGGTTAGTACTACAACTGGTGCTATGAATGGCAACTTGAATGTACCATCTGGGAGTAATAACAGTGATATATATCACAATAACTCAATGTATACCTGGACTGTTCATAACCCAATGAATAATTTACACACATTTACCCAAGTTAACCATGGAACTCCCAATGCTTGTACTATAGCTGATGTTGACTTTCAGAGGTTCTGTTTTGGACTGGGGATAGATATAAGTGATACGAGTGATATAAATAATGGGAAGAAATCTGTAATATCTGTCAATAATGTGACGAGTAAACAGAAGGAGTCGGAGGGTTTCAATTTGACAGGTGACTGTAGTCATAATATTGGTTTGAGCCCTCAACTTAATCCTAACATAACAAGTTTTTCAGATACAAAAGGTGGTAGTAGTGGATTAGTTAGCTCTAGTGGAGGTACTCTTGGAAGCAACTCCAATACAAGTGGGCTTAGTAATATAAGTAATAGTGGAGGTTCTGTAAATAGTGCACAACAAGCTGCATATAGTAGCTCTGCATTTCCTCCATTAACTAGTGCCACTATTCGTCAGAACTCTTCAAAGGATGCAATGGGATCCTCAGGGAAATCCAATTCTCAAGTAAATATAGCGAATTTTACAAGTGATACTTACTCCCAAAATTTTGGCACTTCTGTTACAAGTCCCCACCTTTCTAGTACTTGCATACCAGGTTCTAATCAGAATGTAAATAATAATAATCCAGTTAGCACCACTAAACTCATATCGATGCTATCTCGCTCAGAAGTTTCTTCTAGTAATGGTAGTTCTATGACCTCTGTTAAAGGTGCAACTAACTCAAATAGTCACCAAAATAGTGGGGGTGGGAATTTATCTACTGTTAGTAATGTTTCCTATATAGATGCAGTATTACATAAGACTGATTGTGGGAAGAGTGAAGGTGGCAATAATAATATACCAAGTGATGTAACAGTAACTAGTACAAATATGGATGGTGAGATGCCTTCTATTGCTATAGGAGCTAATGGAGAACCATATAATTATAAGAGAGCTTTATGCAGACATTGGATGCGTGGTTATTGTTGGCTAGAAGCTGATTGTAAATTTGCTCATGGTGAAGTTGAACTGAGAACAAGAGATGGTAAATTGAGACATCCAACGTTGACAGGTGATAGACAGCAAACTCAACAAGGGCATAGCCAAACTCAAAGTCAATCTCAGCAGTCATCCAGTAACAACATAATTGTGTCACCTACAGTTTTAGCATCGTCATCATCCAATGGTAAGAGTTCAAAACAAAATCCTAACAAGTCTAATGTAGCGAGTTATGCAGCAACAGCTGCTAGTAGTTTGTCCAGTACGGGCGTAGGAAGCAATTCTAATGTCAGTTACAGTGTGATTGTAGCTTCAGGTACCTCGACTACTGACTCTAAGCGAGGATAGAACAGTGGTGACTAAAAAGAATACAATTAACACTTGGGATATTTGGCAGAAGCTATTGCAACTTAATTCAAACAGCATTTGTAATTTGGAAATGCTAATATCTTTATATTTGATAATTCAGCTGTAGCTCCTAAAATCATATTGTATGCCTGCTATAGCTTAACTTAATTAGAGTTGCTTGGAAGTTTTTATATCTTTTTATATTATACTTATACTTATACTTATAGGTTTTATTCAGAAATTGCATCCCTAGTAAAACTAGAAATATTTTGGATTTGTATCATTGCTGATAGGATGGAAGGATAGATCAGAAGAACAAAGATTATGTTTTTTCTTCTCTAGAAAATAATTATATGAGTTTTAACTGCAACATTATTATTAGAAGGAGATTACCAGGGTCCCCTATTACTCTTAATTTTTATGATTCTTATCACTACATCTAATAATAATGAGATGTGAATTGTAGACACCTTTTCAGGTGATTCTTCCAATCATTGTAACTTGGACATCTCCTAGTTTACAATGTTGTAATATTTATTTAGGAAAATAATAATTTGCTTTTCTTTAAAATGACATTGAGTTTGACTACTATTCACAACAACTTCGCTTTAGGGGGGAGTGACGTAGTTGAATAACTCCCACTAAGATATTAGAATATTACTCTCTTATCTACTGGCTTCGTTTTATAGAGCAATTAACTTTGAGGAGATTAGATTGCTTATGTGCATTGTGAGCTTAAGTGCTAAAACTCTGTTCATCTGACTCAGAAACCATGCAAGATAATGTTTCAAACTTTGGGAAATGTTTTTATTTAAATTGTACACTAAATCTAAAGTTAGCTAGGATAGTCATTTCAAAGTGTCTATTTCGTGCTTTGTATACTTTTACTTCCTCGAGATACCTTTATCTTGCTAATTGGTTTATATTAATAAATACAAATTAGATCGAGATTACCCCCATTAACCTCAAAATTAGCAAATAGACAATTTTATAGTCAGTCTGAACTTCGCAGAAGTGAAGATATAAAGCAGTACTTGACTATCTTTTCAACCGCGTCACTAATAGTAATATATTCTTAAGTGCTTCAATATGATGCAAATGAGTTCTAAAGCTGCACTTGTATCTCTCTTTAAAGATTTAAGATTAATCAGCTGTGTCTTGATATTAATGATTTTCAATAAAATTGGAATATTCCAACTTGAAATATTATCTATCTAATATAAGATTATGCAGAAATTCACTGAAATCTCCATCTCTATTGGTTTTTCATTTAAGATTTAGACAAATAGTGAATACTGTGCAAACTTAGTATAAGCTGTTCAGCTTATACATTATAATTAGAGTATATAGGTAATATTGGAACTCAAATTTCTTAAATTTATCCATATAAACATTTTCATCAGCCAAAGGTTAATGTGTATGTCTAATTTTTTCCTTTCTCTAATAAAAAAAGATCATTTAAGACTAAATAGCTTGATTAAAATTTATTTGTTTATTTAATTGATTTCTTTAAAGATATAATATCTCGATGTTATTCTAGAACAAGAGGATTATTCTCAAAATCATAATAGTGAAATATTCCATCAAAATCTGGGTTACTTTTACCATTATGTTCTTGATGTTCTCTACTTGGATATTTGATTCCTTTCTTTTGTAAGTATCTAAGAAATATTGCGAATATCTTGTACTCCTTAATTTTGCTTAAGGATAAGTTCTTTTTGGAGGTAAGTTCATCTTTGTCCTTAATAACATATACCCTAGTAAGCTTCCCATTCTTGCAACCATATAATACTATCTGTGACTCTATCTCATCAGATGTCTCCCTATCCTTGAATACTTCAAAATCTAGACAATATGACTCTTTCGGTGTTATTTCAGTAAACAACCTCTTGTTGATTGTAATCAATCTATGACGTTTATCCTGACCATTGTGGGTAGTAGATGAAGATTCAACAATGGATGGGCCATGTTGTTGGTTAATCACATACCAAGTAATAAACTGTTGCTTTGTCAATTCTCGTCCACTCATATCTTCAGCAAGAAAATCGTCTGGATTTTCAGCTAACAAGTCATCCAGCATTTTTGCCGTTGCCTTGTCACAACGCTTAGATTCCTCTAAGTTACGCAGTTCTAGTAAACGTTCGCACAGAGTTGCGCATGTTAGACTGTCTCTTGGGGGGGAACTTGTGTTGTTGTGGGGAGAGGAATCTCTTACTCTAGTCGCAGGAGGTGATATCTGTTTATCTCTACCTTTTGACTGTGAGACAGAATAAGATGGCTGCCACTTTTTATTTGAGTATTCGTCTTCTAAATAAGCTCCTTTATCTTTCTTATCGCAGTTCAGCTTGTGGCGCTTTGATTGATGACGTAAATAATCTTCTTCATAGTCAGAGGATGACTCATCTCTGTATCTTCTAGAATACCTACTACTTCTATTTCTGTAATTGCGTTCAGGAGAAGATTCGTCACTGGAGTAATATCGACGTCCACGACGATAGCGGTCACGCTTATCTTCTATAGAAGAATAAGAGGATCTAGATGATGAACGAGAGCTAGAAACGCTAGCTTTACGTCTTCTATAGCTATACCTCCCGCTTCTATGATTACGTGATGTTCCAGGTATATCAGATATGTCTGAAGAATCAGAAGATGAGCGACAATTACGACTGCGATACTCACGTCCTCTTCTATACCCTAAGGAATAACGATCATATTCTCTATCTCTTCCTCGTTCCCTATCTCGTTCCCTATCTCGTTCCCTATCTCGTTCCCTATCTCGTTCCCTATCTCGTTCCCTATCTCGTTCCCTATCTCGTTCCCTATCTCGTTCCCTATCTCTTCCTTTATCTCGTTCCCTATCTCGTTCCCTATCTCGTTCCCTATCTCGTTCCCTATCTCGTTCCCTATCTCGTTCTTTATCTCTCCCTTTATCTCGTTCTTTATCTCTCCCTTTAGCCTTGTTGTACTCTCTTTCCCAGTTATTATCTTCTCTTGTGCGTTCATTAAATCCATAGTTACTGTCTCTATTTCTGTTTCTTACTACATCCCTATACTTCTTCCCTTCTCTGTATCTATCCCTTTCATATTCATAGTCTCTGCTTTTATCACGACCGTAATCTCTTCCTTTCTCATTGTCCAATTCATACCCACTATCACGTCGCTCGTTATCTCTAGATGGTCTTCTTCTGTCATCATCCCAGCCATAAGAGCGATACTTCTCATTTAAATAAGGAGATCTGGACCTTGAAGAACCCATTGTAGATTTATTCTCAGTGTTCATAACGAAAAAAACTCGCGATTTATAAATCCAATAACTTTGTACTGTTATAGCCCCAGTACACCATCACACCTTATGTTTCAGGCGGCATATTTTGGTAACTCTAAAATAGGTAAACCAAACCAAAAATAATGCTGAAATTGTAAAATTTAAGGTATTAATTACAATTTTGCTCAAATATAAATTTAAAGAATCCTTACAGACTTATTTTTGGAGTTGAAGCTTAGAATCTAATAGATAAGTATTTTGTAGGTGTGTATACAATATTTTCTTAATAACTTGTAGGTTAAGATGTTCAGTGAACTTGTGTTAAACTAAAGATATATCAATGAATTTTACATCTTTACTCACTTCATTTGAGAATAGCTTTAAGAGAGCAAGGTGCTAGGTAGTATAGGTATTTGCATTTAGCGGGTTAATGTATCTGGAGTCACTCATTCGCAGCAATTCTTAGCTCAAACGCCTCAATACTGATTATACAAGCAATTTTACTTAATTACCAACAATTGGAAAATATATTTAAAATATTGGGTATAAAAATTTATTATAGTCTGTGAGCTTTCTTTAAGGTAATTAAGAAGCTGACTTCAAGTGATATAGCACCGGTTTAATGGACTCTAAACAAAGGATAAATAAACAGAATGACATTTTACGACATTATATAAGCCCAGAAGTTGGTACTGGCTTATATTCCAGTGAAACTCTACTAGGAAGTAATTTGAAATCTCAAATAGAATGTGACTATATCAGACCAAATAATATAAGTGAAATATATCCAATACAGTCAAGTCTTTCAACTTCTAGTACAATTAATGAAACTATGCCACTAATATCATCATACACAGGTCCAAGAAGATCTTTGAATCATTCCCAGTTATATCAGAGTTCTATATGCTCTCCAGTATTGAGTAGTACACCATATTCATTAAATAGTACTCGCCAACATTCTCCACATTTTTCATTAAGTCCTGCTTCTTCTCCAAGAAATATCTCTCCTCCTCCACTAGATATAAGTTCGAGCTCTATAAATATAGGACTTACAAGTTCTACCACTTCACCTCGCTCTCATATACCTCAAATCCCATGCACTAGTTCTAAGCTCAGCCCCTTGATTGGAGCTGAGAGTACAAGAGCAGAAAGTGGATTACTTCAATTAACTGAAAAGGTAATTAAATATGCTAGGCAAAATCGAGATTTAGAGATTGATTTACAGGAAATAGAATATAAACTAGGTGTACCGAGAAGAAGGTTATATGATATAACAAATGTACTTGAAGCAATAGGATTATTTGTGAAAATTCGCTGTAATGTCTATAAGTTGAATTTAGATATACCAAATAGTCTACTACATGGCTATGAAAATGATGATAATTTAACTTTTTATATGCAAATGCTGAGGGATACTGAGCAGAATATTGAATTTGTTCAGAAGGAAATTAATCAGTTGATATATAATGCAGAAGAAGAAGGGATATTATATGCTGATACTTATATGCTATCAGGATTATTTCCTACTAACTCAAACAATGTAGTTTCTATTGAAATTCCAATTTATACAGACATAATTTTAAATCGAAATCAATACTCCTATCAACTACTTAAATCTATTAGAACAAGAGTAGTATGGAATAAAGAATCAAATAAAGTTTTATGTTCTACTAATTCAGATCATAAGTGGAATATTTTATTGCAGAATATGGACTTACCATTAAATATAAATACTTTACATGGCAATATAAATGTAACAGAGGAAGAAAGTCAATTAGTACATTTATTAGAATTTCCAGAAATGAAGAGCATTGTCAACAATTCTATTGGTCATCTCTCACCTAATGAGCTATAACTCCTTTGAGAATATATAAAATTACTTAATTATGTCTTAAAATATGCTTAAAATTTAAGACTTTCTAATATGGGCGTATTCAACTTTTAAATTAAAGGAAGTTTTTTTTCAGTGAAGTATGCATGAAAATCATTGAGGCTAGCACTAAATTTAACTATATTACTTCACATTAATGTTATTGGGATTTTGGCTGATCGTAATTTGCAGAATAGCGTGTAAATATCCTGCATAAAACTCAGCTTGTAAACATGCAAAACAAGTTATAAATGTGTCCCTTTTCTCCTCAAAATGAGAATTTGTATCTGTCAATTTAATTTGTGAATATTGAATAATTACTATTTAAGTTTGTCTGTATTCCACATATACAATAAAACTTACTACACTCTTAGAGTTAGTCTAGTACGTTTTACTCAACAGGTCTTCTGCTAAAAATGTTAGAAAGGGATAAATAACTTTTATGAACTATATTATAGAAGTAAATGAAGCTAATTAATACTTTTAAAGTGGGTAGAGCATATTATAACGAAAGTCGGGTATTTATTAAAATTTGGAGACTTAGTTAAGATTTAGGTATAAACAATTATAACTATTTGAACTAGAATATTTTCAGTATGTTCAAAAAAAATAATTGCTCTAAGTTTATACATTACAATGGAAAGTTTGGGATTACTGAATGATTGTGGAACTTTCGACTACTATCTCTGATAACATATATAGTACACACTTGTCTAAATATTATAGATTTCGTCTTAGCATTTCAACTTACTTTCTAAATATTTGCTATCTTTGTTATTTCAAAATTCAACAAGTTATCTGATAATAGGTGTAAATTCATCATATTTAAGAGATAGTAATATAGTTAATATTCTAAAAGGAATTCTTTGTGTTGTAGTATAAAAATTATGAGATGTTTTACTATGTTTGAGTTATGTGGATTTAGATTGCTTATATATTTCAAGTTTATCTATATATAGTGAAATGTGTAAATTGTGAGGTTTTATATCCTTTAATAGTAATGGTGAATATTTCTCTTTATCTTTAGAATAAATTGTTTTCTGTAATTTTTCCTTATTATATTTTTAAATTGTATTTATCCCTTCATCCTATCATAGTGTGAATATTTAGATATAAATTTGTATTAAAACATTCTAGCTGAGTTTGTCTTTTATAATAAAAAATATCTTTTCTTCGTTTTGACTCTTCAAGTTATTTTATAAGTAGATACTAGTTCATTTTCTTTTAACAAAAAAGCAAGTTCATAAGATAACTGAGTCAAAATCCGTACCTAAATTTTGTATATTCCTAAAGAAATTTATAGCTTAGTTGGTAATTAATCATAATATATCTTATAGAGTGAAATATGCCTTAAAAGTGACAAACTTAAATATAATTTGAGCTTCAAGAGCTTTAAGGTAGAAATTAAGTTAGTAACCACTTTAGTATAGTCAAAGTATTGTGAACTTAGTGTACAGCTATAGAGTTTTATTTAGAAAAAGTTAAGTCATTTCAATTTTAATTTGTTCCCTAGGTTAATTATGTTTTTGCCAGTTTGTGTGGCTTCTCATTATAGCCACTTTCAGAATTTTCCGTCAAATCCAATAAATCCACATAACAAAAATATTGGGAAGAATGCCTTACTCTCAATTCTTGAGCACCAATTCCAAGCAGAAGTTAATCTACCGTCTATACAAGATCCTGCATCAAAAAAATTATCAGCTCCTCCTCCATCAAATCCATGTTTGAAAAAGTCAGCTAAGATAATTTTCTTGAGTTTCTCGCAGCCCCCAAAACAATTTTCAACAAAAATCTTAAGATATTTATTTCCATTAATTACTTCATCTATACTTTCAAGACACAAAACTATTGGAGACAAAATCTTTGGGACTTGTAAATATTTATCAATGAACATCAAAGCATTAGGTACATTTCTATCTCCTAAGTGTATCACAGAAGATCCAACCCAACTACCGACTTCACTTTGAACTTTAGAGACTATTTCACACATTGCCTTGTAGAGTCTTGGAGCTCCTTGTATCCGATGAATCCCCTGACCAGTGTTTCCTAGACGATATCTGTTCTTCTCATCAAGAAGATCATCCTCAGCTATACACCATAATCTCATCATATTGTCCATAACTTCTCTCCACATCGTTAAACTTTGCAAGACATAAAAGTATTGGCGATTATGATCATGATTAAGACGAGAAGACATTCCTTTACTCCCTATTAAAGATAAATTAATATCACTGGGACAATTAGGATCAAAGTAATCTTTCAAAAACTGAATCATCTTATTAATAGGGTCCCTATTATAATATAAAAAGACATTATGGTCATTTAAAGAGTATATACACAGCTCCAGTTCATCTTTGGTTATTTTCTTGTCAGTTAGCTCCCTATTCTTATTTCTAAATAAGCCTCCAGAACTTGATATAAGACCAGATCCTGAACAATTTTCATTTTCTTCTATATTACTATCATTGCTTCTAGTATACATCCAAAATCTACTAAAGGGTCCCCCAATTCCTTTTGAGTTGTTACCTTGGCTGGACTCAATGCTATATCTGCTTAAAATATCTTTTATTGCCATTCTCTTCCTAGTTAAACTCTTATTAAGTAAATTTCTGTCTTTATTGTCTTCAATATTTCTTGTTGCTTCATACAATAATGGGTCATTTAGCAACTCCAAACAGCCCTTGCTGTTTAAGAAATCATATACCGTCAATATAGGTATACAACACTTAAACTGTAATAATTCCTGAATTTCCTCTTTTTGAGTATCCATTAATAAATATAACAACTTCCCATAGGAGTCTCGCATCTTCTCAGGGTTAAGCATTTTATAACGACGAGCTATCTCAAACATATTTTGGAAAAAGATTTCATTATCTTTAAAGTTGCGGTCGTGTACTAGTTTCTGACCATTTTCATAGTCAAATGATACAGCCAGACCACTAAGTATAGCACATACCTGACGTACTTCGTTAACAATCCTTCTTGATTTATTCTCGCATATCACATCTACTCTATCTGTGTACTCGCTTACTTCCAGTGCACCTTCAATTAGTCTTAGCATTTGCCTCTCTTTAACATCAATTCTCAGTGGAACATATTTAGCAGTGTTGATGATTTTCATTATATTTGGACCGGCAAAAGTCTCACTAATGTCTAAATATATATCATCATGTAATGTATCTGCACATTTTCTGGCGTAATTCTGATCGCTGGTCTTATTTTTAAAGTCGTGTGTTCCTAAATATTCTTTAGCTATATCTCTCAGTACTGATTCAAATTCTCCTCCTCCCAATACCCTGTCTAATATATGAATGACTTCGCGTTGATTAAGAGCATGTAATAAATTCAAATTTTCAGACTGAATATGTTTAATAATACCCTCGTTAGTCTCACTATCATTTTCATAGTTCTCTAAATAACAATCCAAATGAGCAACTTCCCCATTTTCAAGGATATCTTTGAGTCTATTGGAAGCACTCATAAATTTCAAAATACCGAGCCCCAGCAATAAATTTAGATCAATTATATCTAACTATAAACCAGAGATAAGTAGTTAAGATGTAGTTGTTAAAATTAAGTCTAAAGTCTAGCTTACTTTTGCGCGACTTTTATTCATTGTCGATATACCGCCATTATTCTTAAGGCTAAGGAAAAGAGAAGTTTTTGCTATCATCCTCTTACAATTTAAAATCCATACTCTAGCTTTCTCCTCCTGCCGAAATTCACTTCTCTTATAAGATATAAATACTTTAGCTGATAAGGAGATTGCTTAAATCTATTTTAGCGGGGTATTTTATTTTGTACCATTACACTTCAAGCCCCACTAAAAGTAGCAGTATAAAAATAAGGACCGTGCCAAGAGCTTGCATAAAGATTAAGTAATTTTAGATATTTAATAACGCTATACTTTAAATTAGATATTGAGACGATAACCTTATATTTATAATCAATGAGTGGTGATTTTGCTGTTCAGGAACAAACTAGGCTAAAAGATCTGCTACTAGACCGTCAGGAAGCTTTGAAAGAACAAAGGAAGGTTTTAGAAAGTATTAATAAGCAATCAGATACACTAAAAATTGGAGATGACATTGATAACATAATTAACTCTATATTAAATGAGGTGGGATTAAATGAATCCATCTTTACAGTTAGTGACACCCCCATTTTAGCCACTAGCACTGGTTCTTTAAAGGAATATACTCCTACATATAGAAAGGGTTTACAACCAGCTATAGCAATTGTAGATCTCAACATAACTGAGGTCAGCAAAGAACACTTTGAGAAGAGCACACAAGCTGATACCACTGATAGCACCCCTTGCAACATATCTGGATTAGCTACTGCAAATACTTCCAATAAATCATTTAAAATATCGATTCCAGTAGCAAATGTTAATGATACTTCTCTTATTGATAATGAAGCTTTGGCAGCTACAACACCTAATACAACAACTTCAGCTGTTAAAGTATCAAGCTTTTTTGATGAATATAATGAGAATAAAGGTGAAATCTTGAAGAGTGGTGAATTTATAGAGTTCTTTAATAAGACTTCACGTATTATAGAGAGAACTTTAGGAGAAAGTGCAATTTTTGATCCATTTTTTGATATCAGAGTAGATTCTACTGTCACAAGTCCAGATATTGCACTTGGATCATCTACAAGCACAAATCCAGGAAATATAGATAGTATTACGAGTAATGGGATATTTAAAAATAGCCAGCTATATCACTGTGAATTGTCGATAAATCGTCCTATTATGGATATTAAAAGTCATTCAGCCTATCCAGAATACTTCATAGTGGCCTATGGGAGCAAAACAAATCAACTATTAAATCCATCATCTACTTCAAATCCTACAATTTTGGACTATGGTGGGTGTGCACTATTATGGTCTATTTCAATGCCAAGGAAGCCTGAGCTTGTATTTATAGCTTCTAGTGCAGTACTTAGAGTCTCATTTAATCCTTATAATCAACATCGTTTTATTGGAACTACATACAATGGAGAAATCTTAATTTGGGATTCTCGCAGTGGAAAGATACCTGTGCAAAAGACCAATACAATGATTTCTAATACAAACAATATGCATTGTTTCCCTGTATATTCAATGGAATTACTTGGAAACAAAGGAGCTCAAAATATTGTATCAATAGATGCAGACGGCAAAGTTTGTAGTTGGAACTTGACAAATATAAATGATCCCATTGAATCTTTCCAGTTAAAAAAGTCCAATTCCAGAGATATTGCAATAAAGTGTATGACACTATCTAAACTCATTAATCCAAACAATATCTACTGTGGTGCTGAAGATGGAAATATATATCAAACCATTATAAAAACAAATAAACCAGGAGTTATTCATAATTCTGTTAATGCTCATAGTGGATTTGTGACTTCTCTAGATTATCACCCAATATGTGACTGCTTTCTTAGTGCTTCTGCTGATTGGACAGTTAAACTCTGGTCTCCCAACTCAAACACTACAGTAATACAAAATACAACCACAAGTTCTTCCTCTATCACTCTTCTCTGTACCTTTGAATCTAGCGAAAATTATGTGATAGATGTAGCTTGGCATCCTATTCACCCAGGTATATTTGCTGTTGTTGATGCAGATAACAATTTAATCATATATGACTTAACCCAAGGAAACTGGCAAGCTCCCGTATGTAAAATTACTACTTCAAACAATAATTCAAACACCTCATTAAATATTGCAAATTCTATTAATTGGTCTAGTGATGGAACAAGACTTTTTATAGGTTATACGAATGGTGACTTAATTATGTGTAACACAGATACGAAAATCTATCAGCCTAGTAGGAATACATGGAATCTCTTTAATGAGAGACTTGAGAGTTTCAAATTTAATAATGGAGACACCAGCAATTCTAGTCCCAACCTAAGCAAATCAGATAGAATAAATTCTACTGAGAATATGGATGACACTAATTATGATTAGTTTAGATCTTAGTTTAGTAATACTTTAGATTTGGAGGTTCAATTCATCTATATTTAAATCGTTCCATAGTGCAATTTCAAATATGTACCTTTTTTCCTAATATTGAAACCTTCAGATTTATTATTAGTAATTAAATATACTTTGATTTAAATATGGTTCACTATTAAACTAGTTAGTCTAGTCCGAGTGAAAATTTATTACTGAATAGAAAGTATTTGAGAGACTGGCGCGTAATGGCCGCAAAGGTTCTTGTTTGTGGATTTTTGGTTCTTCCCCATTATTACTTGGAAGATTTCCTTTAAGATTGCATAAATTAAGCACTTCTAGAAAACCTTAGATATTAAAAATGATGACTGAGGGGATTCACTTAACTGACTTGGATTCGTTAGTTAAAGATCCTAAGTGTGTGGAGGATCTGAGGGATCTAGTCAACGAGAATATTGACAAATACTCAAAACAGATAAATAGTGAGAACTCCTCGCAAATATTAGAGATTATGTTGCAAATAGAAAAGAGGTGTAGACAAGCCTTTGATGGAGATTCACTCTGCATACTAGCTGAAAAGATAATAATCTGGTCTGAAAAATATGGAAGTTTGGATACATCCCTTGAATACCTACAATTACTTTGTAAAAAACGTGGACAATTGAAAAAAGTAATTTCTCATATTATTCATATATTCATGAAATGGTTAATTGATTGTGAATATATTAAGATCGAGTGGTTTGAGTCAAATAATCACGGAGAATTAAATATTTTTGCAAAATCCAATGAACATTCTCCCTTAATATCTACTGAAGACTGTATAAAAGTAATTACAGCATTGAATGAGATAACAAAAGGGAAGATATACTTAGAACTTGAAGCTGCACGTCTAATGATTATATTAAGCAGAATCAAAGAGAGCCAAAATAAAGTCAAGGAAGCATCAAATATACTGGAAGATATAACTATTGAGACTATTGGAAATATGGAAATTAAAGAGAAGTATCAATATATTCTAGAGCAAATGAGATTGGCTTTGTTGTGCAAGGACTTTGTTCGTTTGCAGATATTTGCCAAGAAGATAAACACAAAAGTACTCGACAACTATAATGATTTAAAACTTATATATCATCAGTATCTTATATACTTATGGTTATATGAACAAGAGCCTTACGAAATTGCTCAGTGTTATGCTAATCTCTTGGATTCACTAATCACATCATCTTCTAGTGACAATCTTGACACCTTTAGCTCTATACCAAATCATATAAAGATATTTAGTTATCCTAAACTCGATATATCATTATGTATCGAAGGATTTATATTTTATATGGTTCTTGTACCATGCTCTGAGATTAAAGATAATGAATTAGCACGATTCAAGAAGAAGTATATAAAGTATATTCAACAAAAAATTCCATATTGTGAATACTTTATTGATAATTATTTAAATAAGGAAGTTCTTTTTTTTGAGAATACTAAGTTTTTTACATATTCTATACCATCTTATTTTGAACAACATATAAAGAAATCAGACATCTTTGTGCGAGACAGCAATATTGAGTATATTAGAATGGATTGTTTAGACAACAGAAATATGTTAGTTCCCAAGATGTATTATCAATATCACAAAAGATGTAAAATTAATTTGTGTATAGCCTCCGATAGACTTAAACTATTTTTACATCGGATACAACAAAGAAATTTATGCATCTTCTCTAGATATTATAGAACTATTACTTTTGAAAGAATACAAGAACTAATAAATATTGATGAAGTTGATTTGCAAATTGAGGTTAACGACTTAATTGAACGGAGGTTGTTTTCTGCAAAAATCAATCAACCTGAACGCTATATACACTTCAATTACTCAGACAACTCTAACTCTACATTTGTATTCAACAAATATCATTCTAATATTAAGGATATCTTAAACAAGCTGGACTTAGTTAATGACCTTATCTCTAGTGATCAAATGATCCACCAGTTTAGAGTAAAGAGAGACGCTACACATGCATAAATAGGAGACTTGTTCTAAGTTGTAATTTCTCAAACTATAAGTATACTTTGAATACTATTTAGTAAATCTTATGAGATCAATGGAGATTGCTACTGTGAAATTTACAAATACATAAATAACTAGTTAGAAAGTTTTTTTTATGGAGCTATATGAGTCAACTTCTGTAAGGTATACTAATTACAAGTGTTAAGTATTTCATTTAATCTAATAAAAAAACTCTAATATACATCTTTTTTAGTTTCCTCTATAGTTTCCTCTTCATGGTAGTATTTATTTGATCTGGTACTTCATTTTGATCATTTAGTGAATAAAATTTTGTATTTACTGATTTATTTTGCTTGTTGTGTTCCCGTTCTATCTCTTTCTTTATATTCTTGTTACTCAACCATTGCTTATATAGTATATTTATTTCTATATTTGACAGTGCAAAGTCGTATATCTTGAGATGTCCAAATAAACCAAACGGGGCTATATAACTACCTTTTGGTGACTTTAGATTACCTATACATGAAATCCATGGATCTTGATGATGAGGTAGTTCTATACAATTATTCTTCTTGCCAATACAGTTTGAGTTAACATAAACAGTTATTGTATTGTCTTGAGATGTATTGAACACAACTACTATATGATACCAACCATACTCTAAGTGTTGTCTTAAGTTTATGTCCCATGACATAAAGTGTGTGCTATGGCTTTTTATCTTTACAACATTCTCACTACTATCTCTACTGCTAAGGTTTGTGCCACTTAATGTCACTTTTTTTTGTATAGAGCCTAGTTCTTCATTGAGCCCAATAACAATAAATCCAACTCCATTTGGACTTGATAGCAAACAATAAGGATGTTTTGTTAGCTTAAAGGGTACAAATATCCAAAATTCGCTAGTCCAGTTTTTGCTCAGTCGTACAGGTGGATCTAGCAGTATCCTTCCACCTTCACTAAAGTAGCCAGATTTTTTTTCTAATATATATATTTGTGTTGGATCTATACATATATTCTCATTTGTTGGTCCTCTGTGTGTAGTTATTATACCATAACTCTTCAACCTTATAGGTGTATCATTATCACCTGGTATTGAGTAAACGCTTGCAATATCTTTATATTTAGTATTTAAGAATATTTCTACGTGGCTATATAAGGGCGATTGATATTCAATTTCATCTAACCAGTACAAAGATCTGCAAGTACTAAGTGCAACATTGTCTATTGCTTTTTCACCTACTTCATTTGTTATTTTTGTTAGATATCTTACTTTATTGCAAGGATTTTGAATAATTTGGAATTCACCAATTATTTGGTTATAATCAAATTGTAACAGTAGATCGTCTGTTGAGCTCCAACTTGATGCCTTAGTTAAATAATTGTATGATATAAAGTCAGCATGTACTTCTATGGGGTCAAAAGGTATATTAAATATTCTTGGGCATGTGAATATACCAAATGCGTTCTCTAAATATATGCTATTACCAATCATTATAACATCGTCAAAGCTACAATAAGAGCTAATTCCCATAATCTGTCCATCTATATAAAATTCCTGTATCCAAGTGTAATTTGAAGTTATATTTAAACTTTCATTCATCAAATTTAATCCTTTATATTCCATTCCAGTATTAATATTTGAATAATCTTCATTCAAGTTATTTTTATTTAAATTAATATTCCTGTTCTGAGTTGCATTTTTCTTTGTTTTATTGTTATTCTCATAATCTGCTTCAGAATTCTTTACATTATACTCAGTATTATCAGTGGCTGAATAATACTTACTATTCCTATACATTAGTCGTGGTTTCCCAACTACTGTCATCATGTGCCAACCCATTGGTAAATTTGCACGTTCCAGATTTAACCCTGATGGATAAAATTTTTGACCACTTTTCAGTGTGAAACCTTTAAATACACCAACGTCCATAGTCCCACTAACAGCTAGGTGAGCATCATTCCTACCACAAAACAAAACAGTATAGTTATTTATTGTATCTAACACTGTTTCATTGCGAACTGAATCGCCTAAATTATATGAAGCCAAACTATCCATAGGGGCATTACTTGTGCAGTCTATTGAAGTTTCAGTCTCAACTCTTAAATAAGATTCAATTAGCAATGGATAATGAAACCATACAGTCATTGTCCAACCATTATGTACTGTTTCTCGCATTTCATCAGTACCAGATGAACTATTCTGCTGATTAGACCTTATAACTGAAATTTTCTTTTTGATCTTTGTTGTTAGCTCAACTGATGGCTTTATAAGCAAGCCAGAATTGTTACTTTTTGTATTGTATCCTAATAGTAAGCATTCTACCATTCCTGGACCTGGAACTATGTTTGGCTGATACAGATATGGGTTTTCCTTGTAATTAGACATATCATCAATGTTAATATTTTTATAGTCATCTGAAATTTTGCATTGCAAGTCTGGAGTTAAAGATATTATTGAATATTGATTGTATTTATTATATTCATTTGAAACTGGATCTTTGCTTTTTGTTTTACTCAAATTGTGTGGTAATGGCTCATAAACATAATAATATGGGAAGTTCCTTTCACCTTTCAGTATCCTTATAATTATTCCAAATATTAAGATACCTCTCTTACAAGTATTACTGTCAACTTCAGTGATTTTTTCGCTATCATTTAGACCTTCAAAATTCCTGTTAATTAAATCAATCAAATACGTTGTCTCATTACTTGTTAGCTTAATATTACTATATTTCCAAGTAAAAAAACCTGTTATACCACTTCTCCATAGTTTCAGTATCCAATTCTTTACAAATGACCCTATACTATCGATTTTTGTAAAAAAGGAGTTCGATTCATAAGATGAAACATAAGATTCAAATCTATTTAATATCTGCTCGTTGCTAGTATAACCACCATATACACGAAATTGGCTAAAATACCCCCAATTTGAGCCACTCTCCAAACTACCACCTATTATTGTGATATTACCTTTTAGACCATTCAATTTGCGAATTGAACCTATATATACACCATTGACGAAATATTTAATCAAACCCATACTGTATACTATATGTATTAATACCCATGGTTGTAGTATCCAAGGGTCTTGATTAAAATCAATGAATTGTTCTATATTCTGATTCATAATCTTGCAATGTGTACTCCTTTTTCTTATATTGAGCTGACGATACAAGTTTGATAATGTTGCTACTTTGTTTATTGAATTTGAACTACTATTAGGTACACTTCCTAAAATACTATTCCCAACATTACCAGCTGCAGAATTAGTTGTTGCTGATGTACGACCATTGCCAATATTACTCGTACTATTTCCCCTTAATACACATTTTAAAAATCTCCCACTGCTATCCCAAAATCCTATTGTCCCAGTCTTGCGATGAATTGTAAATAGCCCCTCCATTTCATCAGTACTACATAGAACATGTAATGTTGGAGATTCTGTAATGTTAATTGCATTTGTACTATCTTTTAGTAGCTCTTTATCGCTACTTGAAGTGGGAATACTAATTTTATCATTCTTTTTATGACCTACCTGATTTTGGATTAAGTTCAGTGGTGGCAATTTTGCCCACACCTCGATAGTAAAGTTATTTCCTTGTGTTTGTATGCCAGGTACCACTATTATAGCACTATCTGGACCATTAAGAGTATTAACTCCATTTAAATAACAGCTTCTATCAACTTTATGGCTCATATATGCCCAATGTGGCGAATTAGGTCCTAAAGCTGATATTGGATTCCCAGATATGTAAATGCTTTGTTGAACATAAGAAGATGTAAGTAAACTACGTATCATCATACCATTGAAGTCTACTGCAAAATGTAATGGTATTTCTTTCCAAATCCAATTGCTATCGTGTAGGCTATCTTGTAGTAAGTACTTATCTGTTAATCTTAATTCTAAATTAGGTACTTTTTGGGTATTTTCATCACTATCACTATAAATCCCATAGCATTTCTCATTTATTTCTAAACTATCGTCTTCTAGATATGGTAATTCAGTTATCTGTGGGTGATCTTTAGAAAGTAGATCAAGTATATAGATTTGGTGTTTTTTCTTTGAAGCTTGTAGTATCCACAATGCATCGTCATCATATATATCGAAGGGAACAGAAAATATTGAATGTATACATGGTAGTGCATTTGGGAACAACAAATTAAAATTCCTTTGTCTTTTTATAGTCAACTCTAGGCACTTTTTAAAATTGATATTTGGTGTGTTTAGTGCAGAGAATTCATGAATAGCTGCAACCTTAAACCCATATGGATTATCGATGAAATTTAAAGTTGGGTCTATTTCACGATATACCTGTATTGCTTCTTCATTAGTTATATTACCTTCGCTAAATACGCTATCTGGTATAACTGACGTTACTATAGGATCTAAACCAGACTTTAGTCTCTTATTTAATTGCAAGTAATAAAATAAAATGCTTGGACTAGCATACCTATTTAAGTTATATGTTAGCTTTGTAATAGAATTCAAGTGTTCAACCGCTTCGTAATCTTCTACTTCATTCCCTATTTCTAATTTGTTACTTGCCATTTCAGTGCAACAATTCTGACTGTTGTCCTCATCTAAATTGTGACTTAAAGTCATATATAAGCTGTTTGTATCGCCAAAAAATGAGGTATTCCTTTCCTCTGACAGAGCTACTGTTTGAGATTGCTTTATAGCTATATTATTATGTGATCTTCTTTCTTCTAAGTATTTTGTTTTGTATTGATTTAACCATTCTTTCAAATCTAAAACTCTCAGTAAGTGGAGATTAGATGTATATGGTTGTAGTAGAGACGGTATATCTCCTGTGTTTCCAGTTATTAAACTCAGGCCATGATCTGAATTAAAAAACGATGGCCTTGGAGCTTTATTACTTATATTACCTAAGAAAATATTTCTTGCACCTATTGATTTCGGTTGCAAAGTCACTATATCGAAGTTACTTTTATTATTTAGATCCCCTGTTTTTGCACCACTTTCTATATTGTTATTCAAGGATCCTACAGAATTTAGTAATTCAAGTGTAACGTCTTTATGAATATTTTCTGTTGGATTTAAACCTAGAATAAGCTGTATTAGCTCTTCATCACTATCTTGATTGAATTTTTGGGTTTCACTATCACTTTTAGTTGATAATAAAACATTCATGATTTTGATCATTGCCTCAGTAGTAGCATTTGTTGTCTCGAAGGATAAGGGATCATCTATTTCATTTAGCACTTGTCTTGCGTCTATTTCTGTAAACTTTTTTATCGAAAGTAACAAATTTATATCTAGTGACTTTGGCTTCTTGTATTCTTTGTATGTATATCCTGGTATTGGTAAAGAGTAAGTTTTATCTTGCATTTGCAGTGATTTCATATATTTTATCCTTTCATTATCTTCAAATTCTGTATAAATTTCTTCTTTTGATCCTGTATGATATCTTGGATTAGCATTATCTTTAAAGATTGAAATAGAATCTTTACTTATATCAGCTAGTTCATTATTCTCATATAGTTCAGAAAATAATAGACCCGAATTTCTATTCAGTTTAAGCTGAAATTTTACTGGAATTGCTCTAGGTATTTTAAAATATATATCGCTTAAGTCTAGTATAATTGCATTCAAGCTTAACTTTGCTATAAGTGCACGAACTTTTGGATCTCTACCACTTTCATATGAAACATTCGCAATTGGACTCACTTCATCAATATATAATGCTGATATAGCATTACTTTTATTAACTAAATCATGCAATTTAATTGATGGATCTATAATTTGTTCTATACCTAACTTTTGAGCAACTTCTGGATAATTTAGAATACATAATTCCATTGTAGTTTTCACCATACTGCTTGTTACAAACTTTATTCGTTGTACAATAGTCATGTGTACTGCTAACAAATCCTCAATTAGTTTATTCATATTGCCATCAGAAAATCCATAACTTCTTAAAGACTCTGCCAACTCCTCAGAAACAAGCATTATATTATAATTATCGCTTGGACCAAATCTACTATCTAAGGTAACTCTTAAAGCTATTGCCAAACCTTCAGGGCGACTTTCACATCTTTTTATTGCTGAAACTATTGTTATTCTATCATCATGTGACAAAAATCCCAAACAGTCAGAGCGTAAATGCATCCTTATTAGCTGCTCAATACTAACATCATCATCAACTCCACTATTCCCAGTATTTATTGTGGACATGTCATGATAAAATCTTAAGCTAACATGTTTGAATGAATCCCCTATTAGTGAAGATGAATGTTTCCTTTTCAAATTTGCAAGTTTATCAATATTACTATATATTTGTTTTTTTATATTATGCGAAGTATTAGAATAGTTTATGCCAATATTACCACTTTCATGTATTTCAGAGCTAGAATAATCTACATATTCATCATTTTTGTAGCGATTTTTTATTGATGCTAACAACGTAGTAATTGGCTTATATAATTTGATCCCCAACAAAAGCAAAATGAGGAAGCCTACCAATAAGTAGTTGCAGATAATTGCAAATATAAAAATTGCAATTGTTGAATAACGTGAGTATCCCAAAGATAGAATATTTAAAACTTCTGTATTATTTGTCCACTCTACCCTTTTATTAGCCACAAATGGTATAATATTTACATTTAATCTTGGCCATATGACTGCTATTAATAACAATATTATACAAAAATTTGATAACCTTTGGATTATATAATAAAAGAATGGCCAGCTCCAGTACGTTTGTTGAACTCTACTCCCACCAGTCGCTACTCTTTGTTGCTGATGTTGTAACTCCACAACCTCATCATCATCTTGTTTTAGTGCTTCATCTTCTCTCTCTAAAATAGCTTCATATCTGTCTTTGTCATGTGGTCTCAATATACTATATAGCCAGTCATACAAGACTGTTATAGCCAAACAACTAAACATGCCGACAGTAGCTACTAGTACCACTTTAGATATTGTATACACAGATCCTCCTGGAACTGCATAATAAAATAAGGAATTATTAATGCCTGGAGCTAAACTAATAGTAATAATCAGTACAAGATATAATATCTGCCTCCAGCAAGTAGCTAATTCCCATGTAAACCGTTGAGTTTTTTCATACCCACTACTCCACCAACCAAATAATATACGTCTTCTTTGTGGTGTCTCAGTTTTCATTTCTCGCTGAACAAAGAAAGCATATATTAATGGAAATAAAATTATCCACAAAAAAAATGAGCCAGCTGCAATAAATATTGCAATTTTATGATTTGAGTCAAAACATGTATTTTCTGATGCTATGCTAACTACATCTACTGTAGCTGGAGTCTGGCCAAAGCTATCATATCTATTCAATAATGGTGAACTAGAGAATGAAGATGATGAAGTTTCAGCTTTTGACGTTATATTCATTTGTAGTCCTACACAATTAATTACTGATACTAATTCTTGAGCTATACTCGTATAATACACGAAAAAAGAAACTATTAACAAACTCATAAACCATGATATAAACGACTTCTGAAAATACAGACATTCACCCTCAATTTCTCGTCGTCCCATTAAAAACTTGCTTACTTCTCTTTTTCGGAAATACAAAATAATAGGAGCTATAATTAACGAAAAAAAAATCAGAATTAGCGGAGAAGCTGCACTCACTATAGTAAAAATAATTAGATATTCCTTCCCATTTGTTGGTATACCATATTTGCTTACTATGCATTGCAGAAGTGGATTCCATATCCACTCTGAAGATAGCAGTGAAAATACTTTTGATATCTCTAAATATCCTTGAAAATCAACAATTTTAAATTTAAAAAGCAAACTTAGTACTTGTATATGCTGAATTAGACATCTTATCAAAGTTATTTGTGCTATTGGATTTTCTTCTTCATTTGCAGTTGGTTCCATTCGTAATATCCATACAATATAAATTGAAATAGATAACATTATAAACTGAGCTATGACAAGAGGAATACAGTTGAGTACTGAACACTTTTTACAACTACTATACTCTCCAGAGAAATCTATAAGTTTTGCATAGCCTGGTTCACAACTATCACACAAAATGCCGGAATTACCTTTTGCGCATGCTGCAACTTGTAATTCATTAATAGACTTATCTTCTTTAAACGTGCTATTTCCTAGTAAACTTACACACTGAGCCTCTCCACCAAAACAAGGCAGTATATAAGATGCCAAAGGGCTTTTCAAAGCTTGTTCTTCATGACAAATCTTGTAAGTTGTTGAGTAATTGGGATACTTTTTAATTTTATCTATACCAATGCTATAACAATAAGAGGCAACATTCCAGAATCCCCCCGAATTCGGCTTATTTAAATAACACCATTCATTGACTTCACATTTAATACAGGTTTGATTTCTTAAGCTTTGAGTCTTGTAACCTGGAGCACAAAAGCAGTCAATAGAGCCACTGGATTTTATCGTGGGAGTTATTTGTTTACTAGGACATGATGTACATATTCCACTGATATTTTTCTCAGAATAAAATGCAATAGGGCATGGAATGCATGAAGATTCAGTATAGCTGCCTGCAAAGGAATATTTCCCTGGGCCACAAGGTTCACATTTGTTACCTGAAGTTGAGACGTATGTGCCTGCCAGGCATAAGGCGCAATTATTATCTATTTTTGCATAACCAATTGGACATGATTCTTTATTAATACATATCACTGGGAAAAGTTTCAGGTGTATTATATATATGAAGATTTTGAGTGTTATTAGCTGGATATTGGTATGATGGCACTTTTTGAAAGCCATTAGGTAAATAAAGTTCAATTAAATAAACCATGTACAACTTAAATTAATTGAAGCCTGTTAACCTTCTGAATAAATATTTATACCTTTTTCTTCTTATATTAACACTTAGCTAATAATATTTAGTTGCTGCATGACATCTCTTTTTTAAAAAATTGGCGCCTCAATGTGGCAAACTGAACTTTCTAAGAGTACCATGTAGCAATCCTTTTATAACAATATAATCTTATTTTCTACTTTAGATTATTAAAGGATGAATGAAAATACAAAGTGTTAATATGCGTATATAAAAATTGGTAAAATTATTCAATATAATCCATAAGTATAGTAGGGAAATGGATTTAGAATTTTAGTTAGTACTATATCTCTATTTTATAGATTTAAAATGTATCTGATAAGGAGTATTTACTAGATTTAATATTCTTTCTAAGAAAAACTATGAGTTCAATTACGCACCTGTATATATGGGGAGGAAGTGCCATTTGATAATGATTTTATGTGAATAATTCTTTTGAGATGTGACTGGATCGAGAATGTATCAGACCAAGAATCTACAAATCTCTCGGAATTTACCTATAACATAATTATTAATGAAAGTTTTATTATTAGAAAGTTGTTTAACATTAAATAATGGATTACAAAATAGCTACTAAAGCTTACATCAAAGGCTATATATATGCGAAAAAAGGTGAAATATGAGTTCACACTTTATAAGTAGACGGCTCTCATAACTTACGAATATAGAAACCTTTTTCATTGTTAATAAACTGGCAACAAAGGTGGAAAGAGTACCCCTGCATAGGATAAGAGATCTTATTTGAAGTAGAAGTAGTAGATTTACAAATATTCAGCATAGGAAACATGCTACTTCTAGGTAGTTGTAGTTTCAACAAAATTAACCTAAAACTTGGGTAGATATCTTTAAGAGGTAGATTTAAAGTACCTATAAACTTCAAAATGTTGATAATAAGTATTTAAGGAAGGGAAAAGAGTAATATACCTCAAAGGTGAGACTTTCTTCAGAGATTCCAGATGAATCAGTAATAATTAAAATTAATTTATGAAGCTGATTCTTTCTTATGTATGGTTTAATAGATAGAACTGCCCTATCGATATATCTTTGGACAAGAGGTGATTTATTCCACCATACTGAAATCCCAAATTTCCTTATTCTAGTAAAAATTTCCCATGGATAAATTCTTCCAATATACAACGAAATATGGAAGCAAGTTTTAATTAATTCATAAATTTCCTCAAGTTCTAATTTAGCAACTTCAATATGTAACATTCCCTAATATAAAAAAGTTCTAAGTAAAATAGTATTCAACCAATTTGTCTTGATTTCAGTACAATACCGAAAAAATATACTGTAATTAAAATATCTAAGTGATTATTTAGTTAATATATGATACTTTCACTGTTTGTCTCATTCAGTTGTTATTCATGAATCTGATTAAATGAAACCCTTTAGAAAAGAATCAATAGATGAGTCATTAATATATCCAATAATTTTATGATATTCAATTAGATTTTATTTTCTAAGAAATTAATGGAACTTACAATGAGAGTAATTAAGTTTTTCGGAGAGTGGCAGCTAGTAGTAAATAAAGGCATATTAGCGCCTCAAATTTCTGCATGCATGCAGTGTATGCAAACCGGTATAGGAGGATATTTATCAGTAATTTTGTACACGATTTCACGTTTATAAATGCAAACAAAGCTAAATATGAATATCTCAGTCCTCCCTATATTATTTTTGCTTTTATTTATCCTCAAGATGCCAATACCATGTGAAGCTGGCTTTATACATGATGTTGGTAGATTTTTCTCGACTTATCTAAAGGCATTTTATCCCTCTATAGTAACTCCGAAAAAGCTATATAGCCCAGACTTTGAATTACAAAAACAACTAATTTCACAGTCCGAGGATTTGATGGAAGAGCTCGTTAATCTAAATGGAAATTTAACAAGTGTGGAGCAAGACTGGCTAAATATTCAGAATTATGCAGAGCTGAGACGTCACCCAAAAAATATATTTGCTGAAAATACACTTGGGGTTATCGATAGCTTATCTGATGTCATAGCTAAAATGTCCTTATCGTCAGCATTCAGGAATATGGAAGCCCCGGTAGTGTTCTTAGAGCCTCCCGCAGTAGCAATCAAACAAGAATCAGTAACATCTTCATCACCTTGTAATACATGTGTTGGTAAACTCAATCTTACGAAGCCTGAAATGAAGGCATTCAAATCAGAACTCAAACGAATCAGAAGAATTGATACAAAAACATTAAAGGGAGCAAATAAAGAATTATTGGAGACTGAGTCACTAGCTAAAGAAACTTTGCAGCATAGAGCTAAGATTATCAATGACATTCAACATTTATCTGCACAAATCCTAAAAAGCGGAATTGAAGATACTGCAGATAGCATAGAAATGAAATTTTTACAGTCAGACCTTGCAATGGCAGAGCAAAGACATGCAGCCCTTGTTGCTAAGCAAAAAGCTTTGGTTCGTCTTATTAATGACTTGTCAAAAAAATAATTAAACCATATAAGGAATATTCTACTATTATAGTCAAAAACAAATATCTTTAGCTTGATTAAACTATTAAAAAAACTTTGTTTCCCGATGTGGAGTAGGCAAATTGCATAAAATCATGTCAGTACAGTATTGCCAACTGCCCCACCATGGCATACGAGTAGTTGCTTAATGTGTTGTTCAAGGATTGATGCTCTTACACCCCTGGAAATATCTCTTGATCCAGAACCCCTTACAATCATTCCATCTTTGAATTTCTCGAAGTAGCAACTTCCATCAGTAAGTGACCAGTTCCCATTATCGTCAAGCTCCACAATAAGGCCTAAGGGCTTTAAAAACAAATTCCAAAGGTTTAACATGCCTTCAGACCTATCATTGTGTGAGTCTAGTTGAAGTACTCCAGTTACTTCGTGTACACTAATGATAACATGTGAGTTCTTTGTTATTTGTAACGAAGACTCGTCATTATTATGGATCATAGCTACAGATTCAAATAGTTTATTCAAGTTTTCAGGTTTTACACTATAGTTCATTTTACGTACTTCAAAACAATCTAATTCCTGAAAATTTAGATCTATACCTTTATTTTGTACTTCTTTAGTACTTTTCTTTTGGTAATTATCATTGGGAACTTCTCTAAAGTAGTATCTTCTCACACTCCTAATACCATTGTTACAGGACATCTTATTTCTCTTCAAATTCCACCGCTTACCTCTAAAATTATTATGAGAAACTTTTCTACCTCCATTGCTTGAGTTTCTATTTCTTTTAAATGGTACTTGCTTTTGTTTCCTAGGAGCTTCTAGCTGAATTAATTCATCCAAGGAGTAATTCAAGTTACCTTTCCGACTATTCCTTTCTTCAATCATTAAATTTAATAAAGTAATCTCAGAATACCTTCACGACAGCTTAAAACTGCTAAGTTCTGGAAAGTAGATGAGAGATTTTTCAAAGGAAAAATAAATTAAAGATAGTATAGTCATTGACCTGTGTTTCGGCGCTGAGGAATCACTCTTTGGAGTATCGGGTATAGTGGATCTATTGCAAGGAAATGCATATTATTACCTTGTATTTCAGTAAACTTACTTTTTAAATGAATATTTTCTACTATATATAAGACATATATGCATATGAATGACTTTATTCAGTTGAACTTGCAATTAAATAGACGAGTTCTTTGTATTCAGTCACACGTTATATTAGGGTTTACAGGTGGTAAAATGACATTTTGTGTCTTTGAAGCAACTGAAGGATTGTCATTTGATTGGATTTCAACAGTTCAATATGTTTCAGGAAGTTTACATGAGGGTACAGAGCTGAAACAATCTGAAATGAAAACTTTGCTTCAAGGAGTATATGAACTTGTATACAAACCCCTTCAAAAGTACATAGATAACAAAGTGAATTTATTAGATATCTCAGTAAATCTTAGACCATATGACATAATTTTAAGTGGTTATATTGCTGATCCTTTAACTCTCAATGAAATACACAAGTTTGTAACTAACATCAAAGATAATTGCATAACTAGAAACCCTTTCTGGATTTGTGATCCAGTCCTAGGCGACCATGGGACTTTTTACGTTAGTAAAGAATTAGTTGAAGTATATTTAGAAATATTGCACACAGTGGATATACTAACCCCAAACCAATTTGAATTTATACAGTTAGCAAGGAAACTAAAAAAAAGTGCAAATATACTCCCACATTTAAAAACAAATATGGATATAACTGGAGAACAGAAACTATCCGAGCTTAATCAGCTTGAGATTTTTAATAGAGAAACTTATAATGAAAATATTTATGGAGGAATTTCACTAATGCAATCTATCGAATACTGTAAATTATTACTAGAGACTGGTTTAAAAAATATTATAGTTACATCTCTAAATCTTATAGATGACTTTGACCACTTGTTTACACTTCTAGCAACCTACAATTCTAATGCTATAGCTACTTGTTTTCCAAATGTAAAGCTCGATCTTGAAAATTGTAAAGTTAATGTTGTTACCATACGATATAAGCAAATTGTTCATTCAAAAATATTTTATGGAATGGGAGATTTATTTGCAGCTTTATTTACTTCCTTTTTGTCTGAGTATGATGGTGATCTTTGTTTCCCAATATTAAAGGCTATTTATATAACTCATTATATCATAAAGTACAATATTAATATTTCCAGGGAAGTAACTACTGAATCAGAATCATCTTCAGTTAGACCCTTATACTTGTCTTCTAAATTATTGGAGAAGGCTTTGTTAGAGATTAACCAGATGAATGGGGACACACTACTAAGTTTATATGATATAAAAATTCATCGCATAGAATAATATAGCTTTCTAATTGAAAGTATAAATCTTGTTTAGTATGTCACCAAGGTACCTAATAAGTAGAACATTTTACAAAAAGATACTTCGATTCTTTAGAAGTAATGAAGTATTTACTATTTGTATTTGAACTGTGCTTAAGATAGCTAAAATCAGAGTAAGCTGCAAGTTAGACTTCATTCATTGAGTCTAATATCTCTGTTTAAAATCCTATTTAGGTAGCTCTACATATCCTATATTGATAAATTTGTCTATTTGAACATTCCTAAAAGTTTACTTAGTGAGATTGAAAGATTCGTAAGCATAGAATCATATGAGCGCGGCTTAATGGACATGGCTTACGTCATTTGTGTGGGGCATGAGATCATAACACGTAATTCCTTTGAAAGATCTACTACATGGTTTCTTCTTGAGGTGTAGGAAGTTATTAAGTAAATTGCTTTTAATAAGTAACTATAAAGAGAAAATAACAATTAAATATTATAGGGGTAACTTGAATTTGTTGTAATGCGTGGGAGAGACCATTCTCACCTCAGGTATAATTCCGTACTTAATCAAGATGATTTTGAGGAGATAGAAGAGATAGGTCGAGGATGTTTTGGTACTGTTCATAGAATTAGACGTAAGAGTGATGGTAAGGTCTATGTCTGGAAGAAGATGTGTTATGGAAACATGTCTCAATTAGAAAAAACTCAAATTGTGACTGAGGTCAACGTTTTGAGGAAATTAAACCATAGGAACATTACCAAGTATATTGATAGAATAGTGGACAGACATAAACAATATATCTACATCATAATGGAACACTGCGATCAAGGTGATTTGGGGACTTTTTTAAAAAAGAGTTCTAGAAGAAAATTGAGTGATGCACGAACGAAACTGTCTGAAGTGTACTTAAGCGAAGATGATCTTATCTCAATATTTGTTCAGTTATTAGATGCTTTGAACTACTGCCATACAAGAAATACAAAAGTCCTACACCGTGATATAAAACCTCAAAATATATTTCTGATAATACCAGACGAAATTTATAGCATAGAAGATGTGAGAGATTATGAAGATAAATTGAGAAAAAACCATACGACAGATTTTGGATTTCATTCATTTAATGCTATAGTTAAATTGGGGGATTTTGGACTAGCGAAATGTCTAACTGCCCAACAATTTGCTACAACCCATGTTGGTACACCATATTATATGTCTCCAGAAGTTTTGAGTAAAGGAGAATATAATGAAAAAAGTGATATTTGGTCTTTAGGATGCTGTATGTATGAAATTATTACAGGAGAACCTCCATTCTACGCAAAAAGCTATGAGGAACTAAGAGAATATGTTAGCTATGGACCCACTCCAACCTTGCCGAATTACTATTCTGGCGAAATTGAAAATGTGCTAAGTTTAATGTTTGAAAGAGATCCCGTAAAGCGTCCATCAGCTTTACAACTACTTAATCATCCCTATATTCAAAAAAAGAGATCAGAATTTTATTATAAATGGGAATATTTATTTCTTTTACATGAATATTATAGAGTTGTTGAATACAGTCACTTTCTTGAATCTTATGCATTATTTAAGGATGATTGTACAGAGTCAGAAAACTCGACTCTTGATACCTCTAGAGATTCAAGTAAAAGCGACCGTGATGGTTCAAAAGATAACTACTATCCTACTGTAAATCAAACTTCGTACAAGATATCAACTGCAGTTAGTATCAAGAATATTAAAACAGAAAATTCCAGTGATTTCAGCAACTTAGATGTGAAGATATCCTCTCGCCCGAACACATCCCAATACTTCACTTCAAATAATATTATTACTACCCCTCAACGTACGATCAGTTCTAAATTTGAAAAATCTCCAAAAACCTTGCCTTGTAGATACAATAGTAGATATTTAAAGAACTACTTAAGTTTTAATAATGATATAAATGATAATTTGAAATACCCTGAAAGTTCTCCAATACGTGGATTGCTTCCTAAAACCAAATATTCCTATAACTCAGAAAATAATAGAACTGAAAATTTGATCATTCAATCAGAACGACGTTTATCAATGTGGGTAGAGAGATTTAATTCCAGAAGTAGGAAATACTAAATCACTAGAAAGTTTCAAATTAATGGAGAGTACATCAGCAAATAGGCACTATATTAACAGACACGAAGTATCTAAATATCTAGACTTAGTAATATTATATAAATGAGTATTCATTTACTTTGAATATTCTATGCTCCAACTACATTTATAACTTTTTTTGGGGTAAATGTAGACATCAATATACCCTGATATGGTGATCCTCTTTCAGTGGCTGCCCTGTGATTTGTCATACTACTTTGAAATATATTGACTGACAACTATGTAAGTCTTATCTACCATCTCAGATATAGAATAATAAGTGATCATTTGCACAATTCCGTATGAACTAGGTCTTAAATTAGACTTCTAAGTAATAGTTTTTTCCTCTAATGTCTAAACATTCCGGGACATTTACTGGCTTCACCCAGATAGATCTCACATTGGCGCTCAATACCCCCTGAAATTATCTGTTCTCCACTTCTTGTTAGTGTGCATTCAATAGAAACTACATAAAGACATCTATTTGTATCTTACTATAATAAACTTTTATGGAAGAGTCAAATTAAATGCACTTTTAGTTTATATTTTGAGCTATTAAGACAAGTAGCCATAAGACTATTTGATGAAATTCGAACTTCCAAAGGTTATTTCGATTAGATTTCTGAGTTTGCAATCCAACTTACAAGATTTAACTTGTATAAATTGACTGAAGTCATTGCTTCTGGTTAAGACTATATAAAATAAAATTACTAAGTACAGAAAAATACAGGGAACGAACAAATTACAACTTCCAGCGCTGGTAATACATAACAAGAGGAAAGGATAACTATTAAATGCTACCTCATACTATAACAAGTGTTACTTTTCGTACAGAAGAAACCCCGTTCACACTGAAGTTGAGACTACTTCTAGCTATAGTCTTAGCTCTACAATGTACAATAACATGTCTGAGGATTGCAATATTAACAGATGCCCAAAGCATCTTTATGGACATGTTATTTATATATTTAGGCTATGTAGTATATACAGAAAAGTCTCCTTGTATTTTATTTATATTTGTATCAGTGTCATTTGTGCGTGGTGTAATGACACTACTAATTATGGTTGAATGGATAAAGAAAGCTCCCATTGCAGAAGACCCGAAAAGCTTTACTTCAATATCAAGTTGTATTGTTCATATTGCTAGTCCATTGATATCTTTTGGAGCCTCTTTTTTGGGCTACAACATCTTTAAATATTTGCAGGTTATAGAAGAGGTTGATGACCAATATCAATTTTTGGCACCATGGAGCAATTTTTCGGCTAATCCTCAAACTACCCCAAATATAATGAGCAATAATGCAACTACTCCTAATTCAAATAATAATAATGGTGGGGTTGGGAATTATATAGATCAAGGAGTTTATCAGGCAAGTAGTAGGCCTGTATGTACACCTTTTTCAGGGAGGGCATACAAGTTGAGTGATGCTTCATCAATTATTATACCCATAGAAAATAATCAACAAATATATAAAGGGACATAAACAATATATGAATACTCCTAAGAAATAAGTAGATAAATATATCGTAAAACTATCAAGTATATATCAAAATAAATGTATTATGTAAGAATAAGGTATAAAGTGCTAAGTTTACTACTTTCTATACCTGAATGAATATCTAATATTACAAATCCTAAGTGAATAACTAACAAGTCAGATATAGCTTCCTAAACAGTATCATAAACCTAAATATCTAAATTACTTTGTTAATTTCAACCAGCTCTAATAATATCCATTGGTACATTGAAGCTCTAGCTTAAGTAATTCACTTTACTATTGAAAACTTAGGAAAAAAGTCTTCTATGCAAAATGTACTCATACTCGATATTGTGACATTAGTTCAAACTAACATAGTCTATAGTTCCCAGTTATGAATCATTGAGTTAAGACTCCGATTACTGCCTATATTCATTGTATCTTCTTTTTAAAAGCTATGGCTGTCTTGTCATTAATGTCAACACTTTTAGATAGTAAAGTTTAGATATTCCTATATAATATTTTGATATGATAAGTCAATATTGTACTGTTATATTAATATTAGTAAAACGCAATAGTACTCTTCATCTATTCCCCTTGCCATACTATACAGTCTTCATGTTGCTCATATACATCTACCTCACCCTTTAATTCATAATCTTTAGTTTTCCTCTTACCAAGTAATAATTGATTACCAGTTCCTATTTTTTAGTATAATTATTCGAATATATCATATACTACTACATATGTTTCCTGTTTATCATTAGTGTTATCTAAATTTATCTCTTTACTAATCCCCTCTCCTTGATTTTCTTAATGCTTTAGATTGCTGTCTTCTAAATGTGATGACTCTAAAGTTTCATTCTGACAGTTAACATTCATATTATTGATAGTATTACTTTTTGCTAGTACTTCTTCCTCACTAAATAATTTCAAAACAAAAAGTTCAAGTTCTTTAATTTTTATATCTCTTTTTATTTCATCATTACTAGTTTTAATAATGCTTGAATTATCAGTTATTTTATCTAGATCATTTATAGCTAAGTTGTATAAGTCAAGGTTTTTGTAAAAACTATGGTTGCACCTTTGGATTAGACGATTGTATCTCCATTTGAAGAAAGTCCCATAAATACTTTTCTCAGTCTCCTCAATTCCATTTATTGGGTCTTTATCAATATTTACCTTCTCAATATAGTCTTTGAGCTTTATCTCTAGCCTCTTTTCGATAGACATTTGAACATATACCTCATCTGAATAGGGTAAACAAGACAAATATAGTAAATCACGCTCTGAAGTAAATTTTGGAGTTACTAACTCATGAGGATTAGAAAAACTTTTTCCTCTCCGCAATTCTGACACCCTACAAGTTTTCTCAACTAAATTAGCTATTGAAGTGCATTTCTTATCTTCTTTGCTTGTTATATAGGATATATAACTAGTGAATGTATCTGAATCTACAGTCTTAGTTACTTTCTTACCATTATTAGGAATATTCCCATGAAAAATATTGGCAATTTCAACCTTTCTTTTCTTTGGTTTACCCTGTGGAGAGATACCCGTATTTCCAGTATTTATAGTCCTCTTGATATCAGCACAGCTAGATATCTTCCATGTAACCCATAATAATTCATAAAGGAGCATGTACTGAAAAAAGATCGTTGAAGAGAATTTATTCATCCTTGTAATGTGATCTAGATATCCTACAAAGCGTTGTACAAGTAGTTTGAAACTGTTATTAAATGTTTTTGTGACTTTAAAAAGTACCTGACATTCCCTCTTTTCAAGGGCCATTATATTACAATATAAAAACACTAGACGGTATACAAAATTAAATCTGAAGCTCCAAGAATCTAGAGAAGATGGGATACATTCCATTACTGCTTGAATATAATGTAAGCTATTAGTTTTAGATATCTTAGGTAACCTAAACATGTGTGTATCAAAATCTCCATTGTATCCAGGTACATACACAGGTGCATTATCTTCAAAATATGACAATAGGATTTCGAAATCTTTTAATAGTGTAAGATCTTCAGAATTTAAAGATAAGTATTCAAATGGAGTTTCCAAAAATTTGTCACAGTTTAATAAAGCTTGGAATACCTTCAGAGATCTCCATGGATATAATAAATGTTGATAATCATCAAAATAAGTTTCTAAATTGCTCTGAGTACCATTATCATACTTGTCTATTGGCATTTCACCATCTTCTTTCTCAGGTGATAAATTTTTGGATGTTAAGGAAGTACTAGAGGTGTTATGAGGAGTAAAACATAAAGTATATTCCATTAAATTTTTCATCAACCTTCCCCCATTTGGGATTTTGTATGGTCTAATACTCAATGTTTTTCTACATATACCTGCTTGGTTACAAGGCAGACAGGTAAAGATAATACTCCTAATCTTGCCACAAGTGTCATAGCATCCATAGGATAATAAACGCCTTCCCAAACTAATAAGCAAGCCTACAGACTTAGCATGTGAAAGTTGCCTCTGAGCTGCTGTTGCTGGAGAAAGGGTAGCACTGGAAGGCAAGGAAAATTCTTCACTCATTTCTGAAATTCTTTCATTATTAGTTTGCTGGGGGCAATTCTTTGAATTGTATGGTATATGAGGATTATTTAATGACCACCTTAATAGGTCTAGCTTTGTATCACACAACCAATTAATAAATGAAATCAATCCTCTCTTATCTAATAAACTAGATAAGTCAGATGCTAAATCTAGCCACGAGCCAATATCCATAAAACCAGTTGATACAAGGATAAGACCACAGCAAGAAAGTATAAGTACTTTTTCTTGAGAATCTGAAGCAACTAAGATAGTATCTATCTTAGATTTGTTAGCTAATTGATTTATATTGACGAAATTAAAGACTTCTTGGTTGTTATCTGGTTGGATCCTGTCTGAAACTTCATTTTTTGTAGTTATACTGCTTTCATTATCTAAATCTTCATATCTATCAGAGTTGTCACTAAAAGCTCTTATTGCTGCTAGTATGAAAGCTTGAACTACTATTTCACGTGTTATTTGTAAACTCAGTAATTTTTCAGCCAGTGTTTCCATTTCATTATCAATAATATTGTACAACCTAGACTCATCACTATATATAACCCTATTCTTAAGGCCACTGCTTACCTCCTTAATAATTCTTATGGAACATGGTAGGATTGAATCATGGAATATATCTGAAGAAAATTGACATCTCATTTCAAGAATTAAAAGCTATATTCAACCCGACAATATCAGGGAAAGTACTGAAGAGCGCTGGGGCTTAAGGCTACATTAGAGACTAAATTTACTTTAGTGTTGCTTCTAAAAATGGCATATATTTGTCCCAATACAAATAGCTCAAAAGTTCAACCTATTATTATATCTTTTATCCTACTTATTATACATTCCATATATAACTTTTAAGTAATTTAGAGGCATTTTCAGTAGTAAAAAATTACTAAGTACTTGTTTATATTGCAAGATTCCTAGCCTTCTTTTGAATAACAAAAAGTACTTCTTCAAGGAGCTCATCTATTAATTCGACAGTCAGTTTATCTAAAATTGATTGATAGTATTGCTCAATATGTAGCCAGCTATTTCTATTTGTATACGCAAAGCTTTTAACAAGCTTATCTTCGCATGAGTGATGCCTAAATAAGTGTTCTATTGTTAATAAGTCCTTTTCACTTTCTAAAATATTAGGATAGTTTGGTGCATGAAAAATACGTTTTAGTTCCCACTTGTTTGGCTCATTTTTAATAAGATATGGTTCATATGAACCCTGCAACTTCTTGATCACAGCCTCTGTTATCTTTTGAATTGCTACAGGTTTCTGTGAATTGAGATTCTTTAGTTTAATACTACTTGTATCCAGTATCTCAAATATCAAATCCATAACTAAAAGAATAAAATTATCATCTGGAGGGTTCAGAAATTCATTTATTGATGAATTAAAATCTATGTATTCGCTATCCTGCATGATAATATTGTGAATGAACTCAAGAAATAAATCCGCTTGACTAAAATCACCTAAATATACGTTGTTTGAGTGAGTATTGTGAACTTGTTTAATGATTCTACTCTCCATCGTACACTTTGCAATTGTTTGGCTTTCCAAATGAGTTAAATTGCCTATAGTATACTTATATATTAATTTACATATAAATTCTATGGATTCTGGAGATGTATCAATAGATTTCTCAAGACAATTGGTAATTGTATCTAAACCCTTATTGTAAAAATCTTCAGTACATAAGCCATCTATGTTAAAATATGTATTGTCAGAGATATTACAACTTTCATTTATCTTGTGCCAAAGGTTATTATAAGAATCTATAGCTTCAGATATATCATAATTATCAAGAGGAAAGTATTCAATTACTGACAGTTTATTTTTCAAATCCAAGTCTGTTTTCTTTGATTCTTGTGCACTTTCTAAAGTTTTAATCTGATCATCTAGTCCGATTGTATCCAGAATATCCACATCCAGTTTCTCCTGTTCTACACATCTCTCCATCTTGCTTAATGTACTATTAGGTCGATCTTCAGTTTCTAAAGGAAGTTTAAGGAAAAATTCAACTGGAGGGAAATAAGGATGTTCAGGTAACAAATTACATGTTAAGTCTACATTATTTTCACTGTAATCTCCCATAGTGTCTAACTTGCTTAATATAGAAATGTCAATATTGTTATTCACATTTGGTTTCTCAGATAAAATCACATTATAGTCCCCCATGCAACTTCCCAGTGAAATTTCCTTATCAGTTGTAATTGAATCAGGCCTCGTTATAGAATACTCCTTTCCAGCTTCTACGGTATCTTTATAATTCAAGCTATTAGTAGAGAAATTGACTCCCTTTATATCAGGATTCACTTTGGCTACAGGATTATTAGAGCATGCCGTTTTATTCTCTTTAAATTCCACATCTTTATTTTTATTAAGAGAAGTATCATTTTCAGTATCTATGTGATTTACTTTGCAATCCCCAGCCATTATTGAGGATGTCTGTAAAAATTCGGAAGCACCAATTTTATTGTCATCATCTTCTGCATATTCAATTCTACGATAAGTAGGGAAGGGAGTATCTAGCTCCCATCTCCTTTTCATCGAATTCCTTCTTTGACTAACTTCTCCACTGTCACTAAGTGAGTGGTTATTGATTGTATCCAAAGAGTTATCTTTAATCAATATTTCATTTGAGTTCATGCTACTAGGAAATAAACTTTCTTTTGAACTGTTATTTAGTGGCTCAAACAAATTAGAGCTGTCTTCATTTTTATTAAAGTTTTTACGAAGGTAGAGTGAAGGTACTTGATCATTTCCACTGAGCAACTGCGTATTTATCTTGCCCACCCTTATTTCCTTTAGTTTCAAACATAGTTCCTTTAGTCCGTTTATTCTTTCTATATCACCTCGCTTGTCACTAATACTATTCAGATCCTTATTTTTAGTACCTGTAGCACCATTATAAATTCTCAAATTACCAGTTTTACTCACAGTATGAGTACTGTTATCCACTTGAGGAGGACATGATAAGCTTTTTAACCTTTCTCTTTGAAGCTTTCTCTTCGTTTGAATAGACTCAAACATATCTTTGACACTCGGAGTTACTCCTATTTCAGTACATTCCCAATTTTTAAAGCTCAATTGTTCATTTATTTTTCTAGTCAAAGTACTAGTATTGTTATTATTCTCATACATACTACTCATCTCAGAGTATACATACTTCTCAGCTTTATACTTGTCCAATCCTGATAGTTTTTTGCAAGATTGAAGGATCTCTTTATTTTCATCCATATTCAAACATCTTCCAGGGTAAAAAGAAAAGTTATTATCTCTATATGAATTCTCACTTCCAATAAGTTTTGTTGGATTAATAATATGTCTTATATTTGGATTGCAATAGTTCTTATGTAGCTCTTCAATCAGACTAACAAAGTCTTTCAATCTTTTCAGTCTGCTGGTAGATTCAAATCTTCGACCTGAGTGACTTGTAACTCCACGGAATGAGTTTATCAAAACCTCTCTACATCTTCCTTTTTGATTAAATAGATCAGCTATCTTATTCTTAACTAGTTCTTGTTTTTTTGAGATATCTTTGTCATATTCTGCACCCAATTCAATATATGATAGTATATATTCTAGTATTTCAGTATTAGAATATCGAATATTTGCGTTAGTACTCTTATCTATCACATTTAAAGAATTATCAGATGCTGAAGAGCTGATACTCTTACTTATTTTGTATAGTCTATCTTTCATTCTTAAGTGGTGGTAGTTTTGTGATATACGTGCCTCCTGAAAGCTCCATACTGGGCCTATATTGCCATTATTTTGTTCTCTTGTACACTTTGACTGGGAAACCTTTACATGTTGCTTATTATTATAAATATTTCTATCCACAAAATTGTTATTAACGTTAGTGGGGTTTACTAATTCTTCTTGTAGCCTTAAAAATCGGTTATCCTTATATTTAAATTCCCACATTGTAAGCTCACTAAATTTCCCATTTACAAAAAAGTAAAATAGCCTATACTCAATATTAAATCAATATAATAATATAAATTTCAAAAAAGAAGTTCCTATTACAAATTCTTGAGCTAAGATACTTTCCAGGTGCCTTCAAACTGCATAACTTGCCTCTTGTGGGGGATACTTCCGAATTTTTTTTAAAGTAATTTTGCTTTGTTATAAAAAATAAAATACTAGATTTTTCTATTAATTTACATTGCTAAATGTTAAAATTTGATATACTATCAAAAGTGCTATAGTTTGGTATAATGTTGCTGTGTTATCTTTATATTCCTTTTCTTTATAAAACATAATTTAGTATTAAAGGCTATATAGACAAAATTACTATAAGTTTTTAGCTATTCATCTAAATTTAGAAATAGTAATATATTATTATTATTTAATTTTACTCAGTGCTACTTTAAGCTATTGCATAAAAAAAGTCATTTTATATTTAGCGGTAATTTTAGCCGCTTGTATGTTACAAGTTAACTTTGTTTTATATTGCAGTAGAAAATCTGTAACCTGGTGACTTTTCTAGAAGATAAATACCTTTCTGAAACCGAAGAAAAAAATAAAAACTGAATTTTCATATTTTATTATGAGAAGTTAAGGCATTTCTGAATTGGTTTCATCGATAGTGTAATTATGTCAGATTACTATTCAAGTACTAATAAAAATTTTAGAAAAAAAAGATTTTTTTTAACTCTCTACCTTATATCAACTCTTATATATCAGTGCTTTGCATGGAGAACTGGATGTTTGGGATCTACTAGGAAACTTAAGAAGGTATCTGTCAATAAGTTTGCAGGTTTTTTTTCAAGATACTTATTTCTTATGGACTACCAAAATACCATCGATAAAATTAATAAAGAAATAAAGAAGACAAAGGATGATTATTCTGTATTACTGAAGAATGAGAATAAAATATATTTAACCTGTGAAAGTTCGACTAAAAATCTATTGTCCAAGGTTGAATTTGATGAGTTACCCAAGATAATGAACCTTTATAATACACTACCACTATTGACTAAAAACTTTAATGAAATGCTCAATTCAATGGAATTTGTGATATTTAAGAGAATTCAGGGAATTTTGGTGTATATATTTTATAATAAAGTGCAAATCAACTACTGTATTAAATTTTCAAATACAAATGATACTCTAGACAATGTTGTTAGTAAACAGGTGAAATTGTGCAATATTCTAGCTAAAAATCTAGAACATATGATTATAGATAGTATTACTGGTAGTTCTGGTCAGAGAAATCAGGATTCTGATCATTTTGAAGTTGCAGAGAACGTAAAAATGTACATAGACGATATATTAGCTGATGTTTGGAAAAAGGCTCAGTTCATTTCAGATTATATTAGTAATCTTGTACTCCTACCACTTCTGGAGAAGTTCAAGACAAGGATTGCAGAACTGACTGACGATAATTTGCTTTTTATAAATTTGAATAGTACAAGTGACATATCCTCAAATATTAACTCTATATATAATCAAAAACCAGAAGTATTTCTGATACTTCACTCATATTTCGGAGAAAATATTGACTACTTATCATCTCCTCTAACTTCAAAAGCACTTCATGAACTATATACTTCATATTTATTTAAGAATTCGATTCCTGAATATCCTAAGTATGAAGGAATTTCTAGTTTATTACAAGAAAGATTAGAATCCATAATGGCTCATTTTGTAAAATATCTAATTAACTATGAGAAAGAATATCGTATATATCAAGAAAAAAAAAGTGGTCTCATAAAGTTAGTAACTATATTTGATGTAGTTATAAGTAACATCTGTACTAAACCAATAACTCAAAATGAAAAGAGTTATATTAAGACACCAAGTTCGTTTAACATAAAGGATGTTTTTAGATCTTTTGGAATTGACATCTGTATTACACATCCTAGTAGTTATTTAGAAGATAAATTAGACAATATTGATGAACTTAAATCTAGAGAATGTGGACTCCATGAAATATCCACCACTGAACAACATAATACCTTTAAGCAAACTTCTAACTACTGTAAATTACACTCCTTACAAATTTCAGAGCGTCCCAAGTTCTACAAGTTAGAATCTGATACAATTAGACTTGTCTATGATGAAGCAATAAAAAACTATTATATGGCAATTACTAGCTTCGAGAGTATACATATTTCTTTTAAGAGAAGTACGAAAATACTACAAAATCAGTTAGATCAATTGGAATTTTTGAATATGGTATATAGTGATATCCTTAAACATGGATATAATGAATTTCTGGCACCAGAATTTCTCTATAGCCGTGCACTTTTAATTTATCTGGAAATAGAAAATCTCAATATTAGTGGGAACTCTACTAAGATACATATGAAAAGTGCATTGAAAACGATAGTTAATACTGAAGAGAGTATAAGAGTTCTAGAGATGGTTAAAGAATCATTTAGTGATTTAAATGTGGCTATTCACTCTTTAAAGGAATCAATTAGAAATAGAACTAGATGTAAGGGGATTAAGAATTTAAAGTTAAAAATGCTACCCACAAAAAAAAAACTTAAAAACAATGTATATGAACCTCTATTTAGTATTGAAAATTCTGTAAATGAGCTGGAGTCTAAATCACTTTCAGCTGAGATGAAAATAGTAGAAGTTGAAGAGAAGGTTAGTTCTTTAATGGGATATTTACAAACATTGAAGCTTCCAGATAACTTTGATTCAAATATGAAGTCTTATTCAAACAAACTTTCTCAGATTATGGAATGCTCAAACCCAACAGGTAATTATATCATGGATTTATGCGAAACTGTACTAAGACAAGCCCCTTATACTCTTGATTTTATAGATAATGATGTAAAGCACTATAAAGATCTATTAGCGTATATTATGAAGAATACCAGTGATATTAAGGAATTAATGCAGAAGTATGAATTAGATTGGAAGGAATATATGAATTTGTTAAGCAAAATACCAAAGTTTTGTGAAAAACAAGCATCAGATATACAAGATCTCGATACTAAAACCAGAATGATCCTTGGATAATAGTACAAACTAGACTTGCAGTCGATACTACTAATATCTCTGCTTAGAAATATTTCATATATCATGTTTAGTTCCTCAAATATAAAGCTCATTTTCTCATTTAACAGATAACTTAATATAGTTAATCTTTAACAGCTATCTATAAAATATCCCCCCCTAGTATTGGTTAGTTCTTAAACTTTTACTAGTTTTGTATAGAGACTCTCTAAAGTTTATGTGTTTCTGATTATAGTAAGTTAAAATTCCCTAAAGTAAAGTAGAATTGGTATAATGTATTTTACTGAATAATCAAAATTAAACATACCTGAGTAAATCTGAGAGCTGATCTGTACCTGATTTGCTTAGTGACATTTTTTCTATCTATTGAACCTTCCTTGCATCTTTGTTTTAAATAAAAATATCCATTAAGAAACTTTATTATTATCTCGAGAAAGTATACACACGATTTAAACTTGAGAGTATTAGGAAGCAGTGCCAGTATAGTCATATCAGAACACAATGATGGGATCCTATCTAGTATTTTCATTTGCAAGATTGTAGATAAACCATCCTCGCTTTTCATATGATCTGGAATATCTTCAGGCTGGGGGAGATGATAACTATCAACATCTAATAAAATTCCCTCTCTTTGATTGTTTATGTTAAGCATTGAGTCTAAAAAATTCTGCAGTTCACTAATTAGATTAAGTGCATTGTGTTCTTGTTTTGCAAAAAATAATTTAAGTACACTATCAAGAGATATTTCACTTCCCAGCTTGAACCTATCTGAGTAAAGAGGATCACCATATATTTTTGTATTGTAAGATTGTATTTCACTCTTAAATCTTGTAATCACTTCTTCTGTTATTTCAGGCATTTCATCTGTTTCAAATCTTAGGAGTTTGAAAATACCTTTTTTAAATTTTGGGCCTAATCCTTTTACAGAATTCCAAAAAGTAGTCAAAGACTTTACGATATTTTGTTTTATTGTGGTTTTTGGCTTAATATTTATATCATCCAAATAAGGAGATGTTCGAGTTATTTTAGTTTCAGTTATATTTAGATTATTTTGTTCATATGAAGAAAATATAACTGCTCCTAGAAGCAATCTGCAGGCTGCTCTTGTTAAAATTGTCTTTAAGTTCTTTGATATTACACCATGACTTTGTTTTAACTCTTGCGAATAAATTGATCCTAATGTTTCGGTTGAAATATAATCAATAGGTTCAAGTGGGGGAATCCCCTCTATAAGTTGCTCAACGATATTTTTTGCTATTTTGGCCAGATCAAGTGGAACCTAAAGTAATAGTTCATTTGTATACAGACTCATTCATATCAAATACACTCCAAAAAAAAAAACAGGATACTGCATATTAACTTACTTGTATAGGAAAACCATAATTATTTATTTTTGATACTTGCGCATTATCTTGGAATATTAAACTTAGTAAATTGTCTGCATCTTTCATGCTTTCCTTCCAGCAGTTTGATATCCTCCTGTTAAATTCAAATACTACACGATGTTTTCTTTTAAGATCTTTAAAATTTCCTGCTGAAAACTTCATTGTAAGTAATTGATCAGCCGTATAGGAATATAAGCCTTGTGTATACTTATTCCCCAAAGCAGTAACTACTATTTGGTTGAAAATCATAGAATATACTTCACAGACAAGTAGTATTGAGATCGTGTATAATTTCATTCTTTCAGTTGTGCCTTCAAGATTTCCTATAGAATAATTGAATCAATATTATATGTAATCAAGCTGTCCCTGATATATGCGTATGTACATTAAGTAATTCCTCAGTATTTACGATCTTCCGTAGATCAAAAAATACTACAAAGTCTGCATTTCTACTTTCAAATTCAAAAGCGCCTATAAAGGCGCTCAGTATCATAAGCGCTTATTTTTTTATACTTTCATGCTATTACCTTTACAAAAACTAAATAGAATTGTGATGTGGGGGTCTAAATGAAAACTAGAGGTACATATAGGAATTTATGACTGAAAATTTTGATGACATATTTAGAATTTTAGTGTGCACTGATACCCATGCAGGCTACAAAGAAAGGGATAGGTATGTAAAATTATTAGTTTGAAAGAAACTTCTTGTATTTAATATTCTAGTTTGAAACTTCTTTACAATGGGTACCAATACTTTTACTAAATGTAGGATAAGATGTAATGATTCGCTAAATACTTTAGAAGAAATTCTTATTATAGCAAATAATGAGAATGTAGATTTTGTTTTGCATAGTGGTGACTTATTTGATATTGCAAAACCATCGAAATCGACACTCTACAAGGTAATGAACTTATTTCGTAAATATTGTTTAGGAAATAAAAAGATCAATTTTGAGTATATGAATGAGAGGAGTGCACTTCAATATAGTGAACCTAACTGGCAGGGTGGAGATGTACGTGTAAGTATCCCTGTCTTTGCTATACATGGAAATCATGATGACCCTGGTGAAGAAGCTATGCTATCACCTTTAGATATACTTGAATCTGCTAGATTTCTGAACTACATTGGTAAGTCCAATAATTTAGAGGATATACAGGTATTTCCAACATTGATTAAAAAGGGGAGAACAAAGGTTGCAATATATGGTCTTGGAAATATTCGTGATGAAAGGCTCTATAGATCTTTTGAAAGAGATAAAGTAAAATTTATGATCCCTGATGATCTAGAAGAAAGCAGCTGGTTTTCAATACTTTTGTTTCATCAAAATCGTAAAAAAGGAAATTTTGGAGGAACGCTTTCGAAAGATTACATACCAGAATACTTTTTACCCGACTGTTTAGATTTAGTCATCTGGGGCCATGAACATGAATGCATATGTGACCCAGTTGAAGTAGATAATAAAAGTTTTTATTCAATACAACCTGGCTCATCTATAATAACGTCTCTTATACAGGCAGAGAGTATCCCTAAGCACGTTGTTTTACTAGAGGTATGTGGAAATACCTTTAAAACAATGAGTATTCCATTACTTACTCCTAGGACATTCCTGTATAAAACAATAACACTACTTCCCAATATCTGTGATGTTGAAGGCTTTTTGCGTAATAAAATAGAAAGTTTAATACTTGAAGCTGAAAATGTGACAGAAGAAAGATGGGGAGCTAGAACTAGTCATAAAAGTAAGATTTCTCATTTACTTAATGAAAATAGCATGAATAAACTACCATTAATAAGATTAAGAGTTGAGTACAGTAATGATGATCATCTTATTAATATTCAGAGATTTGGCTATCAATATATTGGGAGAATAGCAAACCCCCATGAAATTCTAACTTTTTACAAGCAAACAAGACTCAAAAGTACTTTAAAGAATGAAGTAGAAGATGATATTCCTTTGTTATTGTCCTCTAGAGTTGATATTTCTACTTCAGGCGATGAATATAGACAAATTGGAAATTTGACTTTGCTATACTTACAGAGACGTAGTGGTCTTGAAATTTTAAATGAGAGAGATCTCAATGATGCCGTATCATCTTTCGTTCACAAACAAGATAACACTGCTATTGAATCATTTATAGATAAATTTACCACTAGTATTTATGAATTTGGATATGAAAAATTGAGGAATTCTAGTCCAGAAGAAGCTGTAAAATTTTGGAAGTTATCTCAGAACCATAAAGAGCAGAATAAAGAGAGATGTAAGGACTTACTCTCTCAAAATGATACTGATGAATCTTTAGAGGTGAATGAAATACAAGATGAACTAGAAAATGCATTTGCAACTGTAAATTATAATTTCAAGAAACAAAGAAGGTATCCTAGTTATGATACAGAAAGGAAATCAAGAAGGACAAATTCAAAATAGTAGAAAAATATTGGATAAGCTGTGGTAAAATATTGTATAAAGATTGATACTAAATCAGAATGAATTGAATAGACTTTTTGAATTTTTTTTGTCCAAATTTAGTATCTGAAATTTTGAATATACTAGAAGCTCAGCCAATTCTAATCAATCGAATGTACTTATCAAAAGTCTTCTTCCAATTACTCCTTTCTTCTCTGTTTTTAAATTGGAAACTAAGTACATCCTTGTTCTTCATATTAATTTCCAAATTTTGCTCTGTTCCACTACTAAACTCTACACTTTCAATATCATTTAAATTTACTGATCCTAAAGGAGGACCTCTTGACTCTATATCTTCTACATTGACTGACGTTTTGTACCACTCTAGTTGAGAACCATCACTTGATAATGTCACAGTGACAGATACATTAAAGAAACTAAGATACATAAGCTTAGCTGTTTTAGTCAATTTTTTACGATATTCAAGTATTTGTTCGCTTAGTATATTTTTACTTGTGGTGTCCTCCTCATACTCATCTTCACTTGATGTTTCCTGTATATCCGGACTTTTAGAAGGTTTTATGTCATTAGATATTTCAATACTTGGTTTTTTGTGGACTCCTTTACTGTTAGAGCTTGAGTTAACAACTGCGACAGGAATATCTGCAGTATTAGTCCCTCCTATAGTTCTTATATGTAAACCAGATGAACTCTTATGCTAAAAATAAAATGAAAAATTAAGGTTTAGAATAAAAAAACAATTAATAGGTTTCATTATTATAAAAATTCTTTAAGTACACAAGCTGATTCTGTTGTAGCTAACATCTTTATGTTTTCTCACCTACCTGACCATCTTTTAAAGGCTTAATTAGCGGACCATCGGGTCTACGTTTTCCCCAACGTTCGAAACAACTTGTAGTATTACCCATTTTATTGATTATTTTCTGATTTGTTACTGTAGAACAAGAGAACAAAGTTCAAGATTTCAAAATTGCATGTAGTTTTGGGACAATATAGGCGCCAAGACCAAACGGTTATCTACGTATACAAAGGTATCGGATTACATCAGCTAAACTATCTTCTTTAAAAAAGAAAAATATATAAGAAGAAGTATAAATAAATAAATAGCAGTAAAAAACTAACCTTACTAAAATTTCTAACTAGTGTTTTAAGTTTTGTGCTATAATAAAATATGTATGTACCACTTGTTTATAAAATAAATGTAAATGTGCGCTTCTTAAAAAAGTACCTCTAACTCTAATACGCAATTTAAATACAAAATTAAAGCAGTTGATAAATATTTAGACGTGTATTAGTATAAATGAAAAATAATATAATAGAAGTGCAATTTTGTGAAAGTATTGCGAAGTGTAAAGAATCTCTTATTCAATATCGCAATTAAAAACTTGATTCTAGATATTCGTTTAAATCTTCACTAAAAGAAATCTATATATAGCTTAACAAGACAAAAATATTACCTGTTTATCACTTTCCTGGTATAAAAAAGCTTATTATCTATATTCATATATACTAGATTAGAATATATCAAAGGGATCTAATTAAAAAAATCAGGTGTAATTCTCTTAAATAACCTAACTAATCTATTAATTCATGAGCAAGTCCTGCAAGCCTAAATTTAGTAGTGTAAGGTCTTCTAGGACTTTTTGAACTGTTTGAAGGTATAATATCATAAATAACAATGCACCCTAAGCTATAAGAAATATTTTGAAGACTTTTAAAAACTTCGTTTTCATTATTCTTATCTGAAGTTACAAGTAATAATGAGTTCTTCAGCTTCCCATAAAAGATATTTAAACTTTCTGGAAGCCCCTTATTAGCACTTATAAAGCTTTCCACAGAATTATAAAGACGATTTAAGGGTATTTGAATAAAGCTAAATGGCATATATGTAAGTCCACCACATCCATCATGGCTGCAAATACCACTAGCATCTCTTACAAGAAAATTCTTCTGCTCAATGTTAGAGTCACTATGGCTCCTTATGTTATCTAGCCCCAATGCATAAGAACTGTGCTGATCAGTGCACTTACATAATTTTGGTAAATATAAAGGGCAATCTTTACATGACCATTCAAAGTATACCATTGAAGAAGATGAAGTATCATCATTAAAAAATAGAAGATCAGTATTAAGAGGACTTAGAGGAGAAATGCCACCCTCAACATATTTTTTATCTGTTGATTTTTCAATTAAACTTCTTATATCAGATGGTTGAATTACTGCATCCTTCTCTTTCTTGACCATTAATCTTACTCTATTACCTCCAAAAATATCTAGTCTCCTAGGCATTCCACCCTCAGTGGTGCGTCTTCTTCTTTTACATATGCGATTTCGTAAATCTTTTAGCATTAATTCAATATCATAAACTTCAGGTTCTACCATTTCTTCGTTACACAATGTTAGTTTAGATTGTAAATCAGTCGACTATCTAGTAGGCGCGTAATATTATATTGCATTACATCTGGATTACAGAGTACCAAAGAAGCTCATCTTTACTTTTAAAAGTAGTTATATCTACTTTTAAGGAATTAGTGGAGACTTAATGTAAATTATTTATCCATCTCTACTATATATATTAGAATTGACACTTCTCTTTAATTTCATATTAAACACAAACTTAGTTTAAAGTGAGTTTTTTAATTATACGTACAATTGTTTACTTCAGTTTAGTATCAACAAACAATAGCTATCCTGCATTAATGTTTGTTTTATTGTGCGTTTATTAAGGAATTGTAATTCTAGATATATTGAGGCTAAACTATTTCTGAATTTTGGGTAAACCAGCTTTAGCGAGCCATAACTAATAAGTGGAACAAATTGCAATTACTTTTTTTTTATCAACAATTCTTTTATATTCAATGGTAAATGGAAAGTTCTTCAAACTTCTATTACTTTTGGACTCTTATAGTTTTGTTCAATCAACTGGTGATTATATAGAAAATCTTTTTGAGAGTATATCAGAACTTTGTGCAGATATTATTCAATCGAATAATCTATCTAGTATACACATACTACTTAATAAACTCTTCAGAGATTTGAGTCTAAACTTCAGTAATAGCTATCCAGATATTAATACTGATATTACAACAAAATTGGATAACAAGAGAGCCAAAATAGAACAAAACCATGAAAATGACAATATCAGCATTATATATATATCTCAAATTATACCTAATCTACTTTCTAAAATACAAACCGAATACTCTGACGATTACAAGAAACGGGTATTAGCTTTACTAATTGCGATTGATATATCCTATCTTCTACTTATCAATAGACCAATAAGATATCAAGAATTAAATTATAAGATAAACCATATGGAATTAAGGGAAATATTTTACCATTTTATTTCAGATTACAGCACTTGGACTAAAATTAAACAAAAGATTATTTTGAAGGCTTCAATTGATAACTGTGAATACTGCTTAACTCCACCCTTCGAGTACTACATTGCAAACCTAATTATGTTGTTTTTAAGATTTGAATCATACCCAAATAGAATGAATTATCTTAATAATGATTGGTTTTCAGTACTTTTGAAATTATTTTCTCAAACTGAACACCAAGCTGAAGTTGGGTCTTGTGTTAGCTACACTTGTGTTGACATTTGTCTTGTTGAAATCTCGCGTATTTTATCAAACTACGAGAATAATGAAACATCTAATGAACAAATATTCTCTTTAATTAAGTATTTAATGAATCAAGTTTATAACTTTGGTCAAAGAACTGTCAAACAACAAATATATTCTTTACTAACCCTTGTTAATTTGTCCAAAACTGCAATCAAATTATTATCTATACTGGATACTCTACTGATATATATTATTAAAAGAAATGATATAAATGATTCAAATAATTTAGGTCTATTACTCTTGGCTTTTATACTTGGGAATTTGCATAAATGGTTCAAACTTTTACACTTAATATTGCCAAAATTTGAAAACAGAGCTATCCTAAATACAAATCTATTGTATAAAATTAACGAAGTAATAGGGTTGAAATTACTGGGAATACCTTTATATAAGAATTTAGGTGTATTGTCTATATCTAAATTAGACCATGTTCTAGCAGATACAAATGGAAATACCAATCAAAATGAAACAATATCCTATATTGAGTTTATGTTATCTTCAGCGTGTCCTATAGAAATCACACAAAAGTTATTTGTTACTATTCCTTGTATATTAAATTTAAATTTAGAATTATGTCACAAAATTCTCAATTTTCTGAACTTTAATGAAACTAGTAACTGGTCATTGCTATTTCCTCTTGTCTGTGAATGCTGCTGCACTATGAACTTTTTGAAATATCAGGAACAAATTCAACTCATTAATCATATTGTTCAGGTTTTAGAAAAAAAGATATCAAATATTGATGTAGATAAATCAATCTCAAACAGCAGAGAATATACTGAAGTCTTTTCTTCTGTTGTACCTCTTACTAGTTTGGCATATTTACTACTTCTGGATATTCACTACACAATCAATAATCCAGAATTATTTCAAAGTGGATTTTTCACAAGTTCATATTTAAGGTGGACTACAAACGATATTCATAGTCTAACATTTTTTACTGCCTATAGCTTATCTGATTACATATCTAATATTTTGAATTTAAATAGACTCACTATTGATAATTGGATGATACCAGCTATTTTTCATCTTCTAAAAGCTTTATTTGATCTATTTAGTAATTTTAAAAAGCACAAGTTTTTAAAACCAATGAAGAATAGAAATTCCTTTAATAAAAATATAAGATGTATCAGTACATTGTTGAAAAAACATGAAATGTCTCAAAGGCAAATTAGGTCCTTAATATGTTTCTCAAAAATTGTAGAAAATTCCCCAGATAATATAAGAAGAGCTATCTATGAGAAGACACTGAAATCAAATTTAGATAACATGAAAAAGTTTTTTGAAGATCTTGTAAAATTGGAGTTGCAGAAATGCGATCAGAGAATTATGAAGGATACTAATTCTGAAATTCCGGTTTATCCGGAAATTTCGATATATTACATGAAATCTCTACTTTTGAATTCTCCTTTTAGCTTTCTAGAATACTCTTTGGAGTATATTAATAAACTTGTAATAAGTTGGATAGGATATATTAAAGAAGCTACTCATAATACAATTTCAGTAGCACCAGAAGCTAATAAAGGCAATACTATACTTGAGGAATTGAAGTTCAATACTAAGGCTTTCTTAGCAACTCAGTTATGTGAATTATATACAATCATTGCAATGAGAATTCTAGTTGATACATTAGAAAGCAACTCAGTAAGCGAGGGGGAGGAAGATACTGAAATACAAGAGAATGTCATAAAATGTCCTATTAAAAACTATTTATTATCTGAGATCCAGTCTATAGGTGGAATCTTAGATGAAACTCTAAATATATACATTGAAAAGTCTACAATTTCGTGTTTTTATTCAGATATCTTTACAATGGGAATCTTTATTTTAGAAGTTTTGCTTTTTGAAATAAACTCAAGTTTTAACAGCAAAAAGAATGAAATTAATCAAAGTTTGAAATATATGAATGTTAGATATTTTAATACTTTTATTAATATACAAAATAGTCAAGAAATTCAAGAGTCTTTCCTACATAGTTCACAGTCAAATATTCCATATATAGAAATTTTTGAGATTTTACGTCATGGGATTATAGGGACCAAACAAGTAATAAAATTAAATGATATTGTCAGCTCATTTCAAAAACTCATCAAAAGTTCTAATTTATTGTAACTAATAATAAGATTTATTCACAATCTGTCCAGTACACAACAATTGGAAAAGTAGCCTCCATTGCCTCTTTCTGAATAGTCCAAAGAGTTTGTTGAAATTCTTCTTTATCAGTATTAATATTGGAAAGTCTATAATCGCTCTCATTTAGATAAAGTTGCCTTTTTTTAATAAGACTTTTCGTTAGATTGTGATATTCTTGGAAACCCTTAGCTTCAAGCCTTCTGCAATATTCAAGTTTTGTAACAGTTAATCTCCAAATAGTTAGGAGTTGGGTCCACTCAGTTTTGAGATGCTCTAGTTGTTTTATAACTTCTAACAGTTGCTCTTCATAGTACTTATTGGTACACTTGTCAAATCTATCAGAATATAGAACTAATTCTAGTAGCGAGGTCTTAACAGTTAAAGGAAGCTCTTCCTGTTCAATAAAGAAAGTTACTTCCTGTGTCCTACTAACTATAACGACCTTTTGAAATTTTGAATTATATTTCTGATTGAACATACAGTGAAAATCAGATACAGGAGTGTCATTTGACATTAATTCAAAAATACCTTCCTTTGTAATGAGCTTAACTCTTGGGACATGACTCTTTAAAGTGTTACATAATTCAGTGGCATATATATAACGTTGGATATGATATTTTGTCAATTGACTTACATGAAAAATTATGTCACTTTCACCACTGTGCTTATCTTTTATTATTATAAAGCAGCCTCCTCCTGTAATAATAAAGTTTTTCTTGCCACTAGAATATTCAAAACTAAAATCACCACTTTTTGAGATGTGAATACTACCTGAACTTGTTAAAAATGTCTGAGGACCCAATATACCTCGTGTATCTAAAAGACTGATTGATTTTTTCTGCAATGGGAGAAATGAAGAAGCATGATCTGTGTTAGAATCTGATATCCAGATATTGGGACTATTATTAATAGCAGTTAACTGATTTCTACTTCGTATTTTCTTTAAATCATATAGTCTATATGTTGGAGTTGAATATAACAATGGGGATAAATTAATATCTTTACTGCAGTCATTAGTGTTTAATCCATACCTGCTTCCTTCACTGTTTACTCTGCTTAATTTTGAATTTGGAGTATTTACTATTTTTGTCTCATCAACTTCATTAAATGTTTCATAAATTTGATCATGATTATTTATCAAATTTATATATATATCAGGAATGATAGTCTTTGGTATTGTATTAGTAATAGATCCACTAAATTTTCCATCTTCACCTCCAAAATTAGGTGTAATTCTTGGTGAATCCCATAAATCCTCTACTTCTAAAACATTAGATCTATTTACCTTATAAGAATAATCCAAACTTGAAGATACAATATCAGTATTTATTATGCAATTCTTATGTTTATATATATATCTCTTAGGTAACTTCAGTAGCAAGTGGGAATTGTCGATATTTTTTATTTTGGTCAAATCAGGATTCAGATTATATAATCCAGTGTTATTCATGATATATGAACAAATCTATACATAGTAGAAGTATATAAATAGAATATTGGAACTGATTAAGTGCCCACATGCATGTTCTATCAAAATTCAATTACTTTATACAACTTTGCTTGCCTACCTACCTGAATTTCAAAGTTTGGCGGGTATATACCGCTCTTTAATATTTAGGCGGCTATTGGCGGTTTAGTATAAAGGGTGCAGCTGTACCTTTTAGATTAACCCTGTGTCGTTAATCTAATAATCTTTGCATGCAGTTCTTCAGCCTAAAATATTTAACAAAAATATATAATGAGAACTTCTAGCTCTAATGAGGCTCCAATAGGAGAGCGTTTTATCGTATCACCTCGTATATCAGCCCAAGATAACAAAATTGGTCGAATAATGCTGAGTATCCTGCCCGTAATATATGTCTTGATCATTATACTTTCCTTGTACTGCATTTATACTATTTACCATTTGGTTCCACTAATTTTATATAATCCGAAAGTAGGAATACCAGAAGTAGTAATCTTTAATACACTAGCTTGTATGGTATTGATATGCTTTGGTCTAAGTATAGCTACACCTCCAGGTGGTGTTCCAGACGATCCAAAATGGAAATTTACAAGTAATGAGATTAATACTACAAATAGTATACCATATAATCTAAAAGAAATAAAGAGTACGGGGGAAAGACGCTATTGTAAATGGTGCGCAAAATATAAACCTGATAGGACTCACCATTGTAGGGTTTGTCGCACTTGCATATTAAAAATGGACCACCACTGCCCTTGGATATATAACTGTGTGGGTTGGAAGAATCACAAATATCTCTTATTATTAATTTTATATTCTTTATTAACCAGTTTATTTCTCACTTGTACTCTTGCACCAACACTAAGCCATACTATAAAGTCTAGTATTGTGAAATTTGGGGACATTGTTGCTTTGCTTTTAGCAGAAGTTTTAGCTGCATTTTTATCTGTATTATTACTATGCTTCTTTATATTTCACATGTGGCTAGTTCTTAACGGAATGACAACCATTGAGTTCTGTGAAAAGTCACATTCTAATTCAGCTACTAGGCAATGGTACAAGGGTCACTACAATTCGTTTACAGAAGTATTTGGGGAAAATCCACTTTTGTGGTTTCTACCAATTAATAATGTAAAGGGAGATGGGACAAATTTTGATAGTAATGAAGAAGACGTTGATACAACTTCCATTATTGTGAGTGATCTTATTCAAGAAAGTATAGATAAGAATAAACCTAGCTCAGGTGATGAAAGAAGCTATTTACTTAAGAATCAGCAAGATCCAGAAAGGACAAGTCCAGTTCTATAAAAAAGTGGAAAACTTGATACTACTTATCAAGGATTTCATCAGTAATATTATTAAGAGCTAGAAAATTTATTGACTAGTTAAGTGAAATCTGAAATATTTAGCAATATTAAAGCAATTCCTAAAGCTTTCAAACAATATAGTATTAATAGTTGACTTATTTAGCTCACATCAAAGTATATTATCTTCTTTGTGATAACTCTACAAAAAATTAGCCGCCTAGACGCTTATTTTTGTGTAATGTTTGTGTAATTTAGTAGTAGCTAAGCTCAAGGTAAGAAATCTTTCCAAGAAAAAAAGAAATTACAATTTTTAAATATACTAAGGTAAATTTGCTGACAGGGGGTAAGAATTTGAGGTCATTAGTACTTCAGCTATGGGGTAAGTATTTATACATCTGTATTTGTAGTAACCTTACATTTACTTGAACATATTTTGCATATCCCTTAGAAATCAAACATCCATTTTGTCGGATCAAGAGCAGCGTGATTTAGTACAAGCCGCAAGTTTTACAAGACGTGATATAATGCGGATATATGGTTGCTTTAAAGCTTTAGATACGAACCAAAATGGAGAGCTAGATCCACATGAGCTTTTTGATATGCCTGAAATTGCAGATAATCCCTTGGTTAAACGTGTAATTTCTATCTTTGATACGAATGAAGATGGAAAGGTTTCATTTGTGGAGTTTGTTATAGGACTAGCGCGATTAATGGCTGGTAGTGACCCTGAGCAGAAAATGAAGTTTGCTTTCGACATATATGATGTAAATAAAGATGGCTGGATATCTAATGGTGAGCTATTTAAAGTAATGAAGATGATGGTGGGGGATAATTTAGAAGATATACAGGTAAGTTTAAATTTATGTATGCTATAAGCTCTACTACTATGAAACTGATACTTAACTGTATTGAATTTGCTCTCCATTCTTCTAGCTTCAACAGCTTGTAGATCGTTGTATTATTCAGGCTGACAAAGATGGAGATGGTTTAATCTCTTATGATGAATTCCGTGAAGTTGTGGCTCATTTAGATGTCAGTGGGAAATTAAATTTAGAGCTTCAATTCCAGTAGTACATTAATGCATGGTACTTAAAGCGGTCATCATCTTTGCCTCTGCCCCTCACTATTAAGTAGCATGGAATAAAAGAATAAATGCCAATTAGAAATTATGAGAAATATAATAAATAACTGAAGATATTTGTTATTACATTATATATTAAAATTATAGTTTGAAATATTTGCATAGTAATATTCGGAAAGTTTTGATATTATATATCCACTAATCAATGCTTAAGAAATTAAAGGTTTTATATACTCGCCATAAAACCCAGAAATCAAAGGTATGGCATGATGGAATGGTAACAATATTTGATACAAATGGTATATATAAAGTGTCACTGTATAAGTGTACAGAGGACTGTCATAAGGGAGATTTAATAGAGGCATACAACAGTAGGCAGTCATTGGACAATATAATGGGTTCATTGAATTTTCAAGGATATCTGGTAGAGCTGAATGATGAAAATTGTCAATATCATCGCAATATATCTAATTTTGATGTTCTAGTTGGTGTAGATAAAGTAGTTGATAGATCTGCTTCGGCTATTAATCATTCATCAAAACATGGTAATTTGCATAGGACCTTATTAACAAAATTTAAGTGTCCCAATATCACTTCTAAAGTTGATAAGTCTAAAAATAAAGATTTGGAAAGTAATGCGATATCTAATAACAGCAATTTAGTGAAAAGAGATATTAGGAAGATACAAACTAATGTCTTCAGGGAACTTGTAGGATATAAGCAATATCTAAAAACTCTCAGCATAATGAATATGGATGTATTTAAGGAGTGATTGAATAATAGAAGAGAAATAGACTAATTGAGCTGAATATTTAATACAATATTATGCTTTAATAAAAATAAATGTAGTAAATTTGTCTACTTGAAGTTTCATGTTTATGTTATAGGTGTTCTACTATATATACCATAAACTTTTTATTAATGGTTAGATATTTCGAACCTAATTGCTTGTTTATCTCTTTCATCTTCTTGGGCTGTATCGTAGAGTTGCTTCTCCCACAATATTGCATAATTTCTCTTATTTTCCATGAGTTGACTATGTGTCCCTATCTCAGCGACCTGTCCATTCTCCATGTATATTATTATATTTGAGTCCTTTACAGTTGAAAGCCTATGCGCAATTATCATCATAGTCAAGGGTTGCTTTGTAAGCTCTTCAATTAATTTACTTACATAAAAGTCATCTTTATAATTCGTTTGTTCAAAAAAGTCGCGGGAATTGAGTTTATCTGCAGTATTTATAGTTTTTAAACCTCGTTTATAAATACTATTTATAGTATCAATAACCTCATTTTGAGTATGTAAATCTAGAGAGCTTGTAGGCTCATCTAGGATCCAAATTGGTGATTTACGTAGGAATAGACGGGCTAAACCTATTCTCTGACGCTCTCCACCTGAAAGCTTACTTCCTCTTTCTCCCACAATTGTTTGATATTGGTCGTGCTTTTGAAGAATATTGTCGTGGATTCTTGCCAATTTACATGCAGCCATAATTTCATTATCTGAAGCTTCTATATTTGCAATTCTTAAGTTGTCCATAATTGAGCAATTTAAAAGTAGATTTTCTTGAGGAACAATAGAAAAGAGTCTTCTAAAATCATGTAGATTATATTCTTGTAGTTCCTTATTAAAATATAGTATGCGACCTTGGCTTGGATCATAGATTCTATAGAAAAGACGCGATAAAGTAGATTTCCCACAACCTGACGGTCCTACAATACCAATTTTCCCACCAAGAGGAATAGAAAATGATACATCACATAAAGTAGGTTTTAAAGTTAGAAAAGAGTTAGTATTGATAGATCCTTCATATTTTGAACTTTCAAGGGGATATGAAAACCAGACATTTTCTAATTTGAGCATCTTGCTTGTATCTGTACCACTGTCTTGGGTTACAGGATAGATTGGCTTCATATACTTATGACTAATTAATTTTACAGGTTGCTTGAAAAACTCGTTGAGCCTGTTGAGGTCTATCACAGTTAGCTTGGTTTCCCTGTACATCATACCAATAAAATTTAGAGGAATTGCTAATTGGAAAAGTAGAGAAGTAACAAGAACTATGGAACCCATAGGAATACTCCCAGCCAAAATTTTACCAGTTGTTAGTAACATTGTAGATATAAGACCTCCAGTAAAGATAAGATTCTGACCAAAGTTTAATAGTGCTAACGATGTTTGAACTTTAATGTTAGATTTCATATATTTTTCTTGGTATTGGTTGTATAAATTGAAAGCATACTCTTCTGCATTAAGATATTTTAATATCTCTGCATTCATCAATGTATCTTGGAATAAGCCATTAGAGTTCTGTTCAGCCTGATTCATTTCCTTCCTAAATAAAGTTCTTTGAGCTGTTATTTTACGTGTGAATTCCATATAACCTAGCATTGTAGCCAGTGTTATAAAAGCGATATCCCATCCAACTCTATAGAATAACAAGCTTAATACCAATATAAATTCAGCCGATGTTGGTATAATTTGAAATAGCATAATATTTAGTAGTTGGGATACAGATTTGAAACCTCTTGATACTATTGTCAATAGTTCCCCCGACTTTTGACTTTGAATAAAGTCTAAATTGCAATTATTATGAAAGTGGTGAAATGCTTGAAGAGAAACATCACGACATGCTGATTGGCTTACTATAGAGAATAGAGCATTACGAAGTTCGTTAAACCCAGAGGATGAAATCCTAGCTATACCATATGAAGCAATGAGCAATAACAAAGTTTGTGATGGCTCTAGAAATAAATAATTAAGTGAGCAAAGAGGAGAGTTATTGGATAACGATGGAAACACATTTTTAGTATGTCCCATAGAATCAATTAGTTTTGCCAATATAATTGGAGCTTGTACTGTAGCTACTTTTGCAAGAGCTAAGCTTGCAGTTGCAAAAACAACTCTTAGTCTAAAATATTTATTTTTTGGCCAGATGAATGCTGACACATATTCAAAAGCATCCGCCTCATTCTTTTTTAAAATCTTACTTTTTTTTAGAAATTTTATAAATTTACTTCGAATATCTTTGTTATAGTGCTTAATGTGGGCAATTTGCATATAATCAAAGTCATGTTTAGCCACTTTGCTACAATACTTATGAGTTTCGTCATAAAATCTCATTGTATTTAGTTCTTTATAAGGAATTTTTGTATCTATAACTGGTATTTCCCATTTTATAATTCTAGTTACCTTAGTTAAATACTGAGGACTTATTCTCAAGTTTCTTAATAAGGATATATTCCCTGTCAGATTAATTTTGTTCCAAATCATTACTATGGTTGAGCTATTAATAAGCTTTCCAATTTAGGGAATAGTAAGTAATAACTAGTAATATAAAATATTATATATAAATTTATAGGGTAATACCTTCACTTGAATATCAAAAGTCCATTTTAATTTCTTTTAAACTAGCTGTGATACTTATTAGCATAAACTGTGGAAGTTACAAGTGACTTTTTTCTATAGCGGGAAATGCAAAATCAATTAATTGTTAAATACTTCATTCAATGTCTTTACTTCTTAACGAAGTAAATGAAACGAAATTGCAGAGAATAAACAATATGTTTTGTGGATTCCTAGACAATAACCTATTTCCTACTTCATATATTTAAACATGTATTTGTTGCTCCTTTCGTGGAGCTCGGAAGCTATACATTAGATATAGCGCCTTTACTAATATTTACTTCTTGAATCAATAAATAAAATAATACAATACTATGACCCAATATTGTTGTTCTCAATAAAGAGCCGTAAGTACATTGCAGAATTAAATATATAAGTGAAATTTACCCCGAAGGTGTTATAATAGAGTTTCTACGTTATCTACTTGCAATAGAGAAGGCGGTAAGACACTCTAAATAAATTACAGGACAAGATTTAGCTACTAGAAAATTTAAATAGTAGTAGTTTGCACCTATGTAATTATTTTTTGAATTAAGTAAATGGGTTTAAATAATGGCACTTTCACTTTTAAGGAAGGTGAATGAAAAAGTTTTGAACTCTGTATCATTATTGGATGCATCATTGGACGTGGATTATATAGTGAGTGGCCTAAGGAGTAGTTTGAATAATGGTGAACATAAGCGTATTGAAGAAGGTATAATATCTCTAATGGAATTTAGTAAGAGGAATCTGAATGCACTATTAATGCAAAGAGAATGGATTGAATGTGCCTGCAATATAGTAATATGGAGCAGTAAGAACCAAAATGAATATTTATTTAGCCTATGTTTGGAACTACTTAGAATAGTAACAAGCATGGTTGAAGATAGGCTGATTAGTAAGGCTGGGTATTATTATTGCTGCAATATTGTAGAATGTAGACAAGTTGACTATAAAAGAGCTCAGAAGGAAGATAATACGATGATGTTGATAAATGATATTTTGAAATATAGTAATGGGGGCGTAATTTTCGTTGACTCACTAAGAATTTTAAGTATGAATGAGAAACATAATTTGAATAATGATGATTGTAATATGTACAGCCACTACGATGTGTTAAAAATACTGTATATACTACAGATAAGTAGAAATGCTGATAATTTACTTGAATTAAACTTATTGAGTAATAGTGAAATACTTGGTACTACTTTAGAACTGTTAAATAAAGGGTTGAATTCTCATGGATACTTTTTATCAAGTGCATTAGAATTAACTGTAGCTTTGACGTTGAATAACCATTCTGAAATACAAAAGATAATTACGTTTCAAGGATTAGTAGATTTGATTTACAATATATTAGCAGAAGAAATGGGAAGTTTAATTAGGGACAAAAATCTCGAGATAAATAGTAATGGTAAAATTCACAAGTTCGGTAGTGTGAAGGACTTCTGCAATTATAGAACTTTAAAAGAGGAAGAACTTGATTATGAATCTCCAGAGGTTTTGTCTCAGTGTATAGAATGCCTTTATCACATTTTTCAAAACTCAAGTTGTATCAAATACATGATTGAAACTGAAGGTTATAAAGTTATGCTGAATATATTGATAGATTTACTTGGATTATGTCTATATTTATGTGAACAATGGACATTTTATAATGAACAAACCAAAAGTAGACCTATAAAAGATGAGCTTACTTCCGAAAATAGCTATAATAAAAAGGCTTGTATGTTTCAATGTTTTAAAATAAATGAATTGGAACATAATATAAAGCATGTGTCTTGGATTTGTACTACATTAAAGATCTTGAAAATAAACAGGGAGTTTTTGTCACATGATCATTCTAAAAAGATATCTAGTTTTCTATTTGAAACATATTTAACTGAAATTCTTTTTACAGTACTCGGAAATCCAGATAATCTACACTTCAATATCTCTTATGAGGCTATAGAAATCTTGGAAACACTTGGATTTAGTAATGAAGAGAGTAAAAACAGCAAAAAAGATCAAATTTATTTTGTAGATAAAAATATATACTATAGTATTGACAAATTTAGTCACTGCCTAGAGTGGTGTACCCTTCAGAGTTTCACAGGTGTATCTCCGTATGTGTGGTATGGATACAGAGATATATTTGAGAAATTTCTTCCATCCATTAATTATATTTTTGGAAATGAAGCACAAAAGGTGCAAACAGAAGAGAAAAATAAATTGAAGGATTTAATAAGCAGATATTCACATCAAATGGAAAGTAGTCTTTTGGATTGGCTTGGAACAAGTATAATGAGCCCTTACAACATAATACCAAACTTAAAATCTGCTCAAACAGATTGGGGTTCGAGTAATCGGGATGATTGGTTTATCATGAACCTTCTTCCACTTTTATTTAATAGGTCAGAGAGCTTCAACTTAAACTACCTAGCTAATCAATCAAATGAAATGTTCTTTGACTTCGTTCACTGCGTGTTTTGGTTTCCAATGGTGGAGTTTTGTCGTTTACATTCAACACTAAATTTGAATTTTTTAAATACTGAGTTAGATTATCAAGATTCTCCAAATCACCAAATATTAAGCACAATTACTTTATCTCTAAGTGAACCTTTAGATCAGAGGCTTTTAGCTTGCATACTTCATTATAGGATTTGGAGAACCTTCCAAATTTTACAATTGATAGTATTATATTCTCCAAATTCACTCAACAGTTTATCTGTAGTAACTATTGAAGATATTGTAAATAAAGCTTGGAGCCTTGGAAAAGGTGAAGATGTTCAAACTCGTATATTGGACTCTAAGATGGATCATAAGGCTTTTAATTTTAATAATGAAGATGCAGACGTACAATTTGAGCATCCTCTAAAATATTATCTCTTTTACATACTGAAAACTTCCACTGAAGAAGTTGCAACTCTTCTTAACAAAGAAAACAGCTATTTAGACTATTCACTATCCATGGAAACTATGTTTAAATTTAGCAGTATATCTTCTTGTATTGCTGCATTGCAGGTAATATTTGTGCTTTTATATCAAGAAAGTAAAGGGAGATTAGTAGATTTTAGATGCAAAGATAACATTTATATTATTTCGAATTCAATATCTAAGCTTCTGAAGTTTACTTCTCTAGATAACTTTAAAAGAAGAAATCGAGTTGATCTTATTATTTTGTTTGATTTAGCTAATGTGTTGGTTGTTTTAATAAATGTTTGTAATGGCTATCCTATTCATGAAGATACAAGGGTTAAACTTTCAGATATATCAAAGCGTTTGCAAAGTATAGAGTATAAATCTTCTTTAGAAACATTTAATTCAATTATAATACCAGAATATACACAGATTCTTATAACTAAGTTTATTGATGAGGTTTTAATTCGAGACTTAAGTGTGAGTTATTTCTCTACAAGCTCTACAAGTGACAACTATCGCAAGTGCCTGAAACATGTTGGCACAAACAATAATACAAATGTCGAGAATTTTCTTATAAATGACAATAGTTCAAAGAATTCAATTGACATTTCTCATCCTAAATCTGGTTTTGCAAATTTTGATTCAAATATTGAAAACCAATATGATTGTATAGAGTGCACAAAGCTGAAGGAGCAAATATTTGCAGAGCGGAGATACTTCAGAAATTTGCTGAAGAATAAGCAAGATGAAGTTGAAGCATTAATAGTTGCTTATAAAATCGCTGAGAAAGAAGCTAAGGAACGTGGGAAATTAATAAGAGAAATAGGTATATCATATTGTGAAGTCAGTCCATTCCCTATTGAGAACTTGGATGACCCTACTACGAAGAATATCAACGAAGAACTATTTAGAGAAAATCAGAACTTGATGGAAATCATTGGAATTCTACAAAGAGAGATCCCACAAGTTAGACAATATATAGAAGACAATATACTTATTTCAAGAAATAAAGATTTAAATAAAGTCTTAAACTCCATCGATAGTCCTAATTTTGCAGAGGTAATTGGTCAAGTAATTATAGATTAAGAGGTATTGCAAATGATCTATAATTCCCAAACTAGTACTATTTATCCTTTAGGTATATAGTTTCACTCCCCCCAAATGCTGCGTCTAAAGAAAGTTTGGATTCGCAACATTTAAGTATATCCTCTTCTATCGAATTCCTACAAATAAGTTTAAAGATAGAGACATCCTTACTTTGTCCCAAACGATGAACACGATCTTCAGCTTGTCTTTCAATTTGAGGATTATAGTCAATGTCCATCATTATTACTGTAGAAGCAGCAGTCAAATTTAGTCCCTGACCAGCTGCCTTAGTAGACAAAAGGAATATGAGGGTAGATGAAGATGTCTGAAACTGTTCAACAAGTTTTTGTCTTGTATCTATAGGTGTAGTACCATCAAGTCGAATATAAAAATCTGTCTTATCTCCAAATTTCAATTTTATATATTCCTCAACTATATCCAGAAGCATTGTATGATGACAAAATACAAGACATTTCTCCCTTCTGATCACTTTCTTTTCAATAATTTGATGCATCTTTATAAGTTTACAGCTATCACCTAGCACCAATTCATCTTTAATTAAGTATTTATCAAAAAAATTCGTGTTGCTGTTTTGTGAATTCTCAAGTGCTAATTGATGTATTTCATAGTCACAGAGTTGTTTTATATGTTGCTCAACCCTACTTCGGGGATACTCCTTATAACCTTGAATATTTTCGTTCAAATATGAAATTAAGTCATCAATTTCTTCCTTCTTAAAATGACCTTGATGTAGAAGTGGATGGTTACATATCCTCCTAAGTCTGAATATTATTGAGTTAACATACTTAGGATCATATGAAGATGAAGCAAGAAGTAAGTTTCCATCAATATTTAGTTCTTTTGAACTACTACTTTCTATCTTTGGATGACATCTCCCCACATGTATTTGATCTAGTAAAGAGTTTTTAGTTTTATTATAATCGTTCAAATCTATATCTTCATGATTATTACCCATTGTATAGACATTCTTCGTGACTTTCTTTTCAATCTCTAAAGACAAATATTTCAAAAATTCTAGTTGATTTGTGTCTTTAATCTGTTCATTATTGACATTTATAGAAGCATTAGCAAATTGAGATTGATATTGCTGTAGCTGTTTCTCTGTCAAATCACAAAACTCAATGTAGACTGTTTTCTTAGGCAAAAGTGAAAGTACATCCTGCTTTGTTCGTCTTAGTACAAATGGTGAAATAATTTCCTGCAAAAAGAGAATTTCAGAAGAATTCGTTATACCTACAGGAGTATCCAAAGATTCACTAATTAAATTGGGAACTTTAGAAGTATCTTGATATTCCTTATATCTTAATAATCTCCTTTTGTATGACTTAATTGCATCGCTAAGGATGTCTTGACTAAAAAATTTTGGCATTAAAAATGCCAGGAGATTTTCTAACTCAGAGACTGAATTTGAAATAGGTGTACCTGTGAGTAAAAGTCTTCTATCTGCTCTTATCTTTGTATTCATAAATTTATAACGTTGAGAAGATGGATTTTTAATGTTATGAGCTTCATCTACTATTAGATATGAGAACTCACAATGTTTAAAAAATAAGCTCACATCTGTCTTGTTTGTAAGCACCTGAAAAGTTGTGATAATCACATTGACGTTGTGCTCATCATATAATTCTAATAGTCTGTTAGCTAAATATTTTCTTTCTTTTTGAGATCCATGATACTTCTCAAATCGTAATTTTGGAGACCATGTTTTTAATTCTCTAGCCCAATTGTCCAATAATGAAGCCGGACAGCATATTATAACTGGTTTAACCATACCTATGCTCTTAAATAAGTACTGCAGCAGTACGCAAGCCTGAGCAGTTTTTCCCAAACCCATCTCATCAGCTAGTATTCCATTATAATTATTCTTATGTAGAGAAAGTAGCCACATTATACCAATGACCTGATATTCCTTCAAATTTTCCAACAGCTCACTCTCCTCAGTAGCAATGTATGTCCATAGTTCCTTTTTCTTAATATATTCATTTGTCCTCGTTATGCTACATCTACCATTAGATATTTTGGCTTCTATATCTTCTTTAAATTCATCATTTTCACTACCTCCCAAAAAGTCAATTATTGCACTTTTCATTTGCTTAGCTATACTTAAACAGTTCTCTAACGCTTGATCTTCTTCAATATGAGTACCAATAACTTCTTCATCACTAGATTGACTTTCTTTAATAATCAGTTCATTACTTTCAGCTATAAAAGATTGTTGATTATTCAAATATTCCTTTGTAGATAAAGTCACATTGGAATCATTCTGGTGTTTGAGATCCTTATCTAGACTTGATTTTTCTGGAGAATCACGTACACTCTTTAGTCTCCTTCTCCTTATTATTTTCCTAGTAAGTGTCGAATCAGAGTCACTTCTAGTTGGACTTTCCAAGTAATTATGTTTAAAGTTAATCGAACTACCAAATATAAGAGATTCAGTGTTGGGATCTCTATTACTAGTTTCAAAGTCGTTCTCTTCATCTGAACTAGTATAAACTAACATATTTCCTTTAATAAATCTCTTACGCCTCTTAAAGTTTGCATTTACTCTATCTGAAGAGTATGGCACCAGTGATATCACCATAGTTGCACTATTCTTCCTAGTTAATTAGTCAAGCTTTACAAATTCTATAAATATAATATTATTTAAAAAAAATCTATTTGGCAAGCCACCATGCCAAAATATAAACTATCTATAACTTCTCAAAGTTTTCTTTGCTAGACAAGAAACCTCTCTGTTTAGCAACCTTTCTTATAACTTTAAAATTACTGGCTGATAACTTACCCGCACTACAGTACCTTCGCCCTTTTGCAGAATTCCAGCTAAAGTAAATGTGGGGAGTATATGAGCGGCTTGATTGTACCTATAAAGTATGGTACTTAATACAATGAAATTTATGAGCGCTTTGTTATCAAAAAATAACTTCATAGTCTTGCAAACTCATTGATTGTTTTCTTTATGCGGCAATTAACTGTAGTTAGTAATCCAGTAGTCAATTATATTTCAGCTAAATAGAGGCAATAACGTTATACAGTTACACACACTATTTGTAAGATCATATCATTGAAATGATTACCTTAAAATTAAAGATAACTTAGTTCTAGTCAAGATCTTTAGAATTTTAAGCTTTATGATTCAATTCACTGCATTTCAAGTAAGTGATCAATCATACTAATATCCTGACATAATTTAACCTCTAAAGTTAGCAAGTGTATAACCTTACTTAGTTGTCACAGTAATATACATTTATTTTAATACAAAATATCAACTAAATTGCTAGTATTTATTGTTGAGTTGAGCTATTAGAATATAGGTTCATTAACTTGCGAACATCTACATCAAAGTTCCTTGATTCAATAGCCTTATAGAACTTCTCTAAACCATCATGTGCATTACTCCAAGAGCTATTTTTTTGAATAGAGTTGAGTTCATTTTGAATAATCTTCTCACTAAGAGGTTTATAAGGAACAAAGGGTTGCATAGACACCTTTAACTCTTTTTGGTGACCAACCAATATAGAAGAAAGGTATCCTATTGGTAAAAACTCAATATCTTCACTTTTCAAATTCATCTGTATTATATCTTGTGCCACTTTCAATACATTGTACGGTAGTAAAGCAGCTGCAGTGAGGTTAATTGGAAAAGGCGGTTAGTATAGAGAACTAAATATTGAGTATGATTTTGTTTGTAAACAAGTATAAAGTTAATTCTCCCATTTCGAAACATTTTCACTAGTCCCCTCTTTCAATGATAGAGTATCGAATAAGAGAGTTCGTTCTATTTCCATTGAGTGTTCGCTAGCTAGTTGCTGCAAAAGAGACTCAATATCATCTTGAATATTCTCTTTACTTTCTTTAGTTGCGGATGAATTTGCAGTAGCTCTAGACTGTTTGGTATCAATTTCATCAAGTAAATAGCTAATTTGTTGTATTTTCTCTATACTAGTACCTATAATAACTCTATTATCTGATAAATCTTTCTGTAATGTTGAAACAGCATCTAGTACTTTTTTAGATATTGTTTCGGTCCTTGAAACTTTTTCCAGTCTTGAGCAAATTTCATCTAGTTTTGAAGACATTAAGAGATAATCGGTACGTTCCTTTTGCATTCTAATTGCATTTTCAGCATGAATCCTATATAAGATATAAAAAGTAGGAGTCATAGTTACCTTTTAAAAAGTAATAAATTTATTTTTATTGCAAAAGCTTACTTCGCTATTTCAGTATCTCCTGATAACATGGCAAACTTTGCTTTATTTCTTTCAGACTTGGATAAATCATTTCTATTACGAGAGAGCCGCTGTAGTTCCCTTACTTTTAATTTTATATCAAATATAGAATCTTCAATTGTTAATTTCGCTCCCATTGATATATCTAAAGCAAGATTATTTAAGATGCAGTGAAAATTCAAAAGGGAAGAAAACCTTTAAGGTGGAAAAAGTTAACAAGATAAGCATACAAGCGGGATTATATGATTTTTCTTTTTTTTCTTTTTTTTTTTTTTAGTAAAGTAATATAAACAAATATTAATTATCTAATTAATCCACGATTTCTAAGAATCTGTTGAATAGCTAAGATCTTTGCCTTTTCTTCACTAGTCCATTGAGTAACGTGGTCTGGTTGTATAGATGCAAGAGCTTGCACTAGGGCTGGATTTGGATTATTCATTATTTCCTCAATAAGTGCAGATACGTCATTTGATGTTCCACTAATTGCTACTGAAATATGGTTTCCTCTTTCACTTAAAACTTGCTGCCTTATAGTATTAGCCTTGCTTAGCTGTTCTGGTGTTAAGGGAACAAAAGGCTCATTAACCATGCCAACTATGTACTGCGCATGTAGTAATGCATAGCAAAATTGTGGATTTTCAAGTAAGATACACCTTGCAGTATCTGGATTCTGTATAATTAGCTTCTGCATATGACCTAATAAGTAATATAATTGTCCAATAGTCATGCTTTGTACTATCTGGATAATTTCTGCAGATAACCCATCAAGAGAAGTGTTGGGACTTTGGGCTAAGGATATAACTGATGTGTCTTCTTGAGACTTCTGATTATGATTATTTGGTGGTATTATAATTTGATTATGCATATTGTCAGTACTTTGAGTATTGGAAGATAGAATGCCAGATACACCTTGTATTCCAGGTGGATTGGTTACCACACCTGATGAACTAGTAGGTATAGGGGCATTAGATGTGACTAAATGGTTATATCTACTCCTCATATCAGGACTAGTCCAATCTACTCTTATTGCCCTTCCACGAAGTTCATATCCATTTAAATTCTTTATAGCCATTATACAGGTTTCTATATCGCGGTATTCACAGAATGAGAACCCACGACTCAAACCAGTATCTTTGTCATACACTATCCTTATGGATAGTACGGGACCTACAGCACTCATAACTTCTCTAAGCTCATCTTCAGTAGCATCAAATGCCACATTCCCAACTATAAAAATATACATTTGAAGTACAAGTAGGAATTATTATCATTTATCTACTACTCTGAAATAAGCATTTTTATCACTACATTTCTATTTTAAACTTACCCCAAACTTGAGTCCCACCTGAAGAATGCATTAAGTTTCCTTTATAGTATATTCACGGAGTATATCTGCGAATCCCTAAATTTTATTTGTATTAAACTTTATTTTAGTTAGCATCAGTTATATTCTTCAGATAGCAGTAATAAAATAGCGCCATGTCACAGGGAAAAACTTGCAGAAGAGTATCTAGTTGCATTATACATACTGGAAATAATTCTCATAATAAGCAGAAATATCAGGAAACAAGTGCATAATAAATTTGTAAGTACATTAGTCTTTGATAACAGTAATGCAGCTACATCACATATTGCACATGAAATAAACTAAACATCTTTATTAGTAATATATATTGTAAGACACCCACTTGACTACTCACACCTGGTATTTTCAGAAAGTGAAATTAAGATATTGAAGAAAGTATCTAGTTTTTGTTTAGATAGTGGCAAAACTTTGTTGAAACTGTTAAAGTGTAAAAGCTAATTTTCAGAAGTCGATGAGTTAGGTATAAGTATTGAGCAAGACAGTACCAAAGGTACAGTGAAAATTCTGGTCAACAATGGACTAGTAGGGATTATAAGCCAAGATAACTACAAGCAAACAGTTTTATCTAATGATAACTGATTTGATTTATTGAGTATGTTAAGAGCCGATAAATCAAAATATACAATTAAAGAAGCTAGTTCTTATTACTACAAAATATTGATGAAACAATGAGTACCTTAAGAGTTAGTTTTAAGAGTGCTCAGAATAATTATATAAGTTTTAGTATTTATATTAAAGTTAAAATAAGGAAGCCCTTTAAACCAAATAGGCTAGTTTGTACATGGTCTTTCTTCGACTAACAAACTTACAAGCAAAATCAAATCGAAATAATTACTTGAAAGTCAGTATGACTGATTCTATAAGGGTAGCTATAAACTAGAAACTATATTCGAAGTGTAATATAGATAAAAATTTAATTACTGTAATAGAAATGTGTAATCATATATTGCAAATAAGGAAGAGTGTCATAGATATACTTCATTATATTGAAGTACTTTACTATATTTGTAGTCGGTGGAATATTAACGAAATAATTTCAAATCAAAATATTTTTAGAAATACCTTTAATATATATAATTTGAATAATATTAAGATCAGCAATGAAAAATCTGCTGAGGTATCCAAGATATTTGTATATTTCCACTCCATTGGACTTACTACTTTATCTCATTGAATTATAAGATAATAGTTAACAATTACGAAGTATTAATTGAGGCTATTAACTTAGTAACTTATAGGAATGAATTTAATGATATTTTTAATTTGTACTATTTATAGTCTTCTTATTAGTTCAACAACCAACTAAATTATTTGCAGCAATTAGATACTTCCAGTGAAATATATATAAATACAGAAGCAAAAATAATTCTGAAATTAAAAATAGTTACCTTAATTTCGTCTCTAAAACATACACTTCAATACTATTTGAAAGTCTGATGTCAATGATACGTAAAGAAACTAACAAAGTAATTGAAAGGATCACAAATCTTTAGTCAATATTGAATTAGACAAACTATATTATACCTGAAGGAAATCTATAAAGATCTATAACAAACAGTAATATTTTAATAAGGGACAAGCATCATGAACAGGGTAAAGAAGGGCATAGAGATCTACTTAGTGATAGAGCACCTATTGGTAAGCCAATAGAGATTACAGAAAAGTCGATTTCTTATATAGAACTAAATCTAAAAAGCAAACAGTACCAGATAAAAAGTTTTGAGAAAATTAGGAACTAAATTTGAAGATATCTTAAGTATAACTATTAATATAGGACTAAATAGCACATTTTAGAAGTGGAAAATTAAAAACAATTTGAACTAGTCAATTTTACATTCAAATATTTAGTGTCAAATTTTCCAAGCTAAATTAAGTTCCAAGACAAAATTTTATTGGATTTAGTTTTTACTGAGACTTCATGACTATACATACAATATTACATGTCGATTGAGAATTTTTTATTGGAATACAAATAGTAATACTTGCTGTATAATTGGAGTATGAATTATACCTTCATATATGGAATTATATAGATAGCAGACAAAAATTATGATCAAATAGTCAATTTTTCTATCTTAGAAAGTATAAATTATCTAATTCATTTTTAATATACCACAATATTATTACTCTGATTAAATAAGTTGACTATATTTTGAAAATAGATGACTAAATTAAGAAATATTTCACTTCTAATATTAAATAATTCCTCAAAATATCTGAAGTTCTATTAGTATATAATATTCATGAGTAAAAAGTTACATGATTACTCTAGGAAAATTTAAATACCAAAAAAAATATTATTGGTGGGCTCTCAGAAAATCAATATTTTCAACAACCAGTTATTAATTCTACTAATATAAACTATGATATTTACGATCTCATTATATTTACATTCTCTTTTATTGGGATAGACACTATAATTAGAATAGCAAAGCTAGCAATAACAAGTCCCAATTATTGGGTAATTTTCTACTAGGTTTACCACTTTAGAAATCTATACAAACAACTCTAGTTTCAGCGAATTAGAAATTAAACTTGCTGAGATAAAGGGCTCAAATAATAAGCTTAGCAGAAGATCGCACATTTAGGTCTTACTTTTAATAGCACAAAGTTCGGGTTAAAATTTTTAAGTTACGAAATCTAGAACTCTCAGGGATCTTTTACATATCTGAAATTTAAACTAATGTAATGTTACTTTACTATTTCAACTATAGAATATTAGATTTAATTAGCTATTTTTTGCAAAAATAGTGACAGAGAGTTTTTCTCATATATCTTGTATGGAGTATACCAAATATTAATAATCTCAATATTCTAATTATTAATATGAATTTTAGGTGAAATAAGTCTAAGGACTTGTGCTATTAAAATACTTAACTATTATTGATATGAGTATTTAGGTAATCTTTCTTTAGAAGTAGTATAAGTCTAGATCTTAACTTAAACTTCAGCGGTATTCCCTAAGCATAAAAGTAACCAACTAAATTTAGCTTTTTGAGTGAAGCAGGACTGTTTAGAAAGTATCAATACACTTATTTGCACTAGTATATATATACTTTAATGATATATTTTGAGGTATGAGCAGGTGTGAGGAATTTTCTACTCCAGAGTGCAAATTACCTGGTAATTGCATCCCAATTATCTGCTGTAAAAGTACACACTCTGAAATTCAGTCTGCAGAGGAAATATTGCAAAGCAATGGGGTTTGGAGTTATCCCCTCAAAAGATGTGATATTGAAAGGATAATTACTAGTATAGGGAAGATATTAATGACAAGTCGTTATACAAATAGGGCTGTAATGAGCTCACTGCTTTTCTGTTCAGAATGTAGAAAAGAAACTAGGGCCAATTTCAATGAAGAGTATGCAACTGACATGAGTCCTATACAAAGTAGGGAACTATGCTTATTTTCAATCAGTAGGTTATGTGAAGTATTAAGTACTGCAATTTTCCGAATGATAAAAGACGTACATAATATTAGCTCTAAAGAAAGACAAATCTTGCATGAATCTATTTTCTGGATAGAATATTGCATTTCCACTAACAAAATTTTGGTAGAGCAAAATTCTGGTTACAATTTTGTTAATACTAAGCCCCCTGATGAATTAACAATACGACTATATATAAGATATGGGATCCTTAATATATTGTCTGGTCTAAATGATGTCGCATTTGAGGCACTGTCTTATATTTCCAAAATATATCCACAGGAAAGCAGTTTGCTACGTGAATTGCAGAATTCTATAATTGAAATATTTTATAATGGAGTGAAACCAATAGAATTAACTAAACTTGAAAAGTCCACATCCTCAAATGAAGATCTGAATTCATTATTCTCTAAGTTATGGCCATTATATTCTAAGGTTATCTACTGCTTTTCGTTATCCATACTGTCAATTGAAATCAAGAACATGAACTGTAACCCACCAAGTCGGCTCACACTTAATTTGCCATCTCTACTATATCAAATAGGAAAGAAGCTATTATTAGAAAGCGAGAGAATTGATTATACTAATCCAATATCTGAAAACTGCTATTTATTAAGTAGAATTTTCAACGAAATAGAAGGAGACACGGTCGAAAGTATCAGATATATTGAAAAAGCTTTGAGTAGACTTCCATTTAATGATAAACTAAGATCATATTATGGATTTTTAATGATATCTAAGGCTACTGAAATTCAGAGTGGAAATGGCGACTTATTAATAGCAAAAAAAATCCTTAAGAAAGCTCTACTTTACATCCCATATTCTTCAACTGCTTACAATGATCTTGGTATTGTATATTATAGACTGGGAAGAACTGACAAAGCTCTATGGTGTTTTGAACTCGCAATAAAATTTGATGATAGAAACGTAAATATATATTATAACCTTGGTGTATTGTTATACAACTTAGGTAATATTCATGGTTCTATTTTGTGTTATGAGAAATTATTAAATATTAACCCAAACTGTGTTATTTCCTTAAATAACTTAGCAACATTGCATTGCATTTTGGGAAATTTTGATAAATCAATGATCTCCTTCAACAGGCAAATAAAACTCAGTTATCAAGTGCCAGACCTTTACAATAATCTTGGAGTGCTATATCGTGATTGTGGCAATTTCGTCATGGCTAGATATGCCTTTTTAAAATGTCTCAAATTAGATTCTAAATACCAGATTGCAGCCCAAAATGCTCTGTATATATTAAATTACTTTATGCCTAACTCTAATTATGAAAATGAACAAGGATCTGACGATGAAAATAATCCTTTCGACTTAATTAGTACTGATGATGATATGCCATTACCCTCACCATGGCTTGTAAACTATCCGTACTCAGGAAGTTTATTTAATAATATGTTTGTGAAGTTAAGTTATCTAGAAAGATGCTATATCTCACCAGATAAATTATATAACGAATCTTTAAAATGGGGAAATAAGCTTATTGATGAATACGATGCTATAAAAAGCAAATTAGACCAGCTTATTCAATGTACAAATCTACCTAAAGTCGAAGTTAACTATAATAAAACGGATCTCTCTACTTCTGAATCTATAAATATTGGTTTTGTTGGTGCTGAGTTTTGTCATCATGCTGTTTCATCTTTTGCATTTTCACCAATAACTCATTTAGCCATGTTAAATAAACGCACAAAAATAGGGAGAAACGACAAATTCAATGTATATGGTTACAAAGAACCTGAAGATAAAATTAAAAGTAAGGAGACAATTGCTGATTATGAACGTGTAAAAATTTATATATATGACAATTCACCTTATCATGATTATGTTACGAGATTCTACAAAAATTACATTGATAAAGAAAACTGGAGATGCATTAGAAATAAGTGCTTAATAGACACATCATTAATGATCCGTAATGATAAAATTCACGTACTAATTGACTTGAGTGGTCATACAGTTAATAACTGTCTAAATATCTTTGCATTAAGAAATGCACCAATACAAATGACTTGGATAGGATATCCCAATACAACTGGTTTAAGATATATTGACTATCGTATTTCTGATAAAATAGTTGACCCTGTAGACTCTCCACAAAAGTATACTGAGAAAGTAATATATATGCCCGATTGCTTTCTTTGCTATACACCACCTTTGACAGAATTTCCATCTATACGTGATTTGCCGTACCTAAAAAATGGGTACATAACATTTGGTTCATTTAATAGGATAGCCAAAGTACATCCTAAAACTTTCAAGACTTGGGGTAAGATATTAAATTCTATACCTGATAGTAGGCTTATCTTAAAATCAAAGGCATTTGCATCTTCTCAATGTAGAGAATATTATTTGAATATATTCCACAGTCTCTATAAAATATCCTCCGAAAGAGTAATTTTATTACCATTAAAAGATTCATATTATGAGCATCTTGATGGATATAATGATATAGATATTTCACTAGATACATTTCCATATACTGGTACTACAACCACCTGTGAATGCTTGTTAATGGGAGTTCCACTAATTACCCTGGCAACTTGTCATATGAATGCGACTGAAAATAACAATAAGGAATCTCAAATTTTTTCTATTCATGCATGGAATGTTGGTAAATCCATCTTAACAAATTTAGGAACTCTTGAACTCATTGCAACGAGCTATGATGAATATATAAACATATCCATTCTTCTATCTAAAGATATTAATAAATTACTATACTACCGTCAGAATCTTCGAAGTATTCTACTAAATTCAAAGCTTTGTAATGCCGAATTGTTTGCATCGAATTTCCTTAACTTAATTAAAAGTACAATATTAAACCATAATCACTACTAGTCTAATCCAAATGAATTATACCTAATTGAAACCCATTTTCATAGCATTTAATTCGTCTATATTGTACTTTTAACCAACTCTTCAATCTAACCTAAGATTTCTGAAACTATTGATAACTTTTTCATAGCTTTAAAGACTAGTACGAGGGCACACGCAAAAAATTAGCAAAGAAAAAAAATAAATGAATTGAACTTGAGTTAAGTCATTAAATATTTTAAACGAAGTGTTGATTCAAAACTCTTTTAAATTACCAACTATTAAAGTATTTCTCCATATTTTGATCCTTTTCTGAAATACAAATTTAAGTATGTACTCTTTAATTTAAATTTCCATAAAGTAAATTAATTATTACAAGTTGTTAATAGAAAGTTCATAATCTTGACTTTAATGTTATAATCTAATTAACTATTTGAAAATTGACCAATTAATCCAATACCGTGCTTCTCAAATAGTATAATGGAATATAAAATCTTTTATTATTATCATTAGTACTATTAATGATTTTTCAAAATTTTTCCAGGAGATATACCTAAAATATCCAACATTGTAGTTCGTTATTTAAAGGTAACTTTTTTATCTAAATCATTTAAAAATTCATTTATAAAAAAGTCTTAAATAGTAATAATAAAGTAGGAACAAATGAAGAGATAAGTATTGTAGAAGAATTTGATCTATTTTATTTTTTAAGAACTATATAATTTATTAGAAAAGTTCTGTCACTTTTTTGAATATTTTGATATTTGTTATATGCTTGTTTGAGTAAATACGAAGCTATTTCTCAAACTTGTTCATACATCCCAAAGAAAAGTTTAAAATTCAGCACGATTTTACAACTTAATTTTCAAAATTAAATATTGGGATATCAATAAATGTATTATTGGCTTAATCTCAATAAATTAGGATAAGATATAAATTAGATCTAATTATATCTTATAGATAAGTAGCAGATCGATTCATTGGATAAATCTCAATGATTACCCTTGTATAAGAGGAAACAGAACTAAAAGAGTAGCAATATTTTCCCTTTTGTATTATCAAGAAATTGTAAATTCCTCAAGTTATATTTCTTAACAATTATTAGTATGATTCACTGTATAAACCCAATGAATAAATTCAAAAATTCAATTTCTTATAACTTTTTTTATTACTTAACCGAAAAATAGTATTATTACTAATTTGAATAACCAAAAGCAATTTAGGCAAAGGAATTTTTTGCGTTGTTCATGAAATATTTCAGATAAATTAGCTAATCCATAATTATTTGATGCAGATTCCAATAAATTCCCCCTGCCCCCTTTTCCTATTCTAAATATTAGGATTTTAAATAGCGAAAAACAATTTTTTCCTAATACAATACTAACAATCAAAATTTAGTTGTTATTGAAGATACTTTCTAGATTAATATTAAGTAAATTTGTAATTAATTCAGCTTAGAAACTCCATTTATAATAATTTACTTATCTAAACAATTTTATATTTTGTCAACCTATAGATATTTGACTCATTGGCTACTCAGCTTTCAATTTACAATTATCTGAAGGTTAGTGAAAACGTAGATAAGTTATAATTGAAAAAATTTAGGACTATTACCTCAGCTTCAAACAAATTTATACTATCGAAAACAAAGTACTAAGATTGGAAACTAGCAATAGCTGTAATTCTGTAGTAGCTTTTAGTATTTGTCATCCCGAATAGTAAAAAAAAAAAAAATCAATTTGACAATATTGTACTTTTTAAAGTTTTTTTTTTATTTCAAATTTATTGTAGTTGATGAAATAAATGTTGTAAATGAATATAGCAATGAAACTTTCAATAATTATACAGATTTTAAAAGAATAAACGAAGTTACATATTTAAGGCTTCAAAATTTATTATGTCTTGGTAGGACTCAATCAATTATATTATATAATAATATTAGAACTAATGTCAAGATTTATCATTATTTAATGAAGTTCCCCTATTTTATTTGTAATTTACAAGATCAAATAATCTCTAGACATGTTATTTTAAATTTAAACCAATATTTTTCACCCAATTTTTAAAGATCCTTTTTAAATTTATATCCAAACCTCTAATGAATAAACTTGGAATTTCTAATGTTAACATTTTTTCTAATTCTGTCTTCCATTTATAAATAGACATTGAAGCTTTAAATATTACACACAATTTATACTATTAATTCACTAATTCCTGTTCGATCATTTGCTAAGAAAATTAATAGATATTGGAATTATATTGTACTCAAATCACAATTATTCTTTTTAAATATACTGAAATATCCCTGATACTATTTTGTGTAAATATATTAGCTGTTCAGTTCAAAGTGTAAAAGTTGACATTCTAGCCTTGTTACATAACATTATGAGTTAGATGAGTGGGTTCACTTAAAAATTAGTAATAGTTTTATAGAATATCTTAAGTATTCATATTTGTAAAAATGTCAGCTTTCAATATAAATAAGAGTTAAATATATGCTTAAACTATGATTTAGGCCAATATATCCAAATTTATCAGAATGAAAAGTAAAATTAGCTCAGCTCTTGATAACTTCAATATCTGCAGCTACTTGCAATACATCCACTCTATTTAAAATTTGTTGTTTAAAAAGTCTCAAATTCTACCAAATTATTATTTGAAGATTTTAATTGATGTCCTAAATGTGAAAAACAAAGTCTTTAGTGAGAAATTCGTATTTACTTAGCTAAACAAACTATCTATTCATCTTACCTTATTTCTATATTAAAATAATAGTTTCAGCTCATTTTTATCTAAGAATAAAGGATTATTGTAGCTATTTATATAATCAACTGAGTATCTCATACTTGTAAAGTTATTCTATCTATAGTGATTAGCGGTGACAATTATCTACCCTCAATCATCTTCATAAAGAACATTTGAAATGTCTGATAATAATAATATCAACTATATTTATGTTTAATTGAGCAAATAGATACTGAATAACACATTTGTTATATGTCGTAATTTAATAAAGGCCTCTTTTAAATTATAAACTAGTTTTTCCCTTAAAAGATACCCAAAACAAAAACTTCTCTATTTGAAAAATTGTCAAAAAGTAAATAACTCTTCTTAATCTTTAATTTTTAGAATGATATTATCTAGAAAAGTATTATCTCTACAAGAACTTCATTATTTTCTTCATCGCTACACGTTGGTAGACAGTTTATTTATTACCATGTTTGCTGAGTTAATTTAATAACTACTTTTTACTAGCACATAATTAGCAATATAATACAGTGAAGATATGTTAGTATAATTTCCTTACTGATTTCCACAATTCTGAGCACTTCTTACAGTTGAATGAATAAATATTTCAAGAATACTAGACTCAATTCCTTTAATAATTGTTCCATCTTCCATACCCTTATATTACTATACAAGCTTCACAATTAAATATACCTAACTAATTCGTCATTATGTACTGATTATCTACTAGAGTTACATAATTATTTAAACATTTGAAACTTAAAACTAGTTCTTGTTTGATTCCCTTGTAGTTCTGATTCTATGTTATTTTTGTATCCTAAATGTAAGATTTAACACTACTTTGAAGAATTGTTTAATACTAAAAGTTCACATCTTTAAAATTATTAATTTCTCAAAGTAATGTCAGTTTCTATCTTGTTAAAGCTTATTATTAAATCATTAAGATACTTGTTCTGAAATCAGTTAAGTAAAAACTCTCATATATACAAAGATCTCCTTAAAGAGATATTAACAAATACATACACATTTCTCCAGTCTTCTCAGACGTCAGCTTACTTAGGTAAATCCTAGTTTACAAATGTATAGAACTAAAACTAACTTCGTCATTTCAGTAGGTTAATTTATTCCCTTTAAATATATTAGGTATTGTGTAATAACGACATTACAGTTCCAAGCAATTGCATTCCTTTGCAATGTCTGTGTATATGTTGTATAACATTTATCCATATGAAATATATTCATCTCTTAAAAGTACAACAGATTAGTATTGCTAATAAATAGTAATTAATCCTACTAGTATAACATTAAATTGAGAAAGGAAGAGATGAAGGAGCAGGTACACCAAGTAACTGCTCCATTGTGGCCTGCATTTGGAAGCTAATTCTACTAAAATCTGGATCATTGCGTAATGAATGGGAATGCATTAGCATTGCAGCCTCAATATCATCTGAATTCAAATCGAATTGAGACTCAACTTTAGCGCTAACCCAAACCTGAGCTGTAATTGTTAGTGTCTTCATATCAAATTCCTTGTTAGGTATAAAGATAAACTGATCAACAAATTCCCTTAATTCCTTAAGCATAAGCTCATTAACTTTTATCAGCTGTTCTTTTGTTATATTAGAAATATTCCCAGGCAATGTATTTAACCCATTGATTCCCATAATTTTCTCTATAATGCTGCAAACTTCTTCATCTCCATAGAAGCGTTCAACAAGGCGATCAAAGTCAGAAATAGATAAGCTACGCTGTTCCAAAGGATCTTTAGGAGACACTTTCCTTACTATTTCATAACATTCTTGGAAGTTATTGGGTGGATCACTCTTAAATCTCTCAGTTAACTCTCTCATTATAGCTTTTAAGCTATTTTGACTTTCCAAAATCTCATCCAATATTGTTATCATATCATCTCTGGTGTATATATCAACTGACTTCATTATCTTCACGTCTTCATCTGCATTCCTATTCTCTCCTAAGTCTGCTTCAGTTTTCCTACTTTCACCTTCATCTTTGAAAAGATAGTACAGAAGTGCACCAATAGCTGCAGCTCCCCCAGCTATTACAGCAGCTGTACGTATTTTAGAAGATGTTGGCATTATTAGAATAAGTAGCTCTCAAGACCTATAAGTGACAAATAGAACACTAATTGAAAAGATTCCACCTTATTCAGCACCTATACATACAAAACCAATTTTTTTATTTTTTTATTTTTATTTGACCTTCGAGTCTAATTAGTTACCTGCCCCTCAAGAGCGCCTCAATCATGCGGGAAGTCACCTCATCATATTAAAACATGACAGTATTGTTAAATCCAAAAGGAGGCATATTACCATGTGAACCGTAGAAATTGTTTATATTTGAAGCCTTTTCAAAGTTGTTCAAATCAAAATTTTTATTTTTTTGACGTCTATTTAAATTATTACTATTCATTCCCGGAGAATTCATATTTCCAAATTGTCCATTGTTCGGGAATCCATTTGAAAATCCCATGCTAATACCTAGGGTAGACTTCTTTAAATTAGAGTTTTTAAACATATTATTACCCAAATACTGTTTGCTATCAGCATAACCACAAAGTTTTTCGTACATTCTCCTTTCAATAAAATCTCGAGCCTTCTGTCTACCAAAAGCTGAGCGAGAGAATATCAAGACTCTCTCCAAAATATTTCCTTTATTCTCATCTATAAAAATAAAAGTTCCAGTTTCATCTTCAACACGACGCAAGAAACTTCCCTTTGCTCCAGTCACATACCCAATTACATTCTGAGGAATGGATACAACTGTAACATCCTCTCTAGCTCTAGTATCTACAGAAACAGATGAAGTTTTCTGAGCAATAAGCCATGAAAGATAATCTCTGGCTCTTTTCCTTTCATTTAAGTCCCCATAAATGTAAGCATAGTTCCCTACATACTCGATTACTGCACCACTAGAAGCACATAGTCGACGTCTGGTATTTCCCTCTTTACCAACAGCATAACTTAAGTCCTCACTTTCAATGAAGACAATATCCGTGGACATATCTTCAGTAGAGTTATTTATGTTAGGTTCCAAATCTTTTGTAAAATACCCATTAATTTTCTGCTCAATATAGCACATCACACGCAATTCAGCAGCTCTTCTATTCCTACTGGGACCAAATATAGCTAAAGTATAATAACATGACTCGTTTAAAGAATTAATAGATGTTGGAGTAGACGAATTAGTATTACTTCCATGATCAAACTGATCTTTCTCTTCAGGGCGACTAAAAAACATCAAAGTACCAGAGTCCTCTTCCACTGCCCTTAATCCCTGGCCCTTTTTTCCTGTTATATATCCAACACAAGTAGGAGGTACTTTTATTGTTGTTAAGTCATCCCTAGATTCCGGGGAGACATCAATAGTCACAGGTCCATGTTTTTGCTGTACCAAATATTTAAGATATAGTTGAGCTTTTGCCCTATTATCAGCACTTCCATTAATTTCTACTCTTGCTACTTTACTATCATCTTGCAGAATTGTAATCGTAGTACCAGAAACCGCTGCCAGTTTCCTTCTAGTCCTTCCAGCTGTTCCAACTACAAATGAGGCATCTGCAGCATCAATCTGTACAATAGTCTGGTTATCAGTAACCTTTAAAATATTTAGCATCTTCAAAGTTCCAGAGTTTCGTTCAGCTTATTAAAATTCCGTTTACTAGTTTTACTACTATTAAAAAAATCCACTTCAGTCGAACCTCAGGCGCCACATTCTAAGCCTTAGAAACTATTACTAAAAAGCTCTCTTCTAATTGCGCCGCAGCTGTAGATTGAAGAGTCATTCATATTTAAAGCTTTATACTAAAGTGTACATTTATACCCAAGATTCTAGCACTTTTTGATAAAATAAGTCAATATGGTTACTTAGAGATGATCTTCTACTAGATAACTTATAGCGAGAGACAAGTCTCCCTTTGCTTTATATAAGCTTTTTAGTATCTTCTGACTATCTGTAAATCCCATGGATTTTATCTCACTTAATTTCTCAATATAATTTATTTCTGACCTATCTTCCAAGACCTTATTATATAGAGACTTATCTTCTTCACTAGATGTATGCAAAGAACTCAAAACATATTTAATAGTTTGAATATAACCTTCAAGTCTAGCCTTCTCAGAACCCTCTATAGGGTAGGAAAGGTTTATTTCATATTTTGTTTGATCATTAATTGTAACTTCATGAAATCCAGTCAATTCAAGTAGTTTCAAACCCTCCTCTATATTTAGCAATGAATTTCTAAGTACATTACTTGTAGATTTAATACTTCTGTAGCGGGGCTCATTTGGATAACTTAATATATTTAAAAGTATGGTTTCTAGAGTTTCTAAAGCATTCTTACATGCTTGACCTTGTGATTCAACTATTTTGGTTAAGCATTCATAGAATTCTTTGGTATTCCCTTCTAGAATAATACCAGTTTCTTCAGAACTACTTGCGATGCTAGAAGAGCTCAAGTTTATGTTACTCCATATGTTAGTAACAGAACGTATCATCTGACTTTTTTGAACCTTTTGCAACATTGGCAGTATCATAGAGCCAAAAGGAGTTCTCATCACTTCATTTGGCAGGTCCAAAATATACGATGGGATTCCTTCCCCTATTAGATATCTGACTACTGAATCAGAGAAGTGATTACAATTATGATTAATCAAGTCGTACTTCTCACTAGAAAATTTGTTAGATATTGATATAAGGTAATTATTTAACTCTTGTTGACTTTTGTCAGTAGTGCCTAAACATAATGTACGGATTGGATGTAAACCATATAATTTATATATCTCTTCAGGCTTTACACAAACAATTCCACCTCCATAAAAATATTCAAAATCATATACTAAGACTCCAGTATGATAAATACCTTCAATACTTCTACCTAATAGGACTGGTGATAGTTGAGCAGCCATCCCATTACTAATATCGTAAATATGCAACTGAACACGTTGTTTCATTTAAGAGTAAATGTTGTCAACTATACACAGGATAGCTGGATGTTAAATTATTTTTCTTAAGATGAAAGTGCTTCGAACTTCTCAGTAAAAAGCTTACTAGTTTTGCTAGTGTATTAAATTGCCATGAGCGGGATTTCCTGTAAATTTATCTTTGTTGCATGCAACAACAAACTTCTACATAATCTTTCAAAAGTAAAAATTATTACATAAAGTAATTTATTAGTCTTGAGATAGTTTCGAAATTCTAGATTTTTTTAAGTATATACTGCAAATTACACCTGACTCCACACTTTGTAAATTAACACCTTATTCTCTTAAATATATTATATATATTATACTTTACGGAACTATAACCAATATAATGAAGTTGAACTATTTTTTTACTTTTTTAATATATTTTTTGAAGGTAAATATATATTAATATGTGAATTTGCATAAGTCGATCTTTATTTTACATCTTTGAGGCCTTCAGCATTGTAGATATTTGACTTGTACACTGGATACAACTAGATCTGCCCAAAGTGAAAACAATAAAGTTCTAAGATTACTAAAAAAAGAGTGGCCAGCATTATCAGATTGGCTTTGTGAATATTTGTATTGTTCTAGTCTTAGAATAACAGGATTAGCTAGAGAAAGTTCTATTTGGGGAACAGGTGAGTATGATTCAATATTTAAATAAAACAAGAGCATAATTGTACATGTACTTAATAACCAAAATTACTTATAAAATATTTAAGCCTAACTTTTACACAAACCTCTATTATATAAAAGTTCATAAATTATGACTTTAAGATTTTTTTTAAATTACTACTTACTGAATTGATTTACTTGTTTTAGGTCAACTTGATGCTTCAGATGATGACCACAAAGATCTACATGCTGCCTCTAGAGAATCAGAACCTGTGGAACCTTATACAAATAGTGACCATATTATGAAGTCAGTATCAGAATTAATAAGCCACAGTATTAGATTAGGTATCCATTATCATCAAGCCTTAAAAAAAAATCATGAAACAAGTACCACCACAGCCTTTCCTATATCAAAAAAGACTGGAGTTTCGAAATTTTTTCTGAAAAAAATATCAAACAGTACAAGTAAAGTAAAAAATAATAAGAATAAAGTTAATAGCTTCAATAATAAAAAATCTTCAGATCTAACATCTAAAGTTTTACTAAAATCAAACTTGAGTGAATCACAAGAAAAAAATTGGTTGTATAGATTTGTCGAGTGGTTAAAATCTAAACATAGCTCAAAATTTAAAGCCAATAAACAAACAGAATCAAAGAACACTGAATCATATCTAGCATTTATATCTTCAGCTTCAGTAGGTCCAAAATTAAAAAGCTCTAGATCATCTAAAACTACCTCTAACTCTAGCCTTGTCTCATTTTCTATATTACAATTACCAGATAAAAGACGTAATTTAAATCAGTTTAATAGTCAAACCAATAGGAAATTACCAATTGATATAAATAATGCAGTATTTGCTGCATACTTTGCTAGCGATTCAATATTTTTACATTTGTCTAAGACATTAAGTAGGGACAGAAGAGTAAAATTTGGACAAGAAATTGGAACTGTTGAATTATATATACCTAGTAAGAAAATCCACACTACTGATATAATCTTATCAAGATGTGATGGGACAATTTCAATTTTAAACCATATGAAAGGTATACCAATACGTGCAACAAGACTATTCCTAGTAATCACTTGCGACGACATAGATATATAAGTTTTAGAAAATTGAATATAAAAAAAATTACATACTAGTATATTTTGTTATTGAAGTGGCTAATTTATATAGATCAAAACGAATAACTTTCATACAATAAACTAGAATTTATTTTAAAAAGCAAATTAAAGTCTGATGTATTCCAATGAAACTAAATTCCCTCAAAAAAGTATTATAATTTAGGTTATTATGAAGTATTAGTAATACTACTTAATAATAATATCTCTTAATTGATAACTTTATAACCAGCATTCAAATAATTATGTTGTATCACTAAACTTAGTAGTATATTCATCATTATTTACTAACTTTAGACATTTTAGCTATAAATCTTGATCCTGTACATATTATTTAACTTACCAACAGATCTTCTATAATATTTTGGTCTAATGTTTGTAATTTAGAGCTTTTTCTATTTGCAAGTGAACCTTGTTTGCTTCACTAGTATCCACTCTTGGCGGAGTAAACTTAATCAGTGGAGTTTTTGTTCGTTTATCAACTCGATGTAATTTCCCAAGTTTAGGAGCACCTGATCCTACACCTTTATAAGGTCTTGATTCTAAGTACTTATCTTTTGGTTTCTCCCCATGACTCCTTATCTTATGGAAGTAGTCAGGTTCTCCCATTATATCTGTACCTGGAATTAGCTTTACTTCTTCTTTATAGTTTGACTTTCTAAGTGGGGAAATCTTATATTTATCTACCATTGCTACTAAAGTAGGTACTTCTTTAACTTTTCTATTGAAGATTGTTGGGAAAGTACCCTTCTGTTCAAATTTAGCTCGCTCTTCATTTAATGGAGTTAGATGAGTAACTTTCCCATAAGGACCTTTAACTAAACCGAAAACTTCCCTTTGTCTCTTGGCTTCCTTTTCCACAGAAGATAGCCCAATATCACCTAGAGGCCCCTTGACAAATAATTTATTATTTTGACCTCTTTTTGCTTCAAATTTACCTATACGCTTATTGTAATTAGAAAAGCCAGGCAATTTTCTAAAACTTTCTGGGACTTCGAAATTCCCAATAGATCCATAGAGTAATTCTGCAGCTTTTGAACAATAAATGATCAAATTACGTTGTCTCTCTTCCTTCGTCTTTCCGTTTATTCTAGCTCCAAATTCAGTCCTAAATTTCGCATTTCCAATGGTTTTATGGCACTGCTCCTTCATACCTATTTCTGTATTTTTAGCATCTGGATAGTATTCCAATGGACGATCAGTAGGTAAATTTGTTACTAAATCTCCTCCGTTAGCCTTACCTACAATCTCTACCAGGTTACTTATTACTGTCCATTCACGATCTGCTTGATCATCAATCACAACTATTTGCCTCAAAGTCTCACTAGACTTTAGTTTTTTTTCAAATTTTGACTTCTGACTTTTTCTCTCTCTCGGTTTTTGACCCTTTCTTTCAATTTCCTTCTCAGAAGATTCGTCAGAATCTATTAAATCATTCAAATCGTTATTATCCGCTATATTATCCATACTTTCTTTTTCAAGGTTTATTGGTTTGATGGATATTCTCTGTATAGTTGTGCCTTCTTTAAATTTTGCTAATGGTAATTTTCTACTTTTATCAATCGATTCATCTCTATCGTGAGTATTTCTCTTTTTACTCATTTTATCTCCACTCGCACGTGGTATTTGGGGAATTATAATATTTTTTGTTAGATCATTTATATCACTTCCAAAGATTGACTTCATTTGTCTCAATGTATCTCCAGCTAATATTTTACCATCCATATTTTTCGTTTCTTTATTAAAAGTCACCACTTTTTTATGTTTCCAAGGATACTCCTTTAATGGGGTCCAAAACTTTTTTTGGTCCTGTTTGTTTTGAGCTAAACTAGTCCCACTAGGTTTGAGTAAATTTACTTCAGCCATCATCAAATCATTTAAAATATCACTCCGGATTTTTACATTGTAGTCATTACTTTGTAAATAATCATTCTTGCGTTCTATCTCCCATTTAGAAGTTATATATTGGTCTATATTATACTCATTTAGTTCTGGGATAAGTTCACCTTCTTCAGGGTATAATTCATACAAAGCTCCTTTTGGATCTGGACCCAGTCGTATTCTTGTGGCAAGTGCATCGTAAATTAAAGTTTCCGAGATACTGGATTTTAGATCACTATTATAATCAATATCACCCTTTGCTTCATCTGTAAAATACTTAAAACACACATCACGGCAAAATTGCAAAACTGCCCCAGCAGAAGAAAATTTAAATTTTTCGGGATTTGCTCTGTAAAGTCCTTGTTTCCCAAGCATGATTGCACTATATAGTTCATACGCCACTAATACAAAGCTAGTACGTTGGTTATTTTCTTTGGAATCAAATGCTTTTTTCAAGTGTTCATCTGCCACATTGGGGTATGATTCTAGCCACTTTGTATCTATTTTCATTACACGGTTCATATTTAGCAACTCTTCCTCCTTTACACGTTTCTTGACTAAATCTATAATCTTCATCCAACGTTTTTTATAATCCATTCCTAGTGGATTTCTTAATTTTATTAATCTGCTAACTGCATCTAAATCACTTAATGTTGCTATTCCATCCAATGAATCTTCGTCCATCTTATCATCTATAACCTCGCCAAATACATATGTTGAAGCTGTTTGACAATATTCTTTTATTATATCCTCTTTTTTTTCTGTACTTAAAATATCTGGAAATACTAGTCTATTATATATAGGTATATTCGAATCTGTTGCAATAGTTATTAACGCTAATATACACTGCATAATAAACTCTTCAGTGTCATAACTACCTTGAAAGATTGTATAACGTACGAATCCAGGAATATTTTTAATACGAGATATTGCCCCAACTTTCCCATCAGTATCTTTTAGTTGTAAATGAAGAAATTTCTCATACAAGCTTGCAATTATCCTCCATTGACGATGTCTTTCAACTTCTAAAATAGCACCTGGGTAGCTAAAACCACTACCTTTGAACATTGTATACCCTTTTTTAAAGCTCATCAAATACAATTTCACATCGGAACAAAATGATTCAAGAACTTCATTTGATGACTTATCTTGAATACTAATTATCTTCACAGCTGACATTATCTCATTTGCAGATATCTTAGAATTTAAATTTAAAGATGATTCTTCTTCTAATCTTCTAATTACTTGCTTACAATCACTTAAAAACTCATCAATACTTTTTGTCCCAAACCAAAATTTTGGTGGCTTAATAGGCAAATTAACAACTCTTTGAGGATGTCCAGAGAGTAAATCTATATGCATTTGATTAAATATTGCTTTCCATAGTCTATCTCGTGCAGCAGGCTCTTCTGAAAAATACTCTTCACCATTACTTTGGATGAATCCGCCCATTTGTCTAACTCTTTCACGAATCTGTAGAAAAAGTTCATCAAAATTATCTACTTCATGCAACTGAGCTAATTGGAAATATTCATCTAAAAATACCCAGTTGTCTTCATTTATTGCCCAGCTAAGTGCATACTTTAAGTTCGTATTTTCATTTAGATAAAAGAGGACCCACTTTCTAATGTTCATTTTGTTTATTAGCATAAACTTTAAAAACTCTATGAGCAAGCCACGATTCAGTTGATTTTCTGTAAAATGTCTTGATACAAGATCTCCTGTTTTCGTTGTTTCATAGCCATTGTAAAATGCTTCAGAACAGAACTCCTTTGCAACAACCTTTCGATGTTCTGGTGAAACGATCCCCCATTCTACCATCCCTTTCTCATCTAATGTACTCAGTAAATCCTCGCAAACTTTCACAAAGTCAATTCTTTCAACAGAAGCTGGAAATATTTCCTTGACATCTTCATACTGAGGAAGCCATGTGATCCTCTTATAGCCTCTCTTTCTATCAACTTCTACTTGTAAAGCAATGTAACCCCATTGTACAGATGCATCACCTCCTATAAAATTATATGATGGCAGAGATTTTCTGCCTTCTTCTAACTCTTTCTCAATTACTTGCAATGATGTTTGTGGATTCATCCTTGGAGCTAAATCCACTATCTGCGTGTTCTTTTTCTGTTCTTGTGATAATTTGTAATTTATATTGTAAGCTTCATTTGCAACGTGTGTGCACCAGTGTTCTAGGAGAGCTTTATATTCGTTAATACCCAATATTTTATTATAGTATAATTGACCTCTAATTCTTAAGTTTGAATCATAACATGTAATCCACATATTCCAAATAAATGCAAAACAATAATTACGAAAAGCTGTTATTCTACCTTGCCCAACATATTTTAGTGAGCCTTGTTTTGGACGAAATCTTGATAATCCTGTCACTGCAGGATTCCACACTATACCTCCAGGTAGAGTTGTTGGTTTAGATAGTCCAAACATATGGATCCATTCTATAGAACCAAAAAAGTAATCAGCTGCCTCTTTACAAACACGATTAAATTCTAGCTTCAACAATGAGAGGTCATCAGTATCCACCTCCATTCTAGGTAGACCTGGACCTTTTTGATTGTAGTAATAAGTTAATGCTTCAACACACTTATCCTCAAATCCAAAGGCTTCATCAGTAATATTATCATATTTTTCATTCGAAACTACAGATGTTTTATGTCTAACCATAGACTTTTCAAAGTCTTTAGGATGTATTGGATAGATCCAATATATATTGGAATGTTTATCAGTTCTATGACGTGCTATAATAGTTTCTATAATTGCATTCCATTGAGAAAATACATCAGTTTGCAATTTTAGGTTATATTCTAAAGTATACTCATCAAAATTTTCAAAATAACGTTTAGATGCGGCTTTGCAAAAATTTCCCAATATTTCTTCACTTTTATAATCTGAGCTCCCTCTTTCAGAAGATAAAATCATAGCTTGAAATGATATATAACCCGAATGATATAGTTTACGGATTATACGAAAACATACTATTCTAAATGTGTCTACTGAAAATTGGGGCATATTCCATTCTTTAGGTACTTCTTCAGGAAGATGCAGAGGAGTTTCGATATTTTGTTTTAAATCTTCCTGATTTTGATCTATGATTGCTCTCCATTGAAGATGACACACTAATGATGGTTCAATATCTGGGAATCTTGGTGTATAATCATATGATGGATCCAAAGCTCCTATTGAAAAGTGACCTGGAATATTTTCTAGATTTTGCAGTCCATCATATACTACAGATTGGTAGTTTCTAGTCTTATAATTAGATACTCTTGATTTATATCTTGAGAAATCAAAATAATCATCACTTTTGAGTGGAACTAATGGTTGAGTTATTAGTTTCATATTATTAAAGTACATTTCAGAAGCTTTATGACAAAAAATTTCTAAATTACTTTTCTCTGTATTGCTGAGAACTTTAAAAGGGGAAGAATGTCGACTAAACGATAAATCTTTAAATGCTTGGCTCAAATATAAGTCATATATTACAGCACAGCAATTTAAACGCATATCCATCATTGTTTCACCTGCAAAATATCTGAAGGGTGAATATGGTCGGAAATATGGCAACCCACTTATTGGAGTCAAACTTTCTCTATACATTTTAAATATCGTGTGCCATTGACGATTACCAATGTAGAAGTCTGCTGCATATTGACAAAATTCATCAATAACTTCAGTTTTTTTCGGTAATGCCATTGGAAGTAGCTGGTATAATGGGGGAGATTTATTCATTCCATCTTCAATAATATCCACACAGAGAGCCTTAAGTTCAGATAGCTTTCTTGGCTTAATAGATTTATTTAGTTTAACTGGAAAATCAGTACTGAATTTACTAAATCTCTTTAAACTCATATTTATATCTCTCTCTCTTTGAGTTACTATTGCACGCCACATAGTCCATAATTCAGAATCTTCTACTACTAAGTCACCAGTTGGTTTCAATGGAGCATTTAAATATCCTCCTTGATACTCTGCTTCTGAAGGTTTTATTCTAGTTTTTAGCTTTCCTGGATGAACTTCCAACTGGGTTGATGCGAATGCAAAATCCATATTGGGTAATTTCAATGGAAAAAAGTTTATTGAGTTCTCTAATCCTATTTTAGATACTTTATTGCTCTTTACAGCTAAACTCTTTCCAGCAATATCAAATAGCTCAGAATTTGGATCCTTTGAGATTAATAAATCAGTCTGTAAACGAACTTCTTTATTCCAATAAATTTGCAAATTAGGATCACTTACTGCACTCTCAGCATAGCAATGAACTGCTGCTGCAATACAAAATGTTGTCCTTAGAAAATCCGCCTCAATTTTTTCTTCGGAAGGAGGACTTATTATTGACTTATCTTCTAATAACTTAAGTACTTGTATACAGTTCTGATACAAGGTCTTTGCATCTCCACTCAGGGGTATTAAACTCTGGTCAACTTCAGCAAAAGTTGGAATATTTTTATATCTGGTAATCCCCTTTTCTAAAACCCAGCCCTTCGAATCTCTTTTAACTTGAGATACAATACATTCCCATTCATCTTGTCTTGTTTGTGGTCTTTTAACTGGACTAGTTGTGATGACTTTTTGGGCCACTTTTACTAAACCATTTTCTGTACCTGGAATTGGTGGACCTATTGGTAATTCAAGAGATTTATCTTTATTTTTATCTATTTCTATAACTTTTTTCTCGCTAATTATTTCTTGAGGTGATCTGAATGATATAATATCGGGTGGTATTGTTCCTTTTAATTTAAATTTCACCGTATCTGGGATAACATCGATACCATAATAGTCAGCATATTCTGGTATATCTTCTTCAATTGCATCTATGTATTTTAAAGGACAATCTACACAAGAAATATCTATATTAATATTTTTGTCAATAGAGTTTTTATCTGAAGGAACTCCATGTATTGGTTGAAATAAAGATAAAGTATCTCCATTATTAAATGATGGTGGAAAACCAGGAACAGGTAGTAGTAAAGATGAAGGTGGAGGTGGTGGAGGTGGAGGTGGAGATGAAGGTGGAGGTGGAGGTGGAGGTGGTGGAGCTGGAGATAGAGGCCGAGATAAAGATGAGGATAAGGGTTGGAGTGGTATACTTGTTGTAGACTTTGTCAAGCGAACCAATATGGTAGCTGTTAAAAATAAAGTAATCACGTTCTGATACTTTTTTTGCATTTCAATGTGTAATCCAGAAACAACCTTTTTTCAAAGTTAGTTTTAAAGATAACCTATTAGCTAGTTACTTTAAAAGTAAAATACCATATCAAAGATGCTCCAGTAAAAGTTAGTGTTTTCCACTTTTCCAGTTCTTTTGTAGCACTTACATGCAATAAATATAGATCCTAAAATTGAGCGCCAAAACCATAATTATGTAAGAAACTTGATATTTTAAATAAGTATGAGCAATTTTCAGAAGCTCACAACATTGTAAACTTAACACTGATGAACTATGTCATATAATTAGACTTGATAGCAAATCAAAATCTATATTCCAGTAGTTAATGCTATACTTCAAGAAATTAATTTGACTGAATAACACTCGTCTTTCATAGTTTACTAGACCTCTAATAAATAACTCTAAGAAGTATCTACGTCTAAATAATATTAAACTAAGTTGAATATATACAGAACATGTAATGGGAAATTATATACTCTAACTTCTTCTTTACTTTCAATAGAGTATTATGTGAAGTATCACCAATTTTTATTCTGAATATCTCTGATTCTACCATAGATCACAATTTTCTACACATCATATCACTTTATGTTAACAAGTGTATAGTATTTTAACCTTTTTTGTTGCCTTATCTTAGTGAAGACACTCCCACCTAGTATCACAATGCTCGTTTAATATAGCGGCGCCAAATAGTTGTTGAGATCAAAGTATCCCATGTTGGTAGATGTATATCAATCTTGATTGCAAATATCAATTCAATCTGTCCTATCTGCTAAATATTAAATAAGAAGTCAGAAAAATTTCAAATATGACTTCAAAAAATGAAAATTCTATTTTTGTTGAATCTGAAGAGACTCGTATTACAGAGATCATTGATGCACTAAGAGATGTTGGAATGGTTGAGGCTTCAGAATCAGAATCTGAAAGCATGTCCTTTACATCAGCAATTGAGGATTCAGATATTGAATGTACAGAAGGACCAGATAGTATGCTTACACCAAAAAATCTTAATGATTCACCTTCAAAGGGACCAGATGATTCCCCTTTCAAACCAATAGCTGATAATAGTTTTAAAAAAAATACAAACGTCAACTCAAATCAAAGATACAATCGTATCTTGGAAGGTCTAGGACAGGTTGAGATTGAAACACCTCTAAATCCATATACAATGACTATAGAATGTTTATTATATGAGCCTCAAGAAGAAGACATTATTGAAGAAGATCTAAGATATATATACTTAAACCAAATACTTAGTAAAAAGGAACAAAACTGTTTAACAAAGCTACGGCATTATGCCAAATATCACAAAGTTAAATTTCCCCACATTATTTGGATACAGGCTCTTAGGTTTCTGTATTCTGCTCAATTTCATCTACAGAAAGCACTAGATATGATGACTGCCAACCTTAATTTTAGAATAGAAGAGCTTCCAATATATGAAGCTGATGTTAAGGATGATCTACAATTAGGAGCTATATATTGGCATGGAAGGGACTATAAGTGTCGACCAATGTTAATTGTACGAATTGATAAAATGGATCTCCTAGAAGGTGATATCAATAGACTTCAGAAGCTATTGTGCTTTTGTTTAGAGTTTTTCTTAAGATATTTGCAAGTTGCAGGTAGGGTTGAAAATTGGAATGTTATTATTGATTTAAGTGGTAAAGGATTTACAGATTTACCAATACAGGCATTAAAATCAGTTATTTCACTGATTAATACACGTTATAGGATGAGACTATATCGTATGTTTATTGTAAATTGCCCTATATTTTTAAATTTATTAAGCTCAGCTCTACTATCTACTTTGCCTGGTACTTCAGCTCGCAAAGTTCGCTTTGTTGATGGAGCTTACTCCGATGAACTCCTTGAGATGATTTCACCATATCAACTTGAGCAAAGATATGGAGGGAAATGTCCAGATGTAACTGAAAACTTTTATCCATTTAAATTTTATCCCTGTAGTTCTAATCAAAATATTATGGAATTAGATCAAGCTGAACTACTTTCAAAGGTACCATTGGGGGTTATTGCTGGATTTTCAGTTGAGATTCCACCAAATTATGATGTCGAAAAGCTTACTTGGTTAAAATTCCTTCCTAATATGAGCTTCTCTCCATTAGTAGCTTCTAAACTATCTAATATTTTAGGTAGAGAAGTTAAATCGGTTACTTCATTACAGGATATATTTAATTTATCATCAAATATGAACGAACTAGATAATTAAGTAAAATTTAAGTATTTTTTTTTATTTGTGTATATTTATCTATATATAGAAATACTGTTAAGGGTTTAGTACTATCAGTATTTGTATCTTTCTTATTAATGCATGCAAAATGTGCATCAATTACTCTTTATTTCTCACTATATTTAGCTTATTGGCTTGAGACAAAGAACTTTAGATTATCCTATTTATTAAATTCAACAGCTTATAGTAATTAAATAATGCTTAAGTGTAAAAAGGTGTTTAAAAAGAGGATAGACACAGGCATCCGTCCCTGCATCCACCTTAAACAGATTACTTAAGCTGCAATGCATTGGAAGTAATCTGATCTTTAAAACAAAATGTCTAGTAAATGGGCAATTTTAAAAATAAAGCTAATATTTTATTTCTTGCTACTTTGGAAAGATACATGTGATGCAGTGTACAATTTTAAAGTTAACCAAAATTTATTTATAGATAAAGATCTGAAAAATCACGTGAACAGATCGCCTGTTGACAGTTATGTTTTCTCAAATAATATGCTTCAGCTATCTTCACAATTCCCAACCTTGTCACCATATGACTCACTTACACTAATATGGTCCTCAATTTCTGGAACAATAAAGCCATTGACAAGAAGCCAAGGCGCACTATTGATACTATTTTTAATCAACCCAGCTTACAGATTCTTAATAGATGAAAATAATGAAAACAAAAGTGATTACTCCATAGTCGAAATCTTGGAGCAAAATCTATCAGCAGTAATATTTTGCCTAATTCAAACTGAAAGAGATGAGTCAGTGTGTGATACAACAATTGATTTACTTCAAAAATACCTGAGTAACAAAATAATGTATGATATCACGGCTAGTTATCGTTTAGGCTTTCCATTAGATATACCAGCTAAATTAGAGAGTATTAATGAGTTATTATCTATTTTAAAAGGTATGGAGCATAATGTGCTTGATAATTACTATACTAGCCAATTAAGTTTATTTCCTACTCAAGATCCAGATGCATTTATCTTATTTTTTTTCAATACAAAAAGTATCTTTGAGTTGTATTATAAAATAAAACCGATAATATCATTCAAAGTTTTGATACAAGATATTAGTACATTTTTAGATATTCTCAATAAGGACTGGGACCTCAAAATTTTAAATAAAAGGAGAAATGTTCAGGAATGGTTTTCGACAAAAGCTTCACCGTATTACAGTATATTTAAAAGAATTTTGGAAGATCTGAATATTTTACAGATAGAAATTAATAAATACACATACACTATAAATATTGAGAAACTGATACTTTTAACAGAGCTCAGAGTACTATTAGAGTCAATTGGAAACTTCTGTCAGACATATATAAACTACATTGATCAATTTGAAAGTTCTCAAAATGAGATTACAGTAGTAGATAAAAAATTAAAGAGCTTTTATGAATTATTAACCACTTATAGCAAAGAAATTGCCAAAAAATATTCTCTTATATACTCTAATTCTCGAGCTGCTGCTGATATAGGTGAGGGTTTACCACTATCAAAAACCAAACACAAAGCCTTATCAAGTGAAAATTTGACAGAAAGTGATTTGAATCAGGATATAACTAGTGCCTTGCTTAAAACTATTGCTAACTTCTTCATTGAACATGAAAATAACCCTTTTATACAAGAAATGGTATTATTGAAGTGTCCAATCACAAAGGGACCTTTTAATGAAAAGTCTATTTTTCTGATTAAAGAAAAATACTATAAAAAAATTGGGAATTTGATTAAAGATTTAAGCTCTGTGTTGATACTCAGTCGAATGAACCTAGCATCAATGATCTGTGGAGAACTTAAACAGCAGATCACTAAATTAGACAGATCCATTAAGAAGATTCGTGCATATCTTTATTTATTATATCCAAGGGTCGGAAAATCTCTAACCGAAAGTATATTCCCCTCTTTAGTTACTCAAAATGGAGTAGATAAATATGGAGAAAAAGTAATCATTTATAACCCAGATGACTCTTGCACAGTAATTAGCCTAAATATATTAGATACTCACATGCATGAAATAACACATATATGTACATTAGTAAAAGATCAAGAAACTTTGACCAGATCAGTAATAAATAAGATTGCATCTCAGAAAGTTATTCACGATATTGGAACTAAGATTAAACAAATTTCTCAGTCGCAAATATTACATGAGTTTCATGAATTAGCGAATGATATTAAAGCAACAAAGTTTGGTCACTTTGTAACGGAAGTAGGAAATACTTGGTCATCGTCTTTTAAACATTGGTATCACCTACATAGAAAGAGATCTCAACTTAAAGGATCTAGAAAATTACTAAGGCATGTATTTTATATTTATACATCAACTTTAGATAATATAATAGTATCCAAAAGACCAGAGTTCCAGCAAATTCAACTAGCCACAGCCAAATTAAATACTAAGCATATTTGTCTACTATCACATGGTTATTTTGGTTTTATTGATGCTTATCTTCCCAAGAATGAAAGAATATCCTATAGCAAGCACGTTACTAAAGTTATGGACAAATACTTTAATAAACCAGATATCTTCATCAATCAAGAATTCCCAATTACCGTTGGAAATCTTAAAGATCTCAACATGCTTATACAAGCTGATCAAGTAAGAAATAAAATTGGAAACTTGAATACCTATACTGAAAATAAATATGATATAACAAAAGTTAGTGATTTTAAAAATAAAGCACTTCCTTATTTTGAAGGTAGAAAGACACATTACGTTGTTGTTGGTACGGATTTTTCAAATTTTGCATTGTGCAGGTGCTCGATTAATTCTAAAAAGCAAACTAAAATGTTGCAATTATTTGTTGAATTATTATATCAAATGCAATATACTGACTTGAAGGTAACAGGATTTAATATGTTGTCATACTCATTAAAAAAGGCCATAAGGCAAATGTTGATCATAGTTGTGTTGAATGAATTTTCTATTCACTTATTACCAAAAATAAATAAAGATGGTTATCAGAGATTTTATAGTATGAATCACAGTAAACACAAAGCTTTGAAAAAGCGTGTAAGACAATACATACAAGAGCTGCAAAATAATTCTTACAAGCTTTCAGTTATTATGGAAGCACTATATACTACTATCCTAACTGCCTTTAACCATTTCAAATATGATTCTGAGCTTAATATATTAAGGACATCTATAATGGGAGTAATTAAAGAAAAAAGCAATGAATACCCTACTAGAGTAAGTGAGATTATGAGAAAAGTGACTTTAGAGAAATTTATTAATAACTTCTACTTTGGGAGGATTCGTCGAAATTTTAACTCATTGCAACACACTATATTAAATATGCTCAATGCACAACAAATTTTCAGTTTAGGCCAGTTACTCAAAACTGACAGGAATATCGAAGATATTGCCGATATTTCAACAAAGTTACACAATTATATAGAAATGATATATCCAACTCAAAATTGCATCGGTATAAGTGAAAAAAAACAAAGACTAGATGCATTTTTCGTTTTATGTTAAAAGTTGAAGAAAAATGAGATAACTGAATATTGAATATAAATAATTAGATCCTAACAATAATATTCACTGAAAAACTGAAATGAAATATTTCTTATATTATAATATTTAAATCACTTATTTATGATCATCTTGGTTCATTGTTGACTAAGGCAATGTTCCGTCTTAAAGTACTTACGAAGGGCTTTGTAGAACCGGTCTTACTACGAAGAGTCTCAAGTATAGCTTGATTTTTGCAAGCAACAGAAGAGCTTATAGATGGTCGTTGAGTATTAGTTTGATTAAGTAGATTTGAGGTGTATCTCAATTTTTCATCAGTAAAATTACTATTATTAATATTTATCTTGGGAGAGTTTGATGTTTTAACTGAACTAAGAACAGTTTTTATTGAGGCTGTAGTATTTCTAGATGAAGTAAGTTTATTTGTACTTTTATTAGTCTGTATATTATCTTTGCAAAGTACTTTGGTAGAAACTGAATTGCTTGGATTTATAATAGAAGCTACTTTTTGAGATTGAAGATTATTTGGGATAATTCCAATTGATTGGGGCATTGGGGAAAAAGATCTGCTAGACAAGAAGTGTGGATTGATTTGCTGAACAGAGTACTTAATAGGGACTTGGGAAATTGGTGAAGGATATCTCATACTTAATTTTGTAGGTACTGGATTATTAATAGGATAGTTTGAATTAGTGATTAGAGGTAATTGCAAATGCGGTGCTGGGCTGCAACCTCTGGCCATCCAAGAGTTGCGTACAATATTATTTCCTGATATTGGCCTATTAATAGTATTTGGGGTATGAATTCTTCTTGAGGAAATTGAGTCATTAGAGTTCATTGTCATAACTTTGGGAGTGTAGCACTTAAATGAATCAAATAAAGGTACGTTGTGATTCTTCATGCATAGAGAGGGGCAGCTTGCATCATTAGATTTTGAAACTGTGACTGGAGAGGGGGGAACCACTTCAAAAGAGGACATTCCGAGATTTCCAGAATTAATTCCAAAATAATTAGTTATGTTATTAGTAAATGTATCTAGTGCATCGTTTGACAAAGTATATGGGACTTGGGAGGATTTGTAAAAATTAATAATAGTGTCTAAAGGGAAATTGTCGAAATTAGAATGATCAAGAGAATGTTTGATAACTGGTTTAATTGGAGCTTTCTGAGATCTGACATTCGTAAAGTTAATACCACGAAAGAAGGGATGTTTCATAACCTCTCTAGTACTTTTAAGTCTATTTTGGGGTTCACAAACTAAAGAACATATAAGATCTAGAGCATCTTTAGAATATTTGTGATGTTCTGAGGGTAAATAGAAATACTTGTCCCAATTCATAACCTTTTTTCGTGTGATAAGCGAGTTTTGACCTGGATCTGATAAGGGAGGACCACCAAAAAGCATTTCATATATTATTATTCCGACACTCCATAAATCTGCACTTAAACTATATGGTTCTCCCCTATGTATCTCAGGAGCCATATAATCTGGGGTTCCAGCTTGGAAATTTGGATCATGAACAACTATTGTGGAATTGCAAGACTTTTTGTTGGATACCTTAGGATCTGTTTTAATTATGTTAGTCGGAACTGCCCAAATCTCCGATGTCTGTAATTCATTCGCGACATTTGATACAAAAGGATGCTGTTTATTTTCATTTTTTATGTTTCTTGAGAGTCCAAAATCTACTAATTTTATATGCCCCTTTTCATCTAATAATATATTATCAGGTTTAATATCCCTATGAATATACTCTTGATTATTATGAAGATAATCAAGAGCTAAAATAACCTCAGCTATATAGAATTTCGCTGTATTTTCATCGAAAGTGTGATATTCCATTAAATGACGCATCATATCACCGCCTGGCATATATTCCATCAACATGTAATAAAAATGAGAATCTTCCCAGTAATAATATAATCTGGTAATCCATTCACTCTCAGAACTATACATTAGACTAATTTCAGTGTTGAGCATAAGGCCTGTATTTATTGTAGAGGGATTTATTGTAGAGGGGATGTCTAAAGAAGATAAATAACTGTTATTTATTTTCAAGTTAACATTAGCATCACATGAAAAACTATTCTCATCTGGGTTCTTATTTGATATGAGCTTACTTTTCTTAGCTTGCTTAAGCGCATAAATATGACCTGTTATTTTATCAAATACTAGTCTTACAATAGCATATCCACCCTGACCTATAACTGCAACTGTATGAAAGTCACTAAGGCTCACGCTACTGCGATTAGAAAATATCTGCCTATGAAACGTTACTATTTCAGCTTCACTATCTAGAGTTTCTCCTTTACAAGGGCAGCAGTCTGAAGGAGAATCTTGATAAGTTGTATTTTTAGATTGTTTTTTATTTTTCGAAACATAGTTGTTACTCCCAGTTGAGCTACTAGCTATTTTACTTGTACTTCGTAAAGAACTAGCAGAATTAGGATCAGATATAGAGACCATATTTCGAGTTGCTCTACTGCTGCTTGTATTTGTTGTACTGGGAGTTCTTGAGCTTTGCACTTTAGTTGTACTGACATTGATACTTGAAGAGACAGTCGAACGGTTAGATATACGAGATGTCATGCTAATCTTCAAATAGGATATATTGTAGTATATCTATATTCTGTATAGAGTAGATAGTTTTAAATAGTTCCTTTATATAAAAGATGCAAGCTCGAAGTTAACCACCCCTGAAAAAAAGTCGAGACTGCCGCACAATGAAATAAAAGAATCTACGGAATCACTAAATCCTTATACTAACACCTTTGATAGTCTATAATGATAGTAGTATTCTATTCATTGAATTCTTCTGCAATTAAATATAAGGAATTTCATCCTCTAATTTATCTATGCACACGCTAAATTATTACACACAATACTCATCCCCGCATCTTTCTTGGCGCTATATATATAGATGGTACAAAGCTCGGGAGTCTGCTTTTGACAAGTATTAACTACCTTGAGTAATCTGAGCTTCAAATCAGTAACAAAGAATCAAAAGTATGGAACATCTACTTTAGAATTATGAATAATATAGAATGCGAGAACAAAAATATACAATTTCAAGGCTTACCAGAGCTCCATCAACTGCTTCTATCTGGAGACTTCAATAAATTTCTCAGATCCCTTAAAAGCTTGAATTCCTCATTTTTTCTGGATGAATCTAACCAAAATATACTAACTTTTTCATTATTTCTTTTTGAGAGCCTACTCCAGTGTATACTATGCTCTGGATCGATTTTTGATCATTTGGAAAACATAAAGGATGACATGTTATTTTACTTGAAAGAGAGAAAGAAGTGTGAACTTAATTATACATTCAGGATTACAAACGAAGATGAACGAGGTTTCACTTTGTTACCTTTAGATTATAAACATTCAATTAGAAGTACGTTTCAAGGAAGCAATAGTCCCAATTTCAGTAACACCCAATTACAAGAGGATATGTACAAGGACCCTGTAGTACCACCAAAAGAATTCTTGGAGGTAATAGGATATAAAGAGCCTATTACTCAGGCTGCAATATTTCAATTTCCTTGTGAAGCCTCAGCTGAGGAGCTAATGACTGAAAAGAACTTAATTGATACCTTGCGTCAGCAGTTGATAGATGAATCTTGGACTGATCAACTGAATTCTATCTGCAAATTTCTTACAGAATTATCAAAGATTGTTGTTATTCTAGTAACAAATTACCAGCCAACATACGAAAAGTTTTGTAGTGAGACTAGTGGTATAATATATAAATCTATGAAATTCCCCTTATTCTATTTAGCACTAATGAAAGTTCTATTTGATAAATATCCAATAATGGACAAAACCCAAGAGGAACTTAATCCGAAGGACCCAGGTGATTCTCGTAGACTTATCAATATAATTAGACGAAACAGGTTACCAGGACTGAAAATCATTGAATTCATTTTCAACATATTAACTCCAATGACGGAAGTTCTAGATATTCTTGGTGGAAGCTCAGCCTGGAACTGTAGGGCACAGTATGCTCAGTATTTTCTTCACTTAGCATTTGTATTCGATAATGCAAAATTATTTAAGTTTATAGCTGCTAAAAGTTATATGTTCAGTTACAATATATTTCAATGGGACCTATTGCTGAACTCAATGGCTCAACATATTCCTTTGTTAGATATATTTTTGCATCCGCTTGCTACAGCTATAACGAGATTTCGTGTTATCCGTAGACTTGAGAGTAAGAATAAACCACTGAAAAATGGAAATTCTGAACAAGATGATCCTGATGAAAACTTTGGTATAGAAGAAACTTCATTTGGAGAAAAAGCAAGTATAATCACATTCCCTGTGGAACCACGTTTCTTAACTAATAAAATAATTAAATATGCAAGGTCATTCTATGGAGAAATAGAAGGGAAGAGACTGGAAAGAAGTATACAGTTAGAGTTTAATAACTGGGAATATATGCCTATAAGGCCTGATAGGATACGAAGTAAATTAATAATGCAAATGCAATCGGATGAGTCTAAATTAGATGAATATAGGGCCAAATTAACTGTAAATAATAAGAGGCGTAACAAAACTGCACTATATAGCGTTTTACCTCCTTTGTCTTATCCAATTGAATGTAAGAAGAATTATTCATCTACAAAGGAGATTCCTGGTCAGATATATGCCCAATCATATTACTCTCCTAAAATGGATATACCTGTAGGTACTAAATTGGATTATGGCTTGACTTAAGAAACTATTAATAGCTAAAGATATATAATAATTTTTCAAAGTTAATTATTAGGAGATTTAGATTATATAAGAAATATGAAATATATATTTCATAATTCCAACTAAGTAATAATAAGAACTAATATCAAGTTGCATGTGCACTAATTAGCTACTTCCAACAGTTAATTCGTAATATTAGTAATAATGATTAACTAACACTACCAACAACTTCCCAATTAATTTGTTAACTTCTATATCTACCTAAATCCAACTCTCAAGACTTAAAAATAGATTTCAACATCTTCTTAACTGAGCATTACGGGCACAATAACTCATATATATTAAAGCATTGGTAGATGCTGTTAATGTTCTATTGTCGAGGCTCATAAAGTACTGATTTGCCTGATCAAGTTCATTAACTTCAATGGAGTACTTGTTAGTAAAATAAGATGTCCATTGATGTAGTATTGAATTAATATTAATACAAGTATTTATACTAGATGTATGAAGTTGAAGCGCTCTATTTGAGGGTGTTGATCCTGAGTTTGATATGTTATTAAAGCTGTTAGAAATTTGATATTCATTAGTGGGATTACTTCCAGCACCACTACTGTTACTTATTTTTTGGAGTATGTACTGATTATACTGATCTGATAGACCAACAATACAACTACTATTTTTTGGAGTTAATATAGAAGATTGCGATGGTAATGTAAATAATGATGGTTCTGACGATAGTGTTGAGATTTCTGAGTCGGTATATTCATGGTCATACTGAGGAGTTCTTGGAGTATCATGATCTTCATGACTTTGAGCCCAGTTTGAAAGGAATTGCTCGTTTGAGCATACTGTTTCCTTAGTATTAAATTCTATCCTTTCCTCATCGACCCATACCAGAAAGTTTTTTGAATCTCTTTGATCAGACTCTAATAAATTACTATTAATACTTTTCAGCTCATTATTCACATGGCAATTTATTTTACTATTTTGAGCAATTCTGGTATGTTGGAGTGTTTGCATTAGTTCTGTATACGGAGGACTACCATCACTTCTAATTCTTTTTTCTTGCTCTGATTCATTATCACATAGGGATAGAATCATTGTAATGGGTCTATCCAAAGTGTTTCCTTCATATTTTATATCTGGAAGTTGCAATTTACGATTATATTTCCATATTCTGCACTTTTTGCCATTACTTCGTTTTTTCTCAAATTCTCCAATAGGAGCAAAAGGTTCCTGTCTATGTAAGTTATTCAGCATTCCATAAATTTGGTATATAGGATACTTATCTGTGTTTCTATATACTCTACTATAGGATACCAACTCATCTATAATTTGTCAAACAATAACGAGGAAATAAGCGGCAACAAAGTGTCATTGTGTTAAGCAGACACCTAAAAATATTTAGTAATGTTATTTTATACAACTGTAGATTGAGCTATCAAATAAATAAAGTCACAACAGTACATTCATAAAGCATACTGATGTTATGATTACAAATATATTTAGTTCTGGTTAATTTTTTATTAAAAAAAAAAAAAAAAAAGATACATGCAAAGCCAGTAATACTATATGTATAGCGCATTATTCTTGTCTAAAGATTTCTCCACTTTTTACTAATGAAAATAAAAAGTTTGCAAATGATTAGTATTTACACAGTAGAACCTAATTTAAATATCCCCAGTAAAGTACTATATTGTTTGTTAAGATAGATTTTTTATACTGTAGCAAGCAACAGAAAATACGTAGGTCGTTTATGGGTAGTGATACTGATAGTTGAAAAAGCTTTTGGAAGTTTCCATATGACGCGGTTTTTTTGTAATCTTATAATGCGCCTTAAATAGTGATTTTCCTTTATCCTAAATAGGTAGTGAAGTCTCAAAAGGTGTAGGTAATAACTATTTACCAGTAAAACACTACAGCTTCCCAACAATATATCACTATTACTAATATTCCAAATATAGTTTAAACAGGAGTTCAATATGATATTATTATAGGGGACTTGGTGAACTAGAAGAGTATTTTTTGGACCAAATTGTCTAAATTAAGGAATTCTGATATATCTCATTTTTAGGAGAAATATAGATTTAAATCACAAACTCAGATCCATAGCTATTAGGTGGACAATGTGACCAGATAAAGGTGGTTTGCAGAAACTATACTTTAATTGTAAATACTTGTAATATTATCTTTAGATATAAAGGGATCAGACTTAAAGTGAATATTAAATATATCTACGTCCTATCAACTATCTTAAGTCGTCAATTAATATTTAATGTATATCCATAATCCTAATTTGTAAATTAAGTATTTGATAATATTAAGCTAAACTAAAATATAAGAGGATTCAAATAGGAAATATCATCTTATAGATTAAGGATAGCTGGTTTAAGCTACTAAAGTTTTTTATTAGAGACTTCATCTGTAGTTCATATTTTATTCATAGTACTTGTATACCTCATATTATTTAGATGATCAAATTGCATATATTAATTTTTTATAAATAGTATGGTACTTAACAATTTGACATGTTCTTTATATTAACAGCCAATCAAATGTGTCCTAAATTATATATTGAAGCTTGATTAGTAACATGCATAATGACCCGCTATAATATTTTGCTTGATTTACACAGAATCGTATGTCTATGAAGAAGTTAAGATTGCCTTTAAAGTGAGCTTACTATGATAAAGACATGGAATAAACGCAAATTAATAGAAACTCATGATTATGAAGGACAAGATGAGCTAGTTATGGAAATTTCACTTATTAGGGTTCCAATTATGTCAATGCTGAATGTTGATTCAGGAAAACCTATTACACTTCGTCCCTTTAAGTCTCCAATGTCTGGTCATATTCCTGGATCAAGTGTTGAGAGTCAAAGAATGACACTGGGGTGTAGAATTCCACGTGATTCTCTTTATGGTAATGTTTTGAAAATCCCAAACTTTAAACTATCTCCAAAAATTGGTGAAGATCTCCCAGCTTTATCTGAACATGCACTAATAGATAGGTTGATTTTATGGGAACCTAAAGAAAATGATGGAACACACAAAATTGAAGTAGATAATATCTTAACAAAGTGGCTAAGAGAGCATCAAAGATCAGGGGTTAAATTTATGTTTGAATGCTTGATGGGACTAAGAGCCTTTGAAGGCCATGGATGTATATTAGCAGATGATATGGGACTGGGTAAAACATTACAGTCGATAACAATTTTGTGGACACTTTTAAACCAAGGATTTGATGGTAAACCTGCGGTTAGAAAAGCTGTTGTTGTATGTCCTGCATCTTTAGTTAAAAATTGGGCTTATGAGATAGAGAAATGGTTATTAGGTAAATGTCCTTGCACAGCTGTTGCTGAAAAGGATAGAGAAAAAGTTATTTCAATGTTTGCAGGATTTAAATATGATAGAGTTTCGAGAGTACTTATAGCATCTTATGAAACGTTTAGAATGCATGCCTCTAACCTAGATGGAGTACCTATAGATTTAATTATATGCGATGAAGCTCACAGACTGAAGAATGACAAAACCAAGACTTCTATAGCTATAAATAATTTACCTGCAAAAAAAAGATTGCTTTTAAGTGGCACTCCTATTCAAAATGACTTGATTGAATTCTACTCTCTTGTTTCATTGGCAAATCCTCAAGCTCTCGGAGATGTATCAACATTTCGCAAAATATATGCAAATCCTATTCTAGAAGGACGAGAACCAGATGCTACTGAATACCAACAAGACCTTGCTGCTCAAAGACTTCAAGAACTTTCAAATATAACAAATTTATTTATTCTAAGAAGAGCAAATACACTTCTAGCTAAGGTTTTGCCTCCAAAAATAATACTCAATATTTTTTGTCGCCTAACTCCATTTCAAAGTTACTTGTATAAAAAGTTTTTGAGATCAGCAGCTTGTAGGAAGATGCTTGATACTGAAACATCTTGTGGGAATAGTCGACCAATTGGGCTTACTGGTCAAGTTCTGTCCTCTATTCAATCTCTTATGAAGTTATGCAATCATCCTTCTCTAATTAAACCAAAAAGCTCAGGAAGCTATGGTAGAGGTTTTGAGGGTTGCGAGAAATATTTGGAACAGGCTCAAAGTAAAAGCTATACAAGTGGAGGATTTGGAAGTGGCGTATTATCTAGAAGAAAAGTTGGGAATAATAGGTCAGCTTACGAATCCAGGCCTGATATTAGTGGAAAACTTTACTTGTTATCTAGGCTTCTTTTTCAAATACGCAGAAGTACGGATGATAGAGTTGTCTTAGTGAGTAACTACACCCAAACTTTGGATGTGTTTGAGAGACTTTGTAGAGATCTTCAAGTTCCCTGTGTGAGACTTGACGGATCAACTAGTATTACTAAAAGACACTCTATGGTTAAGATATTCAATGATCCTAACTCTAATAGCTTTGCATTTTTATTATCTTCAAAAGCAGGAGGCTGTGGCATAAATTTGATTGGAGCAAACAGACTTGTCATGTTTGATCCTGACTGGAATCCTGCAAATGATAAGCAGGCTTTGGCTAGAGTTTGGAGAGATGGACAAAAGAAAAACTGTTATATTTATCGTTTTTTTTCTACTGGAACAATTGAGGAGAAGATATACCAAAGACAGTTATGTAAAGATGGACTTAGCGCAATGCTAGTGACAACAAGCGGAGACAACCAATTAAAGGATGCAATTTCTGCTGATTTGGTTCGAGATTTATTTGTCTTAAGAGAAGAAACAATTTCGGATACGCACGAAATGATTCAATGTAGTAGATGCTATACCAATGGACAAACTAACTATATGATCCCTCAGCTTGAAGAGTTAGAGGAAGATAATTTAAATACATGGGCACACTATCACGATGTATTGCAAGTGCCAGATGAAGTGCTAGCGGAAACCTTAGCAGAGTGTCATAGTGAAATGGAAGTAAAAGAAAAAGCTACTGTAAATCCACTTGATCTCCCTCCAGGGTTTCAGCCTGTATCTTTTGTAATGGGGTGTAGAGTCGAGTTACAAGATGTGATCCAGTCTGGGGAAGAAGCAGACAAGGAAAATAAGGATGGGCAGAACGTGAATAATTTAGTAGTTAATGTTTTTGGTCAAAAAACGCAAGTAAAGAAGAAGACTGAATTGACAGATGAATATTCAGAAGAACTTGATAGTGAAAGTGAAAACTTCTGCTCTGATGAGGATATGACTGAACATGATTTGCTGGTGGAAAACATAGACTCTGATGATTAACGGCTATTTAGCAATAGCGCTATATACGCCGCCTTATTTCATTACTGGGAGTAGCTTGCAAGTGCTATGAATTTTAAAAAGTCCAGCAGTATCTACTTTAACTTAGTGCAACTATATCAATAAATTTAAGGAGATGTCAAGTGATTGGTGTACAATTGAAAGTGATCCAGCTGTGTTAACAGAACTTGTTGAGAGGTTCGGGGTTGAAGAAGTCCAGTTTACAGAAGTTTATGAGATTTGTGACTCTGGCATAGAGTCAATTATTAAACAATATGGAAATATATATGGATTAATGTTCTTATTTAAGTATACAGATATTTCCCACGCACAGTTATCTTCTATACCAATAGATACTCCTGCAGGAATGTTCTATGCTCACCAAGTAGTAAACAATGCATGTGCTACTCAGGCAGTACTATCTATACTTCTTAATCGACTTGATATCAATATTGGACCTCATTTAAAGGATCTAAAAGACTTCACACAATCATTTGACCCAAATATGTGTGGTTTAGCAATTGGTAATAGTGATATTTTAAGATCAGCCCACAACTCATTTAAACCTATCTCATCACTAGAATTTGATACAGAAATAAAAGGACATAAAGAAAATGATGCTTTTCACTATATATGCTATGTTCCTTTTAGAAATGCAGTTTATGAAATTGATGGTCTAGCATCTGGTGTTGTGTTACTAGGACATGTTGATAATAATTCCACCATCAATGACGATGCTAACATCTCTACACTTTATAATTCTCCTGAGAATTGGGTCCCTTTAGCGATAAAGGAGATTAGAAGGAGAGTCTCTTTGTATAATACTGATTTTCATAATGAAATCAGATTTAGCTTAATGGCTATAGTCCCTAATGCTCTACTTAGAGCGAAAATTCAACTTTCAAATCTGCTCAAAGAGAAACAAAGGGTTATTTTAAAATTAATGAGTTATGGTGAAGATGTTGACTTTGATACAATTCAAGAATTTGAGGAGGATGAAATACTTACATCTGCAACTCTTGCCGAGCTGCCAAATGATATTCCTTCACTTAAAAGACTATTCGAGAGACTTAGAGACAAATTGACAGAAATAGAACTTACAATAAGAAGTGAAGAGTTAGTAAGACTTAGATGGAGGGAGGAAAATAATAGAAGAAGACATGACTTTTTCCCCTTTGTACTAGCAATGATGAAACATGCCTCAAAAAAAGGTCTCCTTACAAAGAAATTTAAACAGCTTATGTAGAGATACAGTTTATATCAAGCTGAAGATAGCTTAGGAGAAATTCCATACTTCTACAATTGAATATACTCCTAAATATGGACAATTGTTGAGTTTAACCATAAATATATGGACATCTGTATCACTATTTACTCGTACTATCTCTTCCGAATTTATTTTTATATGATCTAATGCAGTATTTATTGTACTACATTCAATATCAAACTCTTTCATTTCTGACTTTATATCCTGCAGTATTGGTACAAACATTGGCAAATTTGCACTTTTTATCTTAGCTACTTGAAATATTACTCGATCCAATTCTTTTAAATAACTCTTAGAGTTTAAATAAACCTTTAAATCTTGATATATTATATTGTGAATTCCGATTTTTGTATCTTCTAGTTGAACTAAACTTTGATATCCCCTACCCAAATTAATACTTGTCCCAATAGTGAAAAGTTGCTGTTTACTTTGGGTAAACCATAGAGCATTGTAACCTTTACGGACTATATTATTATTTACAATGCAAAGAGGATTTACCGGAGTTATTATTTCAGTTACTTTTGTATAACTGACCTCTATTTGGTTGTCAACTTCATTGTAATTTAATTCTATTATTGTTATACATTGCTCCTTACTTATTGGAGTGCATTCCGTCGTTAGTTTGTTAAGTGGTAGTGGAGCTTTAAATATTAATTTTTGTAACTCATTTAAAATTTTTGCTGTCCCCCATAAGAACTCATTAAAATATATATTGGATTCATAGCACTTCTCCAAATTTGGATTATCTGAATCTTCTAATACCCTACATATGTCTTTCAAAAACTTCAATCCAGCTTTTTGACTGTTTACTGATATAGTTTTTACCCAAGACTTATAAAGTAGAGAGAACAGAACAAAAGTTTTAATTATTAAAAGTGCTTCTACTTTCCATTGAGAGCATTTCATAACCACAGTCCTCAAAGAAAATATTTCCCCACTAGCAAAGTTTAAATATATATCAATAAAAAATAATTCTCTAGTTATTAATCCTAAATAATCCCTTTTTTCACTAATTTTATACTTTATAATGCAGCCATAAATTTCATCTATTCTTGATAGAAGTTTGTTTAAATTGTTCTATCCCGGTTTGACAAATTCCTATGCATGCTAGTACATGCAATAATATTTCTAGAATTTTGTATCTGTACCCAACCTCAACTTAGCTATCAAAAAAGAGTACCTGTATTTAAAAAAAATTTCCATACCCTTGTACACTTTTCACTATGGAATATGGGGTTAGACTATAGACTTTTTACTCTAAAAAAAAGTCTAGACCTATTTTTAAGACATTGAAAACTAGCTAGTTCAACTCCTGAAAAGTTCTGACTAAATGAAAGCAATTTCATGTTAGATTCTTCTAACAAGGAAAATTCAGCAGTAACACAAATTGGTAGAAAAAGTTTATTGTACAAATTTATTAAAAAGTTAAAAGAACCAACAAATCAGTTGAAATCAGCAACTCCATCAGAAACATCTGAGTCAGAAGAACTCAACTCAACTATTTCATCTCCATCTATTTACAACTCCTTAAATTTCTCACCTATATACCAAGAATCAGAGGAATACGAAAAATTAGGAAGTGTAATAACAGATAGTAAGAAATTCGATACAGAGAAATCAAGGACAGTTTCACAAAAAAACACTGCAAATCAAGCTACATTTATAGAAAGTAAATATCTACAGCCAAATTCTACATCTAAAAAGCCAATATCTAAATCGCTAGAAAAACTATACGCCTCACCTAAAAATTACAGGAACATATATCCAATGTTTAGCCCATATCAAGCTTGCGAAACTCTAGTCAATTGTAATTTAACCTCACTTTGTCCGAGAACAATGTGTATATGTATGTACAATATATGCCCTAATCAAAATTACTCCATAGCATCAGAGGTTAAACCATGGTCCGATCAATTGGCATGTAAAACATGTTTCGGAAGAAGTCAACAAAATATGTTAATGATGGCAAGGAACAAAGTCCAATGCAAATATCATTGTCAGGGTTCTAGTCAAGCAATTCCTTATCGTCTTCCACCAGCAATAAGGTTTAATTTTTGTAACAGCTCTAATGGGAATCTCAATTGTTACAACTCATCAAATTCATTTTCAACATGCTGCAATATATGCAATAGTTGCAGATTTTGCAGATCAAATAGCTTGAACAATTGCTGTATAGTATATAGTCAATGAAAGTATAATCTCTACTCGTTAATTTCAGCAAAAATATTATACTTTCTAAAATTTTAAGCTAACAAAGTTTATATCAAACTGACTAAACTCAAAATTTCCTCAATAGGTGCAACATCGGCCGGAGTTTCTCCATCATAGTTCTTAATTGTCAAATCAGCACCATATTTCTTAAGTATTCTTATACATTCAAGCTGTTCTGCAATACAGGATATATGTACTGGAGTGTCTCCAAAAGAGTCTTGAGCATTAGGATCTGCACCGTAATACAGAAGAATTTCACAAATCTCAACACACCCTCTGTCACACGCATAATGTATAACAGGAGTTCCATCTAGGCAGATCAGGCTGGACAATGTTGGAAAATATCTTAAAACTTTACTAATTAGCTTGATATTATTATTAGTTACCTGAGTAAAAAATGCAGCAGAAACAAGAGGTGAGTTTATATCAATATCAGAGTCAATTAAGTTATTTAGTATATAAATACTCTGCTTATTAAATCTTTCCTCTGATTCATATAAAACTGAATCCTTAATAGGTGTGGAAACACCCTTAACAAATAATATTTCATGAATCTTACCATTGTATGACGGTTCTTCCCATTTAGGGTTTTTCTTGCATATGAGTTCAATATATTTATCAGCCGCATGCTCAGGTTTCATACCACGTAATGCACTCCACGCTTTAGATTTTGCTTTATCCTTCATACTGAAAACGGAGAGAAGTGATGTACTAGTAGTGATACAATCTCCAACTGTTGCTTGTTTATAAAAGCCGTAAAGTTCAAGTAGTTCATCATTTGTAAAGTCGGCAACATGATTAGCACAATATTCAGCTGCTAAAGCAAAGCGTCCATTTTTATTTAGCATATCAGTCATGACTTGATATTATTATATTATCGAGACAATGAAAGGTAAAAATATTTAGTAGTTACCTAAATGAATTATTTGTTCAATAATGTATTGCTATACCGCTTATTAAATATACTAGTAGTAATAATATATCTTGCCTTATAACTAAATAATTCAACCGCCTAAATGGGCACAATAAAGCATTAACTGTAATAATAGAAGGAATTACGAGGAAATACCTAATGGCCAAATAAAGTGTTTTGAATAAGAGGTTATGCTGAACTTAAAATTATTTCGTTAAAACTCAACTTTTTTGGGAAGTCTATTAATCTAGAAGCCATTAGTGCATTATTCACAGCACTATCTTTATAATTAATCCAATTATAGATATTCTAAGAGACTGAATAATTTGAAACAGCAATTGTAAGCCCATTTTGAAGAGTTTCAGTGAACTTCTTGATGGCATTCGTAATATCATCATCAGCATCTTGTCGAAGCTTAGTCGCCGAAATTAGAGCACTTTGGATACCTTTAAGTTCTTGTTTAATAAATATACTAAATTGATTATTAGGATTACAAGAATTAAGTTTTGGATTGTTTTCGAAACTTTTATTGAAGTTCTGAATCTCACTTTGAATCTTCACATGAGACGTATTGTCAGATAATTTTGTTATTTCTTGATTTATACTGTTAACAAGGTTACTCTTATACTCGTTCACCTTTATAAACACTCCAGTTATTCTGTCGATACATTGATAATAAGATCTTATATCTTCTTTTATATTGTTGATAGTATGATCTACTGATTCAAAATTCGTCTTTTTAACTTGAACAATTCTGTACTCATGCAGTTTCTTCTCAACAGCCTCACAACGGTTCAACAACCCTTCCATAGTTCCCATAATAGTTTCAATACGCTGTAAAACTTTGACAGTGATATTATGAATGATTTTATTACCTATTTCCTCAGTGCTGCGTTGTATTTCTTGAATACTTGATTTTCTATTCGATATAGAGTCTTGTAGTTCAGACCTAATTGAATCTTGTAAACTCACAATTTCTGACAAACGAACATTATAAATATCCATAATATACTTGAAACTTTCTGTAAGATATCTTGATAGCCACTCTAAGTAAAAGCTTTCTTATGCTTGGTAGCCTACAACGTTGCGAGAAAAAATGCGCCACACACTACTACATGGTATAACAAAAGTATAATCTACACTGAAGGAGCTATTATTTGACTACATATTTTTAAGCTTCAAAATGAAAATTTAGAAAAGAACTGGGTAAATAATAGATAAAGTATTTAAATATACTCCAAGTGAATGATATAAAATTTATGCAATATGCTGAGAGTCAACCTAAACATATCTTTTTTTTTGCAAATAATTGTATAGTTTGATATCATAAATATATCAAACAAGTTCAAATAATTGTTAAAACTCTAAGTCAATTAAGGAATTATTTGTGGTCTGTGTATTTTCCTGTTGGCTATATTTTCTGGGTTGTATACCTTTAATGGACAAGTTACCAAACAATTTACTTACTGAACAATTTACTCCTTTCTTAAAAATATTATCATCCTTAGATGTTAAATCTAAGAGATCTTCTGATTTATCAGGAAATTCACTTGAGAATTGAGGTGTATTTGATTTATTTAGTAACTGCTGCAGTTGTTGAGATTTTCTATAACACATTGGGTGATAGTCTTCGTTAATGGATTTTAGTAATTCAATAAAATTCGAGTCATTATTAAACACATACTCTATTAAAGCTGTTTTACTTAGTTCATTCATCTCAAGTAATGCAGTATAAAGACATAATATTCGATATACAACTTTCCATTCGATTGAAGATTCTATATATAATTCTAGTCTTTCATGCAACTTGGATATCACCACACAAATATCCAACTTGACAGATTTTTGGACATATTCTTGTAATAGTTCATGTGATGGAGCCACTTTTAAGCCATATGGTGAGCAAAAACTATCAATCAAATTCTTTTCAAGTATATTTGGAATTGAAGTTAGTTTCGCCTCAGTAAATTCTGGTGATTTGAAAGAACTTAGACACTTAGAGGATTGAGTTGTAGATGGTGTCTCCCAAATACCTCTCGAATCTTTGATATTAGTTAATGGTGGTTTAAATTCACTTGATGAACTCATAGCAGTTTGCTGGAAAGTTGAGGAATCTTTTCTACTATGTGACACAGGGAATTTATTACTGAAATTCGAAGCACTCCCACTAAACTCTTGATTACTATTAGCAGATTTACAATATTTTGAAAAGCTATCAATCATCTTGCTTGGTATTACTTTCAGTATAACATCTGATAAGTCTCCTATTACCTGCCCAAAGTTACCACTTTGAGTATTGACAAGTATTGAATTTCCAATTTGGGAAATGTTATGAATCGTGAAGTTATTTTTAACATTATTACTGGATTCAATCTTTGAAGTGTAGTAGCCATAACTAGAAAGATATCTATTATCACTATTAATTCCACCGATATCTCTTGAGAAGTAATGATTTCCAAATCCCTCAATTCTCCTACTTAAATTCTTTATTCTAACAGATTCATTGCTATTCATATGATTTCTATCGTTGGGCTTAGCATGCTCATTTGCTAATACTGAGTTATTATAGTTAGAATTAACTTTTTTGTATATACTATTACTATTGCTAGTGCCACTATTATAGATTAAATTTAGACAGCTACATGCCTCTTCTCTAACTAATTCAGATAAAGAATCTCCATATAGAGGATCTATTGGTCCACGATAATTCTGACATAGTCTAATTTGATGTATATGACGTTGTACAATATGACGAAATTCAGGGCTTCCACGATCACAAATATGCTTAATAATACGTAAAGATTTAAATTTAGTTGTTGGATCATCCTTCTTTAATTTGCGCATTAAATAGTCTACCAAAAAACTACATCCATCTATTTGGTTAAAGCTGGAATTCGCCAATTCATTTAGGACATATCCCGATGGAGATGCTGTATCTGGTTGAAAAACGGATTGCAGTAGCCCTTTATCCATTTTGAAGTATACAATTTTATTATATTGTTACCTTGCTCCATTAAATACAAGCCGAAATCTTTCGCCTTTGTACTACTCTCACACAAAGCCAGAAAACCCCGCCATTATCAGGGGCGGTAACTCCTCACAAAACATCTTTATAATAAAATATACCCTAGTAAATATATACTACAAATATCTGACATAAGCTAACTAAATCACACCTTCATAGTGAATTCTCTTTATAATTTTGGAATTCATAATAGTTGGATATTGACTTAAGAAGGAACTAAAAGATTATTCATTGTAATAGCTAGGTGACTATTTTTCCCCCTATAATTTAATAAGTAGTCATCTTATTTAATAATACACTTTATATAGATTTTAAAAAAAGAACTCTACACAACTTTTGAAATCAAAAAATTTTGTTGCGCATATTTCTTGTCTTATAGCTATTATTTAGAATGTAACCCGTTATCCCATGTACAATGAAGTAAATAAAGGTGGTAATGATGACTATAAATATCCCAACCCAAGATATCATTATATAATTGGGTGGTAATAAGTTCTGAGCCTTTAGTGTATGTCTAAACCTCCAACATAAAAGTGACTCTGTAAACACAATTGCAATGAGTACCCAACATTGAATCCCAACTTTGTCGGAATTATTGCTCGTATTAGTTACAAATTCATACAGCTCCCTTGTTGCCGCTGCACCACATATAGCAACACATATAGTTCGTAATGCCAAAATCCAGTGACTTACAGGTAGTAGTAATTCAGCTTTAATAAAAAAATAGTTCAAATCAATTAATTGCACAATGATCGTCAACAATAAAAATGTCATAAATCCCTTCATATTAGAAAGAGTCTTAGGCCATTTATATTCTGTCCATGTATATATACCAAACTTGCTCCATAGGTCAATAACCATGTATAATATATCTTTTTTAGGTTTTTTATTGTTAAATATTGAATTTTCACTGCTACTTCCCACCTCCCTATACTTACTTCTTAAATTTGAGAAAAGAAAGTTGGTATTATCAGTAAAATCAGAAAGGTTCTTTGTCGTTTTAGAAGTTGCTCCAACAATTGATATATCTGATTTCATACTTGTATCATCTAATTTATTAAAAGATCCCAAGCTATAACTACTATGCCAGTTATATTGATACAATTTAATCTTCCTAATAAAGATATTCCCAGCAATTATGCCGAGAAAGTTACAACCAAATATGTCAAGTATCAAGTGGTCCCACCAACATTCGTGAAAGTTTGGTAATATATGTTTAAATGTTAACTCGAGACATTCAAAGAATATAGAATTAAACCATAGTAAGAAGTTATCTCTAAGAATTAATGTCTTTACAAACCATCCAAAAAAGTGTGCAAAAGCAAAGAAATCCAAACGCTGTCTTACATTATAAAGTATACCATTAGACCAATCCAATAAACTGCATGACCCCTCAGTATAATTAACCTCTACAGTTGACTTATCCAAGCTGAAATCAATATTCCTAAGAGCAGACAAAATACTCTCAACATCTTGAAACAATAGAAAAACTAAGAATGATAAGTACAATATTGATAAACCGAGTAAAAATCTCCAGAAAATTGGATGAGGTCTTCTCATTATACCATCTGGTAACTGTAGAATAGCAAATACGAGGAAAAATATTACCGAACCATATATTCCTAAAATTATTCTTTGCCTTGTGCTTATTATATATATAGAAAATATATATCCATTGTCCACTAGTTCTGAAAACATCCATAACGAAATAAGTGTAATGCACAGTACCAAAAGTGAATGTGACTGGGTATTCATAATTACAGGAGGCAAAGAAGCACCCACTTGCGGAGATACATATATTGAATCACCTTTAAGTGTTTGTGCACTCGTTTCTGGCATTTAATTATTGACTTTATCGCTAAAGAGTAGAAAAATTTTATATATTAGTTGCAATTTCAGGACAGATGTACCAGTTGGAAAAATATCTCCGCAATAAGTAATTAAAGTGCCAATAAACTAAATCCCAAGTTAATATCAGTGACTGTCTACAAGATCGTTATTCTTCAACATTGATGACTCACCATTACGTCTCTTAAAGTCAAAATTGGACTACTTGAGCGCACTATCTGTAAATCCAATATTTAAGGTAGTGTCGCTTAGTAACTTTTATAAGAGAGTACACAGTGATAGAAAATAACCCAAATCCTGCATTCTAAAGTCTATATTCAAACTTTTTTATATAAATATTGTACCCTATATAGAAATTCCTAAGTTTTAGTTTACATAATACTTCCAATTAGAAACACTTCTTTCATAAATTTACAAACCAACCCCATACTATTGGGATTTAACTTATACTATATATAGCAGTGATCCATTTGTATTCGGTTTTATGAGCTATCTTTGAATAGGAATTTTTATTGAGAATGAGTCATCAAGTTTAATATTCAGTGTCTTGGCAATCTGTAATTTTTGGGAGATATGATGAATCTTGAAATTATTCTTATCAGCTCCTGTTATCGAAATTGCTAATTTATGATCTTTGAAGAATGTCCATGCTATTGGTTCGAGAGTTATCTGTACATCAATTGTGTCACCTACTTTCTCGAGTGGTCTATAATAATCCTTTATTAATGGGCGCACAACTTTAATAGGTGAACCATCTGGAATATTATTCAATATATCTTTTGGCATTTCTACATGTCTATGACCTATCTGTGCAAGCCCTTCTGTTACATACTTTATTGTTCCGTCTGGAAATATATCTTCTAAATATACATATATTGGTGCATCATAACCATCCAAAAGTTGTACTGAAAATGTAAGCCAAACACTTCCAGCTAATTTAAGTGCTGTTTTGAATGGTTTTGTTATAAATCGAATATGTTGGTTATTATTTTGGCTATGTAATCGTTCTCCAGCATGCCAAATCTGCTTTCCCTTCTTGTTGTATGTAACTGTAACACGAAAAGGATGCAATGCTATCATCCATCTTGACCTATGTTCCGATATATAGTTATCATTTACCTTTAACTGAATATATCTAGGAGAATTAACTCGGCCTTGTTTCAAATAATTACTTAAGATATATGACAATGGTACAATATTCGTTTTTCTGGCTTTACTATTAAATGATTTATTGCTATCAACAATGGAACTAGGCTGATCAATTCCAAGGTGAATATATTTAGTATCATCTGGAGGAAACTTATTTGTACTGTACCACTTCTCTTCTCCAATTTGAAAATAATGAATATTATCATCATCCTGAGACCAACAAATTCCTTTTAAAATACAATCCATAAATCTCACTAAATCATAATATAGTGAGGCTTCGAAACAAGATTTTTGCTTGCCATAAGGAGAGCAGTTACTACGCCCTGAATGTGTCCATGGCCCCATTACCAACTTATAAATTGGTTTCTTACCTGTTATTGTGTCATTTCCACTATATTTAATATTGCTGAATTTTAGTGAAGAATCGATTAATGCATCATAAAACTGTAAGACACCCCTTGTATTTGCTGAATCACAATAACCTGTCGTTAGATAAACACTAACACCCTTCCTTCCAAGTATATGTGCAGTTTCAACTGTATTTCCAAGACTTTCAGCACTAATAAATGTCCCATCATCAAGCATAACAGGTTCGTCTATGTGACGATACTTTTTTATCGTTTTTGACATATCCCAATTTTTCTTATGTATCTCTAAGGCTTGTCTTTTTGTATGCGCATAACCCTGAACTGGAGAGACATTTCCCAAAACTAGAACAAATGCAAGAATTAGTTTAAATGGGTAATATGATACAGACTTTAAGAAATGCCACAATGGACTACCATATTGCTCAAATGAATGAGTTAGGCTACTATAATCTTCAACAAAAGACTTGCAAATGACACCTCCAGGCTCAACCAATTCTGTAATTACATTCATTGGCGAATATAATGCAAAAACCGCATCTACAAGAACTTGCGAATTATTTGTAAAGTTCATTGATATACTTGATAATCCCTTATTATCATCTCCAAGTATATCTATTGTTGAAGAGGCCGTCTTTAGTGCAGCCATTCCATCATAGCTAATTCCCCCAATTCCAACTTTTCCATTGCTCCAGGGTTGTTTTTTAATCCACTCAACTATTTTTGGGAAGTCATCAACCTCCTTTTTTGAAAAATCAACAACCCTATAACCAGTACTTGCTCCCGTACCTCTAGTATCAAGTACAACAACTACATAATTATTTGGTATAAATGTTTGTGTTATTTGCCATGACCAGATATTCATTGACACTGAACGTGGTTCACCCCACAATGAAAATAAAGTGAATGGCCAATGTATATTCATGCGTCGGTTATATCTTGTTATGTCAACAACAGTAGGTAGAGACTTATACTTGAAATAGTTTCTTGGTAAATATACATCTATTGCAATTTTAACTCCATCCCTCATCAAAATATAGTCACTATAAAATAATGGAGGATAGCTTGAGCTAGCAGAAGCCCTAAAATCACCAAAGTGCATAGTTCCACTTGAACTTTTGATATGCATGATATCTTTTGTATCAAATTTATACCAATGATGATCATTCCCATTGCAAGAATTGTATGGTCCCAACATTCCTTCTCGCATTAAAGGTAATCCTGTATTTATTAGAATAGTTAAATATGTCACTAAAGCAGTAAAATCAAACCAGTGTACATACAAAAATATCATTTTAAGCGATATTACAAATCCATTAAAGTCAACAATAATTCCGAACAAATAAAATATCCAATGGCAAAATATACAATCCCATCCTTTGAAATCATCATATTTGTACTTGTCCTTAGCTAAAGAAAACCAAATATCTGGTACAAACAATCCCTTTGAATTCAAACTTTCATGAGCAATATACTGACTTAAGCCTATAAAAATTATTATTAGCAATGAAATACCAAAAATCCGCATCAAAATTGTGGAAACTATTACAGATATCTCATTAAAGTTTGGAGTACTTTTAATGTTACTACATGTACGTCTTATATATTTTCCTGTAAAATATGTAAATATATACACTAAACATGCTATATAGCAGGAATCCATAATACTGGAAGTTAATCCATTAGGTATAATGTGTCTAACATAATAATATTCGTATATATTACCAGCATGCATATCTTTATGAGCACTATATATTGCAGGATATATATTTAAAATGCTTATATGATAAATTATATATAATGTCAATGCACTGCTGAACTCTTTTATATGCCTCAAGAATCTCTTGAATCTTTTCAGTATATTTTTCCTGTAACCCAATGAAGTCTCAATTTTGTCATCTAGTAGCAAATGTTTCCTTTCAACCGGTAAAATGTCTATAGGAGTACCAGAAAAGATTGAGTTCACAGAAAAACTGAAAGCTGTGTCTGAATCGCTAGCACAGCAAGTGTCCATTAAATCAGATTGGGTATCTAAATTTCCACTGCACAATCCTGATGAAGATGGTGTCTGTATATTTGATATTTCCCAACTACCTTCTATGTTTCTATGGTTACCCAAGGATCCTGGATTATTTTCTGTAATATAATTCGAATTATTTATTGGTACATCACTTTCCTTGTAGATAGTTTCGGAAGGACTGAGAGTCATCTGTATAGTTACCTGGAGCCAACTTGCTCCCTTTATTTATGCTGTTTACCAGTATTTAAAACCTAAAATTTATCAATGAAGCTTATTGCTTCTTTAATTTGTATTAGAATTTTTATTTATTACTATTCAAATATAAACAAGATGGTCCGTCCATTTACGTAGGCTTTTTTTTATAGGATATGGAAATCACTTGCCGTTTTCCTACAAAAAACGATCAGACATACATCCAGGTATTTTATTTTTATAATTTCAGTTTTGTTTCATTAGCTTAATCTCTCGTACTCGAGTACCCAATTAGGACATGTAATTTAATACATGCGAATACCGGCATATGTACAATATACTCAATTTACTCCATTTCAAGGGTACTAATTTATTGTCAAATAACTTCTAGCGCATATATTATAAATTACATTATGAAAATTTAATAATATAGGTAGATTCATGAAAACAAAACATTTAAATATAAATAATATCTCTAGATGTATTCATTTAAATATATCTTCACTAAGGAAGCCTTCACAGCTCCAGTGTAGTAGATACAAGTCACACATATCTAACATAGATAACCACTCAAATTTTGGTCTGGACTCTTTAAATTATTTAGAATCACTTTATTATAAATGGAGAGCTGGTGAGAAAATTAATTATTCGTTATCAAGTTATTTCTCTAAAATAGAACTGGCTCAAGCAGCTTCAAGTAAATTTATATCAATTGCACCACTAAAATCCAATAATAATATAAAAATTGCTAATATTTTGAATTTAGTTAGCTCTTTTGAAACTTATGGTCATCAATTTGCAGAACTTGACCCACTAAATTTGGAGTCCTATACTTGCGCAGCAGTTAAACGTAATCAAGAGATATATAGGAAACTTCTTAAACCAGAAACTCATGGTATTCTAGGCTGTGATGTAATATCATCTTCAGAAAATATTATAATGAATTCAACTTCTTCAACTATCTTAACTGATATTTTATTAAAATATAACAGCTTGAAAGTAGATGATTTGGTTAGAATCCTAGAAAAAATCTTCTGTGGTAAAACTGGCTTTGAGTATATACATGTAAGAAATGAGGAAATAAAAAGTTTTATGAGGAGTGCTGCTATTGAATACTTGTATTGGAAACCCTCAAAAGATGATATAAACAGATATTTGCAAATTCTGGCAAGAGCTCAGCTTTTTGAAAATATGTGCTCAAAAAAATTTCCTACAGTTAAAAGGTTTGGATTAGATGGCTGTGAATCCTTAATTTTAGGTCTTAGTGAGATGCTTAGGAAATTTATTCTTGATGGAAATTCTAAAGATAGTAAAGTTACCATTGGAATGTCACATAGAGGTAGATTAAATGTAATGTGTAATATTTTGAATTTACCACTAGAAAATATGTTTTATTCATTTAGATCTGGCAAATTTATAGATATTGATACAAGAAGTGGGATATATGGGGGAGATGTTAAGTATCACATGGGATACTCTGGTTACTATGAATTAAATGAAAGGTTCATTTCCGATGCACCTGAGGCAAATTACTCAGTATCTTTTGGAGCTATCCCAGTTGAAATTTTATATAATCCATCTCACTTAGAAAGTGTGGTACCAGTTGTAATGGGGAAGGTTAAGTCAGAGCAATACTATAGTGAAAAAAAAGGAGTATTAGATACTGCTAAGAAATATATACCAATATTGATACATGGAGATGCCTCCACTATGGGACAAGGGGTAGTTTCTGAGGCTCTTAATATGTCTAAGATATCATCTTATAATATAGGAGGAAATATTCATATAATAATTAACAATCAAATTGGATTTTGTACATATCCAAGTGAAGAAATAGGGAGTATGTATCCTTCTGATATTTCGCGTGGGTTCGATATTCCAATAATACATGTGAATGCAGATTGTCCAGAATCGGTTGTATATGTATTTTTAAAGTCTTTGGAATTCAGAAACCGATTTCACTCCGATGTATTTATTAACTTAGTAGGTTATAGGAGATTTGGTCATAATGAATTGGATATGCCTTTATTTACACACCCTCTAATGTATAAAAAAATAACTAGCAAACCAGGAATATTTCATCTCTACAAGAAAAAATTGGAGAAAGAAAAAGTTTTTTCGAATACTGAATTAGATCATATTGAAGCTAGTATATCATCATTTATAGAAAACAAGTATAATAATAGTACTTCAAATACCTTCAAGAGAAATTTAGAGGGATTCAAATCACCAACTTTGACTATAGATGATCTTATATCTAGAAGTACATCTGATAATGAACAAGAGATACTCTATCCACCTCAGTGGAGAGTTGAAGAGTTAAAAAATTTGGGTACTAAGTTGTCAACTATCCCGTCCTCAATAGACCTGCACCCAAATATCATAAAAATTTATGAGCAACGAAGTTTAGCAACTGAAAAAGAAAACAAACCACTAGTAGACTATGGTTTAGCTGAAACTCTTTCATTTGCAACACTTCTTAAGGAAGGTATTCACATAAGATTAGTTGGAGAAGATACAAAACGAGGAACATTTTCGCATAGACATTCAGTTTTGTATGACATTAATAATAATCGAGAGTATAGCCCTCTAAAAGAGTTCTCTAAGTTAACAAAGTATTCATTCACTGTTGAAAATTCTACCCTTTCCGAATTTGCAGGATTGGGATTTGAAGTAGGATATGTACAGTCCTCTGGACCTACGCTTGGTATTTGGGAAGCACAGTTTGGAGACTTTGCAAATGGAGCACAAATAATGTTTGACCAATATATATCATCTAGTATCCCAAAGTGGAATCTACAAATTCCAATACTTTGTATTTTGCCACATGGCTATGATGGAATGGGTCCTGAACACTCATCTGCAAGAGTTGAAAGATATTTGCAACTATCAAATGAACCTGAAGAGATACCTGTAAATGAAGGAACAGGTAAACCTATAGATGAGTTAGAGAATATTAATTGGAGACTTATATATTGTAGTAATTCAGCACAATATTATCATATTTTCAGGAAGCATATGTGGTGCAAGAAAAGAATTCCAACGCTAATTTTTTTATCAAAAAGACTTTTAAAATATCGTCATGCGTTCTCTCCACTTAAAGACCTGTCAGAATCAAGTTTTCTATCTCTTATACCAGATAACTCATCAGAAATAGACAATCTACAAGTTCGGAAATTAATAATATGCTGTGGTCAAATATATTATAATTTGGTTCAGCAAAGAAGTTTATTTCCAAATATAAATGTGCCGATAATTCGTCTTGAACAGCTGATACCATTCCCTTGGGCTGAACTATTCAGTCAGATTTCTTCTTTTCCTATATTATCTGAAATTGTGTTTGTTCAAGAAGAACCACAAAATATGGGAGCATGGTCATTTGTTCAACCTAGACTAAGAAGTATAGTTAGTTTAATAGCTAAAACAGTTACAAACTATGAAAAAAGAGTGCCAGAAATAAAATACGCCGGTAGAAAGACAAATTCTGCAACAGCAACAGGTTTTGCAAGTTTACATGAAGAAGAACTGCATAACCTTTTATCAAATATAATTAATTAAAGTAATGTTATACAGCTAACTTTCGTAAAAAAGATATGCTAATCATCTTTAAAAAATTAAACAGAAACATATTATAGTAGACCACTAGATTCTATATGAGAATGAGATACATTCTCGAAAATATCTTTGGGTATTAAGTTTGAGACAGATTGCCTTGAAACAAGGGTTTGGTAGTCATTTATATTATTAATATTTTCTAGTACTTCATTTCTTGAGGTTAACCGGTTAAATATTACTGAAGCAAAATTAATAAAGTTTCCTATTGTCCCTTTAAAATGTGATCGATTATTTTCTTTGTGGGAAGTATCTAATTCTGCAGAGTTTTTTGGAGATTTCCAACTGTTTGGTTCTGGGGTATCAACAATACAAAGAGTGGTAATCTGCATAAATTCATTCCACTCCGTTGGATAAGATCTTTGTAGTAAAATACTTACTAATTCTATAGTGGATATAAGAGCATCAAGTTTTTCCTTAGATACTTCAAAAAAGTTTGTTTTTTTTAAAGACTCAAATAAGGAATTACAGTACATGCATTGCACATTGTTGTCTTTACTAACCAACCCACAGAGACAAGTTTTAGTCAGTTTAGATACAATATATGAAAGTAAAATATCGTCATTTGATATAAAGTACTTGCCATCAGCAGTTTCTCTTACAAAATTTTTATTAAATTGTGATACTGAGAGTGTATTTATTGGGGTATTATAATCATACGATACTTTCAAATGGTTAATTACCTCATTCCAGCAGTTAGTCATATCTTTTATTGGATTATTTAAAGATTTACTTTTAATTTTGCAGTCTGAACTATTTTTTTCATGGTTTATATCATTAGTATTAGCTCGGAAAATTGAATAAAAGTGAAAATAATCTTTTTGTCTCGACCCATACTGAGAAGTGATTTTTTTATTCCCAACTGTTAATGGAATATATTCACTGTATAATGGTGATAAGAATTGCTTTAATATAGATGAATTCTCGGAAGGATCTGCAAGGTATAAAAGACAGCATATTTTTGGCAGTGACAGAAAAGCCTCAATATCATATTCTAGAAAATTTTCTTTAAAGATATTCCTGTTGTTGTAGTTGTTTATACATTCTAATTTACCATCTAATCGAGTAGATGGAAGTTGAGTAGAAAGTGAAAAGTGGCTATTTCTGATTTTAAGCTGAACATTAAATATATAGGAAATAAATTTCACAAGTTTTACTAAGTCAATATTTTCAATATTACTGGATGCAAGATATTTATTAGCAATTCTCCATGATTCTTGAACCTTTAGTATAAATTCATGAAGATGAATATTATTGAAAATATGAGGATCAATCTTTTCAGGTAATTGGCTTAGTGATACTATTTCACCTATCAATTGCTTGAGAGAGTCAATACAAATACTACTTATGACACCAACAATAGAATATGAGGGATCATTCATCTGGTTAGCCATATAATCAATATAACTTATTAGGTTCCAAGATTTGACATTTATAAACTGTCCAACATCTTCATTGCCTTTTCTTTCAATATTTGAAACTCTAAAAAGCTTTTGAAGAAGGAAAAAAAACTTTGGATTTGAGATAATCCTTGAATAAGACGACATAAATTCTTTGGCACAGTAAAATTCAAATCTAAGTGGCTCTTGGGAGTCGTTTAAATTTAATTGTGTATTATTGTACTTATATAGGTGAGTATCCAGCACCATAGAGTTATTTTTTGTAAGTTCATTACTAATAAATTCATAAATATCAATGACAAATCTACGAGAAATACTTTCGATCTTAATTAAATTGTTAATATATAAATCTTCAAATTTAGTCCAATATTCATCAAACAATTTCAAAGTACTGACAATATAACTTCTCCATTCTTGAAAAAGTTCTAAATAATCTATTTCTGATATCTCTACAGTTCTTGAAGCATTACCAGATTCAGGATTTTCATACTTATGCTCAAATTTATTCAAGAGATCTTCAAATTGCAATATTAAGACTATAATACATTGCCATTGGTTATGAAGATCCTTACCAGCTGCAACTACATCGGGCTGAAAGAAGAACTTTTCACCATTTACCCAAATTAAGCTGTAACCATCAACAGCAGCTTCTAATACATCAACGCGGTATGACCTTTTATCTATATTTGGGAATAGGGCTTTATAATTCTTAGTAAAACCATTTCTATACTCCCTACTACTTGGAATAATATTAAGATATTCACATAGAAGTTCTATATTTATTAAAAACAATTTACAGCTTCTATATCCTTCTTTTGTCTTTACACAAAGCTTGGCTGTTGAAATATCTTCAAAATTTAACATTTTGAGATTAGCCAATAATCGTATAAAAATAATTTTTATTTCGCTACCTTTCATAGTTTCATATACAGCATATAAATATCTACACTACTTAAAATCTAGTCATGAAAAGTAGTTCTAACACTTCAAACTTTGAAGTTGAATTCTAAATTTAAAAATTCAATTACTTCTAAATAGCTTAACAATACCTGATGTTATAGATTTTGTCTAGATTCCAAAATGTCAAGGTGGACCTAAGCACAAAATGTGCGGGTGTGAGACATTCCAGGCAGTAATGTCGTATACGAACTAGTAAACATGGACAAATTTGGACGGAAAAGTAAACTCTAGAGTTAAATCCAACTTTATATTCTCGACTTATTCAAACGTGTTCAATTATTTAGTAGGCCCTATCTCTTATGTCATCTAATTAAATCTAGATTTTTCTAAGAATGATGATATTACACGATTAATATGTAGATTAACTATTGAGCGCACTTCCGGAGTTTCTGACAAGGCATGTGTTCCATCTTCAATCATCACAATTTCATGTGGGATATGAGTAGGAATAAATTTTGCAATCTCATTTACGTCCTAAAATAATTTAAAATATATTTAATAAGGTACAAAAAAGATTTAATAGGTTGCCATATAAATAGTACTCTCCAGAAAAGACTCCTTTGGTTGTAATGAAAGTGGTTATTAGTATAACCATGCATTAACTTCTATTAAATAAGAAGATACAAATTCCATGTACTTATGGCCAATTTTTATGTATAAACCACTATGGTTCAGAGAATTGCAAAAAACTTACTTGAGGATCAACGACTTCATCTTTTGTTCCATGAATTAGTAGGAAATACTTAGTATTATGTACATTCTGAAGTAATTTGTAATCAACTTCGCTTCTTTTCTCAATACATTTCAGTGATATTTTTCTCGGAATATTATCTCTTGGCAAGATTTCTGCAAATTCAATTTCACCTGATTTTTGATAATATAAAGTAGTATAAAGTGGATAGTATATTAGACAGTGCAAAAGGTGTAAGTACTTTGTATTTTGACTTACCAGAATTAAGATCCTTAAGTTGTTCGGGGGTGAGATATTTGGAAATAATTGAACTTGTTAGGTTGTATCTAGCTGCTATGCTGACAATTAAGTCGATATCATCATATAGCCAAGAGTACATAATGGCTTCAACTGCACCCCTTGAATGACCAATAATTCCAATAGTAATTAACCCCTGGGACCTAAGAAACTCAATAATCTTCCTCAAGTCATGTATAACTTCTGCTTTGTAGTCTCCGAAACTCCAATCTTTAATACCTTGGGATTCTCCATTTCCATGGAAATCAAAGCGTACTGCATTTACTTTGCAATGTTTTGCAATTGTCTGACAAAGTCGGTTATCTTTAGATGAAAATAGTCCATGACATATTATAACAGTATTCGCATTATATTTATCATGTACAGTAGCAACTGCTGATAATTGATTTCCCTGTCCACTCTCTACAGTAAAATAGCCTCTGCAAATATAAATTGTATAATATACATATAGTAATAATAAATAGTGAAGACTTACTTAGAATCCCTACAGAAATCCCAAAAAGACTTTTCTGAAGACATCTTAGAGTAATTCCTCAATGCACTAGGATTTTTCTTAATAAATAGTACTGAATGCGGTAAATCTCTAAATACTGCTCTAAGGTATCCAAAAAAAGTGAATCCAAAGTTACAAAAATTTAGATTCAATTGGCACCTATACATAGATATATTTATTTTGAAAATATTATATTTACCTAAATCTCACTAATTTTATATGGCGGAACATGTTAGATTAAGAAAAGCAGCAGGCCAGGTTTGGGTTGATAATACCTTAAATGAATGGCCTGAAAACGACTATAGACTATTTTGTGGAGATTTAGGGAATGATATAACAGAGGAAGTTCTTGCAAATAATTTTCAAATATACCCTTCATTCCAAAAGTGTAAGGTAATTAGAGACAAATATACAAATAAAAGTCGGGGATATGGCTTTATTTCTTTTGGAGATCCGCAAGACATGTTGCGAGCATTGAAGGAAATGAATAGAAAGTACATTGGAAGTCGTCCAATAACTTTGAAGAGATCAAGATGGAAAGATAGGGAAATCGACTCTGAGAAAAATAAGAAGTTTGACATATTAATGAATAAACAAGGAGTTAACAATCCACTCAATACAGTCCGAATATTCAAGAAACGAAGGTACAAACACACTACTGATAAAGATAAGAAATAGTAAAGAATAGATCTTATAGAGCTGTTTCCAGTAATTCTAATAATTTACATTAATAACACAATTCTTAAAGAGAATGGAAATTTCTTACTAATATCTACCTTTATTTCATTTATATAATACTCATGCAGCTGTAGTATGAAAAAAAAAGAAAAAATTAAATATAACAAATATAACTTCTACAAATTAGACTTTCTAAGACGCCTTTGTTTTAAAAGTTGTAATGTTTTCTCTACTTCTGAATTAAGAGATAGTATATCCGCATTACTACATATTTCTTTAACATTCCTGCTATTTCTCTGAATTCCAAGTATTTTCCTAGAAGGCTTTAGCTTCTGTTTATTTTTATAAGCTTTTTTTGAAAGGAAAGGAGCTAACCAAGTTTCCTTTGCAATTTTCTCCGATAATTTTTTGTTTACCTCCTGGTTTCTTTTCCAATCATCATTTTCTTTTTTCTTTACAGTAACCATCTTATAAGTGTAAATAAGGTACAAAATATAATTATATCTTGTTGTGTAATAGCTACTTCGGTGTAGTAAGGCGGTTTGTAATACTATAATGAAGAATTTTGAGTGAAATTCCTCTAATATAAAGTTAAGAGTAGCAGAGATATTTGTTTTCAAAGAGAATTTTTAATTTGTATGAGATTTTTGAAATACAATACATTCACTACCAACAATGATTAAAGATTCTGATACTAGATAGCCAGTGAAATTTTAGGAAAGTGGGAATACTAAAAAGAATGACTAAGGGTCACTGAAAAGATCATTTATAGTTAACTATTTCGTTATCTATTTCTTATAATTTTGGTTTTTTTTCAATTCTTAAGATTTCCCGGTTGTAGATTGCAAATATATCACTACTCGAGAATTTCGATAGTAATACCTTTATATAATTTATATAAAATCTGAAACTTCTAATACTTTTGACTTCTTGATTAATAATTAAGTGAATATTTTAGAACACATTGAAAACAAAACGAAAATATGTGCTTTATAATATTAAAAGTAGTTGTATCAGAAGTATACCGATGATAAAAGGTAATGAGAATATATGAAATTATACAGATAAAAAAAAGCCAATTTTGGTAATATATTTAAGAAAATTAGTATATATGTTATTTTAAGAAGTAGATGCCTGAGGATATCCATAGACTTTAGTGACTAAAAAATCACTATGTAAGAATAGTATACATATGTAATAGATAGAAATTCACTAATATAAGTTCAAAAAATAAAAATTTGGATGCTAACTTCAACTATTTAAATAAATGACCCCATACAAGGATAAGTATTAATAGTAGAAAGTTCCAAGCGCCCAAGTCCTCAAGATCATTTAGAATGACTTAATAAGAGAAGTTTTATAAGGGAAGCTGTGGACTTATGTACAAAAGTGCAAATTCATATAGTATTATCAGTGAGAATAGTTATTAAAACTGGGATATATAAGAAATGTTTGGTGCAATAGGAAGGAGAATGTCGGAATCTACGACTGCAAAGAGTGATGTCTCAATGATGAAATTTAATACCAAGAATACTCAAACAAATTTAGTTCATTGGGAAGTTCGTATAAAAGATGCACTAGTGAAATGTGGCGAGTCTTATGACGGTATTGGCGATAAAATGATTGAAACTGTGAAGGAACTGTGCCATACAATAGTAGCAAGTGGACCAGAAGAAACAAACATGGTTTATACATGTATAGCTGAAACAATGGCAGAATGTATTTGTACACTACCATATAAAACTGGTATATATGCTGGATTAACAGCACTAATGTCAACATCTTTAATGGAGGCTGCACCACTTGCAGCAGAAGCAAATGTGTCTATCCGAATTATTAAATTATGTGTTGAAATATTCATATCAGAATTCGAGAAATCTAATTTTCACTTGTGTAAGAATACGCTGCTATTTTTTACTGAGCTCGCAAATTTCTATGTAATTGATTCATCTCAGCTGTTTGCTATATATAATATTATTCTCCAGACTGGAAGCTCTATTGAGGATACCTTTTCATATAATGGTGTATCACACTATTCATTTATATTATTTTCAATAGTTGCATATACACTACCTTATATTAGGGATGAAATAAGGTTTTTAGAGGATAAAGGCGAAATATTTAATGGCCAGAAAGAGGAATACACATATACAGGTATTTTAAGAGAGATGGACGCATTTTACAACTCAAATCTACTGGGTTACTTTGAATTTTTAGATAAGTTACTTTTAGAAATCTGTGGTGAACGCCTAGTAATGAAAAACAATTATGAAAACCCATTTAAGAAATATTGGGAGAAGCTTTTAGAATGGCAGAATCAAGGATATCCTAGAATACAATCAATTTTACGTTTTTATCGTTCAGAAGTTGTTTCTACGTACTCCTCTCAAATACCGATTTTAAAAGATTGTATAAATTTATCTGATTTTGAAAAAATAAAGACTGGATGTATTACAAAGTATTTACCAAGTTTGCTTATAAGATTCCCAAGGACTGATTTTCTAGGTCTTAGTGAATATTTGACAATTCATATCATGGATAATATATTGATATCTTTTATGGAATCTCCATATGAATCGGCTCGTCAATTACTAAAGTTACCTATTATAGCACCTTCTTATGATATTTGTCTTTCAATTTGCTTATGGAATGCCTTATTAAATCCATATACATTATTTAGTACTGCATACATGAATTTGGTGACTGTGAATTTGATAAAATTACAAGGTTCATTCTTAAAAAATGTATGGGCTCCTATTTGGCTAAAAGGAATTGTGGATGTTTGTATTGAACAACCATGGACATTAGGTTCTGAATTTGAGAAAGGTAAGCTTTTCTTCAAAGAAACTTTAGGTGCAGATAACTTTGATATTCAATCTGGCTTAGGAGTTGATGAAGTTAACAGCCAAGAAGATGGTAAATCTAATAATATAGATGATAAAAAGATGAATGTAGATTCTACATCACCAAATAATATCGTTATCAACTACAAAATTTTTCCATCTATTTACTACTTGTCTATTGGAATGCTTAAAATTGCAAAAAAACATATTGCTTATATTTTAGCATTATGTGATACTGATACAATACAGTTACTAAAGAAAATTTTGTGGGAAAATGAGACATTTGGTTTTGCAATATTTGAAATGGATAATAGTTTTGTTCAAGGATTTATATCACTTATAGTGAATAATATGTGTAGGCTTTTGTTACCACAAACGCTTAAAAACATACCAAATGAAGAATTCCAAAAAATAGCAAGAAAGTTCTTGATATCATCAGATTCTTCCATTATTCCAAAATTCTTTGATCAGTTGCGAGAATTTAATAAACTTAGAGAACTTCTAGTATTTAAACTTAATTCAGATGTTGAGATAGAAAAACAGAATATCCTTATTGTTGAATATCTTCGTACGTTGGTTGGACAAAAAATACTTTGTAAGACAGATCCTGATGAGGATGATGAAGTAGCAAAACGATATGAGGAGCGTATAGAACTCAGTGATAAAATAGTTTGCGGTGACTATAAAACTTCAAAAAGAAGATGTACTGAATCTACAGAAACAAAGACTTGTGTTACTGAAGAATCTCAGATTTCCAATTTATGGTCAGCTGAGAGTCTATTTGATTTGTTGTTAGTGACAATTCTATATCATGGAGATAAAAGCATGAGTCACTTAAGCCGACTATTCGCAAATTATAAATCTTCTATTTCACTATTTTGGAAGATTGCAGAGGAAGGAACTGAATCTCAAGAATATGAATCTAAGGTCAATTCCTTACCTACAAATCAGTTTACATTTTGTGTTAGAAGAGGTACTATTGGAATACTAGAGATTATAAACAATGGAAAAGTGGTAATTTTGAACAGAGAAAAAGTAGCAGAGTTAAGATTACTCTGTATTTTGTTTGTATTGTGGGGCGGTATAACGGAGAGTGACTTGAGTTTTTGTATGGGTAATTATACAAACAAAATAAGAATAGTTATTTTTTCGGCAATTAATGAAGGTGCTATATCAACTAGTACGGTTTCAAAATTCTTAGCATATATTTTATCTAGCAAGAATTTTATACTATCACTATTTAATATTATAGATAGTGGGAAGAGATATCAATTATTTATTGAGTACTTCGAACTTTTAACTGATTTGTTAGATAGAGAACTAGCTATACAAGAGTTGAAGCGTAAGAAAAAGCAGGACAATGCTACAAATATAGAAAATCAATCTAAAATCTTGAGTGAAGATAAGGAATTATATGAAAGTACCTCAAATCTTTTGACCATAAGTAATATGTCCTTCTCAGAACTGATAAGTGACATAATTTTGATTTTACTCCATGAGACAGAAAAAAGAGTTGATGAGCAAATAAGTAAACTATTTGATAGTCTTATCTTAGAAGTAGCAACATTCTTATGTATTAGATTTGGGTTTTGGCTTCAAGATATTGTCGAATCTAACAATGTGAGGTTATCTGAATTCCCATCTATATTTGGAGTACTAAAGAGGTTTTATGAAAGAAATTTGGGACATATACTTTTTTATACAAATTCGAATTTGAAATTTAGATCTTTATCAAACTTTAGAAAGAGATTAGAGGAGGAAATGAAACACCATCACTAAAAATGGGCACTATAAATTAATAAGAGTATTGTGAACATCATAGGCGGGAAATACTTGGAATGTGAATATATAACAATTCAAATAACTTTACTATCAGAAGCGTCTGTAGAGATTATTAAGGAAAAAAAAATTAGAACTTGTACTTAAGATATATACAAAAAAATTATATTTGATTAGGCTGTAGGGATTAAGGGAGAGATATTTTAAAACTAAGGAATGTAAAAGTATAATCTTACAAATTAAAATTTGACATTATTCTTGCAGAATATGTTTATGGTGAATTAGCCAAGTAATGTACTTTTTACTCTCATAAAGATATTTTACTCTAGTCTTGTCTCTCAAATAGCTCAATTTAGGTACGATACTTAGAGTTATATTTCTTGGTAAATTGGAAAACTAGGTCAATTTAAGATTAAAGTCCTATACTTAAAAAGGATTATTATTGGAAGTCACTCCAAGTTTGTTTGCACTTTTCATTGAAGCATATTTTATATATCTTGTTTATATTTATATTATTCATGAAAAACAAAGTCCTAGTTACTACTAAATCATTAGAGAAGATCCAAAATTTTGGTGAATAAATCAAAATTACTTTAAGCAAATTTGAAAAATATAGCAAGTATATGGCACAAATAAAAACATATTAAGCTAATAAGAAGAGTGAATATATCTTGCTACTTACAACCTTTAGTGCTATATAATGCTTTGTAATAGAACAAATGAATGGATTATATCTGGGCTACTATTACAAGACATTTTGTAACTAAGGTATCTAAGTGATTTTTAGATATATATACTGAAAATAACTACTTTAGAATTCATAACAGAGGCCAAATATAGTATCAAATAAAATATCTTGTTGAAAATTAGGAACTGAGTGTTGTTTCTGGAAATACCTAAAATTAATTTAATTAGTTTAATCCACTCATGTAAAGAAGCCATCATCTATTATTTAATTTGTACTAATTGCTATATATTTTAATTAAAATATTCTTACCAAGCTACTAATTACCATCTTGATAGTCAGACTACTATTCAGAAGTATTTATATTGTAATCGGACAAATTTTAAGTATAATACAAAGGTTCTTTTGGGTTTGTTAAATAGATATTCCAGGAATTGTGAAAAAGTATATCTTGCAAATTTATAGTCAAACACTTTAGATAGAGCAACTGTGTTAAAACATAAGTATTCTTAATATTGCAGCACTACTATGTTGATTATGCTAGATAAAAGTTGAAGAGTTATCAAAATAGTATGGGTTAGTGACCTGGAAAGTACCAACCCTAGTTGTAACAGCCTACTTTATTGCTGTGAGGATATTACAAAAACATTGAGTATGTATCAAATATCACCTTATATCAGATAGAAATATAACTATATGCAAGTAACAAATGAAGAGAAGTATGAATATTTAGTAACTAAAGTGTATTACTCTTAGACTAATATCTCTTTGATGGTGCCAAATAGGTCTCAGTAAATTTCTTAATATGTGGATAACTCCCCGACAAGCCTTTTTTAATGTCTTCTATTAGCTGAATATACATACTTCTTACATACTTGTAAAAAATATATCCTGATCCACTGTATGTAGGTAGTATAAGCCAAAGAAGTATCATTAACTTTGCGTCATAGTAAAAAGGAATCTTCGTAAATACTACTAATATAGATTCTACTAAGCATATAGAACTGCAAATTACCCAATATGAAAGCATTTGTATCAATTCACTCATTGAGGAGTTATTTCTATTGCAAGGATATATAACTGAATTGAGAGTTAAGTATATAGGGTAAATATACTGTACAGAAAAGCACACCAAATATGGGAATGGGATAATAGTTATTATCATTGCAAATATAGAGGTCTTCAAACCAGGTAGATTTTTATTTAAAAAAAAGTAAAGTTGTATGGAAAAGTATTTGACTACTTTCTTCCTGTCTTATAAATGACTCTCAACCACTAGCAGAGGTACCGAGTTTCAGTTGCACACATAGCGCATATTTGCGCGTCATATACGTTATGTCTTATGGTTGCTTAGCTGGTGTAGGCTGCCCTTCAAATGTCATGAATGACAACTTAATTGCATGTAATTTAGTAGAGTTAGGGCATAAACTAGTTACTTATATAAAACTATTATCTATTTAGGTAGAAATACCTATTGAAACTTAGCTCAACTTTATCAAGAGATGAAGCAGGATGATAGTAGTGTCTTACCGAATGAAGACTCATTTACATTTCAGCCTCAAATTAATCCAAATAGTCGTAAAATTGCAAATAGTTTGAGAAAGAAATCTATCTTAAAACTATTTGAGATATTGTCAAATGGTTCTGAAGTAATAAACTTAATGGATATTTATAAATATACGGACCCAAGTACAAGGATTTTAGATACACAACAAGTTATTTCAATTCAATATTTCATACCATTTGTAATAAGTAAAGCGATTCACTTGCCAGCAAATGAAATACCTGAATCTATTAGTGAAGTATCAAATTTAGTTGTTAGTAAATTTAATAATAATCCATTATATTTTGAGCTGGATAATAAGATGTGCCTTTTTATTAGTCGCATCTCATTCTTAAAACTAATGCTTGACTATATACGATCTTCTAATGGAAAAAGATATCCAATTAAATTTAATATAAATACTGATAAGCACCAAAGTAGTGATTATCAAGACAAAAGAAGTATAGATATAAAGAAGAATAGTATAAAAGCCGGAAGTCAGAAAGTAAAATTACAAAATAACTCAACAGTATCCAATATTGGTCCAAGGATGGAGAAAGCAATAAGTAACTATTTTGAAAAATTAAAGAAATTAGAAGAGCAGAGAAATGCAGAACAAAAATTTGATTTAAACCCAGAATGCACATTTAGCCCAAATTTAATACCATCGATGTACACAAAAACTAACCAGTCATCCAAATTTTATAGCAAAGATGCGTGTATGACAATATTACGCAAATATCTTGAGCTTGATACTGGAGATGACAAAAATATAGAGTCATATTTCAATTCGTTGAAAGAGTGCACTTTTCAACCTAATATTGAGAAATTCTTGGCTGAGAGTGTAAAACAAGAAATGATGAATGCTGCTATTCTTAGAAAAATGAACCCTTGCAAAAGTATACAAAATTATAGTAGTATTATTGAAGAGGAATGGCAAGATGCAATTAAGACTTTAATAAGGGAAAATCCAAAGAAGCATTGTAGATTGGTACTTTATTCAAAAAACCAAAGACCAAAAAAAAGCAGAGCAATTTACGATTGGCAAAAAAGTGAACAAGGTCCAGTATATAGAAACTGTATTAAAAGCTGTAGTAAGAGTAAATACGTTTCAAATGGAGCGGAAAGTAAAAAGTATTCACCTTATAAATGGGAAGATGACTTGCGGTCATATAATGACAGATATGATATTGGACTAATTAAAAATGATGTTAACCATACAGAAAGTACTGAAATACTCTCTGAAAAAATTAAGTTGAGAAATAATAATTGGAATAGGTACATTAGATTGAAAGATAGGCATTTGCAAAGCCTAGTTATAGCAAACATAGATATCCTTAAAGACATAGAAAACAACCAGATGGAAAATTCTGCTTCAACTAATAAAGCAAGATTCTATGCAAATACAATTGAATTAGTTAGTCCACCAGCTGTAATTGCTATTAAGAAAGATATTGTTAAGTATTTGGAGGCTGAGCTATCAAAACCTTTACCAAACTTAATTGAGCTTTATGGTATTGATGATTAGAGCCTAATACATAAATCTTCAGAAATATAAAAATATTGCACTTCAGTAATAATACATCTAGATATATCTAATTTATTTTTTATTTAATAAAATAGTCATGTAAAATATTATATGAACTAGAAAGATTCTAATATTACTTGCGTATCACCATCTCGATAGTACACTATCTTAGTGGGAAAGTAATACAAAATCTAGATAGGTCTATATTCATGATTAGGAAAAAGAGTAGAAATTAGTTTGACAAGTAATAATATTGACGGTTTCTAAATCGCGTCTTTAAAAAAGAAATTAAGATCAACAGGTAGTAAAGAAATAAGAATTTTTGCTTGCAATTTGCGCAGATGGAAATCAAATATCTCTTTTTAAATCTTGTATTTAAGAAATACTTTCAATTATTAAGCATGTAAAAAAACTTTATCACTTTACACTTCATTATTACTGTATAGCAACACCGTTGTATAGATATACATAACCATCCATATAAAATAGACTTTTTAAGATATTGTCTCTAGATTGTAAAGGTTTGTCTATGTTGCGAAATTTCAGTTCCCACAGATTATAGTTCATAATTAGACACATTAATCTATAATAGTGTGACCTATCTCCTATCGGTCTTTCTTATGAAATTAAGTATGCTTACACTATTATCTTGTGGCTTACTCTTAGTATTATGTGTAGTAAATTTCGTCATTTTACTGAATTTAAAGTTGCCAATACTACTTTTCATGATATTTTGACCTTTATGAAAAGCTGTTGATATAGGGCGTTTTACACCAGTGATTTTATTGTAACGAAAACTATCTGAGTTGGAATTTTCCCTAAATCTTGATTTTAAATTTAAAGTTATTTCGTTGTATTTATTTTGTAAGAATCCAATTATTTGAGGCATATTATTAGGTATATATGTCAATACGAGATCTGAAGCAGTAATTTTAGCCAAATCTTCATCGACACAAAATTCTTGTGTTTGTCCCTTACTTTTACTTGAAAGGTCACTGTGTTCCTTTAATAAAATATTCTGCTCAATTGCCAATCTAGATGATAATTCAATTCTTTTAAACAAATAAAATTGGAGCTTTTCATCATTCAGAAGATAAAATCTATTATCTAGTGAGAAGTGGTTGAAATCACAGTTCTCACCAAAATCTAGATTATCCATGGAAGAGCTATCTATATCTGTAACAAGGAATTAAGTCAGTAACTATTTTTACATCATTAAATGTAAAGAGGCTAGTGTATACTTACTAATTACATCGCAGATACTGGTAATTTTCTCTATAAGTTTGGGGTTCCTTAAAAATATTATCAGTAGTTTTCTTAGGTTAGATATTGAGAAGCTTACACTGCCAATCTGTTCTTCCTGAAAATTTTCGTGAATATAGCTACAGTATTCATATATGACCTTTTTCAGATGTAAGTGTTTAGCTTCCTTTTTTCTTGCAAAGTTGAGTAGAGGTATAAAGAAAAATAAGGGATCTACAATAGTTCCGATATAAACAACTAATTTTGAGATACATAAATCGTTATAGAATGCAGAGATTGGTAGATTGTGTAGTCTTTCCGAGCATTCTTTAAGTTCATATATACAAGAACGTTTATTATTATAAATAAATTGACATAAGTTAGAGGATTTAGGGTGAGGAATTACAACCAGTTCCAAGTCTTCATTCCAATCTTCAATCTCAGGTATTAGTATTAGCTTGTGATCAGCAGGCATACTTGCAGTAGTTAAATGCTTAGAATAAATTGTTGTATGTCCAAAGCTCACAATCTCATTTTAGTCTAACAGGCGCAAAACTTAGTAATAAACAGCGAAGTCCTGTACCAAGAAGTTTTTAGTGGCTTAGAAAGTGACGGCAAATATTCTATAAAATTTAATACTTTAAGTAAATTATTTAATATTAGCCTGAGAGTCTAAGTAAAATACTGGTCCTTTATATCTAGCACTTTAAAGGTGAAATTTATATTCCAACTCTCTGGGTATAGTAGATTTACAACTATTTTTAGTTACAATATATTTCATTTAATATAGTGAGATATATCACCTGTCCTAATTTGTAATTATCTGTATACAAAATAAGTAACATTCTATTGCAATACATTAAGTGGACTGAGATACAAGTATACTAAGCTAATTATATTTAAAAAAATTAAGAATACTTATTATAAACACTCCAAGTAATCAATTAAATTCAGATATATATTTACAAATGCACTTAGTAATTTACATTTTTAACTCTAAATCCCATGCAAGAACATATTTCAGTAAAAAAGCAAATTGAAGACCTAATTTTCTCATCTTGACTTGATTGATCATTGAAAGAATTTGAACTACTTAGCTTGTTAAATAGTATCATACTTCCTTGGAATTTTCTTGGAGAATCTTTGGCCTTTTTTCTACTGACAACACTTGCAGGCATTCGATCATTCTGGCTAATAAGCAATGTAGATGTAGATTTATTATCCATATTTTTGACTACCCGATTACTATTTGAACGAAGAAGACAACCATTTCTTTTATCTATTAATGATGTAGTTGTGTAAGACAAGCTTGGTGAACGTCCCCTCTGTAGTTTATCTGTTTTATTTGATCTTGCAGAAGATATTGTTGAAACTTCAGAAACTGACAACTCTACATTTTTGATAGGCGATAAGGAGTCTAAGTTTGATGCATCACTACTATCTGATATAATACCAACCATACTTCCCCCACTACAACTATATTCTGAAGCTGCTCTTCCAAATTTACAATCATTGATTCTTGAGATTAGTTTACTATTTTCATTACTACAATTAACCTTAATATCTACTAATCCTTCTAAATAATTAAAATTACTTCTTGTACAATAAATAGGATCAGGTTCACTCATTTGCTAGCTAATTATTAAAAAATTTAGGTATCTTCCAAGATGCTTCACTTAAGGCCACACTGAATCAGACTTTCAGACGTATGAGGATGCGACGCGGACTACTATAATATTAAACTGCAAAGTAATATTTAGATTTAACTACTACTACTCGAAATTAACATGAGTTTAAGCATAATTTTTATATAGAAATATAGAAATATAGAATCTGAATTCTTTACTATTTATCTTTATAGGTTTTCTCTCTTCTTTAAAAAGAAAGGAAAATTAAAAAAATGTAATATATATATATATATACAGGAAGTAATTAGTATTGTACCTGTAATAGATCATATATATTAGTAATTACTAATAAATATTATTTAGATTATGTGATATAAAAATCTTATAGTCAACTAAAAAGAAAAATAGAAAAACAAGTAGAAACAAGACCTTAGTGGATGATGCATGCAACTATTGGCGCTAATTTTTCAGTGATCTTTATAAGCTAGGTGAGGCTGAAATAATTGAAAATTTTTTTTAAAAAAATAATTGAATGGAATATTATATCAGTGTATGTAGAGCAGTATCTGACATAAAAATCTGTGTTAAATTACATTTATTGTCTGGTACTAACATTTATCTAATAATTCTGCCGCCTCTACTCATCAGCTTTTTACAATACTTTATCTGAATATATAAACTCTTTAATATTGTTCTTGAAATACAAAGATGCATAATATCATAATACATGACTGAAAATATTTCAATAGATACTGAAAAGGAAGAATATGAACTTGATAGGGCTTTAGACGTCTTACTAGCTGAAAAAAGATTATGGGAAGAAGCTTTTAGTGCAGCTCAGAATGAAATCAAAGAAAAAAGTGAGCAAATAGCAGCTTTAACTTTAAAGTTACAGGAAAATTCATTAGCGTATAGTTATAGAGAGAGTAAAACAGATGAATTTACAGTTGAAGATAATATTAAGATGTTAACTTTTCCAGCTAACAAAAGAGATAATATTCCAAGCAATACTGTAGCTATTAATATGAATACTAGTAATAAAAGCGAATTTGAGAATTATGCTCTGAGGGAACTGATTAAGATTGGGAAGAACCAAATAGACAGTGCGGATGGTACCTGTAAGATCATTTCTATGGTGGAAACATCTCAAAGTATTGAAGCAGCCTATGCTATTATATGGAAACTTCTTGCAGAGTCAAATACTGAAAAATTAATGCTAGAAAGGCTTATAGAATCACTTAAGTCTGAATTAAATACAGCTCAAGAAGCTGTACAATTGCTTCACAAAAAGATACAAGATACTGAAAATAACCACCACTTAGTTTCAATAGCATACTCTTCACAAATGAAATCTATACAAAATGATTTATCTAGTGCCTGCAAAGATATAGAGTTTTGGAAAAACCAATATGAGACATTAGCTGCAGATAAATTAAATAAAAATACTTTAAGTCAATTGACTTCACAATTTGAGGAGTTTAACACAGAAGAATGGTGTGATCTATCTTGTGGAGCAAATACTTCATACTCAGTAGAAATAACTCCAAATTCTTTTTGGTGGTTTATAGCTTTATAAATCTGAAGATTTGTTTTTGGAAACTAGACTGATTTTTACAATTTCTTCAAAAAAATTTATAGTTGCATGCATATAACGGTATTTACATACATGCATATAACGTGGAATTTATCAGATACCCCATAGATATTCAATAGAAATACACAAAAATGAAAGTGAATAAATATATCTTACCTCTTGTCGTTTTATTGGTGTTAGTATTGTGCTATGGGGATCAATTTGTCCAAGCAAGATTGCATATCTCAAAATCCAAAAATCTACACTTATATAATAAGCCAAATATGGTTCATTATGAAAATAACAAACTTACAAAGCCAACTTTATTGCTTGAAAATTCTCTATCTTTAACAAATGATATAAAGTCAATGGTTACAGCTGGTTATTTGTTTTCTGCTTTATGTTTTATGGCTTGTTTAAAGGGATTGTCTTCCTATGAAACAGCTTGTAGAAGCAATATTATTGGTTTTATTGGAATGAGTGTAGCAGTACTGATGACATTCTTAGAGGAAAAATTTGGTAATCACTATTTTATTTTTTTGACAACCACAATAGTAGCTGCTTTTGTTGGGTTATTTATTGCAAACAATATAAAACTTACAAAAATGCCTCAACTAGTTGCAACATTCCATAGCTTTGTTGGCCTTGCTGCACTATTTGTGACTTATTCATATTTTTATTCAAATATTTCAGAGAACTCTATTTCAATTGGTCGTTATTTAGAAATATTCATTGGTTCCATAATAAGCATGATTACATTTACGGGATCTTTAATTGCAGCTCTAAAGCTAGATGACATATTTCCAAGTAAAAGTATTAATATTCCATTTAAAAAAATTGTTTTTGAAACTTTATTTATTACAATGGTTGTTACTGGAGCAATATTTTGTATTTCAAGCAGTGAAATTGCAACCTTTACAAGCCTTCATTGTGGTGTAATTATTGGTGGGATAACTGGGATATTACTAGTCGCTGGAATCGGTGGAGCTGATATGCCCGTAATTATCAGCATGTTAAACAGTTACAGTGGTTGGTCTACAGCTGTATCCGGCTTTTTACTAGATAATAATCTGTTAATAATAAGTGGTGCACTCATTGGTTCGAGTGGAGCAATTTTATCTTATGTAATGTGCTGTGGTATGAATCGTAGCTTTTTATCAGTAATATTTGGTGGTTTTGATGAAGATCTGGGTAAACAGCAAGTAGAAGATCATAAATTTTATCCAACAGCTCCATATGAGATTGCAAATGAGTTACTATCATGTTCGAAAGTTCTTCTAGTGCCTGGTTATGGCATGGCTGCTAGCCATTCTCAGGATGAAGCATCAGAAATTGTTAGACTGTTGATTGGAATTGGAGTACATGTTGATATTGGCATACACCCAGTTGCTGGAAGGATGCCTGGTCATATGAATATTCTCTTAGCTGAAGCACAAATACCTACAATACTTGTGAAAGAATTGGAAACTGTAAACAGTCAAATGGAACAATACGATATTGCACTTATAATTGGTGCAAATGATATAGTCAATCCATCTGCATTAACTGAAAATAGCAAAATTTATGGAATGCCAGTAATTCAAGTATGGAAAGCTAAGCAAATAGTTGTTTGTAAACGATCTATGGCATATGGATATGCCTCAATATCAAATGAATTATTTTCTATGTCAAATACAAAAATGATGCTTGGGAGTTTAAAAGAATCACTAGGCCAGATAAACTTATTTTTAAGAGAATCATCTAAATGCTGTAATAAAATAGTACATAGTGAGGTAGCAAGTATGATTACAAAATTTGAAGATCAAAAGCCATTACTAAATGTAAATTCTACTCAGAATATTTCAAAGACTCAAACTATAACAGAGGGAGGGTCTATTTGTAAAACTATAGCAATTTTACCTTCTTATAATGAGATGGGAAATGAAAAAACTGCACTGTTTCTCATACCCCCATCTTTTGTTCAGAAATTCAGGAACTTTGGATATGGTATTGCTGTCTCAAGAGATTCATTAAAAGATCAGCATTTGCATTTCACTGAGAAACAGTACAAACAAGGTGGAGCAATAATTTCGAATACTATTGAAGAATTAATAAAAATAAGTGATATTGTTGTAAAATTGCAGAGGCCTACTGAAGGAGAAGTGTTTTACATGAAACAAGGGCAAGTACTAGTGTGTAATATGTATATTGGGATGTATTATGATAAAGAAAATCAACAGGATTCCTTACTAACTACTCTTGTAAAAAAAGGAATAACTGTAATTGCTTTGGATGAAGTTCCACGGATAAGTCGTGCACAATCTATGGATATAAGGTCGACCTTAAGCAATATTTCTGGTTATCGTGCTATTGTAGAAGCCTTTAACTATTTACCTAAAATAAGTAGGTCACTATACAGTGCTGCTGGCAAAATTCAGCAATCACAGGTTCTTGTAATTGGTGTAGGTGTTGCTGGTTTGCAGGCAATAGCAACAGCAAAAGGTATGGGGGCAAAAATATATGCTATAGATACAAGACTTGCATCAAAGGAGGAGGCTGAAAGCTGCGGTGCGACATTTATTCACATCCCATCTAATGAACTTGAAGAAGATCAGGTATACTCAAAAGAGATGTCTGAGAATTACTTAAAAAAACAGAGATCGCTTATTTCAGATATGTTGAGGAGTACTGATATTGTGATAACATCTGCTGCAATACCTGGAAAACCTTCACCCATACTAATAACAAAAGAGGCAGTTTGCGAAATGAAACCTGGCTCAATTATTGTTGATCTATCTTCCCAATATGGTGGCAACTGTGAATTAACCCAAAATAATAGAATATATATTGATGAATCCAGTGGGGTAATGATTATTGGTAAAAGTGATTTTATATATTCAATGCCTGCACAAAGCAGTGAACTATGTGGAAACAATATGTTGTCTTTATTCTGTGAAATGGGTTACACAGGAGATAAATTCAAATGTGACCTAAATAACAGTGTTATTGGTCCTATGTGTGTTGCAGGCGATTTTAAAATGTACTGGAAACCATACCATGAAAGACTAAATATAAAAGAAATGAAAAAGGAAGTACAACAAAAATCAAAAGTATTTATAAACTATCAAAAATCTAATGTTAATAAAACGTCAATTAAGAAACCTGATCTCTTGAATGGTTATATTATATCACTTCCTTTTTTCTCAGTCTGTGTGGTAACTTTACTTTTTGTATTCACACTGATGGGATTATATTTAAATCTGCAACAATTACAGCATGTATTTTGCTTTGCTACATCAACAATCATTGGATATTACAGTGTATGGTCGGTTACTCCAGCCTTACATAGCCCTTTGCTATCAGTAACAAATGCATTGTCAGGGATTATTCTTATAGCTAGTATGTTACAGTATGGCTCCTCTACTGTTACAAATACGACCTTGTTGGCCCTACTTGCTACATTCCTTTCATCTATTAATATATTTGGTGGTTTCTGGATAACTAATAGAATGCTAAGTCTCTTTAATTAATATGATAAAATAAAGGGTGGATAATTAATATTTCCGGCTTGTTAGTTTCCTTATGAAAGATTTGACTTGTGTTATATAAAATTTAATCTTAATGATCTTGATAGTAATGAAGGTAAATATCTTGTTAATATTAATTGTGCTTTACTTAAATTATTCATTAGAAAGTACCTTGTAGGAGCAAATCTTAATATTGCCTTTTATGCTTTAGTAAACAAACTTATTCAGAAATGTTCTACCGCTGCAGATACCTTAGACTGTAATTCAGCGGTATAAAGTAGTGAACTTGTAATGGAGCGTCTAAAGCAATTCCTCAGAAAATTCCTCAGAAATTAGTTTACAATTTTTAAGAAATAATATATCAATGGGGTCAAAGAAACATTCCAAAGAGCAAAAAGGAGCTGGAGATAATAGCAGGCTCCGTATCGCCATTGTCAATGCAGATATGTGCAAGCCAAAGAACTGTAGCCAGGAGTGTAAGACATTTTGTCCTGTTGTCCGTACAGGAAAGTTATGTGTTGAAGTTGATTCAACAAGTAAAGTTGCCACTATATCAGAGTCTTTATGTATTGGATGTGGTATATGTGTTAAGAAATGTCCATATGATGCTATCACCATTATTAATTTACCTAAAGACATGAATAGAGATACAACACATAGGTATGGGAGAAATAGCTTTAAGTTACATCGACTACCAGTTCCACGTCCAGGACAGGTACTGGGTTTGGTAGGTACAAATGGAATTGGTAAAAGTACAGCACTGCAAATATTGAGTGGTAAATTGCGTCCTAATTTAGGCAACTATGGACAAGAACTTGATTGGAAAGATATTATTGCTTACTTCCGTGGTAGCGAGCTACAATCATATTTTACAAAAATGAAAAATGGAAGTCTAAAGACAGTAATAAAACCTCAATATGTAGATCATATTCCTAAGAGAGTTAAGGGGACTGTTGGCGATATTATTAAAACTAAGGATGAAAGGGGAGTATCAGACATTCTCATAGACGAACTGGAGCTAAGACATTTGCTCCAAAGGGAAGTAGGTGAGCTAAGTGGTGGGGAATTACAACGTTTTGCTTTATGTGTGAGTACTATTGTTAAAAGTATAGTTTATATGTACGACGAACCTAGCAGTTACCTAGATATAAAACAACGTATTAATGCTGCTAAAGTTATAAGAAATGTATTGTCCCACGATAATTATGTAGTAGTTGTGGAACATGACTTATCAGTACTGGATTATTTGTCTGATTTGATATGTTGCTTATGGGGAAGTCCTGGAGCTTATGGTGTCGTAACGACTCCATTTAGCGTTCGTGAAGGTATAAATATATTTCTCGATGGCTTTATACCTACAGAAAATATGAGATTTCGTGAAGATGGCTTGAATTTCAGAATTATTGATCAAGAGGAGCAGGAATTACAGAGATTACATTTCAATAAGTATCCAGGTTTCAATAAGACTATGGGAAATTTTAAATTAATAGCAGAATCAGGTGATTTTGCTAATTCTGAAATTATTGTTATGCTGGGACAAAATGGCTGTGGCAAGACTACCTTTATTAAGGTACTAGCTGGGTTAATTAAGCCAGATGACAATATTGAGTATAAAAAAGACAACTACAATATTCCTGAATATAATGTCTCGTATAAACCACAAACAATAACTCCAAAATTTGATGGAACTGTGAAGGATCTGTTTTTGATGAAAATTCGTGATTCATTTATGGATGTTCAATTTAATTCGGAAGTGGTTAAACCATTTAATATAGAGAGAATAATGGATCAGCAAGTGAAGTTGCTATCAGGGGGTGAATTACAGAGAGTTGCACTTATCCTGGCATTGGGCAAAAAGGCAGATATTTATTTGATTGACGAACCTTCTGCATATTTGGACTCTGAACAAAGAATTACTGCTTCGAAAGTTATTAAAAGGTTCATTTTACACTCTCAAAGGACGGCATTCATTGTGGAACATGACTTCATTATGGCTACATACCTAGCTGACCGTGTAATTGTGTTTCATGGCAATCCTGGTATAGAGTGTTTTGCAAACAGACCCGAAAATCTTATTACTGGCATGAACAAGTTTTTAAAAACTTTGGAAATTTCATTCAGAAGAGATCCTATGAATTTCAGACCTAGAATTAATAAGCTAGACTCAGTTAAAGACAAAGAACAGAAACTTCAGGGTAATTACTTCTTGCTTGAAGAGTAATATATTCAATAGATTGAATTCTTTACAATAATATATTGAAAATTGGTTAATTTCTTCAAGTTAGCTATAATTCTATATATCTCATCTACAGGAATGTTTATATTAATATTTTTTTTTTTTTTTTAATATATTGGACTATTAGTTTCATTAAAATAAGTTTCTACTACCATAACTTCTACAGTGTAATAGCAATGAAATGATACAGAATTATATAATATTATTTAGGTAGTGTTTCTTATATATTGATTTATATTTAGTCGATTTTTTGAACCAGAAGGAATCTTAAGGATATACACCAACTTTTTTTTTTGACAATATTTAAAATTTCTAGAGTTATCTGAAGATAAATAGTATATCTTTATTTATCTGATAAATAGATACCATTTCTCCTGGTAGAGATATCTATGAAATATGACTTTGACAATACACTTCTTTGGACTCCTGTTTTGCAGTAATTTGTAATTCAGATAACTGTTTCTCCATACAATTAATATTAACTAGAGAATTGTAAATATGAAGTACTTCTAAAATATAAATAGGATATTTCTTTTAATACCTCAACTTTAGTGGGAATTTGGAACTGTAAAAATTTCCAGTATAGATGTTTAACAACTCACCACCCATTCAATAAATTTTACTGTGAAGAAATCACTTTTAATTTATTTTTCTAATTCAAGAGTATTAATTGAACCCAGAACATAATTTCAGTAACAATAGAGTATGGCCTATAATTTCCAAAACGAATTTAGTATAGGATACACTTTGAAATACAAGTTGAAGATAAGTATTTAAAATTTGCACTTGTATTTTAATAGAATACTTATTATTATTCAATTTAATTCTCCCTAAGATTTTATAGCTGTTTGAGTAATAAAAAACTCATCTTTGAGTCATTTTGTTCATTGAAAAGTGTCACCTTAAATAGATCTTATTTGTAAATGAACTGAGTTTTTAGAAAAATTTTAAATTAAGATATATATTAAGTAGATGAGTTACCAATTTAGAATTGTCTACCTTAAAGAAGCATTGGGAACTTGTCTCTAATAGTCATAACTAAATAAAATTCATAATTTAAATTGCTGTATTATCTATTACTTCAATGGAATTTTTGGATTTTTGAAACACTTCAAATACTAATAAAAAGAATAGTGCATTATATCATATAGGCTCAATTGCAAGTAGTTTCGAACTATTAAGAAGAGATGAATTGTCCTTATTTCTTTTACACTTTTAAGTAGGCAGAATGTAGTTTTTGTTGAAAAGTCTTTATGCATATAAGGAGTCGATATTGAAATATTGCTTCAAGCATAGTAGACATAAATTTAGACATAAGGAAAATAATATTTGTAAAATTAACATTTATGTTTGTTTTAAGTTTCTAAATATTGATGTATTAAATCCCCTACGAATGACAAAACTACCATATAAAAATAAACTACAAAAGGCAGGTTATACCCTAGCACAATTCTGAATAGTATTGTGAACAGTCATCTTAATAACCATTATTCACTACAATACAACCATTCAAAAAATACCTTACTTTCTGTAAACCAAATTCTAGTGAAAGTGGCAATTTAATTTTTATATAGAGCAAATGATTACATCCGAATGTCCTTGAACAAATGTTGAGTTCCTCCATTCATCAAGAATATCTTTCATATCAAGACATAATGGTGCAACTTTCCAGTACTGATTTGAGTTAAAGGGTAGTGAACTATTAGGAATACCATTGAGTGAAAATTCACTTGAAATATTAGAATCACTCCTATGTAAATTTTTTTTTGTTCCTAGCACAGTAGTATTGTGATTTATACCATCCGTAGGAATTGAGGGATTGAATAGACCACATGCAAAGCCACGCCGGTTATTTTCATCATAGGTATATGAGAGCAAAGATGAAGTAGAATTAAAACTAGTTGTTGAGAAGTTTGATGATATTGAAGAATTGAAGTTTAAATTTGATATGGTACCTCTGGGAGAATTGTTTGATTTTTGGTTTAAATAATTTGGATAAATAGATTGGTTGGAATATTTTGATAAGTCAGATGTTTCATATTGTAAGTATCTAGTAAATTGTTTTGGTTGAACATTTTGAATTTTCCCAACTTGATTTTTTAAGTATGCCTGCTCACATACTGCTCTCTTTAGATATTCAGAAAAAAAACTATTGAGAATTTTATCTCTCATTGTATTACTATTACTTAATGTCTGGTCAGAAGAAGAGTCTAAAAATAATTGGAAATTACTAGCTGCCCCGAGAGATATATTTTCAAGACTATTATTATTACTGGACAAGTTTTTATCATCTCCATCTGATGATGCTTTAAAAAGTACAATAAAAGGTTTTACCTTGTTCCAATCCAGCTCTGTAAGGCAAAATGGACAATGAGCCTTCAAATTGCACTTTTGTTGTACCATAAGTGCTAGTCTTACGCAGTCATAACAGGCTATATGTTGACAAACCTGAAATCTTGCACGTGTTGATCTAGGTTTATACTGGCAGCACACATGACAGTATATGACTCTTGATCGTTTTTTCTTGGAATCACAAGATATGGAGTTTGAATTGCAAAAGTAGTTTCTTTGACTAGAAGATGCTAATGACATTTGAGTATGATTATGTTGTTTTAAAACAGAGTATTTTTGATATTCAGATGTGTCAGATAATTTATTAGGTATATGGATAGCTTCTTCTACTGTATTCCGTTCGAATTCACCTGTTTGTTTCCAGTACTCTGGTCCTTGCTTGTTTACTGTGTTACTCTGAACTGAAGAAGGTAGAACTATTGAATACATAATTATTGGATATCTTTCCAGTAATATTTTCTTGTGGAAGAATGTCTAATAAATTCACTTTGCAAAAACTTTCTTTTTTAAAAGCTTTTTAAAAGCTCAACATTTATAGATGGCCAGAATAGGGTATTTTGGAAGAAAATCAGATAACTACTGCTGCTTACAAGATGTGCCTATTATTTACAATACAACGAACATCAAAGGAGAGTCTTCCGAGTCCCCGTATTTACTTCTTTTAACTACGACTAAGACGGGTTTGTGTGTGCATGCGACAAATACATACTATGAAACGAGCAGCAGGACAACATCGTTAAGGAATAATATTAATCTTTTTCTACTAAATTCGATATAAATGATCTATATATATGTAATATAAATTTAGGGATAATATCAAGATTTTGTACTATTATAATAAGAAAATAGAAATTCTAATCATAGTACTTATTTTCAATTTTATATTTTAATTACTACTTAAAAATATTATCACAATTTTTACTAATTTCTGACAATTATCAAGATATCTCTTTAAATATTAACAATGCTCTTTGATTTACTACAATAAAGTAAATGTCAGTCTTTGAGTTAAACAAAAAATGAATTTATAACTTACAAGTAAATTGCATGCAACTAGCTGGTGCATGCTGCAATATTATGAGGGTATACATGTACTTAATATAGAGGTATTTGTTACTTTTTTTTTTATTTCTTTAAATAATTTTTATATTGATTTTAAATCATCATTAATTTTATATTTGATATTATCCTTCATTTTACAATTATTCCAAAATAGTAAAATTCAGTAATTTCAATTTTATTAAATGAAAATCCCAATAATTAAGGAATTATAAATAATAAAAGAGTGTAATAAAGTACTGAGGGAGCTAACAAAATATAGCTATAAGATTGGGAATCTTAACAATAGTTGATAGGCTAAGCTGTCTACACAAAGTGGTTAAAAGTATCTATGGTAAATTAAAAACTAAAGTATTATATTGAACCCAAATAGGAGTATATAAAAACTGATTAAGTGGAAAGTAGAAAATTGTGTACTTTATGACTGGGATAATATAACTACTTCTATATTTAAAGATATCTTTTACAGTATAAGTGATTATATGAAAACAAAAATAATGACAGGATAAAGAAAGATAAAATCAAGGTGATATTTCATAATAGTTGAGCACAAAAATAGCACAAGTGTATATTCAAAAATACTTTATTTTACTGTTGAAGAACTCTACTTATAAATTCACTATATAATAGTTGCTTGTCAAATCTAAAGAGGCGGCTGGTTTGATTATCTTGAGATTGGCGGATATAGAAGATTTTTTCTTCTTTTGCATGCCAGTTCTTAGGTCATTTTGGATCTTCAACAGGTAGAAAATTTTATGTTCAACTACTAATCTGATTAAGGTGTGGATAATATTTAGAGTAAGATATCTTTTATCGCCATTTGTCCAGTAGATAGTATAATCGATATTTGTATAGCTTTGCGGAAGGATCAGCAATTTAGACTTAGACGAGAAGAACAAAGAAATATAACAAGGATAATTTTTCTTGGAGATCAAGGTATAGAGAACAAATAGTTTCAGCCAAATATTTAGGCTAAACTTGGATGGATCAATAATTTTGACGCTTTAATAGTTTCATTACTATTAAATACTCAGGTAGAGTACCTCCTTTGGGTAAAAGTTGCAAAGCATTAATACAAATTGTATACAAGTAATTACAGGTACATAAGTTGACATATAACTGAGAATATCACTGTTTATTATTTAATATTTCTGTTAACTGGGCAAATGTTTTATAAAATACCCCCACCTCCACCCCAAAAACTGTCTAATGCATCTTCGAAATCAAATATATTAGGTGAATTTAATAATATTAATAATAAATTATCGCAGAATGATCTAAATCATAAGGGGCATATAACTGAAATTTATGATAGTGCTTTTGTTACAGTACCAGAATGGCTGGAGGAGCCTTCATGGTTTTGTGATGCACTAAAAGAAGAGAATTTGTCAAACTATAAAGGAACTGATATTTATTTGTACAACTCAGCTTCCAAAATTTTTTATCCGAGTAATGATTGTCACCTTGAACAAATTCATGATGATTTCAATAGTATAACACATTCATATGGTTCAAGAAGTGGGACAAAGATTACAACATCAAAACGACCTAGACACTTCTTTTGTTACTCTTGTCATCAATTTAAACCAAGAAGTACAAAAGCTAGATTTAAAGTTTGTAAGCATGTAAGTTGCTATCATTGTTTGAGAAAAGCACTACATGTTGAATTTTGGGCAGCTAAAAAAGATATTTGGGAAAAGTGTCGTGCTGTATGTCCATTCTGTCATATAGTACTTGACTGGACCAAAATGAAACCCTACATTGTGTTATCATTTGAAGCAAAAACATTGCCATTATTAGCTTTATGTAGTATTGAGGATCGTCAATTAGAGGCACACAAAGTTATCCAAGCTTTCTTTCCTCAGGGTGTGCCTTCACATGTTATATGCGGTTATAGTATTGATATGTCTATTAAACCACTTGTAACACAAAGATTATTTGGCTATATTTTGGATATAGAGTCAAATACAAAGTCTTGTTCTGAAATACCTGGCATAAAGGGAGAAGAAATAATTGAAGATGAAAATGATGGTATTATATCATTATCAACATCTACAACTGTTACTCCTTGTTCATCCACAAGTAGGAAAAGTAGCTTAAGTACAGCAATTTGGAATGATGAATTTAAAGCAATTGATTTATCACTAAGTAATAGTACTTTATATAAACAAGGTGAATGGGTGATTAACAGATATCAAATATATCCAGACATTTTTGAGCTTTGGAGGATGGATTTTGAGAATAACAAGAGTTACTTTGAATATTCAAGATTGCAAGTAGCTGATACCTGTATAAAAAGTTATGATATAAAAATAACTACTCAGTGTTCAATAGATACAAGAACAGACACAACTTTCTGTGATGAATACGATTGTTATCAGGATATTGGATTGATTCTTGAATAAAAAGAAAGAGTGATCACAATAATATCTATTTGTTATTAAGAAAGGTTTTATAACTATGAGTCAAAGAAAGGAAAGGATAGAATTTTCATTGTTATATACTCTAAAATGTTTGATTGTTATCTTTATAACTGATTGTCCTATTAACAAGTTGGCTGTATGATTATTTGTTTTTCATGCCAAGTTTACAAGTGTTTTATTATTACTGTAATTTTTAGTTTTGTATGTTCAGGATAACTTTTTAATAGAAACTAGTCTTGTTTATTGTACTTTGAGAATTACAAATAACTTTGTGACAAAGTTACTTGAAATAAATATTGTGATTGATCAAGTTTAGATCAAAATATCACTAATATGTCGCTTGAGAGTTATTTTTCTTATTATAACCTTTGCAAACTACAAATATCACTGTAGCACCAAGTACAGATATACCAACTAAGATAGATGCACCAAAGATAGCTTTTGTTGTAGTGTTCCAGTTCTTTACAAACACATCGCCGGCTCTATTTTCTTGATCTTCAATTTCATCTGCTCCTGTAGCTCCCCTAAGTAGTCTTGAGTCTTCAGAATTTGGTTTTGAGTTAGTATTTAAATTAAGTCGAGTTGCTATGGGTCTTTCTTCAACAGTAGGAGGAGCTAATTCTATGAACTCTTGTTCTAAATCAGGTATATTGTCTTTTTCTTTATTTTCCCCTTTTCTTTGTGAGTTAAGCTTTGGCACTGATTGTCTACTAAAGGAACTACCTCTCATATCTACAGAAGATATTTCAGAAGCTAATTCATTATCAACTGCTTCATTTCTAGCTGATTGATAATTTTCAGACTGGATCTCATTTTTCCTAGCAGTTATTAAGTCACTAGGTTCTGATATATCAGATTCTAATTCATCTAATTGCGAAATTGCAAGCGGTCTTATCACTGCACCTGACTTATTAGATTCAAGTACTTTCTTTTCTAAAATTGAATTTTCAATCTCAGCTTTCTCAATAGACTCAAGTTGAAGTTTTTTTTCTTCTTCAGCTGTAATATCTTCAACTCTTTCTTGTGCTTCTATCTCTCTCATTTCTTCTTGTTGTAAATCCTTCTGTATAAGCTCTGAATTATTTTTTTCTTTTTCTTTTACTTCTTTTTCTGCTAAAGTCTCTACTTCTTCTAGTATCTCAACTCCCTCCGGAAATAATTCTCTTTCTGATAAAGTGGTGACTCTAAAGAAGTTCTTCATTGTATCAACAGTCTGCTGATCCTTGTGTAATAAAGCAATATCAATCGGTTTCTGGCCATATTTATTAACAGATTCAAGCATATCAGCAACTATATTTGCTTTAAACATAACACCTAGTAAATAGTGTACCATCTCATCATTTTCAGACATAGCTGATAAGTGAGCAAGGTTATTATTGTCAGTATCAACTAAATCTTGAAGTTTTGCACCTATCCAAAACTTTTGACTCATTGTATGCATTAATGCTTGAACTAACCCATGTTCAACCATCTTCTGCAAAATATTTCTACCTTTACTATCAATGGCACAAGTAATAACACTTATATAGGTCCCAGGTTCCATCCCAGAGACGTTTGAGATTGTGCCCTGTAGACTATCTAAAGCAGCTATTAGCTCTTTCTCAGTTCCTTCTGGGAGTCTATCATGTGGTAGTGCTAAATGATACACTATATTCCTTAAACTCATCACAATATAGTTGTTTGGGTACTTAGTAGCCATCCAACCTAATACTGTAGTACACTTCTGTCTCGATTCTGGTGGACTTTGGAACAGATCAATAAATGTATATCCTGGAAGTTTTTCTTTATTTTCTTCTGAATATATACTACCCGATACCACTATCATCTTGTTTAAAGTCAGCAAAGTTATACTAGTAGCAAGGGTAATCGAAAATATCAATGAACCAGATCTTGCCATCTTGGCTGCTTTAATCTTGTGTATCAATTTTCAGACTTATTGTAAAAAACCTATAACCTCCAATTTCCTTCCTTTTGTTAATGTGTGTTGTATTTTCATCATTTCTTGCACCCATTAGTCTTTAGCTGTGTGAAATACCCTAGTGCACACATACAATATTAATTCTTAAAAAAGTTCGGAGAAAACCATAAGTAAATCTAATATTAAGATATATAATGGTTTCAGAGATTTTACTCTCATGTTCAATTATTGTTTAAAAAGGTATTGAAATCGGTACCAGTAAAGATAGTATAACATGAGGACGCCATTACAATTTAATTACTTATAAAGTATGAATGATAAAATTCTGCAAAACTATTTAATTAGTTCCCTATAGAGATAAAAGTCGATATATTTATCAAGTACTTCCAGCTTTAATCCCCACTTTTTTTCTTTTAATATTGTAGATATATATATATTATAAACTATATATAAGGTAGCTGAAGTTTTTCTACTTTATAAATACTCTTTTGAGGAGATATTTTCTTTGAGTATAGATATTTCAATGAATAGCTGTAACTATAATGTAGTATTTTCTTAATCTGTGAACAAAAAATAAGAGGTAAATATCATATATGGCGCTTGCTGAATGCTTTTAAGCTATAGTATGAGGTTTGAACTATGTCAGGATGTCAACCTATATATCGCAATTTGAGGATAGTAATGAATATAATGAACCTGAAATTTCATATAATAACTTCAATTCAAACCTGAATTCTTCAAAAATTGAACAGATCATTGAAATTGTCCTATTTATACAGCTAATTTTCTCATTGAGTGTGTGCATTGGACGTTCAGATTACAACTTCATTTTATACTTAATAGGATATGCATTGTTTTGTGTGGAATTACCACCAGTAGATGTTAACGGAGTTATTAGAAAAATAACTGGGATAAGACGTTATCTTATTTTAGTAATAGTCGCTATAATGATAGACGCTGCTTGGTTATCATTTGCAATGTCTGCATGGTTATGTTCTAGTAATATATCACTTGATGTCTGTTTTGTTGAAGATTTCCAAATGAATTGGGAGTTTAAGATGCATAAATTCGTTATTTGGGGATCAAGTCTCAACTTCCTACTAAAAGGTGTCCTTGGGTTACTATGTTGGATGTGGATCAATAATGAGAGAGTGAAACTTGAAACACTTTCTCCTAAGCAATTTTAATTTTCATAGTATATATATAACAGAGGATATATTCTACTGAAAGTAATAGTAAAGGGGATATAGGACTAGAAATTATTTCAGATTTGTATTGATAGAAGAGGTCGAAGTTAAGCTATTAAGTTTCATCTAGGTACACTAAGAAATGAGCTAATACTCTTGATATTTCTACAGTCTTTGCTTCTTAGTGCGATGCTGGCTTTCATCTTTCTCTTCTTCCTCCTCTGTTTGCACTTCATCCTCATTGTCCTCTTCATGGTCCAGTTCAGCTTCATCTTCTAGTTCATCTGGTTCAAAGTCCCCAGCATCATCTTCATCATCATCTTCAGAAAACTGATGCTCATAAAATTCTTTAAGGTCAACCGCCTCGACTTCTTCATCTTCTTCATCTTCTTCATCTTCTTCATCTTCTTCATCTTCTTCATCTTCTTCATCTTCATCTTCTTCATTCTCCTGATCATCTAAAACTTCAACTTCATCTTCGTCTTCATAACCAAGATCTTCAACTTCTCTACCTTGTTTATCCATTTCGTCCAAAATCTTTAACTTAGGTAGTAATTCAAAAACAGAAGTTCTATAAAAGGTTGTTATCTTCTCAGCTATAGGATTTAAAACAAGTGAAAGTACTTCAAGACTTGGTAGCTCTCTCAATACTGATATCTGATTGAGATTGTCAACTTTATTACCTCCGATTAAAAGTACACGAAGATTAGGTAGTGATTGTAATACTTCAAAACCACGATTTAGATGATTGTCTTGTAATTCTAGAACTCTTAAATGTGGTAATTTAGGGAAGTTGTATAGACTCTGTAAACCAGTAGCGTTTAAACTTAGATATCTTAAACCAGTAAATTTACCCAAAAACTCTGAGTCGTCCTTACTCAGTTCCCGTATTTTTGTACCGTCTAGTACTAACTCTCTTACTTCACAGAAGTCAACTCGATTTAAAGAACTATTTTCTTTGTTTTCTTCTTGGTCCGCTAATACAAAATTCTGCCTTCTCAGGCGATTCCTTACAGCAATCTCCATTATAAACTATGGGCACCCCACCTATACTGTATTTAACAAGCCGGGAGCTATAAATAGACTTAGAATGTGTACTTAGCGGTAGCGCTAATTATGTCTATAAGCAAGATTGAGACTTCTGAGTCTTAGAGAAAACACAAAGTAGAAATACATCTTTAAATTATCTAATAAAATATTTGAATCATATAGCCCGAATATGTATTATAAATTAATCTTGATTCATAGCAAAAATAGGTTGCTTTTTAATGCAGATATTTGGGCCTTCTTCTAAGTATTCACTCTTTGAGATCCATAAACTTTCTTGATAGTCTCTTAGAGCACTGAACACCTGTGCACCTTTCCAGACTGCAAATAATCTATCATCTGCTGCGTTTACACGGATATTACTTTTAGCTTGGGAAGGACATACAAACATTAATTCTTCTTCTAGCCTATTTGCTAACCCATTAAATAAAGATGTTCCACCACTTATAAAGATAGAACCCATCAAATTTTTCCTAACTCCGATAGGAGATGACATAATTGAGTCCATTACAAGTTCATGTAGTGGAGAAACATCTCTATATATTAATTTTGGATCAAAAAGAACTTCTGGAGCATAGAAACGCTCTTTATCAAGTTCAATACGACTTGTACCATCTCGAAGTGTCAAACCATCTGGTAAAACATAAGTTTCCTTTATATCCTCTAAAAGACGTTCATTCTCTACTGCAGGATCTTTTGCAATATAACAGAGTTGCTCTTTTATTATTCGAACATGTTCTAAATCATCTCTAGCGGTTGCAACATAACCCTTATCTGCTAATAGTCTTTGTAAATACATTGTAATCTCTTGACCACCGAAGTCAATCCTGCGTAGTGATGTGGTATCACAATAGCCATCATACACAGGAACAACTTGAGTAACCCCCTCTCCAATATCACAAGCTACTCCTGTTGTTCTTCCTGCACTATACAAAGCCATAAGACCTTGTAAGGCAATATTTAAGCTTTGTGTTTGGTAAAGTTCAAACATTAGTTCAGTTATTTTCTCTTCATGACGATTACTACATAGACTAGGTTTTGTAATGATTACTGAATTATCTGTTGGATCAACATTCAAACCTCTATAAAAAAGATAGTTTAGTAGTTCTTCAAATTGTAGCCAATCATCTATGTGACCATGGTCTATGGGATAACGCAGGGATAGCTTGCCTCTTTGAGCTACTGCTTCTTCAGCTACAAAGGCAGGATTATTATCTGGATCTTCAGGAACATATCTAGAACGGAAATGCCCAACTAGAGAGGGGAAAATGCACCATGGGAATTGATCCTTCTGTGTCCCAGCTTTCATAAACCCAGATCCACAGTCAATAATCACACATGTGTCAGTCTGACTAGGATAACTGTCATTCATAATATTTTACCAAAGTTATCCTTCGGAAACTCGGAAATTTAAAGAATGAAGATGGATTATTTACCTATTTCTCTTTCTGTTGAAGGCTTTAAAGAACTTCTCTCACAAGTAGAGCTATACTTAGGTAAGGTTACGTATTATAATCACTATATAACGAAATTTTGTGTTGATTCTTACAAAAAATAAAGCAATGTACTAGTTAGGTTATAGTTACTTAATATTGTAAGTAATTGATATCTTTTCCGATAGGTATACTTTGAGAAACTATAAATATCGATGCATTAGACTTTGCATGCAAAATGGCGCTCAAACTGTCTAGCTATTACCTAACACTCGGGTAGAGTTTGATAAGATAAAGAAAAATGCATCGACTCCTTAAAATTAGAAGGAATTATAGTATACAGTAATATGGTAGCTAAAAGTGTATATATTGGCTCATAAGAGCTAATTTATGTATAAATATAGAAACTCCTTGTATACAATAATTAGTGTTGCTAAATAGTCATTGAGATATCAGCATATACTAGGAAAATTTTTACTTAATCTTCCAAAGATAAATGGACAAAATCTAGATCCAATTAATGAAGTTACAATGTCTCGAGATGTCTAGAGAAAAGAAAGTCTCAAATTTTTTGAATTTTTTCTGCAACGATGCTCTTGTGAGCTTTTCTTAGTTGTTCACGCTCGTACGTCTTATAATCGAATTCGCAATTGTGCGAATCAGCATACCTATGGTCACTACAAAAGTTGAATCCACACCTACACTGAAAACCAAGAAGACCAACCTTCCTGTTGCATAGATAACATCTATTTGGGTTTACAGATTTTCCAGATTTCAATGTACCCTGTTTAGCATGTTCGAGAAGCCTCACATCAGTCACCTCACTATCATTGTTAACACCAATACTGCCACCAGCAGTTTGACCTGATATATCTTCTGCTTGAGACATGCTTCCAACTTTCACATGTCCAGATATTTCGTCTTGAGTACACTCTCTCTGACTTCGCACCTCAGATGCCCTTCTTAAGTCATCCTCAGACTTTTCTAAATTCTTTACTTTATCTCTGGCTAGAGCATCCTTGTAACATTTACTGCATAGATTTTTAGTTGTCGAATTACCATAAAAGCCACAGTTGTTAGAACATAAAGGTGAACTTGAAGAGGTAAATGGAGGAGTATCAGAGCTCATTGTATTTTCAGTTGTCAAGTAATGCCCTAGAACAAACGCCTTCAATTCCTAGAACTTCAATTCTTCGGTAGTTCAAACTACTTATGTTGCACAAAAATTACTAAAAAGTTATAAGAAGGAAAAAAAATGAGATGGGTTGGGAGAGAATATTCCCGCCTAAATCTACACCGACAAGCCATGCAGGAGGGGGCTGCTAAGAGACGAGCCAGGAGGGTTTTGGGAGAAAAAAAAGAGTGTCAAAAGAAAAAGACCGCTCTAAATTTCAAGTATAACTTTAGTAAAGGTTTTATTTAAAAATAAAGCAAACTTCATTTTAAATGACTTCTCATAGCTTTGTTTGATAATAGTGTTAGTAATATAATAGTAAATATAAAGATTCCCTAAACCCGCCAAAATATGGGTAATAATTAGTTATAATAAGGAAAAAACGCTGTCTATGGGGATCGAACCCATGACCACTAGCTTAAAAGGCTAGCGCTCTACCGTGCTGAGCTAAGACAGCTCATATTACGTTGCTTGTAGAATTCTAAGGACAACAAGTAGAAATGTAGAGAGAAAAATATAAAGGCAAGATAGGGAAAATTCATTCAACAAATAGCCCTTATTGCTTTTTTTTTATTAAACCTCATATATTATTTTTATGTAATGTTAGTTTTAATACTAGACATGTATAGGGATTCTTCAAAAGATCAAGGGACATTCATATGTGGAAGCATACACTTAGTGCCAATTTCTAGAGAAGTTGCACGCAATTGTTTTGCAATCCTATTATATTATTTTCTGCTAAGAATTAGATTGAAAGATTTTGCAACAATTTCTCGTCAGATCAACACAAATTCTACATAAGTATATAATGGTACAATATCAAAAATCCACTTTAGCTTAACATATTTTGCAATATATTAATGTCTCAGGTTATTTCCCTCTAATAATACATCCAATAAGGTATAGAAATCTTCTTCATAGCGCGAAGGTAACTCTGTGAAGTTGAAAGTTAGATTTTAAAAGTGTATTATTGATAAGAAAGTTTATTGATAAAGGTGCACAACTCTAAATATACGGTTTAATCACAAAAGATATCAATATATACACCTTTTATCAGTAGACTATACCTAGAGTACTAGGAAAAGCCTACTTACATTAAGCTTGACAAGTAACGTATGATTATGGTTAGTTTCAGTAGATTCACTCTTTTTGGTAAGATTCTCAAACACTCTCTTCCAAGAAAGACCGGGGCCAATTGATAAGTGAAACTAATGAGCGGATGACGGCGCTAAGTACTTAGAGGGTACCGAATAGAAAGTAGAAAACAACGAAATAAGTGAATGGAGCTAACACGAGGTAGTATATGAGAATAACTTGGCCAATCAAATGTAATATAAGAACATATTACAAGATGGTCTTCAAAGGGGGACAGGCAAAGTTGAACAATAAAGTAATTTCTCTTATTTTTTGCACACTATGGCTAATTATTAGTTTTGCTAAAAGCAAAGAAGATCTTTGTTATGGCATGTCATGTCTTAGTAAGTCCTTCTTGTCATATTTAACTCTTACAGTAGATGGTTCACTATGGGCTATAGATGAGAAGGGAAGAATACTTTGGCAAAACAAATTGATCCCGGGAGGAACCTTTCATCCAAAAGAACTGGTTACTACTAAAGATAGTATTACCAATAGGCTATACTGTTCATTTCAAGGTAGCATATTCTATTACTCACTAAATAAAAATGTAGATGACGTGACAACTGCGCATGAATTAATTCCACTCGATGGAATTCGCATAAACAACTTGGTTGAAAAGTGTCCATTCCACTCGTCTTTATTCCCTGGAGTATACTTATCTGGATCTAGGCACTCTGATATAACTACATTAGATATTATGACAGGAAGAGTTGTTTCAAATCCTGCATCTCCTGAACAGTGTACAGTGCATCCAGATGATGGTGGAATTTCCAAACTATCTCCTTTTAATGATGTAGTAATTGGAATTACAACTTGGTATATTAGAGCCTTAAATATAAACACCCATATGCTTGAGTGGGACTTACGTTATGTGGATGTTACAAGTCTTGATCACGGAGTTAATGACCACCTTGATAATCCAAGGCTATTACAATCAAGAAATAGGACATCATTGTATTATGGTCCAACTAGACATTCTCTTTACTTTGATAATGTATCTGTAGAGTTTCCTTCTCAAATATCTAGTGTCTTTAAGTTAGAAACAGATTCAGCATTTCCATATTTTTCATCGAGATTACTTTATTTGAAGGAAATGACTGTTTCAAATTATTTCTACTCCTCTCAGATGGTATTAAGTCCAGTAATATCTGTAGGTAATATTCTTTTAACAGAAGATGGTGATTTAATGAAGAATTCAGGGAAAGACAAAAGTTATTGCATTGAAAGATTACTACGAGAAGTTTTACCTTCTATTCCCTTAAAAAAGTTTATAGCCCCTCCACTTCTACCATCACCAGAGGTTACAATAGACGAACATATAAGCTTATCTGATAGTAGTACCTCTTCACAGTCCTTACCATCTTTTTCAACTAACACACAAGCATTATCTTCAGAACAATCTTTGTTACCTTCAACATCTCCATCATCTGTTCTAGTAGTAACGGTGAGTAAAACATATGTTATGGTAGTTACAGCAGTTGTATTTTCTGGAGGTGTAGTCATAATTTTGCTTTTAATTTTGGTATTAAAGAGAACAAAAAGTATTAGCTCAACTGAGAAATTTTACTCAAATGGTATTACAGGTTCTAAGGGTGCAGAAGCACTAAAAAATTCTTTTCTTGCAACATCTTCATATACTAAGTTCAATTCAGAGGAGAATGATCTTGATTTAAAAGATGAAAATAATTTGTTTAGATTTGTAAAAAGTCACTCTATGGTTGATATGAGGACAAGTTTTATGGGGATATCAAAGAATGTCTTTTTTAAAGCACTAAATGGTAAGAATGATAATATAATTCATCATAGAACTATAGAAAAATCTGAAGTGAAGTTTGAAAAGTCAGAGCAAAGGTCTGGTGTAAATATAACTCTAACTAGTAGTGACGCTACAATACCTACCACTATGGATATTACTACAGGTCAAATTCCTGGTTCAGTTATATCAGTGGGTCCGAAATCATCTTCACTATACTCAATTCCAAGTGATTCGGAATTAGCTCGCTGTATTGATAATGGTAGGTTTTCAAAAAATTTTGAGATTTGTAAATTAATTGGTCGTGGTGGATTTGGTCATGTATATCAAGTTGAGCATAAACTTGAGCGTGGAACATTTTATGCAATAAAATTCCTAAGATTAGGTCTTGGGGCAGATGATGACATTACAAGAATCAGATACTTTAGAGAAATCACAGCAAATAGAACAACACTGAGCAAACATGTGGTTCGTTACTACACATGGTGGTGTGAAGAACCAGAAGCACTTCAAGGATATGTCGAAGGTATAGAAAATTTAGGTTGTCCTAAGTCTGTTTCACAGCTATCTATAAAGCCTGAAGTTCTTCATAGGAGAAATTTTAAGAAAACTACAAGACAAGAAAAGTACAATAATCTAAATATCCATAATGTAAACAGGAAATTTAGTAGTGATGACAGTGATGATGGTTTTCAGTTAGAGAAGGATTACGATGAATTTAATGAATATTCCTATAGTGGGTCATCTGAAGATAGCCGTGCACCATTTGATGATGATAATTATAGCTATCAGTTTGTGACCGGCAAACAAATTTCGAATTGGACCTTGAATGTAGATTCTGTATCAAGTTTGACACCTAGTATTAACTCGAGTAGTTTAGGAATGACTACTGATGAAAATGACTTCATAGCTTTTGAGGAAGATAACTTCGAAGACACAAAAAGTGTAAATTCTGTAAATAGTAAGAGGCAGGATATTAAATTCTCTGAAGACAAATCAGACTTGATATTAAATAACCCTATGGATGATACTAGTGATGACAATGGTATACTATATAGAACAAGAACAATCACTTCATCTATATCTCTAACAGCAGTAAATAAAGAACAAAATCAGGCTAACAGATTTGGATACAAAAGCCCAAATACACAATTAGGGATTTCTACTCTTAATGTACCCACTTCTTTAGATCGTCACCACTCTCTAGTTTACTTATCTCCAGGTTGCCGTCGTGCTAATGGTCCAGTGTATGAAGTGATTATGATGATTCAAATGGAGTTATGTATAGGTGTTACTTTACGTTCATGGCTAGGAGATACAAATAGAAGTACAACAATTGGTGGTGGTGAAGTTGAATTAAACTTTTTTAAACAGATAATCAAAGGTATCCGTGATATACACGAGAAAGGAATTGTCCACCGTGACTTAAAACCTGAAAATATATTCGTTAATCCGTGTACATTGCAGATAAAAATTGGTGATTTTGGCTTGGCTCGTTTGATGTATGATAATGAAAGTAATGGTGCTGTAAATAGTACAAATCTGAATAGTGTGAATGATATAAATTCAGCCACAAACTACAGTTTAAATAAATTTATGGCCTCAAATAGAAAAAAGAAGGGTCCACTATCAAGACTAGATTCACAAATAAGTGTACGTGGGCAATTAATTGGAACTCCTGGTTATACTGCACCAGAAGGTGGTGCTTTATGCAATGAAAAGGCAGATATATTTTCGGCAGCATTGATTCTATTAGAATTACTGTGCCCAAGATTCACAACAGCAATGGAAAGGATAAATGTTTTGGATAACTTTAGAAATAAACGAATAGTTCCAAGTTCCATTATTAGAAATCACAATTCATGGGTTCCACTACTAAGATCCATGGCCTACCAAGACCCAGAACTAAGACCTTCATCTGAACACGCTTATAGAATCGCAAAGGAGATTATTAGGAATTCTAGCAACGTTTATAATAAACTATCTTGAAATTTGGGACTAATTAGAAAGGAGTTGGAACAGAAGCTATAGGAAGTAAGTTTCGATCTACACTTGAGAGTTCAATTTAGATCTTTATAATGGCACTGCACCCACTCTACATAATATACGTCCTACACTATAACTGACAGGCAATTCAACTTAGAATACAGAGTTGTGTATAGTCATCTATTGTATTATATAAGGAAACTAAAATAAATAATATTTAATTTTGAATATCCGTGTAAAAAACGGTGTTTAATCTCGTAATTAGTTACTTAGGTCTAGAAATAGCTACATTAAAGCAAATCAGCAATGTACATCGGCATTTCTTCAATTTGTGTATTATAATGTCTCTCGATATCCCGTAAGTGCTCAATATCATCAACTGTAACAAAGTTGACAGCAACACCTTTTCTTCCAAAGCGACCTGAGCGACCAATTCGATGAATATAAGTTTCGGCCGAAACAGGAAGGTCGTAATTAATAACAAGAGAGACTTGCTGTACATCAATACCTCTAGCCAACAAATCCGTCGTAATGAGTACACGAGATGAACCAGATCTAAATTGTCTCATGATGACTTCACGATCCTTTTGATCCATATCACCATGCATACAAGAACAAGTGAAGTCACGGTCTGTCATCTGTTTAGTTAGACGATCTACACGTATCCTTGTGTTACAGTAGATTATTGCCTGTACAATAGTTAAAGTTTCATATAAATCAACCAGTGTAGCTAATTTCCACTCATCCTTTTCTACAGCTACATAGTATTGTCGAATACCTTCTAGTGTTAGCTCCTCTTGTTTAACCAAAATACGTTTAGGATCTCTCATAAACTGAGTTGTTAAATGTAGTATTTCATTTGGCATTGTGGCTGAAAATAATGCAACCTGTACATCTTGTGGAAGTTTCTTGAAAATATCGTGGATCTGGAGTTTGAATCCTCTACTAAGCATCTCATCTGCCTCATCTAGTATGAATAGTTTTAGATGATCAACTCTAAGATAGCCTTTATCTAACATATCAAATACACGTCCTGGTGTCCCAACAACCATATGAACACCATTCTTCAGTTTATTCATATCATCACGTACAGATGTACCTCCTACACAGGCATGACATCTTAAGTCACAATAATCACCCAAAGCTAAGGCAACCTTCTGAATTTGTTGTGCGAGTTCTCTAGTAGGTGCTAATAGTAAGACTTGGCAAGCATTTAAAGAGTAATCAATTTTTTGAAGAGCTGCAATTACGAATGTAGCTGTCTTCCCTGTACCTGACTGAGCTTGACCAATTGTGTCATAACCATCCAAAATAGGTTTTACACCACGTTGTTGAATTGCAGATGGTTTCTCAAAACCATATGCAAATATTCCACGTAGTAAGTTGCCATCCAGGTTTAGTGCCTCAAAACACTCGACAATCTCATCGTAGTTACTCTCGATCTCGCCTGTAGATGCCACCTGAACTGTCTCCTCACACGATGTAGATTGCTCCGGAATTGCCATCACAGTTTTCACAATAAATTTACAAAAATTAAATTCAGCCTCTCTTCAACAAAAAATTCTTTGCCTGACTTATTGCGCTGCCCATTATCTCTAGAAGTTTAAACCTCCTTTTTGAATCCTTTATATGTCTCCGCTTTGCACCCCCACAAGAGACGAGACCGCCATATATTTAGGCGCTTATTTATTGCGTGTGAAGTAGCTATATTGCAAGAATCCTCAATGCTCTACCGATCCCCCCCTTCTTTTTTTCTTTACATCCTGATGTAAAAAGAAAACGGGGGAGGGATAATATTTTAGTTTTATAATAGATAAAACTTGTGAATATTTCTTTAAAAGATATGAAATTTCTTTATTCATTGATTTCGTTTCTCTATATCCCACTCCTCTCACTTGCAAGTCAGAAACTGGACCCAAACAAACTAAACCCATCATTAAGGCTGGAAATGAAAGTGAAGATAGGAAATAGTCAACTTAAATCAATGACATTAGGTCTATTTGCTGAACAAGTGCCAAAGACTGTCAATAACTTCTATTCCTTGTGTATTGGAAATAAACGAGATGAGGATGGGAAGGAAATGACATATGTTGGAAGTAAATTTCATAGAGTTATTCCAGGCTTTATGGCCCAAGGTGGAGACTTCACTAAGCACAATGGTATGGGGGGTAAAAGTATTTATGGAGATACTTTTGAAGATGAAAATTTTTCAATTAAACATGCCCCTTATGTCCTATCAATGGCAAATAGAGGAGAGCACACAAATGGGTCTCAATTCTTTATCACATTTGGTCATACACCTCATCTAGATGGGAAACATGTAGTATTTGGACGTCTAATGGACGAAAAGAGCAAGAAAGTACTAAGAGAAATTGAATTAGTCGGTTCAATGAGTGGCAAATGCTCAAAAGATGTCATAATTACTGAGTGTACTTTATTGTCTGGGTCTCCTAGTGAAATTTTACAATAGTATGTATTATTTTAGCATAGGGCTATATTTTTAAAACTAATAACTAATCTCTGATATTCAGTTATAATTCATAGGACTTTTGAAACATAAGATAGCGGATTTACATTGTGTGTCTTTTTGATATTTGTATCTCTAGTTTTAACTGGGGGCTCTGGCGTATTCCATAGGTTGTACGCATAAATGAGACATCTTAGATATCTGAATTTCATTGTTATTTGTGGAGTTATAAGTTTCAATCTCTTTAGTGAACTTAAATAGCTAATTTAGAGTTTATATAGTTGATATAATGATTGAGATAATATTGAATGATCGTCTTGGACGTAAAATCCGTGTTAAATGTAATTCTGATGATACAATTGGCGATGTGAAAAAGTTGGTGGCAGCCCATACAGGTAAGATTAAATTTACTAGGTAATTGCTAACTCTGGATGGGGATTGTTTAAAATATAGTCTCATAGTTTAGAGCTTTAAAGTCACTTATTTACTTGCCAGGTACAAGGTGGGAAAAAATTCGCATTCAAAAATGGTACACCACTTATAAGGATCACATAACACTAGAAGACTACGAAATTAAAGATGGTATGGGACTAGAATTATATTATAACTAGTCAATAAATAGTATTAAATAAGTGTAATTCTCAAAAAAGTGTTGAAAAAAAGTACTCTTCACTATTACTAAACATTAAGAATGAAGTATTCAGTGAAATTGCAAGTTTAAGTTACTTGCAGAAATAGTAATACTAGATTAAACTAATCTTTTTAATATGTATTAAATCTACCTCCTCACTAGATATTACTACATAGAAGATCTGCACTGAGTTGCAATAGAATCTAACTCTCTCTGACCTTGGGCACTTAGTCTACGTGTTCCAGTATTTGGATTAAACTCAACTAAACCCATACCTTGGAGTTGAAGTAGGCAATAACGGATCAATCCACGAGATGCAGTGCTAGAGTGATTTCTTGAAGTTCCATTACGCTGTTTCCTACCATAAAACTTAGATAAAGCACCCACTCCTGCATTTGGACGAATATACAAATGCCTTAATATTGAAGCAGCACGAATATAAAGCCAGTCAGGATCTTGTGGTGGAAGCTCTTTGGATGAAGATGTCTTAACATGGTCCACCCATTCTGGTATTGCCATCTTGCCACCTTTCTTTAGCTGTTGTGCAAAACGTTCAATTAAGATGCCTGCTGGTACATCCTTGGCTGTCTTCACTACACGAGGAGCTGCTACTTCGTATAGTGTCATTGATTAACAACCAAAATTTACACTTCCTGACGATAATTTATAAATCTCTAGAAAATACAAGTGCCTCAGTATCGAGACACATCTATTTTACAATAGACATTTGTTTGAGTCCCATATACCGCCTTATTTGGAGACGTCCCCCCCCACTTGGGCGCACTTTATAAACTGTATATGGGCGCTTTGATTATTTCATTAGCTATCAAAATCCGCTTTTAGTTATTCCTCCTCCCCTTTTTTCTCACAATGTTTTCACCGCAAATTTGTGCCCTATATTAAATTTCCTATTGGTGAATTTCTATCGATGGAAATGTCTGGCGAGAATCAACATGATGAAACCTTTTTATTTGACGAAAGAGAAGATGAATTAGAAGAATTTGATAATCTGGGTAAGATTTTATTAATATTTAGTCCTGTAGTTTGTATAACTACCTTCTTATTTACTAAATGCCACTTTCTATATTACTCTTAGAAAACCTTGAGACACAGATTGATCCGGATGTAAATGAGTGGGATGAAGATTGGGATGTTACTGGTAAGTTTTATTTATTAGCTTTTTAGTAACATGAAACTCGGTTAGACCCAGTATGATTAGTTGATGCTTTATTGACAACAATTCATTGTTATGTCTTCAATAACTCCCGTTACTCTTTCTATTTGATTAAACTATAGGTTGGGATGATGAAGATATGGATGACGAGTTTACTAAACAACTTCACAATGAACTTCAAGAATTTGAGAAAATGCAGAAGTTGTCTTCTGATCAGCTACAGAAGTAGCAATTATAATTTCTCTCTAATGTCTATATCTCTTGCACAGTAAATATCTAGTTTATATTTCAATATGAATTTTAATAGATCTTATTATTACTTTATAATGATCTATTTTAATATTCTTAGTGGGATTCGAGAATATATATTATGTAATTATTTATCTTATGTATTTAGTTTGCTTGAAATGAATTCTATATCATTGTATTCCCACTGAAGTAATTCAATAAATTGTGGTTTCTGCATGCATGCATGTAATTGTAATTGTCATTGGCTCTCCTTGCATGTTACCTCTATCCTTAGAACACTTTTCTCTACATATTAATCTATATTAAACATAAATTAAGATTTTAAGGTCACATTAAAATGTCAAGACGTGGAGTTTCAATCGAAGAAAAAAGAACCAGGTAAATAATACCCTTAAACTTTGTAAAATAGCTTAGTTTAATTCTAATACACTTTGACTATATTCTGATAATATCCAATTACTTAAAACAATTTCAGATTATTGAGCTCTTTATATGATAAGGTAAGCTTGGCTAAATAATGAAATTTATAAGAAAGTACTTTACAAGTTTTTTGTTTGATAATTACATTACTGTCTACTAGAAAGAGTGTTTCAATTTAAAAGAAATAGAAAAGCTTGGCAAGAAATGTGGAATAATAGAACAGACAGTTAAAGATATTTTACAAAGTTTAGTTGATGATTCCCTTGTAATGAGTGACAAGGTTGGGTCTCTAAATATATTTTGGGCATTACCAAGTGCTGCTAGATCAATGAGAGAAAATCGAATAAATTATTTGAGGTTCGTTATTTTTTATCATGTATACTATAAATACCACTTTAACTAAATTGAAATTCTTTTTAGAGCAACAAAACAAGAAATAGAGGACAATATACAATCATTAAACAACCTGATTGAAGAATCATCAAAGACAGATACTGAGGAGACAAAGTTAAGAAAAAAGAAGATGGAAAGGTTAGAAGAACTAACAAGTACTAATGAAGAGCTTACAAAAAAGTTGCAACACATAAAAATGATGTTACAAGATAACCCAAAAGTACTACAAGAACAAATAAATCAGAGTAATGAAGCTATATTAAGGTGGGAAGATAATATTTGCAATATAAGACAGTGGATCAAGAAAAAAATGCCCGGAGTTAAAGAAAGAGAAATTAATCAAAATTTTGGCTTACCTAATGAAGACTAGGTAATTAAATGTAATATCTTCAGTTCACTATAAAAAGTTCTAAGATATTCCTATTATTCAAGTTATACAAAGTATTTTATTTTAGATTCAAACATAATATTTACAAATTTTCCTTAATTTTTTAAGTGATCATTTTTTCATTGCAATGATCATATGAAGTAGCACTGAAGTCAAACATAGATGAAATATCAGCAATATCTTCAATAAATTGCTGCTGAATAGAATTATATTCAATAGGAATATCATAAATATCACTACTTAGAGTATCCTGACATTTACTACTATTACTGATATCATGTGTAATTTTGCCATGCTTAGAATCTTGGCTAATTTCCTGTTTGAGGTCATTGAAAAATGATGAATTAATCTTTAGCTTAAATTGAGGTTCCACAGAGTTGTTAACTTCTGTAGCTTCCATAGTTTCCATTAAAGAAATATCCATAGTAAGATTTAATATAAAATTTGGAATATACTGCTTTAAAGTATTCCTAGTACTTTCTTTTCTTTGAAGATAGGCAAATAGCCACTTCTTTAAATAATTATCTAATGATAATTTATTTATATCAATGGAAAATTGACAATTTTTCTCGGCAGTATAGTTCCATAAATGTGCCCACTCTGGGTTACCCAATAAATATCTTCCGTGGCCTATAATCCACAAGTTACGCTTAGCTCGCGTCAGTGCAACATTAATTCTCCTAATATCAGCTAGAAAACCAGCATTAGTTCTAAGAGTTTCCAATCTGTTATTATTACCAATAATTCCATTAGGTTCAATATATTGAGCTCTTACAGCTGAAAAAATGATGTAATCACGTTCCTGACCCTGAAAACCATCAATAGTACATACATCAATTGGGCATATAATATTGGATGGTAAGTTAAATCGTTTCTTAATCATAGATTTAATGAGTCTAACTTGTTCATTATAAGGGGAAATAATTGCAATTTTATCATACCAATTATTCACATCAGATTTGCTAGGTAATTTTTCATTCACTTCTGTCAATATTAATCCCAAAAGTTCAACTAATTGACAAACTAATTCAGCTTCAATTGGATTTGAGATTGATTTATTTTTTATTTCTTCTGAATTCACAGAAAGAAAGGTTAGTGGTTTAAAAAAAGGTATGGAATCCCATGGTATTATTGATTTTCTTGCGTCTATTATACCTGGATAATCTTGCAACTCACCATTATAAAAGCGTTTTGAAGGAAATTCAGAAATTACCGGATGCATTCTATATTGCATACTTAACATTTTAACTGGCAATCCATTCAGTTGCAGCCTCTGAAATAGAGAAATATCATATTTATGTAATATTGCTATCCTAGACAGAACTGTAGCAGGTAACTGTTTAGGATCACCTACAAGTATCAATCTCTTACAGCCAAGTTTCAGTGGTATTAGGGTAGACAATTCTACACCTTGAGATGCCTCATCAATTATTACTGTATCAAAAGCAATAATCTTTTTTGACTTTTCATTTGGTGAGCTACTTTGGTCAAGAATAGAAACTAATTCTTTACTTCCACACACAGATAAGGTTGCACATATAACTTGGGACTCTTGAATAATCTTCCACTGAACTTGTTGACGAACTTCTGGTTTACTTTCTTTTGGATTGTAACCGTTACGAATTAAACGACGTTGTAATTTAACTTCCAGGCTATATTCCAATAAATCCGGGTGATAATTGGGTCCAGCTCTAACTATAGTTGGATTATATCGCACACCATTAGCATCTAGAATACCTCCTTGCTCACGTATTGGATCTGCAACTAAGCGACGAACAATAGCATCTATTGCAGCATTTGATGGAGCACATACTAAAATTCTTCTTGGTCCAGTTTGCCTATTTGATATATCTAAAGGAATAGTCTTTGATTCAATAAGTTTAGTAGTACAAATTTCTGGATTATTTGCTTTCCAATCATACCAAGGTACATAATCACTATTATAGCACCATGGCTGTGAATATCTAATTAGTGAAAGTCCTACCTTTTCTATATCGTCATATTTATATACTTCAACTTTTCTCTTCTTCTCATTTATGGTCAAAGATGTATCCCTTTCTCTAAGTACTTCATCTTTACAACTACTTCTCTCATAATTTGAAGATAATAATGCACTAATTATACCAATAATTGTAGTTGTCTTACCAGTTCCAGGTGGGCCTTGAATTAAGGTAATACCTTGGTATTTTAAGCACTCATTTAGTGCACTTAGCTGAGAATCATTGTAAATTTTCTCAAGAGAGTCTAATAAAGTGTCAGGAATAGATAATGAACCATTTCTTGAGACAGGATTCTTCAAACATAAAATATCATCTTTAAGTGGGAGATCTTGTAATGATAACAAAGCACTATACTCTCTGTAGTTAGTAGCAAATGAAGTGATTCTGGATATCCACCAAGAAGTTTTCTTTGTTTTATCTCTTCCTAGTTGAAGATATTGATTATATTTAGTTAAGCGATCTCTCCATCTTTCTGTATTACTTATTGTTGATGGTAAGCGTTTGATCTTTTCACCTTCAAGATAGTATAACGGGTTAATTGTATTTAGTGTAAGTTTACCCGATTTAAAATTATGAACAACGCCGAAAACATGATATGGTTCATCACTTAAATTTTTGTCAGGTATATTAAACAATTCTTCATTAGCAGGGAAAATAATCAAAACTATATCCTGAGGTGAGAAATAGACTGGATTTCCGGTATCCACATTTAATAATTTTTCAAAGCGTACAGATATAAAATTTGAGTCGATGCATCCCTTGCTCTCCAGCATTGTAAAGTGCTGGAACGAACTCATCTCTATATGTTTGGCTCTTTGTATGGATTGTTGACATTCTAGAAGAAATAAAGAAAAGAAAGACTCAATATACTCTTCGAGTGATGAAAATCTAGCAGGAATCTCTTTAATTTCGCATTTCTCGTACCTGCTATTGTAAGAGTATAATTTTTCAGACTTTTGATATGGCTCTTCCTTTATATCCTCAAAGAAGTCCCAACTTAATATAATTCTGTCAAAGTCCTTACTTGAAATTTTATGTGCATTACTTGACTCTTTAAGATCATTTACGGTAGTTTTAGACTTAATAGAAGCTTTACTGTCAGAATCTGACCTGAGTGTTCTTTTAGTTGCAGATGTCATATAATTATATTGATACTTGAAGGAGTAAAGTATTAATCAAAGATATATCAACCGTAATTATACCATGTATCTTAATATCTCCTTCTTATGTATAAGTTTATATTTTTAAGGGAACACTAAATAGTCTTGAAACTTTTTTCAAGCTTTCTAATACCTAGTAATACAAATACAAATTCCCCCAATTGGCGCCAATTAATATTAGTGTATTATTACAAGTTATAAATGGTATACTTGAGATGGAGTGGATTTTTAATAGTATCTATCCTTCGGAGTTCAGTAAATAAATAAAGATAAGCAAACTCATATCAAGAATTAATTTGGGATATAGGAAGTTTATACATAACTACTTGGTTTCAAATGGAAATCTAAAGAAGTCATCTTTGAAAAATAGTTATTGTATTGATATACATTAAACAAGTTAGGATCTATATAAAACTACGATTCAAAAGGAAGTAAAACGTCCCTAAAATTTTAAATATTATTTAAAGTCATATTAATAGGTACAAATACAGTTTGTTACTAAGATCATTCTTCATAATAGCTGAATTATTTATATAAAAGCAAAGTTCACTACAGTATAACTGCCAAATATTATGAATAAAATCCAGGCTATATAATAAGCCAATCTAATATATTATAATTAACTCATTCAGATTAATGTAAAGATCACAAAGCAAACTGCATATGAACGAAATTTTGGAATTAGCATTATGAAATTTTGTTTAAATATTGTGATCAATTGATAGACATAAGATAATTCACTTTATAATTATATTAAATTATCTCTGTAAATATTTTTGAAACGAATAGAGCATTGTTTATTAATAAAAGTAGTTAAAATATTATCTATGGGTGTATGAATTGAATTGATAGTAATTTGCAGAATTTACATTTGAATAATTATGTTGCATTGAATTTACCTGAATAGGAATTCTAGATGTAGTTAAGCTTGAACTTATCATATCGTCAGCTCGATATGAACTTTGTGCATTCGATGCAATATTATGATAAGGAAAGCTACTATCCAGTAAACTTGAAACAGGGGGTACTGTAGTATTGTGTTGCTTATTCGAAAAGAAGTCATTATAGTCCCATGCATTACTTTTAATACAATATGCAAATATACTCCTAATTCCAGTAAAGAGATTTCTATCTTGTAATTCAAAGCAAAAACCATCAATATCATAACCATTATATCTTTGTTTAATTATATCTGGTTTCTTTAAATATTCATAAAAAGTGACATTTGTTATCATTGATTTTAAATGTCTAACGAATAGATAAATCACAAATCCCATCCATGGAATATTTGTAATGCTATTCAGCATAATTACTGAGAACCAGAGATCTGATACCATGAAGTAATACAATCCATCAAAAACACCAATCCCAAAGTCATTATTACTTGTAAATAAGTCATTTCCTTGCAGCGAAAACCAGCTGTTTATATTAGATGGCGTATTTGTAACTTTATTTATTGTAGTAGCAAATAAAAACCTTAATGAGCAGTATTGTTGAAGCAAATAGTAATACCATGAAAATGTGAATAATAAAAACATTAGAAAGAGAACAAATGATCTTTGATTGCCAAGTCCAACACAAGTATCAATCCATACACAATGATGATCAAATCTCTGAATACAATAACCACATTCAGAACAGTGATGCGCTCTAAATGGTCTTTCAGTACGACATGTTACACATATTTTAGGTAACACTGGTGCAGAACTGATAATTTGATTACCATCAACAATATCTACATATAATTTCTTATGAACACTTTGTCTTTCCTTAGCCACTAGTGACATTAAAGAAGTTATCTCATTAGATATATCTATAAGTTTTTGAATATACCCATTATAGGTATTTTTGTAAATATCTAAACCAATAGACTCTCCACTAAATATTTGACGATTTAACTCAATTAAATCGTTATTAATTTTAACTTGTTCCTCTTCTTTTAACATTAGCTGAAATACACTCGATGATTTATTCACTTTTGAATTACTAATTATAGGTATGTACAAAGCTATACTTTCCAACTTTTTTATTTTGTCATGAGATAATTTCGATATACTCTTGGGATATAGTGGATATTTTACATAGTTTGAATGACCGAGATTTGCTAAAAACCAACACAATTGTGTAACTACAAAAGCACCAAACCAAATATAATAATGATCCATACTTATCCCAGCCATATACTCTTGATATTTACTTATAGTATTTCTCATAATAAGTACAACGGCCAAATTAAAAAGTGCAATAAACCAGTAATAGACCGCATAAGGGCTTCTTATTAGTGTTGTTGTTCCAAAAAGCTTGTTATGATAGTACCAGAAGTATAAGGAAACTGCCAACCAATAATTACGTTTGATCCAACATAATTGAAATGCAGTATTTCCAACCATAGAACTATCATAGTTTTTACATTGTAATAAATGAATAGCCCCTAAATCACACAGAAATTGAACTGTATCTTCACTTTCACTGACACATGCAGCATGCAAAATAGTATTACCCCTGTGATCTTTGTGTCCTAAATTTGCTCCGTGACTTACTAGCCATTGTACTAAACTGCAGTTCCCTCTTTTAATAGCCCAAAATAATGGTGTCTGTCCAAGAATATCTTGCTCCTCAAGTGTATAACCCTGTAAAAAGAGCCACTCCATAATTCTAAGTAAGTCCTGAACCTTATTTTCAACACTTTCCGAAGCTGCTGTTAACATTAAACCAAAATTGTTCCTATTCTTAACTGAGAATATTCTTGAACTGTATTTCTCATAAAAATACTTTAACATTGAAAAATTTCCAGACCTCACACAATAGTGTAAAGTTGTATCACCATTTATATCTGCTCTAAAAGGGTCACAACCTAAGCTCAGCAAGTGTATAGTAACGTCATCCCATTGATAATATACGGTCCAATGTAAAGTATTTGAATCATTCAGAATGCTTGTATTTCCTGTTTCTATTAGCTGCTGTATAATAAAATGTAAAGTATTTCTGTCCCTTCTTTGTGCAGCAATAGCTAGTTCATGAGAAGCATATTCTGCTTCAAATAATCTAGTACCTTTGTTTTGAGAAAGCTCCATTTATTTCTCAAAAGATACTAAAATGTCTGTCTTGTCCACAAATTATTGCTTTCAAGGCACACTTTCTTACTTTTATTATCCCCCTCATTTTTGGATTATTCGCGCAATCCTATGCATGTGGGGAAGTCTCATTTTGTCATTTGTGACTCCACAAGGCTTTTAAATGCAGAATTAAGTGCTTTTTGGTTAAGAAAAAAGTACATCTTTTAAAAATATATTTTGCATGTGGCTATGCAGAGTTTTTTTGATTACCCAACCTTATATATTGATGTATGTCTATTTTATGCTAACTATATTATAAAAGTAATAATAATATAAATATTATGCAGAATAAAAAAGTCTTATAAAAATCTATACTAGCTCCGTGATAATGACGTGGCAATATTGTCATGCCGGTATAAGTACTTTTTCCTGCATGCAGATCAGATGACACGTGTTACATGCATATTCATTTTATGTAATACTGTTATATGTTAAATTGAAAATGGATTTAATGATTTGATACTTGATAAATACTCTTTAAATTATCTTTAAAACGTGGAATCACTTTTAAAGAGATAGTTCCTTTTTACAAACAATTTTTAGATTTGAAAATTTCGATTTTGGAATAGCTTACTCAAGTATTCTTAATACAAATACTTCACTATTGAAGGTATTTGAAACCTTTAAATTCATTAATCTCTTATAGACTGGCAAAATAGCTAGTTAATTTCATTAATAAGATGTGGTAATGCAAGAGCAACAAATGAAAGAAATGTTAACATCAAAGGAATCGGATTATATATATTTTCTATTGCAGATAAGTCCAATTGTTCAAATTCATACTATTAAAGCTAATGTGAGATATAGAATTGGACCAAAAGATGGCAAAACAGATACTGATATATCATACCCAGATCCCCCACAAAACGTAACAAGTAGCTTTGATTTATGGGTAAAAAGTGAAGATAAGGAGTTTAGGCTAACGAGAAAAAGTAGTAATAACAAAATTGAATCATGCAAATATTTTTATAAGGATTCAATAACTGGGACTTATATGCCTATACCTTCTTTCCCTGATATTATTGTTGTTACTTCTGGAACAAAGCTCCGAATAATGACATCACAACCTACTGAGTGTAATATAGCATTTGTTTTAAAATCCCAAAATATGGTAGATATCGTAGGATACACGCTAAAATCATCAAAAGAAGTTTTATCAGTTGAGCCCCCAAGTACAACAACACATACATTGCCAGGAGTAGAAGCAATTTCTTCATCGTGTCTATATAAAAACCAGTACAACTCACCAGCACAGAATTGGGCATCAGAAACTGAAAAGAGCTATCTCATATTTTCAGAAGCATCGCTTGGTAAAGGAGGAAATGGTGAAGTATTCCTTGGATTGAATCGTCGGACGCTAGAATTTGTAGCAGTGAAATGTGAAACCCCTGGATCACTCTCTCGCGAAGCAGAATATTTGGAAAGGTGCAAGGGTAATTTTGTTGTAAAAAAGCTGGATTGGTTCCAAAATCACATTGAAAATAAAGAGTATCTTGTAATGGAATTACTTCATGGGGGTACACTTCGTCAATTATTAAGGTTTAGATACAAAGATGGACTTCCAATTAGAACTGTACAACAGCTAATGCATACACTAATTCTAGGTGTGGATCATATGCATTCACGAGGTATTGTTCATCGTGACTTAAAAGCAGCAAATTTGATGTTTACTGATTTAGTTAGCAATTTAAATGTGGATGTTTATAGAATAAAGATATGTGACTTAGGAAACTCAGGTATTTCATTAAATGGACGTCTGAAAGGTCATTGCTGTACTTGTTTTGCCACTGCACCAGAAATATACATCCACAATGAATACGACGAGAAAGTAGATATTTGGTCTATTGGGACAATTTTCTATGAGTTGCTAACTGGGCATAGATTGATAGAATGCAACCATCAGGTAAATTGTGATGCAACCGAAAAAATTCTGAAATTTAATTTTAATGAGATGGAGAATCAGCTTAGAGATCACATGAAAGATCAACTAAATGGAGATGAGAGTAGACTATTAGATGATGCTATAGATCTAATGAAAAAACTCTTGGAAAAAAATCCTTCTAAAAGAATATCAGCAACATCCTGTTTATCCCACAGATTTTTTTCAGATTATCAATACTTGCATCTAGATTATTCCCTAAGATGCGTGATGAAATTAAATATAGCCAAAAATACCGATGAAAACATCACTTCATATTGTGAGAGCGATGAAAATAGCCTTTTTTACTCATATTGTAAATGTTCAACTTGCGTTTGCTGCAAGGGCCATTTGAACCATAGTATTAGCCGTGGAAAACTAATTTCAAGCTACTACTCTGGTTTAAGTACATTATATTCGAATAGCAACTCCTATACTAGTAATATGGGCCATATTTTTAAATTGAGTGGATATCATGTACTTAAAAAAAACTTCCCAATTAGTAATAAGTGTCAACATATTGTGTTACAAAAGGAAAATGAACAAAATCTCAACATCCAAAATCAATAGATATTGGTTAAATATAAAGGAAAAGTAAATATTTATTTAAGAGATAAGTAATAATGAATAATCATTTGCAATATAAAATTAATAGATGTGAATTAAGCTTGTTATATCTTACAAAAATTGCATAAAAAAAAAATGTGAATAGTCACTGAGAATAGGGCTTAATTTATAAATACTTCAATCATATACCTCCACTAGTGTGTTTTATTATATAGGAATTTAGTGCGAATTTATAACTCACCGGTTCTTGACATGTCAAGATCATCATCTTCAAAGGCATTATCCGGATTAAGGAATGGTTCGGGGTCAAATTGGTGAGTCACGTGAGATGCAAGCCAGATTATCATATTATGGACAGATCTATCTCCATCATACCATATCGGGTCACTCTTTTTATTCGCAGGGTATAGCATTAATGAAGGATAACCAAGAATATGAATATTTTCAATTTCATTTTGTGAACCATCAATTTTGGCAATTTTTAAGGTCTTCAAATTATGTAGTCTTTGACCAAGAACATTAAAATCTGGTTCTAGTTTTCTACAGTGACCACACCAGGGAGCATAAAATACAATAAAAGTATCTTGATTGACATTGTTCAAAACTTCACTTTGAAATGTAGTGGAAACAACAATACGAACTGGTCCATTATTCTCTTCATCAAGAGGTGGTTCCTCACTCTTAAAATATGGTTTGAGTTTGCCTAAAGTGTAATCTTGGATGAAGTTTTCTAATATAGAATCTGCAAGTAAACCTTTACCAGATATACTAGATCTGTAAACTAAGGGTGGTTGTTGAGGGTTCATTGGGATTTTATTCAGCTTAAAATCTCTATTTTTTACATCAGAAAACTTTAAAATAGATATAATGGGTGTTTGTTCATCATCACTAGCAAGAACTTGCCTTATTCGCCTCTCATGTGGCAAAGAAGTGCTACTATGAATAAATAATAGCTTGCCTCTAAATTTTCTAGCTATCTTCTGAAACCTCTTCATGACTTCATTATGAGTAGGATCATTTTCAGATGAAAATAGAAAGACCAATGGTCTATCATCAGAGAATAGCCTTTGAGTAACTAAAGGAACGAACCTAATAATCAGTGGATATTCATATTTACGCACTTGCATATCTAATTCTTCAAGGCTATTTAAGTCAATAGATTTTACTATTACACGCCCAGTATCTACATTATCTTCAGATGTATAATTTCCAAATATATCCTTATGGTTATTCCAAGGAGTATAAATAATCAAATTAGATGACACACTTGCTAATGGTACTGTAGAACTATCAGTATACGAGCTGCTATTGCCTAAAAGTACCTCTACAACTTCCGAGTTATTTGTATATGTATGACCAAATAGAATATGCTGATACTTTCTAGAAATTTTCAAGTATGCTGGAATATTTGAATTTAAATTATTATCATTAGATTCATGTTCATTAGTAATATTTGGTTTTGGTAATGAAGAGTTTAATGTAGAGTTAATAATAGCAATGATTTTTACACCAGAATTATTTCTATCAATAAAATTTTCCAGAGCCTTTTTATTTGAAATATGGAAGTCTCTATTTAATTCCGAGTTTATAAAATTAACTATTGCAATCGAGTTCGAAATACCTGTATAGTAGTGACCAACGCCTTCAAAGTATATCTTAATTGTTGGGAATTTCGGAACTTGTTCTAAAAGAACTACTTGACGGTTATCATTAGCATCTAATCTCCCAAATGGTATATTATATTCCTTCATAATATTAGCAGCTTTATCAAATTCTGGAAGTATCTCACGACAAAATACACACCATGGAACATAAAAAAGTACAACTGCAATTTCCGATGTGAAGTTTTTTAGATCTACCAAACCCAATTGTTTAACATTGCTAGCTTCTAATCTTTCATTAGTATTCATGCTAAAAGAAATACTACTTAAATTTCCATTTATATTATCTATAGGGTTTGGAATATAGGTTGCAGATAAAAATGGTACTAAGATTAAATGAGTTAAGAGTGCTAATAATTTCATTTCAACCAAATATCTTGTAGTATATTAAATTAATTTAGAAGTTGGGTAATTTTATTATGAAATTTGTACAATAAATCTATTTAAAAAAAAAAAAAGAGAAAGGAGGAAAGAAAAGAAACTTCCAATTTTTAAATCTTTTTATGTTGCGTAGCGGGTTAGTTTCCGTCTATCAGCTCAATCTAGTAAAAAACTTAAGTGAAAGCTATGAAAAGTGGATAGTTTGTGGATATAAGGATTTACCAAGCTAATATAAATAAATACAGGGGTCTTACTAGCAGGTTATGGTGAAATAATAATACTCCTGTATTTTTACTCAATCTTCATAATGGGAACTAAAATTCCCAAAAAAAAGTGACATGAAGTATTCTCCATAATATGTAATAGTAGTGAAATTAGTAGATATTAAATATCCACTAAAACTTAATTATATTGACTTAATAATAGAGCAGTTTTTCCAAGATCTTTGTTAATGTCAAAGTTAAAGAAGTAGGTAATATAATTTAATAGGATAGTATACTTTTAAAGAAAAGAAGAAAAAAAAGACTTTGAAAGATCATTATATATACAATATATCATTGAAATTATGTATCTAATATTAAATGAAATCACAAATATAATTACTTTTCCAATTAAATTGATTAATAATACTTCTAATATGTCTTTTTTGTTAATCATGATCCAAGGATTCCCTTTCTTCAGTCTTGAGGTAAGCAACTGTAAGATCTTCCATTGACATTTGTATAGGCTTAAAACGTCGTTTTATTGCATCAACTCTTTCTATTGGATTACCTCCAACAACAACCATATTTAAAGAAATACATATTGGCTGCAATGCAAGTACCAATGTCTCAATTTCAGGTTGTGTATTATCATTTGAGCACCATATTAACTTCTCCAAAGTCTTATTTCTAAATGGTAAGCTACCTATAATCGTATCAAAAAAATCAATACATCTTCCATTAATACGGTTTCTTGAGAAATCCAATACTTTTATCTCGCAAGAGAATAATAAGTGTCTAAGAAATTGTGCAAAGTCTCTTTTAGTTTTGCTTGGTCCAAAGTGATTAAAGTCCAATAACAACTTTTTACATTTGGAATTCCGTACAATTTCTAAGACTAATGGTGCAGATTTAATTGTTAAATCATTGATCCCAAAATCTAGCTTAAAAATGCTTTTGAATTGTTTCAATAAAATAAAAATTTGAGATAAACCTTCATCATTCATATAACAGCCTCTGAATGAGATTTCTTTAGGTTCTTGATGCACCAAAGCTATATTTAAACAATGTGAAAATATTTCATATTGATAGGGAATACCACTCATATCCAATGGAGCTCCATGTCTAACTCTTGAAAATGCATTTGTAATATAACTAACAACTTTTTTAGCTGGAACTAGATTATATTTATAACATAGATCAATATATTGACAACGCCATATTTGGCATCTAACTGATCTCCATAAAACTAGTCTATCACGTCTTAAACTAAATCTCACGGTTATTTTAGGTTCTCCTTTTAGTGCAATTGGCATTAAACCTTGAAGCTTTATATCAGTAGTTAATATAGCAATAGTATTATTTCCAGTGATCTCATTGCTGTTCATAGCAGGAACGAATGATTGTATATTAATTCCTTCGGCAATCTTATCATTTTCAGTGTTAATTTCTAATCCTCCATGAATACTCTTTTTTTTATCTACTTCTTGTTTTACGTCCTCCTTAATAGAATTTGAATCCTCACTATCATAAAAAGAAACTTCTTTCCTAAGATTAACTTGAGATGTAAAATCCTCGATCATTTCTAATTTTTTTTTTGGTTCATTCTTTAATAATATATGAGCCAAGCTCACACCAGATACTTGAAATACAAAATTCCCAGGGATATCAGCACAAGGTTCAATAGGAGATATTTCTGCATCTGGAGTAAAGTATATACCACCTTTAACTTTCAATTTATCTTGTTTTAAGGTAAAGCAAGACAATAGTCTTTCCTTAAACTTTATACGATCTCTATCTATCCACACAATTATAGTATGTTCTCCGAGCTCATATATTTCAATTCTGTATTTTGATTTAAAGTTCCTAAAAAAAACAGTTGCCAATGTAACATATATACTCTTCATTGACTTAAATAATACTCTAGTTAGTATAAGATTGGTCGGCTCCCATTCAGTAACATCAATAGAACGACAGATAGTGTGATAATCAACAGATTCATCTAGATCACTAATATACTCATCTTCTTCATCATAATATTCGTCTAAGACTGATATGTCATCTTCATATAATTCAGATTCTTGATCTATTTGTTCAAATTCATCTCTATCAAGGCCTTTATGAGTAAGCAAATGTGGTTTTTTTATTTTGTGTAAGATACTTTGGCTTAAGGATGACTCTTCATCTGTAGCATATTCATCCAAATCAACATTCAAAGCATTTTTATTTGTGTGTTTATCAGGAGTAACATTCCTTTTATTTTGTAATGTTGGACTTATGGCTCCTTTTTCATCTTTAAGACCACCTACTTTCACTTGCCTTTTTCTCCTTCCAAAACTTAAATCCTCCCTCATAATTCGTCTTCCAGGATAATTCATATCTTTAAAAGAGTATAGTGCACTTCTTCCAGGCACCATACCCATTTTCCTATATCCAAATTCATCATACTTCGTTTTAGGAGCTACTGAAGATTTTGGTATAGTTGGAACATTATTTGAAACTAATACATCAAATAAATTATTAATATCTTTTTTATCTAATTTGCTATACTCATCAAGTACAACACTTGTAAGTTTTTCAATATATGTATCTGCACTCGCAGATTCTTCATGAGTTCCTTCTAATAATTTTAGTCCTTTTTTTTGTTCTGTAGTTTGAGCATCAATTTCTTTTTGCCATATATCTGCCATTCCAACCAATTGATTCATAGTAATCGGTTTAAATTTATCAAATTTACCTAATTTATATTTTTTTATCTTTCCTGTATTAGCAACATGTAATGGATAATTGTAATTTTTCCAAAGTTTCATTTCAAAAGCTTCATATTCAGGGATATAATTAATCGTTGTTACATCTATTCGGGACTTTCCTGTAGTAGGCAATTGAAATGCACTTGATGGTGTTAAATAATTTGATTTTATAGCTGTTGAAGGGTTTATTGAAGGGTTTGTTGAAGGGTTTGTTGAAGGTTTTGTAGTGTTTGTATCAAGTTTACATCTACCATTTGGACTAGCTAAAGGAGGTAAAGGACTTGGTGAAACATTAATGGGAGCTTCAAGACTATATAGTGAATTATATGCAAACTCTCTTAAATTAATACTTGAGTGTGATTTAAATGTTAAATAAGATTTTAAGCCCATTGATGTAAAGCTATTGATAACTAAATCATTCTCAATTTCATCCCAAGTACCATGATCAATTTTAGATACAAGATTAGCTATAGAATCATATGGAATAGATTGAAATTCTTGCTTCCAAACAATTCTAGGATCTTGAATATGAGCTGGTAAACCTGTTGGAAGCTTATCCGATATTGGTGGTGTGTACTGCTTTTTATGTATACCCAGTAACATCTCAGTTGAATCTGGAACAGTTGTAGCATCTTGAGCCAAGGTTATTTGTGTTACCTTGTTACATCTACTTGGATCTTGTACCCTAAATGAATTTTGAAATAACACTTCATCAAAACAAGGATAACTTGTAGTATTATCAATAATCCTATTTATAAGCGATTCTTTTTCTTTGGATCTTTTCTCAGAAGCATCATTTCTAATACATTGGAAATCTTCATTTTCCTTATCTTGACAATCAAACCAACCAATAGAAGTTTTGAGTGTTTCTAATTGTTTAGTCACATTAATATGCTTCTTAAATTTCTCTGTAGAAATAAGAGATTCACTAATAACTTCTAAATCTATCTCATTATTAAGAGTTACTCCATACTTTTTTTCGAATTTTGTTTTAATCTGTTTAATTTCTTTTTTATCTAAAGCCCCCTGCATTTTCATATCTCCACTTTTAAGCTTCTTTCCTAATATTTTTTTTCTAAGTTCTTCATTTATATAAGGCTTATATAAAATTTCATTATTATTGTTGAATTTTGAACTTTCAATAGGGATATTTTCAGGTATGCTCTCCATTGTTGACATAGCTGATTTGTTATTTAATAAAGTTTTATCTAAAATTTTATCCTGCATTGGATCTATCATATTTAATATATCTAATTCTATTTTACTATCCTTTTCTGATTGTGAGTTCTTAGCTCTTTCAGCTGCAAAAGTCATCATTGAAGATGTACTCCTAATAGGTACTTTAATATTTCCAAATTTTTCCATAGTTGTCATCTTAGCTTCTGGTACATCCATATTTGAATATATAATATTAGATATAGAATCTTTACTATTATTAGTTATACTCCTTGTCATTTCAGGATTTTGATATTTATTACTCTTTTTGTCTGTTTGTGCTTTGCAAAGTATTGGTTTTAAGGGCTCATCTGTCCATACTGCTTTTGCCTCTCTATATTTGCCTGAGTTATAATCATAAAATTTCTCACCAGTAGAATTTAGAATTATAGTTCCCTTAGTTTTTTCAAGCTCATTCTCAAGTTCCCTTATTATATTTGGACTATTCATTTTTCCCCTCTGTATTGGTAGAGAAGATGACGTTATAGTAGCATTTTCAGAGGCCATTGATCTTTGCCATCTTAGACTTGGACTCATTGGTTTCCATTCTTCGCCTCCTGAATATTCATATGATTTATCTCCTAGTTTTATTACTGTATCAAGTCCTATATTTGGTAGTGAAAAATTTTTGACACTTCTTTTTGTAACTTCCTCAGAGTTTGTATTATTTGAAAGTAATCCTAAGACATTTAATTGTTTAGTAACTCCACAAACTCCTTCTATTTCAATTGGTAGTTCTGAAATACTTAGTTAGTAATCTAGAAATAGTTATACAAAAAAGTCGAAATTACCTGCAGGATCATCAAGAGCAGAGAGAACCGTAAAAGATTCCTGAGCATTACTAGCATCTAATTTTCCATTTAATTCAGACTTTTGCACTGTATTTCCTGTATATTGACTCTCTTCAAAATTGCTTTCATCTATAAATGTATTTATGATCGAATCTAAAAAAGCAAAACATTAAGATCTATATGCTTAATAATTACACACAGTTACCAATAGCTTACTTACTATTTACCTTTCCTATTTTCTCTGTATAGCTAGAGATATTCGTCATTTGCCCAATATAATTATACTTAAGATTTAATTCTAGTCAAAGTGGAATTGTCAATATCGCAATGCCGCCTCAAGGTCTATGTAATACTATGAAGACCCTTAATAAGACTCAAATACTTGTTATAATATACTCATTTAAAAATGTATCCTATACTTTATCCTCTAAATAACTTAAAAATTATAATATTAGTAGTTGCAAACATATTCTAAATACAATTCTTAATAACATTACTAATTTAAAAAGTGTATAAAAACTATTTTAGACTCATAATCCATACTCAAAGCTGTTTTTTGCTATTCCGTTCTTTCTCAGCTTTCCATATATCCAATAAGAGCTTCGATATTATATTAAAAAGTGAATTGATAGCCATATAGCCATTTTCAGTGAAAAGTTTGCCAACATTAACACTAGTACATATATTACAACTTGTATTAGTAACTTCAAATTTCATTTCTGCTGTAGGTCTATCTAGGGATATTTTTATGTAGTATGCCTCCTTATTATATATCCAATATTCGGAAAGTTTCTTAGATCTTGAGGATGGCTGAGAGAATGATATAGAGTGACCACGGCAGGGAGAATAGTAATCAATAAGTAACAAAGTAGTCATACATAAAAAAAATCCAAATACACAAAAAAGTATAATATATTTCTGACCAGGGAATTTCGCAATAACAGAACCATATATTCCAAATAAAACAGCTAAAATCATTACAAAGTTCTTTCGATGAAATAATTGAAGTTCTTCCTGAAAACCAAGCATTGATAACATTGTATTTATTACATTTATTAAAAAGCGTGTCATATCATTCTCATTGTATAAATTAAGTAATTTGTTGTGTTGAAATTCCTTGCAAAGTTTTTTAAGAGCCACTTTACTTGTCTCCTTGTCTTTAAGGGCTTCAAATCCAAGCTTCTCACTATCTAAGGAATCCTTCTTCATAATAAGTATAGTCCTTCAAAAAAAAGTGACGTTAATAACCCTTGATTTAACTTTAAAATGTATAATAAATATTCAGAAAATAAAAAGTAAAAAAAGCACTTCACACGTACAGCCTCTTCAAATACTTAGGGCGGATATACTTAATATATCTTTAATCATACACCTTTATAAAAGTGGGTGAAATTTTAATATATACCAAATCCTAAAACATTTGTATAAATTCTGGTACAAGTAATTACATGTCATTCAGCCATCTTATTTAATTGTAAATTTCTCTAATACTACCTTAAGTCACGAAATAAAAAAGAAATTGCAAGGTGACAATGATGTGCCACTATACAAAAAAAGTATATTTCCTATTACTATAAATAATCTTTAGAAGTAATAAGTATTATTCTAATATATAGTTATACCTATCATCTTCTAGTTTAACAATAATTTTAAGAAATTAAATTTACTCAATCCCTATTCAATAATTATTTTTATGTCTCCCATATAAATATAATTAGACGTTAATACCTCATGCAAATGCACACAACTTAAAAAAGGTACTACCTATAACTGATATTTCTAATTGTTTAATTAGCATGGAAGAGCAATATAACTGCTTTATAAGCTTTCTTTATCCAAAGCCATCTAAATGGGAATGCAATAGTCAAGATATTTTACAGTATTATGTAAAAATATGGGATAAGTCAAAGTTAAAAAATAAGAAAACTTCAGATAAAAATCAAACAAATGCATCAAATTTAAGTGTTTCATAGCTAACTTTTTTTAAATCTTCAATAAGTTTATCTCTATCTGTAGAAAATTGGTATAAAGTCTTCAAATTATTGATGCTTATAGGGGATAATTCACTACGAGATCCATTTTGACGATTGCCATATATACAACTCTCTAATAAACTAGTTGCAGCTTGTAATTTTGTAGAGTAAAAATATGTAACCGCTAAATTATTTGCAGATATACTTGCTGATAATGAAAGATCAAAATTAATACCTAAAGATAATTCTTTATATAAAGCAGCAGATGTACTAAAGTCAAGTGAAGCAGCTACAGGATCATCCTGAATTAAATTTAATAGCCCATAATTGAATCTATGAGTAGCAATATTAACTGAATCTTTACTTATTTCATCACGATTAAGAATTTCTTGTATCCTATTAGAAATAGTTTCAAAAAGTTTGGTATCTCCATAATGAATACATAGTCTTGAAAATACTGACAAGCATGGAATATTGTTAGGATTGTATTTCAGTATATAATTCTCTAATATATATATTGCTTCTTGATAGTACTCATGTAGTACTAAAGTTGAGCATAATAAATAACTAGTAGTCTTTAGTTTATAAAACCATTTCCTATATTGAAGATTAGATGAAGATTCTCCCTTTAAATTATTAAATATTATATCGATTTCATTCAGTAATAAATATAAGTCATCAAGACAAAAAGTATATAAAGATTCATAGTTTTGATATTTATCATTAATCTGTTGGGTTGTATTATTATTATTCTGTATCCATAGCTTGTAAAACATTAATTTACCTTGAATAACATGGATACGAAAAAAAAAGAATATATCTCTTCGTATATTGGTATCTTGAGATTCCTGTGAGTACACATTTTCATTATCTCCACTTCTTCCGTATGGATATATTAGTGAATAACATGACTCCCACACTAATGGATCATAGTCCATAGGTGTCAAAAAATTAAAACAATTTATTTCTACTTCTCTTATATATTTATATGCATTTGTAGTATCATTTAAATATAGATAACAATGAATTAAGTAGCTCAACCAGTGAATGCCACATATATCATACAGATGTTTATTTAACTCACTTATTTTATCGGAATCTCTGTAATTTATACTTAAATCTAAATCTTTAATAGTGATATCTGAAGCTTCATAACTTAGAAATATATATCCGTCATTGTAAAATTTCATTATTGTATTAATACATGTGTTGAAGTCCCTTTCAAACAGTATTTTCTTGAATTGATCGTATGTATCATTACTTAAATATCTACGATTCTTACCTGATGATGGGGAGCTCATATTACAATTTTTATTTAACGTTCACATGTAATAATGAAAATTTTGAGGTAATCTAGTTTCACAAAAATTTATTTTTACATTACTTAAAATTAATAGCTATTTGAGCGGCAATTGTTAAGGCGCTAACAAATAAACTTAGGTACTAGTCTGCATTATGTAATACTTTGTTCACTTCTGAGGAATCCAATTACATCTTTTTTTATGCTTTGGAAGTTATTGGGGCTAGCTGATGTTTTGAAGCTAGCATATTAAATATCTATTTGAGTATGCTTACAAATAATAGAATAGAAACTTTGAAAAAGTATAGATCTATATGCAGTGAAGTGATAAAGAATCAGCTTTATCTAAGTGGATATAGCATTGCTTGTGATAAACAAATACTAAAAACATATGGAATTACTCATATACTTAACTTGTCTGGTGCAACATGTGTAAATAGATTTCCTGAAGAATTTGAGTATAGAACATACTATGTATATGATAATCAACAAGAATGTATTGAGGGAGTTTTATATGATGCATTGGAATGGATAGATTACACTTTAAATTACAGAAAGAGAGTAAAGAAGACTATAGACGATATAGAAATAACAATAAACTTGAATAATAAGACAAAATATGGAAAATTGTCAGATAATAAAAGTGATAAGATTGATACTAAGAATAATCGTATACTAGTTCATTGCCAGGAAGGAGTTTCTCGCTCATCAAGTATTGTTATTGGATATTTAATGTGGAAGAAGAAGAAGTCGTTTTATGATATGTCAGAACATGTAAGAGCATGCAGAAGTATTTCGAGTCCAAATATAGGATTTACTTACCAATTATTAGTATTTCAAAAATCTCTTAACCCATTTTTGCATAGAAAAGATGGAGACTATTACCCAAGCATAATTTCTGATGACTATATTAATAATATGAATAAAAACTCAAATTTGCTTGTTGAATTGGGAAATTGTACATACTCAATATTTTCAACTAGAATTTATGTAATATCTAAATATAACTTACCAGTATGCCTTATTAATTGGAAAGCTGAGAGCATACCCCCACTTAATAAATTCAATGTGTATATTTTACGTCAAAGTTTGGTCAACTTTTCATCTAAAAATAGGCTTGAAAGGATGTGGATTTGGATAGGCTCTAAGTACAATATTTCAAGTTTATGTAACTATTTAACTTGCATTAGAAATTATGCTAGACAGGTTTCAATTATTGAATTAAATAATCCGGTCCATAGATTGAATATAAAAGAAGATATTTCAAATTGTATTGACGTTGATTTTGCTTCTAATTTTGTACATAATATTAAGCAAGAATATTTAAACAATCCCTTTGAATTACAATATAAAGATGAATTTCCTCCACTAGTTGCAAATAAAGGATCTGTATACATCATATATATTACTGAAGGTTATGAATCAGCTGAGTTTTGGAATGTTTGTTTTCCAAATCGGTATAATGCGATTACTAGGTCAATTTCATCTCCCTCTATTTCTGGTATGTTGGAAAGACCTGATGATTTTGACCAAATTATCAACCACGATTATACAGATAAGCAAGTAGACAGTACAACTCTTAAGAACAGTAATTTGGGATGTAAAGGTAGTCTCAGCAGTGAATATGGAGATGCAAATTCAGATTTGTCTACTATGAATACTATGGATAAACAAGATAAAAATATTTTACAATCATCTCTATCTTTTCAGTCTTCTAATACTACTTCACCTTATAAGAGTAACAAAAATGGAATTTTATCTATATCTTCTACACTTTTAACCCAAAGTTGCTCTTGTACAAATGATCTCAATTTAAAATTTTCTTCTCTTATTGACGATCATCAATCCAGCGAATTATGCAATGGATTAAACCATGAGTGCAAAAATAGGCCCCCAGTGGTTATTCCACGTTTAAATATTAATTTAGGGAACTCTACAAACCATTTAAATAATATATTTAACAAGTTGGAGGTAAATTCGTATGAATTAATAGAACAAAGGAATAAAGATAATAATGATCAAATTCTTAATAATACTTTACTTTATGATAATCTCTCCTCTAGTAGGGATAATGAATTACCTTATGAAGGAGCAGACGAATTAACACCAAATAACTATTCATATATAAGTATGAACATAAATAGATCATATTTATTTAGATATCCAGACTACTTTAGTGATTCAATTGGATATTTTGATGCGGATGATTTATATCCTACTTCACTTTGTATATTAGTTGTTCCTATACTATCAAAGCATGGTACTAAAGAGATCCAGACTATTAGTACCTCAATTATTAATTCTAATTTAATAGAAATAAGCTACATTAAATTATATCTATGGGTTGGAAGTGAAAGTTTATATGAAAGTGAAGCCAAGCTACTAAATAAGGAGATAAGTGAAGGATATATTGAGGCAAACGAACTTAAAGAATTAAAAAGAAAAGAAGAGAATGAAAATATAACTGATTTGGAAATTCAGAGAACATTTGTATCAATCGATCAATATATAACACATGGTAATATAGCTATAGAAGATAGTGTGACATCTTTAAATTCAATCTTAAATACTGTAGATGAGGTTTATGATGATAAACCCACTTTGAAATCTATAGTCAGAGACTTTATAAATTCACATGATATATTTATAAATAAGAAATTGATATCCCTTCATGTTGAATTTGAAAATAATGAATCTGAAGTTTTTTGGGACTGCTTCTATAATTAATAAATGGAATTTTTAAATAAAGCAAGATAGTAATAATATTAGAAGGAATAAACGGTAGTATCATGTTAACAAGAGGATATTCTTAGTATAATAGCTATGATATTAGAACTATAAAATATTAGATTTTAACTAATTTTACATGAGTTCAAGTACTACTAATTTTTATTTTAAAATATTTTAAACTGTTCAGTATTATTGCGTTAATATTATTCATATTTAATTCATCTATGAATAATTTATAAGTATATACAATTAAAATATTGAATACTATTATTAAGTTTACAAGTTTATTTTATATATTTTCACTTTTTGACATTAATTTTACTCCTTCCAAAGTATTAATGATGTTCCAGCTAATCTCCATTGTTGGATATTTTCCCCTTTATTTGCAGGAACACTAAGCCATATCAATATTTCATCCCTAAATGAATCTTTATATACTGGTATACTTATTGTGTCATCCAAAGGATTTTGAGGTAGTAAGTTCAATTGATATTCATTATCATCTATTTTATCACTATAAATAAAATTATTTTCAGATTGTTTAACCCATTCTAGTCTAATTGGGGGAATCTCATAGGTTGCTCTATTTACACTAAGTTCAAATATTCTGGATACTGAATTCCACTCAATAGCAGTAGCTGTAATCCCTCCAATTGTAAAGCTACATTCAGAATTAGATTCAGATGCTGAATAATTATCATCAAAAACTGTAACTTTTGGAACCACATCATTGAGACTACAATCTAATAATTTTGCAGCATATTGTTTGCTAGCTGTAAAAAAGGCTTCAGGATCATAAAATCCTCCAAGCCAAACTGCTTTCATTTCTATACACTTAATTGCAGGAGTTATAGTCAAAACTATTGAAGAAAATAGTTCTAAATTTGCATCACCAGTATTTTTAATTTCATCTATAGCATTTATATCTCCACTTTTTAAAGGAATTTTTGATCTCAACTGGTATACTAATATACAGTATTGAGCTAATCTCTTAGATAAATCCGCAATCCATAAGTCTATAGAGGATGCAGGCAAGGGAAATAGATCAAACCAGACACTTGGTACTAAATCTGATTGTAGATCTAGTCCAATACCACGTAAATTATTCGTCAACTTAGATATTCCATTAAATACACTTTTTAACTCTTGTATATCTTGCCAAATTTGTTTATATCCACTTAAGCATGACCTGAATTCAGAAATATAAAATCTACTAATTGCATCTACTTGTTGAGATTCAGCTGTAAGTTTCGGAATAATTTCAAGAATACACTTTGAAAATGGTAACAAATGCTTTAAAATATTTTCAAGCTTATCTTGAACTCCAAACAGCCATGATGGTAAACCTGTTGTAGGTTGGCTAGTAAATGAGTTTTCAAGTTCACTCTCAGATAAATCTCTTGATATTTCTGATTCTTCAGAAAGATTTATATCAAAAGAACTTTCATCATAGTTCAGGTAATTCTGTTGTGAAACATCTTGAGAATTTCCAAATAATATTTGTGAATTTGGAAGCAGATCTGGTGTTTCATTTCTAGCCTTAACAATAAGCTTATGCCAATTTGTACTCATTAACAAACCTTTTTGAGCTAAAATAACATTTTCAGCTAATGGTGACAGACCAAGCCAAGTTGGTAAGTTTGTACTCGGCAGATTTTCAATCCAATCTAGATATACTTGGGGATTTTTTGCTGTATCAGGAGCAATAAGATTTGTTAAAGCTAATTTTTCAGACTTGTATAACTTAGACCAATTAGAAGTAGATGAAATAAGTTGGAAATTATCTTCAAAAGACTTTGAAGATAATATTTCACTAATAAGAATTTGCAGTATTTGTTTATCAACAACATTGTCTAGTCTTCCACCATATGACACTTGATATATAAGTTCCCTTATTGCCCCCCAAGGTATTTGTTCCGGATCGTTCATTTGTATCTCAGTTACCCATGTATTAATAATGCTAAGGGAACACTGAAGATCTGCTTCACTAAAGTTATAGAACTTTGTCCAGCCCAAAGGGCTATAACGTTTTCTTTCGAGTATAACTGCATGTAGAAATGCTACCAAAAAGTATAAACGAAGTTTAATTACTAGTAGTGGTGCAGATTGTTTAATTGATGTATTTAATAGTGCATCATCAGACTGCTGTTCCCCTTCTAAACATCTAATTGTAATTGTATTGGCCCTTTGTAAAGCTGCTTTAAGACCAACAGGAGACTCCAAAACAATTGTTGTTGATACTCTTATCAAATTCAAAGGTACTCCCAAGGCGGATTCTTTATTTGAATTCGCACACGTATTAAAAGATGCGTCATTAATTGATTTCTTACCGTAAATTTGATGCTTAGGCAACTCAGTAGACATAAACAATCTAAAGTTTTTATTTGGAGCTGATTGGCGATTCTGCAATTGCTGTTCCAATTTATCTAAAGAACCAGTAGATAAATGGATATTTTTCAATAATACCCAAGTTCCCTGTTGTATAGCTTTTGTGATTGTCTCATCAGCTTTCATTGCACTTTCTGAAGAACCTATTGCAATTGATGTAATTTTTACGTTGTTCTCCTTAGCTACTTGGGTCACAATCTGAGATGAATCAAATCCTGGGGATGTCACAAATAGTATCGGAGTAGATTCATTAACTTGACTATTTACTATGTTATTAAGTACATCTTTTGTTAGTTCATGGCTCTGAGTAAAACTTGGACCTAAAATTGAAGATATTAAAATATTAAAAGCCATTAATAGACGATCAGGACGTATTAGCTTAAGAAGTAAACAGTTTAGAATTCCCTCTTTAAATAATTGAACAGTTGATACTAAATGTTCATCAGATTTGGATTCAACTGGCCATAAGTCTTTGAAATTGCTATTTAAGAAAACTTCAGGTTCATTTGAATTTAACAACTGAATCCACTGACTTGTATTCTCGTTCATTGACTTTGGTATATTGGAAAATGACGGTAAAAATGAAATTATGTGATTGAGTTGACGTATTTGATCTCTATCTAAAGGTAATGATTTCGGAATTTCGCTCATAATTGAGTCATCTTTTAGTGTTTTCTTTTCTTCTTCTGTACCTAAGTCACTATTTTTCTTAGATGAAGTTGACAAGATTCCAAATACCTTTGTTAATATATCTATCTCTTTACCAAGAGTTTCATCTAGAGAAACTTTGTAGAAAGATTCTATATAAATCCTTAATAAATGAACACCCAAAACCATTCTGTCATTATAAAGCAAACCTTGAGAAACACGGTCAAAAGCTTCTTTCAAAAGTCTCAAAATGATCTCTTTCTGTGAGGATATATCTAGCTCGAAATCTTCAATAATAGATGTTTCTTCGGGATTTTCAATAACTTCAGATGTAGATTTTTTGTTTACTACTTCACCCTTTTCTAGAATTGTGAATAGAATTCTATAAAAAAAGTTTAGATCAAATTGATAGAATGAACAAATAGCTGGTAGATGTTGAAGTGTAAAGAATATTCTTGTAGCAATAAGAGATAGAGGTAGATAGTGACTCAGAACTTGATCAATATGTTGCATCGTAGACTCCATTTTTAGAGTCTCAGTTTGAATATCCTGAGCCTTTTTCTTTAAAACTTCAAGAGTATTGATAATATTTTCATCTTCCAGAATGTTCCCATGTACATTAGATAGAGCCAACAACAAGTTATCTTCACATTCACGGAGCTGTACACGATATTCCCCATGTAATTTTAATAGATCACTTCTTTTTTTATCAATATCTGGTCTCAAATGTTTGAGTATTAAATTTCTACATTGTTCGAATAGTGACGAGGGAGTTACCGTAAAATTTACCATCGTGACCCTACTGGTTATATCCGGACCAAATTGAATAGTAGGATCCTGTGTTGTCAAGTACATATTAAATTGAGGTGAAAAATCGACATCATTATCACCTACAGTTATCAGAGTTCGGCCTCCATGATTGTGAGTTTCCTGATTCAAAACATTGTATATTAGCGGATCTAAAGAAGAAGTTATATCTTGGATAATTAGAGAAGACCCAAATCGAAGTGCAGATTCCAGTAATTTAGGAAAGTTTGGGTCTCTAAAAGTTGTAGATTGCAATTTTGATGCTGCACTTTGACGCAATGTCACATTTGAAGTTCCACTTGAAGATCCAAATCTTGTTCCTGATCCTGAAGTTGTAACTGAAGTCTTAGCCGATTTTCCAGTTCCTGATGTAGATCCTGCTATTCCCTTGAATCCTCCTGCATTGCTAAATTCAGCCAAAAAAGAAGTTGCATGTCCTGAAGGATCAATAATTAGTGGATATCTAATGTGTCTTTTGAGTATTATAGCATTTTCTACAGACAAATCATCATTTGATAGATTGAAACTTTGCCATATGAGTCTCTCGCTAGGTTTTGAAAGAAAGTCAATAATTTTAAAGTTCGTAGCTTTTGTATGAGATAAATGATAGTCATCCATAATTCCTCTCCATATTGAAATCATTTGTGATCTCTGAATTTGATCTAAACCCCCAGCAAAGCATATGAAAGCCGAAGCAAGTAAACAATCACCCATTATATTAGACAACTCTGTCTGAAATCCTTCTTTTGTCTTACGCCACCTATCTTGTTCTGTAGTTAAATTTCCTAGAAGTTTAATGCTTCTTTCTACTTTGTTTGTAACTAATTCCTTCTCACGCTTTATAGATTGAACTTCAGATATTAACTCTGCATATTCTTTCTTATAAGTATCAATACGCTCTTGAAGTTCTTTAAGTAATTTCTGAGCTGCTGCAAGATTCTGTTCATTTTCAACTTTACTCTTTTCTAAATTACTGATTTCTTGTTTTAATGGCCCTACTTTTTCATTAATTGTTGAAAATTCAAGGATACTAGATACCCAAGATGATAAAGGACCAGCTGCATGACTAGCTCTGTTAATTTTTTCAGTATCCCACTCGGGAGTATCTAGATATTCCTTATGTAACCTTTGGATTGTCTTACTAGTTACTGCAGTACTATCAAAATTTATTACTCTACTAATAAAATCTGCACTCTTTAGGACTTTGCGACTTTCCTCCCAAACTTGTGGCTTATTAAAGTTGTTTGTTAAGAGTATAGCTACTGCATCTATTGTCATCTTAACTAAACTAGGAGGATTAGCCATTGATCTAAGCTCATCCAGATTTTTTTTAGGAATATTCGAAACGGCATTTTTTGCCTCTCTTAAAATAGGTTCAACTACTTTTAGTTGATTTTCAACTTCATTAGAACGTTCTGCAATTACAACTTGTTGCTCATCCAAAGATTTTGCCAGAACTTCTGTTGTCTTCTTTTTATCTTCAGCTTCTCCTTGTTCCTTTACCATCAAGAGCATTTTCTGCTCAGCTTCCGAATTCTTCTTGATAAGGGTTTGTTCTTTTTCTCCTAGATCCTTCTGTAAATTTGCAACTTGGATCTCAGTACTATGTAGAGTTTCTAAGCCAGAGGATAAATGTTGCTGCTGTTCCAATAATGAGTCATTCTTCTCTTTGTATAATTTCAGAATATGTTTCAAAAAATCGAAGAAGTCTCTTGGAGTTCTTTGAGATACTTGATGTGACAAGTTTAATACAGTAGAGTGATAACTGGGATTTTTTTTTCTATGGGAACTAATACTTGATTGATTATTAAATTTGTCTAATTCCGCTAAAAATAAATCTACTATACATTGTGTAATAGCAGAGATACGGTCTTCGTTATTTTCTATTGAAGGCATACAGCTTGTAGGAATTCTTTCAATAGTCAATATACTGGGATCAATGTCAATTATTGATGTTTCAGGAGTTACATCTGTATCTGTAAGTGTAGGTAATGCTGTATCTCCTAAATTAGATTCAGAATTAGGTCCAAAGTTGAGAAATGACCTAGCAATTTGATTTAAGGCTGAATTAGTTAATCTCCCCATCCAGTTTACTATACAACGATTAAACAGAGCAGGAGATAGTGATTGAGTTTCCTTAAAGTTGGGATTTGCAGGATTTAAAGTAAAAACAATGTGCAAATTCTCCTGTACAAGTTTCGTGAATTTAAGGAATAATTCATTGCTTTCATCCACAGAAATAGACACAGAAGCTCCATAAGCTGCTCTGCATTCATTTAACAATTGAGTATACTCATCTCCTTGAAATAACCCTGGTACTTCTCCAGAGGCTAATAAAGCATTCATTCTTTCAATAAATGCAGGTCCTAAAGCGTGAGATTCTTCAAATATAAACGTCAACTTCTCACCTTTAATAGCTGCTCTCTTCATTACAAGACGCAAGTCAGCTTCAAATGCAAATATGTCGTATTTACGTCCTGGTTTAATAGTAAAAACATGCAATCCATTTAACCATGATACTAAATTAGCCAACAAGGTTTTCCCACATCCTGGAGGTCCTATTAAAAGTAAATGACCAAAAGGTTGTCTTAAAACTCGATCTACTCGATTAATGTTATCTAGGAATTCATCAAATAGAACCAGTCGTGAAAATCCTTGTTCTTCATAAAAAGCGCAGAGTTTCTCTTGTAAGAATTCACAAATCGTGGATCTTGGCACTTCTTGACATACAGAAGTTACTAAACTTGTGAATAACAAAGGACGTTTTAAGTCTTCCTTTGATATATTAGGGAAGTACTTTATTATCAAGCTATTCATCATTTTTTGAGACCATTCTCTCTCAGATTCTTCAACTAGTCGATCTTGGAAAATCCTCTCTCCCTCATAAAGTACTAGTCTTAGTAGATATCTTAAATCGAATTCTTGATTCTTAGATTTAAGCTCTTTTATTTGCTCAATTAAATTGGGTGATAGAGAGGAATAGCTAATTGAAGAATAAGAGTCTCCGTGACTTTCATTCGCTGATACTTTCTCGGTCAAAGATGTTTGTCCTTTACCATGGATCCCTGAGTACAAGGAAATTTTCCATCTAGTTAAGTCTCGAGGAGAGTAAATATAATGAGATTGGAGATCCACAGTAAGTGTCTTTTCAGAAAGATCATAAATGTCTACCATTAGTGAAGTTAAAGCCTCAGAATGTTCATACAGAGTTGGGAAAGGCTTGAGAATAGCCCTATTAAAGACAGAGTATATTTGTTTAAGTGACTTTGTACCTGGGAAATCCACAAAAAGTACTGGAGAATGTCTAAGAAATCGATCAGATAGAGGATGTCTTCCAGTATCTGTTGGAGGATTACATGCCCCTACAAACTGAATTCTTTCTAGAGTCACAAAATTCCACTGCGATCCATCTTTTTTCCAATATCCATGCGACTCGACTAATTGCCTTATAAACATTATAACTCTCTGAGTACCATATTGATCAGGCTCTGGGAGATTACATTCGTCACAGAAAACAACAAGCCATTTATTTGGTACTACGGGTCTACAAATCCAGCCTTTTGGAGCTTTCACAAATTCACAGTAGTGATCTAAAGTTTTGATGAGAATTTCTGGAGTTGTAGCTGATGAAAAATTTAGGGACACAACGTCTACATCTGACATATTCCTTAGGACAGAAGATAGGGTCATAGTCTTACCACTTCCAGGAGGACCACATAGAATGGCTGGTAAATGTCCATTTATCCAAGCATGTAGAATATGATAGTGTCTTAAAGTATCAACAGTTTCTATAATAATACTAGAATCTAAAACCTGACTCAAGGATACTTCAACCACTTTTTTATCTAGATCATGTGACCAACGTTGCCAAGAGCCCGAATGCACAAGTACTCCATAATCCAATAATGAAGTATCAATATCTTCATTATTCACAAGATCTTGTGGTAAATCTGTAAATGTTACAAGTTTTGCTAGTTCTCTAGTATATGCAATTCTGTCAGCTAAATTCATACTTGATGAAAAACCCCAAATAATACTCCAAATAAGCCAATTATTGAAAAATAGAGTAGATGAAGAGATATCAAATCCAGTGTTATTTGATTCATATTGTTCCAAAATAAGTTTAACTCCATAGTTTAATAGAGAAAACATATTTCCTATCACTCTTATTCGTGTAAAGGTCATTACATGAGGGAAATTAGATGCTAGTGTCAAACATTTTGATCCAAAAAAAGTAGAAGCTCCAGTATTCCCATCTGAATCACCTTTTTTAGTTCCTATAAGTAGTGAGGACCATATTGTAAACGCCTTGTTTCTAACTAAGGTCTCTATATCCATTTCCTGAACTTGATCACCATTAGATAAAGATAGTGAATTTACAGCTGAAGTAGCAGTGGAAGAGTATCCCACTTCAGATATAGACCCAGGCACTCCAGATATTCCGAGTGCTGAAGGTGGAGATGATAAGATTTTATTATTCAAAACTGTCTTAATAGTTTTGTATAGGTAAGATTTAAAATACATTTCATCTGTTATTATATCTTCGCTAAACCAAATCATACCACAGCGTGAAACTGTAGCTAAAGTTGCAGTAGCTAGAGTATGAACTTCAAATATAATTCGAACACAATTTGGTAACTCTAAACGCTCACCATTAGGAAGTGTAAGAATTTTGTTATCATCCAATACAGAGTTTAAGTTTTCAGCCCATTCTGGGTCAACATCACCATCAAATACTATCCAATATCGTTTATTAGGGGAAGTAGAACTGTCTATCAAGGTGGAGGGGGTAGTTAAAGGTATAATGGAAGATGCTGTTCCACCTGCTCCCATTGTATCACCACTACTAATAATTTTTCTAAGTAAAGCTGTAAATATTCCATCAGTCCACTCCAGAGTTACAGGATTTAGTTTCCCAAAAAGACTTTCTTTATCAATAGTTTTAGGATCTATAACAAAAACACTACTTTTACATCCCTCTACAGCATCCATCGCATCCAGAAGGATCTGTCTAATACTACTTTTCCCTGTTCCAGTAGACCCTACAAGCATTACACCATGATTTAATTTTTGTATTTCATAAAGCTGAAGTGCTTTATCCATCCATCTTGGGCTAGGTTCTAGTGAGTTTTGGTAGCAAAAATTACAAATCTGTTCCTCCATAACAAGATCATGGACAGACTCAGTAGATACAGATGGAAATACTCCTTGAAACAAGGTTGATAATAGAGGGATATCTCTAGCTATAAGTTTAGGTAGCAAAGTGGATGATATAGAGCGGATAATTAACTGTTGCTCACTTTTTAATATATTAGAAGTCTTATCATCACTTTGATGATCATTAGGTAAAATATTTTTTTTATCCATAGTTCCCATTTCTGAATTGCATGTTTCTAGATCAGGTATTCCCCCTAATTGTCTCCTTTTTAGTTTTCCTGCAGACTTTAAAACTGATTTCATAGAGCGTAGACCAAAGTCATAATGAGGTTGGTTACTCATTTGAGATTGACAAAGTTCGAACAAAGTGACAATTTGTTTAGAAATGATGTTTCCATATTGAAATCCTTGTGCAAAAAGAGTTACTTCAGCTATTCTTTGTTTATCTGGAATAACCATAGCAATTTCTCTTAATAAGTGTTTAAGATTATCTGGGAGTTCAGATCTTCCGGCATATCCTGGGTTCATTGTTACAAAAATCCCAACATCAGGACTCATTGGAACTACTTTATTAAGTAATTCAACTGTATTGCTTTGCCTAGAAAGAGCTGTCTGAATTGTCAGAATCTGTTCAGAAACAGCTGAAAGAATTCTTGCTTGTAGTCTATTAAATTCATCAAAACATCCCCAGGCTCCTACTTGGCATAACCCAACAAAGATTCTGCCCATAGCTGTAAAGTCGAATCTTTCATCGCAGTTAAATACTAGAACAAAACGTCCCATTTGATTTCCTAGTGCTTTTACCGTTTCAGTTTTTCCTGTACCAGCAGGACCAAATGGGTTGCCTCCTAAGCGCATATCTAAGGCTTGAGTTAAAGTTAAATATGTCCTATCTGTTAAGGGAGTTTGAACTAGTTTCTCAGGAATACCTAAGTACTCATAACCATAGAGAAATGTTGCATTTGATATACTAACAACAATTAAGGAATTGCTAGAGGTATCATTACTGTTTGAGTTATCATAGTTAATTAAGGTGTTAGCTAGACTTTTCTTGTCTGTAGAGGTGCTGTCTAAACCTTCTATTCGTCTAGAATACATTCTCATATACTGTAACCAATGAAAACTTTGAGGGCTATCAACTCCCACAGAACTTAGGTAAATTAAAACATCTCGTTGATGCACAAATTCTACAATCATTTCATTGTATTTTGTTTTTTCACTATTAGATTCATCAAACTTGCTAACTATATTTGTCAAGGCTGAGAGAATAGCTTGAATCATTTCTAAAAGTTGTTTGGTACTTTTTAATACAAAACTTTCTTCAGTCCTTTGAGTCCACCAAGTTATCCAAGCTACTAGCAAAACTTGAGCTGGGAATTTTGAAAAGATTTTTGATAGTTTCATATTCAAGGTCTCATTCTCATCCTTAATGGGACATGGAAATTCCTGAGAAATCTCACTCACAGCTTGTCTCATAAGATCTTTTAGTGTATCTTGCATTGCTACGACAACATTATTTAACCAGTCAACCAGGGAAGTATCACTATAAATATTAATGGGTTTCTTAAAGCTTATTTTTTCCCCTTCCTTAGAAAACATTCCAGTTATTATACACTCAATTACTCTGAACTGTTTAAAAGCTGAATTATCTGAATTAGTTTCCATGTTATTTTCGCTCCCCTTAATAGAGAATTCAAGATAAGAAATACCTGCAAAAATTTTACTAAAGTGTCTCTGAGCCACTGTAACATCCTTTCCATTTCCAATCATCTCTAGTAAGTCTTCATCTCCAATAAAGTAAAAGCGTGGAAACATACTTCGTTGTTTTTCTAAATACTCCCCTAAAGCTTTTTGAATCTTGTTTAAATAGTCTGACACTCTTTCCAGAGACTTCACTAATCCTTCAAAGGATAAAATATCCAGAACTTTAGGTTTACTTAATGATCTTTTCAATATTACTTGAACTTCATGATCTACAGTATGAAATCGGTTATACTCCTGTGGCAGAAGGTTGGCAATATCTGTACTAGCTATGAATATTCCTTGTAAATATATCCAGCGTCTTTGAGTTTCCATCCACAAATCAATTATCGATCTTAATCTCGTTAACTTCTCAACCCAAGTTTGACTTTCTTCTCGAAAGATCTCATAATAAGGTGAAAGGGCCATATTTTGAAGAGCACTTAAGTGATCGTCTATAAGGGATAATATGACATCCCAATTCTTGACAACTTTTATAGATGCGTTAGAAGGTAGAGTGGTAAACTCTACTTCTAAAGAAGTCCAAATTTCCTTAATATTTAATAAATAAGTTTCCAAAGTATGTTCACCTTGAGCTTTGATAATTATTTCTGTTATTACAGCTCCTGAAGTATCAAAATCTATGCTCCATACATCTCCCAAAGTTAATGTAGATAAAATTGATGCTGAGAGTATTGAGGAACTGTTACTAGAAGAAAGTGCAATAATTTTGTTTCCAGAAGCTGATCCTGGAGATACAATTGAAATGGATGAATCTACTGAAATATTGGAAGGTGCAGATGTTAAAATAGATTTTCCAGAAGCTCCTTGAACTCCTCTAGTTGCTTTAAAGCTTCCATCTAAAACACTAACCCTTGTCTTTTTATCTTGCCATTTAACTTTGCTAAGAAGAATTCTCCAGTGTCTTTCCTTGAAAAAATCAACCTTGAGTTTTGTAATATATAACATATACTTCATATAATCTTTCACATCCATTTCCAATTGATCAAAAGCATCATATTGTCGATATTTGATAGGTATTGACTTTATATTTGTTAATAGTTCTTCTAAATTAGATTTTAGAGTTTTTGGGTTAACACTAACCCAAAGAGTACTTTTAAGCCCATTGATAGTAGTAAAGAATATATTCAGTTGACTCCAGATATCTTTGAAATCTTTAAAGTCCTTAATTGCAACTTCAAATGTATCTCCTGTTATCTTTTTAAGTTCAGAGTCTATCCAATTTGAATCGAATTTAAAGGCCCTGAAAATTAAACGATATGAATCTACATCTTTATGGACAGTATTCACCTTTTTTTCTATAAGAGTAATTTGATCCAATATTATAGATGGATCTTTAACAAACGTAATACTTCGAAGTTGAGTCCACTCATTTAGTAAATTTTGATAGGTTTGGAATACGAGCTGTACTGTCATCTTAAGGTAAGTCTCAATCTTACGTCTATTTGGCTGTATAACAATACTAAAGCAGTGATCCAGGCGTTGGTGGGTGTTTTCATATTCACCCTCAAACTGTTCAGCCCAAATCCAATCATTTGGAAAGGTGAAACGTTGAACTTCCAGAAATTTTTGCCCATCTAGTAGCAGTGGTAAATCACTACCTAGCTTTGCATCAAATTCCTGAGCTGAGATAATCTTAGAGCTTAATTCCACCAATGTTGAATGTAAAGAATTTCCATTATTTGGTAAATTGACCATTATAGAACCTTCAGCTAGAATTTGATTTGTATTTAATGTAATAGAGAATAGATTTGAAGAATTTTTGTCTATCCATGATAACCATTCAGGTAGAAAAGGTTCTAGCTTGTTCAGCATAAGTTTGATGCTATTAATAGAAGTCCAATAATTGGATAGTTGTTCATTAAGCTTAGTTGCATAAAGATGTAATACTTCCCTAGCTAAGCTGTCATACTTGTTAGTTATTTTAGCCTGAACAGAAGAGACTTCAAGACCTATTTTGGGGCTAAACCACTTCAAATCGTCACTCATGTTAAATGTTGATCTTAAATTTCTCATGTCCCTCAATAATAGTTGCCATTGGCTCAAATTAATCAATTGGTTTGTTACGCTGTTCAATTCAACAGTCCATAAAGCCTCAAACTGACGCCAATGATCTATTGAGTTATCAACAGAAACAAATAAATGGTCTAAAGTTTCGTAGCTCCACTCAATAAGAGATTCTGGCAGCAACAAAATTAAGTGTCGATATGTATTATCTATGGGAACTTTCTCAACAGCTCCTATATCAGTAGAGCTAACCCATGGATGAACTGTATCAGATATAGTAGTTGAATCAGATTTCACTACAGGAGACTGCACAGCTGACTTCAGTTCCTCTATATTAGATGCTACTTCCATCTTCTTTAATCCTATCTTTAATTGTTGAGCAAAAGGGGAGTTAGGTGAAATACTTACTACATCAATAATTCGTCTCAAACTAGTAAGCTGAGCTAAAGCTTGATGGAATCTTTGGAGCCAGTAAGATTTTAAATCATCTAATGAAGGATTTAAAGTGATTTTTTGATCTACTAATTGAAGAGTAATCACCGTTTGAGGAAGGTCCAAAAGAAGATTTGAGGATGTGGGTATAGTCAAATTATTTCCAGTAGATAAGTTTCCTCCAGTGTTTGAACTTACTGTAGGTCCCCCAGATATTTGCAATCCTGCAAACTGTTGTATCCAGAGAGTTATAAATCCCTTTAGTTTTGGAAGTAAATAAGATTGAATTACCTGATCCCAGTAAAACAGATAGTCTATTCGATATGCTAATAAAAGTTCTTGCAGACTATCACTAATACTATAAATTTTGTTCATATGTTTAACTAGTTCATCAAATCCATTGTAAATTGGAATATTTTGTATCTGATCAATAAGAGTCGAGAGTTCCTCATCTATAGCTAAAACAGTTTCAAATCTAGCTTCTAGAATATCCACAGAATCATTAAATTTTCCAATGAAAGCATCCAAATGATCTGAGGACCACTTGAGAGTTAAACCATCTTGAATAACATTATAAACATCGTTTCTATAAGGAGTTAACAAAGGTGAAATTCGTTTTCCAGGTTCCATTTCCAAGAAAGTTGAAATTCTCATCCAATTCATGCACAAAGAGTTTAAACGAGTAATATAGGGATATAGAAGTTTTAGCTCATCAGACAAAACTTTAACACTATAAGGGACTCTATAGGAATAGGACTGAATAATTCTTAGATCCTTAAAAAGTGATAGAATATTAGGATCTATAGTAGTAACCAAAATTGAATTTGAAATAGTGGCATTGTAATTCTTTTGTAAACCGAAAACTGGTTTGTTCAAGTCATAGGTAACTTTGTCATCCTTTCTGCGCTGTAGCCAGTAATCTACAATTTTGCTGGGATGAATCTTTGAGGTAATTTGATCTCCATCACTTTTCACTTTATGTCCCTGAGCCTCAAATTCCCAGTTAGAACCAAATATGCTCTCCAATTTTTGATAAATGTTTTGAATCCTGTCCTGCAGTAAATGTGACCATATTAAAGTGCCACCAACATTAGGAATATCGCGTAAATATGAGAATTGAGACGCTGCATTTGACTGATAAGGATTTTGATAGCGAGTTTGCAGAAGTTTAAAATCAGCTTCGACCTTTTCTAGTAGAATATTTTGGTACTCCTCTACAGCATTTCGAATTCTTGGTCTGAAAAAGAGAACATTATAACGCCCTAAAATATGAAACATATCCAAAGTATTGCTTGCATTATTAAGTTGTTCTCGAAGTTGCTTTATTAGTAGAGTTTCAGAAGCATCCATTTTATTATTGTAAGCTTGTTTCCCAGCCTCCCAAGTTTCAAGTCCAATAGAGGAGAGATCCAGTATATTTATGTTAGCTACACAAGCATAAGCCTGTTCTAAATCTTTTTTAGCTAATGTCTGAAGCATATCCATTCCTCCCCTAGTAGAAGCTGTTGTTTCATTCCTTGTATCTCCAGATCGACTTGTTAAGAGCTCAACAAGAGTATCTTTAAGTTTCTGATGCTGTTTACGAAAAGCAACAATATCATTTAAACGTTGAATCAAGGGTATATGATTAAAATCTAGTTTAGGGTGTGCACGTTCAGATAAACCTCTCTTCTTAATTAGATCTCGAATAATTTCCTTTAGTAGACGCCACTCATCTTCCCATGTTTGGGCCAGTTCATTGCATCCATTTACAAGATGTTCAAAAAGTGGATATTCAAGGTTCATAAGTGACACTTTACTAGGAGTATTCTGAAGTACCTTATATAGTTGCCTAGTCATATCTGCAGAATATACTTCAACAAGCTGAAATACTCTGGAAATTGGATAAGCAGCTACAGCTTTAATCTTTCTTATATGCTGAAAAAAAAGATGAACTGCAGATATTATCTCATCTACTGTTGATGCAACAAGCAAGTCATTTATAGGTAAGTCGTGAATTAGGGAATTCACACTTTGAACTCTTTCTAGAGTTTGTTTAAGACCCGTATCAACTTCCAAAGATATTGCTGCTAGAAATTTTTTGGTCTGTCTTAGAACAGCTAAACTCCATTCCACCTCTACGCTTTGAATTTGCTGCATTATCTGTTGTAAGCTCCTCTCATAGGAGGACCAAAACTTAACTTCTGATGTTACACTTAAACCAATATCACGTTGGAACCTTGCAAGAGATTGGATATCTCGAATCCACTGAGTTAAAGACATCTGTAAACCAGATAAAAATGTTTGATCATCTGCAATCCCATCCATATTTATTTGACGACCGGAATTCTTATACTCTTTTGCATATTCATAAACTCTAGAATCTAAAACTAAACGAACCATCGGAACCATGCTATCATCCTGACCCTGTTGTAAAGCTATGCATAATTCGTTAACTTTTCTCTGAATATTATCCAAACCTAGATATGCCCCTGAAGAGCCAGATATATTAGTTAAGTTAGAATCAACTCCATCAATACCTTCTGTGGAATCATTTAATGAAGAAGAGTTTTTTACATTACCTAAGACTCCCAATAAGGGAGTAAATGCATATTGCAGATACTGATTTAAAACTTCATATGGGGTAAACTTTGAGTCCACAAATCCCAACTGGATACACTGAAGGCTTGAAGCTATTGTTCTAGTACTTTTTATTGGAGTATGTTTTCTATCATCATCTCTTTTCAGTGATTCACTTAAATTACCATGATCTCGATCTGCGCTTGTAGTTATTATTCCATCTTCAGACACTGCAAACCCGAGATTCTTAACAAAGACCATTAAAGATGCCTTTAAACATCTTGCTGTCATACTAGTTTCTATAAATAGTTCATATTGTGACCAGGTATTTCCATATTCCAATCCACTCCCATCAGATGAGAGTGATCTAGATACTTCTTCCTGGTTATCACTTAGTTCTACACCCTGAGCTGGATTTCCTTCTACAGGCTCCTTGCCTACTATCAAACAGTGAATATCAGTATCACGTAAAAACCTCTTCAGAGAATCATCACCATGACTTGTAAGTAAAGATGTTAATTGCTGTCTTGAACAATCTAGTACAGAAGGTACTACTTCTAACAAGAAATTTATTAGTGCTGTCTTTATTCTTTGACTCATTAGTCAAAGAATTTATATCATCTAGTACTTTTAAAAGTTTTGCAGACGTTTATACTATTTTATTTAATCCCCACTTTATATTGTTAGACCCCGATATAAGAAAGGTATCGATTGTATTACTCCTTGGCGGGATATGAAATGTGATGTTACTATTTGTAGTTCTTTATGCATGCCCCTTAGTCCAACTTAAATATATTTAGAGAGGCTAAAATACGCCTAAATAAACGACTATAATATAACACTATACTATGATCTAAAATATTTATTTAGTTAAGATGCATACATTCAGTTCTCGCATTTTATAAGGTGTACTAATACTTAGGACGGTTTAAAACTCGAAAAGTAAAAGTTTGATGTGATATACTTAAAATTCCTTACATTTTCTTTCCTCTAAAAATAATGGGATCTTACAAAAAACCTAGATCATTAGAAAATATAAATTCAAAGTAATTACCCCAACTTCTGTGCCGGAGTACAGTAAAAGTCAGAAATTTTCATATTTGGTGCAAATTTGTGTATCTGCTTAGTTTAGCAATAAGTACCAGTGAAGATATGCTTACTAATAATATGCATGCCTTGAGGAATATCTTTATTCTATTCCCCTATTAATACCTATTTTATTAAAAAGATCAAACTAAACAATACATGGACGTTGCATTTTACAAATAGGGAGAAAATGAACATTAGGAGTATAATTAAACTCTGGACCAATATTAATTACTGCAGTTGCCCCCATATATAGAGAAAGGGCTGGGTGATAAAAACCTGCAGGAATATCAGTATAATTAGTTTCCAGGACTTTTCCATTCACAGAAAATTGTACTTTTGAACCTAAATATTAGCAAAATTTGTTTGTAAAAAAATCAAAAATAAGAATTTCTTTTTGTAAAATACCTACCTTTATCAATAATTATTGGTGGCAGCTTATCGGGATTGCATAAAAGACCCATTTCAACAAAAGGATGAAGTTCAGGCCTTGTTAAAGGATCAGGCAAATCATAAGAAGTATTGTTTAAAGTAATAAAGCATCCAACTATATCTCCTGTGTTTAATGGCTTGTAATTAGGCAAACACCGTTTTTTGCCATTATTGAAACAGCTGCAGTCTGAACTACTCAGTGAAAATCCAAAAGAATTAGTACCTACTGGAACATCGTATCTACTATATCTGCAAGACCATCCAACCCTATTTAATAGAAATAAAATGAAACGTACATTTAATGTCGTAGTTTAGCATTTTTATTAAGAAGGAAAAGTAAGAAATAGCTTATTGTAATTCCTATACTTACCTAATACTAGGTTTACAAGTTTTGGTCACACTCATTGGATATCCAAGAAATGGTTCTAATTCGACAGGATTACCTATAGTTATCTCAAAATACCATGATCCAGAACTAGATCCATGAGATAATAGAACACTACTCCATCCTTTATACCCCTTTGCAACGAATCTATCCTCTGACAATTCAATAAATGAGTCTTTATATCTAACAGAAAATACTGGAAATGACTTATTGTCTACTTTACTCTTTTTAATGCTCCCTTTTCTTATCTTTTTAAATTGAGAATAAAATACTGGTTCCCTTACAAATCCCACGTTGTTGGATAAACTAAGAAATCTATTCTTTATCTCAGTATTTCGTTTGTTTACCTTCAGATATTATTAAAAATATATAGGAAAATGTCATTATATTTGATAGTTAACGCACCTCTTCCATAATTTCCTTTTGCTATTCAGTATTAAATACGATATGAATATCCCAGTTAATGGCTATTGGCGCAGCACTGTAGTATACTATAAGTAGAAAGATAAAGTCCAGTAAAATAATATGGGCAAAATACACTCCAAGACAAATAAATGCTACGACAATAGTTTTCTGTTAACTAAATTACTTTAAAATGGTATTTAGACAAGATATATGTATTCAAAACTTGCTTAAAAAAAAGAACCTCTTTAAATTAAAGGAAATAGTAATAGTTCTAGGAAATTTTTTAGTAATAAAAGCAAAAAAAAGATCCTAATAATACATATCAAAATAATTAAATTAAAGTAAGAAATTTGTTGAATTTGGAAATAGTATAAGTTTAAATATAGCACTATTAGCGCCATGTTCCCAAAAGTAAATTTTTGACCTCTAACATTTCTACCTTTTGACTCTCTCTTACTAAAAAAAAATAAATAATGAAACCTACCATAGAAAATATACCTATTACTGTCGAAGGTCAAATAGATATTCTTTTAAAACTAATAGAGCAATATGCACCTATTTTGGCTCCTAGTCCAAAGATTTGTAAAATTGATTATACTAAACTTAGTAAATTATCAAATAATCCATCTAACGTAAGTTAATTAAAGATGAGTAAATCCAAATTATTTGAAAATTCAAGCTTAACTTTTATTTGATTTCCTCAATAACAATATTAATGACTAAAAATTGTGTTTTATAAAAGAAGTGTTGCAGTAGATGTAATAAAACCTTCGACTCATTTTATTTATGGCCTGAATTAGATATTAACCCTTTTAACAAGCAAATCACTATATTGAGTGTACAGGTAGGTCTTATATATTATTGGAGTCTTTATAGAGACTTTACTATTAACAAGCTGTCATTTATACCTTTTATTTTTAGGATGTTTGTACTTTATGCCTTAATATATTGGATTTAAATACTCTAGTCAACTCGCTATTAAGAGATGACACATCATTATATACTCATTTTCTTCAAGTAAATGGTATAGATCCACTAAATCAAATGAACTTCCAACATTGTATAACAATTGTAATGAATATTCAGGCATTATCTAGGTAAGCTAACAAACGAAGAAATATATAGCCACTAAAGGCAGTTCTTTTAGAGCTTTGATTTAATTAACTTTTATTCATATATACTTATCTTTTCTTTAATTGGGAATTTCAGAGAAATAAATTGGAATATTATTGATAAGTCTGGTTTATTCCTTCTTAAAGTATAGTATATACTGTAAATATATATAATAACAATTTTCTATTCATCCCATATGGTTACTTCTTAATTTTTACAATTATTGATTTACTTATAGCATTATTTATTTTGATTTTTTTTTTTTTTTGAGTTACCATGCAAAACAAAGCTGCACAATATTGTCCCTGTAACGCGCTTCGTGTGTATATTCAATCTTTCCATTTAGAACTGAAAATATAACACTTTACAACACGAATTAATCCAGAAATTTGATGAAGTGTTACTAATAGTTCAAACAAAATATATTTATAATTTCTTTGTTTCCTTTGTAAGAATGCTGAATAATGTCATTTTCTTTTTATTTCTCTGGGTGATTGGCATACAAGCTGAAGAGGAAGTAAAAAGTCACTTAAATTTATACATATGCGACATTTTAGCAACATATCCTCATATACATGAGCATAAAACTAGAAATAATGGGTATTTAGATCCTTCATTCGTGGTTAATAAATATCCATTTACCCAAGGTTTGTTATTTTTGAATTCTAGTGTATTAATAGAAAGTGCTGGTTTGTATGGAGGTAGTTTTATTAGAACATTAGAATTTCCAAGTATGAAATATATTGACCATAGATTGCTATTTTCTGAGTTTTGGGGTGAAGGAGCTGCTATTTTAAATAATATACTTTATCAATTGACTTGGAGATCTGGTATTTTAATTGCATACAATACTACCAATTTATCTATTCTTAAATATTATAAAATCCCATTTGTTGGATGGGGTTTAACATCAGATGGAACTTCAAGATTATGGGCAACATCAGGCGACTCTAAATTATTTGAATTATCTATCCCACCATTAGATTCAAATTATAATTTAATTAGTATCAAAAGAAGGATTGATTTGAATTGCATGGGCCAGCCATTAAATAATTTAAATGAACTTGAATACGTTGCAGAAACGAATACAATATGGGGCAATATATTTGAATCTTCTCTAATCGTAGAAATTGATCCAGAAACTGGAAATTGTAAATCCTTGGCAAATTTAAGTTCAATCTATAATCCAAGGAAAAGTTCACTTTTACATCACACTGACATTTTCAATGATGTTCTAAATGGTATTGCATATCATCCCATTTTAGAATCTTATAGAAACAACTCCACTTTTCCTAGTAAAAAATTACCAATATTTCTAGTTACTGGTAAAAGATGGCCGAGGATGTATGTTGTTCAATTAAAGAAAATAAATTACAATATTCAAAATCTAAATTGGCAAACGCTTCCACAAATTCAAGAATTTTATCAAAATCCACTAATAAAACGTGAAAATTATGGAAATCACTTTTATTCATAGTATTTTTGGTAGAAATACTTTTTTTTAGCTATAAAATAATAAATTTTATTTCAGCTTCTGTTCACCAAACTTTTTTCATTTCATATACTTGAGGTTTAGTAGCTGAAACAATACTTGATAAACTTAACGTTAATTGAATAATTTGATCGCACAATAAATCGTACGATGGATTAGTAATAAATTTTATAGCTTTAGGAACAATGTCAATCTCTTCATTAGCTTCAAAAACATTGAATATTGCATCTTTGTCCCACTGACTATCACCAATACTTATAATATTTTTTTTCCCATGAACAATGGCTGAAAAGTACTTGATTACACTTGTGAATGCTCTATATTTCCAGAATACCACATCATTTACCTTATTTGTTGAGAACTGTCTTGCTGAGCAAATAGGCACCTTTTTAAGGAGTGGTAATATGTGTTTTAGATGTAATTCAGCTGTTTGGTACACCCAATTAGGTGAAGCATTTGTTATAATCACAACCTTTCCTAATTCAAGAGATTTTTGTAGAAATTGAGCTACCAGTACCCCATATGAATTATCTAAAAGGTTCACTTGTCTATTTTCATATAGCCAAGATGTAGGAAGTAGTGTGTCATCCCAATCAATTATAATTAGAGTACTATCTGGTTTTGTAAACTCACAAAGACTCTTACGCACCCTTCTACTAAATAACTTAATATATTTGTTAGTTATTAACATCTAATCATCTAAGTGATTCTGTTTATTTTGAATTTCAAGTATGAATGTTCATAGATTTTTTCCAGAAAAGTGAACTTTCCGAGATGACAGACCCATAGGAAAATCTCAAGTTCAAGGTTAACTATGAGAATAAAATACATATTATATCAAGAAACATTAGATTAAGATCTTATAAGTACTATATTTTAATACTCAAAAAGAAGAGATAAATACAGTGTAGCTTCATTCAATGCACATTTGCAGTACCGATAATCACCCGCCTTATATTTTCATGTGGCTAACATGCGCTTGTATCAATTTTTAAAACTCCTCTACTCATTTACATCTTAAAATAAAAAAATAATGGATTTTTTTTTACTAATGAGTTTAAGTGACATATCTATCATTTTTTGGATTTTTCAAGAGCTAAAACATGAGTGAAATAGAAAAAAAATTAGTAATAATAGGAAAAAATGAGATATTAGACTGGGTAAACAATACTTTTAGCACCAGTTTATCTTGGAGTGATTTCCAGGATGGCTCTATATTCCTCAAACTCTGCTTTATAGTGTGGCCCAATTTAAAGAATAAAAGAAGCCAATTTGCAAGTTTAAAAGACCCTTGGGAACAAATTAAAGCTATTTTCTATACAGTGAACGCTCCCTTTGAAGATATATTTGATAAGAGTGGAGTTGAAAATGGGAAATTTTGTTCTATTTATAATTCACTTGTTGCACTATTTTTTCTATATCATTGTGCATTTCAACAAGAATCAACATTTGAATTTTCACCACCACCTAGTAGAAACATAGCTAAATTCTTGTCTGGTGATGCCTCAGTAAAATCACTAGTTATTGGGGGGAGTTTACAGTTATCTCCTAGAACCCAACTACGTCTTTTTGAAAATGATACGGTTCCAACTATGAAGTTAGATAATATGATAAAATTTTCTACTACAGAATCTACTTTGCCATCTTCAAATTCTACTAACAGTATAGATGGACCTATAAATAATCCAGTACATGAAAATAAATACTTTTCAGGTATAGATAGCTATATGGTTGAATTAGTTGAACAAATTAAAACTTTTTTTAGTAACTTAGGTGAACGGTTACTTGAATCAGAAAAGTGTGGTTTACCAAATGAAATAGATGATTTTGCATCACAAGTTAGAAGTTCTCTAGAGTATTGTACAAGGCAATTTATTCGACAAAAAGAAGAATATACTTTACTCAAACTTATGCATGAAAATCAAATAAAACATTTGGAAGAAGAGTACACGAAAAAGATCGAAACATTAAGGTTTGAATACGAGGAAAAAATTAGAGAAGTAGAACATGAATCTCAATTGATGTTAGTGCGTGAAAAAAAAAATTCTCAAAATGCCTTAAGAGCCTTACAGAGTAATCATGCAATGAGTATTCAAGTAACATCTGTAAATGCAGAGCTATCAGATAATAGCGATGATCCTAGTAAAAATGTAGATTCATACAAAGATGTTTTATGTAAATTAAAGAAATTCAAAAATATTATGAGTGAAGAAACCAAAAAGAGAGATGAAATAGAGAAAGTATTAACAAATGAAGTCAATCGCTTTCAAACACAAAATAAGTATTTTAGAAAACTCCTTTATGATGACATTCTAAATAAAAATTCAAAAATGCCATATTATATTTTTATCAAGGACTATTGTGACAAACTTATAGGAATTTATACTATGGCAGAAGATTGGTGGAAAGCAATCTCATGTTGCTCAGATATCAGTCAAAGACAGGAAAGAAGAGATATAGATTATACAATAGAAAAAACAAGAATTGACGAAGTCCTTGTTGGAATTAAACAAATATTAGATAAATATCAGAAGTATCCAAAGTCATTTAAAAATATTGGTGCTGATTTAAACAACGAAAATCCAATATTTAGTCTTGATATTATTATTCACAGTAATCAATTGGTAAATGCATGTCTAAAAGTAATATGTGACTTAATTGCAGATATTGTACTGAAGAGTAATCGTATAGAACAATTAAAAGATATAACAAACAATTTGTTTAAGGAGACTAAGATGGGTGGAACTAACAAAGGTGCGTGCTATTGTAATAGTAAGGATATTATCGGAGGTTTATATGGCAGTATCATTTGTATTGAAGAAAGAAAGGGGTTAAGGGAAAAGATTCATACTTTGGAACAGGAAAAGGATTTATTAAGATGTGGAATTGAATATTTTAAAAAGAAAATGCAGTTGATTGAGAAAAAAAAAGTGTCAATCAATCTGGATATTTCTAATAATGGTGATATTGAAAATATAGAAGATAACAGTGAATCTATAGATGATAAACACATTAATGAGGTTAATTTAGATGAACTCTGGGACATTTCAGCATACCTAAGTGAAGAAAGTTTAGATGAGCTGGGAATTATGAGTGAATTCCTATATATTATAGATAAATGGAAAAAAGTTATATCTAATGATTCTGATCCACCAATTGTTTTGAATAAACCTGATGAAACATTAACAATAGATATTCATAACAGAGATATAGCTTATATAAATGAGGATCATATTGAAGTAATTCCATTTTTGTTGGAACCAAACAATCTTTTGAATATTGCACTTGGGGATTATAAAGGCGAAGAACTGAGTGAATACGATAAAGAGCATTTAATATTAGGTGAAATGGAAAATTTTAGTATGAGAAATAATTCACCCACTACATATCCTGTTTCATTAATAAATTTAGAGAGGATATTTTGGAGAATGGTGACGTGCTTATATGTATTGCGTGATGAATATAATAATTTGAAGGATCATAATGAGAGAATTGAGAAAAAATTGGGAGAAGCTCTTATGGATATTCAAAAAGAAAGAATTGAAAATTCTGAAACAGTAAAGAATTGCCAAGAAAATTTTTATCAGTGCTTACTTAAAGAGCGACAGGATTTTTTACAACAAACATCAAAATTGAAAGCTGAAGTGGTCAGTTTAAAGATTAAAAATATGTTAGAAGATATACAAGTGAATATTCAGCATAAAGTTCATAATAGAATTAATAGTATCAAAGATGATAATAATATAATTATTTTGTTGTCTAAATCACTAGAAATTTCGAATATTTATCGTAATTTATATCAGTTACGAGATGACTTATGGTCAAAATTTTATGAACATATAAAGCAAAAAAATATGAACTTATTTGATGATGAAATAAATTCCTTATTAAGTGAATTACAAGGTATACAGGAGTATTTAGATGAATTAGGATGTTCTAGGAATGATGAGAATGCAAATAGTCCTGATAGCAGTGAATTTGACAAAAATATTATAAAGAGTCCTCAAATAGAAGATGTTCTATTAAGTTTTATATCAACAATAAAGAAGGGTGAGTTGCCTGCAAATTGGTTTAAAGTACTCACAGATATAGCTGACAAATTCAAGAGGGAGCTTGGTGAAAAATTAGAAGATATGACAATAGAAAATGCGGAATTAAAAAGTTGTATTGACAAATTGAGAAGTGAACTTAATAATTACAGTGAAGAATTTGAAAAACTGAACTCGCTTGTAGATTCATTTAAACTGAAAAACAGCTTACTAGAGTATAAGGAACAAGAGAATTTTAGGGAGATATCTGAATTGAAGAGCAATAATGAAGTCTATCAAAATAAAATAAAACAACTAGATAAGTTATATAATAATAAATTGCAAATTTATATAAAAAAAACTAATTATATGGAAAAAATATTTTCTTTTAGCGTGAAATACAATGTAGATATTCAACGTTTTAAATAGTTTCTAAAGCCTCAAATAGTATAGGATTGAGATTTCTTTTTAAAGTCAATGTAGTGATATTCTTAGATATCTTAAATTATAGTCACTTCTGAGTTCATGAAATATATTTTGATATTCAAAAGTACAAATGCAGCATATCCAGTTCTAAATAGTATTTGTTTGCGTTGCAAGTGAGTAAAATATTGAAGAAGTATTTGCAAGTAAATTTTGTGGAGTATCAAATTCTGCAATATAGCCATTGTCAAGTACAATAATAAGATCGAAATTAATGATAGTATGGATTCTATGAGCAATAGATAGTATTGTACATTCTGAAAATTCCCTTTGTATAGTTTTTTGAATAATATCATCAGTTGCAATATCGACAGATGCAGTTGCTTCATCTAATAAAATAATCTTACTATTTCTTAGTAAAGCTCTAGTAAGACAAACTAACTGTCTCTGTCCCATAGAAAGATTATTTGAAGAACTGCTTAATAGTGTATGAATTCCATCTGGTAAATTATTAACAAAATCTTGTGCATTTGAACGAGCAAGAGCTTTCATTACTTCACTATCGGAATATTCATTGAATGGGTCAACATTATAACGCAAGCTTCCAGTCATTATATTAGGTTCTTGTGGTATAATTGTAATTGCAGAACGTAATACCCTTAGATCAATATCTAAAATATTAATTCCATCGATCAATATCTCGCCATTTTGAATATCATATAACCTCAACAAAACAGACAACAATGATGACTTCCCAGAACCAGTTCTACCACATATACCAACTTTAACTCCGCCATTTATTGTAAAATTTAAGTTGTTTAAAATAATTGGACCTGTGTTATTATATTGTAAATATACATTCTTAAATACTATTTTACCCTTTAATGGCCACTTTGAAGTATTATTTATATTATCAATGTTTATTATTAGTGATTTTAATAATTCTTTATTCTCATTTTCAGAAATGTTTATATGCTTCAAATTACTTTTATTACTATTGTAACTATTGAGGATATATTCTTGTGGAATATTTTCAATATATTCTTGGATACGTTCATAGGATAAAAAGTTATTCTCTGCTTCAGACACTACACGTGTTATCCATATAATTAAATGTGTTAAAACATTAGAATATTGAAATGCAATACCAATACTAGCAACTGACAAGTATTTTTTAGTGAATATGCATAGAATACCTAAAGTAAAATTAACACAAGCTCCAATAAAATCAATGCGTATTCCAAGCCAACGTTGTATTAAACAATAACACCTCCAAGGTCTACATTCACTATCAATTAAATCTCTCACTTCTTGATCAAAGACATTCAAACTGTTATCAGTACACCTCAATATTGGCAAACCTTCAATTAAGTAAGTTAACTTAGAAATAATTGGAGCATTCTTTGTATGGAATATTCTCTTAAGCTGACGATTAGTATTAAGAGCTTTATTCCTTATCCCAATAAAGAAATAACACAATGCTAAGAATAAAAGTGCAAAACGTATATCAAGATATATAAAATATCCAATAGAGAAAGAAATACGTGAAAGGGCAAATAAAAAGTCATTCATGTTTTGTGGTAATACTTCGTCAATAATAACGATATCATTAGTAATACGGCTTATAATACGTCCAATTGGGGTAAATTCGTAAAATTGCATCTTGGAATAAGCTAACTTTTCCACAATTTTATGATATATTCTGCCTGAAGCTCTAGAAGCCATGTATATATTTGAGGATCGGAATAGGAAACTAAATATTGGTTGTAGAGCACTAATACCAAAAAGAACTAGCAAACCATACAATTTACCATATGCATTAATATTTAAAGACCATTTAGAAATCCATAAAGAAGACAATAAACTACAAGCAGAATGACTGTAAATAAGTAAAACTACAAGAATACACCATTTAACTGTATTATCCTTAATATAAGAGATATATATTGATTTCTTTATCTTACCAAGAGATATATTTTCATTTTCTCTAGTAAAAACTTGCTCAGTAGACATTTTCTTTGAGCTATAATCATAGCTAGAAAGAGAACTTTCTGAAGATTTCTTATCGTTAGTTAAAATATCACTTTCTCTTCTATATTTATCTCTCAAGATCTTCATAGAAACTCTACTTCCACGTCTCGAAGTAGTTTCTGAAGATGTAAATAAGTTCCTGTAATTCATTGATTCCAAAGTGATATCAGACTTTATACTGTACTTATCATTATTCATTTCAATTTCAGATATCTCTTCAAGTGTAACTATATCATCAACAGTTTGTGATAGTTCCTTTTGTATCTTCTGCATACTCTGCAACAATACTTCATAATCTTTGTTATTAATAAAATTTTTATCAGGAGGTCCTGCATATGCTATTGTCTTGTTTTTAATAAAAATTACACGATCAAAAAATGATAATATATCCAATTTATTTGTTACCATAATAACAGTTTTATTACCTTTCAGTAGTTTCAAAATCAAATTTCTGAATATCTGATTCGCAACTGTATTATCCAATGCAGAAAGTATATCATCAAGTAATAAAGTATCACTTCTTTGATAAATGGCTCTAGCTAGACCAATACGTTGTTTTTGGCCACCAGATAAATTGATCCCTTTCTCACCTATTTCTGTCAAATCACCATTAGGCATTACCTTCAAATCAAAATTTAATGAACAAGAATTTACAACTGTTTGATACCACTTTTCATCATATGGTAAATCAAGAAGAATATTATGACGAATTGTAGAGTCTATTATCCATGGTGACTGACTACAGTATGCAATTTGTCCACTAGTCCTTATAATACCACTACTTGGCAAAATTTCCTGAAGAATAAGTTCAAGGAGTGTTGTTTTTCCACATCCAACAGGCCCAATAATTCCAACAAGTTCACCTCTATTTACATTAGCATTAATGGAATGTAAGGTTATTTCGTCTCTACTCCAACCGAATACAAGATTTTTAATTATTATTGATGTTTCAGTATTTACATCTGGATCTAAATCTAAATCTAAATCTAAATCTAAAATCTTGTTAGGTTTTATAACTTCTTCAAGCAGGAGTATTTCTGTTAACCTATTATAACAATTTATTGTTTTTTGTAAAGTGTTGATACCAAGTGGTAACATAATTAGTGATTGTTGTAGAAGCTCAAATATCATTAATGATGAAAAAAGAATATCAATTTCAAAATCCCCCTTAAGAGATAGATAAGTACCAAATGTTAAAACAGGGGATATTGATACACATGCTGTAGCAAGGACATTACCTAACTGAGAAATTAATCTCCATCTACTCAAATGTTTTATTTCCTTATCTCTTATCTTACTGATATTTGTTAAATAATAATTTTCCCATGCATAACATTTTATTTGTCTAAAAAAGCTAATAAACTCTGTTGATAATGAAATTCTTTTGTCTAAAACATCAATATACTTTAGTCTAACAGCTTGATTTCTTTTAATTAAAAGAGTATTTAAATACAGTGAAAATATAATAATCGAATATCCAATTAATGAACTAATCCCAACAAATTTATATAATAATATGAGTAGTAAAATATTCTGAAATATCATAGATGGAGCAACCAATAAAGTATTCCCTGATATCAAAATTGACATTGATTCAGAAGATATTAAATTTAAACATTTCGATATGTTCTCTGAAGCTAAAGTTTTTGATATATTTATTACTTTACCTGATACGGTATAACCAACAACACCTCTCAACATAGTAGCTAAAGAAAAAGAACGACGGAGATATTGTTGTAATATAAATCCTCTAGAAATTTCGCTTAATACTAGTAATCCAAATCTCCAAATACCTTCAAATGTAGTTGAATTGGGGTTATTTAGCCATGATAATATTTTGTATACTTGCCAAGGCTCAGAACTCGAAGTTATATCATAAAAAAATTTTAGTAACAAAATATAAAGTATACGTATACCAAAAGTCCTATATATAACCTTAATTGTAGATATAAGTTCTGATCTAACTTGGTTAGAAAATTCATTCTTCCAATTATATAAAAAAGATTCATACTCGGTCTCTATACAAGTATCATCGTCAACTTCTTTCATTTCTTCATCTGTTAAAATATTGCCTTCATGAACTGAATTAATAATAGGATGAAGCCAAGTAAAAAGAAGTGTGTTTATTATTCCTCTCTTGAACATGTTAGGGTATTTGGAGTGATTGCATTTCCCTTCATTTTCCTTAGGATCATTCTCTATAAAACTGGACATTGAGCTTACAGAACTAAAGTTACAATATTCCACTTCTATGAATTATATTATTAACTCTAAGAATCCCTTCAAAAAAGCTTAGCTGAGTCTTCAATTGGATATAGTCACACGCATTCTTTCTCTATATCATTTACAATAGCGCCTTGGTAGTATCGATTAGACAGATAATAACTAATAAAATCAATCACAAAGTGATTTATATATTTATAGTTAGCTTTTATTTATAAATACCTTAAATACAAATATTTAAAATTCTTTAAAATCAAATTTTATATACTTAAATTACAATATAATATTATGTAAGACGACAGTATAAACCGTATATCTTAAGTATTTAATGAATTCTAACTTAAGGATAATATATTAAAATAAAGGATATATTTCAAAAATATACCTATTATATAAGGGAAAGTGCGCATATATATCTCATATACTAAAGCATAAAAAAATATATTTAAAGATATATTAGATTCTGATTCTCAAAAAGGTGCAAATAGTTACCGCCAAGTGTCTATTAAGTATATTAACATGACTTTATGGCACCCCAATTATTATACATGCAACTAAATCTAATATTAAGAGTAAAAAGTTCGCGATATTTACCAAATATTATATATTTTAATAATATGCTTATTATATATAATTCTAACTAATTATTTACAATTATGAATATTCAACTAAGATCTTTTTTATAGAACTAGAATTCCAGTATAATAATGGTCCAGGAATAAATCCAGATATACAATGTTTAGTATTTCTTGAATTTGGGACTTTACTTTGATTAAATATAGGTATTATATATCCACAACGGTATATAACTTGTAACATTATTGAAAGAGGACTATGTTGTGAATTTGTAGACTCGGTATCCTCTTCATCAATTGTAACGATATTAATCTTGCTAGAAAGCAATATATCAAGTTCATTTTTGATTTTTTCTAGCAAAAAACAATAAAATATTACATTCCTTCATTAAATTTAAAAAAGTTCATCGTACCTTTAACAAATTCATACCCTATTAATTCACTGACAATATCTAGAAAGTAGTCTTTAAGGTATATATTTGGAAATTAATTAATATAATAAGATAGTTCACAAATATATTTTATTGAACATACCGATATGAATTTCTATTGTATTATCTTTATTAGATACACAAGAATCTTGAGATGTAGATATGTCTTTGGATGTAACATCAAAGAATCCGAATAGAAATGATATGAAGTTAATAAATGCATTACATTTATATGATGAAACAATATTATCCGAATAACCTTCAGCAGTTAGTTCACCTAAAGCATTTGGATGAATACTTTTTAATTGACAAAGAGCATTAATATGGGATCTATGAGAACATAATTGAACAACGTAATATTTAGGATTTGAAGATTTCTTTTTTTCAATATCTGAACACAAAATCCCTAATCCTAAGATACTCTGGAGATGATTGTTAACTTCATCTAGAATAGTATCCAGTTTAAGTTTATGATTTGCACTTTTGATAAATTTCTTATGTAGGTCAGAACGTGTAGTTGGTAGAGGAATTCGGCTCAGCAAATACTGGGCAACCATAGCAACAGCTTTTACATTAGATGAGTCATTATGATCTTTTTCTATTCGTCTTCTTTTATTTTCTTTTAACGGAGATAGTGGCAATAATTCAATATCATTAGTTTCATTAAATTGACCTAATAAATTAAGATATATTGATGATAAATCAGAGAGATTTAAATTCTGATCTTGTTCCATAATTTTTTAGTGATATTACAGAAATATCAGTATGTCATTATTTTATGAATTTCTAGTATAGATTTTATTTGGTAAGGCCATGTGGGAAAAAAGATGTTAATTTGGGCGCCCAGTATCAACTTGACTGTATTCATACGCCTACGTTTAAGTTTCAAGGCGCCAGAAGCCGTTGCATGTTACATTATATGAGTGTATAGTATCAGAATGACGTAATGATGGAAAATCAAGATAAAATAGTGAAACTACCTTTTAAAGAATCTAAATTAATACCAGATAAATACTTGGAGATATCCCGGGAATCAATAGAAGATATTGAATATAATGAAGAAAAGGAAACCTTTTCCTATAATCCTGAGCTTCCAAGTAATAATTTTACTATTCCATTTAGAAATGTAGATGATATTCCTAAAGATTTATTCAATCCTCTACTAACTAAAAAGATAACTTTACGAATGCCTCTCAATGAAGGAAATTATGTTAGAGAAACAACACATACATACAGCATTGAGTCGTTATATAGACCATATCAAATGATTAATATTCAAGATTCATTGTAAGTTTCATCTCTAATAAATATATTAAATTCATCTTTAAGAATCTAACTTGTGTTAAGAAAATATATAGATACTCTTACTAGAGACGTTTGGGATGAATTTATCTCAAAAAAACAAAATTATTTGTATACAATTAAAGATTGCAATTTATTTGATGAACTCCTAAGAGATTTTGATGTAAAGAAATATACAAAGGGAAGAAAGCTTCCTACTACTCAAATAACTTTTCATGCAAATTATAGATGAGTTCAGTATTGAAAACAAATCACTTCTTAGGGATCTCGATTATTAATAATTATTTATATATTTAATGCAATGACAAATATATTAAGGACAATTTCAATATATTATTTCATTAAGTCTGGAAGAATTCAGGAACTTTCTCTTCAATAAATTGTCTAATATTCTCACAGAATTCCCTATTTAAAAATTCCTTTTCTAAAATATATCTTTGATTTACTTTTCGGAATATGTTTGACTCCTTTGTTTGTTTATTCTTTATAACCTGACTTATAGCTGACAGAAACACTGTACACTGTTCAACAAAAAATGGTTCATAATCCATTGAAGATAATGAATCTATCAAATATCTTTTTAGATCTAAATCCATGTCAAAATATTTATTTGTTTCGGAATACATATATTCATTTATATCATTGTCATTGTTATCATATGTAGAAAAATCAATAGTTGTATATGATAAACCCACAAATCCTGGTTGAAATACCAAACGATTTTTAAAGAATTGATTATTATAAGAAGATATTAAGTCAACCATACTCATAGATTCTAAAGTTTTAACAACAGGGAATACCAAAGATGTATTCATGTTAGCTAAATTTTGTTCAAATGCTAAAGATATCCAGTCAAACTGATTTTGTCTAAGTATAGGACGTGAGAATGGGGGTTTCCCCAAATGACATACATTTAAATATATCTGATCATTAAGTTCAGCTACAATACCATAACATATTGAATAAATCAGTTTATTAATGATTGCTTGTGATACCAATACATTTGCAGGTTTATCTAGTAATGAATGCACACCTTCAACAATAGTATTGGTTGCGGCATATATATATTTATCAATAGTAGAAAGTACTTTTACTATATCAATAATCTCTCCTATATTTTCTGTAGAAGTGTTGTTAGTTTTTGAAATGGTGGAGTAAGATTTCAAAGGTTCAAATATAATTATATTTTCCACATCATTTACAGATTTATCACCCAAAGTTCCACATAAATTCATTGTATTATTATGATACAATGGTTCATAATTTGTATCCTGAAGTTCTTGTTCTAGTTTGTTACCCTGTATATCCATTTCTTTCCATATTTTATGATAGGAATCAAGTGAATTTGGAAGTTGTAACCATAATATTAATGTTCTCTGAATAGGTAACCCAACTAAGGATTTAATACCTACAATTGATGGAATATATGAATAAATTACTCTTTTATAAAATATGTCTTTTGAATCTTTATATGCCATAATTCCTGAAATAGAGCTTATAAATTTACTACATTCCTGTGCTTTCCTTTCATTTGTTATAAAGAACATATCTACCATATTTATGAGTTTTGTTATATTCTTTGTTTGAGTATCATTATCATCATTTTCTTTCACTATATTTTTATATAATACGAAAAACAGTTCACAGGGTATCATCATTGCAATATAATAAAGTTTAATATTTTGTATATCATAAGGACATGTCATTGATTCTGGGTTATTTGAAGGATAAACCATTTGCAACAACCTTGATGGTGATACTGAATTTAATCCTAAATCGTTTAAAAAAAATGTATCACTATTTGGAGTTGAATCACTTGGCCAAACAAAATCTACAGAAGACGATGATAAAAATTGCTCAACATTATCTTTATTTTTTTTCTTCTTAGTGGTTTTCTTATTTTTCCTCTTTTTTGTTCTTACTTTATCGGAATTGCTATTACTGAATTGGTATGTCATACTTTCTGCATAATCTAAATTCAAAATATTATTTAATTCACGAGTAAAATTGCTTATATTTATTGGAAGTGGTTGAATATGTTGATATGGAAGAGGGAGAAAGAATTTCAGTGTTATGTTTATTGGTATTGGGCTCAACTTTTCTGTCCAAGCTATTAATACATTATCACTCCATGATTCTAATGAGCAAGCATATGTAAAGTGTAATATTTCATCATCTACAAGCAATATCATTGGTCGATTATTTTCATATAATAAAGGTGAATTAAATGGATGAGTCATAATAGGATATCTTTTCATTGTTTGATATTTTCTGAGTGTCCGTAAAAATGTTGGATTTAAATCCTTCATTAACATTTGATATGCTTGTGAACTCTTCCCCTTTTGTAATGTTATATGTAATCTATAACGTTGCATATCTTTTACAAAGAAAGGTAAACCATTATATACTAATTCCTGAAATCCACTCTTATTATCAATAAAATTATATCTTAATTCAAAATCTCTAGATCGATTAAAATTAAGAAATTGTTTATCTACTGGAGGTAATTGTACATTATATGGATTTAAATCACGTGAATTCATCAAAGCTGGTCTTTCAGTAGCCCATATTATTTCATTATCATCAGGAAATAATTCAAGGAAAATATCATGTAAATGATATCTTGATGAGCCTAATACATTTTCAATATCAATTGCTGATTTAAACTTTAAGACAGTATTATATCCAGCAGAAAAAATTGTTAGTGAACCTATACAAGGATCTATTATTCTTCTGTAATAAAGAGAAAATAATAAACCTACAGCTTGTGGATTCAAATGAACTTCATGTGGTATTGAGTATCTTATAGTATTGTCACTTGATCTCCGCATTGCAAAGTTATAATCTTTATTTTGATCAAATATATTAGGTATCTCAGTTAATTCTACCATTATAATACTGTCATTTGAACGTATCTGTGAAACTGGAACCATTGTAAGTAATGTTTGATCGACATCAAACACTATATCCAATGGTAATCTAGGAATATTGCAAAATCTGAAGTATGAATATTTCATTGGAAGATTCATTACTAAATTTGAACCAGATAAACCCAAAGATTTCTCTGCAATTTTAGATATCCATATAAAAGAAAAACGAAAAGCTATTCCAGTATCTTCTAAAACATTCCTTAAATCAATACAAATATCTAAAGTATTAATGTCCAGTCCACTCAATTGTTCATCTAATCTTAAATCAACAAGATCTAGAATATCTCTAGTACAACAGTTTACAAATTTATCAACATCAACGTGATTCTCAAGTATATTCGTATTATTTGCAACAGGTTCAAAACAGTGTACTAGTGATTCAAAAGAAAATTCCTGGGAAAAACGGAGATTATGATATTTACGCTTGATTATAGCTTGAATCCCTAAAGCAATTAAATCAATAGTTAAAAGTTCTTGAATTGTCGGGCCAAAGGGTTGATTATCTGTTATATCTCTATTTGCAGGACCAGTCAAATCATGATAGTTTAGATCTCTATAATTTCTTGACTCATCCAATTGTTCATCACTAATTAGTGATAATTCAGAATTATCCAATTCAAATACTTCTTTCAAATTATTTTCTTTATTTAACTCAACTTTTTCTTTAAATATATTTCCAAAAATACTTGGAAGTAGTCTATTTATCAGACTTACATTAAAATCTTTTTCTTGATTCTCCCTCAAGGTATCTATATTATCTTTGTTAGGAGAATCATTTGTACTCTTGTCAAGATTAATAGCATCTTTATTTATGTTGGAAAGTGATGGAGATACTATTAAAAACAAGACAAAAACAGAAAGAATAATAGAAACCTTTGTATTCATGTTATTATAAATCTCATTCATCTATAAATTACAAATATTCATTTACTTTTACTAAACATTATTGGCTACTAGATATTCCCAAAAAAATACTCCTGTTCAATAGTATTACCAAATTTCTTTAAATCCCTCTTGTCGAGTTGTAGAAATTACCATCCAATGATATTCTCCCGCCCCAACTGTTTCGTTTGTCGTGCCGTATATTAGTAATATCTTTTTTAAGTTTAAAGTTTCCTCTTAAAAGTTGATCTAGTTCGTTTTAGTTATCTATATCCAATTTTATTCACTTATCATTATTTTAGTATATTAATACACTTTTTATATTCTCTGTATAGATGGAATATTCTATTTAAAAAGTGATTATCCTCAAATTTATTTAGCAGTATTAATATACTGTAATTATCCTCATGTCCCATAATTCCAAATTGATAAAATATTAAGCTATTAAGCTACATTTAAATTTCATTATTAGCTCTTAGGAATTCTCATGATTATATACTTTTCTAATATAATAGAAATGTTCCCACACTTATATTGTGTGTCTAAAATAAAGTTGAAATTGGAAGTTTTTCTCTGTAGTATTATCTCTATTAGTCATGACTATTATTAATATTTTTAAGAAATTAACTGACTTATTTAAATCTTTAAAAAAATATTAATTAGCTAAAGGAATAGAAAAGTGAAGTATTCATTGCGAAATTAGAAATAACACGTAAGTACCGGCAAAATATTGCATGCAACTTTATTTTCTGATATACCCACTATGTGTAATTTAATATTAAATAAGTCAAAATAAATAGAAATATTGCAAATTTATAGTATAACATTTTAAATTAAATTTTTTTATGGTTGATCATATTTATTTTGAGGTTTTTAAGTTAATAAACCTGGGATACCACTAAAAATTATAACCTTACAAATAGAATTAATATTCTAATTTATAAATAATGACAAGTTTTGGCCCTTTTATACTTTAATACATTTCAAATAACTCATTATTCTACTTAAATAACATAAATAATTAAATATAAGATATTACTTGGATATAACTAATCCACAAATACTTGTTTGTACATATTTAAAATATCATTGGTAATCTTCTTAATTAAAATTACTAAATAAATATGAACTATATGGTATACAAAATGTTATTTAATTAATAGTAGAAACGTGGATTAAATGATATTTTACTATATATACTAAAGGAAAGTGTTTCAAGTTGATAACTGGATAAAGAGTTGTTTTCTAATATTTTTAATAATAAAACTGAATATTAGATAACTATATTTGTTATAAATTATTTAATAAGATAATATAATAGAAAATTACTTATTTAAAGGCTTAAAGTTTATTTTTTATCTTTATAAAAATGATAAGAAAATTTTCTACAAATAACTAAATTATATGAAATTTATAGAAATATAAAATTATAAAACAATCAGTTATTAATTTAAAAAAGGGATTACTTTAAATAATAAGAGACAAATATACAAATGAACATAAATCTTGCAATGTTTAAAGATTTTTATAGATAAAAATAGATTTATTACTGATTGGTTGAATTTAAAAAGAATCATTATAATTTATTCATTATTATAAACAAAGTTGCAGAATATTAAAATTCTAAAGAATATTACACTTTATATGTTGAGTAACAGTATAATTTTAAAATAATATTGTATAAATATTTGAAAAAAAGAGTATATCTAAGAACAGTATATATGTTGGCTAGATATAAACTGTATATTTGGATATATTTTATCTAGTTTTATAATTTATACTATTTATTGGAAAGTCCTATATGAATTATAAACATCAGACAATGTAGACCTTTTAGAGCTATTTCATAAAAGGATGCAGCGGCAGTATTTAACTTTACATGCAATTACTAATGCAAAAATTAATTTTTTCTTTGTAAGGATGAAACACAGTATTATGTAACATTAATATAATATATATTACTTATCTAATTTATCAAAAATACCCAAAATAACTAGTAATAACTTATTATTATTGATTTTTATCCTTAATAGCTCACTCTACTCAAGTTCGGTTTCGAGTTATAGGATGCAGGCATTAGCGGCTAATACAGTACATATAATCTAAGTTATATATATTCTCAATTATAATAAAAACTAAAAGTTAAAATTATTTCATTTCTAATATCAGAAAGTACGAAGTTTGACCAGGAAAATAATTATTTGAAGATGAAACTATTGTGTCTACTTCTACTTTTACTAATTTTACAATGCTATTCTCAAAATGTAATATTATCAAACGAAGGTGAAGCAAATTCAGATGATAATGGAGTATTAGATAGTCAATACACAACTCAACAAGCAAAAACCCCAAAATTTGTCTTGTTGTGCGCACTAATTCCACAAATTCCAGGATGTCCATGCGATAGTTTAATAGATACACGTGAAACGTATTATGATTTTAAAGGATCAGACTGTGTATGTTATGATTCTCAACAAAGTGGATTTGATTCTCCACCATGCTTCTGTGCAAATAAAAACTCTCCTGAGTGTCAATGTTTGAGTGGTTTAACTAGTTTGGGTGAGGATCATGATAGAATGTGCATAGTTTCCCCTTTGACATATGCTTCACCATATACAAACTGCACATCATTTTTGAATCCACTAGGGGAGGGTGGTTTGTGTTATGGAGACCAATCAGATTCTCCACATTGTATCACATTAAAAGCATGTAGAAAATTGACACCAATATTAATAGATGATTCATCGATTACAACTAAATGTGTACAGAAACCAGAAACTGAAGGTTGCCCATGTTCTTCAGAACAGTTAGTAACTGATGAAGATGAATTGATTTGTAGCTGTTTCAGAAATCTCCAAAATCCCGGTTGTCCTTGTCATACTGATCCATTATCATCTACTTGTGGTAAATTTAAATCTGTTCTTTCAACAACTACTTCAACAACTACTTCAACAACTACCTCAACTAAAGTTCCAGAGCTTACAAAAGCAGAATCATTGCCATCATCAACAGTTCAAATAACAACAGAAACTTCAGCAAAAGTTGCTGATAAAGTTACATCTACAATTGCCGTAAATGATACCAAACTATCAAATTCTGCAGATTCACAAACGTCACATGTCGAAAATGTAACTGTTGTTAAAGATGAAGAGATTAAATCATCTGATGCGACTAGCGCATTTATTCTAAAACATTCAGTTTATGGAATTGCTCCAATAGTCTATGGAATAGCCTACTTGTTATTCTAGAATACGAGTTGCTAAATAGGTTAGTTAAAGTGTGATATGGTTAACATTAGTATAATCATTCACCGTAATTTTTTAATATTACCTGATGATATACTTAGCAAAAGTCTTCATTAGTAACAAAAAAAAAATATTGCAAACTAATTCTTAAAGTAATCTATCAAATATATATTAAATTAACTATGAAAACTTTACTTTCCAGGAATTAATTACAATTATTTTTTAGCAGAAACGAGAATAATAAAATTCCTAGATTTCCTATTTTACCTGATTTTTTATATTCAGTTTCTGTTAAGTTAATTTGAAACCAATATATAGCGGGTAATACTTGGCACTATAATGTCTATTTATGACACACAAATTATTAGTGAAATTGCATAATTACTAATAATAAGCGATAGAGACAATTTGAATCTTTTTACTTTTTTAGAGGGTTTTGTGTACACAATTACTCTTATAATAAATTTTTTGGACTAGTATTTATTTTATATAAAGGATTTTATATATATAACACTGACTAAAATATATGAAAAAAGCTTCAAGAATTTTTCTATTTTGGTTATTTATATTATACTGTATAAATATAATACAATGTGAAAATTTTAATCAATCAAAATGTTTGGATCCACCATTTGAATCATTGGAGATACCTGGAATTGGAAGTGCTCAAATTCATAAAGGTCATAGGCTAATTCCTATACTAATAGAGAATGATTTGCAAATATGTTATAACGCATTAATTAATCTAAATAACCAAATTTGGGATGAATCTGAGGGACTTCTGACTGATATTGAAAGTTTTATTTTATCCACAAATCCACATTCAAATGTTCAAGATCCAAATTTAGGAGTAAATTTTCCATCTATAGATCAAACTCCATCTAAACTTAAAAATCAATATATAAATTTTGATAATATGCATAATTCTATTATAATACCATCTCCTAGTAAAACTCCAACTAAAGTTAAAGAATTTCATGAATCTTCATCCTTGCAATCAATATCTTTGAAAACTCAAAGTGAGCCAATATACCTTGGTGAAGATACAAGAATAAATTGGTTTATAACTTTTACTGAAATTCTATTAGAAAATTATGGAATTCCTATTAACATAGATAGAACCAAATTTTATACAGATTCTATAAGGAAATTATTTCGGGAATTTTGGTTTTTAGAAAAAGTTCCAAGTATTAGTGAACTACCTATAGAAATTTGGGATACTATCGTAATGAACGGTATTCTAGAATTACTATCAAAATGGAGAACTATTGAAGAGAAAAAAAGTATAATTAAGGAGGCTTGGCAAGGTTTCCTTAATATGGAATATATCATAAATGAACAATTAAATGGGACACTTGACTTGTCATATTATAAATATTATTCTGTTTTATCTAGTGATACAATTAAACAAAATATAATCCCATATGTTGACAAGTATTTGGCAGAAATAGAAGCATCTAGAAAAATTACAGAACAGAAAATATTGTATTCAGATTCTTCATATAAAGAATTTATTAATACTGATACTAATTTAGCGAAATCTTCAATAAATAAATCGTTAAATGAAATAAATTCCACAAATATTCAAATAGAACAGGGGAAAAAAGATATACCTGAAATAATAACTCCTAGTGAAAACTTTTCTGATTCAATAATACCAGATAAAAAGGAATTAATTAGATTACGTATACGTTGGTTTAAATTATTTGCAATAGAGTATATGGGAAGACTTGGGATTAATCTATATTTTGAGGATAATACTTTAGAGGATCCTATTATTATTGAATTTTTTGGAAAAGTTTGGACATTAAGTGATAAAATTCCACTAGTTTTGTGGAAATTACTTAATGAGAATGGTTTTAAAGAGAAGTTACCCAATAATATGACTATATTAGAAAAAGAGAAAATAGCCAGTAATTTGTGGGAATCATTTATAAATATGGAATTTTCCATTTATGGTAAAAGTGGTAACCTAGATCTCTATGTAGGCAAAGAAGAAATGTTAAATATTGAGATAAGAGAAATTATTCAGGTATTTTTACAACAAGATATCTCATTTACTCCTGATATGGCTTTAAAAATAGCTCATAATAAACTTAAGATAATCGATGGTATAGAAACCCCTTTTAATCCTGAAGATCTTCCTGAATCTAATGAAGTGTCCCAAAATATCCCTAATACCTATACATTGAGACATGAACAAAGCCCTGTTTCATTAGAAGATTCTGTGGAATCTACCAAAAATGATAACAATGAAGAAAGGGATGATGTATTACTAGATAATTCTCTAATAGATGAAGAATTTGCAAAAAAACCTGATGTGAATAATGTGGTTTCTTTACCCTCATATGAAGATCTTTTTTTATCTACTAAGAAATCTCAGGAGCAATCTTTAGAGAATAAGTTTGATTCAGCTTCAGAAAAATTGAACTCTCCAATAAACATAATTCCTGATATATCACCAACAAAAAATATTGATTTTGCTCAATTAATCACTGAAAAATCTCCTTTTAGAGAACATGAGATTTTAACTTATAGTAATAAACCAGAATTAAGTATGGAATTATCGGGAGGTTACAAAGAAGAGACATATACAAATAATGATAATATACTAAAAAGACCTTTGGAAGGTGTAAATATCGGAATATATAACAGCGAATATCCTCAAGATCTTACACATCCACTTAGACCAAATAAAAAGATTATTACAGATTATTCTACTAATACAGCCTTTATTCCCGAAAAAAAAGAGTCTACATCCTCTGTATTTTCTGAAAATATTATAGGAACACCAAAAGAACAATTATCAGAATTTTCTGAATCCCCACAGTATAAAATAATAGAAAGACTTAATACTACCAAGAATAAATTCCCCCAAAAAACTAATGAAGTGTTTCATGACTCCTTTATGAAAAGTGAAATTCCTGTGAAATTATCTGATATCCCATTAGAGCACTTAAATAATATAGTTGAAGATAATTGGGATTTAAAATATCCAATTGAATCGAGGGAATCTTTATATAAAGGAATAGTAAATGAAAGATTTATGGAAAATTCGGACAATAAGCATATTAAAAAGGACTTAGAACAGGATGAAGTAGGAAAATCGCTTCAAGTACCCATAATTTCTTTGCAAAATCAGGATATTGACATATCTCATACACCTACAGAGGATATGAAACTTGAGGAGTCCTCATATAACGAAGTAGGTAAAAGTTTTATTGAAAATTGGGATAATAGTGGATATATACAAAAGGATTTAGAAGAAAATAAATTAGATAAATCATCTCAAATACCTATGAAATCATCAGGAATACAGAATATTGATATATCTCATATATCTTCTCCAGAGAATTCGAATTTAGTATTGGAGAAATTTCTACATACTTCCTTTCCTGAGCCTTCTGAAGTATCTCAATCACCTTCTACAATTTATGAATTAGAGCCTGAACCTATTGATTATAAAGATCTTTTATATATTAACTTTGCAAAATTTATACGATGTTATATTGAAACATATGCAAATATAAGGAAAAAATATCTTAAACCTATATATATTGAACAAACTAAAGAAATCCTTGTTAATTTATTTCACTTTTACTCTGAAAGTACAATAATAGATCAAACAGATTTAGAAAAAGCAATAAGGGAAATCAGTTCAGTTTCAGGTAATGGAGGAACTCTTACAGCTATTAGATATCTTGGCTTGACAATTAAACAAATATCTAATTCACTAGTAAATTATATAAATACTTATTTCCCAGCTGATGATACAGTTAAAAAATCAATTCAAGATCATTCAGATATAACACTTAAATGGTTAGAACAATACTTTAAGTCTAACGTCCTAATTTATGATATGTTACCATATCGTTTGATAGAAGAAGTCCAAAATAATCCTATTGATACATCTATAGTCCCTCTTAAAGTGCAAAGAGATATAGATTTATTAGCATCTAATATTTGTCAAAAGACTAAAGAAATTTTAAAAGATATAAAGAAAATTAAAAATTTAGATGATTCAGAAATAAATTGTAAAGCTGTTGCTAATGTAGTTGTCCAACATCAGATGGATCTTAGTAAAGCTATTTACTTGTTTCTATTACCTTTAAATTCAGAGTATCAGAAAATTTTGACACCTGAAGTAGCTTATAAATTATCTTTAAAGTTAACTGAGTAGTTCTGAGGTTTTATTTAATTAGAACCCAGTTTTAATAAGTAATATAAATTTAAAAAAAGATCTAAGAAATATCGGATAGACTAGAAGAGATGAATACTAGGTTTTAGAGAATCTGAACAGATCAGATTCTTTAAATTTATTAGATTTCCCCTTAATATTAAAAATTTTCTAAATCTAATTTTATCTATATTGTAGGAGGTCTTTCTTCTCAAAAACTCACCAGAAGGGATGGCAGGGTGCCCGAGTTGGTCCAAGGGGTAGGTTTTAGGCACCTATAGGTAACTGCGCGGGTTCGAATCCCGTCCCTGTCACTTTTCAGCGTCGTCATCTCCGACTTTACTTTTAAAGTCCATTGCTAGAATATGTTCTTAGATTTCATGTAAACGTTCGTAAAGTCACAAGTATAAAACATTATTTAAGGAATTTTATGAATTTTCCATCAAAAAGAGAGCTAGATAAAAATCCTACTCTTAATAGCTTATTTAATAATACACAATGAAAACTTCATAAAAAGTCTCTCCATTAACTATATTCTATATGAGCATTCTTAATAATAATTAACTATATATAATGGAAATGACAAATTGATAGTTTTACTCTATCTTTAAAAATCCACAAATAATAGCTGATAGTAGTGGACTTCTGTTACATGCTACGTCTTGTCATAACAAAAATTGGATACTCTCGGATACTACGTCCAATTTTGACACTTGTAAGTTGAAGTTATTTACTTTATAAGTTATTAATCTTTATGTAATTTTTGGTTTAATTGAAGACAACTTTTATATAATAAAAAGTACACAAACTTTTTTATTAATACAGTGACTTCTAAATAGGACTTAATTTATTTACTTTAAAGGTTGACTACAATGATGTTTAATAAATTTATATATTTGGGACTTGTATCTGGATGTTTGACTCTAATTTCTTGTTTAGAACAAGCAAATTCATTTAATGGTGATGTTAATTTGTGGGCTTATGATTCTCCCACTGATAATGCAGATAAGCGTCCTATAGGAAATTATGGTGGAGGATATTATGGCCGTCAAACTACTGATATTAGGAAGGGAGAAATAGTAAAGAGTTCAAATAGAACGTATGGTTCTAAGGCTGAAAATTATCCTTATTCACTTGGAAATTCTAACGTACTAACATCAAAGAGTTTGGAACCATTGACATTTGAGAACAAATTACGATTATATGAAGAACCATTTCGTCAATATATACTACAAACTACAGGCAAAATTCCTTCTGATTTGGATATGAGACGTTTAAGGAAGGAATTTTTAGAATTTGCAAGAATTTCTGAAGGTATAAAACAAAAACAGAGAGGAACAATTTATACTCAACTGGATTTAGATAGATCAGCTAAAAAGCGAAAAAATAAAAAGCACCATAAAAAGATTCCCAAATATTTAATATTTGAGGGGATGGATGAGCATGATTTTAAGCCTGAAGAAGTAATAAAGTATATGCCAAAAATCAGCAAGCATGCTACCAAGGAAGAAGTTGAGAGGGTTTACATGAAGGTTTGGGAGATGCTTGGAAAAAGTAAGGAGAGACTGAATATTTTATATGATTATTATCTTGATAAATATAATCAAAAGAATCCATTGGGCCCAGTTGAAACAGAGAATGAACGTTTAGCCTATATACAATATATTTTAGATATTTTGACTAATTCAGTTATAAATAATGGTAATTTATTGGATTCATCTTTTATACCTTCTAACCTTATAAAATCTATATATAAGGATTTAGGAAAGAGTGATGATATTAAAAAGGAAATAGCACGAATTATTTCATATATGTATATTTTGCTTAATAAACCAAATATTGGAAATATAGATATTCCTGGCTCTGAACGTTTCAATATACCACTTTCTAGTGAAGCAAAGGAAGTCCATACTCATATTCGTTCAGCTTATAATAACAAACATTCAAAAAAGGATGATAAAGAAGTGAATATCTCTGAAACTGAACAAAATAAGGAGAAATCTAAATTATATTATTTGCTACAGAAATCTTCTACAAAGAAATTCAAGAGTGAAGCTCAAATAAAGTTTGAAGATTCTAAATGGGTTAGTCAATCTCTCAAACGTGTAGCTAATAACCAAGGTGATTATGTTATTGTAGAAAAAAGGTATTGCACAACTAAACAATGGGAAAAATTATTGAAATTAGCTAGGGTTAGAGAAGTTGATAATACATCGAGACTTGAGCAACAATATTTAAATCAATATAAGAATGATTATAACACTGTTCCAAGTATGTATGGTTCAGCTATGGGTAGAAATTTAGCTAAAGAACCAAAATTTGTTTTTATTTACAAAAATTTCGAAGTTACTGATTTAGATAATATTGATATATCTAATCTTGAGGTTATTGAAGGATATGGACTCGAAATTACTTCAAAGAAAAGGGATACTCTTGAAGCAGTAGTTAAGCACCCAGAGACAGGATTCAAAATGAATGTGAATTATAGTAAACCTGGTTTACCTCTTGTTAATCTATATTTGGATGATGATATCAATTATACATTTAAATTTGACAAAAGGGAGTACTTGAATAGTCTATCTCTAGATATAAAAAATGCTAGAGAAGTGTTAACTGAATCTTTGAAATTAACTGAGAATGACTCAAATTATTATAGCTCATTTATTACAGATAAACAAAAGAAGTCTAAATTCATGGATAAAAGTAAATTAATTGAGGAAAAATTAAATGAAATATTAGATATTATAACTAAATCAGAGAATTGGATTGCCACAATTTCGTATATAACTGAGAAAGAAAGACTTTTACTTTCTAAATACTCAAAACTTGAAAAATTGTCTTTATTAGAGGATAGTCTAGCAAAGCAATCAAATACAGATGTAAAACTTTCCCAAATAAGAAGTAATATTAGTATAATTAGTAATCAAATTGTTTTACTTGATTCAAAATATAGAAATGATCTTGATATAGGAGAGAGAATTTCTGAAGATTCAAAACTTCTTTCAACTATAGCTTTTAAAGATGCGAAGGAAATGGTGAAACTACTTTCTATACAATATCTTCTTTGTGGTAGTGAATTTGGTCATAAAATAGATTTAGATTATTATAATGATAAATTGTCAAAAGTTATAAATAGTGTTTTAATTAATAAACTTTATATTCAAGATATTAATTCAACATATGAAGAAGTTCATAATAAATACTTAAGTATGGTTACAAAAAATAATTTAAGTGATAAAACACGTAGAATTTTCCTGGAATCATTAAAATCATCAAAAAATAATAGTCAATTACTTAGCAGGTTGAAATCACAATCTGGTTTATAATCTATAAATAAAAAAGTCATAGTTTAGCAATGATGGATTACTTGAACAGTTGTCTGATTATATGTACAACCTCTATTTTGTACATCTAAATGTAATAGAAAGCTTTATATCTTGAATATTAATATTTGTATCAATATTGAGGGATATACTGCAAACATATTAAATATCGTAGTTTATATTGAAAAAAATAGGAATAATAAGAGTGGAACTGAAAATAGCATAGTATTAAAAGTATTTAATACTTTTAAGTTAGAATTATACAAGGAAAACTCAAGGGAATATGCATTTATATCAGTTAGAATCATATTTTAAGATTATAGATAATATTCCAATATATATTAAGGTTCGAAAAAGTTCTAGTACTGCTTGGTGTTTGATATTGCAGCTTGTTTTAAGTTATCTATATAAAATTTAATTTGGACCCTTTATTGTTCTTTGATAAATTATTTTATGGAATTTTTACAACATATTTGCAAATAAATACTATCATAAATTAATGTAGTAGGTCTTCTGAAAATTTAGAATAAGTTATAAGTTATTGGAATATTCTATTATTTTACTTTGGGTTGGTTTCCTTTCTATATTTCTATGTTTAAATGTAATTATGTATTGATACAAATTCTATTTTATTATCAAAAGTTTGCAATTATCAAACAGCTAATAGTTTAGAAGTAGTATAATTCTTATTAAGCTTACTTTTTCAGTTCTCCATCTTTAACTTTGAATCTAGTTGAATCAATAATATAATTGATCCAAGATCTCAAGAATTTTTGTATTTACAATTTTACTATATTGTAAATTCCTAATCAAGTAAGACTGAAGTCCACACTATAATTTGAATTTCTTCAATATTATTAATTTCAGTAATTTTTACTAGTATAAATGTTATATATGAAAATTATTCGCAGTTTTTTTATAGTCTCTATTAAAAGATAATATATTTTTAGTATAAATAATAGTATAAATAATTATATTAGAGTTACATTATACTGAGATATTAATATATCAAGTAAATATGTGATATTAAAGTAATTTATACAAATAAAACTAATTGAAGATTTATATTATTTATAATAGTAAAATCAAAATTAGGGTACTCTGATTATTAGAATATAAATAAGAAAATTACTAGTCTAATAGGGTACTACATTAACATTATTTAACCTATAACTTCTATCTTTAATTTAAGTGCGACATTGTAGCCTTCCTTTTATCTTTGTTCCGCTTATTTTTTGATTTCTTTATCATCAATAGAATATTATCGGGATATACTGCAGAAGGTACAGAGATTATTTCATCATTTTTCCTTGAAATATTTTCACTTTTGTAGTAACAGTTTCTAAAAATACATTTATTAGATTTACTGTCAATTTTAGGTGCATTTCCAGGTGGTCTACTCCTGTTGGTATGTTTCATACTTTTACTATTTTCTTTTTTATCTAACTGCAAAACAGAAGTATTGTATGTTACAAGAATATCATCAGGATATAATGATTGAGAAACTGTTATATTAGATGAATTCTCATTATATTTATTTAGGGAGCATTTAAGATTTTCTGTAGATTCAATATCAGTACCTTTTTTTTCCACTTTTTTTGTAATATACTTCGTTTTAGAAATTTCAGATGCAGTACATGTCATGAAAGAAGTTAACATCTTTGTAATAATTCCCATTGATTCACATTCATTCTCATGTATAGATATCCTTTTATTAATTTCTTTATTTGAATTAGCATCTATTATGTTATTCTTAGTATTTCTGTAAGTCTTTGTAGATTTACATTCACTACAGTTACATTCACTCCCACTTTCAATATTAGTCTTATTTTCATTCTTACTTTGACCCACATCCTTATTATTGTTTGTTATCCCCAAAAATTTTGTGTTATCTAAATATTTTGTTTGAATTTCTGGATTTGGAGTTGAAGTCTTATTAGTAATCTCATCCATCATTCCAAGTGAAATACTTAGACCTATACCTCCTGTACCTGGAATCTTAAAAACAGCTCTAAGAACCATATTTGATTATTAGACTAGATAAGACAAATCAAATATCTAAAGGTATTTATAGAAGTGTAATAGATACTATTTACATGTTTCAATTAAAGTTTTTACTTTTTTTTTTATTAAACGATACTAATACGCCTTGAAATAAATAGAAATTGCCCGCTCAGGTTAGGTTACATGTCCCAATAAAGGGCGGTAAATCACTGAAAATATTTTTTAGATTATATCTAAAGAGTGTTATAGAAAATAGTTTACTAGTAAACTTGTAATTTATATAAAAAAATGTAAAAATTAGATCTTTTATCTAATAATTTTCAAACAATTTATTTCTAAATAAGCAAATTCCAAGCTTTATATAAAAGAATAAAAAGTTTTAAAGTTGTCTTATCTCAAACTTAATCGCTTACATTATATTTAATATAATGTGATATTACATATCTTGTTATAATTAAATAAGTGATAATATCTAACTTAAATAATATAATATAGAATAAAATATAATATATATAATAAGATAACTCTTTTTTCTTACATAAAAATGAGTGAGTTTTTATATTGATTTAACACGTCTAAATCTTTCAATATTCTTATTTGGAAAAGGATCTTTTTGAGTAGACCACTGTTGAAAAGCATCTTCAAAATCCATACCTTCATATTCTCTTTTCTTACCATAGATATTTTTCAAAAAAAAACTTTTAAGATTCTTAAGTTTGAGGATTTCCTCATTTAATAAAACAAATTTTTTAAATTCAGATTCAGATTGATGTTTAGGTAATAATTGTGGAGTTTTTACTGGTCTTAAACCTTGATTATCTAATGATTGTATTTCTTGGAGGTTAGCAATTAATTTATCCATATTTTGTTTAACTTCTGGAGGAATATTTATTTGTAGATTATTTCGATAGTTATCTCTGCACTTCTGAAGTTCAGATTCAAGATATTGAATTCTTTTTGATATTTCTTGTTGTTCTAAAACTTGTTTTTGAGCATTTTTAAGTTCTGTTGAAATTAATCTAAGCTTTTCTTGAAACTCACTTTCTATTTCTGATGATTTAATAGTACATTCATTAACTTTCTGTTTCAAACTTTCAATTTCACCTAATTTATAATTAACTACACTTGTAGTATCTACTAACTGAGATTCTAGTATCTTAATTTGTGTTCTTAGTTCACTTGAAATTCGTTCACATTCACTTAAACCTTCACTTTTCAATCTTTCTGATTGACTAAGAGCATAATTTGCTTCTTTTAATTGATTTTCTAATATTAATAAACTAGATTTAAGTTCTAATTCAGAACTAGCACCTTGCTCTATGTTAGTTTTTGCAACTTTAATTTCATCTAAAGCTTGTTTATGTTTTTCATTAAGTCCATTATATAAACTTTCTAAATTTATTGTTTTGGATTTTTCAGTTTCCAATAATTCTTTTGTTTGAATAACTTTTTCCTTAGTATGATCTAATTCTAATTGTACATTACTCAAATTATTACTTAAATCCAAATTTTTTTGTTGTAATATTCCTATTTCATTCTCTAAATTTACCACTTTTTCTTCACAAATCTTATTTTTATTATTAAGTTCCTCAATAACTTTGTTAAGATTAAAAACTTCTTTATCTTTATTCTTAATAGTTTGTTCTTTTAATAAATCAGTCCTTAATTTAGATATTTCTTCACTCATATTTTGAACATTTACTTTATTCTTATTTATGATATCATTCAATTCTTTTTCTTTTTGTATAAAATTATTTTGTAATATTTGAGTACTCATCTGAAGTTCCTGTTTACTAGTTATTTTCACTTCATCTAACTTTTTATTCACTTCTTTTATCTCATTTTGTAGATCTTGATTTTGTGATTTACAATTTACTAATTCTCTATTTAAATCTACATTATCTCTATTTTGATTTTCTAAATTAGATTTTATTAAGTTATTATTTTCGATATTTACCAATTTCATCTTTAATTTCTCCAATTGAGATTTAAGATCAGAATTTTCCGAAACTAATCTATCAGTGTCAGTAGATTTCTGTGTTTTAAGCTTTTTTAAAGTTTTTAATTCATCTTTACATTTTCTATAATCACTTTTGTATTTTTTTATTTTAAATTGATCTTCACATTTATTTGGCACATCCTTTAATGATTGTAATTTCTCACTTAATAACTTATTTTCATTTTTTAAATTTTTATTTTCTTCTGTTAATGTATCCAATTGTTTTTGTAAAGCCTCAAGTGATTTTTTCTCATAACCAACTGGAGGATGAACATATCTATATATTACTTCCTTATGTTTACCTTTATATTTACTTCCTCTAGATATATTTTTATCCCCTTTAATAGGTAAAGATTCACTAGATAATTCATCTTGTAAAATAGTTGTTGGTAAATGTCTAAAACTACTACCACCATCATATATATACTGTCTCGGAAATTGGGATGCATATTTAATATCCTTGATTTTCTTCTTAGATTCACCATTATTTGTAATTATACACTCATTATAATTCAATAAAATCAAAAATATAATAAAGATTGTAGTTACCATAATAAGATATAAAATACAAGTTGTTGATATTTTTTTAGATCCAAGAAATCCTATTTTTGTCTTGGTAGTACAAACCAAGTACCCAAATATTTAAATTCAATATTAGAACAACTAAATTCTAAAATTTCTGTAAACCTAGTTATTATAACTTTTAATATTAATAATACAAATTCATAGGGAATTTATTATTAATGTTTTTATTTATAATTATTCCATTTCTAAATCTGAAAATAATAAAACCGCCTCATAGGCGCCACACGCCCTTTAATGATAGATTTCAGTATTTCAGAGATAATTAAAAGTTAAACTTTTTAGTTTCCATTTTATTATTGTTACTATTGAAATATATAACTTTATATAATTCTTCTTAAGTAAAAAACTAATAATATTAATATTAGCTTGCTACAGCTTGTATTATGGTCTTTTTATACTTAGGGTCTCTTTTTTCGTAATATCATCTTAATTTATAAATATTTTAGATATATATAAAAGTGTTTAGTAAATATGGAGGAAAATAATCAAATACCAAAGTAAATAGAGATATAATAAGTACAAATTCATTACGGCCTATTCCTAATTTACTTGATAATTTACCTTTCTGTAAGTAGTTACTTTTCAAAATAAATTCATCTCTAATTTATATTAATTAAATATATATAACAAATATATTCTTTAAAATTATAATCTATTAATCCTATATAATTAAAATAAATATTTAAATAAAGTGATAATAATAAGAAATTCCACAATAATATATTAATATTGTTAATTAGAGATGATCAAGTATAATCAAAATAAAATTCTTCTAAATAATAATCTCATTTTTTCCTTTTTGGATACCAAACAAAATTTACTTTTCCATTATTATCTATAATTTTCTTTCTTCTACCTTTTTCCAACAAATTTTTGTGTAATTCAAGCTTCCCTTCAATTCTTTCTAGTTTAGAGGAACGTATAATTGTATCATTTAACATTTTGTATGATTTAGTTATAGTTTTAACTATATCCTTTGTAAGATTTTTATCTATAGTATTATTACAATTAGAATTAACTTCATTTTCATCATCACTAAAAAATAAATGTTTTCTCTCAGTAGAATATCCAATAATCTGCAATTCACTTGCCATCCTTTCTATTTTCTGAGAATTAGATATTTAAAAATCATATAAATAATTTAGAAAAAAAGATTAAACTAAAAACTTACCTTATTGTCAATAGATTTTCTATATCTAATGTATGATAGGTTTTGACTAGACATAAGTTTCTTTTCTTCCTTAGATAAGGATTCATTAATACAAAATTTTTCAACTTTTTCATATCTTCCTTTATTTAATCTAGAATTAATCATATTAAAATGAAATTCATCAGGATTTTTGGTTCTAGCTTTTTCTCTTAAAGCTTGAAATAGTCTTTCTTTTTCATGATATCTATTAGCACGGAGTTTGTAGTCCTGTCTTCTTTCTAAGATCCCAAACCTTAAACGATTAGCAGGAGTTGCCCTTTCTAAGTGAACTCTACGATGGATTGAATGTTTTAAAGATGACATTGATAACCTCTTGTACTATTAATATTAGAGATTGTCAAATTAATTTTAGTTATAATTACTAATTAGGCTAGAAGTATAGACTAGGCGGTAATATATTACAGTCGTATTTACTTTAAGATTCAATATTTTTCCTACTTCTCTCGTGAAGAAAGAAAGAACGGATTAATTTTTTTTTTTCTCTTAATTATACTTTTAATATTATATACATATATATATATATAAATATTAATATTAAAGTTTGAATAATGGAGAAAAGAAACGATAGTAAACTTTTGAGTAATATAAAGACTATTCAACCATTTATAGTGGGTGGATTAGCAGGATGCTGTGCTACTACTTGTGTATGTTAACTTATTTTTAATTCCCAAATTTATCTAATTTGAAATTTTTCTGTAGATTCAACCAATTGATATGGTTAAGGTTAGAATTCAGTTAGCAGGTGAACATAATGGGAGTAAAAACCCATTTATAATAACAAAGGACATAATACGAAATAATGGTATTAGGGGTCTTTATAAAGGATTAGATGCAGGTTTAGTTCGTCAAATTACATATACTACTGCAAGATTGGGTTTATTTCGTGTCGTTAGTGATTCAATGAAGAAAAATAATGAACCATTACCTGTTCATACAAAAGCAATGATAGGTCTTTCTGCAGGAGGTATTGCAGCAATTATTGGAAATCCTGCAGACTTATCATTAATTCGCCTTCAAACTGATTCAACTCTCCCCCCTCAACAAAGGCGTCATTATAAAGGAGTTTTTAATGCTATGTCAAGAATAATAAAAGATGAAGGTGTACTATCATTATGGAGAGGAAGTACCCCAACAGTAATACGTGCAATGGCACTCAATATGGGCATGTTAGCTTCATTTGATCAAACAAAAGAGATATTACAACCTAAATTCGGAGATACTCAGACTACTAGTTTAATTGCATCTGCAATTTCTGGAATATTTGCAGTAACATTCTCACTACCATTTGATTTGATAAAGACTAGGCTTCAAAAGATGGCTAAATTACCTAATGGTCAAATGCCATATTTAGGATTTATAGACTGTGCGACAAAAATATATAGAAATGAAGGTTTATTGGGATTTTTTGCAGGTTATCCAACATATTATTTTAGGATAGCCCCTCATACAATGATTACTTTATTATGTGTTGATTGGACAAATTCTAAAATTTCCAACTTTTACAAAAATCACTTAAAATAGGACTTTTTTAAAATAGAAACCCTAGGTGTTGGATTTATTAATTTTTTTTTTTTAATTTTATTATTCTATCAATTTTCTATCTAAAAATAGATTTTTAGACCTTATGAGCTCTTTAAATTTTAGATCCTATAGCGCTTATCATACTAAATACTTCAAATTTAAAGGTGAGAACTTGTTATTAAACAATAGGGGACTAAATATTTCAGAATTTCATCAATATTTGCTTATAAACCAATTTTAATATTTAAAATAAGTGATATTTTTGGAAATTTTAAGTATTTATAGAACGTGTGGTAATATAAAGCCTAAATCTATAAATTATAACGTGATCTTTTTTTCTTTTTTCTCCTGTGGCTTCTATTACTTCTTATAATTTGCAAGATAATTTCAATTTTTTTTACCTATAGTAAGTAATAAAATTGGATATCTCATATAATATAATATTAAAGATATTCAAGTTAATGCAATACACTAATTTCATTGAAATTCCATTGAATATCTAAAGTTATAATTCTAACAAGGATGTTGAATATTTCAGCTCTTCATTATACATTGTATAATTTATATTTTATTATGATAATTTTGGTTCCTATATTCATTAGCCTAAATTTTATTAAAGGTTCTCTTGCCCAATCTAATTTGAATGTAAGAATTAATAGTGTTGGTAATAGCATATTCGAAGCAAAATGTAATGATATATCATTTCTTCCTATTTATCCATCTTTAGGAGGTGTAGGGGAGATTATTCCATTACCGATGACAGTTGGTGTTGCCAAAGTTCCATCAGGTAATTTAGAGAGTATTAATATCAAAAATATTGGTGTTGTTTTAAATACTTTAAAAAATAATGTACTTACTACTACTAATAATAGATTGATATTTGCTCATTCTATTTTTGGTGAAGATTTTAGACAAACAGATATTCGTTCTTTGTTTGCTTTATCAAAATTACTCGATAAAGATGTAAATAACAAAATATGTCTACAAAGTACAGAACAAACAAATTATTATGATATTCCAAGACAATACCAAGGTTTAATACATCATGTATCACTCATGTGGTATTCTTCTATTCAGGACTCTTCTAAAAATTTTTTTTTTTCAGCAAGAATTAAACCTATATATAAAAATGTTATCTTCAATTTAAATTATAATTATGGTTTAAATGCTGGTTCAAGAATGGTATCATTTCAATCTATTATTGGTATAGCTACTTTAACTATTAAAGGTAAATCTCATTTTGAGAACATTGTTTCACCTTGTGATGGTAAAATTGAGACTGCATCATTAGGTAATAATAAACCTTCAAACCATATTGAAATTTTGTGTTTAAGTCCTCCCTCCTATGTTTCCAATCATAAAAGAGATTATAACAATAATATAAACCGTTTATTTTATTTAAGTAAATCATTTGGGGATTTAGAATCTTGGATCTTAAGTGAGGAGAAAAGAATTGTTTTTGTTCCTGAGGAAGAGAATCGTGAATTTTCTAGTAAACTTGGTTCAGTGATGAATTTATTAGATTTAGATGGTTTAGTTTTCAATAGTGGAATTCATGCATCAGATCTTATATATAAATCAGAACTTCAAATACCAGATATTTCTGTGAAACTGGAAAATTATGAAGCTATTGTCAATAGTCTAAGATTATATGACTATAACTACGATTCTGAACGTCGATTATTAAGACTTAATTACCAATCAGATTTAAGTAAGCAAGTTAGTAGTGGATTACCTATGACTTATCAATTTAGAGATGATGAATTAGATTGTCCTGATATCAATAAAGATAATTTGGGACGTTGTAATTGGTTAGGTGATGCCTCTATGGGATGGGATGTTACCAATGAAGACAGTAACATTGTTCCTGCGCCTTATACTGGGAAAAGATATCAATTATTTGGTCCAAGGCCTTGGAATATGAAATTTTACTTCTGAAGATTGCATTTCTATTTTGAGACCATCATACTTTTCTGGTGATTTATTTTATGTACTTAACCCAAGCTTTTTTTATTTATTTAATCAAAGATTATATAAAGATGGTAATAATCTTCTGGAAGATCTTTATAGTAAGCATGTAATGCAATATATGGAATACCAAATTAATATGTTTGTTAGTTCTGGAATGTTTATGTTTTCAGATAAAGATAAAAAAACATGTATAGGGGTTATTAAAGTAATATTTAAGGGTCCCTTAAGTAGTAGAGATAGTATTCAAATACCTTTATTTGCTGAATATAATGGATTTATAAAGAATGTTTTAAGTATTCCAAAAGTAGCATCAATTAGAGATCCATTATTAATTTTTACAACAGATAAATTAGAGGAGGAACTATTTTTAAAAAGAAAAGAATTGAACCCACTTGTATATAAATATTATACACATTTCTCTCAACGTTTTCAAAGTGATCAATCTTCTGGACTTGATATTTCATCTAATTTGGTAAATAAATTATTTCCTGTAGCTACTACTAGATCTGGTATGACAACAGATTTAACTTTACACTTTGTATCTCATAAAATAGATAGTCAAACAGTTTTAAATGTACTTAGCCAATTTCAATTGAATGACTTTTCTTCAAGATCAGATATATATCTAAAAGAAGTTCAATTAATTCCTTCAGTACCTATTAAACATAGAGTTGTAAAAGAATCAATTTCTCTAAATAAAGCTAAAGTGGAAAATAAAGCTACACTAATGCCACAATATGCTATGTCTAATAGATCTTTTAAAGCAGACACGAAACAGAATATTCAAGGTAAGCTTATGGATACTGTATCAATCTTATCTCAAGTTCTCGTTGATCCAAAATCATCACAATTATTAGTGCCTGGGGGATTGCAAAATACTGAATCAACAACAGGACCATCAAGACAAACAGCAGAACTAGTAATACCGATACCACAGCCACAACGAAAATCATTACCATCAAAACTTATAGATGAAACATCACTATTACCAGTAATAAAACCACGAAGAAAATTATTAGAACCAGGACAATTGTTAACAAAAGATTCATTATTGGAGTTACCACCATTTGTACTTCCAAAAAAAGAACCATCATCTATTCCAGCTGGAAGTCAATTTGCTACACCAGGATGGTCAACAAAATCATTACCATCTTTAGCACAAAAACTATCAACACCAGTATCATTATCAATAATAAGAGAAGGTCAATCACAACCAGTGTCTCCATCGTCACCACCATCATCACCACAACCACCACCAATACTA